TGGGGGGGGGGGGGACGCACCGCTCGATAGTGCCGCCGAGGACCTGCTGCAGGACGATGAGGATGGCTTGACGTCGCAGCCAGTTGTCCTTGAGGCCGAAGATGCTGACGACCAGGTCGCAGAACGGCGACGTGAAGTACGTGAGCGCCTCGCCGTCGGGCGCGCTCGCCGCTGGCGCCGTAGCGTCCGAGCCGACGAGCTGGTCGACGAGGTCCTCGTCGTTGACCTTGCCGGCGCCGCCGCCGGTACTCGTCCCAGCAAACTCGGCGGCCTGCTGCCCGAGCCGAGCGACGATCGTGTCGACCATGCTCGTCGTCGACGTGCCGAGGACGTCGTCTATGCCCGAGGTGAAGCCGCGGTACAGGCTGCGGAGGGCTTGACCGGGAAGAAGCGGCGCTGCGAGCTTGCGGGCGACGTCGCTCTTGGGGAGGGCGATCGTCTGCTGCGACAGGAAGGCGCGAAGCTCGCTGCTGCGGCAGATGACGGGGATGCGGATGAGGGCCTGTGGACGCAGAGGATGATGAGCGCGCTCGCCCGCAACTTGAGAAGGCGAGGAAGAAGGAGGAGCCGGGGCGCACCTGCAGGTACCGCTCGAGACCTTCTCGACGCTGCTCGATGAACTCCTTGCTCCAGATGCCGACGAGCCGCTTGCTCGGAAAGTCGAGGTACCGCGCCGCGACGTACTTGTCCTTGAGCTTGCCGTACAGGGCCGAGAACTCGCTGTACCGCCTCGTGACAATCCACCCGGCGCGGAACGACCCGTCGGGCGCGAGCTGGTGCACCTCGACGAGGTACAGCTGGAAGCTCTGCGCGCTCGTCGGCGCGAGCGCCGTCGCCGCCGAGCTCGAGCCCGAACCCGCGCCGCCGCCGCCAGCTTGGCCGACCGTCGTGCCCGGGATGGCGACCCGGGTGCGGTCCGGCGTGAGCTCGTTCTCGGACGCCTGCGCCTCGTACTGGTCCTTCTGGAACGTCGCGGCGCGGATCTCGCGGCGCAGGCTGTCGCGCGACTTGACGAGGAGCTTGAGCTCTGACGCGTTGCCCGTCAACTCGGCCTTGCGGATGAGCGCCTCGACGACGGCTTCTTGGCCCTTGAGCTTGGCGAGCGACTCGGTGAGGCGCGCGATCTCGGCGGGCAGGTGCAGGTCGCCGGGCGCCGGGAGGACGATGTCGTGCGGGTCAAAGTCGAGCTCGACGTCGTCTTGGTCGGCGTCGGCGTCGTCGACCGTTTCGGCGTCGTCAAAGACACCTCGGTGCCGTACAGGTCGTGGCGGGAGCGCCGGCGGCGACGTGACGCCCCACGAGGTCGTGCCCGCCGGGCTGGTCGGCAACGACGGCGACGACTTGCCCGTCTCGGTCGCGAACAGCGACGCCTTGCGCTGTGCGTCGGCCGACACACGGCGGCTCGTCGGCGCCGAACCGTCCTGGGGCACGCTCGCGAGCGACGTCGTCGACCTGCTCGCCTCGGGCTGGGCCCGAGCGTCGGTCGCGAGGATCGAGTTGAGCGCCTCCTGGATCGCCTCGATCGTCTGGACCTGGACGTAGTCGTCGTCCGAGTGCGCGCCGTCGTCGGCTGCATCGTCGGCGGCGGCGGCGCCGAAGAGCGGCGAGCGGTCGACCTCGGGCGGCGGCGACATGAGGAACTCGAGCGAGTCGGCGAGGTTGACCCTGCTGCGCCGAGCGCTCGACCCGCCCGTCGTTGGCGATGTCGCCGTGGGCGCCGATGCTGTCGAGTTGACCGTGTCGACCGACCCGCTCGACACCTTGCGCACCGGGTTGAACCTCGGCGACTCGCCGCCGCCGCCGTCGAACAGGTCCGGGCGGCGCGTTGCCGGGCGGTCGAACGCGGCGGCGTGGAACGTGACCTGCGGCGGGGCGGTCTCGGTGCGCTGCGGGCGCTGGGTGCGCGATTGGCCGAGGAGCGCGGGCGAGGCGGGTCGAGGAGGAGGGAAGGTCGGGGAGCCGAGCGGCGCGGCGGCGACGAGGGTGGTGGGCGTGGTCGTTGCGCGTAGTGGTGGCACTTGGGGGTTTGAGCGCGAGCGCGGGCGAGGTGGACGAGTCGCCAAGGGCGACGGCGGCGTGACGTAGGCGGCCGGAGGAGGGGGAGCGAACGAGGACGGCATGGCGGCGACGGCCTTGAAGTGGAGGTCGGAGCGTCGAAAGGCGGGCAGGTCCTCCTCCTCGAGGAGCGCGAGGACGTCGCCCTGGATGGCGAACAGGGCGTGGCGGACCTGGCGGACCTCGTGCGGCGAGGCGACGACGGGCGACAACGCTGCGTCGTGGCGCTCGGCCACGAACGAGCGTACCGTCTCGAGGTGCACCTTGCTCGAGCGGAACGGGTCGCTCGCGAGGTAGGCGTCCCAGATCATGCGGATGTCGTCGAGCGCGATCGAGCCGTCGTCGAGCGTGCTCGCGCCCGACGTGGTCGTCGTCGGCAGGTCGACGTCGAGCTCCTCGAGCGGGTCCTTGAGGCCCTCGACGAGGAGCCAGAACTGGGCCCGGGCCGAGTGTCGGCGACGCTCGAGGAACTCCATGAGGTAGGTGACGGCGGTCGGCTCAAGGAGGAGGTCGCGCAGTGCAGGTTGGCCGTGCGACGCGGGGCTCGACATGACGCTCGGTGCGCGCTGTAACACGAGAAGACTCCTCGAGTCAGTGATCGTTGAGGCGAAGGAGAGGACGAGCCGGCGACGCACATCTCGCGAGTCGGGTCCTCCGAGCTTGCCGATGCGGCGGTCGATTTTGCGCTTGGCCGTGTACAGGCGCTCGATGAAGTCGATCCAGTCTGCAACCTTGACGCCATCGACCATGTCGTCGAGCGACTTGCCGTCTGCGAGGCGCTCGAGGAGTCAGGAAGGCGCGCAAAAGAGTCGGGGCGAGGAAAGAGGGTCGAGCGCACCTGTCGCAAGCTTGGCCCGCCGGATCTGGCTCGTGACGTCGCTCCTCAGTCGTCGAGCGTCGCCGAGCGTCGTCAGGGCGCCGATGTTGGCGAGCCACGCGTCGAACTGGCGCGCGCTCGTGCGGACCGTGACGACCTCGGTCTTGCGGCCGGCTGCCGCCGCGGCGGTCCTGGTTGTCGGTGGCGGCGCCGAGAGACCGAGGCCGGTGACGGCGGCGAGTGCAGGGGCCTGCTTGTCGAGCGCCTCGCGGAACTCGGTCACCATCTTGCGGTCGCGGATGGCGGCGCCGGCCTGCAGATGGGAAGGGAGAGGTCAGGGCCAGGTCGCTCGTGCGGGCGAGAGAGGGAGAGCGGGGCGCACCTTGTCGTCGATGAGGCGGTTGTAGAAGTCGGGGTCGGACAGGAGCTCAAAGATGGGGAGCATGACGGCGCACGACACGATCTCGCGCAACATGACGGCTACGGCGGCGCTGTCCATCTCGCGCTCAGGGACGACGAGCGGGAGGAGGGCGCCGAACAGGTTGCGCAGGTAGGCTTCTTCTGCCGGGCGCGAGTTGGTGCCGGCGACGTCGACAGCCGGGTGCAGCCTGGCGCCGCTCAGGTCGGCGTACCGGGACGCGACGAACAGGTCGGCCTCGTCCGAGTCGCCGGCGGCGCCGACGTGGGCCGACTCGTGGGCCTGGCGAAAGTGCTCGAGGTGGGCCGTGACGAGGGGCAGGATGCGGCCGACGAGGACCTCGGACCAGTCGAGGGTGCTCGCGACGCGGGTCGAGAGGGCGACGAGCGTGTCGCGGATGGTGCGGTCGACGGCGGTCGGGAACACGGGCGAGTCGGACAGGTTGTCGTACCACCGGCGAACAAAGTCGCGCAGGACGAGCTCGAGGAGCGAGTCGAGGGCGGCCTGGAGGAACGGGGGAGCGCCGTCGAGCGAGGCGGGCGCGGCGGCGGCGGCGGCCTCCCACGCCGCCTTGGTCTGCGTCATGGCCCATGCTGCCGGCGACGTAAAGTGGAGCGGCGGGACGCCTGCCCAGGTGCCGTTGACCGCCGGGCGCCGAGCTCCCCCACCACCTCGAGCGGAACCCGAGCGGTGCGGTGCGCTGGCCCTCGCGATGCGCTGCTCTGCGACGCGGGTGAGGGACACATAGGCGACGAGTACTGCGATGACGGTGGCGACCAGGGCGAGGGTGACGAGGGCGAGGTGGAGGAGCGAGGCGCGTGCGAAGAGGGCGACGACGAGGAGCAGAAGGGCGAGGCGACCGCTGAGCGGCATGGGGCCGGGCCTGCCAGTTGCTGTAGGGTGCTGCACGCCCTAATGGCTCAAGTCGGAGCCCGGGCGGCGCACACAGTCGAGAGGACGAGACCAGGTGTTGGTTCGAGGTTGGCTCTCGCTCTCGACCGAGCCCACACTCCGCCTCTCCCCTCTGAGAGACCGGCTGAGCTACTGTACCGACTAGGTGAGCACTCGTGCTCGCACCCATGCACGCCTCACACTCACCGGTGCTCCGCAGCTCGACCTCATCATGACGGCCGCGCCCGCCGGTCCATTTCGTGGGCCAACGCCAGCTCGTGGGACCGCGAGGGACGCGCACAAGCAGGCTGTCTTCTCTCAAGTACGCCCAGCCGCTCTCTCCCTCCCCAAACGGCGAGCTGACACCGCCCCGCCTCGCAGTTCAAGGCCGTCTGCGTCCCTCTCCTCGAACTTGCCCGCGCACCCTCGTCCGGCCAGGCCACCCGCACCATCATCGACCTCGCCGTCAAGCTCACCGACCTCCTGCGCGCCACGCCGACCGATGCCTTCTCCACCGCGCTCGCCAACTACGCCTTCTTCCCGCTGTCGGCCCTCCTCCGCCCGCCGCTCGACGGCCGCGACCGCGGCGACCGCGTCCTCGAGGTCACCATGCTCGCCCTCGCCGCCCTCATCGTCCAGTGGCGCGCCGTCGGCATGGACGTGCGCGTCCGGCAGGAGCTGTGGACCATGACGGCCCTCTCGCTCGGCGGGCCGCTCGACCCGTCCGGCCCGAGCAAGGGCGCCGCCGCGGCGAGGGCCAAGGGCAAGGGCAAGGCTGTCGAGCGCACCGAGGAGGCCGAGCTCGCCATGGTCGAGGCGCTCCTCGCCCTCATGCGCCCCGACGAGCGAGGAGACGTGGCACGAGACGACGGCGACGACCACGACGACGACCCGCTCGGCGAGCGCATCGACTGGGACCGCGTCGACGCCTCCTTCGACAAGCCGCCACAGCGAGCGAGCGACCCGCCACCGCCCGTGCCCATCCTCTTCCACACCCTCACGACCCTCCTCGCCCTCGCGGCAGAACCGACCTCCCTCCTCCAGCTCCAGCTCTCCTCCCTCGACGCCCTTCAGATCCTCTTCACCGAGTACCTCGCGCACCCTGCGCCGAGCGCGACGGTCCCGCATCCTGTCGACGGCCCGTCGCCCCTCCTCGCGACCGCGCTCCCCGGCACGGCGTCGACCCTCTCGCGCGTTGCCCTCTCGATGCCGAGCTCGTCCGCGTCCGAGTACGGCAAGTCGACGCGCCGGCAGGCATCGCCCGTCGTCGTCGCCGCGCTGCAGACGCTCGCGCGCGTCATCGTCGAGTCGGTCGGCGACGAGGTGACGCGCTCGCTGCGCTCGGGCTCGGGCGCACCAGGCGACGAGTCGAGCCCGCACCCGGCGACGCTCGAAGAACTCGTCGAGGCGAGCATGGTCAACCTCGGGCTCGAGGCGGCAGCAGACGAGGGCGAGGCGGACGATGCGCTCGAGCCGCCAGACCACCCTTCAGCACCTGCGCCTGCACCTCCTCCTACCGCCGCCGGCCCCGTCATACCTACGCCCTCGTGGCTCGCCTTCACCCTCACGTCCCTGTCGACCCTCTTTGCCGCCCTCTCACCGCTCTCGACGCACGACTCGGCCGCCGTCCGCATCGCCCTCGTCGCCCTCCTGTCCGACGTCCTCGCGCTCTGCTCGGCCACGCTCGGCACACACGCCGAGATCATGATCGAGGGCCTTCTCGCCCTCGCGAGCGATGAGTGGGACGCGGTCCGTGCGCCCGCTCGGCGCGCCCTCCTCGCCGCGTTCGGTCTCCCGCGCAGCGGCGCCGACGACGACGAGGCGCAGCACCCGCTCGCTCTCGCGGCGAGGATCGTCCAGCGGCGGCTCGCAGCCCTGCCCGGCGCGCTGCGCAGGCAGGACGAGCACGCCGTCCGGCGCGGCGCGGCCATCGTCCGCACGGCGCTCGACCTCGTTCCTGCCGCCGCCGCAGCAGCAGCGAGCGCCTCGTCGCCCGCCGCCGCCCGCCGAGCGCCGAGCCCGCTCCACGGCGTCGACCGGTGGAGCTGGGCGCTGCTCGGCGCGCTCGAGGTCGAGCGCGTGCCCGCCGCGGGCCGAGCGGCCGAGGGCGGCATGGCGCTCGCGTGGATCACGTCGTCGGGCGACTCGCCGTCGTCCAGTGCGGCCGGCGTCGACGCGACGGCGTACCCGCCCGTGCGGCTGCGCGGCGTCAACGAGGCGGCGACGGTCCGTGCGCTCGAGGCGCTGTGGGAGGCGCTCGGGCGCGCGAGCGCGGCGGCGGGCCAGGCGGGCGAGGCCGTCGACCAGTTCGCCGGCGTTGCACTCGGGCCGAGGAGGGACGAGGGGCCGGCGGTGAGCGCGCTGTGGGTCCTCGACGGCGTGCTCAAGGGGATGGGCGGCGCGCACGGTGCGCGAGGGTCGGCGGCAGGCTCGAGGGAGCAGCGGCAGGTGTTCAAGCGGGCGACGAGGGCGGTTCTCGCGCTCATGGAGGACCTCGAGGACGCGTCGGCTGAGGAAGAGGAGCAGGAGCCGGCGGCTGTGGGCCGAGGGGACGAGGAGCACGGTCGGGACCTCCTCGTCGCCGACGACGACGCCGACGAGCGCAGCTCGACGTTTCGCCTCGTCGAGCACAAGAAGGGCGTCACGGACGTGCCTTCCCTCGACGCGTACAACCCTGTCGCGGCGCGAGCGACCTCTCGAGACCAACGGGCGTCGCACCTCGTCCTCCTGTCGTCCTTCTCGCTCCGCCTCCTCGCCACCTCGGCAGCAGCTCTGTCGTCATCGTTCCAGCCCTTCCTCATGCAGTCCCTCTACCACGTCCTCGCCCACCTGTCGCCGACGACGCACCCGTTCCTGCGCGCCCACGCCCAGCATACGCTCGCCCTCATCTCGGACGCGACGGCGTACGCCTCGCCGCACAACCTCGTCCTCGCCAACGTCGACTACGTCGTCAACTCGGTGTCGCAGCGCCTATCGGTGTCGCGCCTCGAGCCCAACGCGCCGCTCGTCCTCGTCGAGATGATCCGGCTCGTCGGCAAGCCGATCGTGCCCATGGTCCAGGACCTCGTCGACGACGTCTTCGAGGCGCTCGACGACTACCACGGGTACGAGGAGGTGACGGTCGGCCTGTGGGCCGTCCTCGACGCGCTCCTCAAGGTCATGGTCGAGGACCTTCCGGCGACGGCCGACGACTTGTCGCGCCGGTCGGCGGCGACCAAGGACGTGCCTCGCCCGGTCCCGGCCGACGACCTGCGCGACCTCGAGCAGTGGCTGGCGCATCGGCTCGACGAGCCGCCTGTCGACGCTGCCGCCGCCGACGGCTCGTCGACGAGGGCCGACCTTCCCGAGGAGAACCCGCAGCAGCCGTTCGCCTCGACGCGCCAAGACGACTCGACGACGTCTCCACCCGCAGAAGGCGACGACGGCAAGCCCATCGACCCGTCGTTCGCCTCGGATGCCGTCGCGCCGCCAACTCGCCCTCAGCGCGTCACGGCGCAGATCCTGCACAAGGCGCTCTACTTCCTGTCGCACCCGTCGGCCTTTCTCCGCGCCCGGGTCCTCTCCCTCTTCGCCTCGGCCGTCCCGCTCCTCACGCTGCCGCCCCTCTCGGACGACGCCGCCGCCCCGACCTCGACCTCGACCCCGGCGCCCCCGACCGCCACGACCCGCGAGGCCGACCTCCTCCCGGTCGTGCACCGCGCGTGGCCCCTCATCCTCCTGCGCCTCGCGCCGCCGCCGAGGGAGGAAGCGCCCGTCGCGCTCGAGGCCGTCCGGCTCGTGCAAGCGCTCGCCGAGCACGCGGGCGAGTACATGAGCCGGCGCATCGCCGACGACGTGTGGCCTCGCTTCGCCGCGCTCCTCGTGCCGGCGTCGGTCTCGGTGCCGGCGAGCGCGACGGCGGCCGCCGGCCTCGGGCGCTATAGCGCGCAGCACCGGCTGCACGCCGCCGTCCTCTCGGCGATGCGGGCCATCGCGCGCCACGTCCCGATGAAGGAGCCCCAGGTGTGGGACGCGGCGCTCGTCCTGCGGCGGTTCGTCGTGCCCGTGCCCGAGCGCGGCGGCGTCGAGCCCGAGCTGCGCGTGCTCGCGAGGGGCGCGTACGAGGCGCTCGGGCGGCAGAACGCCGACGCGGTGTGGTGCGTGTTGCGGGGCACGGTGGGAGGGGAGGGCGCAGAAGGGCTGCCGAGGTGGCTCGGCAAGGGGTGGGAGGGCGTCGAGGCGAGCGCAGAGGTCGAGGAGATCCTGGCGCAGCTGTAGAGGCGTGCAAAGACGAAGTGCTCCTCTCGATTTCTCTCGTCTCGCGCTCGCGAGCTCGTCCAGACGGGCGCATTCTCTCGACGAGCCGCCCCCTGACACTCTTGGGAGCAGCGCCGCACCCTCTCGCTCGCTCGCAAAAGACCTCTCTCTGTCTCGCTTTGAGAAGGTCCCGAATCGCTCGAGTCCAGGACACGTCGTCCTCGCTGCAGTACCGCCCACCTCGTCGCTACGAGTTCCTCCCCTGCACGGGCTTGTAGTCCCGCAGGAGGACCGGCACGCTCTGGACCGGGATGAGGCCCGCCTCGGTGATGACGACCGTGACATCCTCCGGGCGCGAGACGTCGTACAGGAGCGAGAGGGGCGAGAGGTTGGTCGGGAGGGAGGGTGCGCTCGGGGCGGCGGTAGAGGGCTTCGAGGTGGTGGTGGGTGCGGCGGCGGGAGAGGCAAGGTCGGACGGGAGCGGCAGGGGCGTGGCTGTGTGCGGCGAGAGCGTCAGGCCCGGTGTCGCCTTGTGACGTGGGTGAGAGAGAGAGAAGAGGGGACGCACCTCGCTCGTTGCCGACGATCGAGTCGAGCATGACGCGCTCCGAGAACTTGTACGTCTCGCAGCAGCACACGACGGGGACGCCCTTTTCCCTGAGCATCATGGCGACCATGGCCGTGCCCGCTCGCGAAAACATGCTGCCGTTGGACAGGAGGGCGTGCGTGCCGAGGAGGCACAGCGACACGCGCGGGAGGACGAGCGACAGGGCGGGGAGGAGGACGTAGGTGGTCGGGATGGACGCGAGGCGGAGCGAGTGCAGGAGGTGCTTGCCTGTTTGCGTGAGAGACTCGTCAGTCGGGTGGAACAGGGTAGAACACGAAAGGGACAGGGAAAGAGAGAGACTGAGGACGCACCCTCGTACAGCGGCCGCGAGTCGACGACGACGACGCTGAACTCCTTGCCCTGGCGCTTGGCCTCGAGGAGGACGCCCTCGACGACGCTCGACCGGGCATAGGTGAGGATGACGTCGCCGTCGTTGATCTTGTCGACGGCGTGCTGCTCGATGACCCTCGACGCGAGCAAGATGCGGTCGCGGATGAACGAGTCGATCTTGGACAGGAGGAGCTGCTTGGCCTCGTCGAGGTCCATCTCCATCTCGATCAAACTGATTTCGTACTTGAGGTAGCGGATGGCGGTGCCCATCGAGACGGACAAGGGGCGGGCGCGGATGAGGTGGGCGATTTGCGGGTTGAGGTGCGTCGTCGGGAGGTGGCGCGTGAGCGACGTCTGCGGCGGCGGCGTGTACGACGAGATGATCTGTTCGTGTGCCGTACGGCGACAAAGAGTTAGTGAGGTCGGAGGAGGGAGAGAGAGAGAAAGAAGAGGGACGCACGTCCTTGAACGCCTCGAGCATGGCGATGCAGCGAGCGTTGGCGCCGACAACCTTGAACTCGGAGTACTGGAGGGCGAGGCGGATGATGCTCGGGTGCAGGTTGGCGGTCGAGCTCTTTGCCGAGTGGCTCAGGCTCGACGAAGGGAGCGGGAGGTCGAGGTGGAGGAAGGGCTGGAGCGTGTCGCTCGCTGCGCCGCCGTGCGCGCTCGCCGAGTCGCCGCCGCCGCCTCCGTTGCCGCCCTTTTGGCCCCCTGCGCCGTTCTGGCCACCATGGCCGCCTTGACCGCCGCCGCCGCCGCCCTGGTGCGCGAGTGCGGACGCGCCGTCGCCCTTGCCCTGTCCCGCCTGGGCGCCGCCCTTGGCCTGGTTGTTCTTGCCCTTTGCGGTGCTCTGCTGGCCCTGCTGGCCCTTCTTGGCGGGGTCGTCTGCGTCTGTCGGTGCGGACGGCGCGTCTTGGACCTTTTGGGCGCGGCGGGCGGCCTTTGCGGCTTTGGCCTGGTCCTTTGCCGAGGGCTGCTTCTTGGGCTTGGACTGCTGGCCCTGCTGAGCGGCGGACGAGCCTGGCGAGGGTGGTGGAGGCTTGCCCTGGGCGGGGAGAGACGCGGGGCGAGGAGACGACATGGGCGCGGTCACAGGGGGCGCTTGAAGAGCGGGCAAGTCGGGCTCGCTGTCGTAGCTGTGCGCTGGCGGCTAGCGCAGCTGTCCCAAGGCTAGAAGAGACGGGCGAGATGAGCGAGAATCAGCTCGTCGCTCGTCGCTCGTGTAGTTGGTCGTCCGCCCCTCTCTCGCTCACAGACTCGCCTGAGACCGAGTGCAGCACCAGCTACAGCCACCTGAACCACGCCGAGCACCCTCACCGCCACCACCCACCGCGCCGCGACTCGCGCCTCCCACCCCCCGCCCTCTCCTCCACCTCGACGCTCCGCTCTCCCCACCCTCTCGCGCCGACACGATGAGCACCGACGACCCGCTCGACACGCTCGCCGTCATCGTCGGTCGCGCCCTCAACCTCAACCCGAACCCGGTCCTCGCCCAGACCGTGTTCCGCCTCAGCCAGTCGCACCCGGACCTAGACCGCTTCCACAAGGCCCTCACCGCCTTTGGTCGCTTCTCGAGGCAGCACGCCGTCGACATCTGGGACCAGTGCCAGAAGGACGACCTCGTCGCCCGCGCGTTCGCCCAGCCCGGCTCCCACGCCCAAGGCGGCCGCCTCGCCGTCCACGACCACGACGTCCTCGAACCCGACGCTCCCGTCCGCGCCGGCCTGTCCGTCACCGCCTCGGCCGACAAGCACGTCTTCAAGGCGCCCGCTCTCCCCGCCAGGAGCACCCTCGGCCTCGACCGCCTCGCCGCCGACAAGCGCCGCGAGCGCGACTCGGGCCCGTCCTCGTCGGCCCCGGCCCTCAAGCGCGTCAAGTACGACGACGACGACGACGTTGCACCCGACTCGTACAAGAGTGCGTCCCCCTCTCTCTCTCTCTAGGCTCGCCCGCCCCGCCGAGCCAGTCCTGACCTCGCCTCCTCGTTCCCCTCCTCCCTCTCTCCTCTTTCCCTCGCCAACAGTGCCCGCCCGACCCTCGGCCCGCCCGACCAACCCGCGCGCCCGCCCCGACGCGACCCCGTCGGCCGGCTCGGGCCTGTCCGACACGGCCGCGCGCAAGCTCGCCGAGCACCGCGCCAAGCGCGCCGCCCAGGCGCCCGTCGCCGGCGGCGACTCGCGCGCCCTGCGCGACTCGGACGAGGGCGGCAAGCGCGCCATGGAGGGCTTCCGCGAGCGGTTGAACCGCAACGAGGAGCGCAGGAGGGACAATGCGCCCCGAGGAGGAGGGTACGACGGGCGCGACCGCGAGCGCGACGACGGCTACGGCGGGCGCAGCGTCCGCCGCGACGAGGCTCGGGGGCGCGACGAGCCGCAGACGCCCGGCGGGTCGTTCACGTCGAGTGCCCGGCTGCGCAACCAGGGCTGGGACTCGACGCCCCGCTCCGACCGCGGCTCGTCCGCAACGCCGCGCTCGAGGGCGGCTGGCGCCGGGTGGGACAGCACGCCGAGGTCGAGCCGAGGAGGCGGCGGCGAGGACGACGGCGGGTACGACGCACGGCGCGGCGGCAGCTCGCGTCGTCAAGGCGGGCCGGGCGAGCGCGAGTGGGACACGCCTCGCTCGGTCCGGGTCGCCGCCGGCGACGAGTCGCCCGGCCCTCTTCCTCGCGGCACGCCCTCGACTCGAGGTGGCCCGAGCACGTCGCGAGGAGGCGGTGGCGGCGAGGGCGGCGACGAGTGGGAGCAGGACGCTCGCGGCGTCGACCGCGAGTGGTACAACATTGACGAGGCCGGCGGCGACATGGGCGGCACCGGCGGCGACTTTGACGGCTACGACGACTACGCCGAGCGCGAGGCCGAGCTCATCGCCAAGGCGGGCGGCGGCGCCGCCGGTCCGCGCAAGCGCGTCACGGCGAGGCAGGCGGCGCGCAACGCCGACAACGAGCAGTGGGAGCGCAACCAGCTCGCGCTGTCGGGCGCGACGGGCGAGCGGCGCACGCTCGACTTTGACGCGCTCGACGACGACGAGGAGAGCCGGGTCCACATCATCGTGCACGACCTCAAGCCGCCGTTCCTCGACGGCCGCCAGGCCTTTACGCGCCAGCTCGAGCCCGTCAACCCGATCAAGGACCCGACGAGCGACCTCGCCATCTTCTCCAAGAAGGGCAGCGCCCTCGTCAGCGAGCGCAGGGCTCAACGCGAGCGCGAGCGGGTGCGTCCCTCGTCCTCCTTCCTCTCCTCCCCGTCTCGGCTTCGGTGTCCTCTCCCTCCTCGCGCACACGGTACTTACGAAGCTCTTTCTCGCCCCCACAGGCGGCGGCAAAGGCGGCGAGCCTTGCGGGCACGACGCTCGGCAACATCATGGGCGTCAAGGAGCAGGCCGAGAACGCCGACGGTGCGTCCCTCTCCCGTTCTCTCTCCTCGCCTCTCGAGACTGACTCGGCGAGCCATTCTTCCCTGCAGGCGAGGCCATCCCCGACAAGGACCCGAACGCGGCCAACGGCAACAACGAGCGCGACGAGGCCCGCAAGGGCGGCGACTCGCAGTTCGCCGAGCACATGAAGAAGGCGACCAAGGGCAAGGGCTCGAGCGCGTTCGCGCGCAACAAGACGCTCAAGGAGCAGCGGCAGTACCTGCCGGCTTTTGCGAGCCGGGAGGAGCTGTTGAGGGTCGTGCGCGAGAACCAGGGTGCGTCCTTGCCCGCTTTCCCTCGCCCTCTCCCCCCTATCTCGTCCTCTTCTCCTTCGTCTCGACTAACTCTTGAGCGTCCTCGTCCCGCAGTGACGGTTGTTGTCGGCGAGACCGGGTCGGGCAAGACGACGCAGCTCACCCAGTTCCTGCACGAGGAGGGCTACTCGGAATTCGGCCTCATCGGCTGTACGCAGCCTCGTCGTGTCGCCGCCATGAGTGTCGCTCAGCGTGTCAGCGAGGAGATGGAGGTGCGTCCAGGACCGTCCTCCTCGCTCGCCAACCGAGGACCGTGCACTGACCCCTGCCTCTTCCTCGTCCACCCTCGCAGTGCGAGCTCGGCGCCGAGGTCGGCTACAGCATTCGGTTCGAGGACTGTACCTCGGACAAGACGGTCATCAAGTGTGCGTCCCCCTCCTGCCCTCCCCTCCCTTCTGCGGACCGGAGCAGCCCTTACTAACCTCGGCCTCTCCTGCGCCCTCTCAGACATGACGGACGGTGTCATGCTTCGCGAGTCGCTCAACGAGGGCGACCTGGATCGGTACAGTGTCATCATCCTCGACGAGGCGCACGAGCGCTCCCTGAACACCGACATCCTCATGGGCCTGCTGCGCAAGAGTGCGTCCGCATCTTCCTCTCTCGCTCCCCTAGGCGACGACATTGACGCTCTTTTCTCGTACAACAGTCCTGTCGAGGCGCCGCGACCTCAAGCTCATCGTCACGTCGGCCACGATGAACGCCGCCAAGGTCCGTCAGCTTCTCTCTCTCTCCCTCGCCCTCCTCTCTCCGAGCCGCACTGACTCTCTCTCTCTCCCCTTTATCACGCAGTTCTCGCGCTTCTACGACGATGCGCCGTGCTACACGATTCCGGGTCGCACCTTCCCCGTCGACGTCCTGTTCAGCAAGACGCCATGCGAGGACTACGTCGACTCGGCCGTCAAGCAGGCGCTCCAGATCCACATCTCGCACCCGCCAGGCGACGTCCTCATCTTCATGACTGGTCAGGAGGACATCGAGTGCACGTGCGAGGTCATCCGAGGTCCGTCCCGCCCCGCCTCTCTTGGTCCCTTTCCTTGCCAGGCGCTCGACACTGACGAGGCGCCGCCTGTCCTACAGAACGCCTCTCGCAGGTCGACGACGCCGCTCCTCTTGAGGTCCTCCCCATCTACTCGCAGATGCCGGCCGACCTGCAGGCCAAGATCTTTTCGCCGACCGAGGACGGCCGCCGCAAGGTCATCGTCGCGACCAACATTGCCGAGACGTCGCTCACGGTCGACGGCATCATGTACGTCGTCGACGCCGGCTTTAGCAAGCTCAAGGTGTACAACCCGCGCATGGGCATGGACTCGCTCCAGATCACGCCGATCTCGCAGGCCAACGCCAACCAGCGCTCGGGCCGTGCAGGTCGTACCGGTGCAGGGTGCGTCCCTCTCTCTCTTTCTCATGCGCCCGTCCTCGAGTGACTCGCGGACCTGACTCGGTCGACGCACGCACGCAGGACGGCGTACCGCCTCTTCACCGAGATGGCGTATCGCGACGAGCTGTTCGAGAGCACGATTCCCGAGATCCAGCGCACCAACCTGTCGAACACGGTCCTCCTCCTCAAGTCGCTCGGCGTCAAGAACCTGCTCGAGTTCGACTTCATGGACCCGCCGCCGCAGGTGCGTCCTCGTCGATCGACCGCCTCTCCTCGACGGCTCTCGGTCTCGAGCGCCCTCACTGACCTCGCTCGCCCACAGGAAAACATCCTCAACTCGATGTACCAGCTGTGGGTCCTCGGCGCGCTCGACAACACGGGCGAGTTGACCGACCTCGGCCGCAAGATGTCGCACTTCCCGATGGACCCGGCGCTCGCCAAGATGCTCATCTCGAGCGTCGCCATGCGGTGCTCGGCCGAGGTCCTCACCATCGTTTCGATGCTGTCGGTCCCGAGCGTCTTCTACCGCCCCAAGGAGCGCGCCGAGGAGAGCGACGCCGCGCGAGAGAAGTTCTTCGTCCCGGAGAGCGACCACCTCACGCTCCTGCACGTCTACACTCAGTGGAAGTCGAACGGGTGCGTCCTCTCTCTCTGTGCCTCTCGTCCTCGTCGTTGCCTCCTTTTGCGCGAGACTGACATCGCCGCCGCCGTCGCGCAGGTACTCGGACTCGTGGGCCGCCCGGCACTTCCTGCACCCCAAGACGCTCCGCAAGGCGCGCGAGGTGCGCACGCAGCTGCTCGACATCATGAAGCACCAGAAGCTCGACATCATCCCGTGCGGCACCGACTGGGACGTGATCCGCAAGACGATCTGCGGCGCCTACTTTCACCAGGCGGCTCGCGTCAAGGGCATCGGCGAGTTCCAGCACTTGCGCACTGGAGGTGCGTCCCCTCTCTCTCTCTGTGTCGCAGTCGAAGAGGCGCTCTCGAGCATCCCGAGCTTACCGTCGTCCTCACCCTCTCGCAGTCCCGATGCACCTCCACGCGACGTCGTCCCTGTACGGCCTCGGCTACCTGCCCGACTACGTCGTCTACCACGAGCTCGTCCTCACGTCCAAGGAGTACATGTCGATCGTCACCTCGGTCGACGCACACTGGCTCGCCGACGTCGGCGACAAGTTCTACTCGGTGCGCGAGCAGCACTTCGGCGACCGTCAGCGCGTCGCGGCCAAGGCCCAGTTCAACGCCGAGAGCGAGGCCGAGATGCGGCTCAAGGACGAGTTCGAGCAGGCCAAGCGCGACAGGGAGGAGCGCGCAAAGGCGGCAAAGAGCGTGTCGAGCACGCCGCGCATCGCCGGCGTCGGGACGCCCGTCGTCAAGCGCACGCCGAGGCGCTTTGGCGTGTAGCTTTGGCGAGATTCGCAACGTCGACGTGTTGTACTGCCGTCGACCGTGCCCGTCTGCCGAGAGCGAGCGTGAGCTGGGCGAGCGACGAGCTAGAGGGGGTCCATGCGCTTCGGCCGTCGCCTCCTTTGCTCTCTCTCTTTCTCGGTCTGCGGCTCTCGTCTCTTGCGTTAGGCTCTCCTGCGTCGTATCGAAGCTCTCTCGCGACGCTCGCTGTGCTCGACTCGCAGAAGATCTCGGACTCGGCGAGCGAAAGAGGATGAGAACGAGATGCATTGCGCTCGAGGAAGGGAGGGGACGATGGACGGGGTATGCCTCAGCGAGAGATTGTCACCAGGTGTGGACGATGAAGAGAGCCTCGTCCACGCAGGACCGGCGAGCGCCGCACCGCCGGGTCCCTCTCGAGAGGGGGATGGTCCGGCAGCTCGACGCGCACTGGCTGCCCCGCGCCGAGAGAGGACCCTCGCGTCGCACATCGGACTCATTAAATCATGTTCCTTCATCGGCAGGGGTCGAGGGGGAAGGGGGAACGACGAGGAGAGGGTCCGAGGGCGACTTGGCAAAGATGAAGAGGGCGGCCGTCGTGCTCGAGGCGGTGTCGGCGCGGTGAGTATGGTCGCGAGTGGCGATGCTGCAGGGACGAAAGAGTCAGCTCGTCGACGGAGAAGGGGGACAGAGAGGAACCGAGGGCGCACAGGTGGGGGAAGAATCGCGCTCGAAGCTCGCCCGCCTCGCCGTCTCGCTCATGAAGAGAATAGCTGATGAAGAAAACGCGTGCATTGCGGCGAACGCCACCTACCAAGAGGGAAAGCCAGTCGGACGAGGGGAACGAGGTCGAGGAAGACGAGGTCGAAGTGAGGAGGGAGGGGCAGGAGAGGGTGGGTGTGCTTGTCGCCGGGTCATCAGCACGGTACCGCGCGAGGGCCCCGCCCCTCGAGGGAGCAGGCGAGGCAAAGAGCGACGGGCCGCTTCCTATATCACCGGCGTGGTGGTCCATCTCCCCCTCATCAGAGCCGCCGAAGCAGCTCATGGCACTGACCGCGTCTAAAAGGACGCAGGCAGCGTGGCATGAAGGCTGTGGAGGGAAGGCGAGTCAGCTTGGACGCTCGAGAGGGCGAGGGAGCGAGGGAGGAGAAAAAGTAGCGGCGTACGTTGCTTTTTTGATGAGGAGAGAAGAGAGGTGCGACGACGACGGCCGGTTTTGAAGTCGGGCGAGAAGCTGAGCCTCCCCTCGAGCCCGAGAGACGAGCCAAGCTGCAAGCACCCACACCCCGGCCCCTGGCTCGCCTGTGTGGCAGTCCACAGCACCGCACAGCTGCTATCCATCAGCAGCACAGCAGACCGCCACCCCCCGAAGCGCGAGCGTCACCTCCCACCGACCCGCGCTACCCCACCTTCGACCCACCTCGCTCTCGACCTCGACACCAGCCTTGATGGCGCGTACAGCAACCTCGTCACCGCACAGCATCGCCTGAGCACTTTGCGCTCGCCGCCTGTCCAACACCGGTCGCCGGAGCTGTCGCCCTCGCTCCTCGTCGACCCACGTCGGCCAACAATGGTCCTCGGTGCGCAAACGCTCTCTGTGGACACTCGAGGGCAGCATGATACTGACTATCTCCCTCGCAGACTTGCTCGCACCGCCCTCAACGCCGCCGCGCGACCGCAAGAGCGACACGTCCTCCCTCGCTCCCTCGACTCGCCCGCACCTCGTCCACCGCCTCTCGCCACGTCGGCGAGCTCTGCAAGAGCGCAGCCCAGCCGTGCAGGCGAACCTGCAGGTCGGCGCCAAGGGCGAGCCGACCCGGCCCCGTGTCGGCGTCCTCGAGTCGACCCGCTCGCTCGCGCGGCGGAGGTGGAGGACGGTCCTCCTCGTCGGCGTACTTCTCGTCGTGACGGCCTACCTGTCGATCTACACGGTTCTGCGCTGGTCGGCGAGGCCGCCACTCGTCATTGGTGCGTCCTGCCTCTCTCGCCGCCGAGCGACGTGGCCAGCCCTGATTCTCTCTGCGTCGACAGCAAAGCGGCCCTACACCCCGCAGCAGTACCGCCACCTCGACGACGTTCTCCCGACTAGCCTGCGCCCGTCGACTCGGGTCCTGCACGTCGCCAAGGAGTTCGGGCCCGCCACGATGGGAGGACTCGGCGTCATGCTCACGGCCCTCTCGGTCGCTCAAGCCGAGTCGTCGGACCTGTCGATCGCGGTCGTCCTCCCTCATTACTCGTACCTGCGCGACCTGTACTCGCCCGGGCAAGTCGTCCCGTTCGCCAACCTGTCCGTGCCGTTCATGGCCAACCCGTCGACCGGGCGCGTCCGCCACGTCGCCTGCGCCGTGTCGCTCCTCCAGTGGCAGTACACGCCCTCACTCGACTTTCTCGACGCGCCGGTCGAAGCGCGACAGCCTCGGCCGCGCTCGATCGACGTCTACCTCGTCGGGCCCGGCGTCGAGCGCCCCTTCTCGGCGGCGTTCCGAGCCAAGGACGCCGGCGACATCTACTCGGCGTACAAGCCCCTCAAGCAGGAGTGGAAGGACCTGTACTTTGCGCGAGCCGCGGCCGAGCTCGTGCGGCACCTCGGCGTCGACAACCCGACCGTCGGCTTTGCCGACCCCGAGGTCGACGACGTGGATGGCCCTCGAGCCGCCTCATGGTCAACCACGGCGCGCTCGCCTGTCGACGTCGTTCACTTACATGGTGCGACGAACGCCATGGTCGCGTACTACTTGCGCGACGGCGACACACTCGACCACGCCGCCGAGTCGACCTCGAGCCGAGCAGCTCCCGCCGTCGTCTACACCCTGCACGACTCGCTCGACGAGGTCGAGTACTCGAACTTGGCGTCGAACGTCGAGCACTTTGTCGCGCCGGCCGAGCGCAGGCAGGACGCCCTCGCCCCGTTGCGCCCGTACCTGTACCGCGACGGCACGCAGCTGTTCACCTCGGCGCTCGGCATCGACCTCGCCGACATTGCGACGTTCGTCTCGCGCTCGATCGCGGCCGACATCGTCGAGGGCAAGTTCCGGTTCCACCTCGAGGACCTCGTCATGCCGTCCATCTCGTCGCGAGCGGCGCGAGGCGAGTTCGTCGGCGTCACGAACGGCCTCGACTTTACAGAGCGCTCGAGGAACCCGTTCACGAACGACAAGCTCGTCGCGCATGGCCTCGCGTTCCCGCACGTCGGCGTCGACGTCCTCGACCCGGCAACTTTCGGCGCCTCGTTCGCCTCAGCCAAGGCTCGCGCCCGCGCTCTCGTCGTTCAGCGGCTCCCGCACCTGTTCTCGCCCGACGACGTCGACCGACCGTGGTTCCTCTTCATCGGGCGGTACCAGTACAACAAAGGGTGCCAGCTCTTCTCGTCGCTCGTCGACCTCCTGTCGGCGCCCTCGGTCGACGGTCGCCTCGTCCTCCTCGGCGCGCGCAACAACTACCCGTTCGACGAACTCGCACGCCTCGCCAAGCGCTACCCTCGCCACGTCACCCTCGTCGACGACCGCACCCCGACGACCTCGGCGGTCCAGGCCGAGTGGGGCGCGCACCTGCGCCTCGCGAGCGACGTCGCGTTCGTCCCGAGCCTGAGCGAGGCGTTCGGCCTCGTCGCCGCCGAGGCGCTCCTGTTTGGCATGCCCGTTCTCAGCACCGGCGTCGGCGGCCTGCGCGAGTTTCTCGTCCCGGCGCCCAAGCCGTCCGCCAACTCGTACCTGTTCGACCTGTTCCCGCACCGCCGTCGCGACGCCTTATCGTGGTCATTGCCGTCGACTGCGCAGGGCGCCGAGGAGGACTACTCGCAGGCGGCGCACGACGTGCGGCCCGACGAGGCGCAGCTCGCGCCAGCGAGGCTCGAGCTCCGACGAGCGGCCGAGCAGGCGCTGCGGGACTGGCGAGCTCGGCGAGACGGTCCTGTCGACGCTCAAGAGCGGTTCGTGCGCCGCCTCGTCGCCAATGCGCTCGCGCTGTCGTGGCATCGCGAGGGAGGACCCGTCGAGGAGGTGCGTCCACTTTCTCTTCTCTCTCTCGCTCTCTCTGGGTCGATCGGCCCTGACGGATCTCGTTCCTGTACGCCTGCAGTACAAGCAGGTCTACTCGCATGCGCTCGCACTGCGGCATCGTTGTCGCCGCGTTCCGCTCGCCGATCCGCCGTCGCCCTCTCCCGACCCGCGACACGCACCTCCTCCTTCCTCGCGTCCCGCCCGATCAGGGCCCGTCATGCCCTCGAGCTCATAGTGCAAGCGTGCGACAAGCCCTCACTGGGCCTCTCGTCGCCGATTTACCTCGCCTCGGTCGCTCTGCGCCGACCGCCGACCAGGCGCCGCGAGGCCGAGCGTCGTGACGCCCGAGTGCAGGAGGCCATCGCGCCCGCAGGACGAGGAGGAGCAGCCCTCGCGTCCGATCGTCGAGGTCGTGAGCGACGAGGCCGAGGTGCAGGTCGACGCGGAGGCTCCGGACGAGACGGCGGAGGAGGCGGTCCGTGGCGGGACGTCGACGGCGGGCGGGCGGCGGGTCTCGCTCGTCTCGCGCGAAGACGGCCGGCAGCAGGGGCGAGGTGGGGCTTTAGATGGGCACGCCTAGCCGCGCTGAGCAAAGCGCGGCGGGCCAGGCAATCGAGGTCAGCGTTGACGGGTGTGGGAGCGTCCGAAAGCCGAGAGATCCGTCCGCTTCCTGGCACGCGCCGCCATGATTGGCTCGGGCCCTCGTCGGAGACGGAACAAGTCCGTCTCGCCGCCCCGAGAACGACTCGGTCGACTCGGGCTTGCCTCGTGCCTCAGCTTGCGTGAGCTTGACAGCTCTCTCCCCGACCACCACCACCACCGTCGCCGCGCACCTCGCTACCCCGCACACGAGCGACGACGACCATCCAGTCGACCCACGCGACCCACCCACCCGCTCGAGTGGAACGACCGCGACGCGCGCTCGCCTCGGCAAGCTCGACCTCGTCCGCCCACCACACCAACCTCGCCGCAGCGCCAGATCGAGTGCAGCAGCTGCAGCACAGCATGCCCCTGTGTGCGCGCTGGCTGCCGTCGCTCCCGGCCAACGCGAGGGCGGGGCTCGTCCTCCTCAAGCGGCCGTGCACCTTCGTCCTCGCCTTGCTCCTCGGCGCACTCGGCGCCCTGACGGCCTTGTTCTACGCCGTCACCAACCTGCACCCTCCCACCTGCCCCTCGAGCGACGACACGCCCCGCACCCGCCCTCGACCGACCACCCCGTCCTCCTCCTCCTCGACGCGCGCCCACCCCGCGAAACCGACCGCGTTCGACTCGCTCCACTCGCTCGTAACGGCGCCGTTCCGCCCCGCACACCGTCGTCCGCCTCCTGTGCACCGGCACGCGGGCCGCACGGCCGGCAACTACGCCGTCCACGAGCTTGACGGCGTCGTCGAGGCAGGCGAGGAGGAGGAGGAGGAGGCAGACGAGCGCGACGGCCGGTCGCGCCGCTCGCTGTCGTCGCGAGAAGGCGGCGACGAGACGTCGAGCGAGGCCGACACGCTCGTCGACGCCGAGGCGGTCGAGGCGATGGAGGCGCGGTCGGCGACGGGCAGCGGCAAGGCCAAGGGGGTCAAGGCCGGCCTCGTCGTCCTCACCCAGGGCCTGCGGTGGATCGCGCCGCTCGGACACGCGCACGCGCACGCCAAGAAGGACGAGCCCCCCGTCGTCGAGTCGCCCGGCGCCTACAGCCACCTCGGCTCGCCGACGCTCTCTGCGGGCGAGTCGACCTCTGCCTCGTCGACGGCGTCGTCGTCGCGCAAGGCGCCGTGCCCCATCAAGGCGCTGCGACACCGCTCGGCGACGTGCTCGCACCCTCCTCGCCTGCCGTCGACGGCGGCGGCGCAGCCGACTCGCCGGGTCACGAGCGACGGGCGCGACTACTTCTCGCACCACTCGCCCGCCTCTCCGACGTCGTCCTCGTCGGGCGCAGCACCGTCCGTCGCCGACGTTCACGCCCACCTCGCCGCGCCCAAGATGCGCAAGCGCGCGAGCACGTCGCTCTTCCTCCGCTCCCTCTCCCCTCGAACCCGCTCGCCCGTCACGACGCCCGAGGTGACGCCGCCTCCCTCGCCTCGCCTCAGCCCTTCCGAGCACTCGTCGTCGTCGTTTGCGGCGGCGCAAATCACGGTGCAGCGCGTCGCAAGCCTCGACTCGTCGGCCAAGTCGGCGTGCGGGCTCAAGCGTCGCTCGCGCTCGCCAGCGCCGCAGCGCCCTCCTCCAGTCGCGAGCAGGCCGTCGTCGAACGCTGTGGTCGACATGCAGGGCTCGAGCGGGCTCGCGCTCAGCGACGTCCTCTCGTCGAAGTTCCGTTCCTGAAGTGCGTCCCCCGTCTCCCTTTCTCGCTCGTCGAGATAGTTTCCTGACTCTCCCTTCTCTCGCGCAGCTCTTGCACATCCTCGTCCCTCTCCTCCTCGACGGCCCCTCTTCCTGTATCCGCCTCGGACCTGTCTGTCGTTCCCCCACCCTCACCTCGAATACCTCCTTCGCCTTTTCCTCCCTTGTCTTTACCACCGGCCTTTTTCTGCGCCTCCTTGCGCCGAGATTCCCCTCGAGCAGTACCCGCATTCCCCATTCCTAGAGCTCTGAAGTCTGTCAACGCGCAACCTCGTACCAGCTTCTTCGGCCTCGTCTGGCGAGCGATTCTCGAGGTCTCTCTCTCAAGCTCTCTCCTGCTTCAGACACATCTCGCGATACATTGCTGCTGTGTTCGCGCTTCGTTGGCTCCTTGAGAGAGGCTGCGGTCCGAACGGCGCAGATTATATTCCGTAAGACGTCGATCTCGGACGCTCGAGAAAGCACGCCCGGGTTCCCGAGACGACCGCACTTTCCGCGGACGCGCGCCTCCACTTTGTCATCAGCAGCTCTCCGTGGCTACCCGCTGTCCGACCGAGTACTCGCGTAAGCGAGCGCCGACCGGCGTGGAGCAACGCTCGCAAAGTGTGTGATCGCGCCAAGCCGGCGAGCCCTCGGACACACGCGCTCTGTCAGTGCTCAGTCACCGCGTCGTGTGCGGGGAGACGAACGCTTTCCTCAGCTCGAGCTCATCGCCGGCTCCACCTCCACCGGCCGCTCGTTCGCTAGCTTTCTCCTCCACTCCCTGCTCGTCTGCTTTTGCGCTCCACCACCAGCAAGAAGCGCACGCATCTCTCCTCGTCCTTCAAGCCACACCCCGACGAGCGCGCACGCACGCACCCCTCGCCATGTTCGACCTCGTTCGCGACTCGACGTTCGGCCAAATCGTCAACTGGGCGTCCAAGGGCCGCCTCTTGCCCTACGCCGACCAGCGCAGCGACTATGTCGTCCCTGCGCGGTACCTGAGCCGTCAAGAACCGTCGCCGTTCCCGCGCACCGTCTCGCAGGCGCCGACTCTCGAGAGCGGCGCCGTCACGCTCGTCGACGCCTCGGGCGTGTGCGCCGAGCAGAAGCAGCTCGGCAGCGACGCAGGCGACGTCGAGAAGCAGGCGCAGCTCGACTCGGGCGCCATCGAGCCGCCGTCGGCGCGGTACCCGTGGCTCGTCGACTTTGAGGAGAACGACCCGGACCGTCCTCTGTGCGTCCCCTCTCTCCCTCTCCTTCCCACTCGAGCGCATTCGCAGGAGCTGCTCTCGTCTGCGAGCGGCTCTTGCGGTCCCGCCTGTCCGTACAGGTCGAACTGACTCGCGCCTGCCCCTCCTCCTCGTCGACAGAAACTGGTCGTCGCGCAAGCGCCTCTTTGTCGCGAGCCTCATCTCGCTCCTCACGTTCTCGGTCTACGTCGGCAGCGCCATCTACACGTCTTCCATCCCGGGCATCATGAGCGAGTTCGGCATCGGCCAGGTCGGCGCGACGGCCGGCCTCACGCTGTTCGTCGCAGGCTACGGCATCGCGCCCATGGTCCTGTCGCCGATGCAGGAGATCCCGAGATGGGGCAGGTTGCCCGTCTACATGATCGGCCTCGCCCTGTTCGTCGTCTTCCAGATCCCCCAGGTCCTCGCCAAGAACGTCGCGACCATCCTCGTCTTCCGCTTCCTGTCGGGCACCGTCGGTTCGCCGGCCCTCGCGACTGGAGGAGCGAGCATGGGCGACATCTTTGCGCCAAAGCAGCTCGCGATCGCAATTGGCGCCTGGTGTGCGTCCTCCTCTCTCTCCTTCTCCTCTCGGTCCTCCTCGTCCTGACGCCTCGCCTCTCGCAGCTATGGGCGCCGTCTGCGGCCCGATCGCCGGCCCCGTCATCGGTGGCTTCGCGGCGCAGGGCATGAACTGGCGGTGGCCGCTGCTCGAGCTCCTGTGGATCTCGGGTTTCGCGTTCGTCGTCCTCTTCTTCGCCTTTCCCGAGACGCTCGAGTCGACGATCCTCATCCGGCGCGCCGAGCGACTGCGCAAACTTACGGGCAACACGCTGCTCAAGGCGCCGGCCGAGGTCGACGCCGGCGAGGACGACAAACTCGGCCACGTTCTCAAGGAGACGATCTCGAGGGCGTTCCGCCTCGCCGTCGAGCCTTCTCTCGCGGTTTGCCATTGCTACATCGCCCTCGTGTACGCGATCTTCTACCTCTGGTGCGTCCTCCATCCGCTCCCCCTCTCGTCGCCCGAGCCGTCACTGACCTTCTCTCCCACCGCCGCGCCTCTTCTCCCCTACGTCCTCTCGTCAACAGGTTCGAGGCCTTCCCTCTCACGTTCAACGAGATCCACCACTTCTCGCTCGGCGTCGGCGGCCTGCCGTACCTCACCTTCATCGTCTCGGCCGCTATCACGGTACGCTCAGGCCCCTTCCCCCCTTCGTCCTTGTTCCCTCTACTTCAGCGAGCCTCGCCGAACCGCAGAGGACAAGAGCTCACACACAGTCTCGTCCTGCAGTTCACGGGCTACTGCCTCTACCAGAAGTACCACCTCAACCCGAGGATGGAGCGCGACCCGAACCTCAAGCCCGAAGCTCGCCTCGAGATCGCCCTCATCGCCGCGCCGTTCATCCCCCTGTCGCTCCTCATCTTCGGCTGGACCGCTCGTGAGAGCGTGCACTGGTGCGTCGACTTTCGGACGAGCCTAGCGCGAGGAGCGAGCGACCGACCTGACCTTCTCTTCCTCCCTCCTCTCGCAGGATGGTGCCTGTCGTCGGCGCCGGCCTCTACCTGCCCGGCATCTTCCTCGCCTTCCAAGGCATCATGGTCTACGTCGCCATGAGGTGAGCCTCCCTCGTCCGAGCTCGTCAACTCTCCGAGCGTCCGCTCACTCGTCTCTTTCCCTCTCGCAGCTACCCCAAGTACGCCGCCAGCAACCTGGCGGCCAACGACCTCTTCCGCTCGACCATCGCGTCCGCCTTCCCGCTTTTCGGAGCTCGGTACTTCACCGTCCTCGGAATCGGCCCTGGCTCGACGCTCTTGGCCGGCGTCTCGATCCTCATGATGCCGCTCCTCTGGGTGCGTCTCCTCTCTCTCTTCCTTCCTCGGCGACGTCGACTCGACGGGAACTGACCTGACCTCTCTTCTCGTCGTGCAGCTCATCATCAAGTACGGCCCAGTCCTCCGAGCGCGGTCCAAGTTCGCGCAAGCTTGAGCTACCATGCTCTGTCTCGTCCTCTTTGATAGACCCACCCTCTCTCTCATCCCCCGTACCTACTTGGTCTTTCCTGCCTCGTCGCTGCGCGCAGCTCGTCGCCGTACGCAGCTCGTCGCCCACCCCTCGTAGCTCGATACCCTCGCCTCTTTCCCCTTGTCGTACCATCAGACTCTTGCCTTGCCCAGCACGACCTCGAGTTCTCTACCCAGTCCTCAATACGACTCATTGCAGCGAGAGGAGAGGAGACAAAGTTTTCGTTTCGTTGCATGTCGACCTCTCGGGCCTCTCCTCGCGTCGTCCGCTGCTCTCGCTTTCGCTTTCGCCGAGCTAGCTCGATGCAGAGACGCTAGCTTGGGCCTGAGCGCTCGAAGAGTCACGGCGACAGTGCTCGCACGCCGCCGCTGGCGGCAGATATCGAGCTGGAGAGCGCGCACGGACCCTCGCGGAGAAGGTCACGCGTAGAGCTCTCCTGAGCTCACTCGCTCTGCCACGTATCGGTGAATGTCGGCACGGCGCTCAGAGTTGCTTCCGCGTGCGCGCGAGCCACACGCGTCGAGCGTCGAGCAGGAGGGGCAAGTTGAGAAGGTCGAACGAGAGGGAGGTTGCAAAGGAGGGAGGCGGCTACAGGAGGAGGGGGGAGATTATGAACGTGCGGAGGGTGCGAGAGGGGACGAGAGGGGTCTAGTAGTGGGAGCTGCCGGTCGTAGGGACCGTGTAGAGCTGATCGGTGCCATGCACCTGGTCGGTCGAGACCTTGCGATGGTTCGACGCCGAGAGGCTGCCCGCAGCCGTCGTGCCCGGACTGTGTGCACCGGCGTCGTGACTCGACGTGAGCGCACGAAGCATGGCCTCGATGCGCTGGTTCGACGTCTCGAGCATGGCGATGCGGTCCTCGGGCTCGGGGGTAGGAGGCACGACGACCGACATGACCGAGCGGTTGTCCGACGCTGTGGACGTCGTGGGGTGGAGGTGGTTCCCGGGAGCGTTGCTCGGACCCTTCTCGAGGTCGCCAGCAGGCGCACCGCCGGCGCCACCGTCGAGGAGCATCTTGGAGGCGTCGGGCGTTCCCTGCACTCGCAAAGTCAGCCACCCTCTCCTGACGATACAGACGTCGAGAAGGAGGAAGGAGTGGACGCACCGAGGCCCTGGGACCGAGCTCGAAGTGGACGTAACGAATGAGCTTCCAGAAGGCGACGGCGAGGCAAGCGCCCATGGCGGGACCGAGCCTGTCGATGCGAGAATCGCGGTACGAAAGTCAGTGTCGATCCGGGAGGAAGGGCGCGAACGAGGTCTCGCACCAGTAAATCCAGTCTGTACGGAAGATGCTCGAGGCGTCAGTGACCGAGGGAGAGGGGCGGGCAGGGAGAAGAGGAGGAGCGGGAGGACGCACGATAGAAGTCAAACGTTCCGATGACGATGTCGGGGCCGATCGAGCGCGCCGGGTTGAGCGAGCCGCCGGTGTAGAAGCTGCAAGGCGAGAAGAGGCGGACGAGGGAAAGTCAGCTTCGTGGCTCACCGACGCTCGTTCTCGCCGTCGTGCGACAAGGGAGGAATTCGAGACGCACACTCCGACGAGCTCGCCGAGGAAGAGCGCAAGACCGATGCAGACGGGGGCGGTAGAGCCCGCCTCGGCGCCGATCGCGCTCTTCTCGACCGTGAGGACGAGCCTGCGGACGATGTTGACGGGTCAGTACCGGCTGCGGCGTCGAGGAGACGTCATCGAGCACGCACACAGTCAACATGAGTAGGCTGCGCACGTAGAGAGAGTCAGGAACGGGCTCGGGCAAGAGAGGGGGGAAGAGGCTCGAGCGGGCGCACCAGGTCAAAAACATCTCGATGAACAGGCCTCGCACGACCGACGTGCCTGCCACGAGCGTCGTGCGCACGTTGAGCGGACTGTGGGAGACATGCGACGCGTCAGTTCGACGATTTGTGCGCAGAGGAGGGGAAAAGAGCGACGCACCCAGGAAGGAGGCCCGAGGTGATACCGGCGCCGGCAATCGAGCCGAGCACCTGCGCAATCGTGAGGATGATGGCGCGCACAGGCGTGTGTGCGCCGATGAGGGCGAGTCCGAGAGAAATGGCGGGGTTGAAGACGCTGCACGGTGCGGGAGAGAGACAGTGGTCAGCTCGCCGTGCTCGGACCCTCGACTCGCTCGGACGGAGCGCTCACCCTCCCGACACGCCCGCGAAGATCTGAATGTTGACGGCGAGCGAGAACTGCGAAGTAGCGAGACGTCAATGGCGGCTCGAGACGAGGAGGAAGCGGCTCGAGGGCGACGCACGCCGAAGGACAGGGCGACGTAGAGAAGCGAGGACGTGTTGGGCGACGGCTGGACGGCTCCCTGGGTCGCAGTCGCACCCGAGTCGGTGACCGACGTGGCAGGCAGCGACGCGACCGTCGTGCCGGCGAACGCGAAGAAGCAGAACAAGGTCGTTCCCACGAACTCGCCGAGGAAGGCGATTGCGTCTATCTCGTGGGGCCAGCACGACGGATGCGACGAGGTCAGCTGCTGTCGGCTGGCCTGTAGAGACACGCTCGAGTGAAAGAGTCGACGCACGAGACTTGAGCAGGCGAGCGGCGTGACGGTCGCCCTTGTGAGCGCCGACGCCTAGGTGGCGGCGCAGGTACGAGCCGCCTTTGTGCTTGGTCGGAACGTGAACGTGCGTCTGGCCGGGATGTACGGTCGGTAGCTCTGACATGGTCGGCGGGCGGACGAGCAAGCGTTGGCGAGGAGCAGGGGGAGGAGGGAAAGCTCGAGGTGCGCCGGCGCAAGGGTTCTCCTCTCGGGCGGCGGTCACAGAAAGTCGAAAAACCGATCGCTCGAGCTCCTTGAGAGGCGGTCACGGCTCGTCTGGTTCGTCGCCGGGTGTCGATCCTCCTTGGTCTGCGAGTGCAGCGGCGATGACGGGGTCACCGACCCCGGGAGGGCAGGGATCTTTGAGTACTGAGACAGCGTCTAGGGCGCTCGTTCATCTTGCCCGGCGCGCGGAATTGGACCGTGACGACGTCAAGCCTGCGAGGAACGATCCGCTACCGCACACAAGGCGAGGGACGAGCGCCTCGGTCTCGTCCAGCCGCTCTTGAGGGTCCAGACGATCCTCTCTGTCCCACTTGGCTCCCGAGCACCCTCGCGGTCGCTGTGTCCCTTTCCACTGAGCATCGCTAGCCATCTCGCGTCCGTCCGCTCTTCACCGTCGAGCGAGAGCACGTCGTGGTTGACCTTCCCAAGTTGACGTCCTTCTTCGTCTCGCGCCCCTCTCGTGCCGGATCTCGCACTTTTGCGACCGCGGTCGACCATCATGCTTCGCTTGCTACATGTTCTCCAGAACGAGCAGACGAATCGCCTCGGAAGTGGCTTCAGTCGAGCTGGACAGGGTCGACAAGCGCGCACGGACCTGTCGTCGATCGTCCCGCTCCCGTCGGATCGTGTCGCGACGCCGACTCCTGTCTGGTCTGCTCACAGTGACTTGCTCGCTTCGGCGAGCGTACAGGCTGCAGCTCGTCAGCGGAAGCAAGAGCGAAAGCGTGTCTAACGACCTGCGCCGGTAGCGCCGCCGTCGCGACCCTGCTTACCGCCAAAGATGAGGGAGGGTCGAAGAGCGTCCAGAGCAGCGCCAGAGCCCCTCTGGAGCGCTGCGCTACGCTACGCTATCCGCGCAAGCAAAAAGATGATCGCACCCAGGTTTGAACTGAGGACCTTCAGTGAACTGAATGTTAAACTGACGTGATGACCAACTACACCATGCAACCTTGCTTAGGGCGCCGGGCTCAAAATAACAGACTCAAAGCTTTGTACAAGGTCTGCGGACTTGGGAAGGCCGACCTGGGCGCCCGTGCACGGTCCGCCCTCCTCGGCGTTGGTGTCCGAGCACGCAGCTTCTCGCTGCAGCGTACGCTCGCTGTAGGGCCGTGACGCGCATCTCGCTTGACGTACTCTCCCTAAGTCGACCGGCGCGAGCGTCGCTTTCTGCCCCAGAACAGGCGCTCCTCCTTGCTCACAGCACTGCTGCTTCTTTCGGTCGGCTCTCGTCGAACGAAGGACGTCGAACAGTGCTTTGTTTCAGTACCGAGGTAGTTGAAGGTGCAAGAGCGAGAGAACGAGCGATCATTCGTCGTCGATGTCGTCGGTCGCTTTAGCGCCCGGCCTTAGGCCGTCTGCAGCGGCACGCTCGCGGTCGCCGCCGAAGCCTGCGAGAGAGATCACGTGTCAGGCTACGGTGTCCTAGACAGACGAGAAGTGCGCGAGAGCTGCGTAGCGTGCTCGGACGACATCGTTTTGTCAGGCTCGCCGTTCTTCTGCACACCACGCGCCCCCCCCGCTCGCCCGCGCACAAGCAGTCACGATCGCGATTGCGCTCGACGGCTCCGAGCAAGTGATTCCCAGCGAGGTCGAGCTGTTCGTCCTCGACGTTACGGTGGGCGAGCGCGAGAAGGGCCGGGCCGGCCTGCACGCACTTAGCTGCGCGGGCTCTCGGACGTCCGCAGCGGGACGAACGAGAGCGCGCTCGAGAGCAATTTGGGCAGCGACGGCGAGCTGCGGCGTGCGCGAGAGCGGAAGCCGGCTCGTGAAGGAGGGAGGAGGAGGAGGAGGTGACAGCACGTCGGCGGGCCGCTGAAGCGTGAGGCTGGAGGCTCAAGCCGGGGCAGACAAGTGAAGCGGCGACGAGAGAGCCAATGCCGACCGCGAGGGGTGGAGTAGCAGAGCCGGACGGAGCACAGAAGCGAGATGGTGGTCGCGCGCAGGACGAGAGCTGCCGAGGAAAGCGTTGTCGCTCGCCGCGCACCCTCACCTCGACTCGCACAGCCCACGCCACCAGCCAGGAGCAGGCTACACCACCTCGACAGCGCAGCACCCGCCATGCCGCTCCGCCTGCCGCGCCCGTCCGGCTCGCTCGCCCTCGCTCACTGGTCCCGAGCCCTCGTCCACCCGCACTTCGCGCCCGCGCCCGTGGGCGATGCCCTGAGGCCCTCGGGTCGCTGTGGCTACAGCTCGAGCTCGTCTGCCGGCCGCTCGAGCAGCCGCGACGGCTCCCCGCGCGTCAACAAGCCCACGACCACCACCACCTCCGCCTCGCCCTCCCCCCGCTCCTCGTCCCCAGCACCCAAGCCCTCGCACGCCGCCAAGCCCAACACCCTCGCCGCCCTGAAGTCGCCCCAACCCGAGCTCAAGCGCGCGTTCGAGCTCCCGCACGTCCGCCAGGGCCTCGTCGGCCTCGACGCCTTCTTCGCCGGCCCGCGTCCGCTCCTCGAGCTCCCCCTCCCCCTCGGCACCCGCCGCTCCACCTCTGCCGCCACCACCGACAGCGCACACGTCCCCGGCGAGCGCCTCGACCTGCTCGCCACCCGCGCCGAGGCTGACGAGGACGTCCTCGTCGTCGACCAGGCCGACGACGGCTCGCCCGTCGGCGAGCCCTACCTCGCCCGCCTCAAGCCCATGCAGTCGCTCAAGACGGTCGACGAGGAGCTGGCAGCCGAGGCGGCCGAGGAGGCCGACCTCATGCAGCGCGTCGAGCTCGCACGCTTGTCGAGCTCTGTCGGCCCGTTTTGTCGAGGTCGGACATGGGACGAGGTGGACGAAGCGGCGACGGCGAGGCGGATCGAGTGGGGAGGAGGGAGCGAGGCGTGAAGCGACGGCCCAGTGTGGTCCGTTGCCCACCTGCTGCGCCGTGTCGTGCCGAACTCGCCTTCCTCGCCCCCTTCACCTCCCCTTCCTCGTCGGCTGCCGTCGCGTCCTCCCCCTCATCCTCGTCGACCACGCCCTTCTCCTCGACCTTCTCGTACCACTTTGTCGACCCGCTCAAGCCCGACGAGGCCTCGGGCGTCGCCGACCGCTTCCTGTCGCACGCCAACTTCCTCTGGCGGTGGCACGCCCGCAACGACTTTATCGACGCGGCGGGCGAGCCCTTGCGCCAGGCCGGCGCCTACTACGCCGGTACGCCAGCACTCGCGCCGTCGCCGTCGCTCGAGGCGGGCGCCGACGCGCAGGGCTCGATCCGCATGTGGCGCGAGCACGACGGCTGGGTCGACGTCGCCGTCGGGCTCGGGCGCGGCGACAGCGTCTTCCTCCCCGCCGACATGGTCGACCTCGACGCGGGCGACGTCGAGATCCGGCTCGACTCAACCAAGCGCAAGCGCAGGACCAAGATGAAGAAGTGCGTCCCACTCTCTCTCCCCCTCTCTCTGCTCTCGTCCTCGCTCAAGCACGACGACTGACTCGCCGTCGCACCCACAGGCACAAGTTCAAGAAGCGCAGAAAGGCGCAGCGTGCGCTCAGGCAGCGGCTGGGTAAGTAGAAGCGGTCGGTGCGGCCGCCGGCGAAATTCACACTTTCTTACGCAAGGAGCGCGGCCAAGGGTGCGCGCGAGAGATGCAGAGAGCCGAGTCGACTCGAGAGAGAGAGAAAGCCACCGTCGCGAGCGAGCCTGACTTGCACTCGCTCGAGCCGGGCAAACTCAGTCCTCTCGCTCTCCTCGCCCTCCTCGCGAAGAGCGCCATGCACATGTGCTCGCTACTGCAGCCCGTCCCAAGACAGAGAGAGAGAGAAGTACGTCTAGCGGAGCTCGTTGTCGAGCCTCCTCTGGTCCTTGAGGCGCAGGAGCTTGTCGAGCACCTCGTCGAGCTTGATCGTCTCGGTGCGCGCCTTCTTGTTGCCGGCGTCGTCGCGGTTGCGCACGTTGACCGAGCGCGACTCCATCTCCTCCGAGCCGACGACTGCGTACCGGCGCCGAGAGGACCCGAGTCAGTGAAAGAGCTCGACGAGAGAGAGAGGGAGAGAGAGCGACGGGACGGACCAAAGATAAAGTTGTACTGGGCGAGCTCGGCGTTGCGGACCTTCTTGGGGAGGGTCGAGTCGGACAGGTCGGCGTCGGCGTACAGGCCGGCGTCCCACAGCTTGGCGGCGACCTCCTTGGCGTAGTCCTTGTGCGGCGCGGCGACAGGGATGACGAGGACCTGGCGCGGCGAGAGCCACAGGGGCCACTTGCCGGCAAAGTGCTCGGTGAGGATGGCCGTGAACCGCTCGACCGAGCCGAGGATGGCGCGGTGGATCATGACGGGGCGCAGCAGCTTGTCGGTCGCGTCGTTCTTGTCGTCGCCGGCCGCCGAGCGGTACGACAGCTCGAACCGCTGCGGGAGCTGGAAGTCGAGCTGGATCGTCGCGCACTGGTGCTTGCGGCGCAGCGCGTCCGAGATGGTGATGTCGATCTTGGGGCCGTAGAAGGCGCCGTCGCCCGGGTCGACGCGCCACTTGCCCGGCACGAACTTGTCGAGCGACTTGGCGAGCATCTGCGACACGTGCCCGAGAGAGTCAGTGAGACGCTCGACGACGACGACGACGACGGCGACGACGACGGCGGCGGGAGAGAGGGAGGGAGAGAGAGACAAGGGAGCGCACCTTCTCGGCCTCGTCCCAGGTCTTGATCTCGCCGAGGAACTTTTCGGGGCGGGTCGACAGCTTGAGCTCAAAGTCGAACCCGAACGTGCCGTAGATCTCGTTGAGGAACGCGAAGCAGACGTCCATCTCCTCCTCGATCTGCTCGGGCATGCAGAAGTGGTGCGCGTCGTCCTGCTGGAACCGGCGCACGCGCGTGAGGCCCGTCAGGGCGCCGCTCGCCTCGTTGCGGTGCAGGACGCCAAAGTCGGCCATGCGGATCGGGAGCTCGCGGTACGACCGGTCGCGCGACGCAAAGATGAGGCAGTGCGAAGGACAGTTCATGGGCTTGAGCGCGAACGTCTCCTTTTCGACGTCGAGCTTGAACATGTCGTCGGCGTAGTTCTGCCAGTGGCCCGACGTCTCCCACAGCTTCGAGTTGAACATGTTGGGCGTGATGACCTCCTGGTAGTTGCGCTTGCGGTACTCGGACTGTGGACGCGCGCGGAAGGAGAAAGAGGGGTCAGTGCGGGGCTCTCGCGAGAGCGGCGACGGCGACGCGAGAGAGGGCGAGGTGACGAACCCGCATGAACTCGACGAGGGTGTTGTAGATGCGCGTGCCGTGCGGGAGCCAGAAGCAGCTGCCGGGCGACAGGTCGTGGAAGAAGAAGAGCTCCTGGTCCTTGCCGATGCGGCGGTGGTCGCGCTTTGCCGCCTCCTCGAGGAACTTCTTGTAGTCCTTCATCTGGGCCGTGTCGGGGAACGAGATGCCGTAGATGCGCTGCAGCGACTCGTTGTTGGCGTCGCCGAGGAAGTACGACGACGAGTTCTGCGAGGGCGAGGCCAGCGTCAGGACGCGAGATGGTCGAGAATGTGGGGGAACAAGAGGGACGCACCTTGAGGATGGCGAGCGACTTGACGCGGCCGGTGTGCGGGATGTGCGGGCCGCGGCACAGGTCGATCATGGGGCCGCAGCGGTAGACGGTCGTCGAGGTGCCGTCCGGGATCTTGTCGTTGATGATGTGCACCTTGAACGGGTTGTACTGCGTGTCGACGAGCGCTCGGTCAGTATGGGTGCGACGAGCCACGTCGAGAGGCGGCGAGCGAGGACGCACCTCGAACATCTTGAGCAGGTTCTCCTTGGACACCTCGAGGCGCTCAAACTTCTGCTTGTCCTTGACGACACCCTTGGCGAGCGTCTCGAGCGCCTCGTAGTCGGTCTGCGCGACGACGCTGTTGGCGACAAGGGTCGAGTCAATTCTCGAGCGGGAGGAAGAGAGAGGGGGAGACGGCGAAAGGAGAGGAGGGACGCACCGGTCGCTGTTCATGCCCATCTCGTAGAAGAAGCCGTCGTCTGTCGGAGGACCGATGGCGAGGTGGCAGCCGTAATGGCGCTCGCAGCACTCGCCGAGAATGTGCGCCGACGAGTGCCACCAGACCTTCTTGCCTGTGCGTGCGGGGTGAGCAGTGTCAGCGCTGTGGTCCTGCCGGGCTCGGCGAGGGAGGAAGAGGAGGATGGGACGCACCCTCGGGGTGCTCAAAGTCGAGGAGCTCGAGCGACGCCGACTTCTCGAACGGACGGTCGAGGTCCCACAGCTCGCCGTCGACCTGGTGGGAGAGCGAGGGTCAGGTCGACGCTCTTTGAAGCCGAGACGGGAAGATGGGCGCACCTTGGCGATGACGGTCTTGTCGGCGAGGCCCTTGCTGATGCTGATGGCGACCGACATGGGCGACGTCTCGTAGCTGGTGCCGTCGCGGGTCGAGCCGTCCGGGAGCGTGATGGTGATGGGCTCGCGGGGCATGCCTGCGGGAGTGCATGATCAGGTTTGACGTTCGTGTCGGAGGGTGAATGCGGTCGCGAGGGGGAACGGAGAGGGAGAGATGAAGGAGGGAGGGGGAGCGAGACGCACTGGCGAGCTTGTCATCGGCCTCCTTCTTGAGGCGCTCAAAGAGTTCGACGCGGGACGCGAGGTACTGTGGTGGCGGGTTGAGCTCGAGTGCGGCCATGCCCGCGGCGAGGTTGTCCTTCTTGGGCTTCTTGTCCTTGGTGGCCTTTTTCGGGTGGGCGTCGGCGTTAGGGGCGGTGGTGGGTGCGCCGGATGGCGGGATGGCGGCTGCCGGGTCGCTCGGGGCGGCGAACGAGTGGACCGGGTGTGGTGCGCTCATGTTGGTCGAGGATCGGGGCGAGGACGAGAGCGGGCGGAGAAGGGGGGCGAGGCGGTGAAGGCGAGTGACGGCGGGGCGCGAGAGGTGGACGAGGCGTAGAGATGCGCTCCTGAGCATTCACTAGCAGCCAGCTGCTGGCTGTCAACGGTCGACGAGAGGGAGCAGAGACGGCCGAGGCTCCCTCTCTCCTCCTCCTCCTCCTCCTCCTCAGCTTCAGCTCGCTCTCTTCACGCGCTTTCTGCTGGACTCTGTCGCCTCTCATTAGCGACCCTCGACATGGCGCACAAGAACCCGCCACCCGCTGTCGAGCCGCCCACAGAGCTGTCGGCCTCGAGCTCCCGCCTCGCACTCTCGCTCCGGCTGCCACCTCCTGGCCTCGTCTGCCCGGGCTCGACCGTCCACCCCGCCATCCGCCTCCGAGGCGACGCCCACTACGAGCGCATCACGCTCCGCCTCGTCGCCGAGAGTCGCGTCAACGTCATGGGAAAGGCACGCTGGGTCCGTCTCCCTCCCTCTCTGTGCCCTCGAGGGCCCTCTCGAAGCCTTGCAGTCCGCTCACGACCTTTGCACCGTACTGCAGCAAGCCGGCGCAGCGGCCAACGTCGGCATGGGCGCTCCTGGCGGCGGCATGCCCATCACGACGCCCGAGCGCTTGACCTTCCTCGACCTCGACATCCCGCTCCTGTCGACCGCCACCTCGGCTCGGCCCGACAAGAAGGCGTCTGCATCCTCGACGGCGGCGTCATCGCCCGGCGAGGGCTTGTACGAGGTCGCCGTGCCGTTCCCGCCCGAGGGGCAGATCCTCCCGGCTTTCGCTCAGAAGGAGTACGACGCAGGCGAGTCTCGTCTCGTCCCTCGCGCCTCTTCCACCTCTCCCTCTCGCCTCGAGACAGCCCCTCTGACCGTCTCGCGTCCTGCAGCCGGCGTCTCGGTCGTGTGGTCGCTCGAGCTCGAGGGGACGAGGAAGGGCTGGTACCGACAGAACGACAAGTACGTCCCACCCCTTCTCCTGCTGCATCTGGCGGACTCGACTCACAATCGACTCGAGCGCAGATTGTCGCTCGACCTGCCCGTCGTCTTCCCCTTGCCCCCCTCGGGTCCGCCCTCGCAGGCGACGATGACCAAGCAGCTCAAGTTCGAGGGCAACGAGCCTGGCGGGTTGTCAACGGAGGCGACGGTGCGTCGTTGCCCTCTTGTGCCCGTCTCCCGACCTGACTGACCATGTCGCCCTCCCTCGCAGATCTTCTGCGACCCCCTCCTCACGTCGACCTCGTCCCTGCGCTATCGCCTCCTCCTCCGCCCTTCCTCCCCGACCGCCATGCACCTGCTCCAGTCCAACGAGCTCAAGCCGTCGGCCTCGATCGCCCGCCAGATCCGCACCGCGCCCATCGCCAACCCGAACAGCGGCCGCGAGTTCGAGTGGGCCGCCGTGCGCCTCAAAGCGGGCGAGCTCGCGCCGGTCGCCGCTCGGGAGGAGGGCACGCTCGAGTGGGCCGGCGAGATGGAGGTGCCCGAGGGCGAGTGCACGGTCGAGAGCCGAGGCCTGAGCGTCAAGGTGCGCCGCCTCGATCTTTCTCCCCCTCTCTCCTCCTTGCCCCGACTCGACTGACTCTCTCGCCTCTACAGTATACGCTCACGTGTCACCTGCACTCGACCGTGTTTGCCAAAGCCGCCCTGCACGTCCCCCTCCCGATCTTCCTCCCTTCGTCGCCCGTCGAGTTGTCGACGCCGGTCGGACTCGCTCGTGGGCCCGAGCCCGAGGCGAGCGGGTCCGCTCTCCCTGCGTACCAGCCATAGTGTTGTCTGTACTCGTCTCTCGAGCAGTCTGTCGTGCAAAGCAGTCGTGTTGTTGCCTTCGTCGCGCGCTTCGCCGTTCCCCGCGATCATTGGACAGAGGCTCGTCCACTACGCTCTTCAGCACCACCCGCCGAGCCAGTCAGGTGCGCACCTCGCTCGACAAGGTCCATAGACCGGCACACACTGACCCGCACGCGTCCCTGCAGCCTCGCCGAGATGCCTCGCGCCTCCTCCCCCGCCTTCATCGCCCTCCTCCTCGTCGTCGCCCTGTGCAGCCTCGTCAGCTCGGGGAGCGCGGTCAACATCTTCACTGCGCCGAACGGTGAGCTCTCTCTCTCTCGGCGAGCCAGTCCTGCCGTCCACGTGAGCTGCCCGCTGTCCACCTCCCCGCTCCAGGTTGCCCGACTGCTCTTGCCGCCAAAGGCGCGACCAACGGCGGCTCGTTCGGCCCCCGAGCGGCACCTGTCGCCGGTGTCGACTACAACTACTGAGTTGCGCCCCCTCTCGCGCCGTCTTGCGCCCGATTCCCAGCTCACCTCCCCGCCCGCCCACAGTCGCTCCCTCCTGCGCATCTCCCCTCCTTCGACTTTCGCCCTGCCGGCTCTCGCCCTTTCTATAGCACCTTTGCAACCCCGGAGCGCATCTGTAACGTTACGCGTTCCCCATGTCTCGTTGCGCGCGAGAGCCGGCTCGACTCGAGAGGCTGCTCCTTTCCGCGCCTCGACCCCGCGACGCTCTCTCTGCTCGGCTCTCTGGGCCAGGCTCGCGACTCTCAAAAGCTTGGCGAGGATCGAGAGAACTGCTGAATTGTCAGACCGAGGCTGAAACTGACTGCGGAACCCCTTGCCCGCACTCCTGCATCCCTTGCTAGCGAGCAATCCCTCGCCGAGGACCGCTCACTCGCTCGCTCAGGCCGTCCTCGCCCACGCTCAGACGTGCGACGCAAACTGCCGATCCTCGTCGATGGGCGACTCGACCGAGTCCTTCTTCTCGAGGCTCGACGACTGCTCCTTCTCGTCGGCGCGGGCCCGGCGTTCGGCGCGACGGTGCCAGGCGGCCGACTTGAGGCCAAAGATGGTCGTGCGGCCCTCGGACCACTTCATGTAGACGAGGGAGAGGATGCAGGCGATCCAGTAGACGCAGTACTGCGGGCGGGTGCGAGGGAGAGAGAGGCAGAAGAGAGGGTCAGTGCGCGGGCTCGAGGCACTTTGAACTTGCCGACACGGGGCCTGACAGTAGAGCAAGGTACTCACAGAGACGACGGTGCCGACGTTGGCGTTGTCTGCGAGAGGCAGGGAAAGAGACAGTCAGCGGACGAGAGCGAGAAGAGGGCGACCCGCTCGAGGCTCGAGCGCGGCAGGTGCCACGACGGCGACAATGACCCGGGAGAGGCAAAGAGCGACTCACTCGTCCATCCGCTGTAGGCGATGAGGTGCGTGAGCATCCTGAGCGACGAGAAGATAAGAGGAAAGAGGAGGACGCACAGGATCGAGTTGAAGATGGACCAGCCGTGCGTGTCGAACTTGTTCTCGGGCGAGCCGTACGCGACGTGCCAGACCAAGCCCGTAGTAGGGTCGTACGAGCCTGCGTGGGACGAGAGGGACGACAAGGGTCAGGTGGGCCCACAGGAGAGAATGGCGAACGAGGGGACGCACCCGGACCGCTGCCGGCCTCTGCGACGTCTCCTCCGACGCGATGGTTGTAGGCGTAGATCTGGAAGAAGCCGAAGCACTTCGAGAAGAGGCCGGCGCCGAGGAGGAAGCTGCAGCAGGGGAGGGAGTCAGTAAAGGGGTCGGGAGAAGGCTCCAGGTGGCTGTCGCCGTGCAGCACCCGCACGCCGGGCAACCGCGGCCTGCAGGGCTCGAAGAGGATTTTGGGACGCACAGGACGTTGGTCGAGATGACGAGGAAGATCGAGAGGTTGACGCGCGAGCCCGAGGCGTAGATGAGGTCTTTGAGAAGGTCGACGAGGTGAGCCTTCTCTCGCTCGCCCTGCCCGACGATGACGGCGAACACGACGACGTACAGCCAATGACGAGACCGGCAAAGATGCCCGTGATGGCGGCGAGCGGGATCGCCTTTGCCGTCTGACCGAGCGAAACCTGCGAGCGAAGAAGAGGGCCGAGCGTCAGGTCCGGGCCGCGTCCTGGAGAGAGCGATGGACGGCGGGACGCACTCCTCCGACAAAGACCACCGCCTCGAGACCCTCGCGAAGGACGGTGATGAAGGGAAGGAGGAAGAGCGACCACTTGGACCTGCGGGCCTCGCGCTTGTCCTTGCCCGTCAAGGTCGACGTGTCGACCTTGTTGTCGAACGCGCCGGCGAGCTTTGCCTTCCACTTGAGCTTCGAGCGGTCGATGCGGAGCCTGCGAGGACGCGAGAGTCAGGACTTGAATCGCTCGAGAGAGCGAGAGAAAGAGGAGACGGACATGGTGAGGCCCATGACGAAGATGATGACGCTGCGGGCCGGTCCTGTCAGTGACAAGGAGCGTATGAGAGTGGCCGAGAGAGTGTGTGTGGGACGCACGCAGCAATGAGCGAGAACGTGCCCTCCCAGATCTCCTCCGACTTGGACCAAAGGTCGGACAGGGTCGTGAAGAACTGCGCAAGGGCGTGAACGTCGTCAGAAAAGGTTCTGCGACGTGCCCGGGACGAGTGAGAGAGACTCACGACGGCGATGAAGCTGCGGCAGGGACGAGGGAGGAGAAAGTCTGGTCAGGAGAAGGTGAGGAGGATGAAGAGAAGGAGGCCGAGACGCACGCCGCGCCGATGCAGAGCGCGATGAAGAGACCTGAGGGGGCGACATTCAGCTCGACATCTCGAAAGAGCGATAGAGGAGGACGTACCGGCGAGGGCGCCTGCCCAGATCTGTAGCCGCATGCGCCGAATCAACCGTTTGCGCTCGGCGGCGTCGAGCTTCTCGACGACGTCGTCGCCGTCGGCGGGCTTGTCATGCACGAGCGACTCGACAAGACCGAGCAGGACGGAGATGATGATGGCCGCCTCGATCGTCTCGCGAAGAGTCTGCGACGGAAGAGAGTCAGTTCGCGACGATGGCGGCGGCGAGGGTGAGGACGGCGAGGGACGCACGATGATGAAGATGGGGACACTGCGAGCGCAGAAGAATAGTCGACGAACGACGATCAGGACAGGCACGCGGCGAGGAGCCAGGCAGAGAGAATGCGACGACGAGGAGGAGGGTGAGCGCACCTGAAGACGTTGCCCATGGTGCCAGTTGCGCTCGTTGGCGGCGGGTGTCTGTCGGGGTGAGGGCCATCTAATCAGCTAAGGGCCCGCCAGCTTCGGAGGATCGCGGTGCGAGGGGAAGGGCAGGAGAGTCGCCGGAACACCGGGCAAGGAGACAAGGACAAAGAGCGAGCGCGCACGCACCGTCTGGCGGTCGGGCTGGGTGGGGCGGGTCCGAGTAGCGCTGACCGAAGAGCGAGGAGGAGGAAAAGCGAGCGCGGCGGGCGTGGGAAGGAGGGCAAGGAGGGCGGCGGCGACGCCAAAAAAGGCCAGATTCGCGGGGCAGTGATCGAGTGCCGTCCGCGAGCTCAACCAGCGAGCGCTCTCTCGCGCGCAGCGGTGCGCTTCTTTCGCCAGCCGATGCGCACCGTTCAGAAGCACGTCGCCCGCACCGAGAGCGCCTCCTCGCGAGCCTGTGACCACCTCGTCGACCCGCTTCCCGCGGCTTTTCTCGCCGGCCTGGACCGCCGCTATCAGATCGTGCCCATGAGACAAGCGACTCGTCGAAAGGACGACGATCTCGTAGTACTGGGTCCCTGCGCAACGCTCAGCCGTCCGTCCCCGTCAAAGTGCTTCGGCGGAGGGGACCGTGCGCGAGACGCCCAAGTTGGCCTCCTCAAGTCGGTAGATCCAGCTTAACGCTATCAAGGGTTGCATGGTGTAGTTGGTCATCACGTCAGTTTAACATTCAGTTCACTGAAGGTCCTCAGTTCAAACCTGGGTGCGATCACCTTTTTGGCTCGGCGGCATTGCGCCCTTACACCCGCACGGGTCTACTTCCCTTTGCAAGCGACCAAGCGAAGCATCCTCTCGCTCGTAAAGCTGCCGGCGAGGAGGTCAGACGGGTTGGCGGGCCGTCGAAGGTCGGCTCACCCTCAACGCTGCCGGCTGACCACGCCAGGCGAGCTATCATTGCTTTGAAAGCTTCGAAAACGCCCAGGCATGCACAGAAAGCCGCCCGCGAGAGGCTCAAGTTGGCGCCGAGCTGCGGTCGAGAGACGACGACGACGTGGGAGCTCCCTCGCCTCTCCTCCTTTCTCTCCCACCCCATCAGCCCAAGTGAGTCGCTCGCTCTTCCGCAAGGGTCAGCGCACGCGTTGCTCCGCGACAGGGCAGCGCGTGCGCTCACCAGGGTCCCCCGTTCGCCCGGCGAGTTGGCACTGACGAGGTGCCTTGCCCCCCTCCGCTCCCCTCCCCTTTGGCCTCCTCTCTCGCACGCACACTCTCTCCCTGCACCCCTTGCACCTTCCCGACACTCTCCCCCCCCTTCCCACCGTCCGCCAATGTCGACCATCTTCCGCCGCGGCCTCTCGACTGCTCCCAGCATGAGCGTACGTTTTACCCCGAGTTCCCGCACGTTCGAACAGCATCCTCACCCGCGCTTGCCCCTGCAGAACGTCTTCTTCGACATCACCAAGAACGGCGCGCCCTTCGGCCGCATCACCTTCAAGCTCTGTACGTCCCTCTCCCTCTCTTCCCTGCGCCCGCCAACCGCGATGATGTCGTCGTCGGCCCCTGCGAGAGACCGCCGTTGCTGATCGCAGCTTCCCCACTTCCCTTCCGACCTCGCAGACGACGACGTCGTCCCCAAGACGGCTGTGCGTCCTCCTTCCCTCCCTCTCTCGCACCCACAGTACCCGAGTCCCGGCCGAGACTGACCCTGCCCTCGTTGGCGTCGCCCTTCTGCAGAAGAACTTCCGCGAGCTCTGCACGGGCGAGCACGGCTTCGGCTACCAGGGCTCGTCGTTCCACCGCGTCATCCCGGACTGTGCGTCGCTCTCTCTCTCTCCTCGTTCCGAGGCACCAGACTGACCTCGTCGTCCTCGCGCGCAGTCATGCTCCAGGGCGGTGACTTCACCCGTGCGTCCCTCCTTTCTCACTCTCTTTGTCAGTCGATGCGACACTGACATTCTGCGACGACAGGCGGCAACGGCACCGGCGGCAAGTCGATCTACGGCGAGAAGTTCGCCGACGAGAAGTGCGTCCTCCTCTCGCCTCGCCTCGCCGCACGAGCTCCCACCTGACCCTCGTGTCCCCTGTACAGCTTCAAGCTCCGTCACACCAAGCCCGGCCAGCTCTCGATGGCCAACGCCGGCCCGAACACCAACGGTGAGACCCTCTCGGCCCCCGCCTCGTCCCCCGGCCGTGGACTGACCCTCCTTCTTCGCCCAACTCAGGCTCGCAGTTCTTCATCACCACCATCGTCACCTCGTGGCTCGACGGCAAGCACGGTGCGTCGAGAAAAGCCCGCTTCGACGTCGGCGAGCGCGAGAACTGACCCCAATCGTGGCCTGCAGTCGTCTTCGGCGAGGTCGTCGACGGCATGGACATCGTCAAGAAGATCGAGGGTGAGGGCTCCGGCTCGGGCAAGACCAAGTCGACCATCACCATCGCCAAGTCGGGCGTCTGGTGCGTCGCTCGTTCCTCTTCCTTCGTCGCCTGAGCCTCGAGAACTGACGGTCCCCCTCGACCGCCCCGCAGCTAAATCGCTCGAACGCGAAAAGACGGCGCTTGAGCGTAGGCGCGCGATGCTGTCGAATGAACAAAGCAGTTGTTGATCGTCTTCCTGAGCAAGCGAGAGCGAGAGAAAGCCCACGACAGAGAGCGAGAGAAGTGAGGCAACACGAGCGAGGCGCCGTCGTCCCCTCATCAACTTGGCCCGCCTGTGCTGCCCCGCCGAGCTCGCCACGACCATGAGCAAAGCTGCAGAGCACGCACATGTACAGCACGACGCGCCCCGCCGCCGTGGTCGCCTCGTCTTGATCTTCATCGCCGGCCTCGTCTCGGTCCCTCTGCTCGTCGCCCAGGCGTACCTGTTGCCGCGCGTGCTCGTCAGATCGACACACAAGGACTACCTGCACCCGCACACGCACGCGCGCGACCGCTCGATCGACTGGTCCTTCCTCCACCACTCGCGACAGTGCCCCCACCTCAAGCCAGTCGGCGTCGACGAGTTCAGCCCGCGTCGCGCTCGTCTAGCGTCCGCGCTCTCGAGTACTGGGTCTGGTGCACGCGCATGGGCCGCCTACATCTCGGAGCCGAGGTGCGCCCACATCTCGCCGTCCCTCCTCCTCCTCGACCTTGACCATGGCGGCTAACCCGACTCCTGTCGACAGCGCCAACACCCTCTACTACCTCAACCTCACCCAGGCCAACTGGTACCTGTCGGAGCGGCCCTGGCTCGTCGCGCTCTCGCCCCCGACCTCACCCGACGAGCACGCCCACCTGTCGGTCCTCGCGCCCGCGTTCGAGCTGTCACGCTCGCAGCGCCTCCCGTTCGCCCTCACGCCAGAGCAGCGCGACCGCATCGACTGGATCACGTGGCAGGAGGCCGATGACCCGTACGCCGTCCTGCTCGAGCACCTCGCCGGTCTGCGCGGTGACGAGTCGAGTGTGCCCTGGTCGCTCGAGGTCGAGGAGAACGTGCGCACGTTCGTGCGGGACGGCCTCGCCGCTGCGGCGAGTCGTGTCGGCGAGAACGCCCCGAGCGTCGGGCTCGCCAAGCTCGAGGTGCGGGAGCTGCGCATGCGCAAGACCGAGGCCGAGGGCAAGATCCAGCACTGCGTCGCCAAGGTGCGCCCACTCGACCTCTCGACCTCTCTCTCGCACGTCACTGACTCTGGATGATCATCTACAGATCACGGTCAAGGCGCTCCAAGCGGTCCGCACCCACCTGCGCGTCGGCATGACTGAGAAGGAGGGAGAAGCGGTCCGTCCTCCTTCCTCTCTCCCTTGCGCCGCCTGTACCTAACTCTGACGTCCTCGCGTGCCCTGCAGCTCATCACGAACGCCCTTCGCGCCGGCGGCCTGACCGACATCGGCGTCATCACCCTGTTCGGCGACAATGCGGCGCTCCCGCACGCCTCGGCCAGCGCCGACCGCCGCCTCAAGAAGGACGAGTTCGCCCTGTTCGACGTCGACGGCTCTCTCTTCGGCTACCAGGTACCTCTCTCTCCTCTCGCTGTCACCTCCACGCGCAGACCTGACTCGCATCCCTCTCGCAGAGCGACTTTACCCGCACCATGCTCCCCGATCCTCCCTCGTCGCGCTTCTCGCGCTCGCGCTCGCCGCCCAAGTGGCCCTCTGCACGTGCCGAGAAGGTCTGGCGCACGATCCGCCTCGCGCAGCAGGCCGCCCTCGACACGCTCGTCGCGCCGGCAAGCAACGAGACGAGGTCCGTGCACGCCGCCGACGTCGACCGAGCTGCGCGCCGCATCATCGAGGACGCCGGGTGGGGCGCCTACTTCACGCACCGCCTCGGGCACGGCATCGGGCTCGAGGTGCACGAGCACCCGTACCTCAACGGCGGCAACTCGGAGCAGGCGCTCGTCGCCGGCGAGACGTTCTCGAACGAGCCGGGCATCTACATCGAGCGCGACGCCGACCCGGACCCGCAAGGTCACGGTATCGGTATCAGGCTCGAGGACATGGTGCGCAAGACGGAGCGCGGGTGGGAGCTAGTGAGCGGCGAGCCGCTCGCGACGAGCCCTTGGGACCCTTGAGAGCCAGCGTGCAATAGACGAGACGCGCCGACGTTCTGCGGCAGCTCGACATGCGACACGCAGAGCCAGAGAGAGACAGCGAGAGTAGAGCTCGAGAGCCACGTCGGCAAGCCGGAAGGAGGTCGGCCAGGTCCGAGCCAACTGACCGCTCCTCGAGCGTGTTCTGAAGGTGAATCTCGTGCGGGCGACGACAAAGAGCCTTTCCTCGCGCTCTCGAGAGACGACGAGAGTCGAGGAAAGACACCTTATATTGCTGGCACGACAAGCGAAGGCAGATCTCGAGGCAAACCACCGCCACCAATCCCTCGCCCTCGCTCAGAAACTCGCCTCGCCGTCTCCCTCCCGCCCGCAGCAGCTCTTGCGGATCACGCCCTCGCTCATGCTCCACCAAAGCCGAACGTCCTGTCGCGCCGCTGCGCCCGGGCCGACGCGTCGGTCCGACTCGAGGCGACGTCTACAGCGCGACCTGGCACTGCGGCACGAGCCCACCGCCGGTCGAGCTCGACGAGCGCTCGTCGGGCGGCACCGTCGGTGGACCGAGAGGCGTACCGTGTGCCGGTGACGGCCCGTACCGATGGAGGAATTGCGGCTGCGGGTCGGCGGAGCCACGTGGGTGCGCGCGCGCCGTGTCCCGCACGCGCTTGTCGTGCGGCGCGATGCCGAGGCGCGCGGCGATGTCGGCGTCGGGGTGACGGGCGAAGGAGGTGGAGGAGGAGGACGCCGAGTCGGGACGAGCCGGCGGTGAGGGCACGAAGGAGGCGCCGTCGACCGTTGGCGGGCCGTGCGCAGGCCGAGCGGCGGCATGCGGCATGGCCGATGCGCCTCGCTCGAGCGCCGAAGAGGCGGCAGAAGGAGGGCGAGCGCCCGGCGCTGTCGGGGGCTGAACGTTCGGGTCGGCAGGACGGCTCGAAGATGTCGATGCGTGCGAAGAAGGACGAGGAGGTTTGGCCGACGACGTCTTGGCGGACGGCTTCAGGTGATTCGGGCCGACCCAACGTGCGGTAGCAGCTGCAGGTTGTGGGTCAAGTCAGTGCTCGAGCGCGACGTCCGCGACGCGAGGAGGACGAGGACGCACCGAAGCGCAGGCCCTCGGGCTCGACCTTGTGCTCGAACAGCTTCTGCATGTTGGCGCCCTGCGTGCGCGAAGAATATGATCAGTCTGGGTGCAGGGCAGGGCTGAGAGAGAGAGAGAGAGCGGGCGCACCTCCATGATGAGCACGTGTCCGTGCTTGAGCCTCGCCTTGAGCACGACGCGCGACGTGTTGCCCGAGCCCTTCTTGGACGAGCCATCGTCACCCTCGTCGTCGCCCTCGTCGTCGGTATCGACGTGGTCCTGCTTGCCCAGCTTGGCGGCCTTCTTGAGCGGCTTCTTGACCTTGGCGCGGAACGACATGACGGCGTCCGAGCCGAGCGAGAGCGACGCGACGTACTGGCCGAGGCCGGCCTCGCCGTCGTCGTGGTACTGCGAGGATCGGGAGATGTCAGTAAAGAGGCCGGACGGCAGGGTCCCGCAGACCGAGATGCGGCGAGATGAGGAAGGAGGAGGGAGGGGAAAGAAGCTCGAGAGCCGGCGACGCACGTTCATTCTGCCGCCAGTCACTGCGGTGGAAGGGCAAGGTCAGGAGAACGTCCATATTGTGGAGGAGAGAGAGAGAGAGAGAGAGGAGTAGGACGCACTGTACGCGACCGAGAGGATCTCGTTGAAGTTGGTCTCGGGGCCGTCGCCGACGACCGAGCGCACGACCGTCTCGAGGTAGTCGCGGGCCTCGAGCGCGCACACCGGGGCGCAGGGCTGAGCCGAGGTGCTGTCGGACGTCGTGAGGGGTGGCGACGTCGCAGAAGGGAAAGGGTAGGTCGCCATCGAGACGGCGTGCTTGTAGCGCTCGCCCGAGTTGAACGTGACTGCGACGACGACGACGCGGTCAGTCCTGATCGTCGAGTGCCAGAAGGACCCAGGGGAGAGCAAGAGGACGCACACTGCTGGCAAAGGAGGGAGCCGGTGGCTGTTGCGAGGGATCAACTTGGGAAGGTCAGTACGAGGAGAGGAGGGGGGAGCCCGAGGAGAGGAGGGGGGAGCCCGAGGAGAGGGGGCAGTCGGGACGCACCCTGGTGCTTCTGCAGCGGGTTGCGCCGGAACAGTGCGCCCGCCTCGACGCCCTGGTACTCCTCGAACAGCTTGTCGCCCTTCTGACACGCGCTCGCCTCGACCGGCCACAGGTGGTGGACCTTTGCCGTGCCGCCTCCCGCCGCCGCCGCCGACAGGTCGACCGTGTACCCTGCGTACCCTCGCACGGCCTCGATCGGCGTCGACGAGTACGGCGCCGTGATGAAGCTCGGCACGCCGACCTCGAGGCCGCGCCCTTTGCCCTTGCCCTTGCCCTCGAACTCGTCGGCGCGGAACGTGCGCGCCGTCGCGTCCGTCTCGGCGCCGCACCCGGCGCAGATGAGGCGCAGCCACTCGCTGCGAGAGCTGAGGCGCCCGCACGTCGAGCACCCGAAGCCGCGCCACGCTTGGACGCCGTAGTCGGAGATCTGGGAGGCGCCGCTCAGCGACTGCAGGGTGCGGGGCGCGAGCAGCTGCGGGACGAGGTCGGAGGAGGGGAGCGAGGGCGTGAGGTCGAGGAAGGAGGAGCGGTAGGTGAGGGTGCCCGCGATCGGCATCTTGCCGTCGACCTGCGGAAGCGAGAGGTCAGGACGCCGAACGGCCACGACGAGATAGACAGAGAGGACACGCCGACGCACGAGGAAGAACCGGTCGCACGCCTCGTTGTAGCACTCGACGTCCTCGCAGTATGCCCGCTTGTACTCGACGCCGCACGTCCCGCACGTGCCGCGCTCAGACTCGTCGTCGGCGCCCGTCGTCACGTCGACGAAGCCCGAGTCGACCGTGTGGTCGCTGCTCGACGAGCGCGGCGACGGCGGCGAGCTGTCGACGTCGTCGCTCGAGATGTCCATGTCGGACCCGGCGTCGACGACGGGGGCGACGGGCGGCATCGACGGGCGAGTGACGCGCTCGAAGCGCAGGCCTGCGAGGCGGTTCGACGACGCCGAGGTCTTCGAGGCAGTCGGCGGTCGAGGAGCAGGCCGTGAGGCGCTGGCGAGGTCGGCGAGAGGAGCCGACGATGACGTGGCGAGGTGGGGAAGGACGGGTGCGACGACAGGGCGGCGGGAAGAGGAGGGAGCGTGCAGCTCAGGTGAAGAGGACGGGGCACGAAGCGCAGGGCTGACGGGCTTGACCTCGAGTGACGACCTGCCCGGGCGAAGCTTGTCAGTAGACGAACGACGACGAGGGAGGGAGAGAGAGTTGAGCGCACTTGTCCTTGCCGATGACGTGAGCGAACCAGGGCTCGCCCTGGGACGCGAGCCACTCGAACCGGACCTGCGAGAGAGAGAGACACGAGTCGGCGCCGTCGGCGTGCGCAGGAACAAAAGGGAGGATGACGCACCTTGAAGCGCACGAAGTACTTGTCCTCCTCGGCTTTATTGACCGGCTCGCCCTCGGCCTGCGGCGGACGTGACAAAGGCAAGGGTCAGAATCTGTGACACCTGGCTGGGGGAGAAGCTCGGGCGAAAAGGGGAAAAGGAGACGGACCCAGATGTCGGTGACGAGGTAGTGCCCGAGCACGGCGTACCGGACGCCGTCCTCGCCCATGGTCTTGAGCTTGGGGAAGTGCTCGTACGAGGAGCCGGCGATGAGCACGACGGGCGTGCGCGTGGCCATGCAGTTGGACAGCGCCCGGATGCGGATGCCCTCGCGCGTCTGGTGGGCCTTGAGGCGTGCGCCGCCGCCGGCGAGGACCTCGGAGCCGCCGCCGCCATGCGAGACAACGATCTTGCCGTCCGAGGAACAGGCGTCCGATGGCGAGGGAAAGGCGTCGAGCAGGTACCCGAGGCAGCGCTCCTGGTTATCGTCTGCGGCCGGCGAGCAAAGGCATGTCAGGCGTCGCTCGTACAGTCTCGAGGTCGACATCGACCACGAAGAGAGAGAAGAGAGGAAGGATAGGACGCACAGTGCCCGCCCTGGTAGCTCCGGAAGTACTCGAGGCTCTCGCACAGCTCCTGCCGGCCCTGGCACCAGATGGGCGGCTTGCCCGCCGCCGTCATGCTCAGGCCGCGCTCGACTGGGACCCACGAGTCGCGCACGTCGAGCGCCGGGTGGCGCGGTCGAGGTTTGGGCGCCTTGGGCGCCTTGGACGCCTTGGGCGCCTTGGGCGCCTTGGACGCCTTGGGCGCCTTGGCGGGGCGAGCAGTGACGGCGGTGACGGCGGTCGGCGGCGGGCATGGTGCCCTGGAAGATACGACTCGAGGCGGCAAAAGGGCGGTCGAGGGGCCTGCGACAGGCGGGGCGGATGGGCGGGCGAAGGAGGAGGGAGGAGGGAGGGTCTGCGGCTGGGCGCGCAACTCGGGGTCCCTCGGGACGATGGGGACCGGCGATTGCGCCGGCTCAGGAGCGAGGTGCGAGGCGGCCGTGACGAGGGGCGTCGTCGTGAGGAAGTTCTCGACCGGCCACTTGGCGGAGCAGTCGTGACCGGTCGGCTTGAGGCTCGGGACGCGCGAGCTCGACGACGCCCGAGACGCGCTCGTCGCACCTCGAGGCTTCGACGACGACGACGACGAAGCGCCGTAGCCCTCGGCGGCGTAGCGCCGCGGCGGCTTGGACTCGCGGCGAGCCGGGAGCGCTGCGGGGGCGCCGGCGCCGACGGCGCCGTCAGGCCCGAGCCACAGCTCGGGACAGGTCGTCGATGCCGTCGTCTGGTACGCAGAGCGCGCCTCGAGGTGCGCGAGAAGGGTCGGAGCGAGGGAGGAAGACGAGAACGGGCGCTCGAGGGCGACGGCGGGCGCGCCGAGTGCACCGACAGCGGCGGACGGCGCCGACGCCTTCTGCCGCCGCTTCTTGGCGACCTGCACGTGCTCCTGCGTCGAGCTCGACTCGGCTGCGACCGACAGGACGGGTGAGCGCGGCCGCTTGGGCGGCGTGACGCCGACGCTCGCGCTCGGCGGTGCCGCGCGCTCGACAGGATGGACGACGGGCGCCGGGCCGAGCAGCTCTGGCGACTCGCGCACCGACGCCTGCGACGCGGCTGCCTCGGCCGAGCGCTGCACCTCGTCGCGCTCGGCGTACGGGCTCGGGCCGGCGAACAGGGCGAGTCGGGGCGCCCGCAGGAGGTCCGGGGCGGCCGGGTCGTGCGAGAACGAGTCGCCCTGGAGCATGCGGAGCTCGTACGACAGGCGAGGCCGCTTTGCCTGCGACGATGGCGCGGCGGCGGCGCTGGCGGTGCGGGAGGTGCGGCGACGAGCGGGCGTGCTGGTCGGCGCGGCGTCGTCATGCTGGGCGAGCGGCTCCTCCTGGGCGCCTGCAGTCTCGACGACCGTCGCACTGCGCCGCCTCGGCACCCGCTTGCGCGCCCTCGCGCCTCGACCCGACTGCCCCGCTGCTGCGCCGGGCACGCGCGCCGCCTCGTCGTCCGTCGTCGCGCTCGCCAGGTCGCGCTCGTTGTCGCGACGGCGCTTCGAGCTGCTGGTGGACGCAGTGGACGGCGGCGCGGTGGCTCGACGCGTCGTGGCGGACGAGGGAGGGCGAGAAGTCGCGCTGGATGATGAGGTCGTCGGCGAGGGCGAGACGCGCTTGGCGCGAGTGGACGGGCGATTGGGCGTGTCGCGAGAAGTCGCACGCGTGCTGGACCGGGTCGAGGCAGCCCTCGCTGCCGTCGAGCGGCTGCGGTTGCTCGGGACGGGCGCAGGTGGGGAGGACGGCGAGCGGAGGTGCCACGCTTTCTCGAGCGTCTCGATGTCGGTCAGGTCAGAGTCACTGGCGACTTCTGCCATGGCTGTGGCGGTACGCTGCTCGCTGGCGGGCAAGCGAGGCTGGGTGAGGGAGCGAGAACAGAGGGTCGACACGACCGCTTTGCCGGCCGCGAGCACAAAGGCTCCCACGCTCCTTGTCCTCCCTGAGAGACTCAACCGGCTCGCTCGTCCTGTCTGAGTACTAGCGCCGATGTCTGGCGCGCAAGAACGTCCGCTCGTAGCGGTGTCCTCGGGCCCAAGTTCTCGCTCGAGCCCGACTCGCTCGCGCGTGCTGCCGCACGCAGAGTCGCCCTCTCCGTTCGAGTCGTCCCTGCCCAGCCAGAGAGAGAGGGAAGGACAAGGGAGTGAAAAGACAGGATCGCCGGCGCAAGGTTGCGAGGAGGGAGGCCAACGAGCGAGCCAGCACCTCGCGCTCGAACAGCGCTTGTTCGCGCGGCAGCCCAGGACAGGGTCGCGCTCGTCGCAGCCAGGAGCAGCGTATGATCCTCCTCGCGCTGTGCGCGTGTGCTCGGCGGCACGAGCGGCCTGGACGAGCGTGAAGAAGGGTCGAGAGAGGGAAGCGAGGGGAGGAACGCTCGCTGCGAGCGACCCGGCCGCGAGGCAGGCGGCGCATTCGCCCAGAGCACCTTTGAGCGCAAGTGCACGAGCGTGCGCGGTCGCAAGGAGCCGCGAAAGACGCTCGTCGGGCTCGCGCACAACGAGCCCCGCGCGAAATCGCCGCGACGAGCGGGAGTAGCAGGGGCGAAGCAGAGGACGGCGGGGGTGCCACGCCGGGCAGCATGGGTAGCCTAGGAACAAGTTCTGAGGCAAGCATGAGCTGTGGCGCTGACGGAGAGGTTGACGCGGGAGCCAAGAGGTGGACGACGACGACGTCGAGGCCGACCTCGCTCACCCACAGCACGCGCTTGACCTGCGCTACAAGAGCAGAACCAACAGCTCGTTATCGACTGCCGTCCAGTCGGCCGAGGTACAGAGCCGTCGCCCGCCCGGTCGCCGTCAGCTTCCTCCACCTCGTCGTCGTCTCTGTCCGCCTTCCGCCTCGACACCGGCACCTCGGCCTGTGGGACCATGGCCTACTCGCGCCCGTTCCCTGCACCACCGGCGACGCAGCCCTACACGTCCGTCGCCAGCCCGCCGTTCCGTGCCCCGGCACCCGCAGGTCCTCCTCCAGCTGCCGCCCCACCACCCTCGTCCGTCCCCGCCGGCACCCTCCCGCCAGGGACCCTCGTCGAGGTCGGTCAGTACCGCGTCACCGTCCAGCGCTTCCTCAGCGAAGGTGAGCCCTCCCTCTCTCGCCTGCCCCCTCCCTCGAGCCTCCGCCCCCGCTTGCCGGTGACGATGCGAGGTCGGGTCCAGCGACCACAGCTTGAGCGCTCCCACGGCCACGGCCATTCGAGTCACCTGGTGGTCTCAAACAGGTGCACGCACTGACTCGCACCGTTCCCCACCTGCAGGCGGCTTTGCGCACGTCTACCTCGCCCAGTCGGCCGTCCCGCTCCCGCCCAACTCGCCCACCGGCACGACCCAGCATGTCCTCAAGCGCATGGTCGTCCCCGACAAGCGTGGCGTCGAGGAGGTCGGCCGAGAAGTCGACGTCATGGTGCGCCCGCCGCCTCTCGAGAGCTGCACCGCCTCGACGACCGACCTGACTCTTTCCCCTCCTCGCCCACTCGCAGCGCCAGCTCAAGAACCACCCCAAGATCGTCAACATGATCGAGGCGTCGGTCGCCGACCTGCCCGGCGGCGTCGACGGCAGCAAGGGCTACGAGATCTACATTCTCATGGAGTGGTGCCAAGGTGCGCTCGCCCTGTTTCCCTGTTGTCATGCGCCTCGAGAGCACGACTGACTCGTCTCCCGAACGCTTGCAGGCGGCGGCATCATCGACATGATGAACACGCGGCTGCAGAACCGCCTCACCGAGGGCGAGATCCTCAAGATCTTTAGCGACGTCGTCGAGGTGCGTCGGGCTCTTTTCTCCTTCTCCGCGCCGTCTCGACGAGCTCGATCTGACGCAGTCTACGCCCACAGGCCGTCGCGCACATGCACTACCAGTCGCCGCCGCTTATCCATCGAGACCTCAAGGTCGAGAACATCCTCCTCTCGCCGCCGCAGACGTACAAGCTGTGCGACTTTGGCTCGACGACGCGCCCTCTGCCGCGCGACAAGGTGCCGACGACGGTCGAGGGCATCCAGAAGCTCGAGCACTCGATCAACAAGACGACGACGCTCCAGTACCGCGCTCCCGAGCTCGTCGACGTCTGGGGCCGCAAAGGGTTCGACGAGAAGATCGACATCTGGGCGCTTGGCGTCTTCCTGTACAAGCTGTGCTTCTACACGACGCCGTTCGAGGAGCACGGTCCGCTCGCCATCCTCAACGCGCAGTACAAGGTGCGCCCTCTTCCTTCTTGCCCTCCTCTCTCGCCAACCAGTCACGCAGGCGGACCCGAGACTGACTCGTATGCTCGTCCCGCAGTTCCCGGCGTACCCGGCCTACTCGTCGTCGATCCGCAGCCTCATCGGCGCCATGCTGCAGGAGCGCGCGAGCCAGCGCCCGAACATCTACCAGGTCCACGAGATGACGTGCCGCCTGCGCGGCGTCCCTGTTCGACTCGAGAATGTGCGTCAGGACTCTCTCTCGGCGTCACGCCCTCCAAAGATGCCCCCGAAGCGCAGCACTCACCTTTGTTTCCCTCGTGCGCGCAGAAATACGCCCTCGGCGCCTCGTCCGCCTCGAGCATCCCCGCTCTCGCGCAACGCGGCCCTCCTCACCCTCCCGCCTCTCCTCACGCCTCGACCCCTCTCGGCGCCCCCTCATCCCTCCCCGTGTCGCCGCTCCCGACAGCCGGTATCCTGTCCTCTTCGCCTCACGCCGCCGCCAGCTCGGGCTCGGTGCCCGGCCTCGCCGGGATGGCCAACCAGGTCGCGCCTATGCGCCGGGGCAGGCCGGGCAAAGGTGCGCCGGGCGGAAGCGAGCCCATCGCCGTGCCCGAGCGACAAGTGCGCACGGGCCTCGCCGAGTGGCATCAGGGCGGCGAGCGCGCCGAGAAGGACCGCGCGAGCGTCGGCATGGACTGGGACGGCTTCGGCGCGCCGGCGGCGAGCAGTGCTGGAGGGGCGGCAAGCGCGAGCGGGTTCGGCGACGCGTTCGCGCCGGCGGCGACGCCCAAGCTCGACCCGTCGGCGACGGCCGGCGCCGCGCTCGAGACGAGCGTCGAGCTGCCGCGCAACGCGGGCATGTTTGCCGCGCTCGCAGGGCGGGGCGGCCCGGGCAGCCCGATGGCGCTCGACGAGGGCGGCAAGGAGGGTGCGGGTTCGGGCGTCAAGGCGGACGACGGCGAGCGGCGCAGGTTCGAGGAGTCGTTCCCGGCCATCGAGCTTGACGGCCCGCTCGACTCGCTCCCTGCGCCGGCAAAGGAGGAGGCCAAGGCGCACGCGGGCAAGGAGGAGAACATGAGCGCGGCGGCACCTCTCGGCTCGGCGAGCCTCGTCGACACGTCGTCCCCGCCGGCATCCACCTCTGCGCCCTCGTCAGCAACCCTGCCGCCACAGCTCACGGGCGAGCAAAACTCGGCAGCGCCCGGCCCTCCCCTCCCTCGGCGTCCGCCTACCGCCTCGCCGTCCCTTCCTCCTGCGCCCGCGCCCAAGCCCGAGCCGCACCGCCAGCTCACCAAGCCCGGCCTCGTCTCGCGCGGCTCGCAGACGTCGCCGCACCTCATGGCGTCGTGGCGACCGCAGCAGTCGGCCTTGTCGTCGTCGGCGGCGCCCGCCGGTTCCGGCGCCGCCGCTCCACTGCCGCCGCAGCAGTCGAGCGCGCTTCGCCAGAGCAGCATCCCCGAGCTTGCGCTCGAGAACGGCGACGAGCCTGGGCGCAGCAAGCCTGTCGTCGACCTCCTCGGCGACGACGACGCGCCGACCCTGCAGTCGCTCACGCCCGTCCTCCGAGCCACGCCCTCGCCGACGCCGCAAGGCTCGTCCGACACGTTCGCGAGCAAGCGTGCTTCCTTCCTCGGCGCACAGCCTCTCTCCTCGTCGTCGACGTCGGCGTCGAGCGGGCCGGCCGAGCGCGAGAAGTTCCGCCCTGTCACCAAGCGCATGAGCCTCTCGCCCGCCGGCTCGCCCAAGCCCGCCCTTGCGCCCGCACCCGCATCGGCCTCGGTGCCCAGGCCCGAGCCCGAACGCGAGCAGAGCGTCGAGGAACGCTTCCCGGCGCTCTCGCTCGACGACGACGAGCCGACCGCGGCGGCGGCTGCGCGACCCGCCAACGGCTCGTCAGAGTTCGAGCGTGTCGTCGAGAAGGAGGAGGACGACTCGAGCGACGACGAGCAGGGCGGCGGCGCGACGCCGTCGGCCGGCGCCAAGGTTGCCGCGCCCGCCTTTGACGACGACGACGACTTTACGCCGCGCAAGCCTGCGACCGAGCGCCCGACGTTGTCCGCACGTGCGTCGAGTGGCATCAAGCTCACGTCGTCGTCGCCGCCACCGCTCGAGCGCAAGGAGTCGACCCGGTCGGCCACGAGCTCGAGCGTCGACCAGCCGTCCCGCCAGGTCTCGACGGCCTCGTCGACGTCCAACGGCGACGGCGGCGTCGACCTCGGTCCCGCCCTCGCGTCCATCCGCAAGTTCGCGCCGCAGGGTAACGGGCAGGCGCCACCGTCGTCGCTCGTCGCCGCGCAGGACGACTTTACGCCGTCATCGCCTCCTCCCAAGCCCATGTCGCCGCCCGCCGCTCCTCTCGTCGCGCCCAAGCCGCAGCCTGCAGGCCGCAAGCAGGCGATCAACAGCCTCGTGTCGCGGTACGAGGGCCTCGGCTCGGCCCTGACGGGCGGTCCGCCGCCGGTCGGCGTCAAGCCCGTCGGGCTGCGCAAGGACTCGACGGGCTCGAGCACGGGCAGCGGCGCAGCGCACTCGCTCCACACGCGCGAGGGTGTGCGGCCGCAGCGCCTGCCGCAGTGGGGCGCCGCCGCCGCCGCCGAGGGCGCAAAGAGCCCCGTCGGCTCGATCCACTCGGTCCACTCGGTCCGCGAGGTGCCCGAGGACAACCCGACCAAGAGCCCGCCGCCTCCTCTCGCGCCCAAGCCGTCGACGCCGACGTCCTTTGCCGCCTTTGGCCCGTCGTCGACGATGGCTCGGGCACCGTTCAAGCCGACGCCGCCGCCCGGCTCGCCCAGCTCGCCCGCCTCGGCTACCGCCCGCCCGTCGTACGGCGTCCACTCGTCACGCCCCTCGTTCGGCTCGCGCGCACCGCCACCTTCGGCCTCTCAGCCGCCGGCCGTCGACTCGAGCGCGCGCCCTCCCCCTTCGTCCGCCTCGTCCGCCGCGCCCGACGCAGGCGAGGAGGAGCAGCGCTTCGCCGGCGTGTCGAACATGAAGAGCCGGTGGGAGAGCATGAACCGGGCGCAGGAGCCGCAGCAGGGACAAGGGCGAGCAGGAGGAGGGCCGAGCGGGAACGCGGCCGCGAAGAGGAGGTCGTGGGCGCAGATCTGAGGACAGGGTCGTAGAGCAGCCTCTCGACGCAGCACTGCCATGTGTACAGACTAATTTCCTTGTTCAAGCCTCTGCTACGGCCCGCGAGAGAGAACCCGGCCACCTCGTCCGCCTCGTTGCAGCTCGTTCGCCCGAATCAGGCGCCCTTCAACCGGCTCGACCTGCGCCTCGGCTGCTGCTCCTCCTTCTTCGGCTTCTGCTCCTCGGGCTCCTCCACCTTGGGCATGAAGCGCTGCGACCGGCGACGAGAGGGCTCGGGCGTGGGCTCCGGTTCAGGCTCGCGCTTGCGCTTGCGCTTCGACGCCGGCGTCGGTGGCGGCGGCGGCGTGGGCTCCTTCTCCTCCTCCGGCTCGACCGTGGGCTCCTCCTCGCGCTCGGACCCGGGCTGCGCAGGCTCGTCGTCGGCCTCGGGCTCGGGCGGCGGCGCGGCCGTTTCCTTCGAGACCGCCTCGTCGGCCTCGACCGGCGACTCCTCGACGGCAGCCTCCTCGGCGTGTTCCTCCTCCTTGTCCGACTCGTGGTGCTCGACCGGGGGCTCAGGAAGCTCCTCGTCGACAGCCGCGAGGGCGCTCGAGCGGCGCGCCGGCGCGGCCCAGCGCACGGGCCGCCACGGTGACGGGAGGACGAACGGCTCGGGCTGGTCGGCCCTGTGCATGAGGTACTGCAGCTCGGCGTCGCTGATGCGCAGGACGCGCAGGAGGAGGGCGACCTGGGCGCGCAGGCGCGTGATCTCGATGCGGTTGTTGGCGAACATGACCGAGCCGGCGCTGCTGGGCTCAAGAGGGCGTCAGTCGCCGAGAAGCGCGAGTAGACGAGGAGAGGGGACGCACATTGCGGCACGAAGTGGGGCTGCGGCAATGTACTCGCACTGGATGCCGCGCACTTGCTGCAGGAATGCCGAGAGGGTCAGGAACGTCGACGACGGCCGAGGAGAGGGACGAGGACGAACGCCTGCGAGTCGATACAGCGTCAGGATCGTCTAAACGAGATAGAGAGGAGATGGCACGCACAAGTCTTGCAGGTCTCGCTCCTGTCGCACTGCAGGACGAGAAAGAACGGGTCAGGACGGCGCCTCTCGAGGAATCGCTCGGTCGGACGCACCGCTCGTTTCGCGATGCGGCAGGCCTCGCAGCTATTTACCCTCGGCGGACCTGGACCGCGCCGGCGCTTGGGCACGACCGGCTCGTCGGCGGGCGGTGGCGGCGGCCGTGGCGGGTGGAACTGAGCGGGAGGCACGGGCAGCTCGGACGCGAGAGCGTGGCTCGCGCCTCGCTCGAGCTCGTCGAAGTAGCGAGCGTTGGCGGCCTTGGACGCAGCACTGGGCATGGCGACGACGCAGCGACACGTTCAAGCGAGAGCCGGAGGCGGCGCGAGACGAGCGACTCGAGCCCGAGGGGAGCGTCCGCGGAAAAGCCGACAGACGGACGGACGGGGCGCGTGCGAGCGGCGGGCCCCTGTCTCTCGCGGAGCTTGCGCGGAGGACGGACGCTGCTCGTGGGCGCTCGAGGAGAGGCATGAGAGCGCGAGAGCAGCGCGACGGCGAGACGCTCAAGGGAGCGAGGCGGTGCACGCGCTGAGAGCGGGATAGCCAGCAGTGCCTTCGAGCAGGTGCTGGGTGGAAGCACGAGCGCGCAGTGTGTCCAGCGAGGTCGCGGCAGCCGTGTGGGCGGAGAGAGACGCGCTCATCACCAAGTTGGAGCGAGGGGACGAGACGTGGAGCTCTTGGCCTCTCTCGCGTCGCCCTCTCCCTCGAGCAGCTACACAATGGTGCGCCCGACCTTCCTCTACAGCCGTGCACACCGGTCAGCGCGCTAGGCGCGTGCAGCGAGCTGACCTCGTTCCCTCCGCCCGCGCCTCTCCCCCCCCCCCCCCCCTCGTCCTCCTCGGCTCGCCCGCCCGCAGGCCGGCAGCCACATCGACCTGCGCAAGCGCAACGCCGCCTTCAACTCGCGCGTCGGCAAGGTCAACAAGCTCACGCCCCAGGAGACGCTCCAGACCAAGCCCGCCGTCCCCCGCTGGACCGTCATCCTCTTCCTCGTCCTCATCGTTGGGGGCTTCGGTACGCCCCTCGTTCCACTGCCAGCGTTCTCTCTCGCCGAGCCGAGCTGACCATGCCCCCCCCACGCAGGTCTCGAGCTCCTCCAGCAGATCATTTCCTACTTTGCCCCGGCCGCTCGCCCGACGGCACGATGAGCTGGCTGCAGCGCGAGAGCGGGCAGGGTCGCAGCGGAGGAGGAGGAGGAGCAGGATACCCAGGCTGTACATATCGTCGACGTCGCGGCAGGGCTGCTGGTCCAGCCGCCTGCATTGCAATTCTTTGCGCTCGCGTCGAAACTCGCCCGGACCCCTCTTTCTCTCTTTCTCGCTCGCTCGACAGCCTCGACAAGTTCTCGTTCCACGCACGCTACCATCCGCACCCTTCCACCCGGACCAGCTTCCACCCGGCGACCAGCTTCGTCCCCCTCTCCTCGCACCACCTCTCGACCTCGCCCTGCTCGTCCGCCCATGCTCCCTCGCCAGCTCGACCCATCTCGGCCGCCCTCGCACACGCGACCGCGAGCGTCTCGAGCCGCTGCAGGCTCGGCGTCGCTCGAAGCGCCTCGAGGAGCGGCTCGAGCGAGCGCGCGTCGAAATCCTCGACCGTAAGGCTGCGGAGCCCGCTCGCCGCCGCCGCCGGCTGCGCGCTCCCGGCCGCTTCGGGCTCGCCGACGACGAGCGTGTGCGAGAAGAAAGCTCGAGAGGGAAGCGCGACGCCCGTGAGGTGCAGGCGCTCGAGGCGAGGAAAGCGCGTCGCCGTCGAGGGGAACCAACCCGTCGCCGGCCCGGTCCCTGCGTGTCGCCGCCCGCACCGCGGAATGTCCCTCACGCTGAGCTGGGTCAAGCGCGGCGCGAGCTCGTCGATAAGGCCGGACGCGACGGGGAGGAACGCGGCGAGGGCGCCTTGGCTCGCGCCTTTGTTGCGGAGCGCGAGCGACGAGAGCGACTCGCGCGAGTTGGAGAGGAGGGCGAGGATCGACGAGAGGGACGTGGCGCCGAACGCCGTCGTCGAAAGCTCGAAGCGCTCGAGCGAGGGGAGGGAGGACGGCTCGGCGAGGTGGGTCGACGGGACGAACCAGTCTCTGCGTGGTGCAACGGGGTCAGCTCGTTCCGGCTCGAGACAAGTACAACCTCGAGACTCACAGCGCGAGTCGGAGAGTGAGGTCGCGAAGCTCGGGCAGGCGAGAGACGAGGGCGAACGTGTCGGCGGCGTCGCAGTTGCGGAGGGTGAGGGTGCGCAACGTCGCCGGCAGCAGAGTCGGCTGCAGGCGGACGTCCTGGAAGAAGCCGACGTCGATGTCGAGCGTATCGATGCATCTGCAGTGGGCGAGGAGGCGGACGAAGCGCTGTTGCTCGCTGCGTGCAGAAGGAACCCGAGGAGGTCAGTGCGCGGTCGAGAGAGGAAAAGGAGAGAGAGACGCACCGAGCGAGGCATTGCGCGTGCCAGCGCTCAGCCTGTACCTCGCGACTGCTGATGAAAGCGTCGTCGCCGCCCGACATGACCGCCGCCTCGCTCGACTGGTCGCCGACGACGTCGACGCCGGAAGGAGGTGCGCCCCAGCCGCAGGCGGCGCGCCTCAGGCTCACGTCGACGTGCCGGACGTTCGACGCTCGCCACGGGTCGTGCTCGAGGGCTTTGACGACGAGCTCGTCGCGCTCGGCGCTGCCGCACCCATTGGCGAACGTGACGTCCTGGCCGAGCACCTCCTGCGCGATGGCGCGCCACAGGCGGCAGACGGACGCGACCTGGCGGTAGGCGCACGTGCGACAGGTGACCGTGAGGTGCGCAAACTGGCCGTGGACGAGGAGAGGCTCAGAGATGAGCGAGGTCGTGAGGGCGTGGCGGATGACCTTGAGGAGGAGCTCGTGCGGCACGGCAGAGAGGGTCGGCATGATGGTGTGCGGCGCGGTCGGCAGTCTCGAGAGAGATGTGTAGAGGAAGAACGATGTCGCCAGATCGGTCGAGCAGGAGCCGGTGCGAGGCGGCTCGAGGACCGTCGCGGTCGAGGACCGGTCACGGCTGGACGATCGAGGAGACGCGCCCCCGTCGAGCGCAGCGGCCAGACGCAAGCGAGCACCTTTGAGGCTGTACTCCAAAACCCGGAGCGCCGGCTCGGGAGCCGTGTCCTCGCAGGATCCTCGGTCGACAGCGCCGAGTCGGAGAGGGCCAGCCGACCTCGGGCCGCCCGACGCCCGGCCGCAGCTCCTCCGGTCCGACCTGCAGCTCATCCCAGCAGATCGACTTTGAGAGCGAAGCCCCCAGGAAGCTGCCTGAGCGACCTCGAGGCTTGGGAAGGTCGCCGAGCCACGGCTGGGAGAGCGAGCTCCCTCACAGTCGAGACCGGCTCCAAGTCGAATCGCACACTCGTAGCTGCACCGCAAAAGTGTGTGCAGAGCTGGAGCGAGCGACCGCGCGAGGCGCGAGGGTCGCGAGAAAGCGGGCGAGCGGTGCGAGTGCGCCCGAGACGCCGAGAGAGGGCGCGAGGGCGAGCGGGCCTCGCGAGCCCTCTGGAGCGTGCAGAGGCGGCGGGGAGGAGCAGAGTGAGGGAGGGAAGACCCTCCAGAGCTGGCAGGAGCCAACGGAGCGCGGAAATCAGTGAGATCGATGCGGTTCTCGAGACGATTCGACCGCCCTCGTCGTCAACGTCGCGCCCTCGTCCCTCTCCTCTTCCCACCACCTCTCCGGTACCTCTACACGAGTGCGTTCTGTCCCGAGATCTGATCTCGACGCCGCACGGCACTGACTGACCGCCCACCTCGTCTCCCTCGCCCGTCCCACACTCTCCCTTCCGACCTCCCACCTCCTCGCTCAACCCCTCTCGCCTCGCCCTCTCGCCCTCCAGAATGCCTATCCAGAAGATTCACGCTCGCCAGGTGTGTCCTCTGCATCTTTCTACCCTGCGACCGAGCCCGCCAGTCGTGGCAGCTCGTGGTCACGCACCCGCTCCCACGAACCCGGACTGATCGTTCTCGCCCGCCCGCACTCCTCGCTCTTGCGCAGATCTGGGACTCGCGCGGCAACCCTACCGTCGAGGGTGCGCCGCAGCTTTCCCTTTCTACAGCCTCGGACATCGTATTGACCCTGCTCCCCTCCCGCAGTCGACGTCACGACCGAGAAGGGTCCGTCCCTCGCCCTCTCGCCGGCCAAGCAGCAATTGGGGTGCGCAGGACTGACTCTCTCGTGCTGCCACAGGCATCTTTACCGCCGCTGTCCCCTCGGGCGCGTCGACCGGTGTCCACGAGGCCGTCGAGCTCCGTGACGGCGACAAGTCCAAGTACCTCGGCAAGGGTGCGTCGCCTTTCGCTTTCTCTTTCTCTCTGCAGGCGCCGGACCTGATAAGGAGGAACGACCTGCAGGTGTCACCAAGGCCGTCGCCAACGTCAACGACGTGATCGCCCCCAAGCTCATCGAGGCCAACCTCGACATTGTCGACCAGGAGAAGGTCGACAAGTTCCTCTGCGACCTCGACGGCACCGCGAACAAGGGCAAGCTCGGCGCCAACGCCATCCTCGGTGTCTCGATGGCCGTCGCCAAGGCCGCCGCCGGCCAGAAGGTGCGCCCACCTTACCTCTCCTCTTTCCGCCTCTTCCTCCCTTTTCGTCAAAGCTGCGACTGACTGTCGATCTTCCTCTCGCGAGCGCAGGGTGTCCCCCTCTACGCCCACTTTGCCGACCTCGCCGGCGTCAAGCCGCCGTTCGTCCTCCCCGTCCCGGCCATGAACGTCATCAACGGTGGCTCGCACGCCGGCAACGCGCTCGCGTTCCAGGAGTTCATGCTCCTCCCGACTGGCGCCGCCGACTTTGACGAGGCCATGCAGATGGGCACCGAGACGTACCACACGCTCAAGAACGTCATCAAGAAGAAGTACGGCATCGACGCGACCAACGTCGGCGACGAGGGCGGCTTTGCGCCCAACGTCCAGGGCGCCGAGGAGTCGCTCGAGATCCTCACCGAGGCCATCGCCAAGGCGGGCTACACGGGCAAGGTCCAGATCGGCCTCGACGTCGCCTCGTCCGAGTTCTACAAGGACGGCAAGTACGACCTCGAGTGCGTCCCCCTCTCTCCCTCTCTGTGTCCGCCTCCCTTAGTGCGCCCGAGACTGACATCGTCGTCTCCTTCCTCGTGCAGCTTCAAGAACCCCAACTCGGACTCGTCCAAGTGGCTCACGGGCAAGCAGCTCGCCGAGTTCTACAACCAGCTCGTCGAGAAGTACGACATCGTCTCGATCGAGGACCCCTTCGACCAGGACGACTGGGAGGCGTGGAGCCACCTCACCCAGAACACCAAGATCCAGGTGCGTCCCCCTCGCCTCTCTTCGTCGTCGTCGTCGACTCGAGCCTTCACTGACCTTCCCAAACCGCCTCTCGTCCTCCCCTCGTCCTCTTTGTGCACCTCCTCCTTTCCTTCATACAGATCGTCGGCGACGACCTGACCGTCACCAACCCGGAGCGCATCCAGACGTGCGTCGTCGTCGTCGTCGCGCTCTATCCTTGTCCAGAGCCTGACCTTTCCTCCTTCCTGCAGCGCCATCGACAAGAAGGCGTGCAACGGCCTCCTCCTCAAGGTCAACCAGATCGGCACCATCACCGAGTCGATCAAGGCGACCCAGCTCGCGTCGTCGGACGGCTGGTGCGTCCCCCCTTCTCCTTCTTCCTCTTCATCGACTCGCAACTGACCGTATGCGGTTGTGTGTTATGCAGGGGCACCATGGTTTCGCGTGAGCCGCCGCTTCTTCATTCTTTACGTCCGCACGCCCTGACCTGACTTTGCGCGACCGCAGACCGTTCGGGCGAGACCGAGGAGTAGGTCCTCCCTGTCTTGCTCTCCTCACTCGAGCCTCAACTGACTCTCTTTCCTCGCACAGCACGACCATCGCCGACCTCGTCGTCGCCCTCGGCACCGGCCAGATCAAGACTGGTGCTCCCTGCCGCTCGGAGCGCGTTGCCAAGGTGAGCCTCCCTTTCCCTCCCTTCCTCCTCGCAACGGTCCTAACGCCCTCTCTTCTACGACCGCCGTACAACGAGCTTCTCAGGATCCAGGACAGGATCAAGATGGCGGGCGGCAAGGTCCTGTACGCCGGCTCGAACGGCCTCGCGCGCGGCACCACCGCCGCTCCCCTCTCGAAGAAGTAGAGCGCCCCGCATCCCCTTCCTTTCCCTCTCTCCTGCCTGATGGGCTAGCCTCGGCCGAGCAGCCGCTGGACGCAGTGCAACCCGAGCTTGATCTGTGCGACTTTCGGCGTCGTCCCTCGAGAGGAGAGCTGTCGTCCGAGGAAAGCCGTCGTCCGAGGAGAGCCCTCATCTCGTCTCGCCGAGTACATTTCTCTGCGTCGGGACCGTCGAAAGAGAGAGAGAGAGAGAGAGAGAGAGAGAGAGAGGGAGAACGGCTGCTAGTTGCGAGAAAGAACGACGAAAAGGAGAGACGAAAGAAAAGGGGATCGTGCACGAGGAACTTGGGCCGTCGACGAGGCGTCGAACGGCGCGGCGAGGGACGATTGCGAGGGGAGAACGACGAGATCGAGAGAGAGGAAGACGAGGGAGGAGAAAGGAGACGAGAGAAAGGAGAGGGCGAGACTGCGAGAGGGTAACTTGGGAAGGTCGATCCGCCGCCGGCGACGTCGACGAGCTAGACGCTCACTTGCGGTCGCAGCAGGCATGATTTACGGGGCGAAGCCGCTCGGGAGCATACACACTCAGTGCGCGGCGAGCCGCCTCTTGCTCGGCGAGCTGCTTGGTCGTCTCGGTCGCCGCGAAGACGTCGCCGTTGTTGAACACGAGACGGGTGTGGAAGGAGGGCTGCGTCTCGGTGTCGTAGCGGAGGCCGCGCTCGCGGACGAAGATGCTGAGGGCGCGCTTGCTGCAGCCGCACTTGGGAGTGGGAGGGGAAGGAGACGAGGTCGAGGGTTGGACGGCGACGGAGAAGGCGACGAGAGGCTCTGCGGGGCCGAGGGTTAGCGCGCGAGGATGGATTGGAGGACTGGGAGACGCACCAGTCGAGGCAAAGTCCTTGGCCCTCCTCGCCCTCGTGCACTGCTCGACCGCCTCGACGGCCCACGCGCACGCCCGTCGAAAGACGGCGCACAGCCAGTCCCCCGCCTCGACGTGCCGCTCCTCGATGCTCAGTGCGCCTGCATGCGCCTCGAACGCGTCGCCGAGGATCTTGATCGCCGCCTTGGGGAGCGTCTCGCGCTCGGCGAACTTGGCGTGGAGGGGGGGGTCGAGAGAAGGACCGAGGTTGTAGATGAGGGCGAGCTGGGCGAGCGTGACGTTGCTCGCGAGGAGGTCCCGGTAGGCCTGACAGGGCAAGGTGTCAGCGACGGCCTCGAGGTGCGAAAAGGGGAGAGAGCGGGAGAGGGGGCGCACATTGAAGATGACCGGCCGAGGAACGCGACCCTCGCTGGACAGGTGGGCGTAGATGGCTCGCCCGACAGCGGCAGTCACGCAGCAGTCGCCCAGGCTCTCGAGCGCCTCGAAGCGGGCGTTGTCGTCGAGGTGAGGGTGCGCGCCGCTGACCCTCGTCGACCGAGCGCGAGCTGCGCGAGCGAGGGCGGGATCGTGTATGGTCGGGATAGGGTGCTCCGCCGGCAGGATTGCGCGAGCGTTCTCGTCAAGAAAGGTGAGCATGGCGCATTGCGAAGACCAGAGGCGAAGGAGCTGACGACCGCGAGCCGGGTTCGCGCGCAGCCCCGCGTTCTCGAGCCCGTCCTCAAAAGACAGGAGGCGCTGGCGACGGGCTGCTTCCGGCGCAGCCACACTTTCGCACGGACGAGACGCCGTTTGGCTCGCTCTTCTGCGGGCCGTTCGGACGCAGTCGCGCGCTCTCTCGCTCATGCTCCGCTCGCAGTGCCCGACTGTGCATAGACCGAGCGAGAGACCTTTGACAGCGTCGGTCGCCTCGGCTGCAAGGGTTTACCGGCGTCTCGGGCGAGCGGCAAGGGCGGAAAGCCGACGCCTGACGCGGGCTCGGACCCCTTCTGCCCGCTGAGAGTCACACTTGAGCCGTTGCACAGCTCGTGTCGCTCGAGCTCGGCACCGTGACCATGTACCTCGCAACGCGCAGCTGCAAGCCGTCGCTGAAAAGCTGCACTCGAACGCTTCTTCGAGCGACGTCAACTTGAGAAGGTCGACCTCACGCTTTACGGGCGTTCGCGCACTCGAGCAAAGCTTTGGTCCGACGCGCTTCTCGCGACTGGATGTACCCAAGACGGAAGAATCAACGGCGGGCGAGCGCCCGAACCTGCAAAAGCTCGATGTCTTCCCCTCGAACGCCGGACTCAGCTCCCGCCCAAAGCCTCTCTTGTCCGGATCCAGGCTCGCCGGCTCTCGTAGCACGCGAGCGACTGCATGTAGAGAGACCGCTGCAAGGCGAGACGAGACCCGGGTGCAACGCACGCAACGAGCGGTCGAGAGAATTGGAGTGAGCGGCGGCTCGAGCGTCCTATGAGAGGGCGTCCGACGTCGTGCACCCGCAGCAGTCGAGCGAGCTTCCTCGGAATCGAGAGGGGAAGCCGATCTGGCAAGACAGCCTATGTACTCGTCATTACGACTTGAGACAAAAGGAGGTCGGCGGGCGGCGGCGCATCGTTCCACACCGTCTCGCCGCGAAAGCGCCCTCTGCTGTGCACGCACTCGGCATCGCTCCCTCGCTCGAGCCACAGCCTGCCGCTTGCCGGCGCTGTGCCCGCCGACCATGGCCCCCGTACGGCTCGCTGTCGACGACGACCGCCTCGTCCCGCCATCGGCGTCGGCCTCCAGCACGGGCGCGCACCGACGGGCTGCCAGTCCAGCACTGTCGAGCGGCTCGCAGACCTCGCTCGCCAGGCCGCCGCGATCGCCCAACCGGCCGCAGGGCAGCCCGCTTCTCTCGTCACCGACCACCTCGCCCACCCTCTCCGCCCCTTCCGCACTCGCCCCTCCACCCTCGACGGCCGTCGCGTGTGCGCCGACACGCAACGCCCCTCCGCGCAAGCCGGCCAACCCCACGGCTAGACCGCTCGCTGTCGAGCAAGCCGCCCCCGTCCGCGTCCTCCCCACCCACCCGGCCGCCCTCCCCTACATGTGGGACTCGACCGCGTCCACGACCGACGACGCCGACACCGAGCTCGACTCGACCTTTGACGGCGACGCGGGTCCGGGCGCAGCCCTCCTCGCCGAGCGCAGGCGGCGCGAGGAGGCCAAGGTCGCGCGGCGGCGGGCCAAGCACGACGCGCCGAGCGGGAGGAGCAGGGCAGCGGCACCTGCATCGGAACACGTTCCGGGCAGGGCGTCGCTCGACACGGCGGCGGCCGTCACGCACGCGTTGCAGCTGTCGGGGCAGATGCCGCTCGTCGAGGGTCGGCGGGGACTCGGCTTTGCGTTCTCGGACAAGGACGGCCTCCACGAGCACTGTGAGTCCCCTCGCACATGGCCCTGTATCAGTGCGACGTCGAGATGCGTCCGGAAGAGCGAGCCCTGACCAGCTAAACCCACAGCCTCGAACCACCCGCGTCGGTCCTCCCGCTCTGCGCCCGACGCTCCCGCCACCCGCCGCCCGCCAACGCGCTTCGCCACCACCGAGGACGCCGCTGTCGCCCTCGAGACCGACTCGACGACCAGCACGACCCGCCGAGTGCGCTTCGAGCAGCCGTATCGTCCTCCCGGTCGCGAGCGCTCGAGCAGCGGCGGCACAATCGCTTTGCAGCCCGAGCACATCGTCTTCCCGGACGCCCTGCCGGCGCCACCAACGCCGACCTTGTCGGTGACGACGCCGAGGTCGGGCGGCTCGCGACGGTCGTCGGCCGCGTCGTCGAGCCTGTTCAGCCCCGTGTCGAGCGGCCTCTCGAGCCCGCCGACGTCGCTCGCGCCGTCGCCCGCCTCGCCCCGCCCGAGAAGCCCGCGACGAGCGTCAGGCCCAGTCGTCCTCCCGACCGAGCTGCAGGCGCCTCGCTCGGCGGCCAGGCTCTACTTCCCGTCGGGGCCGGCCAGGCCGGCGTCGATCCGGTCGTACGGCATGCCGTCGCCCGTCCTGTCGCAGGCGTCATTCTCGGGCCACATCTTTCCTTCCCGCACTCGCGACAAGGCGTCGTCGGCCGTCGCCGTGTCGCCAGTTCCGCCGTCGACCCACCACTACTTTCCCTCGCCAGCACCTTCTTCGGCTCGACAGCCCATCTTTCCGTCGTCGCAGTCACCTCGCGCTCAGTTCGAGACGGCGGCACCCTTCCCTGTCCGACAGCCGCCGTCGACGGCGGCGACGTCGCCCCGACCCGACTCGACCTTTCCCTCGCCCTCAACCTCGCGCTCGCCCTTTCCTCCTCCGCCTCAGCACTCGCCGCAAGCTCGCTACCTTGCGAGTCATATCGGCGCGCCTGTCGCTGCCGCCACGCCGTCGCCCCCGAGCGCAGAGCGCTCGAGCGCGAGCACGCACCCCGACTCGGCGCGACGGCGCTCCCAGAGCGCGCCCTGGGAGGCGCCGGCGATGCCCTCGTACCTGCTGGATGCAGGCGGCGCGGGCGATGAGCTCGACCGCATGATGCGGGCGCAGCGGCGGGCCGACCTCGACGAGCGCGCGACCTCGAGGGCGCGCGACGAGCGGCGGCGCAACATCCAGGCCGAGCTCCTCCGCTATGTCGTCCCGGCCGGCGTCAAGGGCGAGCAAGACTCGCTCAGCGTGCTCGTGTCCAAGGAGCCGCTGTCGCCGCAGGACCTCGCGTTCGACCGCGCGCTGCTCGAGGCCGAGCCCAAGCGCAAGTCGCTCGGCGTCTCGCTCCTGTCGGACGAGGACGACACGCGCCGGTGGTCGACGACGCCGACCATCACGCCCGAGACGGCGCACCTGTCGGCGCACTCGAGCAACCCGTCGTCGGTCGTCCTGCGTCGAATCGGCAGCGAGGGCGTCGAATCGGACGGCGGCAATTTGACGGCCACGGCGCCGCTCGACAACGGCCTCAACACGTCCATCTCGTCGACGTCGAGCGACATCTCGAGCCTGCCGTCGTTCCCGGACGTGCCCCATCACTACCTCGCGCCGCCCGTTCCCGCGTTTCCAGCGCAGCACGAGCACTTCCCGAGCGTCGTCGGCAAACCTGTCGCCGCCGCCGCTGCCCCTATCGCGACCGACGGTGCTCGGTCGGCACCCGCAACCGCCTCGAGCGCCAACCGCCTCAGCCTCGCGTCCGAGACGGGCGTGTCGGTCTACGAGGACGTGCCTTCTTCGCCTCCTGCGGCGCCGGCCGTCGCCGCGAGCGAGGAGGACGCGCAGCAGCACACGCGAGAGTGGGTCGAGGGCCTGTCGGGCGGCTCGGCAACAAGGAGGAGCTTGGGCGACATCGGCGAGGAGCCAGAGCTCGACGACGAGGTGCGCTCGCGCCTCTCTTTCTCTCCCCTTTACTTTCGCTTCGGCACACACTTTGACTTGCCTTCTCTCCTACAGACGCCCCTGAGCTCGCCACCCCTCGCCAACGTTACCCCTCCTCGCCCGGCCGATCTCGCCTTTCCCTCTCCCGCCAGGAGCGCAACGAGTACTCGTCCCCTCGAGCGCACCCTCCTCCCCTCTTCCTCGTCCCACGCCTCACTCGCCCTCGACCTCCACCGCACCCAGTCGCCTGCCGCGTCGCTCCGCTCAGCGGCCGGCTCGTCGAGCGCCGTCTCGTACGTCGCCACATCATCGGGCTCGCCTCGAGCGGCGCAGCCGGCCTACTTCAAGCCCAAGCTGTCGCTCGGCAAGAAGCTCGGCGCCTTGTTCGGCTCGGGCACCTCGAGCGGCGGCGGCTCGGGCGGCGGCGTCGGCGGACTCGGTCGTTCGGCCGGCATCGGCTCGCAGGACGTGCTCCCTCTCGGCGGCGCGTCGGGCGACCTCGAGCCTCCTTCGCCGCGAGCAGGGCTCGGCGCAGGCTGGGCACCGCATGGGCGCGCGCGCAGCGCCGCCTCGGCGTCGACGGCGTCGTTGGCGACCGTGCCGCCGTCGCCCACCGTGAGCAGCGGTCCGAGCGCGCGGGCGCCGTCTTCTTTCGCCGGGTCGGCGAGCGGCGAACGAGCGCCTCCTTCGACCGCCTCGCACGGCAGCGTCGCAGCGTCGTCGGCGCCGGCGCCGGCCTCGGCTGGGCCCCTCGACGCGCTCCTCGCGCGGTTCGAGCAGGAGGACAAGGAGCGGTTCAGGGGCATCGCGGCGGCGAGGGCGCAGGGTGCCGTGCTCCGACGAGGGAGCGAGGGCCTCGTCGCTGCGTAGCTCGCCTCTCGTGCGCCCTCGTCGAGCTGTCGAACGTGATTTATCTCTATCTCTCTCTCTCTTCCTCTCGATTCTCTCGTGCGCGAGACAGTGCGAGAGAAGGAGTGGCATTTCGGCAGAGGCACAACACCGAGAGGGAGGAGCACAGAGGGACGGGGAAAGCGCAAAGATGCGAGGAGGGAAAGAGGAGAGAGCATGCGAGAGGTGCGAGGTGCGAGGGGCGAGGGGCGATCTACTTGGGGATGTGCTCCTTGGCCTGCTGCCGGACGCGCTTCCTGCGAGACAGGGCGAGAGGAGATACAGGTCAGGGTCGGTCCAAGATCCTCGAGACGGGCCTCGAGCGCGCGAGAAGAGGGGATTCAAGAGGACGCACTCGTACGCGACCTTGTCCTTCTTGAAGACGGTGTACGCCTCGAGCTGCGCCGGGTCCTCAGCGTTGGGCGCGTCGAGGAGCTCCTGGATGCCGACGAGGATCTGGTCGAACGGTGGGACGAGGGCGAGCAAGGTCAGCGCCGCCGAGAGGGAGAAGGAGAGGGAGAGTGGAGGGGGACGCACCTGCTTGACCGTGATCGCCGGCTTCCACGACTTTTCCTCGTTCAGAATGGACAAGCAGACCGTTCCGGACGGGTAGACGTTCGGGTGGTAGAAGCTGCAGAGGAAAGAGGCCGAGGTTAGTCACGCGAAGGTTGAGGAGAGGGACGAGGCAAAGTTGAGCTCACTTGGCCGGGAACTTGCCTGTACACGCACGCAGTGAGGAAGGACGTGTCAGAGAGCGTCTCGGGGGAGAGGAGGGGGCGGACGAGGCGCACACTTGGGCGGCTTCGAGGGGTAGTCTGCGCAGGACCGTGCGGCGGCATCAGTTTTTGCTCATTCGAGAGAGAGGGGCACAGAGAGAGAGAGAGAGTCGAGACGCACCGTCGGGAAACAGGAGCGAGATGGGGAACACGCCACCCTCCCACGCCGTCTGCGTCGAGTCGAGGAACGAGGTCAGTGAGGAACGAGAGGAGAGAGAGGTAGAGAGAGAGAGAGGGGGACGCACGCCGTCCTTGCCCGGGATGCCGGCCTCCCAGGTCTGCATGTCCATGGTGCCGTCCGTGTTCTTCTTCGGCTTTGCCCAGAAGCCGTACGGGTGGTCCTGTTTGCGAGACGGACGACGAGCTGTCAGCGGCGGGAGGGAGGAGGGGGACCCTGAGAGAGAGAGAGAGAGAGAGAGTGGGGGCACACCTTGCGCCAGGCCTTGCGCTCCTCTGTGAGACGCCTCTGGCAGATGCCCGACATGGTTGACGAGGGAGGGACGAGAGAAGGTGGGGAGAGTCTGCGAGCGGGACGAGCAAGTCAGTGCCGCTCTGCTGGATCGTGAGGGTGCTGCGGCCGCTCGTCGTGTAGCGTCTTGGGCAGTATTCGAGGGCTCTGCTGCTCTATCGAAGCGAGGTTGACCGAGGTGCGAGACGGCGGCGAGTTGGTCGAGGCGACGAGAGGACCGACGGCACGGCGCGCTGCGAGAATCGGGCGTGTTGTGGGTGGAGAGAGTAGACGGACCTGTGTAGGGCACACGCAGGCCTGCTCGAGACGAGTGGGGCCGGGTCGGGGGGTCGCGGTGCGAGGCCAACTTGAAGCTGGTCGTCGCCTCGTCCTCCACATCGTCTCGCTCTCGCCTGGCCAGCTCAAGGGGCCCAGTGCGACCATGGCAGAGTCTCCCAACGTGCCCTCCGAGTACCCGGACGACGACGGCCTCGACCTGGGTTCGGCCTCCCTCGTCGCCCTCGACCCGTCGCCGGTGGACCCGCTGTACGGCGACGGAGCACTCTCGCCAAAGATCCACGCCGACCAAGACGACGACGACGCCATCCTCAACTCGCCCCCACCGCCACAACCCCCCGCCGCGCCCGCACCGCAACCTCGTCCTCCCTCCACCTCGGCTCCCCCTCCCTCTCTCCCGCCAAAACCCGCTCACCCGCCCGCGCACCCTCTCCCGCAACGCCCTCCCCACCCTCCACCTCAACCCCGACACCTCCCCGACGGCCTCGTGTACAACCCGGCCCTGCACCCGCCCAAACGCGACCTCCCCGTCCCCGACCGCATCCCGGGCGAGCCCGTCCTCGACGGCGACAAGCACTGGAACCTCAAGAAGCACCTCGCCGACTTGTGCGGCACCCACGGCACCGCAAGGTCCGTCTCTCTCTCGCCCTCCCCCTCGCAACGACGGCGACCTTCGCAACTCGAGGACGTGCACTGACCCGCTCTCTGCGTCGCCTCGCACAGGTTCCCCGGCAGCCAGCCTGTCAGCTTCGACTACGAGAGCCTCAAGCTTCTCGAGCAAGAAGAGTGCGTCCGCCTTTCGCTCCAGGTCCTGCTCGTCGACGACGTCGTCGTCGAACAGGTGCGGCCCGCGACGGCGCTCACGCTCGCCTTGCCTCGTCGCTCGCAGCTTCTGGGTGTGCGAGAAGTCGGACGGTGTCCGTGTCCTCGTCCTCATCGTCGCGACCGGGTTCGGCCAGGAGGTCTACCTCGTGCGTCCCCCTCTCCCTCTCCCTCTCGCGACGCCTCGACTGACTCGCCCTCACCCCGACTCGCAGATCGACCGCAAGGACGCGATCCACCAGTGCTACTGGCTCACGTTCCCGCACCAGGACGGGCCCGAGTTCAATCACTCGAACACGGTCCTCGACGGCGAGTTCGTCATCGACGTCGACCCCGAGTCGGGCAAGGTGCGCCCACCGCTCCCTCTCCCTCTTCCGGCCGTCGACAGCAGAAACCTGACGCACGACCGAATCGCTCGCAGCACATTCCGCGACTACTCGTCTTTGACCTGCTCGTCCTCGACTCGGAGAACCTCATGGGCAAGTCGCTCCAGAAGCGCTATGGGGTGCGTCCCGCTCTCTCTCTTCGTCGCCTGTCTCTCCTCGCCCTCGGTATTGACGCTTCTCGACGTGCAGCGTCTGCAATCCTACGTCGTCAAGCCGTACGAGAAGTACCAGCGCACGCTCCCGCCCGACGTCCTCGCCAACCAGCCTTTCCAGTGCGTCCTCGCCTCGCCCTCGCCCTTCCTCTCCTACTACTAGACCCGTGCCCTGACTCGGTGCGCCCGCACGTCGCGCAGGGTCGTGTGCAAGAAGCAGGAGCTGTCGTACGGCATCGAGGCCGTCTTTCGGGATCATGTGCCCAAGCTCTTGCACGGCAACGACGGCCTCATCTTTACGAGCGCCGAGGCGCCCTACACGCCGGGCACGGACCAGAAGATGTGCGTCCCCTGCCCTTTCTGATTCTCTCGAGCCGGACGAGCCCGCACTGACCTCTCGCCTCCCTCCTCCTGCCTCTCTCTCTCACTCTATACCTCCTTGCCGCCGCGACAGCCTCAAGTGGAAGCCGCCGTCGGAGAACAGCATCGACTTTGTCCTGCAGCTCAAGTTCCCGCCCAAGCGCGACAACGAGCGCGAGGCCGACTTTTACGCCAAGCCCGTCTTTATGCTGCTCATGAACCACGGGCACGAGGGCAGCCACTACTACGACACGATGGAGGTCGACGACGAGACGTGGGAGACGTGCGTCCCCGATCTCTTCCTCTCTCGACTCGCGCGCGAGCCTGGACCTGACCTTTGCACGTCCCCTCCCTTTGCCTCCTCTCCTCTCCTCGCCTCGCCTCGTCGGTCGTCCCTCGCACCCGCAGGTGGAAGCGTTCGGGCGAGCAGTACGACGACCGGGTGGTCGAGGTCGTGTGGGACGCGGCGCGGTCGACGTGGCGGCTGCTGCGGTTCCGCGACGACAAGTTCGAGGGCAACTACAAGTCGGTCGTGAGCTCGATCATCCGCAGCATCGAGCACGGCGTCGAGGCCGAGCAGCTCGTCGCGCACGCGGCGCGCATCAAGAAGGCGTGGAAGGCGCGCCAGGCGAGGAGGGAGGACGAGGAGCGAAGGGCACAGGCGGCGCAGGCGGCGCAGGTGAGGAGCCACGGCCCGCCGCCGCCCGGGCTCGGAGGGTACACGCCGCAGGGAGTGCACGTCGCGCCGCCGATGCATGGCTCGGGCGGGTACGGCGGCGGCGGCGGCGCGGGAGCAGGAGGAGGAGGAGGCGGCCTGCTGCGGCGGTGAGGGCGGGTTCGAGCAGCCGAGGTGCGAGGGCGTGGAGGCGTGCATGTTGTACACTCTAGTCGCAACCCAGCAGGATATCGAGCTTGTAGCGGCGGCTCGAAGACGGGCTCGAGCGAGCAAGAGAGGTCGAGGTGCGAGATGCGGCGCGGTGGTCGTATCGCATTGGGCGAGAGCATGAGAGGCAGAGCGAGCTGGTGGCTTTGGGCTGTCTGTCGCTGCAGCTAGTGTCGACGCAGTTGGCGTTGGTGGTGGTCGCGCGTGAGCGGGGGAGGAGGTTGGCGTCGGCCGTCGCTCCCACCTCGCCTCCCCCTCGCCCGCGCACAGCTACGCACCCAGCTACACCTTCGACAGCTGCACACCAGCACCAGCCACCTGCCCACCACACCGGCCCACTGCAACCCCCGTCAGCGTTGCGCAAACAGCTCCCCGCCTGTCGCCGTCACCCCTCCGTCGTCCACCCGACCTCGCCGCCAGCCAGCCCAGCATGGCCGACATCGCAGAGACTGATCAGTGTACGCTGTCGCGCTCTCCCGTTCGAGCCAGCAACCGCCCTTGCCCCCTCGCTCGCCCCGTTCGACTCCCCAGCCTCGTTCGCGCTCGCCCGCCCTTTCCCCTGGCGTGTGCTCACACACCGACCAGCGACCTCGCCAACCCCAACCCTCGCCAGCACTCGCCAACCCGTTCACGACCCTGCGAGTGCTCCCAGCACTCGGTCGAGCCACGAGCGGCACCTTGTCGGCTCGAGACGGCCGCGAGCAGGACCGTCGACGGCGCCACCTGTCGAGAGCCTCCCTCTCGACACCCTCGCTCATCCCCTTGCGGTCGCAGTCGGGCATGAGCGGCTAGCGAGGGACCTGCCTGCAGCACTCGCGGCCCTTTCACGAGCACCTGCCCCCGACTCGGTCGAGCCGTCGACTGACATCTCCCCCTCCTCCCTCTCTCCCCACCTTGTCCGCAAACAGGGATCGCCCACCTCTCCGACTGCAAGCAGCTCACCGAGAACGACGTCAAGCGCTTGTGCGACAAGGTGCGCACCCGACCACTCCCTCGTTCCCTCTCGCCCGTCGTCGAGCCGTCTCTGATTCTTGCGTTCGTCCTCCTCTCGCAGGCGCGGGAAGTACTCGTCGAGGAGAGCAACGTGCAGCCCGTCAGGTGTCCCGTCACCGTGTGCGGCGACATCCACGGCCAGTTTGTGCGTCGCCCCGTTCCCTCCTCTCCTCCCGGGCTCGACGTCGAGCGAGGCCTGACCTCTCTTCCCTCCTGCGCCCGCTCCAGCACGACCTGTCCGAGCTGTTCCGCATCGGCGGCAACTCGCCCGACACCAACTACCTGTTCATGGGCGACTACGTCGACCGCGGCTACTACTCGGTCGAGACGGTCACGCTCCTCGTCGCGCTCAAGGTGCGGTACCGCGACCGCGTCACCATCCTGCGCGGCAACCACGAGTCGCGCCAGATCACCCAGGTGTACGGCTTCTACGACGAGTGCCTGCGCAAGTACGGCAACGCCAACGTGTGGAAGTACTTCACCGACCTGTTCGACTTCCTGCCCCTCACGGCCCTCATCGACGACCAGGTGCGCCGCCTCGTCCCTCTTTTCGGTCCCTTAGCGGCGACGACGACGTACTGACTCACCATGTACGCGCAGATCTTCTGCCTGCACGGCGGCCTGTCGCCTTCGATCGACACGCTCGACCACATCCGCTCGATCGACCGCATCCAGGAGGTGCCGCACGAGGGCCCCATGTGCGACCTCTTGTGGTCCGACCCGGACGACCGCTGCGGGTGGGGAATCTCGCCGCGAGGCGCCGGCTACACGTTCGGGCAGGACATCTCGGAGGCGTTCAACCACAACAACGGCCTGACGCTCGTCGCGCGCGCGCATCAGCTCGTCATGGAGGGCTTGTGCGTCCCTCTCGTTCTCCTTTCAGCGTCGTGCGCGTTGAGCGAGCGAGCACTGACTCGCCCTCGTCGTCCCGCAGCAACTGGTCGCACGACCGAAATGTCGTCACCATCTTCTCGGCGCCCAACTACTGCTACCGCTGCGGCAACCAGGCGGCCATCATGGAGATCGACGAGAACATGAAGTACACCTTGTGCGTCCCCTCCTCTCTCTCTTTCTGTCTCTCCTCGCCGACGCGCACTGACCGCGCTCGGCCCTCTTCCTCCTTCTCGACTCGTACAGCCTCCAATTCGACCCGGCGCCAAGGGCAGGAGAGCCGCTCGTCTCGAGGAGGGTGCCCGACGTGCGTCCTCGCCTGTTTCTCTCCTCGTTCGTCGCGACCTCGACGCCGACCCTGACCTTCTCTTCCTGTTCGCCCCGTTCTCGCAGTACTTCTTGTAAACGGCTCCTAGACGCCTCCCTTCTTCTTCTCGGTCCTTCTTTTTCACGTTGTCCCACCCCCTTTTCGCCGCTCGCCGCATCCCGCCGTCGTCGTCGTCGTCGTTCGCCCGATCGTCGGTGGAACCGCCCATTCTCATTTTCGTGTATAAACCCCCCTCCGCGTCCTTTGAAGACCCCCCCTCTCGGCTCGTCGCAGTCGCCCTTCCTACTCTCTTTCGCTCTTGCACGGTCGCTCGAGCGGTGCAGACCATCGTTTCGGCGCCGACCTCTTCCCCTTCCCTCCCTCCCTCCCTCACCTCGACACCCTCATTCCCTCCCGACCGACCGACCCTTGACTCAACCGACTGACTCAGTGCACCCGAAATGAGATCCACTGCGGTCACTCTCTGGGGCCGACATGGACGAGCGAGAGCGAGAGCGAGAGCAAGGTGCAGAAGCTGTCGGCGCGGGCGCGACTCGAGAGCTGGGCCTTGGCCCTCGCGCGACATGCGCCCGCATGGCAACCTCTTTGCCACGTGAAAGAGCGAGTGAGCGCTGAACGACCGAGAAAGTGCGAGGTCTGAGTGCGAGATTCCCAGCCCCGCCTCCTGGACCTCCTCCCGGGCGTCGAGTCGAGCGGGCAGCACCAGGAGCGGCCGGCAGATTTGGGCCCATCGTCGAGCACCCGTCTCGATAAGTCGATCGAGCCTTGCACCGTCGAGAAAGAACGAGGCCTGACAGCGAGAAATCGAGTCGCTCCTCCTGGACTTCCTCCTGAGTGCGAGAGTCGAGCAACCACGCTCTCGAGCGGGCTCCGTCAGGGGACCGTCGGCTGACAGCTGTCCTGGAAGCTGAGAGACAAGGGAAAGCGAGCGTCGGGCTTTCCAGCATGCGTCGCCAGGAACGAGGAGTCGCAACGATGGCTCGCGCGACGACGACGGGCGAACGGACGCTCAACGCGAGGCAATGTGGTATCTTGCAGGTTCTGTGCAGGCTAGGGAGGTGTCTGTCGACAGGGCGAGGCCGACGAGAGAGAGAGGAACTATGAACGAGTGCGAGGGGAAACGGGCAAAAAGGGGGCGCGAGCGCGACTCAAAAGGGGGTATCCTGAACGGGTGCGAGTCTGCGTAGGAGAGGAAGAGAGTCAGTCGCGAGACGAGGAGGAAGAGAGGGTGGACGAGAGAGGCGACGCACGAAAAGGTATCGAGGTTGCGACGACGAGGGCTCATCGCAAACCTTTGCGCCGCGGCGCCGCCGCCGTCGACGACGCTAACGACGATGAGAGCGACGACGCAGCACCTCCGACGATGTCGGCCGCCCCGCCGACGGTCCTCCTTCTGCGCAAGCGCCTGTCGCTCTCTGCGCCCGCTCCCGCCTCTCCGACCGTCGTTCCCTCGCCGTCGCTCCCGCTGCGGCTCCTCGTCATCGGCGTCGACATCGCCAGCTCTGCCGTCTCGGGTCGCTCGTCCTCCATGACGGCCGCGAGCGTGCCGCCCACCGCGCCGCTGCTCGGCGACCCGCCAAAAGTGCGCCGCCGGCCCGTCGAGGACGCCGCCGACGACGACGACGCGGGCGGGCTCGGGTACGCCGCGCTCACCGTGGGCGCAGCGCTGTCCGATACGGTGCGCGTGCGGCGCGCCGAGGCGGACGAGGTGGGCGACGACGGGGCCGCGGCGCCGAGTGCGGGACGAGGGCGCGGCCTGAGCACGCGAGGCGCGCCGAGCTCGGCTGACGCGGCCGCTGCGAGCGTCGGCGGCGACGTACGGCGTGCGCCTGGCCAGTGCAGCGATGCGGGTGTTGGGGGCGCAGCGGCGGCGTGGCGGGCGTACGCGCCCGTCGACGGGGAGGAGGGCTCGCCGCTGCGGAAGGTCGGCGCGGCCGAGCGGGTGCGGCGCAGGGCGGTACTGCGCGGGATACGCGACTGGGACGGTGACGGGGACGAGGGGGTGTTCTCGGCAGAGGGTTCGCGGCGGCGTGCGGCGTTGGTCGGCGAGAAGGCGGGAATCGGGAGGAGGAGCTCTGGGTCGATGCGCTGCGGGAGGGACGGCTGAGTGAGTACAGGGTGCACGCAAGCGAGTGCTGTGCAGGTGATGGACGGAGCGCCGACCCTCCCGGAGAGCTGCGCCAGGCTGCGCGACCCAAAGTTGAGCGAGGTGGGGCCGCACTCGCACTTTTGGCGGCGCGTCGTCGACACAGCCCACGACGCGCTCGACAGGCCGCATGCGCGCGTCGCTCATTCCTTGCACCCTCTGCCGCTCTCCTGCGCGTGCCCGCAACGGCCCCAACGTCCCTCGCGTGGCGCGAAGCTGCCCCCCTGCTCGTCGCGTCCTCGTCGCGCGAGTCGACGAGCCCGCCTGCGCGCGGCTCGGCACCCGCCTGCGCTCGAGAGTGTGCGAGAGAAAGAGGATGCGCACCTGCAGCCTGCGTGACGCGGTGCCCTCGCGGCCGAGGACGGCGTTGGTCACGTCTGCGAGCGGTTCCCTCGTCCAGCGCGTCGGCGACTCGGGGTTGGCGAGCGTCTTTGAGCGGCGCAAGGCCGGGCGGGAGGGGGTCGAGGCGTTGCAGCCCGAGTTGAACGGGTTGAGCCGGTTCGGGTCGGGCGGCGGAGGCGGGCTGGACGAGGCCATCCGAGGACGAGTGAGGAGGTGACGGCGGAGAGGGGGGGAAGAGAGCGAGAGCGAGGCTGGCGAGTCGAGGGCCGTGGTTGGCGAGGTGGGTGGGGTGGAGGGGCAGGAAGGGGCACAGCTGGGCACAGACACGAAACACAAGCGACTGCTGGAATGACGAGCGAGAGAGAGAGACAGGAGAGCAGCGAGTCTCGCTCGCTCGCGTTCTCATGTTTAACGAACTAAACCCTCATGGCTAACGTACTAAGCTCTCATGGCTAACGTACTAAGCTCTCATGTTTCACGTACTAAGCGAGCGCGCACCGAAAGCCGGACGCGCCGAGAGCCGAGAGCTGCCACTTCTCCGACTCGAGAAGGTCGACCGCCTCTCGACGAGAGCGCGCACAACGACCGCACGAAGCAAACATGCTAGTGCAGCCTCGACAACGAGGGCGACGTCGAGGTACCAAAAAATCCCTCGCGCCCTCCTAACTCGTGCCGAATCAAGCGCCTCCCCCTCCTCGTCCCGCAAGCCGCCCTCGCTCTCTTTCCTCCCTCGCTCACGCGTGCGTCACCAGCTCGGCCCTCCCGCCCTCCTCCTGGTGCCGCACCGTCTCCCACCCGCCCTCGTCGGCCCTCACGCCGTCGCGCGCCCGGATCCGCGCCGCCTCGTCGTCACTCACGGCGCGCTCAGGCCCGCGCGCCCGCTCGGCGCGCTCGCGCTCGGCCTCGCGCGCGGCGGCCTCGACCGACGGGTACGACGTCGCCGGTGCGGGTGCGGCCGTGGTCGTGGTGGGCGAGGTGGAAGAGGACGAGGGGGAAAGCTTGGCGGCGTCCCATGCGCGGCCGGACGAGAGGGCGAGCTTGCGCGCGGCCGAGCGGGCACGCTCCTCGTCGATCTGGCGCTGCAGCTGCGCGAGGTGGATACCAAGGTAGGTCAGTAAGGCGTCAAGGGTCGACCCAACCGAGCAGGCCGTCGAGGACCTGCAAGAGCAAGTCCCGCCGACGGGCGTAGGAAAGGAGGACCGAGCCGACGCACCTCTGCCGTCCTCGCCTTCTTGGCCCTCTCCTCCTTGTCGGCGTCGCTCAGGCGCTGCACGCGCTCGCGCTCCTGGCGCGCGAGCTCGTCGACCTCGGCCGAGCGGCGCGCGTCGCGCTCGGCCTCGAAGCGGGCGCGGTCCTGCGTGGCGGCCTGCAGGTGGCGACGAGGGTATGCAAGTCAGGAGAGGGAGAAAGGATGAGGAAGGGAAGAAAGGCGGCGGCCAGGTCAGTCGCCGAACGAGGAAGCGAGAGGGACATCGAGTGAGAGAGGAGGGCGCACCTCCATCTTGCCGCGGATCTCGTCGTTCTTGAGGCGCATCTTGGCCATGAGCACGTCGAGCTCCTCGGGCGTCTTCTTCTCCTGCTCGACGTGCGCGCACAGAGGCGTCAGTTTCTCTGGCGAGGTCCTGTCGCACATCCCCCGCCGCTCGCGCGTGCGCGAGCAAGCGGGAGAGGGAGAGGTCGACCGAAAGAGAGAGCGCGCGACGCACCCTCTTGGTCCCGCCGCTCGCGAGTCTCGCGTCGCGCTCCTTCTTCCGCTCGTCGTCCTTGACGCGCCACTGCTCCCTCCTCGGGCTCTTGGCGTCGAGCTCCTGCACGGCAACGACGAGAACGTTCATCAGTACGTGCCTCACTTGAGCGAGGCCGGCGACGAGATGAAGAGGAGGGTCGAGCGCACCTGGCGCTTGGCCGCCGCCGACGTCGTGCGCTGCTGCAGCGAGATGAGCTGGCGCTCGAGGTCGCCCGTCTTCTGCAGTGTCTGCTGGGCGAGACGGGGTCCGAGAGGGTACGAGGAGAGGAAGGAGGGGCACAGAGTCAGTGCTGCGACGAGAGGGAGGGACGAGGGGAGAAGCGAAAGAGGACGGCGCACCGCCTTGACCTCGGCCGACTGCTCGGGAACGTCCCACTCGGCCGCCGGGAGCACGCTCGACGCCCCGCCGGTGCTCGACGGTGGGGCCGATACCGTCGCCGCCGCTGAGGACGAGTTGACGCCCGTGCGAGGCGCCGGTGCGGGTCCGGGCGCAGCAGCGGCGGCGCCGACTGGCGCTGGACCCGGGGCGTGCTTCGAAGCAGTCGGCGGTGCGGGAGGACGAGAAGAGGAAGTGGGCGAGAGCGAGGGCTTGGCGGTGGCGGCGGTCGGGCGAGTGGAAGGAGGAGCGAGCGCGGCCGGCTTGGGCGCGGCGGCGGCGGGCGTAGGCGCCGGCACGGGCGGTGCGAGAGGCTGCTGCGGGGCGCTCGTGCTGCCCGACGACGGCGCAGGTCCCGGCGCAGGCGCAGGCGACGCCCACTTGCTCGCGCGCGCCGATCCGCTCGTTGGGCTCGCGGCCGCCGCCGACGACGTCGCTCCGCCCTGGCTCGCCGATGCCGCCGCTCCACCCTGACTCGCCGCCGACGTGCTCGACGCCGGCGCGCCCGTCACCGAGCCCGAGCCCATGCCGACGCCCAAGCCCGCCGCGCCCGCCTTGCTCGCCGCACGGGCCGTCCCCCACTTGACCGGCTTGCGCTCGCCCGACGCGTGCTGCTGCGACGCGCCGCCGCCAGACGACGCCGTCGAGGCGGCCGAGTCGCCGTACCCACGCGGGTGCGGGTCGGGCGCGCTGAACTTGCGCGCGGTGCAGAACTCGGACTTGCCCTGGGCCCAGTTGCCGATCGGCTGTGTGCGAGGGGAGCGAGGCGTAGAGACAGAGAGTCAGTCGACGCTCTGAGAGAGAGGACGAGCGAAGGGGACGCACACGGACGACGTTGTTGGGGGGCGCGTCGGGCTTGTAGATGCTCCAGGCGCTCGCCGGGGGCTGCGACGCCGCCCTCGGCGGGTCCGACGCCGGCGCCGGGTTGCTCGCCTTGGCGAGGTCGGCACGGAGGACGGCGTGCGCAGGCGCAGGCTGGTAGACGTGCGAGGACGAGGGCGAGTGGCCGGACCCGGACGCGACGGGCTCGTGAGCGCGGTAGGGCTGGACCTCGGGGCCCTTGAGGCGGACCTGGTCGGCCATGGTGCCGCGGGAGGTCGGTGGTGCGGCAGTGGACGAGTGCGAGGCGGTGGTGGCGGCCGTGAGGTGCGGTGGGTTCTGGCGAAGTGGGGCGGGTGCGGCGGTCGACGAGGGCTGGCGCGGCGGCGGCGCAGGCTGGGCGTGGCGCGAGGTCGAGGTCGACGGGAGGCTGGCGACGCGGTGCAGGGTGCGGGACGGGTCGAGCTTGAGCTTGAGGGTGCGCGACGAGTCGGTCGGGTCGACGACGACGGGGACGGGCGCGTCTTCGAGGGCGCTCTTGGGGAGGACGCCGCCGCCCCAGCCCTTGCCCGTGCCGGGAACGTCTTGCGCTGCGCCTCCTTGACCGGGTTCTGCAGGCGAACGAGGCGAGGTGAGTCGGTGAGGCGGAGGGACGGACGAGGAGGAGCCGGCGGGGGGAGGTGAGCTCACTCCACGCCGTCCTGCCTCCGGCTTTGCGGAACGCGGCTGCTTCTGCCGAGGGAGCTCTTGACGGGGCGATGCGGTCGCGGGAGCGCATCGAGGGTGTGGTCGAGTGAGGCGGAGGAGGACGAGGAGGGAGAGAGGGGGAGGGAGGGGTCGAGCGGCGGGGCAGGGGCGGACAGGGGGCGGACCGGGGTGCAGGTACGAGAGGAGAGTCCGCGGAGCAGGTGCGAGCTTGGCAGAGAGGAGCAAACGGCCGCAACTGAGATTCGCCCCCGCTTTCGTCGACGTCGTCCGTCCTCTCCTCCTCCCACCTCCCCCGCTCCCTCCCCTCCCTCCCATCACCCTCTGCCCGCCACCCGCCATGTCTGCCAACAAGGTCAAGCTCTCGACTTCGGACCAGGAGGAATTTGACGTCGACCGCGACGTCGCAAACCGCTCGGTCCTCATCAAGAACATGCTCGAGGGCACGCTCCCTCCCACTCGCCCTCCCAACCCTCACCTGCGTGCCTCCTCCTGACCACTGCACTCGACACACAGACCTCGGCGACTCGGACCAGGCCATCCCGCTCCCCAACGTCTCGGCCAACGTGCTCAAGAAGGTGCGTCCCTAGTCCTCCTCCCCGCGTCTCTCCTCGCCAGCCCTCGCCACCCCTCCAGGCGGGCCACTGCCAGCCTGTGCACCCGCCACAGCACCCACTGACACTCGTCCTGCACTCTCCTTCCCCCTCGCCCCGTTGCCACGAGCCAGGTCCTCGAGTGGTGCGAGCACCACAAGAAGGACCCCGAGCCCATCGCCGAGGACCTCGACGACAACCGCCGCAAGACGACCGAGATCAGCGACTGGGATGCCAAGTGTGCGTCCTCTCTCTCTCTCCCCTCTCGCACCGAGAGGTCGCCTCTCGCCGACCGACGACGAGGCCCCGCCTCGCCTCGTCCGTCTCGGCAGACCGCCCAAGTCAGAGCTGACTCCCCCTGGCACCCGGCACCACAGTCATCCAGGTCGACCAGGAGATGCTGTTCGAGATCATCCTCGCCGCCAACTACCTCGACATCAAGCCCCTCCTGTGCGTCCCCTCTCCCTCCCTCCCTCGAGCGCGCACTGACTCTGCCCCGACACACGTTCCACCCGCGTCCTCGTTTCTCCCACAGTGACGTCGGCTGCAAGACGGTCGCCAACATGATCAAGGGCAAGCAGCCCGAGGAGATCCGCAAGCTGTGCGTCCTCGTCACCCCCTCCTCGTCCGCCGCACACAGAGACTGACCTCGCGCTCCTTGCCACGACCAACAGCTTCAACATCGTCAACGACTTCACGCCGGAGGAGGAGGCGCAGATCAAGAAGGAGAACGAGTGGGCCGAGGACCGCGTGCGTCCCCTCTCGCTCCCTCGTCCTAGTCGTCCCGCAGCGTCCCTGACCTCGCGCCCCTCTCCCTTCCTCGCAGTAACCGGCTCTCCTCTACCTCCGTTCGACTCTCAGCCTCGCTTCGTCTGCCTCGGTCCCCCAGCTTGCCTCAGTTCCCCCCGCCTCGTCCCTCCCCCTCCCCGCTTGATGCCTCGTCTCTTTCCTCTCCTCTCTGTACCTGACCTACCCCCCCGTTCGCCTTCTCTCTCTCTCGTTCCTCTCCCTTTCGTTCCCTTCCCTCGTCGCCGCATCCGTGGTCGTCGTCGTCGTTGTGGCCTTCCCCTCCCCTCTCCTGCTTGCAAAAGATTACGCAACGCCGCTGTTTTGGGCCCTTTCCTTCTACCTCGCGTCGTCGCCGAGAGCTGCAAGGAGCCGAGAACTCGAGAGCAGAGCGAGCGAGAGCGAGAGCGAGGCAGTACTCGAGAGCAACTTGCGCTCGTCGCGCGACGTTTCTCGGGCATCCTCCTTCACCCGCAAGCGCGAACGAGTGCTGGGACCCTCTCGAGAGAGCGAGCAAGGTGCCCTGAGCCCTCGGCGTCCGCGAGCGCGCAGGACGGAGCAAGAGGCTCGTGCGGCTCTGACTCGCCGCGAGCCTGCTCCTCATCTCGCTCGCCGGCGTCGGCGAGGGCTTTCCTCCTCTCGCACACACGGTCGAGTCGACCTGCAGACGCCTCTCGAGCGCCTAAAGACGGGGAACGAGCGCGCAAAGACGACCTGCTCGTTGCACAGACCCTCGCTCGTCCCCCTCAAGTTCGCGCTGCGGACCTCTCGAGCTGCGCTGCGGGTGAGGGTCTGGGGTCAGTACGAGATCGAGGGCGAGAAAGAGAGAGAGAGGGAGAGAGAAGGGAAAGGAGGGACGCACCTGCGCTAGCTCGTCGTGGTTCCTCCTCCCGCACCCTGCTGCCGCTGCGCGATCGCCTGCATGAGCTTGACCACAGTGCCCACCGCCCCAGGCACCTCATCCGCCTCGACGCGGGCCAACGTGTCCCTCCAGATCTGCGTCGCCTCGACCTCGCTCCAGTGCGCGACGACGTACTCGAGGACGACCTTGCGCCACTCGTCGTACAGGACCGACGCCGGGTCGAACAGCTCGTGCGGCGCGCTCGTCGGCGTGAGCTGTTTGCCGAGCTCGACGAGACACATGCGCTGCAGCCGCTTGAGCTCGAGGAGGTGGGCGAGGCGGTAGGTCGACTTGGGCGAGACGGGGAAAAGGAGGTCTAGGTCCTCCCTGACGAGTTTGCGCAGGCGGTTGGCGCGCGACGAGGAAGAGGTCGAGGTGGGCTGGTCGGACGAGCACGAGGAGCGGAGCGGCGCAAAGTTGATGAAGCCCGTCGCGAGGAAGCGAAGGACGGCCTCGTAGGTCGAGTACGCCGCCGCCGTGATGACGACCTGCTTGTACGAGAAGTTGGACATGTCGGACGTGTCGTACAGGGGTGGGCGTCCATCCTCGAACGACAGCTGGTCGACCTCGTCGTCCGAGTCGTCAAAGTCCTTCTACGAGCTCGGCGCGGCTGCCTCTGCCGGCGACGTGGTGCGGCGAGGGCGCTTCGAGCCGACCTGGACGCTCTCGGAGAAGCCCGACGTGAGGAGCGTCTTGAAGTAGGGCGACGACCTTTCGAGGAGCTCGGCGTCGGCCCACAGCTCGACTGGTTCCTCGCCTCGGGGGAAGACGAGGCGGACTTTGGGCTGGATCGGCAGTCGGAACGACCCTGTAAGACAGGCGAAAACTTTGTCAGAGACAGGTGTATGTAGAAAGGACAGGGCGACGACGGACGATACGGCGTGCGGCTGCAGAGGTCTAGCTCTGCCCTCGTCGGGCTCGGCTTGGCCAGGGAGATCTGGAAGCGCAGGCGGAACAGCAGCACTGCGCCTTTGCTGTACTGCTCCTGGAACGCCGAGGACGTCTCCTTGATGTGGCCGGCCGTGAGGTCCGCCGACCAGCCGTTCCAGGCGCGACCGGTCTCCGGGTTTCCTTCGGGAAACTCGTCCTCGTTCCACAGCCCGCCCGCAAGTCGCTCCACCTCCTCGCCGTTGACCCACTCGAGGCGTACTGCGACCGTCCCGCCATGGCCGAGCTGGCCGGCGACGAGATTGTGGTCGACGCCGAAGCTGAGCGGCTCCTCGGCGGCGGTGCGGGAAAACTCGACGCTCCATCGACCAGGGAAGGGCAGGCCGGCGAGCTCATGACTCTGCACGACCCTGGGGCTGGTGAGGTCGACGCGGACGTCGGCGACGAAAGTCCAGTCGAAGCTGCCCTCGCGCGAGAGCGAGAGGAGCTGGCGGCCGGCGGGCTGCGGCGGCATGGTGGAGGAGGGCGTGGGCGAGGTGGCGACTGGGACGGAGCTCGAGAGGCTCAGCTGGCGAGCACTGGAGCCGAGACGGTGGTGAGAGCAGGAGGAGGAGGGAGAGTTGAGCAAGGTGATGAAAAGCGCGGGCCGCACCGCTCGCACCTCGCTCGTGCTTGGCCGCCTTGAGGATGCGCAGTCTCTCCTGAGGACACTCCAGTGCGGCTGAAGCAGCCATTCGGTCCAGCGTGGGCCGAGGGAGCGCGCTCTCCTCCTCTCCTCCTCCTCACCGCTCGCGGGCAGCTCGACGAGCTTGCGCTGCTTGCCCAACTCTCATTGCGAGCTTGCGACCTCTCGCGCATTGAAGCCGAGAACAAGACAGACACTGCAACACGAAAGAAAGCTTTGCGATTCCACCCAGTTGCTAGCGACCGAGCCCTCGTCCTGCTCTTCGACCTCCGACAGCGCCCGAGCCTGCACGCTCACAGGAACTGCTTCGTCTTGAGCCACGCCTCGACGTCTCCTGCGTCGCGCTCGAGCCACGCCGCCTTGGACCGCACCGAGTCGAGGCCCTGGCTGAGCGGCTGGCCGAACGCGGTCGTGTCCTTGTCGGCGAAGAAGGCCTCGACGTCCTTGGCGTCCGAGGTCGACGACAGCGAGAAGAACGAGTACTTGATGATGTTGCCGACCGAGAAGCTGTGGCAAGTGAGGGACGGCGCGCGCGAGGGGAGGTGGAGAGAGGGAGAGGAAGATGGGTCGAGGAAGGGTGAGCTCGCGCTCTGGCGATGACGCCGGCGACGACAGGGAAGGGCAGAAAGGAGGGAGCGGTCCGACTCACTTGCCCTTGAAGCGGACCATGAGCTCGTCGTAGTTGGCCTTGAACCACTCCCACGTCTTGCGCTTCGAGACGCGGTTGCGGCCGAGGCTCGCGATGAACGAGCCCATGTCCTGGTTCTTCACCTCGCCCGACAGGAGCAGGCCGAACGTGCGGTCGAGGAGCGCCTCGTCCTCGGGCGCGCACAGGGCCATGATGGCGCTCGTGCGGTGCGCCGGCGTCTTCGGGTTGCGGTAAACGTCGAGCACCTTCTCGTACTCGGTCGCGCCGCCGAACCGCACGCTCTGGGCGTAGATGCTGTCCTTGAGGTCGCCCGGGATCTGCGAGTCGTCGTCCTTGTCGACAAAAAGGCCGAACCGGCGCTTGTACTCGGCGAGCGTCGCCTCGTCGCCCGTGACGGCCGCCGTCGCGATCGCGAGCGTGCGCAGCTCGACCGTGTCAACGTCGTCGCTGTCGGCGTACTCGAAGCCGAGGCGGTCGACGACGGGCTTGAAGAGGTCGCGGCGGAACTTGTTGAACGCGTCCCGCACCTCCTTGGGCTGCTCCCACCAGGTCGACGAGATCGAGCCGAGGGCGCCGCCGATCTCCTGCCAGACTGCGAGCGTATTAGAGTGCGACTGTCAGTGAGTGTGCCCGGGAGCGCGACGAGGCAGGACGAGAAAGGGGAGGACAGCAGGACGCACCGAGGTTCTCCGTCTCGCCCTTGAGCTTGCTGACGAGCTCGAGCGCGCCGCTCGTCCGAGCGTAGCCGCTCGACGCGAGGACGCTCGCGTCCTGGACGAGGCCCATGCGGTCGTTGAGCGAGAAGGCCGACTTGCTGGCCTTGCCGGCCTCCTCGCCGATCTTGGACAGGCGCTCGACCGAGTACAGGGTGCGGTCTGCGTGACGGCCGGAGAGCTCATCAGTCTCGGCTCTCGACAATAGGAAAGGGAGAGAGAAAGACAGAGGGCGAGGGACGCACAGACACCGCACGTCTCGGCGTTGAGCTTGTAGGTCTTGCCCTCGACCTCGGGCAGGTCGATCGTCATCTCGCGCTCGGTGAGGACGATGTCCGAGTGGACCTTCTTGTCACCCGTCTTGGTGTCGACGACGAGGAGCTGCAGAGGCACCTGCCAGATCGTCTTGTCCTCCTCGGGCTGCGGCGGCGGCGGCGAGCAGGGGGACGAAGGAAAGTCAGCGGCTCGTCCTTTGCGCAACGGGCCGCACGCCGGGACCAGGAGAAAGAGGGGCGCACCTTGGCGTCGCCGGTGCTGAGGAAGCGGTTCTGGCGGACCTTGAGGCCCTTGGACGTCTCCTCGACCGAGATGAGCGGGAACCCGGTCTGGCCGAGCCAATTCTTCATCATGCCGCCGGCATCGATGCCGGCCGCCTCGCTGATGCCCTTCATGAGGTCCTCGGTGCGCGCGTTGGCGTACAGGTGGCGCTTGAGGTAGATCGACACGCCCTTGAGGAACTTGTCCTCGCCGACAAAGTTGGACAGCATCTTGAGGCAGCTCGCGCCCTTGGAGTAGGTCAGGGCGTCAAAGATCTGCTGCACGTCGGCCTCACGTACTAAGCTCTCATGTTTGAACAATAAAATTAATATAAATCAGCAACTTAAATAGCCTCTAAGGTTTTAAGTTTTATGCCGAGTGGACCTTCCAGGTCGGCTCGATGCGGTCGGGGATGACGACCTCGCCCATGAGGGTCGCGAACGACTCGCTGCAGAGGAGGAGAGCGAGTCAGTGAGGCTCGGGCGCCGGCGGTCGTGGGCGACGTCGACAACGTCGAGGAGGGGCAGAGCTCGGGGACGCACTTGAGCCACAAGTTGTCCCACCACTCCATCGTCGTGATGTTGCCGAACCACTGGTGCGCCACCTCGTGCGACTGGACCGTGACGACGCCCTTCTTGGCCTGCAGGCCCGAGTTCTTGGCGTCCCACAGGTAGTACGACGTGCGGCCCGTGATGCTGCGAGTGAGGACGGGGTGGGTCGAGGGAGGAGAGAGGCGGCCCGAGCGAGAGGAGGCCAAGGCGAGTCGAGGGAAGGGAGGAGAGGCCAAAGTCAGGCGGGCTCGACTCGAGGCCTGAGCGGCGGGCGGGGAACAAGAGGAGAGAAAGAAATGACACGCACAGGCCCCAGTTCTCCATCGCGCCCTGCAGGGAGGGACGAAAGGAGGAGAGTCAGTGACGTGCTCTGCGACGAGTTGACCCGACTCGCGAGGCGACGGCCGAGAGGGACGAGGGAGGAGAGGGCGCGATTTACTGCGTCAAAGTCGCTCGCGACGAGCGTGTCGAGCTTGGCGAGCGGGTACTCGATGTCGAAGATCTGTGGGCAGAACGTCGTCGTCAATACCTGGTCGCGGTCCTCGCGACAGAGCGAGACGGGGAGAGGGAGGGAGGGAGGGAGGACAAGGCGCCGACGCACCTCCTCGTAGATGGGCAGGATCTTGGCCGTCGTCTCGAGCGTGAGGCCCGCCTGGGCGATGTGGTCGTGCGTCGCGTACACGCGCAGGGGCACCTTGCGGCCCGAGAGCGGCGAGGTGAACGACGACTCGACGTGCCTGCGGGACGAGGACGGACGGCGTTAGTGTCGCTGTCCGTCGCATCACACGACCATGGGCGCAGGAGAAGGGTGCGCTCCGGTCGAAGCGAGAGAGAGGAAGAGCGGGGCGACGCACTCGAACTCGCCGTTGGCCCACGCGACGAGGTAGGACGACACCTTGGGCGTCTTGGCGAACGACGTGATCTCCCAGTCGTCTGCGGTGCACGTGCACGGGAGAGTCAGTGTCGCGAAAAAGGGAGAGAGAGAGGTGGGGCCGCCGGAAAGGGGTCCGAGCGAGGTGCAGCTGCTCACCCTTGAAGTCGCCCGACTGCGCCGACGCCGGCTCGGTCGGCTTGGTCTCGCCCTCGGTCTTGACCGTCTTGCCGACGACCTCCTTGTCCGTGTCGGCGGTGAAGAAGTTGTCGGCGAGGAGGTCGGTGCGCGGGAAGGTGCCACCGGGGCCGAGGTGCTTGGTCGACACGACCTCGGTGTTGGCGAGCGAGACGGTGCCGACACGCGAGATGAGCGAGACCGAGTAGGTCGCCTTCATCGAGGGCTCGTCGAAGCCGGGCTGTGGCGCGAGTGCGGGTTGGGGAAGGGAGAGTCAGCTGCGCCCGCTCGAGGTCGACCTGGAAAGGTGAAAAAGGCCGACGCACGAAAGCGCGACGAGCCTGGCCTGCGAGGATGAGAGAGAGGACAGAGTCAGAGTGAGGGGCGCAAGGAAAGGATAAGGGAGAGGGCGCGGCGGGACGCACAGGGCTCGAACTGGGTGAGGCCGTAGAACGCCTTGCCCGAGCCGTCCTTCTTGGGGAACGACGACTTGTAGTAGCCGAGCATCGAGTCTGTCGGTGGCTCGAGATGTAAGTACGGCGTGCAGAGAGGAGGGGCTCGCGGCGAGAGGACGCGAAAGGGGGAGACGGACCGTCGAGCGTGCCCTTCCACCTGAGGCCGACCTTGTGGGTACCCGCGGGCACCTCGCCGCCCTCGAACGAGATCTCGACGCGCTCCTTCTTCTCGAGCACGCGCAGGTGCTTGGCCGGGCGCGAGCTCTCAGTCTTGACCTGGGTCGACCCGAGGACGGCGGCGTCGAGCTCGAGAGGCGCGGCGGCGTGGAGCGTGAGGTGGGCGAGGGGCTTGGTGGTGGTAAAGGTGATCTCGCCCGTGCCGGTAAAGGTGAGGGTGTCGAGGTCGGTGCGGATCGTGAGGTCGTAGTGCGAGGGGACGACGTCGGTCGAGAGGCGGGCGTCGTCCTGCTGGGACTGGGTGGCGGTCGACATGGTGGCCGAGTAGTCGAGGTTGGCGAGGCGAGACTGCGAGTGGTGGATGCAGTAGGCGCGTTGCGACGTGCGAGTCGCTCGGGCTGAGGAGGGGGCGAGGGTGCGGTGCTGCTCGACGAGGAGTGCGCGGGTAATCGACAGGCGGGTAGGCTGAGGGCAACAGCGAGGTGAGCGAGTCGCCACGAGGTCAGGGTCGATGGCGAGACGAGCGAGGTGGGGCAGATGAGGGGGGACGAGGGACGGAGGCGCACCTGAGCGACGAGGCGAGCGAGGGGTGCGGCGAGGGAGCGGAACGGTGCCGTGGCTCGGTGGAGAATGGTGGGCGGTCAAGGAGGACGAGTGGACCGCGCTGCGTCGACACGAGAGCAGCGAGCACCGCGTGGAAGAGCCCGACCACTCCCGTCGGCACTCGACCACGGCCTCTGTCGGGGCGACTGGCACTCTGGATCTACCTGGAGGTCTATCACATGAAGGCCTGCGACTCCAGACCAAAGCTGGAGCTGGAGAGCGACGCGAGACGTGAGACCGCGTCGCCGGCCTCATCTGCTCCTCGTCGCCCCTCGTCCCTCTCCCGATTGTACCGCCCACAGCTCGAGCCGGCCCGCCATGGCACACACTCTACCGGCCTCGTCTGGCACGTTCCCGCTCCTCGACGTCCACGAGATGCACCAGACCCTCGTCGACTTTGGCTGCCAGATCAGCCTCGACGACCTCCTGCGCCCGACACCGGCCCGCACCCAGGCCATCTACGAGTGGTGGATGGACCGCATCTTGGGCCTCGGCGCAGAGGACGTCCGCCGCGCCGCCGACCAGCAGCTCGACCAGCTCGACCACCCGGTGAGCCGCCCCCTCTCTCGCTCAACCTCCTGCCCGCGTCGAGTCGCGGTCCTCGAACCTCGCTCACTCGCTCCTCTTGCGGCCCCTGCAGGACATCTACCGCGACGCCATGTACATCGGAGTCTTCCAGATCACCTTGTACGTCCCCTGCACCTCTCCCTCAATCGCGATCCAGCTGACCCCTCCTCTCTCGTCCCCGACCCGGTCAACAGCCAGCAGCTCACGCTCTCGTGCGGCCTCAACGACTTTACCCTCAACGACCTCACTCGGCCCACCTCGCAACGCCTCGTCCAGGTCCTGAGCGCCATCATCAACTACTTCTACTTCACCGAGGAGCAAGGCCAGCGCGTCCTGCGTCCGCTCGAGGAGGACTTTGAGAAGCTCCTCCAGGAGGAGGGCGCCCTCATCGAGGACAACGAGGTCCTGAGGGAAAAGATCGCCGACGAGAGGTCCGTCCTCATCGGCCTTGCCCCTCGGTCTGAGCAGGAGGAGCAGGAACTGACTCTTGTCTCCCCTCGGTCGCAGAGCCTCTCGAGCGGCCAACGCCCAGATCATGCAGGCCGAGGAGCCCGCCGAGCAGGCGTCGATCGAGGCGCTCAACAGCAAGCGCACGGCGGCCCTCCAGCTCAACAAGACGCGCGAGTCGGTCCGCGCCGACATGGCCGCCCTCGTTCAGCGCCGCCGCGAGATTGCCCAGGACGTCGCGCGCCTCGAGCTTGGCGTCGCAGAGCTCCGGAGCCAGGTCGTCAGCAGCCCCGAAAAGCTGCGCGGCCGCATCGACGAGATGCACGAGCAGCTCGCGCGCGAGACCGAGATGCTCAAGGACACCGAGGCCAAGGAGCGCCAGACGACGGCAAAGATCAACGCCCTCGCCCAGTACTCTCTCGTGCGTCTCGCTCTCCCTCGCCGCTGTCCACCTCGCCCCTCGTCGTCGTCGTCGTCGCATCGACCTCCCGCCGCTCACCATTCTCGCCCGCCCACAGGAGCTCCACGCATGCATCCGCATCCTCGACGACTGGCAGATGGACGTCGACAAGCTGCGCGAGGCCGAGCTGCGCCTCGGCGAGCACACGGACCACCTGCGCGCGCTCGAGGCCGAGCAGGTCGAGCTCGAGAACCGGATCCAGGTGCGCCCCGACTTTCCCTCCTCTCTTGAGCCTGCCGCTCCTCTTCTTCAGGATCACGGACTCATCGAGGATGTTCTGCTTGCACACAGTTGCTCGAGCGCCGGATCGCCAACGGGCGCGACGAGCTCGTGCGCATGCGCGACAAGATGGAGCGCAAGAAGGACTCGGCGCGGCAGCGCAAGAAGGCGCTCGAGGACGCGCACCGCGACAACCTGCGCCGCAAGGAGGCGCTCGACATGGAGGCGGCCGAGAAGAACGCCCAGGCGACCGAGGTCGAGAGCGAGGTGCGCCCCCCGTCCTCCAAATCGGCCGGGCTCCAGCGCGTACAGCGGTTTGACGCCTGCTCTCCTCGGTGCGACCGGTCACGCAGATCCGCAGCATGCACCTGTCGCTCCAGGCCGAGCTCGAACGCGGCGAGAAGGCGTACAAGCGCATCAAGGACCAAGTCAGTGCGTCGCCGCTCTCTCTCTCTCTCCCCTCCCGCCTCTTCCCGCACTGACTCCTGCCCCGGCGATACAGCGCTGTACTCGATCCGGCTCAACAAGGCGCTCGACTCGATCAACGAGCTCAGCTCGCTCGCGCCCGAGATCTGAACGTCGTCGTCGCTCGTCGTCTCGCCCAGTCTGTGCCCGTCCTCCCTTGTCGTACCCCTCGGCCTCGGTCCCACTTCGTCCTTCTCGTGTTGTAGTTACCCTGTGCGCCTGTTTGCCTCGTCGTTAGTCGTCGAGCGCTGTGCGATTGAATGGCTTTGCCCCGCCCTCCTCCCCACACTTGCGAGAGTCGCTTTGTCCGTCGTCTCAGCCTCGCTCGACGCTCCGCCTCTCGCGTCGACCTCTTGCAGCTCGACAAGGAGCACACGACGAGCGCTCGCGCTGTCAGCACCCGCCCCGCTCGCTCACGGCCCTGCCTCGTCCTCATCGGTCAAGCCGACCCTCGAGCCGCCTACACGTCGGCCGTCGCGTCGAACCGCAACCGCGAGCAGCTCGGCAGAGCCTGAACTGGTGCAAGCAGCCTTCCCGAGCGCGTCCTCGCTCGCCCTCGTGCTGCAGAGCGAGCTGTCGCCCTGCCAAGGCGGTGCGTCCCTGTCGTCCTCCTCGCGCACGCGACCAGCCGCTCACCCTCTCGAGGCGAGCCATGCAGGTCCACCATGGCCTCGAGCTACTACGTGCAGCGCGACGCCTACAACCGCTCCCCCTCGCCGCTCCACCACCACCGCCCTCCTCCTCCCGCCGGGCCCTCCGCCCCGGTTTCGCAGCCGCTGCGCTTCCTCCCGCCCTCGCAAGCGCACCGCCAGAACACGGCCCCGCCAGCACCATACAGCCACTCGGGCTACGCCGCCGCACCGCACCAGCTCGACCACCCGCACCACCGCCCCCACACCGCGTCGGCGTCTGACTCGGAGCCGTCCTGCATCAAGTGCTCGTCGTGCGCGGCATGGGTCCGCCTCGAGGACCTCGGAGGGCACGTGTGCGCGGCGGCGAGGGCGAGGGATGAGCGCAGGGCGCCGCCGGTCGGGCTGCAGCTCGAGCGAGGAGGGGGAGCGGGGGCAGGCTTGAACGGGGGACTGAGCCCTGGTGCGTCCTCCTTTTGTCCGACGCCTTCTCTTTGGACCATCAGACTGACTGTATTGAGCGCGCAGGCCAGTACCTCCACGCGTCGCCGCCGGGCAGCGCCCCGCTCTCCTTCCCCACCACGTCCTCGTCCACCTCCCCGAGCGCCAGCACGAGCGCCCGCCTCGGCTTCTTCGACCGCTACCAGCAGCTCGTCGACACGAGCGAGCTCGCGGCGGGCAACATGGCCGGCGTCGGCTCGGCGCGCTCGCCTCGTCTCGCGCCCGGCGGCATCGGCGGCGGCGGTTTCCCGCACCACCAGCACCCGCAGCACCACCCGCCACAACGCTCGACGACCGCGCCCCTCCCGACGAGCGTCTCGGCGCCCAACCTCACCGTGCCCGGGCACGCGCCGTACTACCCGCAGACGCAGCAGCGCCGCCGTCCCGACGACGACGGCGACCGCGCGCCGTCCTCGCCCGGCCCGCCTTTGTCGCCCGGCGTCGGGCTCTACCGCCAGCCGTCACCGACACCTGTCTCGGCGCGCAGCATGGCGAGCGAGTGGAGCGCCGCGCAGCGAGAGCGCGCCTTTGCCGACGGCGGGCTCGACACGCCCGCCTCGTCGGTCGCGCCGTCGAGCTCGTCGCGCTCGCGCAAGGAGAGCCTGCCTCGCAACGGCACTTCCGCCGCCACGCCGCAGCAGCAGCAGCAGCTCGCACGTGCGGCGTCGCAGTCGTCGTCGTCGGCCTCGTCGGCGTACCTCGCCTACGACCGCTTCTCGAGCGACTCGATCCCGCAATCGCGCTCGACGCCTGCCGGGCTCGGCGGATGGGCGTCGACGTCGGGCGGGACTGTCGGTGGAGGAGGAGCAGGAACGGCGGGCGGGCTCGACGCGTGCCTCGAGGACCTGAGGCTCATGGCCGACGGCGAGGACGGAGACGTGGCCGGGGAGGAGACGCTCGAGGCACTCTTCGAGGGTCGAAGGCGTGACGACGAGGAGGGCGCGCGGCGGGACGACCACGACGACCTGCTCGCGACGCCGAGGCAGGCTCCGAGGCGGCGGGACAAGGAGCCGCCGACGACGGCGCACAAGAGCCCGTCGCTCGCGCCCAACTCTCCCCTTTCTCCCCCTCCCACCTCGACCTCGACCTCGTCCGCTCCCCTGTCCTGTACCGCCTGCCGCACCCCGATCCCGCCCTCGGCGACGCCCAAGCGCACCTCGGCCGGCCCGCCCTTCTGCCGCCCGTGCTACGCCGACCGGTTCCTCCCCAAGTGCCGCCGGTGCGCGCTCCCGATCGAGGGCGGCGCCGTCACGTCGTCGGACGGCAAGATCCAGGGCAAGTACCACCCGGCGTGCTTCTCGTGCTGGGCGTGCGCCGCCAAGTTCCCGTCGGGCGAGTTCTACGTCCTGTCGGGCAAGCCGTACTGCATGCAGGACTATCACGCGCTCAACGGGTCGCTGTGCGCCGACCCGAGGTGCGGCAAGCCCATCGAGGGTCCGTGCGTGTCCCTCATCGGCGAGGACAAGGGCGACGGTGGGCGTTGTGCGTCCCTCTCTGTCTCTTTCGCTCTCTTTCTCTCCTTCTGTCATGGACGCACGCACTGACACACATCGCATGCTCGCAGATCACCCACCCTGCTTCAACTGCTCCGACCCCTCGTGCCTCGTCCCCCTCCTCTCGCACCATTTCGTCGTCGACCGTCTCCCGTACTGCGACGTGCACGCCGCAGGGCCCGTCCGCCGTCGCGCACCGAGGCAAGGCGCCGCCGAGGGCGTCGAGGCGAGGGCGAAGAAGCGTCAGACCATCATTACGAGGTCGTGAGCGGCGTCGCAGAGGGAGAGGAGAAGGGGCTCGAGCGCGCGAGGAGGAAGGACGGAGCGACGGGCGTTGGACCATACCCTGGCTGTGTTATTCCATGTGCGACACGATGTATACACTCTGCGTCGCTGTCTGTTCGCGCAGCTCTCACGAGACGACGTCCGGCGAGCGAGCGAGCGAGAGCCGAAAGAGAGCTTCTCGCCGCGGCACAGCCTCTCTCGAGCCAGGCTCGTTTCTCGCGATCGCGAAGACGCACTGCGCAATAAGTCTGTGATGCACGACACTACGAGCTCCTGCTCCCGGGCCGTCGCTCGAATAGGAGAGCCCACCTCGCGTCTAAGCCGTCGTCGTCGTCCTGCGCCGGACCGTGAGCTCAAAGTCGGCGTTGGCGGCGTTGGTGAACTGGTACGCGCCCATCCCGACTGTGTGTGTATGCGTGCAAGACTCGGTCAGGACGGCTTTGCGGATATGGCACGAGAGAGAGAGAGAGAGACAGAGAGAAGGGCAGGACGCACCTCGCTCGGGAATGCGCCTGGGCCTGAAACCGGGCTTGTCGACGCCGGCAAGCTCGATCGGCTCATATAGCTCGTCAAAGTCGGGCTTGCCGACCGGCGAGACGACCTCGACCTCGAACGTCGACAAGAAGAGCGACGTGAACGCCTTGAGCTCGGCGGTCGCAAAGTGCTGGCCCTCGCACTGCGCGCAGCTCGACGTCAGGCGAGGATCGACGCAGGGGACGAGAGAAGAGAAGACGCACCCTTGAGTTGCCGCCGCCGAACCCGTAGACGTCCCTCGCTCGCCTGCTGCGCCGGCCCGCCTCCTCGCCCTTGTCCTTCTCGTCGAAAAACCGCTTGCCGTCCCACTCGCTCGCTCGGTCCCACACCTCGTCGTTGAGGTGGTGAACCCTCGTCGCGCAGATGAGCCGAGTGTCGGCAGGGATGACGACCTCGGGGTGCTTCTCGCCTGCGCTCGTCGGGAGGACGAACGGCTGCGGCACGACGCGGATCGAGAACGTCGCCGTACCGAGACGAAGCGTCTCGGTGATGCAGGACGAGAGCAAGGGTAGGGTCGACGTCGAAGAGAGGTGCTGGAAGGTGAGCAAGTCGGGGCCGGGCGAGTCTTCGGTGACGGCGAGGGACGAGTCGATCTCGGCAAGGAGCTCGTCGCGGAACGGCTGCGGCGCCTGCAGCAGAAAGACGAGAAGCTGAATGCCGATGTACGGCGCATTCGCTTGAAGTGCCCAGAAGTCGCTGCGGGATCGTGAGGAGAGAGTCAGGAACCGCTCGCTGCGAAGGATGGCTGAGGAGAGAGCTCGGGACGTACGCGATCAGGAGCTTGCCCGCCTCGTGAGCGCCGAGGTCGTTCTTGAGCGGGATCTCGGCCATGTCGCGGATGACGCCCTCGTCGAGGCCCTCGAAACCATCGCGGATCCAAGCCTCGAAGATGTCGGCGAGCACGCCCTGCGCCTTCTTGCCCGTGACGACGTCCGGGATGCGGTCGAGGAGCCATGCTGGGACCATGCCGCTCGCCATGATCGGGAACGCCTTGTCGAACTCGCAGAAGGCGCGCCACAGCTCGTCGCGCGAGACGCCCTTGGCGTCGCGCACGTTAGGACCGAACATGCCCGCGAGCGACGCCTCGAAGTACGTGTCGGCGATCCACTCGGCCGGCTTGATCGTGACGGCGCCAGAGGTTGCAGCGTCGACTTGGGCGGCGAGGTCGGCGATGCGCGCGCGGACGACCGTGATGAAGCGCTCGAGGGCCGGCGCGAGGTTCTTCATACCGCGCGCATGTACCGGGAAGACCTGGCCGTTCATGATCGACTTGTCGTTCCAGAAGGACGCGCCGAACGCGCTGCCCTGCATCTCGCGGCGGATCGGGTACTGCGAGGAGAGGCTCAAGGTCAGCTCCTGCGCGCCTGCCCGCCCGAGATGCTGCTCGCCCACGATGAAGGACAGAGGGAGAGGAGGACGTACGAAGCTGAGAGCCTTCTCGGGGGCCTGGTAGACGCGGCGAATCGCCTCGGTCTCGAGGACGATGTGCTGGCTCATGGGCCACGGCACCCAGACGACCGTGCCGTAGTCGCGCCTTGCCGCAAGGAGGAAGCCGTCCTCTTCCTTGCCCAGGCGGTAGACGGCGAGCGCGCCGCGCACGAAGGGCGGTAGATACCACGGGCCGTAGGTCGGGGCGGAGGGCGGGGTGGAAGGGCGAGGGGCGAAGATGCGGGCGGCGAGCGCGGCAGCGAGTGCCAGCAGCAGCGCAGGTGCGACCGCCTGCAGGTCGAGCATGGCGTGCATGGTGCGAGGGCGAGAGAGCAAGCCCAAGTCGCGGCCGCTGATGAGAGTTGGCTCGGAGCTTCCGGCTCAGCTTCCGACTGCTCGAACGCGAAACGCAGTGTCTGTTGCAGTACAGCGAGAGTCTATCGACGTAGTCTAGATGCGGCACAACACAGGGCACAGACCAGCACAGCGCGAGAAAGTCCAAACACGCCCTCCTCCTCCTCCTCACGACCTGCTCGACGAGCTCTGGTCGACCGCCACGCTGCGCGACGTGGCCGCCGAGTCCGACACCCTCGGGTCGTCGCCGTCGTCGTCTTGCTCGCGGCGGGCCATGTGCTGCGGCGGCGTCCGAGGCGGCGAAGGGGGCCGAGCGCTCGAGGACGCGCTCGACGCGTCGTGCGCCAAGGGCGAGCGCTGCGGCGACGGCGACGACGCGCCTGCGACCGTGACGTTGATGACGGGCACGTTGGGCGCGCCGCTCGCTCGAGGCTGCTGCGCCTTGGTCGCGAGGTGGTCGAGGAACCGGCGACGGAGGACGACCATGCGCAGGAACGAGCGCACACGGTCGTTGTCGACGAGGTACGAGACGAGCTGCTGCTTGCGCTGGCGCTCGGCGAGCTCGTCGAGTCTGCGACGAGAGAGAGATCAAGTTAGGCCGGGCGACGAGGGCGAGGGAGGAGGAGAGAAGGTGGGTCGACGCACTGCAGGGCGCTGTCGTCCGTCACGAGGCGGTAGTGCGCGACCAACGTGAGCATCCTGGTGAACGAGATGCCCTTGAGCGTCTCTTCGGCATCGTGCATCGCCTCGTGGTAGACGTGGACAAAGTTGCGGCGGCGTGCGGCGACCTCGCCCTCGTCGATCCCGGCGCACAGGCTGCGGAGCTTGTCGAGGTCGACACGTTGAAGCGATAGGGCGTCCCGGTCGGTGAGGAAGTGGTGGAACGACGGCGAGCGCGTGTGGTAGGTCGGCTCGAGGTAGGACCCGGCGCGCAGGCTCGCGACGGACCACTCGTCGCGGTAGATCTTGACCTCAAACACGCCCGACAGGCGCTGTGGACGACGAGGTGAGGCGTCAGGTCTGTCGAGGAGAGAGAGGGAGAGAGCGAGTCGGGACGCACATGCAGAAAGAGCCCGACGTCCTTGGGCTGGATGAAGCCGGTACGCTCCGGGTCGCAGCGCGCCCAGACCGACTTGTAGTGACGCAGCTGCGCTCGCGAGACACGGGTGACGGCGCCATGCTCCTGGTAGACGAACGAGAACGACTGGACGACGACACCGAGGATAATGTTGACGAAGAGGTCTGTGCGACGGGCAGCCGAGGGTGAGCAGGAACGTCGAGTGGCGGCTCACGACGGTGGAAGGAGGACGCACACATGGACAGGACGTTCCAAGTGATGAAGAGAGCGTACGCCCACCCGGCCGAGCCGCAGTCGTCGAACAGGTAAAAGGGCGACGAGGTGCAGAACGGCCACTCGGTCGTATAGTCGTGCATGTACCTGTGAGGAGGCGCACAGCGTCAGGCACGATCGTCTAAGACGACGAGGAAGGAGAGAAGGAGAGAGAGAGAGGACGCACTCGTTCCACCCCTCGCCGGTCGACTGGAGCGCGAGGAGGACGAGCGTGTTCGCGAACGTGTAGTAGTTCGACAGGTGCGTCTCGGCGCTCTCCCACCTCGTGAGCCCGAACACCTCGAGGTAGAAGATGGCGTAGAAGAGGAAGAGGCAGCTGTAGAGGGTGAAGATGTTGAGGAGGGCCGGCAAGCTTGCCCTGTGGAAGAGGGGTCAGTGCGCGCTCGAAGGAGGGCCAGAAAGAGGGACGCACACGGCCGTCTTGAAGAGCTGATGCAGCTGATCGTTCCTCTGGACGAGCTTGAAGACGAGCGCGACGAGGAAGACCTTCTGGAGCTGGATGGCGGCCTGCGAGCTGGTCGCGTTCGCGACGATGGGCAGGGTCGTGGCGACCGTGCCGCTGATGATGACGAGGTCGTACAGGTTCCAGCCGTTTTGAAAGAAGGACCGGCCGAGGCCAATGAGGCGCACGACGACGTCGACGAGGTAGGCGACCGTGAAGCCCAAGAAGATGTAGTCTGCGGGCCGAGGGCGGACGAGCTCAGTGACGCTCTCTCTCGCGCATGGCGACAAGAAGAAAAGTTGGACGCACTGTACGCGTCGGCTGCTCGCTCGGTCGTCGTCGCCTGGGTCGCGAGGACGATCGTGTTGAGGACGTACAGCGCCGTGAGGCCTCGCGACCACCAGCCGTGCTTGTGGATGGCCCGGTCGTAGCACCAGGCTCGAACGGCTGCGTCGAGGAGAAGAGTCAGTGCCTGGATGGGAGAGAGAAAGAGTGAGAGAGAGTGCGCGCCGTTCTCGGGACGGCGACGAGGGCGCTTCTGCGGCTCTTGGCGGGCGAGGTACCGACGGAGGTCCTGCCACTGACGCTGCGCCGTCGTGAGGAGCGAGTCGCCGCTCCGACGAGTGAACGAGGCGATGATGACCGAGACAAAGACCGTGAGGATCAAGGTGGCGCCGACGAGGTTGTACAGGACGAAGAAGAGGCCCGAGAACTGCGACGCGTTCTCCTCGGGCTGCCGATCGGGACCGACGATGTTCATGGCGACTCGAGGACGTCGATCCACCCCTCGAGGCTCACGATCTCGAACAGGATGAGGAGGGCCGACCTGAACGAGTCGAAGCTCCACACGTAAGGGTTGGCCCAGACTCGAGGCGCGAGGTAGGACCAGTCGTCGGTGACGGCGACGAGGTACTCGCCGACGCATTGCGCCTGCAGGAGGGTCACGAGATATGTCAGGACCTGCGTGCTGCGTGCCGGCGGCGAGCGAATCCGACTTGAGAAGGTCGAGCTCGAGAGTTTGGGAGGAACGGCAGGACGCACCTTGGTCGTGACGGCGTCGTCGTTGCAGGAGTACAGCAGGCCGGCGAACACGTTTTGACCCCAGACGGCGAACGGGATGATGTAGAGAACGGCGAGGAGCGAGGCGTCCAGGATGCGGCCGAGCCCGACGATGAGGATCTGGTCGAGCGCCACGGGCACGACTCAGTCCGTGCTCGTGCTTAAAAAGAGAGAGAGAAGAGGGACGCACGTTGTAGAAGGTCTGGCGCATGGTCGGCCACAGGTTGATGAGGCGCAGAGCCCGGAACGCCTTGAGCGCTCGGACCCAGCGACTGCTCGACGGCCCGTTCATGAGGACCATGACGACGTTGGCGAGGACCGTCGCGAGGACCCAGAAGTCGATCAGGTTCCACACCGACAGGACGTAGGCGTTCGGGGCGACGAATAGACCGTCAGCCACCACCTTGACGAGAAACTCGAGGAGGAAGCAGAAGCCGGTCGCGACCTCGACGACGTTGTACCACGTGAGGCGCACCTCGCCGTGCTCGAGGTAGTAGTCTCGACGGTACAGGGGCGTTGCCGAGCCGGCGACGCCGACCGAGGCGAGGATGACGACGAGCATGCCGATCTGGAACAGGCGCTGCCACAGCTTGTTCGGCGCTCGACCGTTGATGCGCTCGGCCCCGTACGCCGGCTCGACGAGGGCTTGACAGGCGCGTCGGACGGGCGACCGCTGCGAGAAGAGGCCGAGTGCGCGGTCGTACGTGGGGTGCTCGACGATGTACTGCGCCACGGCCTGCTGCCGGCTCGCGGTAACGTCCTCGACGCGGTCGAGGTCCTGCAGGGTGGCTTGGCGCGAATGGCCGACGACGCCGCTGTACGATCCGGGGCGAGGGCGAGTCAGTATGTGGACGGACGACTCGAGTGAGACCGACGACGAGGGAGGGACGGACCGTGGCAGCGAGTAGGCGTGAGGTGGGTCGAGAGGCGAATGTGGCGCGATGTAGTCCCGCACGCTGTCGAAGCCGGTCTGCAGGCGGCTCGGGAGGGTGCGCTTGGCCTTCTCGGCGAAGCTGACGTTGCGGGCGTGCGTCGGCGGCGGGCTTGATGCAGGCTGTGGAGCTGAGCGTCAGATCGAGAAGACGAGGCTCCGAGAGGAGAGAGAGAGAGGGGGGCGCGCACCTTGTCGTCCTCGTCGTTCGAGAGCGGCTCGGGCGAAGCGGTAACCATGCGGTCGAGGATCTCGACGGGCTCGTCGTGCTCGTCGTGCGGGACTTGCTCGCTCTGCTTCTCGGCTCGAGCCTTGAGGCGCGACGTGACGAGCGTGTACGGGTCGAAGCGCTTGAACCACCCGGCCGTGACGGTCTGCCCGGGCTCGTTGGTGCGCGTGACGTACGCCTCGAGCTGGCGCGCACGCTTCTCGTCCTCCTCGAGCTGCCAATTCTCGTTCAAGAGCGCGATCTGCAGGTGGGAGGAGGAAAAAAGGGGAGAGTCTCGGTCAGGTCGAGGTCCGTGCCACGGCGGCGTCGACGACGACGACGCGGTGGGACGCCGAGAGAGAAGGGGCGTCGAGCGAAAGGGGACGCACGAAGAGGTTGCCGATGACGAAGAAGGCAAAGAGCATCCAGCCGCAGATAAAGATGGCCGTGATGGCGATCTGGACCTGGCCTCGTTGGCTCGACAGGACCGTCTTGAGCGGGTCGGTCCAGTTCTCCGACGACAGGATCTGGTACTGCGCGAGGAACGCGTTGTAGATCTGCGTAGGGGAGGAGCTGGTCAGTATCTGCCAGTTGAGGAGGGAGAGGCAGAGGACGGCGACGCACCTGGAAGTAGTTGAGCTGACCGGTGTCGTCCGAGTCCGGGTCGGGGATGCCTCGCAGGAACTGGACGGCGACGAGAGCCGACAGGAACGTGACGAGGAGGAGGAACAGGAGCATGTTGAGGACGCCGACGAACGTGCCGGCGAGGCGGACGAGGAGGCGCCGCATGCGCGGAATGGCGAGGACGACTCGGTAGAACCGGGCGATCTGGAAGAACGTGAGCCAGGCGTACGCCGGCGAGTGGAAGATGAACGGGAGCTGGATGAAGGTCGTCACGACGGCGAGGAACGTGTCGACCCGGTTGGCGTTGCCGGCGAAGAAGGAGCGCCAGTCGGGCAGCGACGCAAAGAGGCGGATGGCGATCTCGACGTCGAACGCGAGCGTGAACGCGAGCTCGATCCACTCGTATCGAGTCGACTTGCGAGGGTCCATGTCGTAGTCGCGGTCGGCCTGCAGCGCGACCGAGGCGACGATGAGGGCGGGCCAGATGAGCCGAGTCTTGCGGTACAGGGTGCCGATGACGCTCGCTGTCTTGCCGAGCCGACGCTGCGCCTTCTTGTCGTCGTCGAACCGAGTCGGCGCCGGCACCGCCGAGGCGTTGGCGAACGCGCTGTGCTTGGTCTCGCTCCGAATGTCGCCGAACGTCGACGTGATGACGGCGACGAGGAGGTTGAGGAGGAAGTAGTCCAGGATGACGACGGCGACGATGAAGTACAGCGCGGACACGGTCAAGTCGGCCTGCATCATCGCGTACATGATGTCGGTCCACGTGTTGGCCGAGGCGAGAACGACGACCTGGACGAGCGCCGCAAAGATGTTGTCGAACGACCATGCGCCGTTGGCCGGGTTGCCCGTCTCGACGCAGATGCTCGGCGCCGCACACGTGAAGCCCTTGGGCGGCTCGGGGGCGAGAGAGCCGTCCGAGGTGAGGTACGAGAAGCGCTCGCCCGCCGCCGTGAGGTAGCTGCCGCAGGGCTGGTCCATCGTGACGTTGGCGAGGACGCCGGCCGGATCTGCCACATACAGGGACGATCAGGGTACGTCGACGAGGAGAGGATAAGAGAGGACGAGGCGACGCACCGACCCACACGCAGTTCCTGCTCCACGAGCCTCGGAACGCCTGCACGCCGATGATGCTGCGCGAGGAGAGAGACCGTTAGGGACGCTCTCGACGATGCGCCGAGTACGAGGACACACCTGAACAGGATCATGGCAAAGGCGACAAAGAGGCCGACCCTGACGAGGAGCGGCGCAGCCCGCTTGAGCGAGTGGAGGATCGTCTGCGCGTTCGAGGCAAGGTAAGTCTCTGCTCCTGCGGCTGCACGATCGAGAGACAGAGAGAGCAGAGACGCGCCTGCGTACCCGCCGTGATGGCGAGGAGCCTGCTTGCGCGGAGCACGCTCAGCGCCCGGATGAACCACAGGTTGTCGCTCGCCTCGCGCCCGGCGACGGCGAGCGCGAACGAGATCCAGAACGCGACGACGGCGACAGCGTCGATGCGGTTCCACGAGTGGCGCAGGAACGCCTGCTGGTACGTCGCGCGCTGGCGCTTGACCGAGAGCGCGTACGGCGTCGTCGCCGACGAGAACGGGCTCGGGCCCCACCCGTCCGACGAGACCGAGCGCGTGCTCGCGCCGCTGTTGGCGCCGGCGGGTGCGGTCGCGGCGGGGAAAGCTGACGCGAGACCGGCGCGCACCGAGTGCGGCGGGTAGACGGCCGTCAAGGGGGCGGACGAGCCGAGCCCGAGCCCGACGCCGCTCGGGCCGCCGGCGTGGACGGTCGACGACGTCGAGTCGCCGCGCATGAGCGCGACGGACGAGGCGTTTGTCGTCGTCGTCGAGTAGATGGCCTGGTCGACGGCGGTGATGTCGGTCGAGCTCGGCGGCGGGAGGTGCGACGGGTTGGTCGGTGAGGGCGGGAGAGGGGAGAGACGGCCCGGCGACGGGACGGGCGAGCGTCTCGACGGCGAGGGAGGAAAAGGAGGTGCGCGGTGCGCAGTAGGCGACGCTTGCGGCGAGGGAAGAGGCGACAGGCGCGACTGGATCTTGGTGACGAGCGAGGGCGAGCGCTTGGGCGTGCTGTAAATGTCGGGCTTGAAGAGCTCGGGCGGCGTCGGCGGTCGCGGCGGGTTGATGACGAGGCCCGTGACGACGATGCGGCCGACGAGCTCGACCGTGTAGAGGCAGAAGCAAGCGAACAGGGCCCAGTCCTCCCAGGCGTGGAAGTAGCCCTTGGTCGGACGCGGGTGCTCGTACACGTCGGGCGCCGCCTGGATCGTCTGGACGACGACTTGGACGACGATGATGACGAGGATACATGGCTCGGTCCACCTGTGCGTGCGAGACTCAGCGCAGGTCGGGTGAGAGGGACGGGAGGGGAGAGGGTCGAGAGAGGAGGACGCACCTCGCCGTCAGGACCCTCGCGCATGCCCGTCTCAATGAGCTCTCGGGCCCAAACACGCCGAGCGTCTTGCCCCGCAGGTGCCGAAACTCCTCCTCCCTGGCCTCGTACCGCTTCTCCCACTCGTCGTCCTCGTCCTCGTCCTTCTCGCCCTCATCGCCCGCCGCCTCGACGTCGCCGTCGCCCGCCGCCGTCGCCCGCGACGCGCTGCGCCGCAGCGACGCGTCGAGGTCGACCTGGTTCATCTCCTCGCTGTCGGCGTCGGCGAGGTTGACGACGCGCACGCCGAGGCGACGCATGCCCGCCGCCGCCGCGCTGAGCGTGCTGCGGCGCTTGAGCGCCGACGCCGACGCCGACGCGTCGCCCTCGGTGCGCCGCGAGGCCGACGTCAACAGCTCGTGCCACCCTGCGGCCGGGTCGTCGCGGCCGGGCGAGGGCGACCTGCTGCGAGGCCTCGGCGAGCGCCCGCCCGCGCTGAGCGACAGGCGCCTGGTCGACGACGCGGCGAGGCCCTGGAGGAAGGCGGCCGTGCGCGACTCGCGGTGTGGCGACGGGCGCGAGGGCGACGAGGGGAAGCTGGTCGGGTGCAGCGGCGAGCGCGCTTGGGCTTCCTCGTCGCCGTCGTCGCCGTCGTCGTGGTCGGGCAGGCGGCTGAAGGACGAGTCGTCGGTACGGAAGGTGGCGATCGAGGGGGCGAGGGACAAGGGGTGCGAGTCGACGCGCTGGTGAGAGGCGCGAGGTGCGGGCGAGTGGTCGTGGAAGAGGCTGGCGGAGGGGTGGTGGGCGACGTCGTCGACGAGGAAGGGGTCGCCCCAGTCTCGTGCGTCGTAGGCTGGTGTCGAAAAGGCGGACGGCGACTGGGTGTCGAGGGTGAGGGCGGGCCGGCTCGACGAAGACGCGGCGGCTGCGGGCGGCTGCGGGAGCGTGCGCACGACCGTGCCGTCGCGCAGGTCGACGGTCGGGGCTCGACGGGGCTCGAACGTTCTTGGAGAAGGCTCTGGCGAGTCGGAGCGGAACTCGCGCCACGCGCCGGCGGGCGAGGACGTTGCGAGCGCATGGTGCACCGCCCCGTCGAAGTCGTCGGTCCCTCCTCGCGAGCGCGCGCCTGCTCTTGTGCCCTCGCTGCCAGTCCCAAGCCCCTCCGACAAGTCTGCGTCTCGTTCCATGTCGTGCGTGGCCGCCTCGAGTGCCGAGTCGTCCATGTCGGGGAACGACGACGAGGACGAGGTGCGGGCTTGGCTGTCGTCGTGTCGGGGCCGTTGTTGGGCCGGATCGGGTGCGCCGTGCATGTGCGGGTGCTGCTGGTGCACGTGAAAGGCTCAAGGTCGAGGGAGAGGGCGAGATGGAGAACAAGAGCAGCTCGTCGGTCGCCTCAGTTGCCTCCAGCCTGCTGCAGCTGCCTCTGTCCTGCCTCGCTCTGCACACTCGAGCTTGCTCCTGGCCCACCGCTACCGGCGCACTCGGCCGCCGTTCAGCACCAACAGCGTCGAGCAGCTCGCCAGCCCTCATCGCCCTCGTCTACCCCGCATTCCGCCCTGCGGCACACCTCGTCTCGTCCACACAGCTTCCCAGGCCCTGCACGGACCAGCCCAGCACCCACCTACGTCCAGCATGGCATCCGCAACACGCACCGCCGAGCTGCTTGCGCCCCGCGACGGCCCGCCGTGATTCCCACCTCGCCTCGACCTCGTCGCCTCGCACTCGGAATCTCCGAACCGGCTCGACTACACCCTGTGCGTCCACCTTCTCCCATCCATGTGTTCGAGAACCGTCTGGCTGACACGCCAAGCCCCCCCAGGACCCGTCAGCGACGAGTGCGGAAGTCTTCTTCCTCGCCGACTCGCTTCGTCATGTCCGAGCCGCCGGTTTCGACCACCTCGTAGCCTCGAGCACTCGACCTGCTCTCTCCTCCACATCCACCACCCGCCAACACCGACCATGCTCGCCCTCTTCCCCGCATCTGGCGCCCTGGGCGGCTCCATCGCCTCCCACCTCGTCGACCGCGTCCCCGCCAACTCGCTCGTCTTTGTCGCGCGGCACCCGCACAAGCTCTCCGACTACAGCGCCAAGGGCGTCACGGTCCGCCACGCCGACTATGACGCCCACGACACGCTCGAGCACGCGTTCGACGGCGTCGACTCTCTCTGCTTGATCTCGTACGCTTCGATTCAGAACGACCACCGCTTCGAGGTGCGCCCCTTCTCTCTCTCTCTTCCCTCACGGTCCTTGCCCTGACGAGATCCATACCGAGCAGAGCCACAAGGCGGCCATCATCGCGGCGCGAGCGTCGGGCGTCAAGCATATCCTGTACACGTCGCTCGCGTTCGCCGGCGAGCCCGAGTCGACGTCGAGCGTGACCCAGGTCATGCAGGCGCACTTGCGCACCGAGGCGTACCTGCGCGAGATCGCGGCCGAGGACCCGTCTTTCGCGTTCACCGTGCGTCCCCCCTTCTCTCACTCGTGCTCCTCGAACCGGCTCTCACTGACTCGCGCTCTCAACTCGCAGGTCGTCCGCGAAGGTCTCTACACCGAGTCGTTCCCGCTGTACACGGCTTTCTTTTCGCTCTCGTCGCCCTCGTCGCCGCCGACGATCCGCATCCCGCACGACGGCGCCGTGCCCGGCGTCGCGTGGGCCAAGCTCGACGAGCTCGGCGAGGCGACCGCGCGCATCCTCGCCGACCTCGTCGTCGCCGCCGACGCCGAGCGGCCCAAGTACACAAACGAGCTCGTCCTCCTCACGGGCGAGCGCGCCGTCTCGCTCGCCGACACGGTCGCGCTCCTCGGCGCGGCGTCGGGCCAGCCCGACCTGCGCATCGAGCCCGTCTCGGTCGAAGAGTACGCCGCGCAGCCGTCGATGGGCCCTGGGTTCGCGTCGTACGGCGGCGCCAAGTGGGCCGCGCCGTGGGCGAGCGCGTTCGAGGGCATCAGGAGGGGCGAGACGGCCGTCGTCACTCGGTCGCTCAGGGACATTCTCGGGAGGGAGCCCGAGCCGGTCGAGGTGACGCTGCGCAAGATGGGAGAGCAGGCGCGAGGCGAGTAGAGGAAATTCCAGATAGACTTGTGCAAAACGTTCCCCTCGCTCGAGCCTCTCTCGCCTTCTCTCTCTCGTGCTCGCACCGAGAGCGAGGCAGAAGACGATGAACGGAACAGAGTTGCACGAAAGACGAACAGGTGGGAGCCGAGACTGGGGGACGGGAGACGAGTGTACAGGCCGGCCGAGCGGCGACGAGATGGGGGGAGGACGAGCGCCGGTAGACAGAGGGGTCATGAGGCGCGAAGGGGGGTATAGAGACTGCGCGATACGAGGAGAGATGACGGCGGAGCAGAACAGGGGGGCGAGGGAGGGGGAGGGAGGACGAGCTGCGGCTGCGGCGGGCGAGACGGCGTGGCGAGGGGCGAACGACAGGGGGAGGCGAGGGAACGCGTGCCGCACCTAGGGCGCAGCGTTACCCTCGTCGTGGATGGCCTTCTTGAAGAACGGGTGCGCGAGCGCCTCGTCGACCGTCAACCGCTGGCCCTGGTCCCACCGCAGCAGGCCCTCGCACAGGTCGGCAAAGTCCTGCCCGGCCGTGTCGGTCGGCGCGATGATGTCCTACAGTGCAAGATAGTGTCGGCTCGAGTCGGTGGCGAGAGAGGGAGGAGGAGGAAGGAGAGAGGGAGACGTACCTTGAGCTTGCGCATCCCCTTGACAAACTTGACGCTCTGCTTCTGCGTCGCCGGTAGCGGGAACGACAGCGTGTACTCGCCCTTCTTGGCTCGCTGGCTCGACGGCACGCGCTTGAACCACTCGGGGTGCGGCTGCTGGGCCAAGCTCGTCTTCCTGCGGCGGCGACGACGACGGCGTGTCAGCGCTCGAGCCTCGACGAGGCTCGACGGCGAGAGAGACAGAGAGAAAGGGAGACGCACTTCTGCGCCTCGGTCGCATAGGCTATCGGCATGGGGCCAAAGACCTTCTCCATCATGGCGAGGTGCTCGAGGTTGTCGTGCGTCTGGAAGAGCGCCTCGCCCGTGACGAACTCGACGAGGATGCAGCCGATCGACCACATGTCGCACGGGTAGCTCCAGCCCATGTCTGCGTCGCGAGAAAGGAGGACGAGTCAGTGAGAGGGCAGGGAGCGAGAGAAGAGGAGCGAGAGGACGCACTGAGGATGATCTCGGGCGCGCGGTAATGCCGGGTCGAGACGACGGTCGCGTGGTAGTCGCCCTCGAACGTCGCACTGCCAAAGTCGATGAGCTGGATGCCCGTGTCGGTGAGGATCTTGCGGTGACGGTTTCTCTGTGGGCGGGAGCAGTCGGGTCAGGGCGAGGGAGGGCACGAGAGGAGGGCGAGAGAGATGGGACGCACTCGGCTCGGCACGATCGTCGTCTCGATCCGCTCCAGGAGAATGTTCTCGGGCTTGAGGTCGGTGTGGATGAGCTTGTTGTCGTGCACGTCTGCGGGCGGGCGGGACGACGACGAGGAGGGTCAGTCGCTCGTTCTCGGGGGGCGAGTAGGATCGAGAGGGCGACGACGCACACTTGAGGCTCGTCAAGAGTTGGCGGCCGAAGCTCTGGACGTGGCTGAGCGGGAACGGCTCGTAGCTGTTGTCCTTGAGGAAGTCGAAGACGGAGCACGACAGGAGCGGCGTGACGAGGCACGTGTGGCCGTGAAAGTCGAAGTACTTGACGAGCGGTATGCACTTCCTGCGTGAGGGAAGCGGCCGAGTCAGTGTACCGCAGGCGATGGGGGGCAGGACGGGCGAGAGGAAGAGGAAGCGGGCCGACGCACTTCTCGTTGCGCCGGTCGTTCTTGGTGAGGAGCGTGAGGACCTTGACCTCGGTCTTGGCCGCCTCCTGGTACTTGTGGACGGCTCGGCTGCGGGCGAACGAGAGAGGGTCAGGCGAGAGTCGACGAGCGAGAGGGAGAGGACGACGGACATGATCTTGACGGCGTAGCGCTTGTTGTCGCCCTTGCGCTTGGCCGAGACGACCTTGCCGAACGTGCCCTGGCCCAGTAGCCGCTCGATCTCGTCTGCGAGGCCAAGTTGCGCCGTCAGTCTCGGTGCGCGCCATTGACGAGGAGGCGAGGACGGGGAGGACGTACACTCGTGGTGCCCATCGCTGACGGTGTTGCCGACGTGGACGATAAAGTGGCCATCGCTGTCGGCGTACTGGGACTGTCGCTCTCGGTCGCGCTGCGTGGCAGGGTGGGCGAAGCAGGGGTCAGTCGATTCGGCCTCGTGGGGAACGAGGAGGACCGGAAGAGACAAAGAGAGAGAGAGGGACGCACGTCGCGGTTGTCCCGCTCGTACTCGTCGTGCTTGCGCTTGGTCCCCGACGCTGAGGCGACTGGAGCGTGCTGGCCGTACGCGCTGTACTGCTGCCCGGCGCCGTACTGGTTGGGCGCGTACCCGGCTGGCGGCGCCTGCGCGTACCCGGCCGCGTACCCACTCGCGCCACTGCCGCCGACGTCACTCCTGCGCTTCTTCTGCGCGGGCTCGTAGCCGCCGTACGGGTCGTTGCGGGCGCGACTGGACGACGCCTGCGGCGCGGCGCCGTTCGACAGGCCGGACCCGCCGGCGACAGTCGAGGGCTCCGGGGTGTCCTCGAGGGTGAGGACCTCTTGCTCGACGCCGTTGGCGTTGCGCACGCGCTCGACCGAGTACTTGACCGACTCGCGCGGGTAGGCCCGACCCTGACGAGGCGCGGGTGGTCGCACGGCGACCCTGGAAGACGACATGGGGCGAAAGGGCCTGCGAGGGGGAGCAGGCGGTAAGTATGAGCCCAGTGAAGCGCTCCTGGCGAGCTCGCGAGGCAGGAGGCGAGAAGGACAGGGGCGCACCGAGTGTTGGTGATGAGGGCGGGGTTGGCGGCGCACAGCGCGTGGGTTCGAGATGCTTGTCGGGTGCGTGTGTGCTCTGTGGCTGTCGCAGGCTGTGCAGGTGCCTGCGGATAGGTCCAGGAGCAGCGGGGTCGAGAGAAAGCTGATCTCCTCGTGCGAGCCCTCTCGCCCTCGTCCCCACCACCGCGACACGGCCTCGCTCTCTCTCTCCCGCTTCTTTGGGATCGCCGAGCACGGAAGCAGGTCCACGTCGCTCTGCTCGAGACTCGCACGCGAGAGCTGGCGCCATCGAGAGGAGTCGCTACCTCGCCGGCCTCCTCGTCGCCGCAGCTGACATTGCGAGTCGGGTCGGCGGGCGGTCGCTGTGTCCGATCCTGCTCTCTCAAGCGCGCCGATGGGTCTATATACAGTCTATGCACGTCTCGAGGCTCTGTCTCGCTCGCGGGAACGCTCAGCCACCTCGCAATCTACTCGGTCCGCCGGTCCGACCAGCTCTTCCTCCACGCCTCGAGCCCAGACTCGAACAGCGCACGCGTCGTGCCACCGTTCGGGACGAGGACAAAGGTGACGCCGAGCTTGGTGACCTCGCGGTTGCGCGACTCGTCTGCGACCGGGCGAGGGAAGGGAGAGCAGGTCAGCCGCTGCCGGTCGCACGAGGGGAGGAGGACGGCGGGAGGGGCGACGCACCGTCGAAGAAGAGCTGTCGCCGTCGAGGGGTTTGCGAGAGAGTCAGTGAGGATGCACAGGGAAAGAGGAGAGGAAAGAGCGCGGCGCACCATGTCCTCGAAAGCGATGCCCGTCTTGCGGTTGAGCTCGCGGAAGTGCTCCATCTTAGAGCCCGGGTAGATCTCCATCAAGTCAAACAGCTTGATGGCCGACACTGTGTCGCCCTTGTCCTTGCGCGCGTTGAGCGGGTCTTTGCCGCCGCCGTCGTTGAGCGAGCCGGGAACGAGGAGCTGGTCGAGGATCTGGCGTGCGACCTTTGGGGCGTGGGTGCGTGACGCGGCGGCGACGTGGATCTTGCTGCGGTGCAGCTGGAGGAGGATGCCGGGCACGTCCGGGTAGAACGAGAGCGGGTCGCCGTGGCGGTCGTACACCTGGTTGACGTCGTCGCCTCGGCGCTTGAGCGGCGGCGTCACGTGCGTGTCGCACCAGCACGGCCACAGGGTGTAGTCGAGGTCGAACACGACGCACTTGGGCAGCGGCTCGCTGAGGACGACTGGTTCGGTGCCCTTGCCCATGACGCACTGGAGGGAGGAGGGGCGAGGAGGACGAGAGGGAACCTGCGGCGGGAGGGACAGGTTTAGCGGGTCTAGCTCGTAGGAAGGCGAGTGTGGAGCTCGCTGGACGAGACTGGACTCACCCAGACACGACGCCGTGGAGCAAAAGGCGCGAGGAGATGAAGATGAGGGCGGAGGACCGAGGACTGAGATTGGCGCCAGATGTCGACGGCGGTGATGGTGGGTGATGCGAGGCCCTTTGCGGAGGTTGGGCGAGCTCTCACGGGAGCTGCAGGTGCTCGAGCGGTGAAGGGAGCGGGAGCAAGCTCGTCGTCGCGGTTCCCCCGCTCTCGGTTCGCTGCGCTCCCTCAACATCCGCCTCGACAGCACCCGACCTGCAGCGCACACGGCCGCCTCAGAGTGCAGCACCTTGCACGCGCGCCGGCGTCCCCGTCGCCTACGCCCGCCGAGCAACCCGCGCTCCCCCTCCTCCCGTCGGCGCGCGCCTCTTCGAGCTCCAGCTCCAGCATGGCCCCACGCACCGACGACTACGATGGGCCGTTCCAGTGTATGGGTGACCCCGAGCGACATGAATACCAGGTCTGGCTCCTCGCCGAGTTCCACGAGCGCGCCTCGTCGGCCCAGCTCGCCGACCCTGCCGACCCGGTCCAGTACCACCAGCGCGGCCTGTCCCGCCTGCGTGAGATCGCCGGCGACCTTCAAGACCGTCAGCCTGTCGAGATAGGGCGCACGCCCCACAACTACGTCTTCAACGAGCAGGTCCGTCCCTCTCTTCCTCGTCGCCTCGTTCCCGCGCGCGAACAGCACTGACAGCGGCGCCACCTGCTGCAGAAACTCGCGTTTGTCGTGCAGCTCATCGACAAGCTGCGTGACGAACCGCCGTCGGTCGGCTACCTCTCGTCGCTGTGGCCGAGGGTCACACAAGCCGGCGACGGCTGGATGTGGTTCCAGGTGCGTCGCTCTCCTCCCTTCTCGCGCGCTTCGCGCAGGTACTTACGCTCCGAGTTATGTGCCGCAGGACCGCTGCTACTTCAAGGAGGGCTCGGCACCGGCGCCAAACTCGGTCGACCTCACGATCGCTGTCGCCGAGCTGGACGACGCGTTTGCCGCCTTTCAGCCTCGATACGGCCCGGCCTACCTCGACCTCGCGATCCACGAGCACATGGTCGACTCGGACGAGGAGGACGACGACGACGAACCCGTCATCGAGGTGCGTCCCCCTTCTTGAGCGCTCCCACTCCACTCCCAGCGGCAAAAGCTCACTCTCTGGCCCGCAGAACCTGTCCGGGTCGAGCTTCGCGGCACCTCGCTCGACATTGGTCATCAACGACAACGACGTCGACGCGTCCAACACCTCGTTCAGCTGTGGCGGCGGCGACGACTACGGCGGCGGGTTCGACCTCGGCGAGGAGGTCGGCGCGGTGGACGAGCGCTCGTCGGACGCCGGCTCGCCGTGGCAGCACGTGTCTGCCCTCGAGGAGCGGGAGCGGGATCTCGGCGTCGGTACGTCGGCGCAGGGCGCGGCGAGGGCAGAAGCGGAGCGAGCGCCGGCCGCCGTCGAGGCGAGTGTCGGCCGAGGGCTGGGGCGCGGCAAGGAGCCCGGCACGAACGGCGACGCTCGATGGAGCAAGAAGCGCCGGCGGAACGACGGCGTCGCCGTGTCGGCTCGTCGCGTCGAGAAGGCGCTCGACACCGAGCCGCTCGAGGCCCTCGCGTTCGACCAGCGCGAGGGCGACGACGGCGTCCGTCTCGCCCACGGTCGGCCCGCCCGCAGGCGCAAGCGGGTCGCGCAAAGGTTCACGCGCACCCGCACGACGTTCACCAAGCGTCACGTCGTCGTCAAGCCGTTCAACGAGTTCGACGAGGAAGGGCTCGCCGAGCACTTTGCCGAGGCGGTCGAGCTCGTCGACCCGGACAAGGCCGACACGCTCCCCCGTCAGACGTACCTCCTCGACGCGTTCTGGGTCCACGAGCGCAACGACCCGTCGACGCTCGTCCCTCTCGACCGCCTCCTCCGGGTCGACGGCCGCCAGCCTCTTCCCGACGTCGTCATCGTCGGCCTCGCCCGCCCGCACGATCCCGTCGGCGATCCTCGACTCGCCGAGTCGAAGCATCGCGAGGAGCGTGCCCGTGTTGTCGAAGCTCGCGAGGTGCGGCTCGTCGCGCGGTGGGACGTGCGCTCGGTCTCGTTCTCGGTCGACGGCGGGCCGAGGCTCGTCTCGAGGCTGGCCGACTACCGCCTCGCCACGCCTCGTGTCCCGGCGCCCCGGCGTCAAGTCGACGGCAAGGGCAAGCGCCGCGTCGCCCCCCTGCCTCGTCGTCGTCGCCCCGACTCGCCCCCTCCCCTGTTCGACCTGCTCGAGTCGTACGAGCCTCACGTCGGCGTCTTTCGCCGCCTCCTCAACCTGTACGTGTTCGCGCGCACCCACGCCATCCGCGGCAGCTACGTGCTCTCGGGCGACATCGGCGAGGACGACGACGTCGAGAGCCGCGAGGCGTCCAGGGTCGTCGACGACATCCGCCGCCGCATCAAGGCGAGCGCTCGAGACGGCGGCGTCGTCTGGCAGGACCAACTGCCGGCCTTTTGGCGCGTGCCGGTCGAGGCGCTCGTTGTGCCCGAGGACGACCTGTGCGACCTGTCGACCGACCTCCTCGTCTTTCGCGCACTGCCCGACTTGCCCTTGTGCGTCTTCTCTCTCTCGTCTCTACGGTCGTCCTGCGACCTGACGACATCCTCTCCCTCGTCTGCAGCGTCACGCCCGACATCTACAAGATCGTGTCGCCGTTCTTCGCGCCCAACACGTTCCGGACCGAGAACGTCGACCAGGTCGAGCACGACATGGACCTCGAGCGGCGCGAGACGTTGAAGCTCCTCAACAAGTACCGCGATGTCGTGCAAGAAGATCTCGAGACGCAGGACGAGCCCGCCGAGAGCGTCGGTCGGCCGGTCGTCAAGACGTCGCCGATGTTCGTCGACGACCGCAGCTCCACCGACAAGATCCAGACGTGGACCAGAGCTGTCGTGAACGGCGTCACGTACCGGTGCGTCCAGGTTTCTCTCTCCTGTGCCCGACAACGTCCGGGCGGGCACTCACGGACCGCCGTCTCGCAGGGCCGGCGACATTGTCGTCATGTCCAGCTCAATGGACACGGACGGGCTCGCCACCACGCGCAAAAAGCTCTCGAGCGAGATTGACACGGCGGGCAATCCCGCATCGAGCGGGTCCGAGAGCGACGGCGGCCAGCTCGAGCAGGAAGACCGCGTCGGCGTGGACGACATCTCGGGCCAGGTCTGGTTCGCCCTCGTCGAGTACTTCTTCCAGTCGCGCCACGAGGACGAGCTCCGAGTGCACCTGAGCTGGTACGTCGCACGTCTCGCCCATCCCCTCTCTCGTCGACGGCCGCGCTGACCTGCCGTTTTCCCGGCGCAGGTTCTCGATCTCGCGTCCGATACCCAGCCTGAGCGTCTACGGCTCGCCTCGAGCGCTCTTCAAGCTCGACCGGTGCGACTCGCCGTTCGCCACGACCATCTCGGGCCGTGTCGACCAGCCCGACGACTTTCGGTGGCTCAAGCCGGGCGACCCGCTCCCTCGAACGGGCTTCTACTGCGGGTGCGCCCTACCTTTCCCTCTCTATCACCCTATCGAGCAACCCTGACACGGTATTTCACGCAGGTTTACGTACAACGACGACACGGGCTCGTTCCAAGACGTCTCGCGGCTCGAGTCCACCTCGTTCGACAAGTGCCGCAAGTACGGCCTCATCGACTGCGCCTCCTGCGAGTCGCAGGCCGTCTACGTCGACGTGACCAAGCCGTCGGTCAAGAACCCGCAGACGCGCTACATCAAGGCCGTCCGAGGCGGCGGCGGCGACAACGAGCTCTTCGTCCTCGACGGCACGAGCTACCACCGCGACGACACGGTGTACGTCGCCTTCCTCGAGCACGACATCAAGCCGCGCAACTTTGCCCTGCCGCGCAAGACGGACCCGGCCGACGCCGCGAGGACGACCTGGCGCCTCGCTCGCCTCCTCGACCTCGAAGCGCCGACCGCCGACGGCCACGAGTACAACTACGAGCCGGGCGACGAGATCGTCAAGGTCAAAATCGAGTGGATCGTCCGGGCGCAAGAGCTCAAGCTGTCGAGGACGAGCGACGACGCGTACCTGTCGGCCCACGAGGTCCTCGTCACGAACGAGACCGAGCTCGTCGACGCCGGCAGCCTTCGCGGCCGGTTCACGCTCGGCCTTGTCGACGAGGACGATCCTCACCTCGCCAAGACGTTCAAACATGAGAGCTTAGTACGTGAAACATGAGAGCTTAGTACGTTAGCCATGAGAGCTTAGTACGTTAGCCATGAGGGACGACTCGGGCGTCGTCACGGGCAAAGCTCGTCGCGAGCCGCTCGGAGAGGGCGACCTCAAGGTGTGTGCGACGTGCGAGACGGGTTGAACTGCTGATCTTCGGATGCACCGGCAATTGCGCCAGGTGGACGACCTGCTCCTTCCAGGTGGCGCGCTCTACTCTGGTACGCTCTCCCTCTCTCTCCCTCTCTCTCTATCATCCACCTGCGTGTGACTGACTCGCTCGTCCGACCCGCAGGCGGCGGCCTCCTCGACATCGGCCTCGAGCAAGGTTGCTCCCTCCTCCGCACCCGGGTCGCCATCGAGAAGCACCGACCCGCGATCGAGTGCCTGCAGAGCAACTTTTTCAACTCGCCCGACGGCATCAACAAGAGCGTGTCGGACGTCAACGAGGCGGCCTACTTTGGCAAGGACCTGTACGCGCCCGAGCCCGGCTCGCTCTCGTTCCTCTCTGGCGGTTCCCCGTGCCAGGTACGCCGCTAGTTTCGCTTCTCTCCCTCCTCGTACGCACCAGACTGACACCCAACGTGTGCGCGCAGGGATTCAGCCGGCTCAACCGCTTCAAGACGCTCGACGACCTGCGCTGCGCCGAGCCGTTCGTTTTTCTCTCGTCGCTCGCCATCTTCCGGCCCCTGCACGCCCTGTACGAGAATGTCGCCGCCTTTGAGACGCACGCTCTGCCTTACGCCAAGCCCGGGCACGAGCGCGGCTCGTTCTTCCGGCTCTTCCTCGCCGTCGCGACTGCTCTGCGGTACCAGCTCCGGTGGACCATCGTCAACGCCGCCGGGTGCGTCTCCTCTCTCTGCCGTCATCTATTCTCGGCGCAGCAGCTCATCTCTGCCCCCTCCCCCGCAGCTACGGCGTCCCGCAGTTCCGCTCGCGCATCATCGTCCAGCTCGCGGCTTCGGGCGTGCGCCTCCCCGAGGTCCCGTCGCCCTCGCACGCCGTCAAGGACGCACGTGCCCGACGTGACCACCGCCTGTTCGACGAGCGCGACAAGAAGCTCGAGGCGTCGACCGAGGACGGCGCTCCTCACTCGCCGATCTCGCTCTTCGAGGCGCTCGACGACCTGCCGCCGTTCGACATCAAGGACTGCTTCGACGCCAACAAGGGCTACATCGCTCGACCTGTGCGTCCCCCTCTCCCTCTCTCTACTCGATTTCAGTCCTCGTCGACGTTCGCCCGCTCACTCGCCGCTCGCACCCCTCACAGTTCGGCGTCGAGGGCAAACCGGACAAGGCGACCGAGTACGGCACCATCGCGCGCACGACGTTTCAGCAGCGCTGCCGGACGTACCTCGACGAGGACGGGCCGGCCTTTTCGAGCGGCTGCACCCACCACTTCTGCCGCTCCCTGTCGGAACCGGTCGCGCGGCGCGTTCTCGGCGTCAAGATCGGCGGCAACCACGAGAGTGCGTCCTCCTCCTCATACTCTCTCCCCCGCTCTCAAGCCGACGCACGAGCCCGTGACTGACCTCGTCGCCGTCGTTGGCCCGACCAGATCTCAAGGGCAAGCCGTTCTACCCCGAGCCGCCGCCAAACGTCCTGTCGAACCCGGCCAAGCTCGCAAAATGGTGGCGACGGTGCACGCCCGGCATGATCCTGTCGCCGCTGCGCGCGACGTTGAGCTACGACGGTTCGTCGCAGGGCGAGCGGCTGCACTACAGCCAGCTGCGCCCGCTCTCGATGCGCGAGCTGCTGCGGGTCATGGGTGCGTGTCGGCTTCGCTCTCTCTCTATCTTTCCCTCTCGCGGTCTCGGTCGAGCCTCCTCCCTCTCTCCCTCGCGCCTGCCGTCAACGTCGACCTCCCTCCCCCTCGTCCTTCCTCCTGAGCGCCCACTCCTTCCTCCCTCTTCCTCGACCCTCTTCCTCAAGCGTACTTGCGTAGCGGCATCACCTCGTACCTCTGCGAGACCGGCCACTGACTCTCGTCCCCCTCCCACCCTTCCTCCTTCCCTTGCAGGCGTTCCCGACGCGTACGAGCTCAACTTCCCGTCCAACATCGGCGACACCGCGTTCGACGAGCAGCTGCGCCTGATCGGCAACGGCGTCCCGGTCCCGCTCGCCGCCGCGTTCGGCCGCGCCCTCGAGGACGCGCTCGCGCCCGACGTCGAGGCGTACTTTGCCGAGCGGCCTCTCGCGGGCAAGGGCAAGGGCAAGGGCAAGGGCAAGAGCGTCGGCAGGGCGGGCAGCGTGTGGGAGAAGAGGTGGAGGGAGATCGGGAGCGAGGCGCTGTGCGCGAGGAGCGAGGCGAGGGCGGCGAGGGAGGAGGGCCGAGCGCAGGTCGGGCACGGCTGGACGTCGTCATCGTCGTCGGTCTCGCCGTCGCCGATGCGCTCGGTGAGCTCGGACGAGGTGGCGTCGCTGCTGCTGTCGTCGACGGCGGCCGTCGACCGCGACGAGACGGACCGGACGTCGTTCGAGTCGGGCGCCGGCGGCGTGCTCTCGCCGCGCCGGCGGGTCAAGGCCGAGCGTCACGCCATCGAGGTGCACGACTCGGACTCGTCCTCGGACGGCGAGCTCTGGCGAGCGCAGGGCGGCGCGAGGAAGGGCAAGCCCGAGGTGATTGACCTCTGCGACTCGGACTCGGACTCGGACTCGGACTGAGCGAGGGCCTGTTGTACAAGGCGTACCATCCATCTCTCCTTGGTGTTGTGCCTGCATTCCATTCATCTCTTGCTGTCACTCTCGAGACTCGCTTGAACGAGAGGCCGCCAAGAGCGAGGACTGAGCGAGAACAACGTCTAGTTTGCTCGACCCGCACGCTCTACAGCGACAGCTACCTGCCCCACCCGACGTCCTCGACCTCGACGCTGTGCCGCTCGTCGACCCTCGCGATCCGGATCCGGTTCAGCTCGGCCTCCATCTCGACAATGACGTTCCGCAGCTGGCCGGCCTCCCAGCTCCCTCCGACAAAGCCCGTGTAGAGGAACGTGGCGCCCGCTGCGCCGGCGACGACGCCGAGGAGGACCCAGAGCCAGTTGAGGGCGCGCAGGGGCTCGAACGACGACGTGACGATGAGGGCGACGGCGGCGAGGACGCACGACGCAAAGACGCGCAGCTGGGTGCGCGACGAGGCGACCGAGGCGCGGTACGCCGCGTGGAGGGTCGACAGGGCCGGCGACAGGAGGTCGGGCGTGAGCGGGTCGGGGAGGAGCTGGCGCTCGCGCGAGAAGGCGAACGTGGCGTCGACGGCAAAGTGGTCCGAGTACGACACGCCGAGGTGCGGCACGGGCTCGGTGAGGGCGACGTCGCACGACTCGGGCGTGAGCTGCCACGGCGCGTCGGCCGGCGAGCGGTACAGGAAGTAGTCGAGGCGCTTGCCGCCTCGAAGGTGGACCTCGTCGGCCGGGCTGCGCTTGCGCAACTTGGCCGCGCTGTACGTGTTGAGCGGCGAGTCGCACGTGATGCCGTGCGTCGTCATGACCTCGGCGGGCGACAGGGCACGGTGCTGCGCCGACGTGATGGACGGCGGCTCGGCGTGCGTGTCGGCCCACGCGTCGCGCAGCGAACCGTGCGTCTGGATCATCTTCATGATGACCGAGTGCGGCTGCGAGTTGAAGTCGCCAGTCTGCAACGTCGACGAGGCGAGTCAGTCGGGCTCAAGGGGGACCAGGAGAGAGAGAGAAGGCGAGACGCACGACGAGAACGTGCCGCCCTCGCTCGGCCTTCTCGGTCGTGATGCGGGCAAGCTCCCAGGCTTGTGCGACACGGTGCGCGCCCGTCACGTTGTCGCCCTCGCCACCTGGGGCGTACATGTGCGTGTTGAGGACGTCGACCTTGCCGACGCCGTCGATGTCGAGCGTGGTGCCGCACACGGCCTTGCCGGCGAAGAAGTCGCCCTCGATGAAGTGGAGCGGGAAGCCGTTGAGCGGGTACGGCGAGACAAAGGCCGAGACGATCGGGTGGCGCGACAGGATGGCGAGGCCCGAGCCGATGGCGCCGCTGCAGGGACGAGAGGAAGGTCGGCCACGAGAAGGAGTAGAAGGAAAGAGGGCGTGAGGGCGCACCTGTAGAAGAAGCGGCTGTGGATCAAGCCGGCCTGCTTTGCGCGTTCTGCGACGAGGTCGTAGTCGCTGCGGACCCACAGCTCTTGGAGGGCGACGACGTCGTAGCCGCCGGGTCGACCGGTTGCGGCCTCGTCGCTGGCGTCCGAGTGGTACGACGAGCGGGCTCGAGGTTGCGGGTCGGCCGAGTGAGCGATCCAGTCTGCGATGGCCTCGAGGCGCTGTTTGCGCTTGTCGGCGACGATCCACAACCCCCTGTCGACAGCGAACGAGGAGGTGAGGTGAGGTCGGCGAGGGGAGGGAGGAGAGACGGGCGAAGGCCGGAAAGCGCACCAGCAGTTGAGCGAGAGCACCCTGAGCCTGCGTGGCGGTTCTGCGCTGTCCATGACCGTGGTAGAACGAGCGGGAGAAGCGACGAGGCCCCACTCGGTGACCAAACCTCTCGCGCTCTCACCTCACCCCGCCGAGTGCCGCTGTAGCCGCCACAGTCGAGCCATGAGCTCCCTCGCTCCCGCCCACGACATCGCACGCGGGTTCGACAGCGTGTCGCTCGACGACGACGCGCCCCCAGCTTCATCATCGCACCCAGACGCGTCCCTCGACCTCCAGACCACCCGGGACAACGAGGACCATGACCAGGCGTTCGAGTCGGTCTCGCTCGACAGTGCAGCCCCGCCCGAGCAGCCCCACGACCGCGACGACCACCGCTCGTCCCCCTCGCCCTCCTCCGCCTCGACTCCGCCCCACAGCCCGAGCCTCGCCTCGACCGCACCCACGACCGTGCACGACCCGTCCTCCTCCACCGACGTTCACGTCCCTCCTCGCGCTCCTCCCGCGCCCCTCGCCGACGATGCGCCCGTCCCGTCGACCTCGGCACCCTCAACCGCCGAGCCCGACAAGCTCGCAGCCGCAGCAGCAGCCCCGTCGCCCAAGAAGCTCGTCTCGACAAAGCGCCCGACCATCATGCAGAAGGTCGTCAGCATGACCCGCCAACGCGACCTGCCCCCAAAGCCTCGCGAGGAGGAGGTGCGTCTCCTTCCTCCCTCTCTCCCTCCTCGTCCCTCCTTTCCCGTCCGTCGGTACTGACTCTTTGTCTCTCGTCCTGCAGGAAAAGCACCTCACTATGCTCGCCGAGATGTACGCCGCGAGCCGCGAGGCCGACAAGCACCGCCGCGAGGCCGAGGCGCACCGCGCTGCCGTCCGCGCCGCTCAGCACGCCGCCGCCTTCCCGGCGTGGGAGGCGTCCATCCTGCCCAATTGGCGCGTCGTCCTGCACGACACGCCCGAGGGGCGCAGGTTGCGCCAGCTGTGGCGGGACGGCACCATGCCCACCCGGTGGCGCGGCCGCCTGTGGGCCATGTGCATCGGCAACGGCCTCGCCGTGCCCAAGGGCGCCTTTGCCCAGGCGGGAGAGCGTGCGGCGAGGCTGAGGGACGCCGGCCGGCTCGCCGAGGTCGAGCGGGCGGCGAGGGCCGACGCGCAGCGGACGCTCCCGGCGCTCCACATGTTCCAGGAGGGCGCCGTCATGCACGACGACCTGATGGAGATCCTCGTCGCGTGGGCCGTCTACGAGAAGACGACGCCTCGATACGTGCGTCCCTCGCTCTCTCTCCCATATTTCCTTCTCCCCCTCGTCGACCGGCGTCCTCGCCTGCGCTCGTTCCCCTCGTCGAGCCACGCACTCACGCCTCGCCTCCCTCGCAGCCCGACGGTCTCGCTTTCCCTGCCGCCCTCCTCCTCCTCAACCTAGCGCCGGCCGAGGCCTTTGTCTGCCTCGTCAACCTCGTCCAGAAGTCGTTCTTGCGCTCGTTCTACGGCGACCAAGACGAGGTCCGTCCTGCCCTTTCCTCTCGTTCTCGACGTCACTCGGGAGAGAGTCTGACCTCGCGCTCTCACGTCCCGTACAGATCGAGGCGTACTACCGCGTGTTCGACACGCTCCTCGCCGACGCCATGCCCAAGATCTACGCCAACTTCTCGGCCCAGGTCGTCCGCCCCTCGCTGTACCTCCTCCCCTGGCTCTCGACCCTGTTCGCCGCCTTCCTCCCGCTCGACCTCGCGACGCGCGTGTTCGACTGTTTCCTCCTCGAGGGCGACTCGTTCCCGTTCCGCGTCGCGCTCGTCCTCCTCGACGTCCTCGAGCCGCGCCTGTTCAACCCCAACCTCGACGAGCTCGCGGCCGTCTTTCGCGGGACCGACCGCGGCGCGCTCGGCGTCGTCCGGCGCGACAAGGGGCTCATCCTCGCCGACGGGAGCGTCGACCCCGACGGCCGCGTCGAGACGGACGAGGTCTACGCCGAGATGGGCGCGACTGAGGAGCGCGTGTTCGAGGGCCTGGCGCGCCTCGAGTGGAAGGAGGAGACGTGGGCGAGGCTCGTCGAGCGCGAGCTGCCCGAGGTTGTGTGAGCTCGAGGACCGGGCTAGAGGACGGGGCGAGGGCGAGGGCGAGGAGGGAGGCGCTTGGCTGGACCCGGCGCGCTCTCGAGAACGTGCAACTCGGTCAGGTTCTGCGCTCGTCCCTCCTGCAGCTCGGTCGGCGAGAGACAGAGAGCGGCGAGCGCGAAAAAGGCCTCTCGACCGTCGCTCGGGCCTCCTCGTTTCGCGCTCACGGCACGACGCCCGCCGAGTCAGCCACCTCGAGCTCGTCTCTCCGTCGCTGTCGACGCTCGTGTGTGGCTCGCGGCGCACAGCAACGTCGCTCGCAGCCAGGCGACGCACACGCTCGGCTCGCTCTCTCTCGAGCGGGCCTGGACTTCTCCGACGTCGGAGGAGTCTAGACCGCGCTTAGCGATTTTTGGATTCGGCAACAGCGCTCGCTCCTCGAGGGGAGGTTTCTCGCAGGTACGGCAGCTCTCGCCGAACGTGCAGCGCGAGAGGCTCGAGCGCGACCTTGTCGAGCTGCAGATGGCGACGCCGACAATGGTGCAAAGCGGTCGCAGAGCAGGAAGCACGAGCACTGAGGAGCAGAAGCGCGAAGCAGCTCGAGGAGAAAGTTGAGGAGGAGAAGGCGAGGCTGCGCCGCCCACAACAGTCGGGGCGGGGCATGGTTCTCAGCAAATACTCTGGGCGACGTTCAGAGAGGGCTCGCGAGAGAGAAAGAACCGACGCGGGGCTTTGTCCGCCTCATCCACCTTGGACTCGAGAAGGCGGCGGACTGGGCCAACTCTCGCTCTACACGGCAAAGTGGCTCAGGAAACGCGCTCGATTGCACCGCAGACACGTCTTCGTCCGATCCTGCGCAAGCAGAAGGCCGTAACCCTGCTAGATCAAGAGCTAGCGTTTGAGCGAGGGTGCGCAGGATCCCCCTGTCTTTTGTAGGTGGCCGGGCGTACGGGCGCTCCGCAGGGGTGCGCGCCGTACGAGCGGCTCACCAGAGTGCGCCCGCTGCCCTCAGGGGCACGAGAGGGCGGGCGCGGCCTCGTAAAGACCCGTCCGCGACGGCTCGACTCGCTGAGCCGCCGGGACGAGTGCGACGACGAACAAGAACTCTGCGCGGTCTGGGGACGCTCGCTAGGGACGAAGAGAGCTTTCGGAGAGGAAAGGGCGCCGTCGCGCGGCGCAGCAAGGGCGCGAGGGGAAGCTTTCGGGGCCGAGAAGGGGGAGGTGCCATCGAGGGCGCGACTAACCTGCGGCGCAACGTCGAGAGGGTCAGTGCGCGGCTCAGTGCGCGGCTCAGCGAGGAGCACAGATCCATGTGAAGGTCCTGCAGGGAAGAAAGAGAGTGCGCGGGACGTACAAAGGACAACATGAGCCGCCTCGAGGTCGAGTGCCCGCCTCGTGCGGCCCAGAAGACCCGCCCTGCTCGCCTTGCGCAGCCATTTCGCCTGCAAAGGGACTAGATCAGTCCATCAAACCCCCTGCACCGCGTCGCGAGGTAGCAGAGGGGGCGAGGGGAGAGGGAGAGGGGGGCCAAACACGGGGAGGCGGGGAGGAGGTGGACGCACCAGTCGCCCACAGCCCGCGCAGCGCGGCCGTCTGGCCTAGTAGTGTCCTTGATGCTGCGATAGTCCTCGACGACGATACCCACAGGCCCATGAACCGTATCCACCAGTCGAGAGAGGTCGGTCGACGCGAGTGACTGATGAAGATGCGACGCGCCCTGCGCCGTCGGCGGCCGCTCGCGGTGGCGCGGAAGCAGGCCCCATAGATAGATGATGCGATGCAGAAGAGCTGGACACGCGCCGGCAAGGCACAGCAGCGGTGCGGCCGAGTTGCGCGTGGAGGACGAGGTGCGAGGCGCGAGTCGTCGTTACGAGTGCGACCGCGAGCCTCTCGCTTGCTTTCAGCTACTCGGCAAAGGCGTTGCGCTCGGTGCGGCGGGCGAGATGAAAGCGTCGTGACGGCACTGCTGCTCTTTCCGCAATAGCTTTCGGATTCGCTCGGTGCCTCAAGCGCTGGACCGCTTCAGCCCGCCGGCGCGGCGCTCAGATTCTAGACAGGCTCGAGCGGCACCTCGTCGACAGCCGAGCTCGCGACAGGGCTGTCAAGCTCTCTAGTCATGCGCGAAAGAGAGAGGCAACGATGTAACTGCGATTTTGTGTGCCAAACTCGAGCCCTCGCCCTCGGCTGCCCTGTCTACCGACCCTCGCCCGCCGCACTAGACCTTCTCCCGGACCTCCTCGAGCAGGCCCTTGCGCCGCAAGAGGCAGTAGTCGCCCCACTGAAGCGACTTGGACCACCCGGGCAGGGGCAAGTTGATGGCGCGCTGCAACCGCGGCGAGTTCTCGGCGTCGAGGAACGGGTGGCACGAGACGCGCATCCACTCGTCCGAGACGGCGTAACGCGGCTCGAGAGGCGAGAAGGTGGACGACGGGCGTTGGGGAAAGTCAAGGTCGACGAGGTAGGAGCACGTAGAAGGGTCGACCTGCGGACGAGGAGGGACGAGGACGACGGTAAGTGGCGCTCGGGTACCAGGACCTGGTCGAGGGTAGGGTAGGGCGACAGGAGAAGCGAGAGGGGGAGGAAGAGGGAAAGGAAGAGGGGGAGGAAGAGGGGGAAGGAGAGAACACGACGCACAAAGCGGCCCTCCTCAGCCCGGTTGAACATGTTCATGCCCTCGGGCACCGTCGCCGTCGCGCGACCGAACAAGCCCTTGCCCTTCCCGGGCGCCTCCCACACGGCGGGCATGATGCCGTCGAACGCGCTCTGGATCCACCTCGTCTCGACCTCGTCCGGCACGAGCCAGCTGCTCGGGAACCGGTGCCACTCCTTGCCCACGCACAGGCGCAGGTTGAGCGGGCTCAGGGCCTCGCGCGTGTCGAGCGCTTGCTCCTTGTTGAGGAGCTCGGCAAACTCGGCGTGCGGGAGGGACGGGTCGATGGCGGGCGCGAGCTCGGGGTGCGCGATGAGGGCGACGCGGGCGAGCTCGTAGTTCTGGAGGTGGTGGTAGGCGTTGAAAGGCGCGTGATAGTAGTTGTGCAGGGCCGAGATGCGGGCGAACGAGAGGAGGCCGCTGAGGATGATGACGGCGCGCGTCAAGTGCGAGAAGAGGCCGGTGCGGGTCGCCTGCAGGCGCGTGGGAGAGGACTCGCCGAGTCAGTCACGGTCGACGCAGGTCGAGGCGAAGGAAGGGACGCACACGGTAGGGCGACTGGGTGACCTTGAGGAAGTAGGCCTCGACCCAGCCACGGACGAGGTACAGGCCGACTGCCGCGTTGAGGACGACGTGGCCGTACGCCGGGAACAGGAATCGCTCTTCCTTGTGCTTCTGAAGCACGAGGACGGCGAGGTACAGGTGGAGCGGCACGAGGCGGATCGCGAGGCTCGTCGCCGGGTGCGTCTGCTCCTTGGACACGTCGCGCGCGTCGCCGAAGCGCTTGGCGTCGACGCGGAGCGTGACGAGGATAAGGAGGGGCGCGACGAGCGCGAGGGGGAACAGGAGGTTGAAGTTGATGAGGCCGTTGAGGACGTAGAAGTACCACGGCTCGGTGCCGTACAGCTCGGGGCCGGCGCCGGCGACAGGGAACAGGTTGTACTTGATGATGTTGAGCGGGACGACGACGAGCTTCTGGTAGGCTGCCGAGTCGACGAGGATGACCGGGATCTGCGAGGAAGGGAGGAGCGTGAGCCAGACTGCCCTCGTGCGAGAAGCAGAGAGAGGGGAGAGCGCGAGGACGTACAGCGACGGACGCTCCGAGGGCGAGCGCGATGCCCAAGTTCCTCGTGCGCTTCATCGTCCACAGCGCCGACTGCGTGATGGGCGCGCGCTGCAACGTGCCACGGACGAAGAGCTGCTCGAGGACGAGCGGCACGCCGAGGAGGACCGCAAACGGCCAGCCGACGATGCCGGCGATGGCGTACGCGATGACGGCGAACGAGATGCGCTTCCAGCCGCCCTGGACCGGCGACAGGCTCGCGGCGGCGCCGAGCATGACGAAGTACATGGCGAACGTCGACGGGAGGAACGAGGTCGCCGACGAGTAGAAGGCGGCCGAGAACATCTGCATCCACAGGACATAACGGCCGACGTGCGTGCTGATGTGGACGTGGCACGACCGGTAGAAGACGGCCTCGACGAAGGACGAAAAGGTGGCGAGCATGAGCCTCGTGCCGAAGAAGATGACGCGCTGCGAGGGGTTGACGGACAGGCGCGAGGTCAGTCACGGTCGTCGAGGACCCGGGGAGAAGAGAGAAGGGGGCGCACCTTGTCGGGGAAGCCGACGGCCCGGAGTGCAACGGCCGGGCCCGAGTGCACGAGGAGGTAGAAGTACGACCGGATCGCAAACAGCGGCGAGTACTCCCAGGTCTGGAACCCGCGACCGGTGACGAGGTAGTGGAGCGGCTCCCAGTAGTTGAACACTGCGTGCGAGACGAAACAGGTCAGCGCTGGGTCCCGAGAGAAGAGACAGAGGATCGGGACAGGCGCAGGGCGGGAAGAGGGGGGGGGAGACGGGTCGAGACGCACCCTCGTCGCAGTCTGCGATGGCCGTGTACATGCCCGAGGTCCATCGAATGAGGACGAGGAACCTGAACGCGACCGTGAGGCTAGGGGACCACCTCCCGAAGGCGAACCTGCAGGCGGTCGAGGAGGGCAAGGTCAGCGTGCGCTTCTGGGTCTCGCCATGCCCGTGGCCGGGTGCACGAGTGCTCTGGAGGACAGGGAAAGGCTGTGCGCACCTCAGGTTGGGGTCCTTGAGCAGGCCCGGCTCGGCGGGGCGGAGAGCGCGAGCATTGGGCGACGGCTCGAGCTTGGTGCTGGCGGGCACAGGCGCACGCGGCTTGCTCCTGAAGCGGATCTGCTGGTCCTGCGGCAAGTTGACGCCGTAGCTCTGCATGGTGGGTGAGAGCAGGAGGACGAGGGAGATTCACATCTCCGAGATGTGGACGGCCGCCGAAGCGAAAGTGCCGCAACCTCGGCTTGGCTTTGTGTGCGGCGCCCGTTCTCCGAGGGCTCGTACTATGTAGTTCGCAGGCTACAGCTGCACCGGTCGCGCGGCCGAGGCGATGTGAGGTGCTTTGACCTCGTCGACGTCTCTCTCTGAGTTCGCGGGCTCGGCTTTCTCTCTCGCGGGAAAGAGCGAGGGTGTGAATTGCGGACGTTGTACAGCGGACAGACAGCTATACATCGAGCTGCTCGAGCCCCAAGACCTGCTCGAGACTCGGCCACGGCTCGTCGACCCGGATCCGCTTCTCGCCGTCGAACCGACACACCTCGTCGCACGACGGCATGAGCTCGAGCCGGGCGCACGTCCCGACGTGCGACACGGTCGCAGGGAGCTGCCAATGTCGCCAGTGCTCGAAGCCGGGCCACTCGGTGTTGACGAGGCGGATGTGCGACGCCGAGGCGAAGAGAGGGTCCGAGAGCACCTTGGCGAGGAGCTCGGCGAACGTAAAGTGCGGGCGCATGTCTGCGTCGACTCAGAGTGCGTCAGGTCGCCGTCTCGTCGGCAAGGGGTGGAACGAGGAAGAGGGGGAGGACGCACCGAGGTCGAACACCTTCGTCATGCTCAGTGCCAAGTCCATCCTGCGCTCACGCTCCGCCCTGCCCAGTCGCTCCCACCAGCCGTCCTCGCGCCGCTCGTCCGTGTCGAGGACGCTCTGACCGAGGAGCCAGCTCGTCGCGTGCTCGACGTACGCCGGCTCGACGATCGTCACGTTGAGCGGCGAGTCGCTGCCCGAGGCGGCCAGCTGCGACAGCGGGAACGTCTCGTAAGAGGCGCGGACCGGTGTGGAGGACGCCTTGTCGAGGTCGGTGATGATGGCGTGCGAGGGGAGGGAAAGAGCGCGCTGCGAGTAGTGGCTGCGGGAGGGGGCCGAGCGGCGGTCAGTCCGGGTTCCTCGCGTCAGGCGCCGACAGTGACGTCCTGAGAGGGAAAAGGGGACTCACGCGAGAGCGACGAGGATGCGGAAAAGCTGTGCGAGGTCGTCCCTCGGGCCCGAGAGCTGGTCGACCGAGAGGAGCTGTGGCGGCGACGAGTAGTACCCGTCGAGGTCGGTCCAGAAGCCCTGTCGACGTACTGCGAGTCAGTATCGAGTCGCCGAGAGGGTCGGGTAGGAGGAAGAGAGGACGCACCTCGACCTTGGGGACGAAGAGCTTGACCCACGCATCGTCGGCGCACGTCATGTGAAGGAACTGCTCGCCGAGGACAATCAGTGGGCGCGTTCAGGGAGGGACGACCGAGGGAGCGAGACGCACCGTGCTGTCGTGCCTCGAGACCCAGGCGTCCTTGCGCTGGTGGTACACGCGGAATTGGCGCTGGTCGAGGACGTGCACGCGCAGGCCGTTTTGGGCGACAAAGTCCGACTCGAGAGGTCGCTGCCACGGCGCGCTGTCATTATGAAGGCGACGAGGACCCGTGTCGAGAACCTGCGGATGGCGGACAAAGGTCAGGCTCGACCTTCTCAAGACGAGCTCTGAGGAGACGAGGACGGCGAGGACGCACCCAGTTGAAGTTGATCTGGTCGCGCGAGACCTGCACCATGTCCATCTCGAGCACCTTGCGCCATGCGTCGGCGACGGCCTGGCCCTTGCGCATCCACAGCCAGCCTGCGTGCAAAGGAAATGAAGGTGAGCTTCGAGGCGGTCCGAGCGGGCAGGGGTGGGGCCAAAAAGGCGGGCGTACCGGTGTTGAAGTGCTCGAAGGCGTCGTTCTCTTGCGCGAGCAGGTCGTACTTGGGTATGAGCGGCTCCATGTGCGGGTACGGGTCTTGAGCGAACGAAACATCGGCATCGACGAAGAAGAGGTCGCGCTCGGGCAGCGCCTCGATCAGGCTGCCAGCTTGGGCCACGTCGCCTTCCTGCGAGGTCTGCCGTCAGTGAGGGCCTCGACGAGTCGGGCGACGAGGGACAGAGAGAGAGAGAGGACGAGCGCGACGCACAAGATCTGCTCGGGTCGTTGCCGCTCGAACCCGCCGTACGCGTGCATGCCTCGCTCGGCGCACTCCTCGACACACACCTCGTCGAGACACAGCGTGATGAGGAACGTGTCCTTGACCTTGCGGCCGTACTTCTGGCGGCGCTCGACGTTGAGCTGGCGGATGAAGCCGTCGAGGTTGGCGGCGCCCGTCTTGGCGAACAGGCCGTCGGCGAGCGTGATCCACAGGTGCTCGTGCTGCTGGCCCTTGGCGTCGAGCGGCCAATGCGCGTCGAGGTAGTCGGAGAACGAGAGGTCGGCGCCGAGGGTCGCTGTCGGCACGGCCGACGAGGCCGAGAACAACTGCGACCAGCGCGTTGTGCCGGCGGTCGGCGCCTTGAAGAGGCTGTTGAAGAAGACGAAGAGGCACAGGCAGGCGCCAAAGAGAGGGAGGGTGCGGCGGCGGTTGAACGAGGTCGGCGAGGGGGGCCAGCTCGGAGACAACGGCGGCGAGTACAGGGGAGGGCTTCGCAGGCCGCGCATGGCGTACGGCGGGTCGCCAGGGCTCGTTCGCGAGAGTGCGAGCGAGGTGTCGAGGAGCAGGAAGGAGGCCGTCGAGAGGGAGGAGGGAGCGAGAGCGGGGGCAGCTAGCGCACCGCTCGACCCGCGCCAAAGCCAAAGCCAGCACCTCGTCTGCGCGGAGGCACGCTCGGCGGCCAGCGCACTGATCGCCTTCGAGGCCGCGTCGCTCCTCATCAACCTCGTTCGTCCCGACGCTGGCTCGGGGAGGCGGGGAGCGAGGCGAGATTTCCCAGAAGCGGGCTCGACGATAGGCGTGAGTGAGCGCCGCTTGCGCTCAGTCTCGTCGCTGCCCGACCGTGCCTGTCGCAAGCTGGTGCGCACGAGGGCGGCCTGCTCGTTCGAGGCAGGTCCATGCGAGCAGGCGGGATGAGGCCGAGGGCGAGACCGCCGAGCGAGGCAGGCGACGGAGCTCCGCGAGAGCGGCGCAAGCTGTTGTTCTGCGAGCTGAGCGCTGAGGCCGCGCTCGAGCTGGGAGCTGGCACGCGCGTGCGCGAGCGGCGACAGAGTAGAGCGTCGAGAGAGCGGGAGCGAAGGCGTCGCGAAAGCTTCTGACGTGCGACCGACCGATGCCGATCGAAGCGCGCCGCGGTAACGCAGATTAGCAGCACTTTGTAGTGCCGATTAGCGGTCGTCTCATCGCACCTCGCCGCCAACCTGCGCTGAGGCCTCTGTCGCCGGTCAGAAGTTCCCAGCTGTCACCGAGCAGAGTGCTTGACCGTGCGAGGTGAGAGAGGTCCGAGGAGATAAGGAGTCCGCGGCGCGCCGCTCCGCCCGGCCCGATTCGAGGTCAGACGAGGAGGAGGCGGAGCGTTCGTTCGCCCTCCTCACACCCTCTCGCTCAATCGCCCAGACGCGACGGCGACCTCGATGGCTATCGTGCGTCCCAGCCGAGCCCCTCGTCTCGCCGTGCGGTCCCGAAGCTGACCTTTGCGAGCGAGCAGGCACCCCCACCTCGACCCGCACCACCTCTTCGACGACGGGCGTTCCACGGCACGCTCGTGCACGCCCTGTCGCTCACCGACACCGAGTACCTGCACGATGCCCTCCTCGGCGTCGACGAGGCGGGCGTGATCGCGTTCGTCGACAAGGGCGTCTCGTCGGACAAGGTCGAGGAGCGGTTGGATGAGCGCGGGTGGGCGCAGGCGCAGGTCGTTCGGCTCGCAAAGGGCGAGTTTCTGATGCCTGGGTGCGTCCCCTCTCTCTCGCACACTCCCTCGCATGCACGAGTGGCGCCGGCTGACCTCGTCCTCCTCGACGACCCGGAACAGGCTCATCGACACGCACGTCCACGGGCCCCAGTTCGTCAACCTGTCGTACGGCCAAGAATTCGAGCTCCTCGACTGGCTCGACCAGGTCACGTTCCCGGCCGAGGCCAAGGTGCGCCCACCTCTCTCAGTCCTCGACCGACGGCGACAAGCTGACTCTGGCTCCCTCTCTGCAGTTCAAGGACGTCGCGTACGCCCGCCGCACCTACGAGGACGTCGTCGACCGCCTCATCAACAGCGGCACGACGACCGCCTGCCTGTACGGCACCCTGCATCACCAGAGCTCCAAGATCCTCGCCGCCGTCTGTCACCGGCGAGGGCAGCGCGCGTTCGTCGGCAAGTGCAACATGGACCGCAACAGCCCGCCGAGCTACTCGGAGAGCTCGACGGAGCGCTCGCTCGCCAATACGGAGGACTACGTCGCCTTCGTCCGCGAGCACTGCAACTCGCCCTGTCCGCCTTCTTCCGCCATCACGTCGAGCAAGCGCTCCAGCGCGCCGACATCGCTCGTCCAGCCGATCCTCACGCCCCGGTTCGCCATCTCGTGCACCGACGAGTGCCTGCAGGGCCTCGGCGACATGATGGACCGCGACGAGCACCTCCCGCTCCAGACGCACCTCGCCGAGAACCCGTCCGAGGTCGAGTTTGCCATGTGTGCGTCTCTCTTTTCCTCTCTATACGTCTCGAGAGCTAGTGAGCGACTCGACTGACACGCCTCATGCCCATTCGCAGCTCTGTACCCGGGCGTCGCGTCCTACACGGCCGCCTACGACCGCTTCCGCCTCCTGCGCCACAACACCGTCCTCGCGCACTGCGTCCACCTGTCGGACGACGAGCTCGACCTCATCAAGGCGCGCAACTCGGGCATCTCCATCTGCGCCGACAGCAACTTTAACCTGAGGAGCGGGACGGCGCGCGTGACCGACATGCTCGACAAGGGCATCAAGGTCGGCCTCGGCACCGACGTCAGCGGCGGCCTGTCACTCGGGATCCTCTCGGCCATGTGCGTCCACCTTTCGCTCGAGCCGGACCGCCTGTCTCGAGCCAGGCCGCTCACATCGCCGCCTTGACCTCCCGCAGCCGCGCCACGTCGACCGCGTCCAAGACGATCTGCTTCCACAAGCGCGACTCGCCCTCGTCATCGCCTTTACCCGCTCCCTCCCCCGACGACTCGGCTGTCGGGCCCGACGGCGTCTCTCGCCCCGCCGGCTTCTTCGCCCAGAAGCACCTCTCGCTCTCGGCGCTGTTCTACCTCGCGACGCTCGGCGGCGCGCAGGTCGCCAACGTCGACGAGCGCGTCGGCAACTTTCTCGTCGGCAAGGAGTTTGACGCGCTCCTCGTCCAGACGGCGCCGTCGTCGTCGATGGCGAACGGCTCGAGCGCGGCGAGCGGCGGAGCGGCGGGCGAGGACGTGTTCGAGGACGAGCTGCGCGCTGCGCTCGAGGGAGGCGAGGTCAAGCAGCGAGGCGAGGCGTTCAACCCGGCGCTGTTGACGAGCGAGGACGAGGCGATCGAGCGCGTCTTTGAAAAGTTCCTCTTCTCGGTGCGTCCCGCTCTCTCTCCTCTGATGGAGCGAAACTGACTGAGCGTCTTTCTTCGACACAGGGCGACGACCGCAACCTCGGCTCAGTGTTTGTGCGTGGGCGGGTCATCGGCGGCGCGCGACCGCTCTCGGCGTAGCAGAGTCCTTGAATAGATCGACCTCTTTCCCCTCTCTTTCTCTATCTCTTGCTGTAGACGGACCCGCACACGCAATCGGTAAAGCTGTTGTCAATGTTTGCGTAGTCGATACAGGGCACACGTCGCTGCGAGGCCTCTCTGCTCCTCCCGCTCGACCCGCTCGAGCGTCGTCGCTCTCTCGCGCTACGCTCGCCCGCTCAGTCCGACTCGCTGCCGCTGCCCGGCTCGTCCTCATCGTCGTCTGCGAGGTCGGCGTTGTTCTTAGTGCCGCCCATGATGCGGTCGGCGAGCGCGACCCGGATGGCGTGCAGGATCGCCTTGTCGGCCTCGGACCGGTCCGGGTGCAGGTACTCGGCTGGTTTCCGCCCGTAGCGGTCCTTGAGGCTGTGGGGTACGTCGTGCGCGACCGTCAGTTCGGACTCGGTGACGAGGAGGAGGGTCGGCGGACGAGGCAGAGAGAAGCGGCGACGCACTTGGGGTCGGCTCCGGCCTCGAGAAGCATGTCGACGACGCCTTGCCGTGCGGCCTCGTTCTCGAGCTTGACGGCGAGGTGCAGAGGCGTTGCGCGGTCGAGGCGGTTCTGCAGGTCGACGTCGACGGGCTCGAGGTCGAGGAGGAGGGTGAGGACCTCGGGCGACGGGCCAGAGACGCTGCGGGAGACGAGATTCAGCGACTTGCACGGCGGTCGCGGATCGCTGAGAAGAGAAGAGAGAGGTGGACGTACGCGTAGTGCAGGGCTGCAAGAGGTGGGCGGGCGAGAACAAGGTCAGCGCTCTGCTCGGCCTCGAGTGGGGCGAGCGACGCCTCCCACGACGCCGTTGCGACCCAGGACCTCTCTCGCCGCAAGGAAGACACCGTTGCAGCGGTACTGCCGCGTGCATCGTGCGACCGCTCGGCTCCTGCCGCCGTCACTGCCGGCGAGAGAGGAGGGGAGAGAGGGAGGCTCACCCGTGTTGCCCAGGCCGTCCTGGAAGTTGAGGTCGTACGCGTTGTCGTCGCCGTTGAGGATGTCCTCGATCATGTCGACTGCGTCCTGCTTGGCGGCGAAGACGATGCGCTCGTCTGTCGAGGAGGGAGGTGCGTGTTCAGCGAGGTGGGGAGGCAAGAGGGGGAGAGGGCAGGCGGGGCGCACTCGGGGTCGCCATGGCAGCTCTGTCGGGTCACTCCTGCTGAGTCTGGAGGGCAGCAAGGGCGGGACGAGCTGGTGTGAGCGGACAGAGGAGCCGAGGTGGAGTGACCGCCTCTCACCTCATCTCGCTCGCCCCACCCTCGCTGTGAGGGCTGCTTGGCTGCTCGTACGCACTGCTGCAAAGCGCAAGACGCGCCCTCTCCACCCTGCGGTCTCCCCGAGCGGCTCCCGCACGCCTCCCCCGAGTCCTCGCCTCTCTCGCGAGGATCGCCTTTCTCTGCTCTCGCGGGGAGCGCGTGCTCGGCAAATCGGGCTCGCGGTGCACACAGGAGAGTGTCGCAGGACATGTGCCCTCCTGGATGGGAGCCGAGGTCGCCAGTGCGTCCATTTCTCCTTCCGCGTCCCTCCCGTCCCTCCGCACCTCCTCGCCTCGCCCACTGACGCGCCCTTTTCTCAGCAGGCGCCGTCATCCAGACCCGACACGTTCAGCCACGCTACCGCTACAGTCTCGCCGCTCGCGGCGACGGCTGAGCCGCCGTCCTCGCCTCGCCCTCGACCGCCCCACCCTGTCGACCCGCGCGATCGACCTGAACAAGCAGCCGCAAGCGAGCGACCTCGCCCCTCCTTCCCTTGTGCCCCTTGCCTCGTCGCCCCTCGATGAGCCCGTCGAGCGCGCCCCTCTCGCACGTCCGGTCGACGCTATCGTCGCGCCCGCGCACCGACGATGGCCTCGACGCCCTTGAACCGCCACATCCGGCAGCGGTGCAGCAGAGGCACGGAGAAGACGGACGACCCTGTCGAGACGCGTCGAGGTGGCGAGCGTCGTCGCAGGACGGCGAGAGGAGGAGCACGAGGCAGCGTTTTGACCGTCGAGGAGTGTCGAGACTGCCAACGACGGTGCCATTCCTTCGTCTGTCCGAGTGAGGCGAGCCAGAGAGGAAGGCTGCGAGAGTGAGCGCCGGGCGTGACGAGGCCGAGTTTGTGCCGCTTGCTCGCCAGCACCGCCACCGAGGAGCGTCGAGGGAAGCGCTCGGCGGCGACCTACCGTTGGTCTTCCTCCTCCCGCCTCACCTCTCGAGCGCGGTCAACGACCATGTCACTCTTGACCAAGATAGGTGCGTCGCCTGTCACCTGTGCAGCTCGTCCCCCCGTGCGCTCGTCGCTCACCTCTTGCTCCCCGTCCCGCCTCCCCCCGCCTCATCGCCCCACCACCTCCTCCGGTCCCTCCTCGCAGCACACAACAACCGCCTGTCGCTCGCAACCCGCGACATCAAGCAGCTCCAGGAGATCATCAGCTCGGAACGTCGCCTCGTCGAGCAGTGCGTCCCCGCTCCCCCCTTCCTCGACCTCGGTGCCTCCGCCTTCGCGGGGTCAAGCTAACCTCGCCTTGCCTTGCGCGCGCACCACCCTGCAGGACTCAGCGCCTTGCGTCCGAGCGGGACAAGGCGAGCACGACGCTGCGAGAGTGGGGCAATGCAGAAGGTCCCGACCTCGAAGTGCGTCCCCTGTCTCTCTCTCCCGTCGTCGGGTGCAGCTGCATGGGCGAATCGCGCAGCTGCACTTTACGTCCAAGCAGATGGACATGAGCTGACCCGGATGTTCGTACGCAGGACGTCCTCGGCAAGGTGTCGGTCCTCCTCGAGTACCTCTCCAAGGCAGAGCTCACTTTCGCCGATCACAACAGCAACTATCGGTGCGTCTCCCACATCCTCCCTTCTCGTACCACCGAGCACCCGCACTGACCTGTCTCGCAATAGTCTGCGCTTCAAGGAGATCCGCTCCAAGGAGGAGAATCTGTCGGCGCTCAAGAAGTCGCGCGACTCGCTCGCGGGCCGCATCGACGCGCAGGAGCGCAAGGTCAGCAAGATGAAGGACGAGAACAAGGACCTGCCGACGCAGCGACAGCGCCTGCGCGACATGCAGCAGGAGATGATCGGCCTCGAGAACACGGTCCTCGTCGACGAGACTCGGTCCGTCCTCTTCCTCTTCTCGCCCCCTAGCCCGCGTTCTGCAACCCGAGAGGACTGACTCGAATCTCTTGACCTGCAGGCTGAGCGACTTCAAGCGCACGGCGACTCGTGAGGCCCTGTCGCTCAAGCTCGGCGCCATGCTCGAGCTCGCCGAGAAGACGGTCATCGTCTCTGAGCTCGGCAAGCTCATCGTCGACATGCTCCCGGTCGACGAGACCGAGCCCGGCCAGCCTCGCCCGTACTACGAGGGCCACCAGCGCACCGAGGAGCTCCTCGGCGAGGCGCAGCGCTGCCTCCAGGACGTCGTCTTCAACCCGTCGCCGCTCACCGAGGGCATGTCGCACTCGGCCCAGCACCAGCAGCAGCACCAGCCAGGCCAGTACGAGCACGAGTACCAGCAGTACGGCGACGGCTCGGCGCACCCGACCAACCAGTTCGACGACTCGGGCATCCGGGCCGTCAGCCACCCGTCGAGCGAGTTCGGCACGCACACGCCCGGCGGCGGCCAGTGCCTCGACAGCTCGTACTCGTCGCACCAGGCGCCGCAGCAGCACGACCCGCACTCGGGCCCGCAGCTCCAGCCGCTGCCCGACTTTCGCCCTCTGAGCGTCGTCGCGCCCAACAACGGCTCGGACCCGGCGGCGAGGCAGCCCTCGTACAACGACGGCGGCTACGCTGCACCAGATGCCGCCTCGCCACGCTCGCCGACCGGGCCCGCCGACAGCTACGGCTCGCGCGCGCCAATGCTCGCCGCGCCCGCGCACGACGAGCGGTACAACCCGGACCGCTCGAGCCTCGCGTACATGGGCGAGGCGCCGACGAGCCCGTCGTCGTACCAGCAGCACCACCGCGAGCCGGCGGTCCAGGAGGAGGACGAGCGGGCGCTCGACGGCAACGACCACGCGCGCGAGGTCGCCGAGCGCGAGGCGCAGCAGCACCGCGACTACGAGCAGAGCGCGCAGCAGCACTATCAGCCCGAGCAGCAGTACGAGGCGTACCCGTACTCGCCGCCCGCCGAGCACCACGATGGGCAGGCCGGCCTCGGCTCGGCGCCGGCTCACGGCGACGAGCACGACGACGGCGTCGCTCGCCGCGACATGCACGGCGAGATGCCCACGAGCTCGGTCCCGTTGAGCCCCATCACCGAGATGCCGACGCCGGCGCCCGACCAGCTCGCCGCAGGCTCGGCGCAGCAGTTCTCCCAGGAGCACCCTCCCGCGCCGAGCACGCCCGTCACGCGCTCGCAGGCCGGCTCGTCGCAGGGCCACGGCACCCTCGAGCATGCGCGTTCGCCCTCGGCCGAGTCGCGCTACCGCCGCCAAGCCGCCGGCGACGCCGACCCGTACTCGTCTCCTGTCGCGCCCGCCGCCCCGGCCTACTCGGCGCACGCCCCGTCGCACGTCGTCGACGTCCCGAGCGGGCCCACCTCGCCGTCCGGGCCGACCTCGCCCATCAACCCGGCGTTCGTCCACCAGCCGGCGCCTTCCTCGCTCGCGCCCTCGACTTTCGAGCCCGCCCCGCTCGCGCCCAAGTCGAGCGGCGACCGCCGACCGATCCAGCTCCGCCAGCCGTCGGGCGAGGCGTCGCTCGGTTCCAAGTACGGCGACGTGTTCGTCCCTGCCCGAGCCGGCATCGACGGCGGCGGGCCGTACTCGCCGGCGCAGCCGAGCCCGCGCATCGCCTCGTCGTCCAACCCGGCCGACGCCGGCCTGTCGGGCTACTTTGCGCCGCCGTCGTCGAACGGCCCGCCGTTGACGCCCGGCGGCGGCGGCGGCGACCAGAAGCGCACAATCGCCGCGAGCGCGTTCCGCCGCCCGCAGCAGGCGCCACCGCTGCAGCAGCCGCAGTACGGCGCGCCTGGTGCGGCCGGCTCGCGGTTCTCGGCGTCTGGGTATCAGTACGACCCGGCGGCGGCGGCAGCTGCGGCGGCGGGGCTGGGCCCGAGCGAGAGCGAGCGCATCGCCGCGCAGTGGCGCGACGCGGGTCCCCCGCCTGAGGGTTACCTCGGCGGCGAGGCGCAGGGCGCGCAGGTGCCGAGCTTCGACACGAGGCCGCTGCAGGTCAACAAGCAGCGGCAGGGCAGCATGCCCGGCCCCGGCGGCGTCGGCAGGAGCGGAACCCTCCCGTGCGTCTCTCGCTCTCTCCCTCTGTCATCCTCCCTTCCGATCCTCTCACACTGACACTCTCCTCCTCGACACACAGGCAACACCTGAACGGCTCGCACGGCCGTGCGCCCTCGCTCGGCGCCGTCGAGCAGGCGCCGTACGGCGAGCCTCGCACGTCGAGCGAGGGCCTGCCGCGGCCCGCCCCGCCCGTCGGCTACGCGCCGCCGTCCACCGTGCCCCTGAGCCCCAGCTCGCAGGGCGGGTTCGCGTCGGACCGGTACGTGACGAGGCTCGACTGAGCGAGGTCGAGGTGGAAGATGCGCGTGAATCTACGTCGAGTCGCTGTCCATACCCTTTGTTACCCCTACTCTCGTAGCTCTACCTCTCTGTCTGTGTCATCCTATTGTCCTGTCGCGAGCTGTCAATGGTCACAGAGAGCGCGAGCGTTAGTTTGCCTCGACGAGGAGCAGCGAGTCGAGAGCTTTCGCTTCGCTCGCTCTCACCACCTCGCCTTGCTGCATGGCAGTATCGCTCGGGCGCACCAGCTGCGCCTCGGAGCCCATGTCGTCCACCTGGATCGCCCGCCGGCCGCGCCTGTCGACCGACTGCCTCGCCTCACTCGCCCTCCCCACCATCCGACTCTCGCCCCTTATCGAGCCGCCTGCATGGCGTCCAGCACCGCGCAGCCCACCTTGGAAGCCTCAGTACCTTCTCGAGCTATCCTGAGCGGCGTACCATGTCGTTCCTGTCGGTGCGTGCCGAGTTCCCTCATCTCCCTCCCCCGGGTTTGGCTCAGCCGACCTCGGCGCCTCAGAGGCAACCCTGGACTGACTTGGTGTCCTCCTTGCACCCGCGCAGACCTGTGACTAGCACCAGCCTCGCAGACTGAGCCGCCTCGTCGACCTGCACCGCCCCATCCATTCGAGCCAAATCGCGAGCCGTCCGTCCTCTCGGTCTTCCTCGTCTTCGCTCCTCGAGCCGCCGCCGCCACACATGCACCAAGAAGCGCACAAGACTCGCTGGCTCGTCCTGCACGGCCCGCTCATCTTCCGTGCGCCCCCTCTCCCTGTCCCCAGCCTCCCCACGCGCCGCCCCAGCCGCAGTGTCCTAAATCTGCCTCGTTCCGCCTACCGCCGCTCGCGTGTGCAGCTGCTCGCCTCGCCGTTATCCTCAAGGACATCGTGCCCGTCGCGTCCAGCACCGTCCAGGTCCACGACGCCTTCCTCTCGTTCGACGTCCCCGGCGTCCCTTTCCTCGAGCCCGCCCACGCCAACGTCCTCGTCAAGGGCTTCAACGACGACGGCGAGTGGTCGAGCAAGACGGACGGAGAGAAGGGGCTGGACCGCGAGGGCGAGGCGTACAAGCGCTGGGTGTGGGCTCGCTGCTCGCCCGGCGTCGACTTTGCCGGATCGCTCCCGCGAGAGCTGGAGGTGCGCCGCACTCTTCCTCTTTGTCTTCGGCAGCACCGAGCACATCCTGACGAACACTTTATGCAGGGCGTCGCCTACGAGCTGGCTGAGGACGACGTCGAGACCGTCGTCAGCCGCGCCCTCAAGTTCCTCCCGAGCAGCGTCCCGACCGTTCTCGTCCCCGTTCGCGCGTCCAGGTTCGAGCTCGGCGACGTGACACGCTCTCTCGGCGAGGTGTCGGCCGACATTATCGTCGCTCAGCCCGAGACGCCAACAGCTGGCCTGCAGCCCTCTCGCGAGTGCGTCCCACTCTCCCTATTTCTCTACGACGCTCCGAGCGGGCAGCACTGACATTCCTTGACGCCCGCAGCTACCACATGCTCATCCTTCGCGGCGCCTTCCTCAACGTCCTGTCGCAGCCGTACCTCGCCCAGCTCACCATCCTGCGGCCGATGGACCTCTCGCCGCCAGCCAAAGCCCGCACGGCCCGCCTGTACCGCCTCCTCCTCGTTCCCTCGTTCCTCCTCTTCTACCTCCCGAGTCGGATTCTCGGCCCAGTGTGGGCGCAACTCGGTGCGTTGCTGTTTGGGCGGGGCGCGCCGGCGCTCAGGGCGCTCGAGCGGCTGTCGAGGGGCACGGCGGGGAGCGGGTACTGGAACGACTTGGCCAAGTAGAGGCTCTTGTGTAGACTGCCATCACGAACTTTATCAGTGCAGCGTGCGGTCACGGTGTGCGCAGGCCCGCTCGTCACTCGAAAGCTTGAGTGGGCACGAGCGCGACGCGTCGGTGACGACGAGTTTGTGCGCTCGGCAGCGGCGGCGACGGCTTGTCGGCTCAGTGCAGCTGCTGGAGAGCGTGTCCGAGGTAGAGTAGAGCCCATCACGCCCAAGAAGGAGCGTTCCGGAGGTGGGTGACGAGGAGCGTGCGCGCTGCGAGATTGAACAAGTGACACGCGCCTCGACCGGCTCGCTCTCTCTCTCCCTCTCACACCTCACTCGGCTCTCGACCAGACCTCGCTCGGGTCGCACCATGCAGCCCCAGGTGCAGCTCCACCCGCAGGCCAGCCGCCACCCTCAGCCGGCGTCGCTCTCGCCCTCTGCCTCGTCCAGCTCGCCCTCGTCGTCGGTCAACAAGGGCGCCGCGTCCCCTCTCGCCACCTCGCCCTTCTTCCCGGCCCTCGACACCCTCCTGCCCTCGACCGACGCGCTGTACACCCGCACGCCCTCGCCATCGCGCTCTCCGGCGAGCTCGGGAGGCCCCCCGACCCCTCGCACCTCGTCTCGCCAGCACACGACCCCGACCACCCCGGCCCACGGCCTCGCGAGCCTGCGCGCCGACAAGTACCCGCGCTACTCGAACGCGAGCACTGCGCCCGACATCCGCGTCCTGTCGGCCCGCCAGTACGCCGACCTCGAGCACGAGCACTCGCGCGTCGAGCTGCCCGAGCAGGAGCTCTTCCCCTGGAGCCACGGCGGCGCCGACCTCGCCCACACGCCCGCGACGCAGTACTTTGGCTACGCGAGGGGCGCAGCAGCCAAGACCCCGAGGTGCGTCGCGCAGTCCTCGTCGAGCCTTGTTGAGCGACCGAGCCCGTGCACCGCCTCGCTCGGCCGTTGCGTTGCGCGCAACACGCGACTGACCAACCTTGTTTGCCCCTCCCCCTCGGCCTTGCCCGCACACAGCTTCCGCGGCCTGACGACGATCCACGCCCCGCCGCCGGCGCCGCCGAGCCCGAGCGCCCCTCGTTCGCTCCTGCGCCGAGGCTTCGCGTCGTCCTTCTCGTCGTGGTCGTCGTCGAGCTCGTCTACGGCCGCCTCGTCCTCGTCGACCTCGTCGCGCTCGCCATCGCCGCCGTCGTCGGCCAACCCGTCGTGCCGCCTCGTGTCGTCGTTCGACCCGAGCACGATCCTGTCGACCGACCTCTCGACTGGCGCCACCTCGTTCGCCCTCCCCGGGCCCGACTCGTTCGCCAACGTCAACCTGCGCCACTTCCGCCTCCAGGCCGCCAAGTACGCGACCGTGAGCGACGTCGTCGTGTACGGCGAGAACGGCATCGACGAGTCGGTCGTCGAGACGGCGGCCAAGGTGCGCGAGGCCATGGACCGCGAGTACGAGCGCCGCGGCGGCGAGGGCATCCGGTACAACGTCTTTGTCGTGTCGGGTGCGTCCGCCTCGTCTCCTGCCTATCGTCCGAGCGACCCGAACTCACGTTCTCACGCCCCGCGCAGACCCGTTCACGGCGTTCGAGCGCTCCGTCCCCAAGCTCGTCGCCATCGACTCGCACGGCTTTGCGCGCAACCGCCTCAACTTCTTTGACCGCGAGCGCGAGGAGATGCGCGTCCTTACCGAGAAGTCGGAAATCGGCCCGAACGTCTGGGTACGTCCCGCTTTCCCCGACCTCGTCCGTCTCAGTCGGGCGCCTGATTGACTCTCGCTCGTGTACAGCTCGGCAACACGCAGGACGTGCCGCACCCGACCAAGCGCTCGCGCCCGACGTCGTCCGACTCGGCCTCGTCGCTCCTCGACGACGGCAACCCGTTCTCGTTCGCCGTCTGCGTCGAGGCGCACGACCGCGCCCCGCTCGTCGACGCCGAGCTCCTCGGCACGGCCGACCAGGCGCTCGGCCTCCTCGAGCAGCAGGGCCAGGTCGTCACCGAGGTGCACCAGGTCCAGACGGCCGACCACGGCGTCGTCGAGCACAAGGAGACGGTCGTGCGCCCGCACACGGACGACATCATCCACCTCGAGTCGCTGTCGACCGCGAGCGCGCTCGGGTCGTCGGTGCGCGCGCAGCACACCTTTGTCGACCAGCTCGTCGACCTCGCCGTGTGGATCCGCGACCAGGCGTCGCCCAATCCGCTCCTCCACGGCGACCGCGTCCCGCGCCGCGTCCTCCTCCACTGCGGCGACGGCTACACGGAGACGACCCTCCTCGCGCTCGCCTACGTCATGGCCTCGAGGCGCATCTCGGCGCCGGACGCCTACCTGTTCCTCCAGCTCGACGCCGAGCGCAGCTTCTTCTCGTACCCGACCGACCGCGAGCTCGTCCTCGAGATCGAGCGTCGCGTCAAGAACGTCCTCGAGCACGAGGACGACGAGGAGCGCCACGCTCGGCGCTGGATCGCCGAGCAGCGCGCCATCGCGACCGTCGGGCACGCCGTCGCGCAGGTCAGCCGTGCCGGCGAGGGCGAGCCGGCCCAGGCCAAGCTCGACCTCGGCGAGCTCGGCGTCGTCGCAGCCGCCGCCGCCGCCGGCTCGAGCTGCGGCATGGAGCGCTCCGACTCGGGCTTCGTCGACTCGACGTCGGACGCGAGCGAGGACCCAGTCGTGCTCGCCAAGGCGCGTGCGGCGCTCGAGGCCGAGGTCAAGCGCATCGAGGAGCACATCGAGCGCGAGCTTGGCCCGAGGCCCGAGATGCCGCTCGCGTGCCCGCTCAAGGACGCGTGGTTCTTCGGCAAGACGTTCGAGGGCCACTTCCCGAGCCGCGTCATGCCTCACCTCGTGCGTCCCTCTCTCTCTCTCTCTCTTTCCCTTTGCGTGCGGCGACTCGTCGGCCGAGCAGGACTGACTCGAACTCGCTCGCCTGCAGTACCTCGGCAACGTCAACCACGCCCAGAACGCCCTCATGCTCAAGGAGCTCGGCATCACGCACGTCGTCTCGCTCGGCGAGACTGCGCTGTACCCGCCTCGCTCGCCCGGGCCGCTTGCGTCGATCGCGTCGGCGTTCCGCTCGTCGTCGCCGACCGACTCGCCGCCGGTCAACTCGCTCTGGCACGAGGAGCGCCTTGGCAACATCGCCGTCCTCGACATGCAGGCCATCGCCGACGACGGCATCGACTCGATCCGCCCGTGCATCGACGAGGCGCTCGACTTTATCAGCGACGCGAGGCGCCAGGGCGGTCGCGTCCTCGTGCACTGCAAGGTCGGCGTCTCGCGCTCGGCGAGCATCGTCATCGCGAGCCTCATGCGCGACGTCGGCCTCGACCTCGCGAGCGCGTACCTGGTCGTGCGCTCGAGGCGCCTCAACATCCTCATCCAGCCCAACCTCCCATTCATGGCCGCCCTGCACGCCTACGAGCAGTTCCTCCTCGCCGAGAGCGAGAAGGCGCAGGCCGACGAGGCTGCGCGCCTCGCGACGACGACCACGGCGCACCACCGCTCGGGCTCGGACGCGAGCGCGTCGAGCCTTTACCCGGACTACACGGTCGACTCGCTCGAGCACCTCGGGCACGCCGGCCTCAAGCGCAGCAACCGCCTCAGCTGGAACTTCCTCTGCGCCCAGATCGCCCAGCTCAACGAGCGCTTCCTCTGCTGGTGCGTCCCTCGCGTTTCACCCTCTCTCGTCAAGGCCGTTGACTGACCTTCTCAAGTTGCCCTGTCGCAGAGCCTCGTCTCCCCTTTCCGCCTTTCTCCTCCTGTACCTTCGCCTCTCGCCATCGTGGCCCTCGTCGATCGTCACGGTACGACCGGCTGGACACGCCACCGCACCTGCATGAGCGCCCTTTCGCCTCGCCCTCGAGTTACACCCGCATTGCCGTCTCCCCATTCCTGCATCTGTAGCACCTCTCTCTCTCTCCCTCTCTCTCTCTCTCTCTCTCCCACCCTCTGTTGCTCCTCTAGTACCTACGTTGTCCGTAGTTCCTCCTCGTCGTCATCGTCGTCGTCGCTTTCGTCGTCCCTTCTGTCCTTCAGTCCCCTCCTCTCGTCCGCCCTTCTCTCTGCACGCTTGGCGCATCTCGCACGCTTTCCACGACCGAGTTCTCGTCGACGAGAGAAAGAGGTAGACATTGGCAAAAGGTGCGAGAGGAACGAAAGAGAGAGATAGAGAGAGGGAGAAAGAAAAGGCTAGCTGAGGTTGTTCCTGAGCCGCTAGGGCCTGCGCTGCGGCAAGCTCGACGACCGCTCCGGTACTTGCTCGTCAGGGATCTGGTGCCGGGACATCGACATGCGCCGAAGCGCAGCGTGCGTCGGCACGTTCTTCGGCGCCGCCAGCCGTCGCTCGGCAGCGTCGCCCCGCTCCTGCCAGTCGGACGGGCCCTGGCCGCTCGCGCCGCGGAACCACCGCGACGTCTTCGACGCGACGTGCGGGCGCGTAGGGACCGCTGCGAGCGGGTCGAGCGGGGTCGAGGCGCGGTGAGGGGGAAAGGGAAGGGAGGGCGGCGGCGGGCGGTCGAGGAGGGGGACGACGCCGGCGCCGGACGAGAGGGACGAGTGGGACGGGTGGGACGAGAGAGGCGAGATGGAGCCGTCGGCAGGCTGGGGAGGCGGGTAAGGCGTCGGCGGGCGGCGCTCGCTGCCGTCGTGGGGGTGGTGGTGGCGGAAGTAGCCGGCGTCGGCGGGCCGGGTTCGTGGTGAGATGTCGCCATCGTGCGCGTGCTCGTGCTCGTGCTCGGGCTCGTCGGGCGGCGGCGAGACGGAGCGCTCGGTCGCCGTGTCGGTGTGGGTCGAGTCGGCGACGGACGCCGGCCTGTTGCGCCCGCCCGAGAGCATGAACTGCGACAGAGGCACATGGTCAGGACGCTCGAGCCATGAAAGGTTGCCCGAGAAAGAGAGAGAGGCGTACGTAGGCGCGCTTGAGGGCCTCAGGCGTCATGGCGCGCATGTCGGCATAGGCCTCGTGGAGCTCCTTCTGCGCGTCGTCGGCGTTCATCGGCGGGTTGGCGCGCACCCTCGACACGACCTTGTGCGTCACGACGCGGCGCTGCGACAGAGAGAGGACCCGACGAGGTCAGGACAGGCTGAGAGGGCCGGGAGGAAAGAGGGGACCGAGCGCACCTCGCGCATGAGCTCGGCGTGCCGGTCGTCGGGCGTCAAGCTGCGGTACTGCCGCTCGATGACGTGCGCCAGGTAGACGGACCAGTATCGCGCCTGGGACGGTTGCTGCGGGACGAGGCGCGGTCAAGAGACGGCGGCAAAAGAGGCGGACGAGGGAGAGGACGGACCGTGCGGAGCTCGTACTGGTCGACCTGCAGAGCAATAGTCAGCTCCTGTCGATAGAGAGATGAGGTAGAGGGGACGCACGAGCATGTGCGGCTTGGCCCGGGCCTTATCGGACTCTTGCACGGCGTCTCGGTACGCTTGGCGAACCTGCGGGCGCGAGAGGCGATGAGCGACGCGCACAGCGGACGACGAGAGAAGCTGGGGCGCACCTCTTCCTCGGTCAGGTCGAGGTAGCGCGTGCTGCCCGCCGGGCCGTGCCGCTGCGTGACGTGGTGCAGGAAGAAGTATCGGACGAGGAGCAGCTGCGTCGGGCAAAAGGGTCGTCAGTCACGCGCTCTGTAAACGCGCACGGACGAGAAGAGAGACAGGACGCACCTTGTCGAGCTCGAACTCTTTGTTGAGCTGCCGCAGCTGCTGCTCAAAGTCGAGGCTCTCGGGCCTCACGACGCGCAGGCGCTCGTCGAGCTCGTCGATGTCGTGGTCGAACTTGACGTGCAGGGCCTCGCAGTCCGTCTGACCGACGTAGCGCTCGAGGCGGTCGAGGCGGGCCTCGGTCGTACGGTAGCGATCGGCAAAGTCGGCATCGGTCGTGTCGAGGCGAGGAAAGGCGGCGCGAGCGTAGTGGTCGAGGCGAGGGCGCATGAGGTTCCACCGCGAGTCCTCCATGGCGTGCGCCTGCTTCGACTGGTAGTGCGGCTGCGAGCGACGAGACGTGAGCGCGTGAAGGACACGAGGCCGGGGCCGGAAAGAGGGGACGCACGTCGTGGTCCGGGTCGCCGTAGTGGCCCATGACGTTGTCGTCCTCGCGGTGTGCGCGCAGGTACCATCCCTGTAGGTGGCTGAACGGGTCAGTCGAGGAGAGGAGAGGCGAGGACCGCAGAGATGGACGCACATCGTGCTCGTTGATCAGGCGGGCGACGTGTCGGCCGTGCTTGGACCGCTCTGCTGCTGCGACGTCACGACGGCTCGGCGCGACAAAGTTCTGCACGGCGCTGTCGTCGCTTCCGCGTGGCGGAACGACCTGCGGGGGCGGGCAAGTTGAGCAGACGTGCACAGACCCAGAGATGGCGCGAGAGGTCGAGCGCACCTGCTTCGAGTAGGCCTGGTCGATCCGCTCGCTGTCCGGCACGACGGGAAGCGTGATCTTGGGGTCGTTCTGCACGAAAGGACGGAATCGGTGAGCCCTCTGTTGCGCGTCTGAAAGAGGGAGCGCGAACGGACCTTGCGGATGCGGACGCGTCGCCAGCTGCGAGGCAGCGGGTTGAAGCCACGGCGCGTGGCCTCATCGCCGCTCGACGACGACATGCTTGTCGGTAAGAGCCGAAGCGGGCAGCCTGCACCAGAGCGAGCAGCGAGCGAGAGCCGGCGACACCGAGGAGGCGGCCGAGGAGCGACGAGCCGGACGGTCCGCGGACGGTGCGGCGCGGACGCTTGAGCTGAGGTCTCCTGTCCGATGCTCGCCGGTTCGAGCGAGTTCGATCGCGGGCGCCTTGCGTGGCTCGAGGGCAACAAGCGCGGCAGCGAGGAGGAGGGGAGAAATGGCGACGCGGCGGCGGCGGCGAGGCGGTAGTGCACGACGGGATCGACTGGAGCGTTGAGAGAGCGTCTCTGGCATGCCTGAGAGCGAGAGCAGCTCGGAGCGAGCGTGTTGCTGTCGGGCGAGGCTCGAGGAGGAGAGCGACGACCGGTGCTCGCCCTCCCTCCACGTCCAGCCTCGCCAAGGCGTTCGTGCAGCTGCCTGACCTGCAAGGTGAGCTCGACCGCTCCGGATCGCCCTGTCGCAGGCCTCATCGCGGTCGTCGTCGAGCGTGTGGGCGGCACCTCCTCCCCCGCTCGCCCACCGTCGCCGTCCAGCCAGCAGCTCGTGTCGACAGAGCCCAGACTGACCTGCGACTACCTCCTGCAGGCGCACAACCCTTCATCACACCCACTTGATCCTCCAGGACAGCTCTCGCCGTCGCCCCTCTTCCTCTCGTCCTCGTCGTCTTCCTCCTCTCCCCGACCGCCATCATGGCCAAGAAGAAGTCCAAGACCAAGCGGTCCGTCCCTCTCGACCTTCTTCCGTGCACTCTGGACGCTGCTCACCCTCTTGCCCGCCCCCACAGCATCGCCGACATGGCCTGGTGCTGGGTCCGTCTCCTCCCTCTCGTTCGTCACTCTCTCTTGCGACTGCGCGGCGCTGACAAGCTCCTCCCTCCCCGCAGTACTGCGACCGCACCTTCGAGGATCAGCGCGTCCTCCTCAGCCACCAAAAGGCCAAGCACTTCCGCTGCCCCATGTGCCCGAGGCGCCTCAACACGGCCGGCGGCTTGGCCGTCCACCTCGACCAGGTCCACAAGGTCGGCACCGACAAGTGCGTCGTCGCGTCCTCCTCCTTTCTCAGACGCCAGTCGTGACGGGTCACCTGGCCTCGGCTTCGCCGTCTGGACCCCTGAACCGACTGACCCTCTTCCTCCCTCACCTCCTGCGCAGGATCGAGAACGCCCTGCCCGGTCGCGAGTCGTTCGACATCGAGATCTACGGCATGGAGGGCGTCCCCGCGGGCGACCTCGCAGCGTGGAAGCGCCGCACGGCCGAGGAGCTCGGCCTGCCCAACCCGGACGACCTCAAGCCCAAGAAGCCGCGGTTCCCGCAGGTCGCCCTCACGCAGGAGGAGGCGCGCGCCCAGCTCGCGGCGCACAAGCTGCTCATGGGCATCGGCGTACCGGCAGCGCCGGCCGTCGCCGCCATCCCGCCGCCGCAACAGCCCCAGCAGCAGCAGCAGCAGCAGGCGCCGCCGCCGATGCCGGCTGCGCCTCTACCGGGCGTGCCGCCGCCTCCACCTGGCTTCAGCCTGCCGCCCGGCATCAGGCCACCTCCTGGCGGTCTGCCGTTCCCGCCGCCGCCCGGGTTCAGCCTCCCTCCTGGGTGCGTCGCCGCCTCTCCTTCGTCCCTCCTCCCCGCGCCTCGTCCTGACTCTCGCGCCCTCCTACAGCATCGCCCCTCCTCCTCCCGGCATGCCCCTTCCTCCCGGATTCCCCGCCCCGCCGCCAGGCATGGCTCTGCCGCCCGGCTTCCCCGCCGGCCTTCCGCCTCCTCCCTTTCCTCTCCCCGGCATGCCCCTCCCGCCGGGCTTCCCTGCTCCTCCTCCCGGCTTCCGCCTCCCACCCGGCGCGCCCGGCTTCCCTGCACCGCCAGCATTCCCCGGCGCGCCGCCCCCGCCGATGTCGATGCCGCACGCGCCCGCTCCGGCCGCGCAGCCCGACGCGAGGGAGGTCGTGCCGAGCTCGAGCGTGACGCTCAAGCCGGGCACGGTCCTCGTCTTTGGGGACAACGACGTCTCGCCTGTGCGTCCCCTCGTCCTCCTTCTCGTCGCCCCTCGTCGTCGTTGTCGTCAATTTCCCGCACTGACCCTCTCCCTCCCTCCCCTTCCCTCGCTCTCTCGCGTCGCGCCCACAGGAGGAGAAGCGCGCCCGCCTCGTCCAGTACCGCGTCGCCGACGAGCCGCTCCTGGCCGCCGCGCGCGCCACGGCCGGCGCGAGCTCGGCGACCGGGCCCGCCGACCCAGAGAGCGTCGGCAACGTCGCGAGCGCGGCCGTCGAGGGCGCGCCGGCGAGCGTCGTCGTCGGCGACACCGAGATGGGCGACGCGGCGGCCGAGACGGCCAAGGTCGGTGCGCAGGGCGGAGGAGGGGATCCGGCGACGGGCACGGTCGAGACGGGAGGGGACGCGGCGAGCGCGGTCGGTGCCGCAGGAGACGGTGGCAAGAAGCGCGCGACGGCGGCCGACCTTATGGAGCAGTGAGGCGCATCGCGCTGTTTGTACGACGCTCAAAACGGCGCTGTTTGTTTCCTCTCGCTCGTGCGGCGAGTTTGCCAGAGAACGAGAGAGGGAGAGCGAGAGTGCTTTTTCTCTCTCGAGCAGTCACGCACAGGGCTCGGGTATCGTACTGTCGCACTGCAAGCTCGAGAGGAAACGCTGCTCGACAAGAAGCTCCCTCGCTCGGACCGCGTCCTCGCTCATCAACCTTCTCACTTGCGCGTGAACGCGCCGGTGACGGCCGACACGACGTCGAACGCCCACTTGCCCCACCTGTAGCGTCGAGGGGTCAGTATTCGGCTCGAGAGGGACCAAGAGGAGGAAGAGAGCGAGCGACGCACCCCATGAGGCCCTGGGCCCGCGAGGCGAACACGCGGTAGTACCCGTCGTCGACCGAGAAGACGGCCGTCGGCAGCTCGAGGATGCCCCTGCAGTGCGTGTCGAGAACGAGTCAGTGAGAGTCTGTGTCGGAGCGAGGGCGGGAGAGAGAGGCGAGGGAACGAGGGCGACGACGACGAAAGAGGCGGTGGAGAGGGCGTCGCGAGGAGGAGGACGCAGGGAGGGAACGAGAGGGCAGCGACGCACTTGAAGTCGACGACAAACGCCGAGCCGTTGCTGTCGGGCTTGGTCGACGCGGCGACCATGGCGGCGACGACCTCGTCGATCGTCGCGAGCGGGATCCCAGCGATGAGGAGCCTAGGAAGCACGCCAATAATTCCAGTGCTGACGAAGAAGGGGTTGACGATGCTGCGTGAGGAGCGTCAGAGGCGGTCGTCGAGAGGGCAAGAGAGAGAAAAGGAGGGGGGGGGACGGACTTGATCTTGATGCCGTACACGAGCGCGTCGTAGTACAGCGACCGGAACAGGCCCAAGATTCCGTGCTTACTCATCGAGTAGGCAGGAGCGCCAGGGATGCCGGAGAAGCTCGCCATCGAGCCGAGGAGGACGACGGCCTTGCCCTCCTTGTTCGGGTTCTCGTTGAGGTGGAAGAAGGCGAGCTTGGCGGCTGCGGCCGGCACAAGTCAGGCCGGCTCGTTCATCGAGAGTAGGAGGAGGACGTACTGTAAGCTGCACCGGTCAAGTTGACGGCGAGCGTCGGCATCGTCGGCCTCTGCGCGCGAGCGACCGAGTCAGTTCTCCTCGGGCACGACGGCGACGACGACGACGAGGGCTCGCTCACCAAGGGCTCGCCGTCTGCGCCCTTGCGCATGTCCATGAACATCGCCGACTCGGGCTCGCCGATGCCGGCGTTGACGGCGACGACGTCGAGGTGGCCGAACGTGTTGCGGCCATGGCGCTGCTCGAGAGGGAAGAGTCAAGGACGGCGCGGGCGAGAGAGCGAGAAGAGGACGAGTCGACGCACGAACATGGCGACTTGGGCATCCCAGCTGGTGACGTCGCAGGCGATGCAGGTCGCTTGTCTGTGGGCAGAGAAGCGAGGGGTCAGGGTCGTCGAAGGACGGGCGGCGGCGACGGCGAGAGGGACGCACCTTCCTGCGGCGGTGATCTCGTCGACGACGGCCTGGACGCTCTCGAGCCTCAGGTCGCTCAGGACGACCTTGGCGCTGCAGGGAGGAGACGAGGGCGATCAGCAAACTTCCCCACCTGGCGCGCCCGGCGACCTTGGGGAGAGAGAGGAGAGAGGGGTCGCAACGCACCCGAACTTGGCGACCTGGATGGCGTACGCCTTGCCGAAGCCGCTCGCAGCACCGGTGACGACGACGACCTTGCCGCGCAGAGCAGCGCCCGACGTGAGAGCGTCGTCGACCGAAAGTGGAGCGGCGGCCTCCGGGCCACGCAGCGAGGCCGACTGTGCGCGCAGAAGACCCTGGTAGGCGGGCAGGAGCTCGTCGGTGGATGCAGCCATGGCTCAATCGGAGCAAGTGATGAGGGAAGGGAAGAGAGAGAGCTTCCAAGGGGACGGCGAGCTGATGAGAGAGCGCGCGGTCTCCGGCGAGCCGGCTCGGTCGAGCCGCGAGACGTACGGACGCCGGCTGTCGGTCGGGCTCTCTGCCGTTGGGAGGCGCATGCATCGACGCCCCGAGCGAAAAGAGGCGTGAGCAGGAGGAGCAAGGGGAGCGAGCGCGGTCGCCGCGGCAGCTCTGTCGCGGCCGACGGGCGAGCGCCGGGTTGGACGACAGCCCAGCTGGACGAGCGCAGCTGAGACGGTGCAGAGGGGAGCAGAAAGCAGAAGAGCAAGAGCGCGAGCAGCGAGCCAGTCCAGCCACCGTGTCGTCGCGCAGAGAGCGGTGCCCGGACCCTTTCCGCTCGTCCTGCGCGTCCTGCTCGTCCTGCTCGTCCTGCTCGTCGTGATAGAGACTAAGCGCGATGAATTACAGTGCTCGACCGTCTAGTCTACCGCGCCGAACCGTGCTCTAAACGCGCCTGACCTTGACGCCCTCCTTGACGAGGTGCGCCTTGACGTCCTCGATCGGCACCTCCTTGCGGTGGAAGATGCCCGCCGCGAGTGCCGCCTCGACGTCCGTCACCGCAAACACCTCGCTGAAGTCGTCGACCTTGCCCGCGCCGCTCGACGCGACGACCGGGATCCCGACGCTGCGGCGCACGAGGTCGACGAGGCGGCAGTCGAAGCCCGACTTGGACCCGTCCTTGTCGACCGAGTTGAGGAGGATCTCGCCGGCGCCGAGCTTCTCGACGCCCTGCGCGAGCTGGACGACGTCGATGTCGCGCGTCTCGCGCCCGCCGCGCACCGTGCACTGGTACCAGCAGAACTGCTCGCCCTTGGGCCCGAGGTCGGCGCGCAGCGGCGTGTCGGGCGTCGACGCGAGCGGCGCAGACAGGTCGACGGCCGACGGGCGGTGGACGGCGGGAATGTCGTCGAGCGAGGCGGCGTACACGCGCTTCGGGTCGAACGAGACGACGACGGCCTGCGCGCCGTACGCGTACGAGATCTGCTCGATGCCCGACTTGCCCGACTTGGCGCCGTCGGCGGCGAGGAGCTCCTCGACGGCAAAGACGGCGTCCGAGCCGATCGACACCTTGTCGGCGCCGCACCGGAAGTAGGTGCCCGCGACCTCGAGCGCCGAGCGCGACGTGCCGTCCGGGTCGGTCGTGTCGCGAATGCCGCCGCCGATCGTGAGCGGGACAAAGACCGTCTCGGCGGCCTGCCGGATGACGTCGAGCATGGGCTGGTCGTGGAGCGGGCACGAGCGGAACGACGTGATGTTGAGGAACGCGACCTCGTCGGCGCCCTCGGCGTAGTACCGCCGTGCGAGGTCGACAGGCTTGCCGAGGTTGCGCACCTGGCGCTGGCGCTTGGCGGGAGGAGGCGCCGACGGGTCGGACGAAACGGTCGAGGTCGAGGTCGGGAGGGTCGTCTCGGCGACGGGCGCAGAGGGCGACGTCGCGGCCGACTCTTCAGGTGCGCCCGACGCGTGCTCGTCGGCGGTCGTCGCCGAGTCGTCGGCCTCGCGCACGTCGTACTGGTCGCCCTTGGTCACGACGAGGTCGCCGTCGTCGTTGGCGCGCACGTCGAGGCACGCGACGATGCGCTTGGTGAAGCCCTTGCGGACGAGGTCGGCGTCGACGTCGGTGATGGGGCGCAGCGGCTTGACGCTCGTGTCGAGCATGCCCTTGCCGCCCTTGGTCGGGTCGGTCGACCGGAGCCACGCCTCGACGACGGCGAGGCCGGCGGCGCCGCTCTTCTCCGGGTGGAACTGGGTGCCGAACACGTTGCCCTTCTGGACCGACGAGACGTACTTCTCGTCGCCGTACTGGGTCCACGTGAGGGACCAGTCCTCGACGCCCGGCTGGGTCGCGTCGACGCGGTACGAGTGGACGAAGTAGTAGCTGTCGCCGCCGTCGCCGAGGCCGTACGCCTCGCGGCCCTCGTCGCCGATGTCGCGACGCTCGGTCGCGCCGTTGTAGCCCATGCACGGGACGCTCTTGTCGGCCGACGAGAAGCGGCCGACCTTGGCCGGGATGATGCCGAGGCCCTTGTCCTCGGGCGACTCGTCCGACTCCTCGAACAGGGCCTGCATGCCGATGCAGATGCCCATGTAGGGCCGGCCCGACGCGATGTAGGCCTTGAGCGGCTCGACGAAGCCGCGCTTGCGGAGGCCGGCCATGGCGGAGCCGAACGCGCCGACGCCCGGGAACAGGATGCGCTGCGTGCAGTACACAGAGTGTGTCAGCTGTCGAAGCTCCTGCTCGTCGCTCTGCCGAGCCGCTGCCCTGGCCCTGGAGCGGAACAGGCCGCCCTTTGCCGCCTCGCCGCTCGAGGAGCTGTGGACACCCTGCGAGACCGCACGAGAGAGCGAAATGGGGACGCACGTCGGCCTTGTCGATGTCCTCGGGCGTCTGGACCCACTTGAACTCGTAGCCGAGCTTGCGCACCGAGTTGGCTGCACGAGGGGAAAAAGGGCGGGACGCGAACGAGGGTCAGCTGGGCTCGGGTGAAGTGGGAGGGGACGGGAGGGTGCTCACCGAGCGAAGCTACGTTGCCTGCACCGTAATCGAGGAGGTACAGCATTGTGGCGAGTCGAGGGAGAGTGGAGGAGCGACGACGAGGAGATGAGGATGGAGGGGGAGGTCCTTGGGGCTGTGGGTGCTGCGCCTGGGTCTGAGGATGGGTCCAGCGACTGTCGAGCTGTCGAGGGTGTGCGAGAGACTCTCAAGCTGCTGAGCCAGCTTCCACTGCTTCCTCTCGCCTCGGACTCGGGAAGGTTGACTCTCGGACAAGTCAACTCTCGACAGACGGCTGGAGGGACTCTATAATTCACTGCTCTTGACAAGGTAAGGGAGACAGGCTACTGCGAGGGAGGACAAGGGGGACGGGCCTGATGAGAGGACCGCAGATGCGAGGTGAGGCGAGGGGAACGACAAGGACTGGTGGACGACCCGCGAGAACGGGATCTTCTGCCGCGGTTGACGCAGGCTTTTGTTCGACATCGACGAGCGCGTGGGCGAGCTCAGAAGAGCATGCGCGTCGCGATGTTGTGGCGGGACTGCGGGCGCGAGAAGGAGGGTGGATCAGTGACGGCGCTCTCGCTGCAGGCGGGCAACGACGGGTGGGGGAAAGGGGACGCACGCCGGCAATGGCGTTGTAGATCTCCTTGATCTCGGCCTCGTCGACGTTGGTAATGTCGGCGAGCAGGTACGCGACGTCACCTGCGCGAGGAGAGAAAGAGTCAGTTCTCGCTCGCTGTACGACGAGCCCGACGAGAGAGGCAGGCGACGAGCAGGGGCGCACCTTCGAGTCAGAGAACTGCTTCTCGACGTTGTGCTCGCCGAGGATGGCGTTGACCGTCTTGAGGACACCGGGCTGGTTGAGGTGGACGTGGCAGAGGCGGACCGTGCCCTCGTGCAGGATCGGGCGCAGGTTGACCTCGGGGAAGTTGACGGCGCCGATCGTCGAGCCAAAGTTGAGGTACCGGATGACGGCGCCGCCGACCTCGGCACCGATCATGCTCTGCGCCTCCTCGGTCGAGCCGCCAATGTGCGGCGTCAGGATGAGGTTCGGGCACGAGCGCAGCTCGGACGACCAGTCGTTGAGGGCGTCGCCAAAGTTGGGGCCGTTGGCCTTGGGCTCGGCGGGGAAGACGTCGACGGCGGCGCCGGCGAGCTTGCCCGACTTGAGGCCGTCGATGAGGGCCGGGATGTCGACGACCTTGCCGCGCGCGTTGTTGATCAAGTACGAGCCGTCCTTCATCTGGGCGATCTGCTCGGCGCGGATGAGGTTGGTCGTCTCGGGGAGCTCGGGGACGTGGAGCGTGACAAAGTCGGCCTGGCCGAGGAAGTCCTCCATGCTCTCGACCTGCTGCGCCGAGCCGAGCGGCATGATGGGGAGCACGTCGTAGTAGATGACCTTCATGCCCATCGCCTCGGCGAGGACCGACAGCTGCGAGCCGATGTGGCCGTAGCCGACAATCTGCGGGCGCACGGGGAGCGAGGTCAGTCCGCCGGGTCGCTCGAGAGACGGGAGAGAGTGGGACGCACGCCGAGCGTCTTGCCCCTGACCTCCCAGCAGCCCTTGGACACCTTGTTCCAGATGCCCTCGCGCATCTCGCGCGCGCGGTCGCACAGCTGGCGCGACAGGGCGACGACCTCGGAGATGACGAGCTCGGCGACCGAGCGCGAGTTGGAGAAGGGCGAGTTGAAGACGGCGATGCCGGCCTTGGCGGCGGCGAGGAGGTCGACCTGGTTGGTGCCGATGCAGAAGCAGCCGATGACGAGGAGCTGAGGGAGAGGAGGGGGACGACGAGAGGGTGAGCGCATGCTCTTCAAGCCCGATCCCGACGGGCCGCAAGCGACGCAGAGGGGAGTAGGGACGCACCGACGGGACCTCGGAGATGACCTTGGCCGTGATCTTGGTCTTGGAGCGGATGCCGACGGCCGAGAAGCCGCCGTCCTTGAGGCGGGCGATGAGCTCCTCCTCGTCGAGGGCCTTCTTGACCTCCTCGACGTGCCACCCTTGGGCCTTGAGCATGTCGACAGCGCTCGTGTTGACGTTCTCGAGGAGGAGGATGCGCGTCTCGTTGGCCTCGTGCTGAGGGAACGGCGAGAGGGCCTTGCCCGCCTGCGGGAACGGGATCGACCCACCGAGGGCGGCACGGCGGGCCTCGTACGACTGCGAGAAGCTCGAGTAGCCGCCCTGGGGCGAGGTGGCGAGCGTCGGCGACGTGCTGAGGATGCTGGCCTGGCCGCTGGGCGAGATGCTGAGCGGGGCGCTGATGGAGACGGACTGGCGGCGAGCGGACATGGGCGGCGGTGCACGGGCGGTGGGCGGAAGGGGAGAGGGTGCGAGGGACTTTTCGGGTCCTGCTGAGCTGCTGGCTGGTGGGAGTCGAGCGAGAGAGACGAGGAGAGTCAAACGAGCACCGCCTCCTGAAGACGTGCTGGACCTCTCGCCGCTCTCGACCGCGACCGCTTCTCGCCGCTGCACCCTCTCAAACTCGGTCAGGTGCTCATGCATGGGTTTGCGCAAATGGTTCCTACACACACATCTCTCAAGCCCGCCCTCGCCGTGTGCGCTTTTCCCCTCCCTCTCCTCCTCGCCGCCAAGCTCGTCGTCGTCTACTCGGCCTTGTCGCCCGCAGCCTTCTTCTTCTTCTGCGGCTTGGCCTTGAGGGGCCGTGCGAGCGTCTCCTTGGTCTTGTCCGACAACTCGACGTCGCTCTTGACCTTGTCGGCCGAGTAGAACGTCGGCGTCGCAGACAGGCGCGCCGCACCCGTCTTGGTGACCGTGAACGTGATAAAGACCTGCGCCGAGAGGTTCTCGGGCTTCTCAGTCGTGCTGCGAGTCGACGACGACGAGCAGGGGTCAGTCCCGGATTGCGCCGAGAGGGAAGGAAAGAGAGAGAGAGGGACGCACAGGAGGTCGTAGCCGCGGACGAGGTTGTGCTGCACGCACTCCTTGACGCCCATGCGAGCGCGCACCTCGTCCTCCATGATGCGGAGCGTGAACGGGAACGAGCCGGCCTTGGTCGAGATCTCGGAGAAGGTGGCGCGCGACGTCTTCATCTTGAGCGAGTAGGTCGACTGCGTCTTGGAGAAGATGGTCGTGCGCGCCGTGTCGGCCGCCTTGGGCTGTACAAGGGGACGAGAGGCTGTCAGTGCCCGTGTGCCGATGCCTGAGCTCACCGCCTGTAGCTCGCCGCCCGGACCACCCTCGAGGAAGACGGACAGGCTTCGAGCGATAGGGGGAGGGAGAGACTCGGGACGCACGCTCCGCTCGCCGTCCGTGACGAGGATGTTGAGGCCGTACACCTCGCCCTCCTCGAGGTTGTACGTGTTGTCCGAGTCGCCGCGCTGCGACGCCGTCGGGAACGCGACGAGGCCCTTCTTGGCCTCGAGGTTGTTCTGGAGGAACTGGTGCGACAGGGTGCCCTCGACGCCCTTGACGCCGCTCGCCTCGTACTCCTTGACGAGCGCCTTGACGGCCTCGGTCACCTCCCAGTTGCGGACGCCCGGCTTGACCGTGCGGAGCGCGATCTCGCCCGCCTGGAACGCGGCCGCGAGCAGGTTGGCGCGGACGCCCGAGATGGGGCCGTCGGCACCGACGATGACGCTGTAGCAGAGAGAGGACTGTCAGTACGTCGCTCGACGTAGACACGAAACGCGGCATCCAGCCCAGAGGGCCGAGCGCCCGCCGCCGACGACGAGTGCGAGAGATGGGGACGCACGTCTCGCCCGAGACGACCGGGTAGCCGTCGATGTGGGCACCGACGACGACCTTGAGGACGTCGTCCTTCTTGAGCGTCTGGGCGGCCGCCTCCTTGTCGGAGAGGGCGGGCGAGAAGTTCTGGAGGACGTTGTTGACGGACAGGGTGGTCGGGTACGCGATGCCTGCAGTGCGAACGAGGCATCAGATTCGCTCCTCTACCGTCAACCTCGGCACAGCGCCGAATGCGGCTCGACGAGCTGAGCCCGCACCGGCGCACGAAGCCAGACGAGGAGGAGGAACCGGGGCGACGCACCCTTGGGAGTGCCCTTGGTCTTGTTGTACAGGGGCTTGACGCCCTCCTCGACGAGCTTGTCGCCCTCCTGGCACAGCTCGAGGATGTTGGCGCCCTCGACGGCCTTGGCGAGGAGCTGCTTGACGACGTTCTCGACGACGCCGGCGGCCGCCTTGTACTTGTCAAGGGTGGCGGTCGGGACTGTACGGGTGTAGGGCGGGTGCAGTAGGGCGACAGGGAGGGTGCAAGGGCGAGGACGGGGCGAGAGATGAGGCGGTCGAGGTCGACGAGGGCGAGGTCACGAGAGGTGCGCCGAGTCGACCAGGCGAGACGCAGGCGGCGCAGGCGGGTGGCGAGAGGTTGGCATGGGCGCAAAGTGGAAGTCGCAGGTCGGCAAGGGGGCGGTACGAGGGAAGGAGAGGACACGAGGGGCAAGAGGTGAGCGGGGACGGGGCGACGAGCTCGTGTGAGGCTCGAGGAGAGGGACGCACGAGTGGGCTCGGTGGCGGGCTTGGTGGCAGGGGTCGACATGCTGAACAGGCAAGGCAAAGCGAGGCGAGCTGGGGTGGTGAGGAGGGACAGCTCGTCGGTCCAGCGACATTGCTCTCGACCCTTTTCCTCACACAGGTCGACTCGCTTGCTCTCGCTGCTTTCGACGGCTGGTTCGGCTGTAACAGCTTGCATGGTTGTGCTGAGCAGGTTGCACGTTGCAGCTTGCGGAACAGAGACCTGAGGGGTGCTGGGTGAGGGTGTCGCGGGTCGATGTCGACCTCATCGGCTGGCGGTTGCCCCGCCTCAGCGGAACCGACGACATCAACCTCGGCCTGCCTCCTCGCTCGCTCTCACCTCGCCCGGCTCTGCTTCCTCGTCCACTTCGACTACCCGGCCTGCATTTCGCTGCTGCCGCCGCCGCACCGCTCCGCCCATGGCCCCCATCACGCTCCGCCACCTCACGCTCCACCCGACCCCACTCGCCGAGGTCCCCGACCCAGACGACTCGTCCTTTGAGCAAGAGCTCGCCCAGGAGGGCGCACAGCTCCTCTCGCACGACGCCTGGGGCGAGCGCAAGTCGTGGCACGGCGGCGTCGTCGACACGTTCGTCCTCCCGCAGGGCTCCGTGACGTACGACCCGGCCAAAGGCGGCACGGCTGGGCCTTCTCCGACAGGTGCGCCCCTCTTCTCTCGCGAGCGATGACGGGCACGGCGGGCGGAACTGACCGACCGCATTTCGTGCGCGCAGGTCAGAGCGGCGAGGAGGGCATCCTGTGGCACAAACGCGTGTCGCGGTTCAAGGCGTCCGAGCACGGCGGCTACGACGTCTGGTACGACGCTGTCGGCCAGAACCACATCGAGCAGGAGCGAGAGTACGTCGACAACCTCGTCGACGTCGTCGACGTCGGCAAGAGCGAGGGCAAGAAGGGTGCGTTGGCTCGTTCTCTCCTCTCGACCGGCCCGCTCGGCGGCTCGAGGAGCCTTGCGCCGTGCCTACAAGCGGAGGACAAGCTCACGCCGCCTTGCCATCCCCGCAGCGTGCTACCTCAAGCTGTACAAGCTCCCGTTCGGCGCGACCGACCGCTCGTTCATGTGCCACGCCGTCCTCGTCTCGCCCAGCTCGTCGTCGACGCAAGAGCCCGAGCAGCAGGACGACAAGTCGGCATCGTCCAACAAGCCCAAGCCGGACAAGGACGCCAAAGACGGCGGCAAGGGCAGCGGCGGCCCGCGCGAGTTCCTCGTCTTCTCGCTCCCGATCACGACGCCGACCGAGCCCAAGGAGGGCAAGAAGTACGTCCGAGGGACGCAGGCGACCGTCGAGCGTGTGCGCGAGCTCGAGGGAGGCGAGATCGAGTGGACCTGCGCGAGCCTGAGCACGCCCGGCGGCAACATCCCCGTGCGCCTGAGCGAGAGCAAGATGTGCGTCCTCCTTTCCCTCCTCGCCCCTCGTCTCGACGTCGAGCGTATATTGACGTCCTCTCCTCGACGTTTCGCGCGTGCAGGTCCCAGTCTCTCGCCGACGCAGTCCCGACCATCCTCACCTGGATGGCCAAGTCACACCCTCCCGGCGCGTCGCACATCAAGTCGGGCGGCTACACGGCCGACTCGCCCGCGTCGGCTCAGCGTCCGGCCAAGCTGCGGCAGACGGCCCAGACGGCCAACCCGGGAGGAGGGATGGGCCTCATGCCCGCCGGCCGGTTCACGCTCGAGATGTTCCAGCGCGAGGTGCCGCTGCGGGACTACTGAGCGCGGGTTCGGGTCGTCGTCGTCGAGGGTTCAGGGCGGCAAGGCGAATGAGGACGTCGGTGCGTCGTCGCGGTCGAAGAGGAGGAGCGCTCGACGTGGGCGAGGGGAGTGAACTGTCCTTGTCTCCATTATGCACTGCCCGCTCCGTAGCTCGTATCTCGTAATGCACTCATCGCACGACTCGGAGCTGCACATGGTCGACAGCGACAGCTCTCTCGTCGTCGTCGTCGAGGTCGATCGCTCGTCACCACTTCCGCGGCTTTCCCTCACCCGTCGACAGCTCTCTCTGCTCTCGCTGCAGTGCAAGCCGACACGAACCGCGCAAGATGGGCATCTACATCCCCGCCTCGAAGCGGGACCGCCTCCTCAAGTACCGGTACTCGTCCACCGACCTCTCCCTCACCTCGGTGCGTCCGCCTCGTCCTCTGTCAGGCCAGCGACCCGTGCAGGACCCTCAGCAGGGCACTGCACCGAGTCTTCCTGCTTGTCGGGAAGCGACGCGCTGACCCTGGCTGCCCCTCTCCCCTCTCGCAGAAGTACATCCTCAACCCGTTCTGGAACAAGCTCGTCCTCGCGTTCCCGCAAACGATGGCGCCCAACGCCATCACGCTCCTCGTGAGTCCCGTGTCCTCGAGCGAATGAGCAACGGTCGAGGTTCTGGAGCCCTGATGCTGCCCTTCTCGCCCGCCTCCTCCTCCCCCACCTCCCTCTCTCTCTCGCAACAGGGCCTCTCCCTCATTTTCGTCAACTTCCTCACCCTCCTGTACTACAACCCGACCCTGTCAGTCGGCTTCAAGCCCCTCCACGTGTCCAAGGGCGGCATGTGGGACCCGCTCTTCCCGCCGACCGCGTCCGAGTCGTCGACCCTCCACTCGATCTTCACCTGGCTCGGCGTGCGAGCGGGCGCCGAGAGCGCCGAGGCGGCCCCGAGGTGGCTCTACTGGACCTTCTCGGTCGGCCTGTTCGCGTACCAGAGCCTCGACGCCATCGACGGCAAGCAGGCGCGGCGCACGGGCACGAGCGGTCCGGTGCGTTCGCCTCCCTCTCTCTCTCTTTTGCCTCGGCCCTGCATGTTCCACGACTGCGCGCACTCGTACTCTGACACTTCTCGCGTCCCTGCAGCTCGGCGAGCTGTTCGACCACGGCTGCGACGCCCTCAACACGACCCTCGCGTGCCTCCTCACGGCGTCGGCGCTCAACCTCGGCCTGTCGTGGTGGACCGTCGCGTCGCTCGTCGCGACCAACATGAACTTCTACCTCACGACGTGGGAAGAGTTCCACACGGGCACGCTCTTCCTCTCGGCCTTCTCGGGCCCGGTCGAGGGTATCCTCCTCGTCGTCGGCGTGTTCGCCGTCACGGGCTTCAAGGGCCCCGAATTCTGGGACACGGGTATCCTCACCATCTTCGGCATCGACCCGCCGACAAACTCGGTCCTGTCGGCGCTCCCGTTCCACGTCAAGAACCTGCCCCTCAACGACTGCTTCCTCGTGTTCTCGACCGTCGGCCTCTTGTTCAACATCGTCTCGGCGACGCACAACGTCTACCTGTCGCTCCCGGCCAAGTCGCGCACCCCGTCGTCGCTCGTCAAGCCCATCACGCGCCTCACGCCTTGGCTCGTCCACACGGCCGCCATGGTGTCGTGGCTCCACGCCCGCGAGGAGCTCCTCCTCCGCACGACCCTCTTCATCCCCTTCACGCTCTTCTGGGGCATCGCGTTCGCGCACCATGTACGTCTCTCTCTCGCTCTCCTCCTTTGTGCGCCAGCCTCGTCGGCGCTTTCTGACACTTCGCCTTCTCAATACAGGTCCAGCTCCTCATCCTCGCGCACCTCACCTCGTCGCCCTTCCCCGCCGCGTGGCAGCACCCTCTCCTCGTCCTGTCGGCCCTCGGCGCCCTCGACGCCCGCCTCGGCATCGTCCAGACGTCGCACGAGCGCGTCAAGTACACGGTCCTCGCCTGCCTCGCGCTCGGCACGCTCGTGTACGGCCACTTTGTCGTCGAGGTCATTGGCGACATCTGCGAGTTCTACGACATCAAGTGCGTCTCGCCGTTCCTCTCCCTCTCTCTAGGTCTCGCGCCCTGAGGCGAGAAACTCACCCGCCGGTGCTCGCCCCTAGCTGCCTCACGATCAAGCGCAAGCCCGCCCCGGGCACGCCCGGCGCGCACCGCTCGCCGGCCGACATTGCGCGCGAGAAGGGCAAGGCCGACGAGGAGGTCAAGGACAAGAACGCGCCCGTGACCGAGGAGGTCGACGCGTCGGGCAAAAAGGTGCCGAGCAAGGAGGGCTTGCTCAAGCGGGTCAAGCAGTAGAAGGAGCGAGTAGACGGTGCTCTCTGTCGTAGCTGCTCACATAATCTAGTGCGTCTCGCTCCTCTCGGCGGGCGGCAGTGGGAGAGAGAGAGAAGCTGTTGCATTCCTCGGCTCAGGCAGTCTCGCTCCCCGAATCGCTCCCTGCAGCTGCCCGTTTCTCGCTCCTTGCCGTCCTTCGCCCCTCGTACCTGCTCAACCTGTGCCTGAGCCCGTCGACGACGCCGCGCGTGCGCTCCTGCTCGCGGCGCCACAGCCTACGCTCCTCCTCGTGCATCGTGAGCTCGTTGTAGTCGACGAGGCCGATTTCGGCCGTCGATACGAGCTTGACGACGCGCCACAGTCGCAGGACCGTCATGAGCGACGCGAGCTGGCCGGCGATGCTCTGCGGCGGGCGCGAGACAGGCGTCGAGCGTCAGGGAGGGGCCCGAGCGGGGCGAGGGAGGGTAAAGGGGGCGCACCTGGAGGACGACCTCGAGGATGAAGGCCGTGAGGATGATGAGCGAGTCGATGACGTGCAGCCAATGGTACCGCGCGCTCGTGTAGTACGTGTGGCCGAATGCGGCGGCGTCCAGGGGAATCTCGAGGACGAAGGCGCCTGTCGGGTCGAACGCGACGAGTCAGTCTCGTCTCGCACCTCGACATCGTCGACTGAGAGCGAGACAGACGACTCACCGGTGATGCAGAGGCTGACGACGTTCACAACGGCGAGGAACCGCGGCTCCTCCTCCTCGCACGATCCTCGACACTCGCACATCTGGTCCCGCAGGATGAGCCACGCCACCTGCGTGAAGCACAGCGCAAAGTCGACCATGGACAGGCCGATGATCGCTGCGCGGCGAGGTCGTCAGGTCGCGCACGAGGGCAGGAGAGAGAGAGAGAGAGAGGAGGACGCACAGGCCTCGGTCCTCGGCGCACTCAAGAACTTGCGCAAACGCTGTCGCACGAGCTGCACGCCGCTCGCAGCAGGCCTGTCCCCTTCTGCACCGTCGGCGTCGTCGACGTCCGAGTCCGAGTCGGAGGAGCGCGTCGCTGGCGGCGAGTGCGCACTGACGTCTGGCCGCGCAGTTCTTCGAGGCACACGAGCGAGCGGTGCAGGCTGAGCCAGGGCACTGCGTGCGACAGCCATGTAGCGCAGGAGCAGCGTGTGCGAGAAAGCGACCGCGAGAGAGTTGGCGCTCCTCCGGATTTAGCCACGGACACGGGGAGCACAGCGAGACGAGGTGCGTGCGGGCGGCGAACGCGGACCGAGGTCTGCGTACGGTGCGAGGCCTAGGGCAACGAGCGAGCGAGGGAGGAAACGACGAGCGAACGAGGCGGAAGCGCAGGAGGAGAGGTTTGAGCGAGCGCGGAGAGCGGTTTGAGGCGGGCGGGCGACTGAGCCGAGGCCTGGCGAGCGTCGGCAGAAGTAGCAACTGCCGGGGTTGTGCGCCGCTGCGGCGAGGTTTGCTCCTTGTTCGCCCCTCGCGCGCCCTTTGTTTCTTCCCTCCCTCCCCCACCTGTCGCCCGCTTCCTCCGACAGCGGCCGCGATGAACGGCCAGAACCTCTTCCAGCCGTACTACCAGCAGAACCAGCAGCAGCAGCAGCAGGGCCAGCAGCAGCAGCAGGCGGGCGGCATCCCCGTCGGCTACTCGGCCCAGGGCAACAACCCCTCGCCGTACGGCCAGCAGCAGCCTCAGCAGCAGGAGATCCGCGTCGACCAGGGCAACCACCTCGTCCCTCAAGCTGGGCCTTCTGGCCTCCAGGACCACGGCCTGCCCGACCCGCTCGCCGGCCCAGGAGGAGGCGGCGTCGGACCTGGTTCGCCCGACGACGACGACTCTGGCATCCTCGACACGCCGGGCACCAACAAGCGCAAGGTGCGCACTCGGCTCTTTCTCTCTCCTTCTTGCACCGGCACTGACTCTCGTCTGCTTCCACAGGGCGGCCGGCCGCGCGACAAGGTGTGGGAGCTCTTCGACGGTGCGTGGTTCAACCTCCCTCGTCTCGTCCCACCCCTCGCCCCTCGCGCCCCTCGAGCTCGTCCCCTTCCTCGACAAGCAGCTGACCATGACGCTCGACGCGTCCTCGTTCCAGCAGGTGACCGCGACGTGGCGACGTGCTGCTACTGCTCGTGGAAGACGGACCACCCCAAGGCGTTCCGCATGCGCGCCCACGTCATCTCGTGCGACATGATCCCGCAGGAGCGCAAGGACGACCTCGCGCGCTTCCAGGAGCAGAAGGAGCAGCGCCTCGCCATCAAGAAGGAGCAGGCCGACCAGGCGCTCGCGACCGGCGGCGGCTCGGCCGTCAAGAAGTTCAAGCGCGCGCACGACGGCGAGATGATTGCGAGCCCGAGCGCCGGCAGGTGCGTCCCCTTCCTCTCCTCCCTCTCCTCCTTCCGTCGGATCCCGCTCGTCGGCCGGCGGGTCGATGTATGCGAGCGGGCGAGGCGGATCGCCATCACCTCCGTCCGTCTCGAGCCTCGTTCTCCTGCTCACCCGCTCTCTCCCTGCGCGCAACAGAGGCAAGATGGCGCCCGCACCTCCAGCTCGTTCGCCCATCACCTGCCACGGTGCGTCCCGTCTTCTCTCCCTCGTTCCTCTGTCGAGGGCGTCGAGCTGACCCCGCGCTTCGCCCGCCCGCCTCTCCCTCGCCAACCCTTGCCCCACCTGCCACCTACGACCTTCCTCGTCCTTCCCCTCGTCCATGCCGACGATGCGCACTCGCCTGCAGTGCTCGACTCGACCTCGGGCAAGCCTGCGCCCGAGATGCGCATCCGCCTCGATAGGCTCAACACGACCGGCTTCGTCCTCCAGGCGCAGGGGTGCGTCCCTCATTCCTCGCGGTCCAGGATCGTCCACGTCTAGAGGCGACGGCGGCCGTGTCGGGCGGCGAGGAGACGTACTCGGAGGGACCCCGGCGCTGACCCCGTTCCTTCCCTCCTCTCCTCCCCTCGCCCATCTCTCCTGTTCTCGCACCGACGCCTCGCACGCCCTCGTCACCTCGCCTTTACCGCCTGCAGGATCACCGACAAGGACGGCCGGTGCAGCACGCTCCTGCCTCCCTCGACTCGTCTCGAGGTCGGCATCTTCAAGATCACCTTCTTCACCAACGAGTGGTGGAAGAACAAGGGCGTCCTGTCGTTCTACCCATTCATCGAGGTGCGTCCTGCTCTGTCTCTCCCTTGCGCCAGCCACACCGTCGAGAGCTCACTCGCGCCTTGGGTCCTCGCAGATCCCGTTCGAGGTCCAGTCGCCCGACGACCACTACCAGTGCGTCTCTCCTTTTTCCCACCTCCTTCTCGCCCTGTGCCGAGACTGACAGGTCCTCGCCTTCACAGCATCCCCTGCCTCCTGTCGCCCTTCTCCTACACGACCTACCGCGGCTCCTAGACGAATCTCTCCTCGTCCTCGCCATCGTTCCCCTCCCGCCTTTCCCTACCGCTCGACGCCGTACCGATACCCCCTCTATCCTAGTCTGTACCCCCTCCCTTTGTTCGTCCCCACGTCCTTCTGTCTGTCGCAGCGCCGCTTCTACCTGCAACTCGAGCCGCTTTCCCGGACCTCGTGTGCGTGCTGCCGCTCGATATTCTCTGTCAGAAGCGGTCTCCGCGCGAGAGCTGCGAGCTGAGAGGTCGGTACGGAGCTGCACGAGTCCTCGGCGCGAGAGACAGAGCGAGCGTGTGCGGGTGCTCGCGCGAGTACGTCGACGACACGAGCGAGCGAGCGAGGAGGCGAGCAGTCCTCACTTCACGTCGAGCGACAGCCTCCGTCCAAGCCCGATACAAGCGTGAGCAGAGACAGCGAGGCTTGCGCTCCGAGCTAGAGGAGGCTCGTGCGCGCTCGCGCTCTCGTCCTTCGGCTTCGTCTCGAGGAAGCAAAGCGAGCGTGCGCCCAGCTTTCTGCCGTCGACGGGCTTGACAGTCTCTCGGCTGACCGTGTGAGGGATGGCTCGATGCGACTCTCGGAGCGGGGCGAGCAGGAGGGACGAGCAGACGAGCACTCGGTCGGCTGGATCTCATTTCGACGTTTCTCTCGCACATCTTCGTCCTCGGCGATAGCTCGTCCGAGTCTCTCTCGACGTCTGAAGCTCGCAAGCACGATGTCTCTTGCACACCGGGGCAGCCCGCGCTACTTGCGGCGGTACACGAGCACCTTGTCCCGACCGTGCGCCCGCTCTTTGGCCATCTTGTCCGGGTGGCGCGAGTAGATCTTCCTGCGAGCGGGCGAGGGCGAGAGAAGGTGTCAGGAGGCTGTTTGACACGGACGAGGCGGCCGAGGAAAGGGAAGAGAGAGCGAGGGACGCACTCGAACGAGTGGCCGAGAGCGGCGTCGTACGCCTCCTCCGAGACCGAGTAGGGCGGGCCGCCTTCCCTGTCGCCATCTGCGTATCGAGGGACATCGACACGTCAGGTTCACGCCCGCATAGGGCCGAGAGTACGACGAGGAGGACGACGGCAACGCACCGAGCGGGAACGCAAGCGCGACGAGCAGTCCTCCCGGGCGCACCACCTCGGCGTACCGCTCGCCCCACTTGGCGCGCAAGGAAGGCGGGATGGCGCAGAAGAACGTGTAGTCGAACGCGAACGAGAAGGGTTGGCCCGAGGGGAGCGGGAACGAGAAGAAGTCGGCGGCTTCGCTGCAGAGGGGAGAGAGGGCTTGTCAGCTGGGACTACGACGAGACCCGCTCTAGCGCGAGGAGAGTACAAAGAGAGAGGCTCGACGCACAAGGTGATGTTCTGCGGCGCGTTGGCCTGCGCGGCGAGGTGGTCGCGCGCGACCTGGACGGCGGTCGGGCTCAGGTCGATGCCGAGCGTGTCGATGCCGTGCGCGGCGATGAAGGCGGCGTCACAGCCCTGTGTGTGTACGTGGGTCAGACTGGGCGCACGATACGGTGCGGGACGCAGAGGGAGAGGGACACACCCTGCCGCAGCCGGCGACGAGCGCCTTGCCGTCCTTGAGGCTGTCGAGCGGGACGCCGACGTGTGCCCAGCGCTCATCGAGGAGCTCACGGAATGCAGGCTGCACGTCGCCGGCGTCCCACGGGGTCGCGTTGGCCTTCCACGCCTGGTCCCAGCCTGCGCGAGAGATGCGGGGGAGGCGGCTTGGTGAGCTCGGCGGGCATGAGGTGGAGAGAACTGGGGCGCACCTCCGGTGGCAGACTGGCCGCCTGTCGGGTCGCTGCCGAGCAGCTCGCGCACCTTGAGTAGCGAGGCGGACGGCACGAGGCTCGACATTGTCCAACTGATGAAGACGGGTGGGGGAGGCGGAGCTGGACGGGCGCAGAAGGCGTGTGAGGCGGGGTGCGCGGCACCAGGGGGCTACTTGTTGGTCGATGTACAGCTGGACGAGTCTGCGCACGAGCTTGAGCGATGTGGGTGAGGGCCACCTCGCAGCAACGACGAATCTCGAGAGCGGCGCAGCGTCGACCCCTCTCTCGGCGCGAACCGCTCCAGATACCTCTTCAGATCGCTCGCAAGTGCTCTCTTTGCATGTTCGGTGACAGGTCAGACCGGCACGAAAGGCGAGGACGAGGAGAGCAGGGCTCGATTGCGCGACGAAAGAGAAAGCGTCCTTCAAGGGAGCGCGAGGCGACTACGGACGAGGGGAGGGCTAGCTACAAATGCGGGGGAGGGAGAATTAGGCAGGGCGAAGGGAAGGAGGGGTGCAGGCAAGCGAGGGGGAGGAAAAGAGGCGAATCGGGAGGAAGGGAGGCTCGGGCGTGCGGCGCGAGGATGGCGCGACGCCTTACGACGCCTGGTACAGGCCGACAGCGACCGTGTGGTTGTTGATGAGAGAGATGTTGTACGGCGTCAGGTACGGCGCGCTGTCGGTGATGGCGATGAAGGCCGTGTTGACGACCTGCGGCTGGTTGCCGTACACGGTCGCGTTTGGGACGACGGCCGAGCCCGAGTTGTTGCCGACTGCGAGAGACGACGATGACGTGCATGCGAGGGCCAGGATAGGGGCGAGACGTCGTAAAGGGAGGAAGAAGAGGACGAAGGAGAGTAGAAGGAAGGGGAAGAGATGCGAGGTCAGACCGGCTCGTCTGGAGGAAGAGGAGCTAGGGGACGCACGGTTGGTGATCTCGGCGTACGTGACGTTGAGCTGGTCGATGAACGCGAGGTACTTGGGCTCGCCCGCGACCGACGAGGTGCTGTAGTTGCCCTCGGGGTAGCTGACCGACTTTCCGAGCGGCTCCCACGTAAAGTTGACGGTGCGGCCGGCGCCCTCGGTGAGGGTGTAGTTCGAGCTGATGCCAGGGATGCCGTCGACCGCGGACGGCTGGTTGGTGACGCTGCAGGGAGGGAGAAACGAAAGACATTAGGTTGACCTTCTCAAACCGGGACGAGGACGCGAGGACGCACTTGATGAGCGGGAAGCGGGTGAACTCGATGCGCGGGTTGTTGGACGGGCAGCTCTTGAGGTACTGTGGGTGCGTCGCAGAAAGTCAGGGCCAGAAAGAGAGGAGGATGAGGAAGAGGGGAGACATACCGGCGACAGGAGGGTCCAAGCGAACGACTGCGGCAGGCCGGTCTCAAAGTGCTCGGGCATGGCAGGGAGACCCTGCGGGAGTACGGCAAAGTTAGCGACGCCGAAAGGGAGACGCCTTGAGAGGAAAAGGGGTGCAGAGCGCGAGGGAGACCGGGACGCACCTGTAACTGACGGAAGATCATCATCTGGCGAGCCTCGGTCGTGATCGACTGGAGCAGGATCTGCGCAGCCGGGCGCGAGTCGAGCTGACCGAGGAAGCCGTAGACGCTGCAGGAGGAGGAAGAGAGGGGGGAAAGGTCAGGAGGGCTCGTGCGACGGTCGGGGAGGATTGAGGGAGATGGACGCACCCTGCCTCGCCCCAGCGCGTCAGGAGCGCATTCCAGACGACGAACTCCTTGACGCTCGCGAAGGCCGGGTACTCGTAGACGCACTGCTTGGCGGCGCGGTCGACGCCGAGCATCTGCGAGGGAGGGAAAAGAGTCAGCGCAGGCCCTCGACATCGCCGCCGAGCGCAACGCGAACAGGGTGACGGTCAGAGAGAGTAGGGACGCACGTTGGTGATCGCGATGGCGTGGCTGACCTCCTGGGCGGCCATGTGCTCGAGGAGGAAGCGGTCGTCGGCCGTGTAGCCCTCGGCCTCGAATTGCTCGCTGGTAAAGTGAGCGAGTCCCCAGTTGAACAGGTCGAGCTCGATGAGCTCCTGGTTGAGGGCGAGGTTGAGCGACTGGAAGTCTGCGGGCGGGGAGAGGGAGGAAGAGTTAGGTCGCCGAGCGCGAGGAGGAAAAGGGTCGACGGCGAGGACACAGCGACGCACCAAAGTTCGACTTGACCTGGTACGTCGGCTTGTACTCGAGGAGGCCGCCGGCGGGCTGACCGGGCCACGCGAGCGTCGCGTTGGTACCGTTCTTGGTCGGGTTGCCTGCGAAGGCCCGAGCGGTAGTCAGCGCCTCGTCTCGCGCTCGCCGCCCCGACTGCGTCGTCCTCGGGACCTGAAGGAGAGCGTGTGCTCACCGAGGATGAGGTGCGCGCCCTCGTACGGCTCGGAGCTGTTGGTGTACGACACGTTGAAGCCCGTCGCGTTGACGCCGAGCGGGACCGACTCGACGCTCGCGTTGACGAAGCTCGTGCCGTTCGACGTGGTCGGGACGACCTCGTACGTGATGTTGTTGCCGCTGCCGTTGGGGACGGTCGCGTTGGCGGGGAGGCCGGACGTGCCGCCCTGGCGGCGGAAGAGGGGCGAGGCGTTGGACGAGCCGGCGAGAGCCGCAGCGGCGGCGAGCGAGGTGAAGAGGACCATGGTGACGGTCCTGCGGTTGAGCTGGGTAGGTGGATCGGGAGAGAGGAGAGAGAGCGGAGGGCGGACGAGGAGAGCGCGTACTCTCGGACTCGGCGGCGCTCGCTCGCGCGCATTTGAGAAATCTCCCCGGCCCTCGCTCTCGACGTCGGAGCCTCGCGCCTCTCATCGCGAGCCTCGCTGGATCGAGCATCGTCGGCAAGTCGACAGCTTGCCGTCGACGTTCTCGAAGACGGGGGCCGAGCGAAAGCGAGCGGTCCTGCCGTCATCGAAACGGACGCAAGTGGACGCAGATGTCAAAACGCGAGCGGTTCCGACGCGAGCTCGCGAGCTGCCGTTCGCAGCACTCGCGCAAGTGCAAGCGGGCGCCGCTTCCGACGAAACGCTCGCGGCCAGAAGTCGAACCCGACCGAGCCGACGGCGATGATGTGCCTATGAGGGTGGAGGTCGAGTGGAGGCACGTGCGCGCTCGCACCTCTTGCGGACGGTGTCTTCCGCCGATTCTCGCCTGCTGTACTCCTCCTCGCAGCCCGCTCGACAGCGACACACAGCTCACTCGTCGCTCTCGCTCTCGCTGTTGTGGCTCGAAGAGGGGCAGAGAGGATCCGCAATCGCAAGATGCGCTCGAGCGCGATGGAAGCCTGTTCCGGCTTTGCTTTCGTGCAAGCGCTAAGCTTAGCTGCGCGCTTCTGTCGGGCAAGGGAGGACGATACCGACGGCATGTTCGAGAGTCGCATTCGCGCGCAATTTGCGCCGTCGACGTTGCACGGAGGTAGGCTGAACGAGATTGACATTGCCTCGTCGCCATGAGAAGCACGCTTGCGCCGCTCTCTCTCTCTTTCGCTCTCTGTCGCGACACGTCATGAAACCGCGCACAGAGTTGCAGAGAGAGCCGCACGACCAGACAACAACGCCCGAGACGGGCGTGATCCTTCGAGACCGAGAAAGGGCGCGTCGACGACGCGCGCGTGAAGCAACGACGAGAGGGTGCTGCGCCGCTACAGGCGGATAAAGTTGCCGACGATGAGGGAGGGGATGCCGTAGCTGTCGCGGCGGATGGTCTGCAGCGCGAACGAGGCTCGGGTCAGGTCTGCTGGGGGGCCGAGGTCGCCGATACGCCGCCGACGGGAAGAGGAGAGAGAGAGGGCGCGGGACGCACAAAGGAGAAGCACGCGCTGACCATGGCCTCCTCGGCAATCTTGCCCTTGTCGGCGCCGGCCTTTCTCCGCTTGCGCGACAGGATCGACTGGTTGATGAGGACGCACGACGTGAGGACGGCCTTCTGCCCGCTGTCGAACGCGATCTGTGGACGTCGGGCCGAGTCAGTGAGAGGACGGGAGGGACGAGGAGGGAGAGCGGGCGCACATTCCCGTACTTCTCCCAGTAGTTTACGGCGCTCTCCTCGGCCATGAGCTCGTAGATGGCGAGCTTGCCGCCCTGCAGGTGCTCGATCGGGACGCCAACTGTGCGCGCAGAGAGTCAGGGACCACGCTTGGTCGAAGAGGCGGTGGCGCGCGAGTGAGAGAGGGAGAGAAGGCGGACGCACCGAGCGCCGCAAACTCTTTGTTGCCCTTGTAGATCTCGCCCGTCCTCCTCCACAGACAGCTCGGGATGCCCATCGACGAGAAGACGCGGTCGTAGTCGAGCAGGAGGCGCTCGAACGCCTCCTCGATAAAGACGAGGTCGAGGTCGGTCAGGCCCGAGGCGATTGCCTGCGTGAGGCGAGGAACGGCAACGACGTCAGGACTGCAAGACGAACAAGGCGCGAAAGAGAGAGAGAGCGAGACGCACCCGGAACGTGGGCCGGAACTCGCTCAGGGTGTGCAACGTCCTCTGCCGCGAGCTCGCCGACATGCTGCGGGCGGTTTCCTCCCTCGAGGTCAGTTCTCCTCGAACGCAACGACCGGCGAGAGGGCGAGAGGAGGACGCACTTGTCGGCCATCCACTTCATGAGCCTCGTGTAGCCTGCGACGTGGTTGTACGGCCGCAAGAGGCCCGCCTCGAACTTGGCGTGGATGACGCGCGCGAGCCGGTCCGAGCGGGAGCCGTCCTTCTGGTCGGCGGCCGTCAGGAGGAAGCGCTCGGTCCTGCAGGAGCAGAGGAGGAAGTGAGCTCGACGGTACTGCACAAAGAGGGCCGGGCGAAGGAAAGGGGGACGCACTTGTTGATCGGGCTGCCGGGCACGCTCGGACCCGTGCTCTTGCCCTTGTCCCTCGGGTCGGCGACAAGTCCTGCGGCATGTTCTGGCGGGACCGTCAAGCCCGTGTCGGTGTTGATCGGCAGGCCGCCAATCTGCTGCGGCTGCGACGGCTGGTCGGGCGTGTACAGCGGCGGGTCGTTGAGCGACTGGAGGAACTCGCTGCGAGCAGGGACAGGATGTGAGACGTCGACTCGGGTGCGAGATGGACGACAATGAGAGGAGAGCTCCGGGCGCACCTCAGACCAAGGCCCTGAAACTCGCCGTCGCTGCCCGACGTCATGTCGAGCCCGAGACCTGCTCCGAGCCCGTCGTTGGCGAGGTCGAGCTGCATCGAGGTCCGTCGGTCAGTGAGAAGCAGGGAGAGGGACGAGAAAGGAGAGCAGGGGACGCACCATGGCGAGGTTGAAGTCGGGCGTGAAGATGCTCGGCTGGCTCGCCTGCGACGCCGCGTTGTAGATGTCCTCGGCCGCCGACGGTCCCGGTCCGAACAGGTTGCCCTCCATCAGGCTCGCGAACGCGTTATGCCCGCCGAGCTGCCCGCCTCCACTGCTCGCTCCCGCTCTTGGTCCGCCCTCTCCTCCACCACCACCGCCGCCGCCGCCGAGCGAGCCGCCGATGTCGAGGCCGAGCGTGTTGAGCATTTCGGCGGCCCCTGCGCCGCCGTCGACGTCGACGCTCGCGCTCTGCGTGACGGCGAGCGCCGGAGGCGCGGGCGCGACGGGCGACGTCTGGTGGCCGGCCTGGCTCGACGAGGCCTGGGCCGCCTGCTGGGCCGGGTCGAGTCCCGCGATGGGCTCGTCGGTGCACAGGTGGGCGATCTCGCGCTTGATGCAGCGCGCGCAGGGCCGCTCGCCCGAGCACTGCATGTGGCTGCGGCGGCAGAACCGGCACGCCGAGTCGACCTTGGAGCGGCGCTTGCGCTTGGGTGGCGGTGGGCCGTGTGGAGCTGGCGGTGTCGGGCCGGACGTGCTGGATGCGGGTGCGCTGGGCCCGGGCGTGGTGGTCGAGGGCGGTCGCGGGGCTATGGGCGCCGGGGAGACGGCCGGGTAGGACGCCATGCTGTGGGTGCGCGCCCGGGTCAGTACGTCCATTTCGAGTGGCAGGGAGTGCGCGGACTGCGTCCACATGCGCGCAGTGGAGAGCTGGCCTCGCGGCGCAGACGACGCGCCGGTGCCGAGGCGGCGTCTCCGTCGTCGTCGACAGGGGCGGGAGGAACGGGCGACGTACTCTATGTCGATATTGGAGACGTCTCGGAGGTGCTCGTAGTGTCGGCGGGTCGTGCAGAGGCTTGTCGAGGGAGGAACGCCGGCCGTGGGAAGAGGTGCGGGGAGGGCGAGGAGGCCTTGGCTGGAAGTGGGCAGGCGCGGCTGGTTCGGTGCGCGCGGTCGACGCGAGGCGAGCTGGTGAGCAAGGCTCAGGCAACAGCCGTGCGCACAGGAGGGCGCAGCGAGGCGGAGAGTGGGGGAAGGGCGAGGTTCGAGAGATGAGGACGACGACTCTCGCTCCCACTGGACGTGCAGCGTGTTGGGCCAGTCTGTGCTCCTGCATCTCATACGCGCCAACTGCCTGCAGCTATCAAGCCAGACAGAGCCGGGAGAGCGCGCCTTCACCGCCTCGAGCGACGAGTGCCTCAGCTCACCCTGCTCCAGCTCCCTCCACGACAACCATGGACGCAGCTCGGCTGTACCAGGTCTTCAATGCCTCTTTCGAATCAGGTGAGCCCATCCAACTCGCTCCCGCGAGCTGCCGTCGCTCACCTCTCCTCGCCCTCATCTCTCCCCACTTCTACTCGCAGACCCCAACGTCCGCATCGCTGCAGAGCTCGAACTGAAGCAGGTGCGAGATCCCGTCCTCCCTTCTGCGCGTCCTCGCTCACCCTCGCGTCCCCTCGTGCCGCAGCTCGAGCCTGTCGAGGGCCTCCTTCCGACCCTCCTCCAACTCGTGTCGCCCTCGTCCTCGTCGTCGCCTGTCGTCCGCCTCGCAACCGCCATCTACCTCAAGAACCGCATCAAGTCGAGCTGGCGCCAGCCCCTCGAGCCGAGCGTGTACGCGAGCCCGGCCACAGTCGCCGCAGCGCAGAAGGCGTCGACGTTCGTCAAGATCCCGCCAGCCGACCGCCAGAGCGTCAAGAGCAACCTCCTCCCGCTCTATGCCGCCCTCGCGGCCGACCCGGACGGCGCAAAGGTCAAGGAGCAGGTCGGCGAGGCGTTGAGCCGGGTCGTCGAGTGCGACTTCCCCGAGCACTGGCCCAGCCTGGTCGACGAGGTCAAGGTCCTGCTCGCCGGCGACGAGGGCCAGGTCGAGGCGGGCCTGCGGGCGTCGACCGAGGTCTTCAACTCGCTGCGGTACGCCGCCAAGGACGAGGACGGCACCACCCTCGTCCAGCTCACGACCCACCTCCTCCCGCTCGTCCTCCCGATCGGCCAAAAGGTCCTCGCCTCGACCCCGTCCGACGCCGCGTCCCTCACGACCCAGGGCACCCTCCTCCGCCTCATCCTCAAGACGTACAAGAACAGCCTCATCCACACCCTCACCCCGGCCCACCAGGCGCCCGACTCGCTCATCCCGTGGGGCACCCTCCTCCTCGCTGTCGTGTCGCACTCGATCCCTGTCGCGCTCCTCCCAGAAGACGTCGACGACCGCGAGCGGCACCCGTGGGCCAAGAGCAAGAAGTGGGCCTGCTTCGCCCTGAACCGCCTCTTCACGCGGTACGGCAACCCGACGCAGCTGCCCAAGAACCAGGTCGAGCAGTACGGCGAGTTCGCCAACCGGTTCATCGGCCAGTTTGCGCCCGAGATCCTCAAGGCGTACCTTGCCGCCGTCGAGCGCATGGTCGCCCAGGGCGAGTGGTCCCCGAAAAAGGCCAAGTTCTACCTGCTCTCCTTCTTCGAGGAGTGGTGCGTCTCGCCTTTCTCTCCTTCCCGGTCGCGATGCCCGTCGCGAGCCCGTCGCGAGCCACGAATTGACCCGATCTTGTCCACAGCATCAACCCCAAGGCCATGTTCACCCTCCTCAAGCCTCACGTCTCGACCCTGGTCGAGCACTTCATCTTCCCGCTCGTCTGCCTCTCCGAGGAGGAGCTCGAGCTCTTCACCGACGACCCGACCGAGTTTGCGCGCCAGTCGTTCGGCGGTGCGTCCGCTCTTTCCCCTTTTCGTCTCGGCGCTCGTACACGTTCGACGAACCTGACCTCGACCCGCCGAAACAGACTTTATCGTCGACCCGTACGCCTCGCCGACCAGTTCGGCGCTCAGCTTCCTGTCTGCGCTCGTCGAGACCCGCGCAAAGACGACCCTCCTTCCCTTGCTCCAGTTCATCCAGTCGGTCGTCGACAAGTGCGTCCTCGCTCGTGTCACCAGCCTCGTCGAAGAGCACACACTCACTCGTGGCCCTCGTTCAGGTACCCGGCGACGATCACGCCGCGGCAAAAGGACGGCGCGCTGCGCATGCTCGGTGCCCTCGCCACCACCGCCGTCAAGAGCGTACGTCCTCCCTCCTTCCTCTCTCCTCGCCCCCTCCCTCTTCCTCCCTACCTCGAGACGTACTGACGAGCCTCGATGCACCGACAGAAAAAGCTCGCGCCCATGCTCGAGGCGTTCTTCATCCAGCAGGTCGTCCCCGAGTTCAAGTCGCCGCACGGCCACCTGCGGTACCGCGCGTGCGACATTGTCGAGAAGTTTGAGAGCGTCGACATGACGTGGCAGTCGCAGGAGGTGCGCCCCGTGTCTCTCTCTGTCCCTCTCTCGCCGTCCAGTCCGGCCGGCAGTTGACCCCTCGTCGCCCCGTACGCAGGCCCTTGAGAACACGCTCAACTGCCTCATGAGCTGCATCACCGACTCGGAGCTGCCCGTGCGCATCCAGGCCGCCATCGCGCTTCCCGAGTTGGTCCGGTACGAGAAGGTCCGCGAGCGCATGCTCCCCAACCTCGGCCGCATCCTCCAGGGTACGTCTAGATCTCGTTCCTCGCCTCTCCCTCGGACTGGTACTGACAGGTCCTCCCTCGGCGCGCAGAGCTCCTCAAGCTGCAGTCCGAGGTCGACCTCGACGCCCTGACCAACACGACCCGCACCATGGTCAGCGAGTTTGCCGAGGAGGTCGTGCCGTTCGCCGTCGAGCTCTCTCAGTCTCTTGTGCGTCCCACTTTTCTCTCTGTCGGTCGAGGAGCGCACCCTGAGGCCCCTGTGCGCGCCTGCAGGTCGAGTCGTACGGTCGTCAGCTGCAGGAGCACCTCGAGGCGCGCGAGAAGGACCCGAGCGGCGGCGAGATGTACGAGGACGAGCGCACGATGAGCATGATGAACGTCCTCAAGACGATCGAGCAGCTCGTGTCGTCGGTCCGCGAGAAGAAGGAGCTCGTCGCCGAGATTGAGAAGGCCGTCGCGCCGTTGCTCGAGGCGACGATCCGCCACTCGTTCGTCGGTGCGTCCAGCTTTCGCCTTACCCTGTCATCCTGCCTGCCGACTGACGACGACTCGCATCCGCAGAGCTTTTCGACGAGACGTTCGAGCTCCTCGACTCGCTCACGTTCTTCCAGCAGAGCGTGTCGCCCGTCATGTGGACCTGCTTCGAGGCGAGCTACCGCGTCCTCATGCAGAACGCGGTCGACTACCTGAGCGACACGATGGGCTTCCTCGACAACTGCATCAACTTTGGCGCCGACTTCCTTTCGACCTCGACCGACCACCGTCGGTTCGTCCTCGAGCTGTTCGACATGGCCATGACCAACCGGGCTCTCGGCGCCGAGGACCGAGTCGTCGCCTGCAAGCTCGCCGAGACGCTCCTGCTCCGCCTCCACGGCCAGGTCGACGAGGTGCGTCGACGCCCTCTCTCTCTTTCCCTCTCCCTCACGGGCGGCCCTTCCTGACTCTTCCTCTCGCTCTCGTCGCAGGCCATTCCTCCTGTCGTCGAGCGCGCCATGACGTTCGTCCTGTCCAAGAACGACGACGACGACTTTGTCGTCACCAAGAGCCTGTTCCTCCACTCGCTCGAGCTCGTCATCCTCGCCGTGTCGTACAACCCGCAGCAGGCGATCGCCATCCTCGACCGCCACGACTGGACGCAGCAATTCTTCGCCCAGTGGTTCAAGAACCTGTCCAAGTACACGCGCGTCCACGACAAGAAGATGACGCTGTGGGCCATCTGCGCCCTGTTCGACTGGCTCAACGGCGTCGGCTCGTCGAGCCCGCTCGTCGGCAACGTGGCACAGCTCGTCCAGGGTGCGCTCGAGGTCTTCAAGTCGTACCCGCGAGCGCTCGGCGAGCGCAAGGTCGCCGAGGCGAACCGCGACCTCGAGGAGGAGGACGTGAGCGACGACGGCATGTCGGACGAGGACGACCTGGACCTGGGCGACGAGGAGGGCGACTGTGCGTCCCTGTCTCTCTCCCTCTCTGTCTCGGCGACGTCGCGTTCGACGCCCGAGCTGACTGGCCGAGCCTGCCCGCAGTCGACGAGGCCGACGTGCGCGACAAGACGACCGACTTTATGGACCAGCTCGCTCAGTCCGAGGTGCGCCCCCTCCCTCTCTTCGAGCTCAGGAGGGTCGACGAGGCACTGACTTGTCTCTCGAGCGTTCGCAGGCCAACCGCCTCGCCCGGGCAGGCGCTTTCGGCGACGGCGACTCGGCATGGAGCGACGAGATCTTGTGGGCGTCGCCGCTCGACCAGTTCGACTCGTACCAGCGCTTCTCGGGCCTGCTCGCCGGTGCGTCTCGATCTCTCCACTCTCTGCGGCCGGTACTGCGCCGCCCGAACGTGCTCGCTCACCAAGATCTCGACCACCGTGCGCAGGTCTGCAGAGCGCGAACCCGGCGTTGTACCAGGCCTCGCTGTCGGGCCTCTCGACCGAGCAGCAGGGCGTCCTCGCCGACGTGGCGGCCAAGGCGGCCGAGGGAGGAGACGTCGTCGTCGCGCAGCAGGCGTACGCCGAGCTGCAAGCCGAGGAGACGGCGGACTGAGCGGCTCGCGCTCGTGCCAGTCGAGGCGGGAGGACTCTATTACGACTTGCATTACAATCATTGACGTGCGCACCTTGCCTGTGCGCGACAGCGAGAGAGCAGAGAGCGAGGTCGAGGGAGAATAGCAAAGTCAAGCGAGGAAAGTGTAAGGTGCGAGGTCGAGGCCGCTTGGTCGTCGTCACGCTCCGCCTGCTCGCTACACCACCACAGCCCGACCGCGTTACAGCCCCAGCAGCCCTTTTCCACCTCGAGCGCACCCCCAGCAGCGCCGAGCGCACCCGCATTGAGCGAGCGCGACCCGGTCCCCGCCTCTTCATCGTCGCTCAACCCTCGCACCAGAGCGACCCACAACAGCGAGTCGCAGACCTTCCGTGGTGCCCAGAGCCGAACTGACATCTTGCCTCTGCAGTGTCGCGCCCGCCAGAAGCCCGGCGCAAGGTGCTCGGCTCGTCCCACGGTCCCTCCTCTTCCTCGCCGACCGCGTCCGCCTCGTTCGCCTCGTCTCGCCCCATCCGCGCCAGGGTCGACCTCGGCACCTCGTCCCCTCAAGCACACGCATCGTCGACCTGGACACCATCGCAGCCCGTCCGCGCCCGGGTCCAGCTGCCGCCCGCCACCTCGGCTCAACAACCTCGAGGTGGGGCCTTCTCGAGCGCGCCCAGCACCCCGAGCACGTCGAGCTCGCCCTTTGCGCGAGCAGGAGGAGACGGGACGCCGCTCGCGAGCGCGCAGGGCGGCGTGCGGGCGACGCTGAGCCCGCGCACCCCGACGGCTGCCGCAAGTCGAGCTCCGTCGCCCGTGCGCGCGCGCTCACCGGACGCCGCGGCCGCCAGGCCCGTCGTCACGCGAGTCGGGACGACGGCACGAGTCGTCAAGAGCGACCTGACGCCCGACGCCAAGCTCCTGCGCGGCCAGAGCGACCCGTTCCCGTCGGCGTCGCCTTCCTCGTCATCGTCCAACACGGCCACGCCCATCAGCTACCTCCCGTCTTCCGTCTCGGTGCGACGTCTGCCGTCACCTCGAGCTCGGCCGTCGTCTACCCTGGGCACGAGCACGAGCACGACGTCGAGCGTCGACTCGAGCGCGACCCTCCCGGCCCTGTCGACCTCGCCCAGCAGCGCGGCCTCGTCCCCTCTCGCCTCGCCCAACCTCGGCCCGCACGCCTTTGACCACGCGTCGAGTCACGCGCGCCTGTCGCCTGTGCCGCATGCCTACTACGACGGCTCGGTCGGGCGCAAGGGCGCGCCGTTCGTGCGGCGCCTGAGTGGGACGAGTACAGCCTCGACGTCCTCGTCAGTCGACACCGGGCTGCTCCCGCCAGTGTCCATCGCCGGCGACGAGCGACGAGCACTTCCCGCGACGTCGCCCGCCTTGACGCCCTTCCCTCATTCCCCTCCTCCCCTTCGATCGCCCTCGCTTCAAGCGTTCCCCTTCCACGCTCCGACAACCTCGGCCGCCGTTCGCTCGCCCACCATGTCGTCCTTCTCCTCCACTCGCACCGTGCGAGCGAGCCCCGCCGCCCCGACCTCGTCCGCCGGCGCTCGGCCCTCGCGCCCGCCCTCGACCGCCTCGAACCCGGCCAACGCCCGCCGGCTGCACGCCCGCTCGTACTCGAGCACGTCGACCTCGTCGCTCTCGTCGGTCTTCTCGCCCGACGAGCGTGAGCGCGCATCGCCGTTCGAGCCGGGCCAACCGTGGGCGACGGCTGGACCGCGCTCGCCCGTTGTTGGCTCGCCAGCGCTGCACGGGCCAGGCGCCGCGCTCGCCGGCATCGACTGGTCGGCCGTCGCGCAGCTCGCCGAACTCGAACTTGACGCCGATGCGCAGCTGCAGAGGCCGGCGGGCGGGACGGTGGCGGCGGGGCGGACGTCGAGCGGGAGCGAGGGTCCGAGCGCGTCAAGCTCGAGCGTGGACGGGCGGCAGCACGAGGTGGACGAGGCCGAGAAGGAAGCTCGTGTGGCCCGCAAGGTGCGTCCTGCTCACCCTCTGTACCTCGCGCGCGAGTACTGACCCTCGGACCCCGACTCGCAGATTGCCGACCTCGAGATCCGCAACACGTCCCTCCTCGCCATCAACACGACGCTCGAACGCCTCAAGGTCAAGCACACGTCCGAGATCCGCGAGCTGCGCCGCCGCATGCGCGAGTCGGTCGGCGGAGCCGGACTCGCCGCGCTTCGAGCGCACGTCTCGCGCCTCGACGAGAACGACCTCGTCGGCGGCGGGTCCGACCTCGACGAGTCAGACGCCGACGATGTCGACGGTGCGGCGAGAGCGGGAGCAGGAGCAGGCGTCGACGACGAGCCCGAGCCGACGTGGCAGGAGCTCCTCGAGGGCGACGCGACCTTCTCGGCCCTCGCCGCGACGGTCGAGAGCCTGATCGCGCGAGGCAGGCGCGCCGTCGAGTACGAGCCGAGCAAGGGCGAGACGGGCAGGGTCTTGTCGACGGTCGAGATGGAGGACCGGCTGCAGGGCGGGTACCGCGACGAGGAGGAGGCGGACGACGACGAGTTGACGCCCGAGTCGTCGGGACGGTCGACGCCGGCGACGTCGGGCACGTCGATGTCGACGAGTAGGGCAGCTGATGGGGCCGGTCTGCGGTCGAGCGAGCGAGGGCTCGGCATCGCAGGATGGCAGAGCGCGCGACGGTGACCCGGCCCCTCCCTCCCTTTCCTTCTCCTTCCTCCCTCTGCGAGTTCCTCTCCCTCTCTCTCATGTCGTGGCTCTCCTTTCCTTGCCCATTGTCTTTCGTTGTTGTACATCGTCTCGCGCATCAGGTCGGATCTTCTCGCGTTCTCGCATTCTCGGCGTCGCCGTCTCCCTCTCGCTCGGTCCCCTTTCTTCTCGAGAGCGCTCGAGAGCACGAGGCAAAATGAGAGCTATCGTACAGCATGACACAATCGACACAGATCTCTTCTCTCTCGCCCCCGCGCTCAGGCCTTCATCTCGACGTCCCCGTCCTCCTCGGCCTTCTTCTCCTCGATGGCGGAATCAGGAGCAGGCGCAGCCGGCTCTTCCTTCTCGCCCTCGACGTCCTTCTTCTCCTCCGCCTTGTCCATCGCCTCGTCCGGCTTCGACGCTGCCGCTGCGGGCGCGGGCGACGCCTCGACCTTCTTGTCCTCGACGCCGACGACGGCCGGCGCAGGCGCCTGGGCGCGCTTGACGAGCTCGTCGGCGCGCTTGTCCATCCACCGCTGGACGCGCTGCGCCTTCTTCTGGCGCTCGTCGGCGCTCGCCTCGCGCTGTGGCTGCTGCGAGGCTCGGCGGCGACGGAAGACGACGTCCTCGCTCTCGGCGCAGAAGAAGAGCTTGTAGCTGCGCAGGCAGATCTTGGTGCGCAGGGCCGACGAGACGAGAACGCCCTTGGGGAGCGCAGGGCGGACGGCGGCGGCCGTGTCGCGCGAGGGAGGAGGGATGCCGAGCTGGCGAAGGTTGCGCGGGAGGTAGGGGACCTTGGGCTCGATCGCGAGGCCCGGCGTGCGGTCGAGCTTGACGTAGTCGGCGACGTACTTGGCCCACGCACGCTCGGCGGCGGGCAGGTCCTCGGGGCCGACGACGTCCTTGCCCATGAGCTGGAACGCGAGGCGACCCTCGAGCGGCGAAAGGCCGTCGGCCGAGTCGGCGGCGCTCGCGCTCGGCGCCCACTCGATGCGGTAAAGGTTCTCGTCGCCGGCGAGCGTCGCCTCGGCCTTGGTGCGGTAGGCGATCTGCTGCGACGCAGTGGCGCGGTCCGGGTGCGCTCGGTCGTCGCGCAGGAGGTTGAAGAGCTCCTTGGTCTTGCTGTCCGATATGGCCGTGAGCGACTGCGCGCGCCGAACGAGAGCATCGTCAGTCTATGCCGCTTGGAAAGAGAGAGGAGAGGGCCGAGACCGAGAAGAGGAGGAGGGACTCACGAGCTTGAGGATGCTCGTGAGCGTCTTGTCGATCGTGAACAGAACGTAGCCCTGCGTCGCCATGATGCGCCGGATGCCGTCCTCGAACGCCGACTGGTCGATGTCGCCGTCGAACATCTTCTCGCAGATGCCGAGCGCGCGGTGGTAGTAGTAGTCGGGCGAATCGGTCCAGCCCGAGGCGGTGCTGCCCGGCGGCGCGTACGACAACGACATGGACAGGGTCGGGACGTGCGCCGGCGTGATGGGCTCCATTGGCGGCGGGAGCGCGAGCACGGCGGCCGAGTTGCGGAGCTGGCTCAGGCGCGACTGGAGGACCTGCGGGACGATCAACATGAGGGTCAGTGCGCTGCTCGCGAACGAGAACGAGAACGAGAGAAAGGTGGGCGTACCTGGAACAGGCGGAGCATGCAATAGAGCGTCGAGTTGGCGAACACGTTCCACGTTCTGCGCCGGTCGACCTTGACGGGCTTGGCCTCGACCGGCACGATGACCTCGGGCAGCTGGTCCTCCTCGGCTTGCGCCGCAGCCGGCTCGGCGGCAGCGGTGGTCGAGGCAGATGTCGTGGTCGAGCCCTCGCCGCCGAGAGCACCTGCGGGCGACGCCTCGCGACTCGGCGCATCGGCGCCGTCGGCCATGACGCTGTCGCCGTCGACCGTGCCGGGCGAGGCGGCCCTCGAACTCGGCGCCGACGCAGAGCCCGTCGTCGACATGCCGACCGACGCAGGGACGGCGACCGGGCCCGCCGCCGTGCGCTTCCTGCCGCGGCCGGGACCCGGCGGTCCGGGCGCGGCATCGCCCGCCTTGCGGAGCGCCTTCTTGCGCAAGTCGCCGCCCTTCTTGGCCTTCTTGGTGCCGCCCGGCGTCGGCGCCGACGAGGCAGAGCCCGAGCCCGACGCGCCCGAGCCGCCGTTGAGCGCCGCCTCGATCGCCTCGTCGAGGAGGGCGGCCGCCGCTCCTCCCGCGCCGTTGGCCGTCGTCCCGGCGTCGCTCGCGGCGTCGGCGTTCGACGCCGAGTCGTCGTCATCGGCGAGGACGTTGCACTCGTTGACGAACTCGGCCGGCGGGATGGCGAACGCGAGAGCGAGGAACTCGTGCAGGAAGGCGTCGACCTTGGGCTTGTCGGCGAACGAGACGGTGTAGGCGCGGTCCATGTACGACAGGATGAGCTTGGCGGCGTCGTAGAAGGCGGCACGGTCGTTGACGGGGAAGGCGAGCTGGTGGTTGGGCGGCTTGGGGTGGTGCGGCGAGCCGTACTCGCGCTGGTTCTGCTCGCGCTTGAGCGACTCGATCTCGGACACGAGCGCCTTGGTGTTGAGGAAGCGCTTGTCGTTGGCCTTGATCGCGATCGCCTGGTGGTCGAGGGCCTTGAGGAAGTTCTTGGCGTCCTGCGAGGGAGCGGAAAGGGTTCGAGGAGGACGAGGTCAGTCAAGATGCACAGACGGCGCAGGACTCGCCGCCAAAGCGGACGAGAGGTGGAGAGAGAGAGAGAGAGAGAGAGCGGGACGCACCGACTCGCGCCAGGTCCGATTCCACTCGCGCAAGGCCCTCTTCCACTCCTCGTCCTTCTGCTTGAGGCGCGCGAGCACGATAGGGACGGCGACACACGGGTTCTCGTGGAGCGCCTGGATCACCTCGAGCCCTTGCTCCTTGCCGTAGACCTTCTTGAGGACGCGCTGGTAGATGCTCTTGCTCTGGTTGCCGAGGCCGGCCTTGAGGCGGAACGTCTCGCGCTCCGAGTGCTCCATGAGGGCGATGCGGGTCGCGATCGGCTCGAGGAGGGCGATCGTGCGCAGGTTGGCCTCGATGTAGTAGTCGTACTCGTGGCGCTCCTCCTCGGACCGATGCAGCGCCTCCTCGTACGGGTTCTTGCGCTGCGCGACAAAGCCCTCGTCCGACGCCCACGACGGCTGCGAGACTGCGACAGGGAGAGTGCATGTACTGCGAGTCAGTGAGACGCTCGCGACGAGGCGGGCGGGCAAGAAAAGACGGAGAGAGAACGGCTCGACGCACCCCACTCGTCGTTGAGGACCTCCCAGCACAGCGCGTCGCGGCCCGAGCAGTTGAGGCTGATCTCGCTCGACGGCAGCCGCCGGTAGCTCGGGCCGTACGTCTCCCAGCCCTTGCCGGCGTCGCCGTGCGCCTTGCGCCACCTCGGGCCGTCGAGTCGCGGCACGTTCTCGATGACGCGGCGCCCGAGCGAGTCGAGCTCGACGCGCTTGCCCGGGTCGCCGAGCACGCCGTCCTTGGTGACCGGGTCGGGCTGGACCCAGCCGACCATGTCGCGGAACTCGAGCCACAGGGCGTCGTCCTGGTGCAGGAACATCCACGCGCGGGCGACGAGCGCCGTGAGGTCGATCAGGTCCTGCGAGTACAGGTTGACGAGCTTGAGGAACTCGTGGTAGGTCGGCTGGTCCTTGCAGTGCGCCTTGACGCGCTGGAAGAAGGCGACGTCGGGCGCCGACGCGACGGGCTTGGGCGCGAGGAGCGGCTGCGGCGGCGGTGCGGGCATCGGCGGCTCGTACGCGTAGACGGGTGCGGCCGACGCTGGCGGAGCGGCCGAGACGGCACCGGCGCCGTAAGGACCCGCCGCCGCCGCCGAGGGCGGGACGCCGCCGTAGTAGTACGCGGCGGCGGCTTGCGCTTGGGCCTGCGCCTGCGCCTGCGCATGCGCGCTATGCCCATGGGCATGACCGTGCGCGTGCGCGTGCCCGAACGCCTGCGGGTCGGGCGACTCGGAGTGGTACACCGAGTGGCCCGGCTCGACCGACCCTGCGCCCTTGCGGCCGCCGCCGGGCCCGCCGATGAGGGGCGAGGCATCGACCTTGCGCTTGCCCTTGCCGCGCCCGGTGCCGCCGCTCGGGTCGAGCTTGCCCGCCGCCGCGCCGGCCGTCGTCTTGACGCGCTTGGCCGGCTCCTTTGCGCCACCGGGCGCGGCGCTCGGGGCGGTGCGCTTGCCGGCGGCAGGTCCTCGTGCGGCGGCGGGTACGGGTGCTGCTGCTGCGGCGGCGGCGGCGTCGCCCGACGTGTCGGGGAGGAACTGCTTGAACTCGTCGAGCAAGTCGGGCGCCGTGTGGAACAGGGTCGTCACTTGGGCGTAGACCTGCGGCAGGGGTCGAGACAGGGTCAGGAACGAGTTCTCGAGGAGGGGAGAAAGGAGGACGCACGTCCTGGATGGCCCGGCCTTCCTTCTGGTACGTCTGGAGAATCTCGAGGAACGCCTTGTACGTCTCGGGCTCGCGCGCGAACCGGTTCTTGATCTTGTTGACGTAATTGATGGCGTGGTTGAACTCCATCGGCGGACGGGCCTGCGCCGACTGGGCCTGCAGGTCGGGCGACGCGGCGGCGGCGGGAGGTGCGGCCGAGGGCGGCGCCGCGGCGGCAGCGCCCGTCGCGGACGAGGCCATTTGGCTGGACAGGACCGAGGCAGCGCCCGGCGTGGTGGCGACGGCGGGCTGCTGGGTCGCCGAGACGGCGGCGGGCGGGAGCGACTGGAGGTGGAGCTGGTCCTGCTTGGGCTTGACGTCGGCGGGTGCGCCTGGCGGTGCGGGTGCGGCGGCGGCGGCGGCGGCGGCAGGAGGAGGTGCAGCTGAGGACGGGGTCGGGGCAGTCGACGAGGCCGTGGCGGCGGCGGCGTGCTTGTCGGCCTGGTCGCCCGTGAGCTGCGTGCGGGTCGTCATGCCCATCGGGGTGGTGACGGTGATGGTGGTGCCCGAGGCGTCGCCGGTCGCCGAGGTGGCCGCGACGGTGCACTCGATGCGGTACCCGGGCGGGAGGAACGTGTTGAAGCCCTGGATCAAGGCCGGGTGGCCGCGGAACAAGGTCGACACGCGGTCGATCACGCCCGGGGTGTCGATGCCCTGCGACTTGAAGTCCTTCATGATGCTGTTGCGCAGGAGAAACAGGTCAGGTCGGCGGGCCTATCGCCGCAAGGGAGAGGCGGGCGCACGTCAAGAAGCGATCGTAGACTGCAGGCGCGGGGAGGAGACGACGGTTCAGCGACGGGTGCGGTGACAGGCAGGGAGAGACGGGCGTACCTTCAGTCTGGTCTGCGAACGTCATCTTGACGCGGTCGAGGTAGCTGCGAGGGCAGTGCGGCGGGTGAGCTGGCGGCCGACGGGGAGGAGGAGGAGGGGGGGACCGGGCAAGGGCGAGAGCTGGGACGCACGTGAGAGCATCGCGGACGTTGAGGTTGGTCTTGTGGGCCTCCATGGCCACTGCGCGCGACTCGCGGGAGGCCAGCGACGAGCGAGCGAGGGAGGAGGGACAGGCCGGCGCCGTCGCCTCGTCGGTCGCCCGCGGACAAGCTCCGCTCTCGTCGAGAATAGCAAAAAGTGTATTGGCCGACTTGTGATGTGTCTCGCCCCTTTGGCGCATCTCCCCCTCGGTCGCACTCGCCCCTCCCTCTCCGCACCGGTCCACCGTGGCTTCAGTCAGGACTCTACTGCGCTCCGCCTCTCGGTCAATCTCTACCATGAGCTCGCCTTACTCTGTCCGTGCGTCCTCGCCTCCCTCCCCTCGCCTCGCCGCAAAGACGACGCAGTCGACCCGCTCACCCGCTCCTACCCACTCGCGTTCGCTCGCGCTCCCACAGGCCAGATCGGCGCGGCCAACACCCTCGGTGCGTCCCACCTTGCTCTCAGTACTCGTTCGAGCCGTCGCCAGCGTCCCGCAGGCCGCGAGGCAGCCCGCAGCGAGCGTTGGCCTGACGTGCTCGACCTTCCCACCCCGCGCACAACCTGTCGCTCACCCTCTGCCTCGCACCCTGCAGAGTACCGCGCCTTCCTCGAGAAGGATGGCAAGGTCATCTCGCCGTTCCACGACATCCCGCTCTTCGCCAACGAGGAGAAGACGGTCCTCAACATGGTCGTCGAGATCCCCCGCTGGTCCAACGCCAAGCTCGAGATCTCCAAGGAGGAGCAGTTCAACCCGATCCTCCAGGACACCAAGAAGGGCAAGCTCCGCTTCGTCCGCAACTGCTTCCCGCACAAGGGCTACATCTGGAACTACGGGTGCGCCTCGCTCTCTCTCTCTCGCTCTCTCCTCGTCGTCTCCTCGCCCTCCTCGTGCGTCGCTGACTCTTTCCTTCCACCCACAGTGCCTTCCCGCAGACGTGGGAGGACCCGTCGCACCAGCACGCCGAGACCAAGGCCAACGGCGACGACGACCCTCTCGACGTGTGCGAGATTGGCGAGACCATCGGCTACGTCGGCCAGGTCAAGCAGGTCAAGATCCTTGGCGTCATGGCCCTCCTCGACGAGGGCGAGACCGACTGGAAGGTCCTCGTCATCGACGTCAACGACCCGCTCGCCGCCAAGCTGAACGACATCGAGGACGTCGAGCGCCACATGCCGGGCCTTGTCCGTGTGCGTCCCACGTTTCTCTGTTTCTGCGTCTCATCGAGGTGCTCTGCAGATCTGCCGGGTCTGAGAGTGCCCGGCGCGCGCCGGAGCGAGAACGGCGACTGACCTTCTCAACCTGCCTCGTCCTCCTTCTTCCTTCCCCCCACTTCCTCCTGCTCCCTCGACTGCGTCCACAGGCTACCGTGCGTTCCTTGTCACTCTCTGGACGGGTCGAACGAGACGAGGCGCACGTTTGGCGGCCGGCGCTGACCTTTTGCTCCCCTCCTCCTCCTCCTCCTCCTCCCCCTTCTTCCTCTCCTCCATGCCCTCCCGCTACCTGTGGGGCCCCACACGGCTCGAAGAATGAGTGGTTCAGGATTTACAAGGCGCGTCCGCTGCGCAGAACGCGCCAGGTCCCGTCGTCGTAGCGTCGAAACTGACCTCGCCGCGCCCGTTCCCCCTTCCCTCGCCCTCTCGCGCCCCTCTCGCCGCCCACAGATCCCCGACGGCAAGCCCGAGAACACGTTTGCGTTCTCTGGCGAGGCCAAGAACCGCAAGTACGCGACCGAGGTCGTGCACGAGTGCCACGAGGCGTGGCGCAAGCTCATCTCGGGCGAGGCCAACAAGGGCAAGATCGACCTGTGCGTCCCTTCTCTCTCTCTCGGCACGTCCCCGACGTCCAACAACTGACGACCCGCACGCGGCCGCAGGTCGAACACGACGCAGCAGGGCACCCCGGCCTTTACCCCGTCGGCCGACTCGGTCCCCGCCGACTCGCGCCAGGCCGCCGCGCCCATCGACGCCTCGATCGACAAGACCTTCTTCATCTCGGGCCACGTACGTCTCGCTCTCCCTCTCGAAGCGCTCGCGCACCACCCGGACTGATGGCGAGCGTCCACAGGCCGTCTGAACCCCTTTTTTCTTCATCGAGCAGCGTGCCGCGCTGTGAGCCCAGGCCCGTCTCTATCTCTTCTTGTCTAGTCGAGCCTGTGTCTCTTTCGAAGCGTGTGTAGCAGCGAGGAGGAGGAAAAACGAGGTTGTGCAACAAAGTCGACGCTCTATCCGGACCGTCGCCCTCTCCTGCTCGTCGCTGCCCCGCTCGACGCTCCTGCACCCGCAACCGCACCCGCACCCGCACCCGACGAGGACGAGAGAGGCCGAATGCGCCGCGCCGTCCTCGGCGACACGCTGACGGGCGTGTCGTCGCCCTCCCCTCTGGCGCTCGCACCCCGAGGCCGGCTCTCCTCGGCCGCCGTCCCGCTCCCGCTCCCGCTCCCAGTCGCCGAGCCCCCATCGCCGTCGTCGTCAGACGACGCCGAGCCGGCTGCGGGCCCGTCGACGTCGGTGTCGAGGTCGGCGTGCGGCGGAGAGGGCGACGCGCCCCACCCGGCGGCGGCGAGCTTGGCGAGCGAGCGCGTGATGGCGGCGACGAGCGGGTCCGAGGCCGGCACTTGCTGCGCTTGCTCGACGGCTGGTGACGACCCGGCGGCCGCAGCGACGACGGCGAGAGACGCCGACGATGCCGACGACGACCGCGAGGTGCCGTACCCGCTCGTCGACGCGCTCGCCGCCGCAGCCGGCTGCGCGACGCGCAGGTGCAGCAGGTCGTCGACGTCGATGCCCTGCGACAGCGCCGCGTCGCTCGCCGCGCCCGTCGGCGCAGGCGACGGCGCGTACGTTGCCGAACTCGACGACCCGGAGCCGCTCCTCGCGCCGCTCGGCGCACTCGCCGCGACGACGCCCCGGCCCGACGAGCGCGCAGGTGGCGCAAAGTGCGTCGCGACGAGGCCCGACAGGCTGTTGCGCCGCGCCGCCGCCGCCCGATGATGGTGGTGGTGGTGCGGGTTGCCGACCGCGAGCGCCGCGGCGGGCCCGACGGCGGGACCTGCGCCTCCCGGCCCGAGTGCGACTGGCGCAAGGCTCGAGACGTACGACGCCGGTGAAAAGGCGGCGGCTGTCGCCGGGGTCGGGGCCGGAGCGCGGTTGGCCGGGAACGACGACGACGGCGTGGTCGCCGTCGTGTTGACGCTCGACGCGCCCGACGCGGCGCTGTACCGCGAGTTGGCGCTGAACGGGAACGCCAGGCTCGACAAGCGCGCTGCGCCGGCGGCCGTGCCCGGCGGCGACACGGACGGCGCCGCACCCGGGATCCGGATCGAGCTCGTCGCGGCCGACGCGCCGTGCGCCCAGTCCGACACGGCGGCACCGCGTGAAGTCGAGCGCGTGCGGGCGCCGATGCCCTGGCGGGCGTGCGACGGGTCGCTCAGGTCGAGCTCCTCGAGCTCGTCGATCGAGATGCCGCACCGGCGGCGCAGCTCGGCGAGCTCGCGCTGGTAGTAGGCGTTGACGCGCTCGCTGTTGGCGAGGCGGACGCGGAGCGTCTCGTTCTCGCGCAGGGCCTGGAGGACGTCGGGCGACAGGTCGGGCACGGAGAGGTCGGGCGAAAGCTGGGTCGAGGGGGACGAGGGGAAGGACGTGGTCGACGAGGTCGAGGCCGAGGTCGACAGCGACGAGGAAGGCGAGGGCTTCGACGAGCTACTGCTGTGGTGGCGGTGGCGGTGCGACGAGCTGCCGCGGTGGCCCGAGTAGGAGCGAGGGCGCTGCTGCTCCGAGGCGAGGAGGGCGAGGCGGAGGCGGAGCGCGATGGCGTCGGCCTGGCCCTCGACAGCGCGCTCGAGTGCGTCCTTCTCGTGCTGGAGCTGCGAGACGGGGGGGCCAGCGATCGTGAGCTGGCGAGGCTCGAGAGCTCGAGAGGCGAGGAAAGCGCGGGGACGGACCTGGGTGAGGCGGCTCGTGAGTTGCGAGACGAGGTTGGCCTCGTTCGAGTCGTGGGCTTGCAGGTCCATGTTGGAGAGCTTGACAGCGGCCGTGTCGAGGGTGCGCGCAAGCTGCTGCAGGACGAGGCGGGGAGGGTGAGCGGGATGACGACGAGGGAGAGGTGCCTGCCGAGTGAGAGGGGACGCACGATACAGGGGAGGGGGGTCTGCCGGGGACGTATAGGCGTTTGGGTGCGGGTAGAATGGCGCGCACGGGCTGGCCGAGGCGGTGGGACGAGCTGGACGGCGGAACTGATGAAGCCGTGAGGCGGGTGGGGGGAGGGGAGCGAGGTCGACGAGGACGTGGCGAGGGCGGGTGCGGTGGTGGTAGTCGCACTCGAGCACTGTGGCCTGCGCTGGTGGTCGCTGCGTGTGCAGGAGGAGAGGGAGAGAGGGAGGGCCCTGACTCCCCCACCTCGTCGTCCGAACCTCGCTCTTGGCTCGTCTCGCTCTTCACCACAGCACCCTGCGCACCTGCACAGCCCTGCAACCTCTTCTACAGACCTCCAACATCCATCACACCGACCGGCACCTTGCCCTCGCCATGCCTCACCTCGTCAATCCTCCCCCGTCCTCCTCCCTCCCTCTGATTGACCTGTCGCCCTTCCTCTCGCCCAAACCCGACCCCGACGCTCGCCGCAACACGGCCCGCAAGCTCCACTCGGCCTGTCTCGACTATGGCTTCTTCTACTGCACCGGCCTCGACTCGGTCGTCTCGCCCGACGACATGCGCCACGCCCTCGACGTCGCCCGCGCCTTCTTCAACACACCCGACGACGACAAGCTCAAGCTCCGCATCAAGCCAGGAGATGGCGCAAGGGGTGCGTCCACTTCCAACCCCCGTTCGTCACGGAAGGCGCCCTCACCTCGCTCGCTTCCCTCCAGGTTACCAGCGCATCGGCGAGAACGTGACCCAGTACAAGAAGGACTGGCACGGTGCGTCCTCTCTCTCAGTCTCGGTTAGTGCCAGTGACTGACGACCAGGCGCCGCAACAGAGGGCTGGGACGCCTACAAGCCGCTCCCGCCGTCGCTCGAGGACCCCTCGAAGCTCCTGCACGGGCCCAACCAGTGGCCCGCCGAGCCGGCCTCGTTCCGCCCCGTCCTCGAGCGATGGGTCGACAAGATGCACACGGTCGGGCACGCCCTCATGGAGGCGACGGCCATGGCGCTCGGCATCGACGTCGACGGCGACGCCAAAGGCGACGAGTCGGGCGAGTGGGCGCGCATGAAGAGCTGGGTCGCCGACCCGTTCTGGGTCATGCGGTGCATCGGGTACCCGCCTCTGCCGCCCGACGCAGAGGGCGTCTCGTGCGGCGCTCACAAAGGTCCGTGCGCTCGTCCTCCTTCTCGCCTTCCCAAGCGCGCCTCTCTCCCCCCTCACGCGCACCTCGACTGACCTCTTCGACCCTCGTCCCGCAGACTACGGCAACTTTACGCTCCTTCACGCCGACTCGACGCCGGGCGCCCTGCAGGTCTTCCTCCCCTCGCCCTCAGGCCCGGACTCGACCTCGACCGGCGAGCGCGGCACCTGGATCGACGCCAACCCGGTCGAGGGCGCGTTCGTCGTCAACGTCGGCGAGATGGTCGAGGTTTACTCGGCGGGACTGTACAAGGCGACGCTGCACCGCGTCGTCCACAAGAGCGAGACGTACCGCGTCTCGATCCCGTTCTTCTTCGAGCCGACGCTCGAGGCCCTCATCGAGGTCCGCCCGACTTTCTCTCTCTCTCTCTTGCGCGTCAGCCTGTCCTCGAGCGGAATCTGACGAGCGTGTCTGCCTCTCGCACCGCGTCGCAGCCTCTCCCCTCGGCGGTCCGCCTCCGTCGCGAGCTCCTCGGCCCCGACTCGGCTGCCACCAGCGTCAAGCCCGTCATCTACGGCGACTTTCTGCGCTCCAAGGTGTCGAACAACTTTGCGCTCGAGGACAAGGAGTAGCCGTCGTCGCAGCGCTGCAGCTCGAACGTCGAAACGATTTGTCTCTCGTCGTCCGGCCTCGAGCGAGAGAGAGAGACACGATAGCTGAGAAGAGTGAGAACACCGTACTGCATTTCTAGTCCAACAACTCTGCGCGCGCGCTATGGCTGTACGAGAGAGAGAGAGCCTCGCTTCGCCCGACCAGCCCTCGTCCGAGCAGACCCACGCCCGCTCACCGCGTGACAAACAGCCTGTACACCTCCTCGCCGTCCCTCAACGCCTGCACCTGCCCGTCGTCCTGCCCGTCGCCCTCGCTCGCCGCCCCGGCCGGCCCAACGACAAACTCGAGCGTGCTGAGCCCAGCTCTCGGCTCGACGAGCGCGTACCGCTTCGGGCCCGACCGGCTCGACCCGCCGTCGACCGCGACGTCGAGGTCGGCGCTGCCGTCGGCTCGAGCGGCGGGCGGGAGCTCGACAGCGTCCTCGACGAGCGAGACGAGCGCTGCGGGCCGGGCTCGTGCGGCGACGATGCGCCCGGCTCCTGCTCCTGCTGCGGCGCCGCCGTTCGCCGCTGCGCGCCCTTTGCCCTTTGCAGTCGACCTGGAGGACGAGGGCGCGCCGGCGAGGACGGGCGTGATCTCGACGCGCTGCGTGTCGCTCGGGACGGCGAGCGCGTGCTGCCGCAGGAGCGCCGTGTCGAGCGTGAAGGCCGCGCCGCTCGGGACGCAGCGCACCTCGAAGCGCGTCAGGAGGGGCGCGCTTGAGTCGGGCGCCGAGAGGCGGGCGACGAGGCGAGGGTGGAAGGTAGTCGGGGCGGCGGCGTCGGGCGCGGTCGGTGCGGCGTGCAGAGACCGGCCATTCAGGGGCATGCTCGGCGACGTCGAGCCGTTGAGGAGGGTTTTGAAGGAAGGGGAGACGAGCGAGGCGGCACCAGGGCCGGGCGCAGGGAACGGCGAGTTGAGGAGCGCGGCGGACGCCGACCCGAGGCCGAGGAGCGGGTTGTCGGGCAGGGCAAGCGCGGCGGCGAGTGCGGGCGAGCCACCGGGCAGGGCGTACGGGTCGCCGATCGGGATGTCCTCCGGCTTGGGCTGGACGACGCCCGCGAACGGCTGAGGCTGCTGCTGCTGCTGAGCGGCGGGCGCGACCGAACCGTGCCGGCTCGCCTCATCCTCCGACGCGTCCTCGTCCTCGTACCCGCCCGCCTCGGACCCGACGCCGTCCTCGCCGGCGGGGAACGTCGAGCTCTGGCGCCGGCTGCGAGAGCCGCTGCCCGTCGCCGGGCCCGACACGCTGATGTCGGGCTCGGGCCGCCGCTTGTGCGACTTCTTGGGCGGCACGTACTCGGGCGGCTCCTCCTGCATGATGTTGCCAAAGTGCTTCTGCAGAGCAGGGAGACAAAGAGTGAGCAAGTCTGGCGCAGGCTGCCGCCGACGAGGGAGAGGGCGGGAGAGAGAGAGGCGGACGGACCTTGAGCACCATGGCGTCCTTCCAGATGCGGCTCGACTCCTCGTTGTAGAACATGGCGTTTTCGAAGATCGTCATGACGTCCTGGTAGAACGGCTCGACGGCCTTGTAGTGGTTCTTCTGGACGCGGGCGCGCACCGTCTCGAACGCCATGGGCTCGGCGATGAGCTGGTAGTAATCGGGCCACAGGCCGCGGTCGGGCAGGACGTGGAAGTTCTCGGCGTAGTTGCGGCCGCTGCGGACGGTCGAGTCAGTTCGAGTCGCTCGGGTCGACCGGGACGCAAGGAGGGAGAGAGAAAGAAGCGACGCACTTGGCGTCCTCGAGCGCAATCACGTCGTCGAGCTTGCCGTTGAGCCATGGTCGAAGCGTCGCCGCCTTGCCGCCGGCCGTTGCACCGCCCGTCTCGGCCCCTCCACCTCGAGCGCCGCCCGACTGCCGACCTCGCGCCGGCGCAGGTTGAGGCGCCTCGTCGTGCTCGTCGTGCTCTTCTGGAGGAGGCGCCTCGCCCGTCATGACGGCGTACGTGTCCTTGAGCAGTTTCTGTGCGGGTCGGGGCGAGTCAGTATCGAGGAGACCGGGGCGAGGAGGGAGAGGAGGGAGGAGAGTGGACGCACGTGCTGCTTCTTGGCGTCGAGGAAGATCTGGGACCCGGGCGCGTTGTACCGCTTTGCGTTGACATAGATCTGGTTGATGTCGGTGCGCAGGTCGGACAAACAGGCGTACTGGCCTGTGTCGGGGGAAGAGAGCGGGTCAGTGCGTCCTCGGCGGACTGGGCGATGGGGATGGAGAGGGGACGTACGACCGTCGAGCTTGGCCTTGATCTCAGTGAACGAGATGGGCTTCTTGATCATCTTGTAGTAGTCGGGATAGTCGTCGCGGCTCGGCAGCTCGGAGAAGGCGTAGTAGAGCGGACGGGCGGGGCTGTCGCGCGGTCGAGGGGTCAGGCTCGAGGTCCTGCGCAGCGCAGGCTCACTCTTCGACGTGGGGCTCGCTGCGGCCAGGCGCATCGAGCCGCACGAGAGCGGGCGGCGTCGAGGAGAGAGAGGGAGGAGGAAGAGGAAGCGACGGGACTCACTCGCTCGGGTCCGTCTGCGCGACCAAGCGGTCGTACAGCTGGGTGCCTTGCTCCTTGACGCGCTCAAAGCCCTCGGGGTCGGTCGCCGGGATCGTGGCAGGGTTGGGTGACCCGGAGCGGCCGCCGTGCCGAGTCGAGGGGCCGCCGAGCTGCAGAGGGGTGCGAGGGACGCGAGAGTCAGGTCCAGATATGTGCGCTCAGTCATGGCTGCTGGTCGCTGAGGCTCGGGGATGCGCGTCGAGCTCTGCGGGCGGTGCAGGCGCCGCTGCGTCGAGCCGACGCCTCGCTCCTCCCCCCTGGTCCTCCCACCGTGCCCGTGTGTGTGCGCCTGCGCGAGCCGGCGGCCTCGCCGAGTCAAGTGAGGGTGCAAGCTCACCTCGACGCCCATGTACTTGCGCTTGCGCGGCTCCTCGATGATCAGCGAGGTGTCGACCCCGCCTCGAACCCGCTTCTTGCGCGACGAGGGAGGCGGCGGCGAGCCTGCAGTGTCGGCCATGGTCGGCAACGCGTGCAGAGGGCGTGTCGGATGCGACGAGAGAGCGCGACGAGGACGCGGTCAACAGTCGGAGCGAGGCCGGCGGGGAGGAGAGGCGAGCGGCCAGGAGCGGAATCGACTTGCTCTCTCTCGCGCTCTTCGGGGCTTTCGACTCGCTCGACACGAAGAGAGCGAGAGGAGGATTACAGGCGAGGTGCTACGCTAGGGGACGGGGGCGAGCGCGAGAGAGGAAAGGGGTATCCAACGCGGAGACAAGAGAGGGCGGGATCAACCAGGGGAAGCGGGCGCAGCCGAGGCTCGCCGAGAAGGACAGCAGGGTAGACAGGGAGAGAGCGAATAAGGGTATGTGCCGATGGGGAAGGGACGGGTTGCTGTTGGGAAGGGGAGGAGAGGGAAGTCGAGGAGAACCGCCGAGTCGAGGACGCGGCGCGCTCAGAGGATGACGCAGCCGCAGCACCCTGCGCTGCTCTCCTCCTCCTGCTTGAACTGTGCGGGTTGTGCTGCTGCTGCTCCAGGGCGACCCGCTGCCTGCTCCTGCACGTCGTGGGGAAGAGGTGCGCGAAGGCGAGGTCAGGAGGGAAACACGCGAGGCTGAGGTCGAACGAGCCGAGCGCACCTTGTTGTACTGCCGGATCTCGCGCACGAGGTTGAAGAAGGCCTCGTCGACGTTCAACCGCTGCTTGGCCGACGTCTCGATGAACCGGCACCCAAAGTGCTTGGCGAGGTCGCGCCCCTCGTGCGTCCCGACCTGCCGCTCGTACTCGAGGTCGGCCTTGTTGGCGACGACGATCACCGGGAAGTAGTCCTTGTCCTTGACGCCTGCACAGGAGGTGTCCGAGTCAGTGTCTCGTGCGTCGACGACGACGAACAGGTAGCGGCGAGGACGGACGCAGGATCTGCTGGTGGAAGGTGCCGATCTCGTCGAACGAGTTGCGCGACGTGATCGAGTAGACGAGGAGGAAGCCCTCGCCCGTCCGCATGTACTGCTCGCGCATGGCCCTGTAGGGGTGGAGCGCTTGTCAGTACGCTCGGTGCGCCTGATCGAGGGAATAGGGAGGGTGCGGACGCACGAGTACTCCTCCTGACCCGCCGTATCGAGCACGTCCAACAGCGCCACCTCCTCGTCGATCATGCACTGCTTGCGGTACGAGTCCCTGCAGGTGAGAGCGCGGTGTCAGCATTCCGTGGAAGAGGCTGCGAGCGGCGCGAGAGCCGTCTGGGCGAGGCGAGAGGGCGTACTCCTGCGAGTGGGACGGGAGACAGGGTCAGTATGTCGCTCCTCAGGTGCGCAAGCTGCTCGCTGGGCCCGCAAGCCCCGCCTGGCTATGCCCCCTCGCACTGGCGCCATCGACTCCTCGATCCTCCCTCGCCCCGCCTGTCGCCAGGCCGCTCCGCCATCCTCGGTCGCCGCACGGTCATCACTGACGAGCCATGGCGCTGCAGGCGGTCTCAAGGAAGGGCTAGAGGGAGGAGGACGACGAACAATGGTGGGGTCGTATCTGGAGGCGGGGGGAGGTGCGAGGACAGTGTCAGCTCGTGCGACGCAGGAGGACAGGGAGGTAGACGAGAGAGAGAGAGACGCACTCGTCGACAAAGTGGCTCTGGATGAACTGGATCGTGAGGGCACTCTTGCCCACACCGCCTCCGCCGACGACGACGAGCTTGTACTCGCGCAGGAACTGGGCCTGCGAGCGATGGGGCGGGCGAGTCAGTCTCGCGGTCGCGGTCTGCGTCTGCTGCGTGCGCCGCCTGCAGGCGATGAGGCGGTGCGGACCCTCATTCAGCGACCGGGCAGGTGCCCAGACGAGGAGGAGAGGCTCGCCGCAGGAGAGGAGGGGCCCAGGGGAAAGGGGGAGGCGCACCTTGGACATGACTGCTGTTGGCTGTGCTGCTGCTGAGGGTGCTGGCCGGTGATGAGGCGCGAGACGACGACGAGGGAGCCGTTCGTCGCCTCGTCCGGCGCGCCCGCCCGCGACGAGGACGAGAAGACGGGACCGGCCTCGTCGCCCGTTACCAACTTAACCTCTTCCGGCAAGTGCAGCGTCCACTCGTGCGGAACAATCGCCGCGCCAGCTGCCACTCGAGCGCCCCCTCCCTCCTCCTCCTCCTTCTTCCTCTCCTCGTCGTCCCTCCAAGATCGCTCGCTCTTCCGCGACTCGTGCTGCCGCTGCGGTTCCTGCTTCGCACTGTGCCCGGACTCGTCCGTCGCCCGACCGACGCGAGGCGGTCGACGTCGCTCACCTGCTGCGCTGCTCTCCTCGCGCCGTCAACGGCTGCGCAGCGGCCCCGACGTGCTCGCCGTCGGATTCAGGTGACCCTTGCGACGTGAGGTGCACTTGCTCTGCTCCACCTGCGCGTACGACGGACGAGCGATCGGCCAAAGCTGCTCGCCGAGGCGACCGTGCGGCTCGAGAAGGCGGATCTCGTGCCCGTCCTCCTTCTCAGCACCAGCTGCTGTGCGTCGTCTTTGCCAGCCTGCGCACAGTGCTCCCCATCTGGAGCTGTGCCGATGCTCGACGAGGCTCGGGGCGAGATCGGCACGCTGCAGCGCCGCTTCGTCCTCTTCCTCTCGTCGTTCTGGCTCGTGAACGGGACCGCGCTGTCTCCTCCTGGCCCTAGCGCTGTCGCAGTCAAACGCTTTGCAACACACGGCCATCGACGACAGCCCGTCGCACGTGCCCGAGCCGCCCTACTCGACGAGAGCGACGGTACGCCATGCGCGCTTTGACCTCGCCTTCCGACTCGACGAGCGGCTCTCCCGTCTCGTCGTCGCTCCGCCGCAGCCAACACGTCGCAGTGGAAGCGCGAGAGCTCGCGCGCAGCCGCCAAGGGCGCTCAGACCCGCAGCGAACGAGCTCCTCGTCAGAGCGTCCACCTCGTCCTCAGCTTCACTTGCCGCTCTCGTCTCGGGCCTTGCAGCAGGGGGCACGCTCGCAAGAGAGAAGAGAGCTGTCGAGCTCTCCTCGCTCGCTCAGCAACGAACGCGAGCGTCGACAGCGCAAGGGAACGGGGTCGAGCGCTCGTCTGCAGAGCTCGAGCGGCCGCCGCTGCGCCTGCTGAAGATCTGATCGAGGCGAGATGAGCGTGCCGCTGCCCTCTGGCGCGCAGCGGTGCAAGCGCAAAACTGCTCACCGACCCCAGCTGCACCGCCGCTGACGCGCATGTCGATCGACACTTGGCCAGCGCGCCGGCCAAACAACCCTCGCCTTTCTTTCTCCCACCAAACACTCACCGCTCAGCGCATCCACCCCGCACAAGCACTAAGTTACAGCAGCTATGTCGGCCCTCACCCAGAACGCCGTTCCCCAGCCCGCCGCCGCCCCGGTCGAGCACGCCGCCACCCCCGGCACCGTCCCGCCTCAGCAGGGCGTCGCCCCGGCCCGCGAGCCCCTCGCCACCACGACCAACGGCCCTGCTGCCACCCACGACGCCGACCCCAAGGTCGTCAAGCAGGCCGAGAAGGAGCACAAGAAGTGCGTCCCTCGCCCTCTTCTCTCTCTCTCTCTCTCTCTCGAACAACCCTCTCACACTCTCTCACTGTGTCGCAGGCTCGAGAAGACGCTCAAGAAGGAGGAGAAGCACGAGGAGAAGGAGCTCAAGCATGTCACCAAGGCGACGGCGAAGCAGGCCAAGGACGAGCAGAAGGCGGCAAAGGTGCGTCTCTCCCCTCCCTGCCCTCGACGACTCGAAGCACGAGCTGACTCTTCGATCGACTCGCAGGCCCAGGCCAAGGCGCGCAAGCAGGTCGACAAGTTGCAGCAGAAGGAGTGCGTCCCGGTTTCTGTCGTGCATCGGTCGAACGGGCACCGACTGACCTCTCCGCCTCTCCCGCGCGCAGGATCAAGTACGCCAAGGGCCTCACGCGCGCCCAGGAGAAGCACAACAAGGCGGTCGCCGCCCTCAACAAGGCCAAGCAGGACCTCGAGCTCCACACGCAGGAGCACAACCGCCTCGTCCAGGAGCGCCAGCCTCGTGTCAACCAGCTCGAGCAGGTCAAGGCCGAGAAGGCGCAGCACGACGTGCGTCCCACCTTTCTCTTGTCACTGTCATCCATGCGCACGCAGCTTGGGGGAGAGCGTCGACCGCGTGCGCTCGAGAGGACCAGACCTGACCCTTCTCCGTCACGCACAGGCCGCTCGCCAGGCTCGCCTCTCTGCCGACGAGGCCCGCATCCCCGGCCACTGAGCGCACCGCCCATGCGCCGTCTCGGCGGCATCCCTCGTTGCCTCTCGCATACCTCGTCTCGCGATCGCCCGCCAACTACCCTTAGCCTCCTCGCCGCCTCGCTAATCTTTTTCTGCGTCGCGCGCCTACCTCCATCTTTGTGTCGAACAGCCAATGTATCCGTTTGCGAGTCGTCTCTGTGCTTCTGTAGAGAGTGCAAGCTCGCCGCGCTCCGAAAGAGATGAGACAAGCAGCCGTCGCCCAAGTTGGCTCAGGACACCTCGCTCCTCGCAACTCGACACCTCGCTCCTCACCCACCCGCTCAGCTTGGCCACCCGCCCGCCTGTACAACAAGGCCCCTTCAGCTGGCCTGAGGAGCAGCTGCTGCCGCCGCCGCCGCCCCCACCGCCCACGCACCCCCGCACCTCCTCGACCCGCCTCCTCGTCCGCCGACTCGCAGCTCGCAGCTCACGCCTCAAGGTCCTCGTCCAGCCATGGCGTCCTACTTCAACAAGACGTGCCCGGCCGAGAACGCGGCAGCAATAGATCAGGCGTCGTTCTTCGACGGGAGGTGGTGCGTCCCTCGCCTCTCTTCATCTCGCCTCGCAGCTGCGCAGCACCGTGCCGAGCCGCCGTGTGCAGCCGGGCCAGTCCCTGAGCTGACACCTCCTCGTCGCCTGCAGGGATGCGCACGAGATCGGCTGGATCATCGCCGGCGTCACGACCATCGTCTCGACCTTGATCACGCTCGTCAGCGTCTGGCTCCACGGGCGCAACTACTACAAGCCTAAGGAGCAGCGTCAAGTCCTGCGCATCCTCTTGATGCCCGCCGTCTATGCGAGTGCGTCGACTCGTCCCCTTTCCACCTTTCCTCCCCGTCTCGAGCAAGGCTCTGACCTCTCTGCCTCGCGCAGTCGTATCCTTCTTCTCGTACCGCTACTTTCGCGCGTACACCTATTACAGCGTCTCGGTGGTCGCCTACGAGTCGCTCGTCGTGCGTCGTCGTCCTCTCCCTCGTGCCTCTCTACAGGAGCGTGTCTGACGCTCCCTCCCGACGCAGCTCGCCGCCTTCCTCATGCTGCTTCTCCAGTACATCGGCGAGTCGAACGAGGAGCAGCGCAGGGTGCTCAAGGACAAGGAGAAGCGCAAGATCCCGTTCCCGTTCTGCTGCATTCGGTTCCGGCCCTCCAAGCCCTGTGCGTCGCCTGTTCACCTCTCCCCTTTCTCCCCGCCGACGGCTCCTGACTTGTTCTCACCCTGCCACAGACTTTATCCACGGCCTCAAGTGGTCGGTTCTTCAGTGTGCGTCGTCCTCGTCCACGTCGTCCGCACGTTTTCGCGCGCTCACCCTTCCTCGCTCGCGCAGACTCGCTCCTTCGCCCGCTCATCTCTATCATCGAGATTATCTGCCAGGCCTACGACGTCCTGTGCCCGACCCAGTACTCGGTCTACTTCGCCGGTGCGTCGCGTCGACTTGACCTCTCTTTGCCAGGCGCGCACTGACCCCTCGATCTCCTCGTCGCGCAGAGGCCTACTTGGACGCCGTCGATTTCGTGTCTATCTCGGTCGCGTTGTACGGCTTGATCGTCTTCTACGCCCTAGTCAAGGAGCGGCTCGCCGGCAGGAAGCCGCTGGCCAAGTTCTTGTGCGTCGACCTCTTCCTCTCTTCGCCCGCCGTCCTCTCTCGTCCAAGACCCTCTCTGACAGTACCGGTCTCGCAGGTCGATCAAGATTGTCGTCATGCTCCTCTTCTACCAGTGCGTCCTCGTCCTCTTCTCGTTCCCTCGTCCGCGAGCCTGTCCTCGACCTTCTCGGGTTCCCTCGTCCGCCAAACTGCCCTTGCTCACACACTCTCTCCCTGCAGGAGCTTCATCTTCTCGGTCCTCCAGTCGCATGGCGTGATCAAGGCGACCGAGGTGCGCTGCCACTCGCCCACCATTCGTACAAGCCCTCGTCCTGACTCTCTCCTCTCCTTCGCCTCGCGCGCAGTTCTGGACGGCGACCAACGTCGCAGACGGCCTCTCTGCGCTTTGCGTCTGCTGCGAGGTGCGTCGTCGTCGATATCTCTGTCTACCTCGTTCGCCCCTGAACCTCGCTCTGCTGCCCGCAGATGGTCATCATGAGCGGCGTCTTCGCGTGGGCGTTCAGCCACAAGGAGTACCGCCACCTTCGGCCCGACGGCGCAGGGCACACGTCGGTCTTCTGGTCCGTCCTCGACTCGCTCAACTACAGCGACTTCCTTCGCGAGGGCTGGCGCGGCCTCAAGTTCCTGTGGGACTTTGTCCGGCGCAAGCCGGGCACGCACGCCGGCAAGCGCTCCCGCAAGCTCCTCGCCGAGAAGGGTTTTGCGTCGGAGCAGCCGCACGTCGCCGCGCCCGACTACGGCCTCGACTTTGACGCCGCCTTCCGAGGCCTCGACTCGAGCGACGGCTCGCCCGACCTCACCGATCTCGGCCACGACGGCACGTTCGACCCGTACGAGGCGCACCCGTACGCTGTATCTGGGCATGGGCACGGTACCGCCGAGCGTCGTCGCTCGATGTCGGGCGAGTACGACGACGACGCGCACGTCGGGCAGGGAGGAGCGGGCTATGCGCCGACGGCGGGAGGAGCGCGGCTGAGCGTGGACCATCAGGCGATCGAGATGGGCGCAATGTACCCGCCGGCGAGGCGCGAGTGACCGCCGCACGCCGGCGAGGAGGGTCCGAGCGAGCGAAGCCGGCGTCGCGAGGTGGGCTTTCGCCTCTTCTCTCTCTCTTCCTCTCCGAGACAGACATTTGTAGCCCGCTCTAGATCATGCATGTGTATCTCAGGAGCCTTTCTCATCGTTCGAGCTATCCCGTCGTCGTCGCCTGCGAGCTGAAGCGCCTCGTCCCATGGTTCGAGCCCGACAGTGCGAGGCTCGAGCGAGGTGCACTTTCTCTCCGAGGGAGCGGGCGATGCCTCACGACGAGGGACTCGAAGGTGGACTCGAAGGTGATATCGCGCGAGAATCTGGCAAGGTCCCCCCTCGTTCGCGTCCGAGCCAAATGCGAGAGGATAGTAGCTCGCGCTTGACTTGGTTTGTATTGAAATTGGTTCGAACCCAGCTCCAGTCGAGAAAAAGTCCGAAAAGTCTCAAAAAATAATAGTTAATGTCACCAAAATCGGACCCCATCTCCACGCCGGCCGGGCACCAGCCGGCCGCAGGCTGGCACCGACCAACTCTCGCACTGTCCGGTTCTGCGAGTCTGCAGCTCGACGAGGATCGGGTGCGACGTCGTCGAGGGCGACCGACAAGCTTCGGGTCTACTCTCGAACTCTCGCCGCCGGAAGCGCGACAAGTCCGCGAAAGAAAAGCGAAAAGCAGGGTCGGGAGCAAGTCGAGGAGGAGGACAAGGTTTGCGCAGCCGGCGGGTGTCGGCGCACTTTCTCTCGCTCGTGGGACACTCAGAGAGACCCGAAGAGAGAGCCCGGGAGCAGAGGAGCCGACAGGAAGAGCGGCACTCGATTCGCTCCTCGACCAACTTGAGAAGGAGGGCGAGGCCCACAACTCGCGCTCTACAAGATGAAAGGGCTCGGGAGAAGCGCTCGACCGCATCGTAGAGACGTCCTCGTCCGATCCTGCGCAAGCAGAACGCTGTAACCCTGCTAGATCAAGAGCTAGCGTTTGAAAGAGGGTGCGCAGGATCCCCCTGTCTTTAGCAGGTGGCCGGGCGTACGGGCGCTCCGCAGGGGTGCGCGCCGTACGAGCGGCTCACCAGAGTGCGCCCGCTGCCCTCAGGGGGGCACGAGAGGGCGGGCGCGGCCTCGTCAGGACCCGTTCGCGACGGCTCGACTCGCTGAGCCGCCGGGACGAGTGCGACGACGAACAAGAGCTCTGAGCGGTCTGGCTACGCTCGCTAGGGACGACGAGAGCTTTCGGAGAGTGAAAGGCGCCGTCGCGCGGCGCAGCAAGGGCGCGAGGGGAAGCTTTCGGGGCCGAGAAGGGGGAGGTGCCATCGAGGGCGCGACTAACCTGCGGCGCGACGTCAAGAGGGTCAGTGCGCCGCTCGACAAAGATTCTAGCCCTTTGAGACGGTACTGGACGCAAGGAGAGGCGTGAGAGGGACGTACAAGGATGTGAATGAGCCGATTCGAGAGCGAGAAAGGGCCGCATGCGGCGACAACCTCTGCCCGCTGACCCTGCGCCACCGCTCGACCTGCGCAAGGGGCTGAGTCAGTCTCAGAACATGCCTTGAACGCGTCGCGAAGTGGCGGCGAGGCGAGAGAAGGGGGAGAGGGGGGCCAAACAGAGGGAGTGGGGAGGGACGAGGACGCACCTGCACTCCATCGCTTGCAGAGCCCACCCGCCCTGTGCAATGCGCTCCTTGCACCTGCACAACCCTTCTACAGCCACTCCCACAGGTCCACGAGTCGTCGTCGCCAGTCGAGAGGGGTCGGACGACGCGGTTTGCTGATGAGGACGCGGCGCGCTCTGCGCCGTCGGCAAGCGCTCGCGGCGGTGCGGATGCAGCTCGTAGTGGGTGCTGAGGTGTGCAAGTACTCGTGCGCGGCGTGTACCGCTGGCCCAGCCATGAGGGTCCGAGTGGGAGGAGCGAGGCGAGTGGGGGCAGTGCGACCGCGAGCCTCTCGCTTGCTTTCAGCTGCCCGAGATCAGCTTTGCGCTCGACGCCGCCGGCGGACAGACGGCCTCCCGCCTTGACTGCCACCCGTCTCGCGATAGCTGTCAGGGCCTCGCAAGAAGAGGCTCTCGAACGCCGCTCGAGCGCTCTCGCGCCCTCGCTACATCTCTCGATGGTCGGGAGAAGCTAAAAGTTTGGCTTGTACCAGTACAGAGAAAGCTCCTCAAGCTCGAGACGATGCGGGAGAGCCTGCCCGCCGCCTCCTCCGAGTCGTCCCCCCTCGACACCTTGCTCACGCCGCCGGGTCCTCCTCCTTCCTCGCCGCCGTCGCCGCAGCCAGCTCGGCGTCGTTCTTGGCGTAGCTCTTGTTGAAGAGGTCGTTCTGGATCCAGACGAGCTTGTTGAAGGCGGTGATGACGGCCGTCTTGGTCGCAAGGTCGGCCGTCTCGTCCGGCAGGCTCAGGACAGCCTTGACGACGACATCAACGACCCAGCCGAGCAGCAGAGCCACTGCAAGAGGACATCGACGAGTCAGGACGAGGTGGGGAGGAAAGGGAGGTGCGAGAAGACGTACTTGGCTGCAGGTCGACGACGAGCGGGTCCTTCTTGGCTCGGTGCTTGAAGCCGGCGAGGCCCGTGTGCATCATGGCGACCTGGCGAAGAGGACCCGATCGTCAGAAATGAACCTTTACGCAGGTCGAGAGCGGAAGAAGCGGGCGCACCTTGTCGAAGTAGGCCCACGTCGCGAGCGACTCGAAGTCGGACGTGAACATCTTGCCGACGTAGACCGACAGAATCTTCTTGCGGTGACTGCGAGGGCGGACAACAAGTCAGACGTCTGTACGAGAGGAGAACGAGGCAAGGGACGCACGAGATCTGCGGGTCGTCGTGGTTGAGCTGCGAGAGGTCGACGGCGTGCGCCTCGCCGGCGTAGTCGGCGTTCTTCTTGAGGAACGGCAGCGAGGTGTAGTCGAACTGCACGTCGAAAGTCGTCAGTGGGGGGTGCCTCGAGACGGGTAGTGTCCGACGCGATGCGCCAGGACGAGGGAAAGAAGGAGAGCGTCGAGGCGGCTGAGACGCACCCGGAACAGCTGCGTGTAGACACCGTCGACCGTCGGCTTGATCAAGGGAGCGATGAGAGGCGCGACCGAGTTGAGGACCTTGCCGTCGTCCTCGGTAAAGCGGAGGAAGTCGCGAGCAAAGGCGACCCGGTGCTCGAGGTCGTCGCGAATGAGGTCGCGGTCGTAGTGCTTGAACTGTGGAGGGGGACGGCGTGTGTCAGTGCTGTACGAGAGGGCACAGACATCCGGGAGACGCACCTGAGGCTCAGGAAGGGTCGAGGGGTCGCGCATCTTGACGAGGAGGAGAGTTGGTGGAGGAGGAGAAGGAGCGGACGCAGCGAGCAAGAGCAGTCGAGCAGAGACGGTCCTCGGCCTTTGAGCAGCTGCCCGCAGCCAGCTCGGGGCCACTCGGCGCCGCGACCATTCGCCAGGAAAGGAGGAGAGAAAGCTCTCGAGCTCCGCCGCGGACATATCGGCAGGGCGAGCTGAGGAGGGAAGCGGGGTCGGCGGAAGCTTAGAGCCGCCGCCGTGCAGCTGCTGGCCGCACCGGACGGCAGTCCGACACCCGCGCTTGCGGTAAGAGGCCGAGCCACACGAGGAGAAGAAGGTCGAGCACGCCTGCACGCCCCTCGCGGATCTCTCGCGCGCGCTCTCGCAGGTCGAGCTGTACAGGCTAGTTGCATTGCGAGGACGCAGAAGAGGGGGTATGTTCAGGTTGCGAGGGAGGAGAGAAAGAGGGGGAGCTTAGGCTCGCTCAGGCCTTGACGACGGCCGAGCGCTGCGCAGGAGGCGACGACGGCGGCGGGTACGAGCAGAAGGCGTCCGAGATGTACGACACGCTCCATGTGCCCTCCTGCGCCGTGAAGATCGAGTACTCGTGCTCCTTGATGCCGCTGCGGGCGCGAGAACCGGAAGGATTTGAGGTCAGGGCGCGACCTCGAGAGGGGGGACGAGAGGGACGAAAGGTGGGACGCACGTGACGGTGTGCTGCTCGAGGACGGTACGGTCCTTGCTGCGGTCTTGAGGTGCCCGGCGAGCGTACGTAAAGGCGAAAGGCGGCGTGCCGGAGAAGCTGAACTTGATCTCGGTCTGCTCGCCCTCGCGAATGTCGACGACGTACGAGTCGCCGGTCTGCACGCGAGCGGACGGGATCGGGTGGACGTGCTTGACGCTGCAGGAGAGGGAGGATTAGGGAGAGGTCAGGCGAGCGCGAGGAGAGGACGAGAAAGGGGCAGGGCGGGACGCACAGGTCGACCGAGTTCGAGCGGCACTGGTCCTCTCCGTGCCCGACCGACAGAATCTTGAACGTGCCCGGAGCCGCAGCGAGGCGCTGGAAGGTGCCGCTCGAGTGCGCGACGGCGTGCTGCTTGCCCTCGAACTCGTACTTGACGGTGAACGGCGGCGAGCCCTGGACGATGAACTCGAGCGCATCGCCGACGCAGTGGTCGACCTGGGACGAGACAGGCGTGATAGTGGCGATCTCGGCGACCGGGATCGAGACCGACGACTTGAGCGAGCCGGCGCCGACGACGGACGAGGACGAGGTCGACGGGTCGACGAGCGTCTCGCAGCCGTGCGCGTCCTTGACGCGCCGCAGGAGGATGCTGTGCGGCGTGGCCGTGCTGAGGCCGTACGGGAGCGAGACGGGCCACTCGTGGCCCTGGATCGCCGGGACCGTGAACCGCTTGGACGCCCGGTGCCCGTCCTCGCGCACCTCGAGCTCGACCTCGAACGGCGCCTGGCCCTCGAGCCGCAAGACGAGGTCGTCATGACCTCGCGACGCGAGCTTGTCGTGAACGCAGAAGCCGTGCTTGGCGCCGTGAGCGAACCCGGCGGTAGGGAGGGCCCAAACGTCCTGCTCGATGCGGACGACGCCGTCCTTGCCGCCGGCGGGCGCCTCGAGACCCGCAGCGTCGGGCGACGTGTAGAGCGAGTCGCCGACGCCGGTGAACGTGTAGGTGTGGCGGCCCGGCGAGGCGGTGAACAAGGTGAGGTCGGCGCGCGACTGGATGGCCTGGAGGTGGTGCGAGCGCGTGTCGCCGTGGTGCGAGCCCTTCTGGAGCGTGTACGACGCCTTGAACGGCGCCTTGCCTGCGCGCAGAGTGACGGCTCGATCAGTTTCTGCCGCCAAAGAGGAACGCCGAGGAGGGGACGAGGAGAAGACGAGGACGCACCCTCGAACAGGACCGGGACCGAGTCGACCGCGTTGGCGCACACGCCCCTCCTCACGACGCTCCCGCCCCTCGCGACCTTGCCCGCACGCTCGTCGAGCCGCAGCGTCGGCCTCGGCAGCGTCTTGACCGTCCACTCGGTCTCGGCGACGTCACCCGGGCAGAACTGGTCGCGCACGCCGACGAGGCGGTACGTGCCCGCACGAGGACGGCGGATGGCGATCTCGCCGTTGGCGTCCTTGGTGCTGAAAGTCGACGGCGAGGGAAGCTTGCCGTCGCGAGCGGCCGGGCTCTGGTACGTGATGGTCCAGGGCTGCGGACGAGGAGGGAGGAGTGTCAGTGCCGCTCTCGAGAGCAGGACGAGGCACTGAGAGAAAGAGAAGAGCGGGACGTACCCCCTCGCCGGTGAGCCGGAGCGGGATCCGGGCCGTGTCGTCGTCGCGCAAGGTGATGGTGCGGACGCCCTCGGCGCCGTGGAAGCGGGCCGTCGGCTTGGTGCGGCGCACCTCGACATTGAGGTCGCTGCCTGTGAGCGGGCGCTTGCAGCCATGAGCGTCGCGGACGCTCTCTGCAGGGTAGGCGAAGGAGGAGGAGGACGCGTCGGTCAGTCCGTGGCGAGGAGAATAGGATGGGCTCGAGGGAAAAGGGACGCACCGAGCGAGAGCGCAAACTGGCCGCCTTGCTGAGCGATGTGGCTCGGGATGTCGACCTCGAGCGTGTACGGCGACTTGGTGATGCCCTGGATCGCCTGCGCCGACTGGCCGACGACCGAGTACTCGATGTCCCACGGCGCCGTGCCCTGCAGGAGAGGAGAGAAGCAGCGTCAGTCACTGCGAGGAAGGAAGGAGAGAGCGACGAGCGAGGGAGAGAAAGCTCGAGACGGACCTGCAACTCGATCTCGACCTGGACCGTCTCGCCCTCGCAGCTGTGCACCGTCTTGCCCTCCTTGACGTTCCTCCACTTGGCGTCGCCGACCTCGGCGACCTCCTGGCGGTACACGTGCGCGCCGCTGCCGCCCTCGGGCAAGTCGACGACGCCCTGGTAGAACCGGTCGTCGACGCGCGTGAAGCGGTACTCCCACCGCCCGGGGCCGGGCGCCTCGAGGCGCACCTCGTCACGCGAGTGCTGCACGCGGCGCTGCTTGCGCGTCGTGCGCACGGCGCGAGAGCCCGACGAGTCGAGCTGCGAGACGGCGTAGTGGACGACGAACGGCGGCGCGCCCGTCAGGTGGAGCGAGGCGACGGCGCCCGTCTCGGCGTTGCAGACGTCGTGGATCGGCGTGAACGTAGTCGAGAGGGTCGGACGAGGCTGAACGACGAGCGTGCACTGCGGCGAGAAGGCGCAAAAGGTCAGGATCGTTCTGCTCGAGTACGAGGGAAGGGAAGGCGGGGCGGTGGGACGCACAGTATTGGGCACGAGGACAGCGCCGCTGCAGTGCTTGCTCTTGACGCCAACGACCTCGTACGTGCCGGCCTGGTCGACCTCGATCTCGGCCCTCGCCGTCGTCGTCTTGACGAGCCTCGTCCAGCCCTTGACGCCCGTCGTCGCCGCCGGCGAGAAGCGCACGTGGACGTCGAACGCGCCCTCGCCCGCCCGCAGGTCGTCGTCGACGCCCTGGAGCCGCAGCTGGAGCTTCTTGCGGCCGCCCTCGAGCAGGTGCACGTCGTCGCCCTTGGCGCACTCGCCGACGAACGCGACCTCGGGCGGCCGGTGGACGACGACCGAGCGACTCGCGACCGTGCCCGGGAGGAGGTGTGGCACGGCCTTGTCCTTGACGCCGCTCACGAGTTTGTCCTTGGTCGTGCCGTCGGGCGACGACGACGACGACGAGCGCGCGAGGTCGTACGTCACCTCGTTGCCGTACGCGTCGACGACGGCGTCGAGGTAGTACGTCGTGCGGCCCGCCTGGGCGAGCGACACGTTCATGGGCACGGGCACAACGTCGTTGTCGCCGTCGCCGTCGCCGCCGCCGCCGACGATGCCGTCGAGCGTCTCGTCCTTGCGCGTGCCGCGCTGCGGGTCGCCGACTCGGGCATGCCACCGGACCGAGAGGGGCTCGGCCCCGCTGACGGCGAGGCCGAGGGGCCAGCTCTCGGGCAGGCCCGCGTTAGGCACGAGGCAGCGGTGCTCCTCGTCGACCGCCGAGCGGCTCGCGCCGGCGCCGAGGTCGAACCCGGCCGACGGGCAGCGCACGATGCGCACCTCCTCGAACGCGAGCGCGACGGCGCCTGGGTCCGCCAAGCCGGCCGTGGCGGCGCTCGCGGCCGTGACGGCGCGCTTGCGGCGGATGCGCACGCTGTGGCCGTCCTTGTCGACGACCGAGTCGAGGCGGACGAGGCCGAGGCTCGAGACGGGCAGGTAGTACAGCGACTCGGACGGCGCGAGGCCGAACGGGTCGCTCGCGTCGGGTGCGGCTGCGGCTGCGGGCCCGTCGGACGGGAGGCGGTGGCGCAGGGCGTGCTGCCCTGCTGGGCCCTTGGCGCTCGCGCCGTGCGCGTTGGACGACGACGAGGCGGGGACGAGGGCCCACTCGGAGGCGAGGGCGAGCTCGTCGTCGAGGTTGTTGTGGGTCGACGAGGACGAGGACGAGGAAGGGTCGCCGCGGTTGCGGTGGTGCGACGGGTGGGCGTGGCGGACGAGGGACGAGGCTGGGACGGTGACCTGGTGGGACGAGGGTGGGTCGTCGAACGAGGTGAGGGTGTAGGTGACCTTTGCCGGGACCGTGTTGTTGAACACGAGCGGGATCAGGGTCGGGTCGGCCTTGTGGTGGCCGCCGGGGAGGAGCGAGCGCGACGCCGAGTGGGGCGAGGCGTGTCGGCAGTAGATGGTCGAGAGCGGGTTGAGCATGGCGGTCGACACGGCGAGGATGCGGACGGTGAACTGGCCGCCGAGGTGGCTCTTGTCCGAACCGACGACGGACGCGGGGCGGACCTTGCGCTCATCGGTCGACAGGGCCCGGGTGACGAAGCTCTTGACGGCGACGGGCAACAGGTACGAGGCGGAGAACTGTGTGCGCGGGAACGAGGTCAGGTCGACGAGGGGGACGAGTGTCGAGGAGGGAAGGGGCAAGGACGCACCGTCCAGCGGCCAAAGAGGAGCCAGTCCGAGGCCCAGAGGGTGAGCCTGATGGCCCACCTGGCCTTCCAGCCCCAGTCGAGGCGCGGGACGCGGAGGAACGAGACGAGGGCGACGGTGCCGGCGTCTGCGACGAGCCACTTGACGAGCTGGAGGTTGAGGGGGTCGTCGGCGGTGGGGGACGGTGTTGCGGGTACAGGTTGGGGCCACAGTGCGTCTGCGAGCTTGTAGGCCTGCACGAGGACGAACAAGGAGGCGAGGGCGAGGCGGAGGGTTGGCGGGTCGACGATGTGGTCGGGGATGCGCGAGGCGAGGGGTTGCCGCGGTGGGCTCGGTGGTCGGGGTTGTGCCATGCACTGTGCGCTGCTGCACTGCTCCAAGCGTGACGAGGCACGAGCTGGTTCGACGTCAACGAGGTGAGCTCTCTCTCGCTCGCTCGCTCGTCTCGTCCTCATCTCGCTCGCCGTCCAGCCCACGATGAGCACGACCAAGCTCGTCCCTGAACAGGTCCTCCTCCTCGAGCAAGCCACGCTCAAGGTGCGCCCCCCCTTGTCGCTCCTCGCGCACCCACCCGCTCACCCCCACTCGGCCCTCGTCCGCCATCTCTCTGCACCCAGGCGCCCCTCGAGGCCCTCCGCAAGGTCCACAAGCAGACCCAGAAGACGTACGAGTACAACCTCCAGCCCGCGTCCACCTTTGCCGCCGACCTCGCCTCGCTCCTCTCGACCACGGCCCTCCACGCCCACGACCCAAACCTGTCCGACCACGACCGCGCCGACATGCTCGCCCGCGTCGACGCCATGATGGCCCGCATGCGCAACCTCAAGCGCAAGCTCGCCGACCTCGCCACCGACAGCGACCGCGCACTGCGCGTCGCTCAGGCCCGCGTCGACCACCTCGCGAGCCTCCCCGGCTCGATCCAGTCGCCCGAGTACCCGCCCTGGGCCCGTCGTCGCCTCAGCCATCAGCTCGTCGACTACTTCCTGCGCCACAACCCGCCCCTCAAGGACACGGCCCGCCTCCTCGCCAACCACGAGGGCATCGACGACCTCGTTGACGACGACCTGTGGGACAACATGGCAAAGGTCGAGCGCGGCCTCGACCACCACCGCCTCGACGACGTCCTCGCCTGGGTCGGCGAGAACCGCACCGCCCTCAAGAAGCTCAAGGTGCGCCCTCCCCCTCTTTTGCCTCCTCTGCCCCTCAGCGACTGACCCTCGGTCCCACACACAGTCGCCGCTCGAGTTCCGCATCCACCTCCAGGCCTACATCGAGCTGTGCCGTAGCCGTGACCTCGTCAAGGCCATCGCTTACGCCCGCAAGCACCTGTCGCACGCCGCTGCCGCCGACCTCGAATCGCCCGCCGCCAACGGCGACACGGCTGCAGACGGCGCCGCAGCGGGACCAGGAGGCGCGAGTGGGACCGAGGGAGGGGCAGGAGCGGTCTCGTCGTACATGGGCGAGCTGCAGCAGGTGCTCGCGCTCCTCGCGTACGGGCCCGACACGACGTGCAGGCCTTACCAGGTCCGCTCGCCTCTCTCTCTCTCGGGGCGCATCTCGACAACGACCCAAACTGATGTCTCGTTCGTCTACAGGAGCTGTACGCCCCGTCGCGGTGGTCCTCCCTGCGCTCCCTGTTCCGCACGACCTTCCTCTCGCTCCACTCGCTCCCTTCGATCCCGCTCCTCCACATGTCGCTCCAGGCCGGCATCGCCTCGCTCAAGACACCCATCTGCGTTCCGCTCCCGGCCGGGACCCCGACCGCCCCGCCGTCGGCGTACCCGGTCGGCGCGAGGCCCTTGCGCACCATGATCACGCCCCAGGGCGAGATCGTCCTCGAGGCGCCGACGCCCGTTCCTGCGGCGCGCATCTCGCTCATCCCATCGACGTCGACGTCGCCGTCGCCCGCACCGGTACCGGCACCGCCCGGCGCGCCCGTCCCCGTCCACACGCTCGAGGGCACGCCCTCGGCCCAGTGCCCGCTGTGCTCGTCGGCGCTGCGCGCGCTCGGCAACGAGGTGCCGTACTCGCACCACGTCAACTCGACCATCGTGTGCCCCTTGACCGGGCGCGTCGTCGAGGGCGACGGCGGGGAGGGCGGCCAGCTCGTCGCGCTCGTGAGCCGGGTTCGAGGCGAGGGCAGGGTCTACTCGAAAGAGGTGCGGCGCCGTGGCTCTCCTTTTCTCTCTCTCTCTTGGTGTGAGACGTTGAGGTCGTCGGTCAGAACGGCCTGCTGACTCTGCCTGGCCCAAACGCAGGGACTCGTCCTTCGAGCGTCACAGCACCCCGAGGGCAAGCTCGTCGAGCCCGTCACGGGCGAGGTCTTTGAATGGGACGACCTCAAGAAGGTGCGCAGCACGTCTCTCTGTCTCTCTCTCGCTCTGGCGAGGCCGCCGTGCCGACCGAGCCGAACCTGACCTTTCCTCGTGCTCCCGCAGGTCTACATCTCGTGACTCTCACCGCCTCTCTTCCCCTGCACCCTGTCCTCGCCGGTCACCTTTCTCTCTCCGTATCCCTCCTGTTGTCCTTGTCGTCGAGCCTCGCCTGCAATACGTGTCTCTCTCGAGCTCTCACTTTCCGTCGCACGACTCGCCGAGAGGAAAGAAAACAGCAGATGAGTCGACAGCCACCCTCGCTTCTACAGCCCTCCTCCTCGTCATCGTCGTCGCTCACCCAGAGAGACGGGGCCCTTTTCACTTCTCGTACGCCTTGAGGACGGCCTCGAGGTCGAAGCCGGGTGCGTCCGGGTCGGTGATGACTGCGTGCGCGCGAGAGGGGATGATGTCGGCGTACAGCCCTCGGGTGCACACACGAGAGAGAGAGAGAGAGAGAGAGAGAGAGAGAGGGACGCACGGCCCGAGTTGCCCTTCTGCCTGTTGGCCCACGCCTTCTTGGCCTCCTGCAGCCAGTGCTCGCGCAGCTGGACCTCCTTGCGCGCCGCGTCGTGGTCAAACTTGTCCTGGAGCGTCTTGCGGTGCACGACGCCGTAGACGATGCCCGATGCGAGCGCTGTGTACCGGAGGACCTGCGAGGCCGGAAGGACGTCGAGAGAGGGAGGCGAGGAGGCAAGGGGGGAACATGGCGAGGGGAGCGAGGAGGAGTGCAGGATGGGAGAAAGAGTGTCAGTGCGTGTGCCCGTGCGACTGGCCGACGCGCTGCTGCTCCTTGAGCGAGGCCCAGTCTGGTGCTGGTCCTGCCTGCCGAGGCGCACGGCGACGGCACCTCGCGCGACCCTGAACGTGGTGACCGGCCTCGACGCAAACCGAGGACGAGCTCGCGCGCAACCGATGCCGCTGTGCACGGGTGCTGTGGCCGTGGTCGAGGGCGGAGTCGAGAGGGTGGGCGAGACGAGATGACGGGCAGGGACGCAGCCGCAACCGGGGGCGGTGGGGGTGCGAGGGGGACGCACGTTGACAGCGGGCGAGACCATGGCGAGAGAGACGGAGACTGGCGGGGTCGGGGTGAGGAGGAGACAGGACGAGGCGAGGCCCGCTCGTCTCCGCCCGCCGACGACGACGAGCTCGCGCGGGCGGACCAGGGCCTCTCCTCGCTCGTCCCACCTCGCACCAGAGCTACACTCGACTCGGCAGAACCACCTTCAGCACACCTCTCAAGCCACGCACCCCCTTGCGCCGACCCAGGTCTCGCCGCACCTCCCTCCCTCCTCCTCTCGGCTCCAGCTCCTCGCCTCCCACTCTCCCTCGAGCAGTACACCCAGCCCGACATGTCGGCCGACGGTAACCGCTCTCAGAAGACCATCCGCCTCGCTTCCCGCGGCAAAGGGTCCGTCCTCTCTCCCCCTCTCCTCGTCGTCGCCGACCCTCGCTCACCTCGAATCCTCTGTCCAGGTGCCACCTCGTCACCGACGAGATCGTAAAGGGCCTCGGCGACTCGCTCAAGAACACAAAGGTGCGCCCACGCTCGCCTCTCCTCTCGCAGGCACGCAGCGCACCTCGACTGACCACTCTCGCCCGGACCTCGTCGACCTCGTCCCTCCTTCTCTCCCTTGCGCCTTCCTCCTCTCGTCCTCGACGCTCCCCCCTCGAGCAGATCGGCATCCTCTTCCTGTTCCTCCAGCACACCTCGGCCGGCCTCTCGATCAACGAGAACTGCGATCCGGACGTGCGCACCGACATGGACCGCGTCCTCGACGAGATTGTGCCAGAAGACTTTGCCTGGGAGCACACCGACGAGGGCCCCGACGACTCGGTGAGCCACACCAAGAGCAGTATCATCGGCATCTCGCTCCAGATCCCAATCTCGGACGGCAGGCTCGCCCTCGGGACGTGGCAGGGTGCGTCTCTCTCTCCTCTCTTGAGAGCCCGCCTCGTCGCCTGACACGACTCGCACTCGCAGGCATCTACCTCACCGAGTTCCGCCACTTGCCGCACTCGCGCAAGGTCGTCGCCACCATCATCTAGGGCCCGAGCCTCTCACTTGTACATGCCCCTCTCCCTCGCTCTTGCGTCCTCCCTCTCTCTGTCCATAGATGCGCAATGTCTCTTTCGAGCCTCGACTGAGAGCGTTCGACCGCACGAGCGACAGCGAGAGCGAGAGCCGAGAGCCGAGGGCGCCTTGATTCTCCGGTCGTGCACGACCCTCTCCCCAGAGCTCTCTTTCGCTCTCTCGCGCTCTCTCTCTCGCTGAATGTCGCACGGTACCTTCTCTCTAGTGCTCGCGCGCAAGAAGGGAAGAAAATGACGCAAGCGCCGTGTTTTGCACAAAGAGAAACACGAGTGGGTCGAGAGCAAGCGGGCGCACAAGATGGGGGGACACATGGGGGAAAGGCTAAGGGTAAGGGGAGCGTTACGACAGAGAAGGAAGGGAGGCGAGGATGAGAGAAAGGGCGAGGGACACGAGAACCCGGCCGACGACGACGACGGCGACGAACGACCGCGACGAGCGACGAACTCAGAACGACGCGGCGAACATGCCCGTCGACTGCGGCGGCGACGCGCCGATCGGGCTCATCCAGTCGGGCGCAAAGTGGGCCTGCGCCTGGGCGTGCGCGTGCGCCGCCTGCTGCTGCTGGAGCGCGAGGAGGACCTGCGGGCTGAGGTACGCCGGCCCACCGAACGGCTGCTGCTGCTGCTGCTGCTGCTGCTGCTGCTGCGCCTGCTGCTGCTGCATGGCGTAGAACTGGCCGAGCAGGGCAGGGTTGCCCGTCGCGAGCGCGGCCGAGTAGGCGTGCGCCGCGTGCACCTGCGCCTGCGCTTGCGCCTGCGCCTGCGCGTGCTGCTGGTGCGCGAACGCCGAGGGCAGGCTCGTCGGCACCGGGTAGAACGACGGCGCCGACGTGACGGGCGACGGCGCGCTGCCGAGCGCGAGGGGCGCCTCGGCCGGCGAGCCACCGAGCTCCGATGACGACGAGGCCGCCGCGACGGGCGCCGTCGAGAAGAAGGCAGGGTACGCGACGGCCGACGCGAGCTCGGGCGACGTCACGTCGAACAGGGCCGACGCGGCAGAGCTCGGCGTCGCGCTCGCGATCGAGGCCGGGCTCGCCGACTGGTGGACGGCGGCGACGGCGCCGCCGAGGTACGACGACGACGAGCCCGCCGGCGACTCGTCGAGCGGGGTCGTCGGCTGCTGGACGGCGGTCGGCGCCGACGACGACGACGACGACGGCTCGGGCGGGACGGTCGACTCGTTGCGCAGGTTCTTGCGGAGCGTCGCCTGAGTCGCGGCGCGGTGCTCGGGGAGGCCGACAGGAGGCGGCAGAGGGGGCATGCCGAGGCGGATGCGGAGCTGGTCGACCTCGCAGCGCAGCTCGTTGTTCTCCTTGGTGAGCGCGTGCTCGCGAGCCGACGCGTCGTAGACGTAGTCGAGCGCCTTGCTGACGATGACGGCCTTGGACGGGCGCTTGATGTGCTTGGTCGTCGGGAGCGCCTTGGCGAGGTCGATGAAGCGCGTGTTGAGGCTCTCGCGACGCTTGCGCTCGACGGCGTTGTGGGTCGCACGCTTGTCGGCGTTCTGCGGGCCCTTGCGGTTGTTGTTGCGCTTCTTCTTGACGAACTGCGAGCCCGAGGCCGACGACGGCTCGAGCGACCCGTCGTGGTCGTCGCCGAAGAAGCCCGACTCGTCGAGGTCGTCGTCGCCGAGCGCAAACTCGTCGTCCTCGAACTTGAGCGGGTCGAACTGGTCCTCGAACTCGCCCGACTGGGGCGAGAAGCCGAACGGGAGGTCTTGTGCGGCGCCCATGGTGGTGGTGCGGGTGCCCAAGAAGGAGGGGAGGTGGTGGTGGAGCGGCGGCGGTGGTGGTGCGGCTGCATGGCGGGAGGGCGGGAGGAAGCGGGTCAGTACGTGCTTGCTCTGGTGCTGGTCGACGACGACGACGGTGCCGCCGACGACGACGCAGAGCCCCCGAAAGGGAGGATCGGCGACGAGGCCGGGCCCGGACCCCTCCGTGAGACAAAGGCCGGCGTACCTGAGCGAAGAGGAGGAGAGAGGGAGGGCGAGGACGCTTCGAGTCAACGAGGCGACGTCGTGCTAGTTGGCCTGGTGGTCGCGCGGATCTTGCAGCGGTGCAGGCGCAAGCTGGTAAGGCGGAGAGGGCGGGGAAGATGGCGGTGATAGCGGTCGCCGGGCGGGCTGGCTGCTGGTGGCGGAGGGGGAGGGGGGGTTCGCTGGGAAGCGGGCGGCGGCGGCGGCGGTAGGCGGGAAGGGGGTGGTCGGAGCGACAAGGTTCGCGAGCTGTTGCACACAGGCATCCTGGTCAGCTCACGCAGGGCGAGGCGAGGGCGCGAGGGACGATTCGAGAGGGGCGCGTGAGGAGATTGGCCACGGCGTCTCCCCCCTCCACCGCGTCGCCCGCGACGCCTCGAGGCGAGCCACTTGGCGGGTGCGCATGCGCTGGCGGATCTCTCACCAGAGCTCAGCGTGCGCCTGTCGACCGGGGGAGAGGGGAGGGGGGGGAGGAGAGAGCGAGGGGGAGCCGTCGACAAGCAAGAGCTGCCCTTCGGCAAAGGCGCGGGCGACAACTCTGTCTGGCGTCCCCCTGTTCTCTCTCTTTCCCCTTCGTACTGCGGCCGGCCGGGCTCCCTCTTTCGCGCTCGCAACTTGCGGGCACGCGACCACTCTTATCGCGGCGAGGCCGACCTTGCACTCCCTTCTCTCCCTCTCGCTCTTGCCGCTCTCGGGCCTCTTCCCTCGCCCTGGCCGCACTCTCTGCCTCTGGCTGCCCCCGCTCGCGCGCGAGAGCCCGTCGGCGTCGACGCTCACTCCTCTCAGCTGTCGCCGACGGCTTGCTCCTCGAGCCGCTCCCCGCCTGAATGGCGCGACCGGTCTCGTGCCCGGCTCTCGCTCGCCGGGTTCCGCCAGAACGCCTCCCGTCGAACGCCCTCGGTGACGAGCAGGTTGGCGTTCGGCCGGGCGCGAGGCTTGGCGGACATTGCATCACCGAGAGACGAGAGGAAGGCTCGCTGTCGAGGCCGGCGAGAGCGAAAGCAGGTGCGAGCGCACGCCAGCCGGTCGCGTGAGCTGCGCCCGGCAAGTCGCCTGCCCGCCAGCCGTAGAGTTGAGGAGCACTGTCGATCTGCGCTTGCGTCCGTCGAGCGTCGTCAGTCGCTGCCTAGGTGGCGCGCTTCGCGGCAAGAGGACGAGGAGGCTGAGCGGGGCTCAGGAGCAGCGGGTCGCCCGAGCCTCTCCTTGCGAGACCTTGCTGGCTCGTCCCCTCGCAAAAGCATGTCTGCCTGACGATGCGAGGCGCCGGCAAGAGCTCGCTGCCCGGGAACGAGGAGAGCGAGAGGCTCGTAGCCAGTTTGAGAAGGCGACGGAGCATAGACGCGCTCGCGCCGCAAGCACGAGAGCGACTCGACTCTGCCCTCGACGACAAGCTCGAGAGCGTGCACAAGCCTGGATCGAAGCAAAGGAAAGCGGGGCAACCCCGAGAGCAAGAACGAAGCGAGACTCGCTCGAGCGGACGACAAAGCCGCGACGAGGCGCTCTCTCGCCGTCGTAGGACGGAGCCCGACGCATTCGGTACTGCTCGGTCGTTGCATCTGGTCGTGAGGGCCCGCCGGACGCTACTTGGTCGCGACGAACTGCTTGAACTTGTCCTCGCTGCGCAGGTCCGACTCGACGAGACGCGGCGCGGACTCGAGCTGCGGGACTAGGGCCGTGTCAGCTTTGTTCGTCTGTTGCTCGAGGAGAGAGGACAGGCAGAGACGCACAGAGCTAGAGACAGAGTCGCCGCCCTGCTCGACGCGGATGATGGTCGGAATGCGGGTCACGTTGAACGGGGCCTGGCGGAACTTGGACTCCTTCCACCTGTGTGCTCGAGAGAGGTGGTTAGCTGCAGGTCACGGGGCCACGAGCCTGTGCCCGTCGAGCGCGAGCAGGCGATGGACGAGGGAGGAGGGGTGGAGCTCACTGAGCGCGGTCGCCAACGTGTACCAGCGTGCTGGACACCCCGGTAGGGATGAAGCGGTCGACCTGGGACTGGACGTCGGAGCAGTCTGGGCACCAGGGCTTGCCCGAGTCGTCGGGCGAGGCGAAGAAGATGAGGAAGTGTGGGGACGAGGGGGAGGCGGTCGAGGGGATCTGGGCGAGGATCGACTCGGGCGAGTACAGGTCGCCAGGCGGGAGGAGGACCATGGTGCTCGAGTGGACGACTGGCAGGACGAGGGCAGACCAGGCCAGGGGGCTGACACAACCAGATCGGGCGAGACGTCGGCGCGCCACGAGGGTCCTCCGCTCCTCGCCCTCGCCCTCGCGCCTCTCTGCTTCCCTCTTTACCGCCACAGAGTGCACCACACGATGCGCTCTGCCATCCTCGCCACCGCCGCCTTTGCGGCCACCGCCCTCGCCCTCCCCCAGCAACAACTCGCCTTCTCATCGCCGCAACCGGCCACCGTCGTCCGCGAGGCCCTCGTCAACCCGCTCCGCGATGCCTGGAAGCTCGTCAAGGACTCTGAGCCTGTCGGTTGGGCCGCACAGGGCGTCCGCAAGTTCAGCCGCGAAGTCGTCGCCGATGGAGTCGACTGTGCGTCACGGTCCCCTCCTTCCCTCTCCGCTCTCTCCCTCGCCCGCGCCCGGGTGGTGGGGCCGCGCACGACGCCCCTCCTCTCGACCGCCCTCGGGACTGACCCGCTCGCCTCGCCATGCAGTCGAGCTCGTCCAGCACGCCGAGATCCCGACCCACTCGCTGCGCGTGCGCGAGCCCAAGGCCCTGTGCGACACGTCGAGCAAGCAGTACTCGGGCTACCTCGACATTGCCGACGACGCCCACCTCTTCTACTGGTTCTTCGAGTCGCGCTCCAAGCACCCGGAGAAGGACCCGCTCGTCCTGTGGCTCAACGGCGGTGCGTCCTCGCCCATTCCTCCTCGCTCCTCCTGTACACGAACCTCTTTCCCTCTTGTGCCCCGACACTGACTCTCTCGGTCGCGTGCCTCTACGCAGGTCCCGGCTGCTCGTCCATGACCGGCCTCCTGTTCGAGCTGGGCCCGTGCCGCGTTGAGAACGGCGGCGCCAACACGTCGTTCAACCCGTACAGCTGGACCGAGTCGGCCAACGTCATCTTCCTCGACAGCCCCGTCCAGGTCGGCTACTCGTACGGCACCAAGGCCGTGGCCTCGTCGCAGGAGACGGCCGAGGACGTGTGGGCCTTCCTCAACCTGTTCCTCAAGAAGTTCCCCAAGTTCGAGAAGGTGCCCTTCCACCTCAGCGGCGAGTCGTACGCCGGCACCTACCTGCCCAACATCGCCTCGACGATCCACAAGCACAACCAGGCCAAGCCCATCTCGGGCGCCGTCCACATCCCGCTCGCGTCCGTCCTGATCGGCAACGGCCTCACCGATGCCTGTGCGTCCTCCTTCTCCTCCTCTTCTCGTCCCCTCGGCATCTTTGTCCTCGACGTCGCCGAGAGCGGCGTCTTGGCTTTCAGGGCCGCCGAGCTGACCTCGCACGGCCCGCTTCCCTCGCGCAGACACCCAGTTCGCCGAGATCCCCGAGTGGTCGTGCTCGACCGGGCCCAAGGGCAACCCGCTCGGCAAGCCCATCTTTGACGAGGCGTCGTGCCGCTCGATCGAGTCCAAGGTCGCGAGCTGCCAGCGCCTGACCGAGTACTGCTACAAGATGCCGTCCCGGTTCACCTGCGTGCCCGCCACCCTGTCGTGCTGGCAGATCGCCGGCCCGATCCAGCAGGCCAACCTCAACCCGTACGACATCCGCAAGCCGTGCGACCGCGACGGCGAGGACGGCCCGCTCTGCTACAAGGTGCGTCAGGACCCGTTCCCCTCTTTTCTCCCTCGAGCGCCCACTCACACTCTCTCCCGCCTCGTCAACAGCAAATGCAGTGGATCGAGACATTCATGAACCAGCCCGAGGTCCGCAAGGAGCTCGGCGCGTCGCCCGACGCCACCTTCGAGTCGTGCAACATGAAGATCAACCAGGCGTTCCAGCTCAACGGCGACGTGTCGCACAACACGGCCGCCCTCATCCCCGAGCTCCTCGACGCCGGCATCCGCTTCCTCATCTACGCCGGTGCGCCCAGCCTTCCTCTCCTCTCTCGCGAGCGAGGAGCTCCTGCCACATCCTCGCGCTCCCTCACTGACTCGTGGGTCCGCCCTTCCGCCACCCCCGCAGGCGAGATGGACTTTATGTGCAACGCCGTCGGCAACCGCGAGTGGACGCTCGCCATGGACTGGACCCACGCCGACAAGTACCGCAAGGCCAAGCTCGTCGACTTCAAGTCGGGCGGCAAGAAGGCGGGCATGACGCAGGCCTACACGGCCGACAAGGGCGCCGGCCTTCTTCGGTACCTCAAGGTCAAGGAAGCCGGACACATGGTGCCCTATGGTCCGTTCCGTTCCTCCTCCTCCCTGTCTGCCTCCCGCTCCTCCCGGCCTCGTCCCTCCTCCGCCGTCGCCGCTCTCTCTCTCTCCGTCCTTCTCTCTCCAATCTCTGGTCCTGGTCAAGGACGTCGACTGACACAGGCTCGTCCCACGCTTGCAGACCAGCCCAAGGTGTCGCTCGACTTCTTCTCGAGGTGGATCGCCAACGAGTCGTTCGAGTGAGCGCCTCGCTCGACTCGGCGCTTCTTCCCGCGCCTCTCGTGCTCTTCCGAGTCGTCTGAGGCGGGGCTGAAGATGCGGTTCGAGGAGTGTGGGCCGCTGTCGCGAGCGAGGAGGGCGAGGAGGAGGAGACGAGGAGGAAGGACGACGACGGACTCTCTTGGCACACTTTTTCGCGCGCTCTTCTCGTTCTGCAATCCCAGTCATGTAGCTACCTAGCCTTTGCCGCGACTGCTCCCACGAGAAACGCGAGCTGTCGCCGACGCTGCACCGCCTCCTTACCATCGCCGAGGACGCGGCTCTCGCTCTTCCCACGACCTCGACCAGCCCGCCCCGCACAGCAACACAGCAACCCGTTCACGTCGCACGCTGCAGGCATGGGCAAGCTCCTCGGCCGGCTGTGGGTCGGGGCCACGCTCGTCCTCATCTCGTTCATTGGCATCTCGTCGCAGCTCTTCGTCGTCCTCCCCTCGTACCGGTACGACTGGCGCGACCCGGACCTGTGGCGCCTTCTCGCACCCTTCAACGTCCTCCTCGCCTTCCTGTACCTCAACTACGCCCTCACAGTCGGCACGGATCCCGGGCGCGTCCCTCTCGGCTGGGTGCGTCTCTCTCTCTCGCTCCCCTCTCGTTCCCGACAGCTCGTTGTCGTGTCGCTGACCTTCCCCTTCACCCACGCGCAGGAGCCAGACTGGCGGCAGTTCGAGTCGGGCGAGGTCGAGGTCAAGAAGCAGACGGGCGGTCCTCGCTTCTGTCGAACCTGTCGAGGTGCGTCCCTCGCCCACTCTTTGGCCGCCTGAGTGTGTCCGAGCTGACACTGTCGCCGTACTGCAGCGTACAAGCCGCCACGAGCGCACCATTGCCGCCAGTGCCAGCGCTGCGTGCTCAAGATGGACCACCACTGTGCGTCCCCTTTTCTCTCTCCTGCCCAGGCCCTCTCGACGAGAACTGACCTCCCGTCTATGTTGGCAGGTCCCTGGGTCAACAACTGCGTCGGGCACGGCAACTACGGCCACTTCTGCCGCTTCCTCTTCTTCGTCGACGTCGCCTGCGCATACCACTTGTGGATGATCTCGACGCGCGCGTTCCACTCGCTTGCCTTCTCGGTCGACCCGTCGACGTTCCAGATCGTCATGCTCGTCCTCAACTATACTGCATGCGTGCCCGTCATCATCGCCGTCGGCGTCTTCTCGCTGTACCACCTGTGGAGCGTCTGCGTCAACACCACCACGATCGAGGGGTGGGAGAAGGACAAGGTGGCGACGCTCAGGCGACGAGGCAAGATCCGCGAGGTGCGCCCGACTATCTCTCGTCGACTCTCTGCGTCCTCGCCGGCCGGCCTGACCTCACTTCCTTCCCCCCCTCTCTCTCCCTCTCTTGCAGTACCGCTACCCTTACCACCTCGGCTACCTCGCCAACATCCGCTCGGTCCTTGGGCGCAACCCGCTCCTGTGGCTGTGGCCGCAGCGAGCCGTCGGCGACGGCTTGTCTTACCCGGTCGCTGTCGGAACCGGTGAGTCGCGCTTTCGTCCGCCTCTCTCTCTCTCAGATCGTTACAGACGGTCTAGCGCGGTCGATGAGTGACCGTAGAGGACGAGGGACAGCCCGCGAGGGCAGGCTTGCGCCGGCACGAGCGAGGGAACGTGCGCGAGCGCCGACGCTCTGACCTCCTCGGCAGCAGTCCCGACCGACTTGAACCCGCAGACTGACAACTCCCCCTCTCTCCCGCTCCCCCCTGTCACAGACCTCAAGGACCAACTCTCGTGGCCCCCTCGCGACCCCCTCCCGCGCCAGCACCGCCGCCGACCGCGCCCACCTCCACCCGGCGCCGAGTTCACCTACGGCTCGGGCCTCAACCCCGACCTCCTGCGCTCGCTCCCGTCAGCCCGAGGCGCCGACGTCGAGCACGAGCGCGAGGGCCTGCGCGCAAGGCGGCCGAGACGGGCACGTCGCGCGCCGTACGAGGCGGGAGCGGGCGGCGAGAGCGACGACGAGGAAGGGTCGCGCTCATCGGCCTCGTCCGCGACGGCGAGCGATGTGTACGACGCCGACGATGGAGCGCTACGGCCGCTCCCGATGCGGCCGCTCGAGCTCGAGCAGGACGAGGGCGAGGACGAGGACGACGTCCCGCTCGGCGCGCTCGCGTCGCAGCGGGTCCGGGTCGGGCTCGCCGCAGCAGGAGCGGCCGCGAAGGCCGAGGACCTCGCGCTCGACGAGCAGGACGAGGACGAGGACCTCGACCCGGAGCGGGCGGTGCGGATCCGGCGCGGGAGCGAGGGGTTCGAGGTGCGGCCGCGGATCGTCGCGCACAGCGACGACGGGTGGGAGCACGTGCCACGGCAGATCGAGCGGTATCGAGTGGACCAGGAGCAGCTGGAGCGGGACGGCGAGCGAGGAGAGGAGGAAGGGAGCGAGTGGGAGGTTGACGAGGAGGGGGACCGGCGGCGAGTCGGGCCGCGGTACCGGTACTACGTCCGCGAGGAGGACAGCGAGAGCGATTCGGACGCCTCTCTCAGCTCTTCGTAGCTCTCGCGCAATGATACGGCGACTCGCAGCTCTCACCGGCGCTGAGAGGACGGACGAGGAGAGTTGTACAGGGCGAGCTACAACGACGCTCAGTGCGGCGCCGTTCCTCGTGACGACAAGCTGAACTCGTGCGGCAGCTCGACGGCGTCGCCCGGGTCGCCATCGTCGCCGAGGTCAAAGAGCGCGGCGGACGAGCCCGACGCCGTCTTCGAGTGGCCCGCTCCTCGGCTGCCCCTCGCGCCCTCGCGCACCTCCGTCCCTCGCCCAGCCTCGACCTCCTCGTCCTCCCACCGACTCGCTCCGCCCGCCGGGGTCGCGCCTCCCGCCCCGCCGAGCCGGATCCCGCCCGCCCTGTCGCCCTTGCGGACGCCCCAAAACGCCCTCGCGATCCCGTCGCTGCGCTCGCCGTCGCCCCTGAGCGCGCGCATGCCGCGCTCGCTGCCCCACCCGAGCGCGTCGGACGCCGAGCCCGCGGTACGCTGCAGCGCCGAGAGGGCCGACGAGGCGAGCGAGAGGGCCGGGCGCGTGTCAAGGGCGTAAGCGCGACGCGTGGGGAACGGGCTGCCGGCCTGGGTCGGACTCGACGCGAGGAGGGGCGAGCGCGTAGAGCGCGGGGGGAGGTCGTCGTCATCGTCGTCGTCGTCGTCGTCGTCGCCGGTCGAGAGATCCGAGAGGTCGTCTTGCGAGGCGCGGGACCGGCGAGCGCGAGGGCGTGAGGATGGCGAGCGGGTGGCGGCCTCGAGGTCGTGCTCAGAGAGGTGGATGGCGCGAGGCGGTGCGGCAAAGGGGAGCTTGCGGCGTAGACTTTCGAGGCGAGAGAGGTCAGCTGAGGTGCGAGGGAGGAGAGGGAGAGCGAGAGGGAGAGATGGAGGCGCACTAGGTGGTTGCGCGCTCGTACAGTTCGAGGCTCTTTGCGCGGCGGAACGAGACAAAGACGAGGCAGACGAGCGAGAGGGAGCACAGAGTGAGCCAGATCCAAGGCGGGAGGACCGTGTCGACCTCGACAGGGGGCGAGTCCGGGTCTGCGTGGGCCGGGACATCAGAACTACGACTCGGTACTAGTGCGTGTGAAAGCTGGGCGCACCGCTCATGGCGCTCGGACGGGCTGTCGGGGTGGAGCTGATGAGGACGAGGTGGCTGTGAAGGATGCGAGGTGGGCGAGGGCGCGCAGGCCGTGCTGGTCGGGCGGGTACGGCGTGTGCTGTTGTGGTTCCGCTACGGCTGCAGCAGGAGCAACCTGGCGGCAGCGAGAGGGTTGTGCGGTGGTTGCGGCGAGCGAAGCTTCGATGAAGCGCGACCACCAACTCTCTTGCTCCTCCACCACCACCGACTCAGTCGCAGAGCACCCTGCTACACCCTCGAGCACTCACACACACCGGCCCACACTCCCCACCAACTACCCGCACCCCTCCTTCGCCGCTCCCTCACCCGTCGACCTTCACCGCCACTTTCCTCCCAACTCGCACCATGCCCCGCGCACAAGACCCGACTCAAAGCCTCCTCCGGTGGGGCATCCAGAACGCCGCTCCCGGCTCGCTCGCAGAGACCGCCCAGGAGATCAAGGACGGCAAGCGCCCTGACCTCTCGACCGACGTCCTCAAGCACATCATGGGCCAGTCCGACGCCGACAAGATGCGCGAGTGCGTCATGGTCATCGAGGGCACCTGGGTCGACCGCGACAACGTCGGCGAGCTCAAGAACGCGAGCGACATCACCGACGACGACCGCTACCGCGCGTGGGAGGACCTCGAGATGCTCGTCCAGGACCTCGACAACGCCAACGGCACGTCCCTCTTCTGGCCCCCTCGGTCTCACACAGAGTGCACTCTGACCCGTCTCGCCCGCTCGCAGACCTGCAAAACATGGGCTTGTGGCCCGTCATCCTCAAGTACCTCTCGCACGACGACGACGAGCAGGTCATGTTTGCGTGCTGGGTGTGCGGCACGGCGACTCAGGTGCGCACCACGCTATCTCTCTCTCCCTCGTCGTCGAGCCGAGATCTGATCTCGCCCTCGCCCCTCTCGCAGAACAACCCCAAGGCGCAAAAAGCCGTGCGTCCTCGTCGTCTCTCTGCCTCTCTCACCGTCGAACTCGCTAGCTGACTCGCTTCACCTGCAGTTCTTCGACCAGGACCCGCTCCCGACCATCTCGAGCATCATCCAGTCGAGCACGGCGTCGCCCGGCACTCGCGCCAAGGCGATGTACGCCCTGTCGTCGTCGCTCAAGCACTGGGACGCCGCCGTGCAGCGCTTCTCCGAGCTCGGCGGGTGGGACACGTTGACGCAAACGCTTCAGGGTGCGTCGCGCAGACCCTCTATCCGCCCACTCGTCGTTGTCGTCGCCGCCGTTCTCAACCTGACCCTGCCCTCTCCCCCTCGCAGACCCGTCTCTCAAGATGCGCAGCAAGACGGCCTTCCTCCTCTCGCAGCTCATGTCCCAGTCCAACTCGCCTTCAACCCTCCTCGTCTCGCTGCGGTCCGCCTCGACCCTGTCGACCCTCATCGACGCTCTCCATTCGAGCACGGCCGTCCCTTCTGGCCCGTCCGGCGAGCGCGGCGACATCGACCCGGACCTGCGCGACAAGGGCCTGCGCTTCCTCGCCAACGTCGTCGAGCGGACGCAGGGCACCGACGGTGGGTTGACGCGGCAGGAGAAGGACCAGGCGTTGAAGGCGGTCGACGAGGCTGAGAAGACCGAGGGGTGGACGCCCGAGGACGTGGGCATGGCGGCAGACGAGTGGGCTCAGTTCAAGCGGGCGCTCAAGGCGTAGAGAGTGCTGCAACGCAGGCGTTCGTTTCGCGCGGCCTTCTCTCGCCCGACCGTGCCGAAGCTCGGCGTTGCCCCACTTGCGTCCCCACACCGACTTCGCCTTGCGCTCGCTCGCCGGTTGCTCGCTCTCTCGCTTCTGCACGCTCGACGCACGCACGCACCAGCTATGCCGTCCGAGTTCGACTACGCCACGATCTGCGCCAAGTACGGCAACGGCATCCCGTGCCCGGACGACTTCTCGTTCCCCTCGGCGGTCGTCGACAAGTGGGCGCAGGCGCAGCCCGACCAGCTCGCGTTCCACTGGGTCTCGCACGACTTTGGCCACGAGCGCAAGATGACGTACGCCGACCTGTCCGACCTGAGCCACCGCGCCGCTCGCGCCTTTGCCGACTCGGGCCTCGTCAAGGGCGACCGCGTCCTCATCCAGCTCCCGCGCGTCCTCGAGTTCTGGGTCGCCGCCCTCGGCCTCATGCGCATCGGCGCCGTACCTGTACCCGGCACGAGCCTCCTCGTCGGCAAGGACCTCGAGTTTCGCGCGACGGCGGCCCGGGCGCAGGCTTTCGTCGGCGACGCAGAGTCGTGCGGTCGGTTCGGCCAGGTCGCGCACAAGGTCGGCGTGTCGAGGGTCTTCCAGGTGAGGACCGACGGCGACGGCGGGCTCGGCGAGGGCCGCATCGACTTCCAGCAGGCCGTCGAGCGCGTCGCCAAGGGGACCAAGTGCGACGTCGAGCACCGCAAGAGCGACCTCGCGATCATCTTCTTCACGTCGGGCACGACGGGCCAGCCCAAGATGGTCCTCCTCGAGGCCGAGTACCTGCTCGGACACTTTATCACGGGCCTCTGGTACCGCCTCAAGCCGGGCAAACTCTTCCTCTGCATGGCCGACCTCGGTGAGTCCGCTCTTCCTCTGCCTGCTCTCTCTCAAGAGTCGACGAGGTGGTCGCTCGTCGAAGGCGCGCCATGGACGCGCTTCGAGGCGGGACGCGATTATCGTCGAAGCGCGGACGGCGCCACTTACCTCGCTCTGCGTCCTTCTTCTGCAGGCTGGGCCAAGGCGACATACGGCTCGTTCGCCACGCTCAACATGGGCGCCACCTACTTTGTCCAACCGCCAGCACCCGGCAACTTTACGCCAAACCAGCTCATCGACGCCCTCCACCGGTACCCGATCGAGTCGCTGTGCTGCCCGCCGACCATCTACCGCTCCCTCGTGTCGTCCTCGGCCAAGGTCTACTACAAGGCGCACCCACCTCGAGCGCTCAACCACTGCGTCGGCGCCGGCGAGCCGCTCAATCCGGGCGTCATCAAGGAGTTCCGGGACCTGACCGGCGGGCTCGAGGTCAAGGACGGCTACGGTCAGAGCGAGACGGTCCTGTGTATCGGCAACTGGGAGGGTGTCGAGGTCCGTCCCCGCCCCTCTCTCTTTGTATCTCCCTTTCTCGAGTCCCGCTCGAGCCTCTCGACTTTGAGAAGGTCGCGCCAGGCTGAGCTCGTACCTCATCTCGCAGGTTCGGGAGGGCAGTATGGGCAAGGTGGGACCTTTCTTCATCGCCGGCATCGTCGACGACGACGGGCGCGAGCTCGCGACAGGGGAGGAGGGCTCCATCGCCATCCGGACCGACACCGGCGGCGGCGCGCACTGGATCTTCAAGGGTGCGTCTCGCTCTCGCTTACTCTCTCTCTTTCCTCGAGGTGTCGTGACTGACTCGGACCCGGACAGGCTACGTCAAGAACGGCAAGGTCGACAAGCGCGAGCGCTCGCACGGCGGCAAGACGTGGTACATGACCGGCGACCGCGGTGTGCTCGACAAGGACGGCTACTTCTGGTTCGTCGGGAGGGACGACGACGTTATCACGACATCTGGCTACCGCGTCGGGCCTTTCGAGTGCGTCAGCCTCTTTCCTCTTCTCCTGTTCCTCCTCCCCTTCCCTCAGCCTTTTCCCCTTCCGCTCCTCCCTACTCAGAGTTTCGAGCGCTCACATCTCCTCGCAGGGTCGAGAGTGCGCTCAAGGTGAGTGGTCGACTCGTCGCTCGTCGTCCTGCCCTCACCCGTCCTGACGCACGGACCTCGTCTCTCTCCTCGCAGCTTCATCCCGCCGTCGCCGAGTCGGCCGCCGTCGGCTCACCGGACCTCGCGCGAGGCGAGCTCGTCAAGGCGTTCGTCATCCTCTCGGAGGAGTACCGGGACAAGATTCGGCCGGGCACAAAGGACGAGAAGGACCTCATCCTCGACATCCAGGTCCGTCCCCGGTCTCTTTTCCCGCTCGACGTTCTCTCGCCTGACCCTGCTCGAGCATTTCTGCAGACGATGTTCAAGCAGAACACGGGGCCGTACAAGGTCCCTCGCGAGATCGAGTTCGTCGAGACGCTCCCGAAGACGGTCAGCGGCAAGATCCGCCGAGTCGAGCTGCGAGACCTCGAGAAGGAGCGCAAGAAGGACGTCCTCCAGCAGATCAAGTCCAAGCTGTAGATATCTAGAACCGAGCCAGTAAAGCAGTACCGCTATCCTCTCTGCGACGGGCGAGCGAGAGAATGCGAGGGAAAGCGAGAACGAGGATCGTTGCAAAGGCGGGTCGAACAACAGGGGTACACAAGGGGCACGGCAGTACGGCACAGAGAGGCTCACGCTTCTCTCTCCTCACTCGTCGAGCTCGTCGAGAAAGTCCTCGACCTCCTGCGGCAGCGTGTCGTCGTCGACGAGGAGCCCGAGGTCGCCGGTCTGGATGCGCGAAAGGAAGTCGCGCTTCTTCGGGTTGGCGCGCAGCGAGGTGACGAGTGCGCGAAGCGCAGAGTTGTACGTCGACTCGAGGTGACCCTGCAGGCGAGAAGAGAGAGAGAGAGAGAGCGGGTGAGCAAGTGATGCTCTGTAGGACGAAGAAGAGGAGGGAGAGAGAGGACGGACCTGCTGAGCGAGCTCGCGAGTCGCCTTGAGCGCCTCGACCGCCTTGCCGTAGTGGCTGTGGCTGAAACTCTGGAGGACGAGCGACCTCGCCTCGGCGACGCCCTTCTCGACGTCCCCGGGCGAGCTGGATCCCGCCGCGCTCGTCGTGTGCCGCTCGCCCTCCTCGCCGTCGTCCGTGTCCGGCTCCTCCTCCGTGTCTGGCTCCTCCTCCATCTCATCGTCGACGAGCGCATCTGCAGGGGCGCTCGGCTTGGCGCTCGACGCAGCTGCGCTCGGCGGAGCGGGTCGAGCGTCGACGATCATGACGTCGTCGTCGTCGCTGTCGACGGCGATGGGCCCCGGCTTGCTCGTCGACAAAGACGGAGGAGGCTGGTGCGCAGGCGTAGTCGACTTGACGGCGGCCGACTCGCGCGAGCCAAAGATGCGGTCGAGCTGGATCTCCTCCTCGAGGCCGGCCTGGGCGTAGTTGGCCGTCTTCTTGTTGATCTTTTTCGGCTTGGGCGGTACTGTGACGGAGCAGGGTCAGATTGAGGAACTGAGAGGGGCAGAAAGAGACACAGAGGGGAATGAGAGCGGCTCACCAATCTGGACGTCAAAGGCGCGCTTGACCTTCTCGGCAGCGGCGGCCGCCGCAGCGGCGACCGCCGGCGGCGGGTCCATGTATTTGGTGAGGATGGGCGGAACAGGAGGCAGGTCGGACTCGGGATTCGACAGGCGGAAGACGAGCGTGTTCTGGACGTTGTGGATGGCCGGCGAGAACGAGTCGTCCGTGTGGAAGAACTCGGTCGGGTTGCTACAGGGGCGGCACGCGAGTGAGTCAAGGCCCTCTAGAGTGGCCGAGCGAGATAGAGGAAAGGGACGGACCCGTCCTGGTCAGGCGGGCCTGCCTCGGTGAGGTCCATCGAGTCGACAAAGGCGGCCATGGCGGCGTCCATCTCGGCGGTCGGCAGAAGCTTGTGCTCGGCGAGCGGCTGACCCTTGCGGTTGAACAGGCGGTCGAGCGACGGGAAGGTCAGGGCGCGCACGTCCTCGGCGAACGGGATCTGCGAGTCGAGCGAGGTCAGAGCATGCGCCTCGAGCGCGAAAGGAGGAGGAGAGTGGACGGACCCGGACCCAGTAGCAGATCTCGACGCCGTCCTCGATGTGCGGGAACAGGATACCGAGCTGAGGATCAGGCATGCGCGCCTTGCCGTCGCGCGAGTAGCCCTTCTTGACGAACCGGACGACGGCGAGCGAGTCGCGCTCGACCATGCCGTTGACGAGCGCCGAGAAGAGCTTCTCCGAGCCGAGCTCGCCGTGCGTCGCGTACACGTAGAAGACGTCGCCCATGCGCCAGTCGTAGTGCAGCTGCAGAAAAAGAGGGAAGGAGGAGGGAAGGAGGAAGGGTCCGGTGTCAGGTCCAACTCGCGCCTCGCGGCGTGGAAGAAAGGGAGCAGGGACGCACATCCGACTGCTTCATGAAGTTGAGGATCTCCATGCCCGTCTTGAGCCCGCCGAGCGTGCCCGCACCCTCCTCGAGGTCGCCGATCGGGACGAGCGACCCGCCGTAGTGGTACGCGTCGGTGAGCTCGGTCGTGTCCTGGTCGATGCTGACGAGCTGCTCGTCGTCGTCCTCGTCGTAGACGTCCTCCTCGACGATGCCGCCGTCGCGAGGGCGCCGGCTGACGCTGACCTTGGCCGACTTGCCCTTGTCCTGGGCGTCCTTGCCGCTCGTCGCCGCGCTCGTCACCGGCGGCGGGCGGTAGAAGTAGTGCCGCTCCTTGATGACGCCGTGCCCGGCGAGGTCGGCGTCTGCGGCGGTACCGACGGCGAGGCCCTCGTCCTCGAGCTGGCGGTCGAGCGTCATGCCGATCTTGCCGAGGTCCATGCCCTGCCCCGCCGCCATCTGCGCCTGCTGCTCGCGGTTCTGCTGCGCCGCGAAGCGCGCCTTGCGCTTGACCTCGGCCTTGGCGTCCTCGTCCTCGTCCTCCTCGCCCTCGTCCTCGCCGACTCGATCCGCCTCGCGCTTGGTCCCGCGAGGGCCGCCGAGCGACGCGCCGTCGCCGAAGCGCTGCGAGAAGGCCTGGCTCTGGCCCTGGCTCTGGCTCTGGCGCTGCTGGGCCCGCTGCGTCGAGCGGACGCGCTCGAACCCGCGCATGCTCATCTGCTTCATCGTCGGCGCCGCGGCGGGGACGACGGCCTTCTTGACGTCGACGTGCAGGACGAGCGAGCTGTCCGGGTGTGTGTCGGGGTTGCCGAACGAGAGCGACATGTGGTCGGCGCGCGAGCTGACGGCCTTGACCTGCGGCGTGGCGATGGCGGCGAGCGCTTGACGGGCGTTGGCGACGAGCGACGGCTGGTCGAGCAAGTCGACAAAGGCGCGAAACTGGGCCTCGTTCTCGCGCTGCGGACAAGGTTGAGCTGCGTGAGTGACAGGGAAAGAAGGGAAGAGGGCGAGAGAGGGTGAAAGCGAGCGGACCTTGATCTCGGACTTGTTCTCCTCGACGAAGCCGATCTCCTCGTCGTCAAAGTCGACGCCGCTGGTGCAGGGAGATCCAGTGTCAGTGACAGGCGTCGCCGAGAGAGGAGGAGAGAGAGAGAGAGGCTCGAGGAGAGGACGCACATGACGGTGAGCCCGACGTTGACCGCGTTCATCCGGTGCGCCGTGCTCTTGACGCCGTCCCAGTTGATCTCGTGCTCGGCGTCGGTCAAGAGGCACACCTCGCGGACGGCGTAGTTCTTGAGCGTCGCGTCGGCGTCGAGCGTCTCGAGCCCGAGGATGGCGGCCGAGAAGGCGTCCGTGTCGGGGCCCTGGCCGGCGACGGCGTCGTCGATGCGGTCGACGAGGCTCTTGTCGACCGTCTTGGTGAGGGGCAGGAGCTCGTAGCAGTGGCGGTACGGGTCCTGCGAGCGGTCGAACTTGGTCTCGTTCTCGCTCGCCTGCTCCTTGGCCCGAGTTGTGAGGAGGTTCTTGGTCTTGGCGTGGGCGAAGAGGATGACGCCGAACGGCGTCGTCTTGAGGTCGCGCATGATCTGTCGGGAGAGCACGAGTCAGGTCGGCCCAGCTGCAGAGCGAGGAGAGCATTCCCCCCACTTACGCGCTGAACGAGCTTGGCCTTGACGTACTCCTTTGCGGCGTCGAGTCCAGAGCGGCGAGTCGTGACCTGGTTGGGCGGGTCGCCGACCGTGAAGACGCGCTCCCTGCCCATCGACGAGCTGCAGTCGATGAGGAAGAGCGTGGCCGTCCGGGGAGCCTGGGAGGAGCGAGGGTCAGCTTGGGCGCATGGAGGAGGGCGGAGTGGGGGCGTAGGGGCTCACCAGAGCCATGCTACGCGTACTCGAGTAGCTCTCCTCGCGGTAGCGGGCGGTGTCGAGGCGTGAGGTCGAGCGGCAAGTTCATCAGCTCCTCGTCAACCGACTCGAGTCTCGACTGCTCTCCCTCGTCCGTCTCGCTCTCTCTGCGTAGCTGCGCATGCTCTCTGCCACGAACAGCTCTCGTGCATCTCGAAGCGCGAAGAGAACCGACCCGAGAGGGGTCGCCGCGAGAGAGCAAGCCTGCACCGCGCGGACAGGGTACGCATTTCGAGATTTCAAGCGACTGTGCTCACTGATTCAAGCGCTACTTCAAGCGAGGGACAGAGAGGGACGAGGCCGACGAGGGAGAGTGGCGGGAAGAGGGGACGGCGAGCGAAACTGACCCGCCGACGCTCCTTGCTCCCTTCTCCTCGACGCCGGCTCACGCTCGTCCGACTTAGGCCGACGCGAGGCGCTTCTCGGCCTCCTTCCAATTGATGACGTTGTAGATGGCGTCGAGGTACGACTGCTTGACGTTCTTCTGCAGACGGGCGGCGCCAGGGCTGGGTCAGCGGTGAGTCCGAGGATGGGGGGGAGGCGGCGAGGACGCGACGACGCACGTAGTCGAGGTAGAAGGCGTGCTCCCACCTGTCATGGGAAGAGAGCGAGAGTCAGGGGCTGGGGGCGCGCGTGAGAGAGAAAGAGGAGAGAGAGGACGCACATGTCGATGCCGATGAGGGGAACGTAGCCGAGGAGCGGGTCCTGGTTGGCCGTGGCGACCGCCTCGAGCTGCGCACGCACTCGTCGTGTCAGTTCACGACTCGGTATCGAAGGAGGCCGGCGAGAGAGAGAGAGAGCAGCGGCGCACCTTCTAAAAGCCTTATATATTCTTTTTTTTCTTATAAAACTTAAAACCTTAGAGGCTATTTAAGTTGCTGATTTATATTAATTTTATTGAGGCCGCCGAAGTCCTTCTGGACCTGGTCGGCGAGCGGGCCCGACGAGGGGAACTGGCCGCCGCCGTTGGACGAGGGCGCGAGGTTCTCCCAGAAGAGCGACTGCGAGTGCGACGGCGAGAGGAGTCAGTGCTCGCTCGCTCGGTCGTCAAGAGGGGAGAGGAGTGGACGCACGTGGTTGATGTGGCCTGTTGCGTGCGAGGAGGAGAAAAGAGTCAGCCGAGGCTTCGGCCGAAGGCGGGGAAAGCGAGGGAAAGAGGGGGAGGAGGGAGCGAGAGACGCACCACCGCCGTTGAACTTGATGGCAGCCTGGAGGGCGATCTGCTTGCGGATGTCCTGCGCCTGGGCAGCAGCCTGGAGGTCCTCGGTGGCCTGCAGTGGGCGAGAAGGCACGGCGAGAGTCCATGACGAATCAGTCTCGTCCGCTCGCTCGTGGTCTCCCTCGACGACGGCGACGGGCAGGGGAATGAGGCGCACCTTGTTGAAGTTGGCGACGTAGGTAGCGTGGTGCTTCGAGTGGTGGAGCTCCTGCAAGGGCGGGCCGGCGCGACGAGAGTGAGTTCGCCTCGTCCACCGGCGAGAGGGAAGCGGGCGGACGCACCATGATGGTCGCCGAGATGCTCGGCTCGAGCGCGTTGTACTCGTACGGGAGCTTGGGGAGGACAGCGGGGATCTTGTTGAACGACGACATGACGCGGGCGGTGGCTCGGAGCATGGAGGTGGAGGAGGAGGGAGGCGAAGCGAGCCGAGCCGCAACTTGGTCCGGCCGACGAAGCCGAGGGGAGGCGCCACCTCGCACAATTCGCCGCGCACTCGCACCTCATTCTGCGTCTGCGGCCCGCAAATGCTCGTGTAGCTGCAAGTGCCACGCTCTCGCTCGGGCTCGCAGCAGTCCTCGAAGGCGGTACAGGACGCGGCACTCTCGACGACCGTCGGGCAAGGCGGTCGAGGGCAGAGAGAGAGAGAGAGAGATAGTGAACGTGCATAGGACTATAACAGGGCACAGAGGTATGCGAGTGCGACAGGGAAGGACTCGGGCGGAAGGGAGAAGGGAAGCAGGGAGGGTGCCGGGTCAAGGTGCGGGCGCGATGGGTGCGGACGGCTCCTCCTGCATCTTGGCCTGGATGCCCTTGGCGCTCTGCGAAAAGGCAGGGTGTGTCAGTCGAGTTCGCGGCTGACCAACGAGGGCGTGCTCCGCACTCGCGCGCAGACCTCGACGGCGAGAGCGAGACCGGCGGACGCACCTCGACAAAGTCGGTGAGCTGCTTCTCGAGGTCCTCGAGGCGCGCCTTCTTGACCTCGTTCTCCTTGACGAGCTTGGCCTTGGCGGCGCCGAGCTCCTTGCGCTCGTCCTCGAACCTGTGTGCGCGTGACGAGCGAGGTCAGGGTCACGGTTCCCGCCGGGCGCGTCGAGGCGAGCGAAGAGAGGAACGAGGGCGCACCGTTTTCGCTCGGCGAGCTCGAACGCCAACCGGGCAAGCATGAGCTCGTGCGCCGACTCTTGCGTGTCGCCGGTCGGGAGCGGGACCTGGAGGCCGGCGGGCGGGTCGGGTCGTGCGGCGAGCTCGCGCAGGTCGTCGACTGAGTGCAGCGGCAGGTTCTGGTACTCGCTCCTGCGTGTACATGTTCGGGTCAGTTGGTGCGTCGCAAGGGAGAAGTACGAGAGGAGGGAGGGACGCACGAGTACTCCTCTGCGGACCGGATCTCGCGCTCGATGTGGTTGCGCTCGAAGAGGAGGTTCTGTGCGGGGCGAGTGGGTGAGTGGTGGGACCTCGAGAGTGCAGAGGAGCGAGCGGGTCGGGCGGACCTGGAGGCGGAGGTGGGCTGCGTCCATGTCGAGGCGGGCGTCCTGGCTGCTGGCGCGACACTCCTTTGCGGCGACGAGGCCCGCCCTGTTGAGGCCGTGGAGCGAGGCAAAGAGGGGAGCCGACTGGGCGAGGTAGGGCTGCGCGTCGAAGGCGCCTGGCGGGCTGGCGATCGAGCGCGAGTCGACGACCGAGTCGGCGAGGGACCGCAGGAGGGAGATGAGGGTTTCGGCGCCAGAGGGGTGGTCGGGGACGGCGGGGGCGACCATGGTGGTGGTGTGCGAGCTGGGTGCACGCTCGGGAGCACAGGCAGGCCTCAGAGGGAGAAGCGAGTCGAGGGCGAGGGCAGCAAGACGAGTTGAGTCGCGCCTTCGCTCCCCCACCTTGGGCTCGCTCTCGCTCTCCACTCTCGCCGCTGAGAGCTTCGCCCGTCATGCTGGGACCTACACGCCGCACCGCCTGCGCAGCCGCAAGCGCACCCGCACACTGCCGTGCCCTCGCCACCGAGCACAGCCCGCCCACCCGCTTCTCGTCCGCGACCGTCTTCCACAACGAGCCCGCAAGCCCAAAGATCCTCTCCGACTCGGTCCCAGGTCCGTCCACTCTCGCTTGGCCCTCCTCGTGCACCCGCAAGCTGACCCTGGTCCGAGCGCGCAGGCCCCGTCTCTCGCAAAGCCTCGCAGGTCATCGGACAGTTTCAAGACCCGCGCGCTCACGTTCTCGTCGCCGGTCCGTCCTCTCCTCCCTTGCACCAGGTCGACCGCGAGCTCAACATCTTATCGCCCCCGAACTGCAGACTACGCCAAGTCCAACGGTCCGTCATCGACCTCGCCGGCTCGTCCTTCTCGCGCACTCGACTCACGCTCGTCGGCATCCACCTTTGCCCTCTCGCAGGCAACTACCTCGTCGACGTCGACGGTAACCAGCACCTCGATGTGTTTGCGCAAATCGCCAGGTCCGCCTCATCCTTGCCGACCTTCTCGCTCGGCGGGCAGAACCGGTTCCTGACTTGCGCGTCGCCCCTCGCTCGCAGCATCGCCATCGGCTACAACCACCCGACCCTCATCGAGCTTGCCAAGACGGTGCGTCGCCTCGTCTTTCCTGAACGACGGCCGGACCTCGGACCCTGACCCTCCTCGAGCCGACAGGACGAGTTCGCGATCGCCTCGTGCGTCTCTTTCCCACCTTTGCCCCGCCCAAGCCGCATGTATCGACGCCTCGTTCGCCCGCAGGATGAACCGCCCTGCATTGGGCTCGTTCCCGGGCGCCGACTGGGCCGAGACGATCCAGAAGGGCCTCCTCACGGTCGCGCCCAAAGGCGTCCCTCACCTCTTTACCCAGATGGACGGCTCGGGCGCCAACGAGGGCGCGCTCAAGGCCGCCTTCATGGCCTACCGCGCTCGTGAGCGCAAGGAGGCCGGCATCGACGACTTTTCGGCCGAGGAGGCGAGTCTCTCCTCCTCCTCCTTCGCGTCTCTCACGCCTTCGTCGCCTTCTCAACACAACAACGTCCTGACTCGTCTCTCTTCGTCGACGCAGATGGCGTCGTGCATGAACAACGCGAGCCCGGGCAGCCCCGAGCTCGTTGCCATGAGCTTCAAGTCGGGCTTCCACGGCCGGCTGTTCGGCAGCCTGTCGCTCACGCGCAGCAAGGCCATCCACAAGGTGCGTCCCCACTCTCTCTCTCGCGTTCAAGCTCGAGATGCAGCACGTGTACGCGTCCCTGACCCTCACGCGTCGCTCGTCCTCTCGCAGCTCGACATCCCGGCCTTTGACTGGCCCGCCGTGTCGTGGCCCTCGATCAAGTACCCTCTCGACGAGTACGCGTCCGAGAACGCGGAGGCCGAGGCGCGCACGATCGCTCGCGTCGAGGAGACGATCGTCGAGTGGGCGAAGAAGGGCAAGAAGGTGGCGGCCCTCATCGTCGAGCCGGTGCAGGCGAGGGAGGCGACAATCACGCGAGCCCGAGCTTCTTCAAGGCGCTGAGGACGGTCACGAGGGTGCGTCGGCGGCTCTCTCTGTCTCTCTTTCTCGTCCGAGGTTCGGCAGGTCCGGGACTGACGCTCGAGCCTCGCCTTCCGCTTTCCCGCCCACAGGAGCACGGCGGTGCGTCTCTCACCTCTCTCCTCTCGTCGATCTCGCACATCGTCCTGACTCTATCTCGCTCGCCCTCGCAGTGTACCTCATCGTCGACGAGGTCCAGACGGGCGTCGGCGCGACGGGCTCGTTCTGGGCGCACGAGAAGTGGCAGCTCGACCACCCGCCCGACTTTGTCACATTCTCGAAGAAGATGCAGGCCGCCGGGTACTACCACGCCGAGTCGACCCGGCCGTCGCTCCCGTACCGCAAGTGCGTCCTCGCTCGTCCCCCCTTCTCCCTCCGTCTCTCTCTCGCCTCGAGAGCGCGCACTGACCTCGTCTGCCCGTCCTCGCCCCGCAGCTACAACACGTGGATGGGCTCTCCCGCCATTGCCATGCAGGCGCGCGAGATCATCTCGTTCATCAAGTCGCACGGCCTCGTGCAGCACACGGCCGTCATCGGCGACGAGCTCTTCTCGCACCTCGGCGCCCTCTCGCGCCGGTTCCCGGGCATGATCAACAACCTGCGCGGCAAGGACCACGGCACGTTCATCGCGTGGGACGCAGAGTCGCCGCAGGCGAGGGACAAGTTCGTCGCGGCCATGCGGCACGAGGGCGTCGTCATGGGTGGGTGCGGCGAGCGGGCCATCCGCCTGCGCCCGATGCTCATCTTTGGCGACAAGCAGGTGGAGGTCTTGCTCGAGAAGATGGAGAGCGTCCTCAAGTCGCTCGAGGGCAAGTGAGGGCGAGCGACGCGAGAAGGTGGAGGGGCGAGGGCCCGACCGCAGCTGCACCGTGTACCGCTTTATTACTCTCTCTCGGGCATCGATGACAGCGAGCGAGAGACGCGAAAAGGGGACTGATGAACTGCTTGGACTATTGCTTGTGGTCGTTAGAGGCCTGGCTACAAAGTGGGGCGAGTCACGGTCGCCTAGGGGTGATCAAGTGCGAGATGGGCGAGCAGGCGCTCAGATGCGGTTCTCCGAGTGGTGGGTGCCGGTCGTCGAGGAGCCGATGGTCGAAGCGCCGGTGGGGGAGCCGACGGTCGAGCCAGTCGTGCCGGTGGTCGACTTGTCGTTGAGCGACGAGAGGCCGAGCTGCTGGACGAGGGTCTCGGCCGGGCCGTCGACGGTGCGCTCGCACTGCAAAAGGAGAGCTCGAGTCAGGACGCGGAGCAAAGAGAAAAGCGCGCGAGAGAGAGAGACGGAGACGGACCTCGCCGTGGTTGAGGAGCTGGTCGGCGTCGTGCTTGAGCGTCGACTTGAGGTCACCGCCGCCGGCGACAAAGTCCTTCAGCGAGAGCGGCTCGTGGAGGACACTGGCGTGAACGACCGGCGCCTCGTGAGTCGTCTGGTGGACGGGAACGACGGTCTGTGGAGAAGAGAGGACCGTGCGTCAGGCTCGTCGGCTTGATGCAGGAGAGGGAGGAGAGGGGCTCACGTGGATGCGGTGGTGCTCGTGGACGTCACGCTCGATCTGCGGCTGGACGACGTGGTGGACTAGACGAGGGAGGCAAGGTCAGTTCGGGCTCGAAAAAGTGGACGAGGGAGAAGGGACGCACCGTGGTGGCTGACGTTCTCAGTCACGTGCTCGCCCTTGTCGACGATGACACGCTCCTTGGCCGCCTCGGTGACGGTGTCCTTGGCGCCGGACGCGAGCGAGGCGAACTGGGCCTTGTCCTCGTTGGTCGCGACGTGGCGCTCCTTGATGTGGGTCGGGGCGACGACGTTCTCGCGCTGGACCTCGGCCTGGTGCTGCGTGTCGAGGACGGGCTGGACGTGGTGCTGGACGTGGTGGACTGGAGGGAGGAGCGAGGTCAGTTTGGGAAGGTCGATGAGGAAGGACGAACGAGGACGCACCGTGGCGGTCAACCTCGCGGCGGCGCTCGATCTCCTCAACCTCGTGCAGCTGGCGCGTCTCGTGCGTGACCGGGGCGAGGTGCTGGTGGTCGTGGGTGGCCGCCTTGGCGTCGGCTTCGGAGAGGATGGCGTCGCCGCGCGGCTGGCTGTGCTTGTGCGCGGGAGGGTGGGCGTGCTCCTTGACGTGCTCGGCGATCTTGCTGCCGGTCGACTGGTGGGTACCGGTGGTGGTGGCGCCGGTCGTCGCCGACGAGCCCGAGGTGAGGCCCGAGTTGTGGTGCGACGACGAGTCGGTCACGGACGCGCGGTCACCGGCCGACGAGTGGGTCGGGGTCTGCTCGACGTCGCGCGACGAGGCCGTGTTGAACGGAGCACCACGGCCCTCGTGCGTGCCGGTCGTCTCCTTGTGGTCGCCGTGCGAAAAGACCTGCGAGAGGAACCAAGTGGGGGCGAGAGGGTGAGCCTCGGCCTCGGCGAGGCATCGCAGGAGGGAAAAACGCTGGCGCACCTGCTTGATCTTGTCCATTGTAGTAGAGTGTGAGTGGTGGGGGAAAGGCTCGGTGTGGTGGTGGAGCGGAGCGGTGTGGAGAACGGGAGAGAGAGGCGACGCCGAGGGGAAGCGGTTCAAGCCGGGCGACGCACGCCGTGCGCGCCGAGGGTCGATGCGGTCATTTTCGAGCACAAGCGTGAGAAGGCCTGGCCGCCCTGCCGCTCATTTGTGGCGCGCCCGCGCTCGAGTGTCGAGGGCCCTCGCTGCTGTCGTCAGGGTTCACCGTCGTGGCGCTGCAGATCGGTCATTCCGCGGACGCAGATCGCACTTTCCGACCCGGACTCTCCTGCTGTGGACGATCGTTCGCCGGCTAAAGATTGCCCGCAGTCGCTTCTCCCCACAGCTCGGTGTCACAGGACTCAGCGCTCGCGTCCAGGCTCGAACGCTGTCGCTCTTGTGCGATGAGCCCTGGCGATGCAGACCCGGTCGCGTCGCGGGACTTGCTGTGGCTCTCGCAGCAAGACAGGATGGATGCTCTCAGACGTCGTCCGTCCTGCGCCCCAAGACTCAGAGCGAGAAGCCGGGCAGTGACGAGGAGGAATCCGCTCTCCTCTCGCTCGCACAGACCCTCTCGCCGCTCGCGCACACGCTCGACACGCACAAGAGAGAATGCGTGAAGTACAGGTGCACTCGGAAGAATGAGAGAGAGAGAGAGACAGAGAGAGAGGGAACCTGCTCGAGGAACTCGGGCTCCTCCTCGGCCGACGACGTTTACGCACGCGCCGGTGCTCACCCGAGCGACGCGCTCGTCGGCTCGTAGTACCAGATCGTCAGGGCAATGATGATGTAGATGACGCAGAGGATGAGGCCTTCGAGCCTGTGGCAGGGACGAGCGAGGAGAGAAGGCAAAGGTTAGGGACGACGGGCGCGTGTGGACAGAGGAGAGAGGGACTTGCCAGTTTGTGCGCCCGTCTGAGATCGCCCAGTTGACGGCGACGACACTGACAAAGAGGATGACGGTCTCGAACTCGTCAAAGTACTGCGAGGTCCCGAAAGGTGAGTCGCGCTCGACCGGACGACGCAGACAGCGGAAGAGAGGACGCACAAAGGTGAGAGGCTGCCCGATGCACCAGCCGAGAAGGATGAGGACCGGGATGACGAAGAGGGCGACTGTGTACGCGAGAAAAGGAATGTCAACGCTGAACGAGAGAGGCGGTCCGAGCGACGGCCGACGACGCATTCGAGAAACGGGTGACGCACTCTGGATGGAGGAGCCGACTGCGACGGCGATAGACAGGTCGAGCTTGTCCTTGGCGGCGACCGTGACCGCCGTGACGTGCTCGGCCGCATTGCCGACGAGCGGCAACAGGATCAGAGACACAAACTGCTCCGACACGCCGCCCGACGCGACGAGGCCCTCGATCGAGCTCACGAGCCATTCTGCCGTGACGCCCGTGATGACGGTGACGACGACGAGAAGGAGGATGGCGACGCGGGCGAGCATTTTTGGCGTGTGCTCGTCGAGCGAGTCCTCGGACGAGGCGCTCGACGACGACGACGAGCTCGAGCTCGACGAGCCGTCGTCGGACGAGCCTCCCCAGCTCGGCAGGGAGGGCAACGAGCCGATGCGGAACACGCCGCCCGACGTCGGCGGCTGCGGCTCACCGGCCGGGATGGCGAGCTGTCGCTCGCGAGCGAGCTGAGCGGCGCCGCCGGGCGTGTTCGAGTCGCCAGGCTTGCCCGCCGAGTACATGTCTGCGTCGAGGTGTGTAAGCGTCAGTGACGGACCCTGAGGCGTGGAAGAAGGAGCAGAGGGGAGAGAGGAAGGGAGGACGAGCGAGAGATACTCACAGGCGTGCGTCCACAGCTGGAAGACGAGCATGGCGCAATAGACGAAGATGAGGATGATGGCGACGCCGCTGTGGACGAGGACACGACGTCAGTACGGTGTCGAGAGGAGTGAAGACGAGCAGGAACGCACTGCGAGATCTGGACCACCTTGTTGTCGGTGACGCTGAGCGGCTCGTTGGCGTCGTCGTCGACAAAGACGTGGAACGCGACCGGGATGACGATGGCCGTGACGGCGAGACCGAGAAGGTTGAGGTTGACCTGCGCGGCTCGGATGCTGTACGACATCTCGTGCATGCGAAGGCCGCCTGCGAGAACGAGTCAGTTACGCCCTGGATGACTCGACAGGACAGAGGGTGGACGAGGACGCACCGGCGACGAAGCACATGCCGAGGACGAGCAGGCAGTTGGACAGGATGCTCCCAATCATCGAGCTCTGGACGATGTCGAGCTCGCCCTTCGTGAGGGCGAGGATGGCGATGATGAGCTCGACGGCGTTGCCGAACGTGGCGTTGAGGACTGTTCCGACGAGAGAGGACATGTCAGAAGGGCTCGACACGATGCGACGAGGGAGAACGAGGGTCGCGAGGAAGGAGGAGCTCACGGCCGCCAATCGTCTCGCCAACGCGCAGCGCAATGTCCTCGGTCGCGAATCCCAAGAGGGCGGCGAGCGGAACGATGGCGATGAACGACATGATGAACGTCAAAGTCGGCGTCTGGTTGCTGAAGTGGCAGGCCCACGAGACGGGGACAAAGACGAGGAGGACGTTGAGGTACGAGTACCGCACGATGTTGTTGAGGCTCGAACGCCATCCGGGAGCAGTCGCGACAGGTACCTGGACGATGCGGGAGAGTCAGCCGGTCCCGAGAGAGAGACGAGGGAGGGAAACAGCTCGACGCACTCGAGGCTCGAGGAGGTGCATGCCGATGAGCGGCTTGGTGGCGGTCCTCGCGACGCCGGGCGTCGGCGCCTCGCGAGCGTCGTCGTGCCCGAGCGGCGGCGCCGTCCTCGCACGATCAGGCTTGGGGCGACGCTGCCGCAGCCCGCCGCCTTGGTCCGCCGACGCCGACGTCTCGAACGCGGCTCGTGCACGCTCCTCGTCGCCGCCCTCGCCGAGCTCAGCCGGCTCTGCCGACAGCACTGCGTCGCCGACAGGCCCTGGTGCTGCGCCCGCTGCGTCGAGCGCTCCTGCCTCCGCCAACGTGAGGGAGCGAGCGAACGAAGGGTCGTCGGCTGCCGCCTGCTGGCGGCCTGGCGTGGTGTGGGCGCGTGGTGGAGCTTGCAGCTCAGCGAGGGAGCGCTTCTCGTCGTCCATTCAGCGAGTGGTGGGAGCGGGAGAGAGCGAGGGAAGCGAGGCGGTGCTCTCTCTCGTTCTCGCCCCCGCGTCGTCGTCAACCCATTTTCGTCCCTCTCCAAGCTGTCGCGCGTTTTGCGTCTCTCGCAGGCGAGAACCAGGCGAAGGAGAGTGACCTCTGTACAAATCCAACGAACGACGAAAAGGAGAGCGAAAGGGAGAGAGAAAGAGGAAGGGGGTCTACGAGCAAGAGGTGCATCTACGCCGACGCCTCGGCCGCAGCGCCAGCGCCGACGGGCGAGGCAGCAGCAGCCGCCTTGCGCTCCTCGGTCGCCTCGAGCGCCTTCTGGTTCTCCTTCATGCGTACCGTCGTGCTCTCGAAGCTGCCCATGCCCTTGAGGCCCCACCGCGCGAGCATGGCGTGGTCCTCGTCCCAGCCCGACGTCGGCGTCGTGAGCATGCGCTCGCCCTGCAGGACACGGTGCGAGAGGAGAGGGTCAGGGTCGCGTTTGTGGGACGAGTGAAAGGTCGGGACGCACCGTGAAGACGGCGTTGGCGCCCGCCATGAACGCCATGGCCTGCTCCGTCTCGGTGTAGCTGATGCGGCCAGCCGCGAAGCGAATGATGGAGCTGCGCGAGGGAAGGACGAGGGAGGCAAAAGTCAGTTCTCGTGGTCCGGAAGGGTAGAGCCGCTCGTCTTGCTCGACGACGAGGCTCGCGACGCTCAGGCCTCGCCAGTGTGCCGTGAGGCGCTCAAAAAGGAAAAGTGGGACGCACGTAGGGAGGACGATGCGGGCGGTGGCGATGGTGCGGAGGAGCTCCTGGACGGTGACGCGCTCGTTGGCCTCGAGCGGGGTGCCCGGGATGGCGACGAGGGCGTTGACGGGGAAGGACTCGGGCGCTTCGGGCAGCCTGCGCACGACTGAGAGTCAGTAGCCAGTCGAGGAAGTCCGCCGGGAACCACGACAGGAACGGAAAGAGAGGGAGGAGAGGAGAAGAGGGGACGCACTGGCTCATCTCCCAAATGAGGCCGACGCGGTCGCCGTCGTTCTCGCCGAGCCCGATGATGCCGCCGCTGCACACGCTGATGCCCGCCTCGCGCACCGCCTCGATCGTGTCGAGGCGCTCGTCGAACTTGCGGGTCGTGATGACCTGCGGGCGGGACGGACTCGAGGTTAGCGGGATCCGCCGGCGGAAGGGACAGGGGATGCACCGGCGCACCTTGGGGTAGTACTCGCGCGACGTGTCGAGGTTGTGGTTGTACGCCGTGAGGCCCGCCTGCTTGAGCTGGGCCGCCTGCTCGGGCGTGAGCATGCCGAGGGTCGTGCAGACCTCCATGTCGAGCGCGCTGTGGAAGGACAGGCGTCGCCGCGAGTCAGCAGTTGTCGAAAAAGCTCTCGAGCGTGTGCGCGGGTTCGGCGCGTCGGCGACGAGGGAAGGATAGGCCGCGGGGACTCACCGGACTCCTTGCACCATCTTGAGGATGCGCTCAAAGCCGCGTTTCCTGCCCGACATGTCGCGCCACGCCGCACCCATGCAGAACCTCGTCGAGCCGTTGGCCTTGGCCTTGCGCGCCTCGCTGGTCGAGAGAGGGAGAGATCGATAATCAGTCCGGCGCTCGTGAGGGGGGGCCGAGTGGATCGAGAGACAGGGCGTGGGACGCACACAAGGACCGTCTCGACGTCGGTGAGCTTCTCGGCCTTGAGGCCAACCTTGTCGGCGTGGCGCGACGACTGGGCGCAGTACGAGCAGTCCTCGGAGCACCCGCCGGTCTTGATGTTGAGGAGCGTGCACAGCTGGACCTGGTCGGGCGGGTGGTTGAGGCGGTGGACTGTAGCCTGGAGGTGACCGAGGTCACATGCGGCGGCGGCGCACGAGGGCGAGGGGAGGGAGGGAGGGGAGACGGAGTCAGCGCGGTGTGCGGGGCGGGGTTGGGAGATGCTCGAGGGGGACGAGGGACGCACAGCGCGGAAGATGAGCTCCATGAGGGGCGTGTCGTACACCTGCTGGATGTCGTCGCGGGTCCATTGCTGCGGCGGGCGCTGCTGCTGCTGGTCGACGGCCGACGCGAACCGACGGACGGCGGACGAGGGGAAGCGGGGGGCTGCTGCACCGGCTGCGACGCGCGGGCGGGCTGCGGCGTGGCGCACACTGGCGAGGATGGCACGAGGGGCGGCCATGCTGGGACGAGTGCGGATCGTGCGAGAGCGAGGGCGAGGAGGAGGAGAGTGGAGACTTGCGACCGGACACGGTTGGCCGAAGACAAGCTTACTATTCGCGGAATACGAACTGGCCGCCTAATCTCGCCAATACAACGTCCACAGCGAGGCCCAGAACCCTCGTATCCTCCCCGCTTTCGGAAGAGAGCTCGTCCTCGAAGCTCCTCTTCCTCCTCCTCCACCACCCTGCGCGAGCACGGCCATGTCCAAGGCTGCACGCTCGCCAAAGCTGCGCTGGATCGCGCTCGGCGCACTCGCCGTCTTTGGCCTGTACCACCTCGCCGGCCCGTCGTCGTCGTCGTCGTCCTCAACCTCGTCGTCTCCCGCCTCCGGCCTCGCCTTTGCCGCCGCCGACGAGACGCCGTTCCCCGACGAGGTGTGGGCGCACGCCAAGGACCCCGAGACCGACGTCGAAGTGCTCGGCGTCGGCAGGCACTCGGCGACCATCATCTTCATCCAGTTGAGTGACCTCGCCTCCTCCCACCGTCTGTCCCTGCCGCCTTGCGTCCCTTACTGACTCTCTTCTCCGTACACAGCGGTCTGGGCGGCAACGCAGAGATCGTGTGCGTCGACCCCCCTTTCTCTCTCTCGAGCGGTGCACCCGAGCCTGCCCTGACCGCCTTGCCTCCCCTCTCACAGGCTCCCTCTGGTCGCGAGGTTGCGGCCAAAGCTGTGGCAGGTCGCATGGGTCCTCCCTAACAGGTGCGCCGCCGCTCCCTCCTCGAGGAACCTCCCCCGATGCGCACGCTGACATCGCTTTCCTCCTCGCGCAGCCCTCAACTCGCCTTTACCGGCGCACAAGGCGAGACGATGTCGGCATGGTGAGCGCCACGTTCGCTCTCGCTGTCGAGACGAGGAGACGTGCAGAGCTAATGCGCCTCTCTTCCCGCAGGTTCGACATGGACGAGCTCCTGCTCCCGGATCACGCGCCCATGCCCAAGCGTGAGGACGAGAAGCGCATGCGCGCCGCCGTCGACCGCATTCACGGCCTCATTCAGAAGGAGCTTGACCGCGGCATCGATCCGGACCGCATCGTCCTTGCCGGCTTCTCGCAAGGTGCGCTCAGTCCTCCCTCTCGCTCGCACGGGCGTTCCTCCCCGAGTCGTCGACTGATTCTCTCATGCCCGCCAGGTTGCGCGACGACCCTCTTGTCCGGCCTCTCGTGGAGCGGGGGCAAGCTCGGCGGGCTCATGTGCCTGTCCGGCTGGCTCCCGATGGCGTACGACATCAAGAAGCAGGGCAGCAGCGAGAAGCACCCGGTGCGCCCCTCGTTCGCCACTCTTCCCTCATGAGGCATCGCATTGACAACAATGTACTCCCCGAGCAGATGCAGAGCGCCCACGCCAACGAGCTGCCGGTGTTCTGGGGTCACGGCGCGGCGGACAAGGTCATTCAGTGCGTCGACCTTCCTCTCCCTCGCTCGACCTTTCCTCACTGATCTTTCTCTTCTCTCTGTCCTCTCGATCTCGCAGGTACCAATGGGCCGAGGAGAGCATCGGCCACCTCACCAAGATGGGCTTCAAGGACGTGCAGTTCCACACCTACCCGGGTCCGTCCTCCACTCTCTCGCTCGCCGACCGTTCGAGGACTGACTTCTTCCTCTCCTCGCCACCATGCAGAACTCGTACACTGGGTCGGCGACGACGAGGAGGACGGTGCGTCTACCTCTCCCTCGACTTGTCGTCCGAGCGGCGCGAGCTCACTCGCGCTCTCGGTCCCTCTCGCGCAGACATGCTCGCCTGGTTCTCCAAGATGCTGCCGCAGACGTAGCGCACCCGAACGAGCTTTGATCTACATCTGCATTACGATCACCATGTATCACAGCCCGTCTCGAGAGAGCTACTCTGCCGTCGGCGTCGTCGTCGTCGTCCCTCGCTCGTTCCGCTTCTCCCACTCGCGGGCGACCGGGCACCAGCTCCTCTGTCTCGTCGACAGCGTCGTCACCATGACGATCGGGACCCTCCCGGGCTGCGCGCACTGCCAAAGCACGCTCGACGCGACGTCGTCGGCCGCGAGCGGTCGCATGCCCTCGAACGTGGCCTGCGTCTCGTGGCGACCGCAACGCCGATATCCCGCTCGGCGCAGGGGCGCAGCGCAGAGTCAGTCCCTGCTGCGAGAGACGAAAGAGAGACCGGCGGGCGCACCGCAAGGACCGTCTTGCGAGAGACGGCGAGCTTGGCCATTTCGACGAAGAGCTCGTTTGAGGAGGACGTAACGGTGGCCATCTTGTCCTCGCAGGTGCGGGACGAGAAAAGCTCGAGGCTGCGCGACGAGAAGGAGGCAGAGCAGCAAGCCTCGCTCGAGGTGGGTGGCAGGCAGGATCGTGGACGCGAGACCGACGCCGTCACAGCAACAGGGCGGCGAGATGGACCGCGAGCGACAGCAGGTCACGTAGAAGAGGACTAGTCAGGCTCGTGTGCCTGCTGTTCGGGCGTCGGAAGCTCCTCGTCGGCAGCTGGAGGCGGCGAAGAGCGAGGGCGGCACGGCGGGGAGGACAGGCCATGCTTCGACGCTCCGGGTGCTGCTCGCTCTGCGCCGCCTGTATCGCAGAGGTGCGAGTGGACGAGCTCCAGCTGAGAGCAACCCGCCTGAGGGGAGAGCGATGGAGAAAGGAGGCCAAGTTACTTCATCTCCCGAGCGCCACTCGCCTGTCGCTCCTCCTCTCCCTCACCACCGCCGCCAGCCTCTGAGCGAGTCTCATCAGCCGCACACCATGTCTGCACGCGCACGCACCCTCGCCGCGCTCCCGCGCCAGCTCCACATCTCGCCCGCGACCGCCATCTCCCGGACCCACCTGCTCGCCCTCTACAAGGAGCAGCTGCGCGTCGCCCACTCGTTCGGGAGCTACAACTTCCGCGAGTACTTTATCCGCCGCACCCGCAACAAGTTCCGCGCAGAACTGCCCGCCCTCCTCGACGCCGCCTACGCTTCCCCCTCCTCGACCTCGTCCTCTGCATCGGCGCCGTCCACCTCGTCGCCTCCAGCGTCGACGTCGAGCGCACCAACGACGGCGACCGAGGGCGACTCGCCGGCGCGCGCGCCCGAGGACCGGCTGCGCGAGTGGTACACCGAGTCGCTCGGCGAGCTCGCCGTCATGGCGCGCGCGGCCATCGTCAACGGCATGTACGAGGCGCCCAAGCTTGTCATCGAGGGCAGGGGGAGGGCCATGGCGGTCGGCGGCGGCGGTGCGGGAGCCGAAGCGAGGTGCGTCCCCTTGCCTCTCCTTCCTCTCTCCCTTCCCCTCTCCCCGACGAGCGGGTTATGCGGCGGGCTCTCTCTCCCCTAGGGCGGCCCTGCGTCGCTCGCTATGCACACTCGAGCTTGCGGGAGCGCAGGTCGACGGTGGGCTGCGACGCACCCGTCGAGCAGGCGCTTGCTCGCTTGCAGCACTCCCTGCCCTCGAAAGAGAACCGTACTGACTCTCTTGCGTCTTCCCCTTTCCCTTCGACGCAGCTACGGCGGTGGAGGTCAGCCGGCGGACCCGGCACACCCGCAGACGGGCACGCAGTAGGTGCGAGGGCGCCAGCAGATTGTGTACGAGGCGGCGGCGCGCGAGGGAGACGGAATTTAGACGCCTCGATTCGTGCCCTGTGCGTCCGCGTGAGAGTGTCCTGAGTACGACTGAGAAAGCTTGCGCAGGATGGCCGCCCTTTCTGCTGTGCAAGATGGTCGAGAGCCGCCACCTCGGAGACGACGTCGGCCCTCCCCTCCCTTCTCCGCCACCTCGCATGTTCAGACAAGCTCGCTCGCTCTTTACTCGCCGCCCAATGCCTCAGTACAACGGTCCTACGCTCCCTACCGCCCAGGCGGCTCAGCTCGCCTCGTCGTCGAGCGAGGAGACCGCCTACTTCGCCAACGGGTTCGTCCCTCCTCTCCCTCTCTTTCCCGCCCTCGAGCCTGTCGGGCTGCAGCACCAGTCGCATGCACCCGGACGACGGCTCCTCCTCGGTCGGCCGCTGCAGCACGGCGTGCCGATGAGGAGACGACCCTCCCCCACCACGCGGACTCATCGACTGACAAACCCGCCTCGCGCCGCACACAGCTGCTTCTGGGGGACCGAGGTGCGTCGCCCGTCACCTGTTCCGTTTACCTGGCGGTCGCCCCCCGCGAGCGGCCGCAGCCCCGTCGCGACCAACCTGACGTCGTTCTCTCTCCGCCTGCAGCACATGTACCGCAAGACGTTCAAGGACAAGCTCAACGACGTCAAGGTCGGCTACACCGGTGGCGAGGCAGAGGTGAGCACCCCTTCCTCGTGTCGCCGGGACGTCGTCGCACTCGAACACCTCCTGACCACCTCCCTTGGACCCGCGATCGCAGAACCCCAACTACCGCCAGGTCTGCTCGGGCTCGACTAACCACGCCGAGGCCATCAAGGTCCTGTTTGACCCGGCCAAGATCTCGTACGCCGAGCTGGCCGAGTTCCACTTCCGTATGCACGACCCGAGTGCGTCGTCTGGCTCCCTCTCTTCCCTCCCTCTCTCGCAATGTCTCTCGTCGCTGACCGCATCTTGTCCGTCGTCCGCAGCCCAGGTGAACCGCCAGGGCCCCGACACGGGCACGCAGTACCGCTCGGCCATCTTCACGACCACGGACGCCCAGGTCGAGATCGCCAAGAAGGTGCGCGACGAGGTGCAGAAGGCGCACTACCCGGCCCAGAAGATCGCGACGACGATCGAGCCGGTTGCCAAGTGGTGGGACGCAGAGGACTGTGCGTCGCTGTTCCTCTTCCCCTTCCCTCCCTCGCTCGTGAGCGCTGACCTCTTTCTCCTTTTTGCGCGCGCAGACCACCAGGAGTGTGCGTCGCAGGCCTTCCTCTACTCGCCACGTATCATGACTGACCTCTCGCGTGGACGCAGACCTCGACAACAACCCCGGCGGCTACGAGTGCCCTTCTGTGCGTCCGCTCGTCCCTCTCTCTTCCCAGGTCCTCGACGCCCGCCTCTGAGTTACGGACCTCGACTGACCCACCTTTTTCTCCTCCCGCAGCACCTGCTCCACTGGTAGACACGCCGCATCAACGCGTTCATGTTGTACCGAGTCTGCAAGCGCAAAGTATTTCTCTCTTTCTGCCCTCGAGAGTCTCGAGAGGCTCGCGAGTCAGGCTCGTCCTGCAGAGACACGCTCGGCTTTGGCGTGCTGTACGACGTGCTAACAACCGTCTCGCTCAGGCGAGCACGGGGAACAAGGTCGGCACGCCGTCGTCGTGCGCGCTCGCCGCCGTCGACCCTTCCTCCTGCCCGCTCAAGACCGTCCTGCGGTACTCGCTCTCTGCTTCGCTCCTCTCCTCCTCTGTCGCGTGCTCGAGCGGGAAATGCCTGTCGACCTCGCTCTGCGAAGGAAGCCCGTGCGTTGAGCTCGCCGTGCTGCGAGAGAGCTGCTCTCGCACGCTCGCCGCGAGGAGCCGCTGTACGGCCCAGGTCGGGTGGACGCCGTCGTACCAGAGGTGCTGCATGAGCTGTGCGTGTGCGAGAGAGAAGCAGTGAGCTGTCGTCCTGACGCCGAGAGAGAAGGAGAAAGGAGAAAGCGACGCACGGACCCGCTGCACTCCTCGAGGCTCAGGTTCGCCGGGACGGCGGGAACGCCGCTCCCTCGAGCGTACGACGGGCACCAGCTCTTCGTGTTGACGAAGCCGTACTCGTCGGCCCGGTCGAGCAGCTCGTCGAACCACGACAATAAGTCGAACAGCTCGACGCTCGCACCCGGGTACCGCCTCGGAATCTCGCGCACGTACAGGCGCAGGCCGGCGTTCCACGCCGCGATGGACGCGCCGAGCTTGACCCTGACGTCGCCGACGAGGCGATTCGCCGCGACGACGACGGGCGCGCGCTCGTACGGTGGCACCGAGAAGAGGAGGAAGTGGCGAGCTGGGTGCGGGAGGGGGTCAGTGCGCGCTTCTCCGTCTCGTAGCAGACGTCAGATGCACCTCCGAGAGCGTACAGACGCTCGATTTGAGCGTCAAAGACGGCGAACGTCGTCTGAAGGTGCGGCGCAATCGAGTCGCCGGTCTACCACCGGAACGCGACGTCGTTCGAGCCGAGGAAGATGCTGAACAGGGTCGTCGAAGCGGTCCATCTCGGCCTCGACAGTCTCGAGCTCGTCACGAAGCACGTCACGAACAGATCGACTTGGTCCGAGAGGCTGACGTTGGGCAACATCGGCGCCCTCGCGCCGTGGAGGACGGTTGCGCCCGCGACGGCGAGGTTGTAATGCGACGTGCGCAGGTGCGGTGTACTCATCGAGGAGCCGAGAAAGTCGAGCCATGCTGCTCGGACGGGAAGCGAGTGAGCTCAACGACGTCGAGGAAGAGGTCCGTGCACAGCTCGAGGAAGGCTCACTTGGTCCGCCTGTGCTCGTCTGCGAGAGGTAGTGGGTCAGATCATGCAGGCTCGATACAGATCAAGTGTCACGCACCTTGAGAGGCTGGAGCGATAGGTTGTACCCTCGATGCGCCTCGTACCCGTTGGCCGACCAGCTGTCGCCTGGGCACGCGAACAGTCAGTATCGCTCGCTCGACCGTCATCGAGGGATTCGCCTCGCTAGCGCACCGAACGCGAACCTGGAGGAGCGTCTGATCAGCGGTCGAGTAAAAGAGAGCAGGTCCGAGCGGCGAGCGCACCAGTGTCGCGTGTCCTCCAGAGCGAGTGAGGCTGTAGCTTGCTCGGCGAGCGAGAGGACGAGCAGAGACAGCGCACAGAGCCGAGAGAGCCGCAGGGGAAGCTTCGACGCGAGGCGCGGCTGCATCGTCTGAGCGCGAGCACTGCCGAACGAGAGGAAAGAGCAAAGACGAAGGGCGGCGAGAGTGGCTCAGGCTGCACGGCCGGCCTCCTCGGTCGCCGGGAAAACTCCTTTGGAAGCCGAACCGAGTAGATGTATAGCTCGAGCGGGAAGCCCGCGCAGGGGGAGCTGCCGCCGACTCGGGAGCGCGGGACGAGAGGCGGACAGGTGGCTCGCCGCGGTCCGGGCGGCGCAGCATCCCGTGCGGGCGAGCCAGCGGCGCTGTAGCTGTAGGCGACGAGCACAAGATCGCCCTCGCTCAAGGACGCGGTAGCTCGGGCTCTGTGAGAGCTGCAAGAGCGAGTTACAGATGAAGTCGAGGAGGAGGCGGGACGAGGGTTTGCCGCGACCGTGTGGGCCAGTCTCGGCGCAAAGAGCACAGAGAGTGCTCTGTTGAGCTCTCAGCTACCGCGCACAGGCGCCAAGTGCCCCAGCGATGGGCAAGAGCGGAGGACTGGCCGCTCAACAAAGGCGCGCCGACGCAGTTGGCTCGGCTGCACGTAGAAAGCTCTCGAGGCTCGTGCTCGTGCTCTTCTTCGCCCTCTCGCTCAGAGTCGACGTTCCAGTACCGACATTGCAAGCGAGACAACAGGCACTGCAGCAGAACAGGAGACGAGGGAGTGCGGCAACTACTCGGGGTTCTCGAGGAGCCAGGCAATGGCGCTCTCGAGGAAGCCACCTGCATGACGAGGAAGGATCGTCAGGCTTCGTTTGAGAGACGCAGAGACGGAGAGAGAAGAGAGCGCACCGGACGCCAGCAACGCCCTCACGTTCCTCGTCGCGTTCGTGAAGCCCATGTTGCGCAGTTGCTCGAGCTCGTTCTGCAGGCGAGGCAACGCAAGGAGGGTCAGGACGCCGTGACAGAGACTCAGAGGCACAACGGAATAAAGGAGGAAGGAGGACGCACCGAGTACCGCTCCTCGGGGCTCTGCTGCGGCGCACCCGCCTGCCCGCCCGCACCCGCGCCGGCGCCGCCCATGCCGCCAAACAGCTGCTGCATCTGCTGCAGCTGCGCCATCGCCTGCGCCATGTCGGGCTGCTGCCCCGTCCCGGCGCCCGCACCCTGACCGCCAAGGAGCGCCGCGAACGGGTTCGCCGCCGGGGGAGGGGACCCTGCGCCCGTCGCCGCCTCGCCGCCCGCCGCCGCACCCGCACCCGCGCCACCCGCAGCGTCCGATGACGGCGCAGGCGCTGTCGACGCCCACGGGTTGTACATGCCCGCTCCCGCGCCGGCACCACCCTGCTGCCCTCCCTGCGCGCCCGCACCGCCGAACCCGCCGAGCCCGCCGAGGCCGCCCATGCCGCCCATGCCGGGCATGCCGCCACCGCTGCGCATCATCTGCGTCATCTGATGCATGAGCTGGGGGTTGGAGAGCATCTGGCGGAACTGAGGCGACTGCGAAAAGGACGAAGAGTGAGTCGGGCCCGCCGATGTCGCCAGAAAGGAGGCGAACAAGGGGCGCACCTGCATCATCTGGCGGACCATGGGACCCATCTGCTGCAGCTCAGGGCTCGAGGCGATCTGCAGAGGCGCGAAGCGAGAGTCAGGCCGGGCCGACGCAAGACGAGGCTCGAGAGCATACGACGCACCATCTGGTCGATGACGGCCGGGTCCTGGAGGAGCTGGTTCATCTGCGCCTGGACCTCGGGGTTGTTCATCATGCTCTGGATGTAGTTGGGGTCGTTCGGGTTGACGCCCATCTGCTGGAACGGGTTGAACCTGGCGGGGCAGAGCGAGTCAGTGCCGCTTCTTCCTCGACTCGGACGCACAGGGGAGGGATAGGACGCACCCGCCAAGCTGTCCAGCGTACTGCGCGTTCATGAGAGGCGCGAGCGGGTTGCCCATGACCTGCTGGCCCGCGGCAAAGTTGGACGGGACGCCGGCGGCCTCGGACGGCAGACGTGCGGCGGGCGTAGAGCCGGTCGCGGCGGCGCCAGCGGGGCGAGCGCCCTTGACCTGCGGAAGGGAGTCAAGGTCAGGTCGGGCTTTGCGCGAGTCTCGGCAGACGAGACGATGGCGCGACCGGTTCCACCAGGGGTGAGAGAGAGAGAGGGGCGTACGAGGTGGATGGCGACGCCCGACTTGACGCCGTACTTGGTGAGGAGGTCCTCGTTCTTGAGCACCCTGCCGGAGAAGATGAGCTGCGCAGGGAGGCTAGGCGGGTCAACCAGCCGAACACGAGGGGAGTGGGCCGATGAGGAGGAGGAGGTGAGGGGACGCACGCGCTGCTGGTCGACGGGGAACTCGTCCTTGTCCTTGGAGATCTGCAGGAGGGTGTGAGTAGTCAGTGCGCTGCCTCGCCGCAGGGCTAGAGCGGGCGGGAGAGAGGCTCACCGCCTCCTTGAGGTCAGCGACCGTGGCGGTCGACGGGACCGAGACCGAGAGCTTGAGATCGCTCGGGCCCTTGATGTTGAGCGTGAACTGGTCTGTCGAGTCTGCCATGGCGTGCTGGGTGCTCTGCAGCGGGCTGAGAGAGCGAGAGTGGGGGCAAGAGGTGACGAGGCCGCCGCCCTCTCCGCGCCCAAGTCCTGCGAGACGCGCTCCCCCTCCCCTGAGCCTCGCTCAGACCTCCTTTGCTCGCTGGCTCGCTCGAGTCTCGAGGTTCTCTCGAGCATGCAGGTGGCAGGTCGCGAACTGCTGAGCGAACGTGTTGCTGCGCGAGAAGCGCGCTACAGTGAGGCCCGAGAGAGAAAGAGAGGGGGAGGAGGAGGAGGACAACGACGACAGCTACAGGCGCACGACGGGGCGCATCGACGGGTATACGGCTACAGAAGGGGGGGGGGGGGGGGGGGCGAGGCAGTCTATGACAACGCGACCGTGTGGGGAATGCGTAGGGGAGGAACAAGGGCGAGGGAAGGAGGCTCGTGAGGCGCAGGATCGGGCTCTAGTGGTGGAAGGCGGCGCCGGTGTGCTGACGAGCGGCGATGTGGCGCTGCGCGTTGCCACTGCGAGTGTGGTTGCCGGCGGCGCCGTGCGACGAGCGCATGCGGACGCAGCGGTCGCCCGAGAGCGACGGCCGGTAGCCCGTCTTGCAGCTGAACACGACGCACGTGCCCGCCGAGCAGCCGACGCCGGCCGCACCGCGAATCTGGGTGCAGTCGAGGCCCTCGCCGGTCGAGGCGCAGCCTCCGCACGAGTCGAGCGCCTCGGAGGTGTCGATACACTCGTCTGCGGGTTTGGGAAGGTCAGTTCGAGGTCGACGACGACGACGACGAGAAGAAGGGAGGGCATGCGACGCACAGCCACCGGAGCCACCCATCATGGACGAGGTCTCGACAGCCGAGAGCTGCTTGACGGCGCCCTCGAACGACGACGAGCCGACGATCGGGCACGCCGTCTCGCCGGTCGGGCAGAGCGTCTTGGGCTTGGTGATCTTGTCCTTCTTGACGCGCGCCTTGCCCGACGCGCTGAGCACACAGCCGCCGGCGTTGAGGAGGTACCCGCTCGGGCAGCCCGTGATGACGCACTTGCTCTTGGAGCAGGTGCCCGTCGCGCCGTTCGGCGAGAACTTGCAGACGTTGTTCAGCGCGCCGCTGTGAAGACAGTCGGGTCAGGTGCGGCTCGTCGAGAGCTGAAAGAGAAAGAGGGAGAAGCAGAAGACGTACCAGTTGTTCGGGTCGCTCGTAAAGTCGAACGACTTGCACGACCCGCCGACGAGCGACATGCCCGACGAGCACGCCGTCGCGAGACACACGCCCGACGAGCAGATCTGCGAGCTCGCGCCCGTGACGCCGCACTTGTTGCCGACCGAGCCGCTGCAGGAGAGGCGAGGCGAGACGGTCAGTGACGGACAGGATGGGAGTTGAGAAGGTCGAGGCGGCGAGGGACTGACCAGTTGCTCGTGTCGCACGACACGTCACGGCAGAAGTTGTAGGTCGTGTCGAACGCGTAGCCCGACTTGCACGAGGTCGAGCAGACGCCGTCGTTGCAGGTCGACGAGCCGCCGTTGGCGTACGTGGACGGGCACACGTTGCCGATCTTGCCGCTGCACGAGAGGGAAAAGAGGGTCAGTGCGGCACTCTCGGCAGGAAGATGGACCCGAGGAGAGACGGACCAGTTGCTGATGTCGCTCTGGAGGTTGATCTGGGAGCACTGGCCGTTCAAGAGCGTGTAGCCCGAGTTGCACGACGTGTATGCGCACGAGCCCGCCGAGCAGACAGCCGAGCCGAGCGACGTAGGGCAGATCTTGCCAACGGCGCCGCTGCGAGGAGAGGAGAATCAGTCGAGCTCGCAGAGGAGGAGAGGGGAGGAAAGAGAGACGAGAGGAGGAAGGGGAGGCGCACCAGTTGGCGGCGTCGCTCTGGAGGTTGAGGGACGTGCACGTGTTGCTGCCCGACAGCTGGTAGTACCCAGTGTTGCACGACGAGAGCTTGCACGCGCTGTTGCTGCACGAGCCTGCGCCGTTCTGGAACGAGCAGGCGTAACCGACGGCGCCGCTGCGAGACGACGAGAGCGAGGTCAGGTCGGGCTCGATGAGGCGCAAGAGAAGAGAGGACGTACCAGTTGAGGACGTCACTGGTCGTGTCGACCGCAGAGCACGACGTCGACGAGCCGAGGAGGCCGAACAGCGAGCTCGACGTCGTCATCTTGAAGCCGTCCTTGCACGACGCGAGCGTGCACGTGCCCGACACGCACTGCGCGTTGCCGTTCTGGTAGCTGCAGACCTTGGCGACGGCGCCGCTGCGAGAGGGAGAGAGTGAGCATGGCCGGCTCGGCTCGGCTCGACGAGAGGGAACGAGGCGTACCAGTTGTTGACGTCGGTCTGGAGGTTCAGGGCCGTGCACTGGTTGTTGACGTTGTACCAGCCGCTGTTGCACGAGGTCGTCGTACACACGCCGGACGAGCAGGTGCCGGCGCCGTTCGAGAAGCTGCAGACGCGGCCGAGGGCGCCACTGCGAGGTTGACGAGGGTTCAGCGCTGCGGCTCTCTCGCCGAGACGAAGAGAAAGGGTACGACGAGACGCACCAGTTGTTGATGTCCGAGGCCGTGTTGATCGCCGAGCACGACTGGGACGAGCCAAAGAGGCCGAGGAGCGAACCGCTCGTCGACAAGGTGTACCCGCTGTTGCACGACGCGATCGAGCAGCCGCCGGACGAGCACTTGCCGAGGCCGTTCGAGACCGTGCACTTGTTGCCGACGCTGCCGCAGTTGTTGACGTCGGTCTGGAGGTTGAGCGTGACGCACTGGCCGCCGACGAGGTAGAAGCCCGAGTTGCAGCTCGTCGTCGTGCAGGTGCCGGACGAACAGGTGCCGGCGCCGTTGGCGAACGCGCACACCTTGCTGATAGCGCCGCTGTAGGTCGGCGAAGGTCAGTAACCCGAGGGAGGAACGAGCCCGAGGCGAGGGAGAGCGGGCGCACCAGTTGTTGACGTCGGATGCCGTGTTGACGGCCGTGCACGTCTGGGACGAGCCGAGGAGGCCAAACAGGTAGTTGCTCGTCGAGAGCGAGTAGCCGACGTTGCACGACGCGATGTTGCACGAGCCGCTCGAGCAGCCGGCGACGCCGTTGCTGACCGAGCAGACGTTGCCGAGGGAACCGCTGCGACGACGAGAGGCTGCGTCAGGAGCGCGCTCAGGCGTGACGAGGGAGGACGAGCAAGACGCACCAGTTGTTCGGGTCGCTGGCGGTGTTGACGCAGGACCGGGTCGCCGTGTTGAGCGTGTAGCCCGAGCTGCACGACGCCGGCGCGCACTGACCGCTCAGGCACTGAGCGCCCGAGCCGTTGGGCCAGCCGGTCGGGCACTTGTAGCCGACCGTACCGCTGCAGGAAGGCGAGAGAGAGAGTGTGAGCGCCTCGCTCGGTCGGACGACCAGGGGGAGGGGAGAAGACGCACCAGTTGAGCGAGTCCGTCTGCGTGTTGACCGTGCTGCCGCCGCCGAGGCACAGTCCGAGGAGACACAGGCGCTTCTCGAGGTGCTTGGCGGGAGCGGGAGAGGTCGCTGCCACCGAGGGATCGGCGGCGACGAGCCATGCCGTGAGGGCGACGATGGTGAGGGCGAGGGTCGAGCGCATCTTGAGTTGGTGCGGCGAGGCGAGTTCTTGAAGGAGTGACGAGGTCGCTGCAGCCGGGGCGTGCTAGGCGAAAGAGACGAGGACGGCGAGGCGGGAGAGCGGGACGAGACGACCGTCTGCCAGAGAGGTCGAGTCGACGAAGGAGGAGGAGGTCGAGGTGGTCGACCACGTGCGGGTCGACGAGGCGACGGGGCGCGGTCTACGCGTGCGGTGTAGTAGGGGACGGACGAGGAGCAGGAGAGGGAGAAGGGGGACAAGCCCGAGAGAGCGGGCGGGACGAGGCGACAGCGAGCGCGAGTTCCCTGAACGGACCTGCGCCTTGATGAAGGGCGGGTCCAGCCTGGCTCTCACCTCGGCGAGTGACGAGAGTGCCTGGAGGCGGGATCCGGCAACGAGATTTAGGCTCGGCTGCACTCGCACCGCAGGCAAGGGCGTGCTCGAGACTCTCGAAGCGGGCGAAAGCTCGAGAGGCGCAGCGGGCGGTCTCGCCGCGAGAGGAAGGTGATGGACGAGATGAAGCGGGCGGCCGGGCTCCATCAATGCGTAGGCATGAGGGATCGGGCCGGAGCCTTGAGCAGCCGTTTCCTCGCGCGGAGGGCGCCAGTGGTCGAGATGGCGGGAGAGCTCGAGGGTGGCTGGCCGGAAGAGGCGAGAGGCGCCATCAACTCTGTCGGCGGCAGATCTGGCGCTTGCGCTGGAGCCGCTCTGGCACACGCGCATGCCCTGGCTCTCCTTCATCGCTCCTTGAGAGCCGGGAGAGGCCAGAGAGCCGGTCGCCGGCGGTCGGTCGAGCTCGAGGAAAGGGCAGCGCGGGCGAGCGCGCCGCGGGTTGAGCTCGCGCGTGTCCGCTGCGCGTCGAGCCGTGTGCCCGTGTGCGCGAGCTGGACCGGTAGCAGCTGGAGCTGGAGGCGGTGTGGAGCGAGGTCGGATGTCGACGGCGACTTCGCGACTTCGGCGGCTCGGCGTCATCTCCCTTGCTCTCCCACCCTCGCTACCGCACAAGGTGCTCGGTCCAAGATCAGCTTTGCCAACAGCATGCTCGGTGGACTCGCTTCCAAGGTCGGCTTTGCAAACAGTCGTGCGTTCGACATCGACGCCGACCTCCCCGACCTCTCGGGCAAGGTGCGTCCTCCGCTCTCTCTCTCTCACACATGCGAGCTGAGCAGCGGTTCCACCCACGCAGGTCGCCGTCGTGACGGGCGGAAACGACGGCATCGGCTTCATCACGGTCCGCGCACTCTGGCGCAAGGGCTGCAAGGTCTACCTCGCCTGCCGCAGCGAGCAGAAGGCCCGGGATGCCATCGCGCGCCTCACCAAGGAGCACCCGGGCAGCGACCACACCCTCGTGTTCCTCCCGTTCGACCTCACCCAGCTCGCGTCGGCCAAGAAGGCGGGCGAGACGCTCGAGCAGAACGAGTCGCGCCTCGACATCGTCGTCTGCAACGCCGGCGTCATGGCCTGGCCGTACGAGCTCGTCAACGGCGTCGAGGTCCAGTTCTGGAACCACCTCGGCCACTTTGCGCTCGTGCAGGCCGTCCTTCCGCTCCTCAAGAAGACGGCGCAGGCCCCTGGTGCGACGAGCGTCCGGGTCGTTAGCGTCTCGTCGGTCGGTGCGTCCCGTCACCCTTTCCTGCGCCCCGATTCACCAGCGAGAGCGTACTGACCCTTCGTGCGTGTCGTACAGCCCACCAGATGAGCCCAAAGCCCGACTACAGCAGCCTCGAGAGCGTCAACCGCCAAATGACGAGCACGTGGCAACGATACGGCCAGAGCAAGCTCGTGCGTCCTGCTTCTCTCTATCCAGAACTCAGACGACAAACCTGACCGAGATTTGCGACCTGCAGGCCAACATTCACTTTGCCGTCGCGCTCCAGAACCGCCTCGAGGGCGAGAACATCCGGGTCCGTCCTCGAGCGCTCTCTCCGTTCCTGCCTCTCCCTAACTTTCCCCCTCATGCGCCGCAGGTCAACACGCTCCACCCGGGCAACATCAACACGTCGCTCATGCGCGGGCCCGTCGCCAGTTACGGCTTCTTTGGCGTGAGTCGCTTGTCCTCTTCCTCTCGCTCTCGCACCGCCGTGACTGACCCTGCCTCACTCTCTGCTCCCAGAAAGTTATCAAGGCGACGACGAGCAGGTTCCTCATGACGCCCGACGATGGCGCCAAGACGCAGATCTACCTCGCCGCCTCGCGCGAGGTCGACGAGAAGGACTACCGGTGCGCCGACCTTTCCTCCTCTCGTTTCGCGGATCTTGACTGACGAGGTCACCCTCCGCAGCGGCAAGTACTTTATCCCGATCGCGACGCCGGCGACGCCGACGGCGTATGCGCAGGACAAGGAGCTCGCGGACCAGCTTTGGCGCCTCTCGGAGGACCTCGTCAAGCAGCTCAGCACCTAGAGATTGTCTCTCTCTTTCCCTCTCAGTAGTTCCGACGTCCCTGTAACGCTCTCGAATCGTGTCGTACTCGTTTAGAATCTGAGAGCGAGAGAGAAAGTGTCTGCAGAGAAGAACGAGCTACACAAAGTACAGTGCGACTGCGGACAATGGACGACGACGGCACCGACGAGGGACAGAGACTCTCTAAACACAGGGTAACGCGCTCCGCCGACGCTCGCCTCGCTCGACCGCGCGCTCACTCGGTCGCGCCGCCAGGCATTGCCCCCAACTGCTCCTTGAGCGCCCTCACCCTGGCCTCGAGCGCATCAAGCTCGCGCGCAAGCGCACCGACGTGCCCATGCTCGGCGCCTCGACCGTCGCCGCCAAACTCGACGGGCGCAGCTGTCGGCGCGAGAGCTCCCGACGCCCGGACCGCCTGCGGCTGCTGCGCGGCAAAGTAGTGGTGCAGGACGTCGCGCACGGCGTTGGCGACGTCTTGCGGGTCCTGCTGAGCGGGAACGACGCCGACTGGAGCGACGGCGGGCGGCAGAGGCCCGAGCGCGCCCGAGCCCGACCCGGACGACGTCTCGCCGGCAGCGACGCGTCGCCGTGCGCGCTCGGCCGGGTGCACGTCGTGGCTCGCCGTGCGCAGGGTCCACAGGTTGGACAGGACGAGGATGGCGACGACGGCGCCGAGGAGGAGCGACTGGGGCGACTGGTGCGCGAGGTGCTCAAAGACGGGCTCGAGCGCGCTCCACAGCGGGGCGAGGAGGCCCGTGCGCTCGCGCACAGAGGCGAGCTCGGCGGCGACCGACGCGTCGACGCCGTCCTCGGCCGTGGCAGATGCGGTCGCGACGAGGCCGTCGACCGAGTCGAGGTCCGACTCGTCGTCGTCCGGGTCGTGGCCCTCCTCGACAAACTCGTTGCGGTGCGTCGCGATGTAGGCGCGCATCGCCTTCTCGAGGTCGGTGTGGTACTGCTTCTGGCCGTCGATCGCCGACTTCTCGATGATGCCTGCGAGGGAGAAGAGGGTCAGGGCTTTGAGGCGACGAAGACGACGGCTCAGGCGAGAGAGCAAGCGAGGGACGTACCCTTGATGAAGCTGCTCTTGGTCCACTCGACGCCTGTCGTGACGACGACCCGGCAGAGGTTGCCCTTGGCCCAGGTCATGCTCGTGCGCGTCTTGACCGAGAAGGCGCTCCCGCTCGGCACGTCGGGCGTCCTCGTCGTCGTGACGACGCACACAAAGTCGTCAAAGTCGACGTGCGCCGACTCGTCGGTGATGAGGCACTTGGTCTGGCGGGGCCCGATCGAGCCGTTGAGGGGCTTGATGTACGACATGGAGCGCGCGAGGAGGTTGGACCCAGAGGCTTGAGGCGCCCAGTCGCCGATCTGGATCTCTGCGGGTGCAACGATGAGTCAGGTCCCGCGCGCGAGAGAGCGAGAGGGAGAGAGAGGGAGAGAGAGGGAGGAAAGTCGAGGACGCACCCATGAGCTTCTGGTTCTCGGTCCAAAATCCTTTCATGAACCCGCTCGTGAACATGAGGTTGTAGATCTTCTCCGGCGCGCCCGGGAACTGGGCGTCCATGCACACCTCCTTGAGGTTCTTGAGCGTCGGGCACGTGTCGATCGTCGGCGCGTGAGGCGGCGTCGCGGCGCCGCCGCCCTTCTTCTTCTTCTTGTTGCCGGCCGCCCCTCCCTCGTCGTCGTCGTCGCCGTCGACGCGGTCCTGCGCGCCGCCCGACGCCCTCGCCGCTGCCCCACCTCCACCGCCGCCGGGCGACGAGCGCACGCCCCCGTCGACGACCGCCTTGCCGCCCTGCGCGCTCTCGCCCATCCCGCCGCGCTTCCTCAGGCCCTTGAGCCGCCGCTTGGCCCGGCTCCCGACCCCCTCGTTGCTCTGCGACACCTCGACGCCGCTAGCGCTGACGGCCGTCGCCGCCGAGAGCCCACCGCCGCCGCCGACCGGGCTCGACTCGTCGTCGCTCTCGTGCTCGTGGCCCGTGCGCGACGTCGACGTACTGAGGGCGTCGGGGAGCGCCGCCGAGAGCGGGATGACCGGGTGGATCATGCGCCAGATGTTGCCGATGAGGTCGTAGGTCGTGTCGCGCGACAGGAACGACGCGAACGTGTGCTGCAGGTCGACGAGCGTCGTGGGCGCGAGCGTGAGGGCGAGGGTGGACGACGGCGCCATGATCGGGCGGGGTGTGGTGCATGGCGAGGAGGAGAGAGAGGGAGAGAGAGGAAGGGAGAGGGCGGACGAGTCGAACGAGGCGATCGAACGACGAGGTGCGGGAGGGGTGAATAGGAGACGGTCAGCTCGCGCCTCTTTCCCTCTCGGGCCCGCCTCGAGAGAAGCGAGAGGGAGGAGAGGACGTACACGAGCGTGCATGGTGGCGACCTGGATGGCGTTGGGGATCACGTAGGCCGTCATGCGCTTCTCGATGGAGCACACCTCGGAGAACGGGATGACGAGCTGCGACGGTCGAGCCTCGTGAGTGACGGCGGCGACGACGACATGTCTCGAGAGAGAAAGGCAGGGACGCACCGAGGTGACCCAGCCAAAGATGTTGGCGTAGAACGACAGGTGATGCTCCGAGATGTAGAGCCGGCCCTGGATGAGGATCTCGCGCTGCAGCGCACAGCCATAGTCTGCGGGTGCGCCAGCTCGCCGGTCAGGGAAAGTTCTTTCGCTCGTCTCCTGAGAGAAAGAGAGGGAGAGGGCGCACCCTCGATGAGGTAGTCGTCGTCGGGCACGTTCTTGAACAGGGCGTGAAAGTCGGCGTTGCGCTTGCTGCTCGCGACGGCGTAGCCCGTCCCGAGCTGGCTCACGACGTCGTCGTAGTCGCCGAGGTGGTCCATCGACAGGAACGCGCTCGCGTGGTCGCCGTGGTGCCCGAGGTAGACGGACGACGACCCGGCGCCGTCCGACTCGTAGCCTGCGCCGCCGCCGCCGTTGGCGTGGTACGGCGCACCCGCCGCAGCCGCAATGTGCGACTCGAGCGACGTCCTCGCGCTCGCCTGCGGCGGCGCGACGTGCGTCGGCGAGCCAGCCGCCGCGCCTGCGCCCGGGCTCGCCGGCGCCCTCTCGCGCTCGCCCTCGCCCGCCCCTGCCGCCCCTGCCGCAACAGCAGCAGCCATGAGCCCGGCGCCGAGCGCGACGCCCGGCGGACGTGCCCCTCCCGGCGTCGCGAGCGACACGCCGCTGAGCGCGAGCGCGCCGGCGATGCCGCCCTTGGCCGACGGCCCGCCGCCGCCGCCGTTGGACGAGCCCGAGCCGGCTTTGCGGCCCCGAGCAGGCGAGTACGAGCGCGCGCCGCTCGCCGCCGAGCCGAGCCGCAGGGCGCTCGCGGCGAGGTGCGGCTCGCCCTGGTGCGGCGGCGGCGGCGGGTGCGGGTGCGGGTGCTGCGAGTTGATGCTGTTGGAGCGGCTGACGGGCCTGCTGCCGAGCCCGGCTGGAGCTGCGCCTCGCGACGACGCGCGCGACATGGACGGCGGCGAGGCCGTGCCGCTGCCCGAGCCCGTGCCAGGGCCGGTGCCCGAGCCCGAGCCCGACCTCGCCGCCGCCGCCGCCGGGGCGCCCGAGCGCGAGCTGGGCCCGCGATTGATGGCCTCGAGCGCGTCGAGGCCGTTGTGGGGGTGGCGGGCCGCCGCGAGAGGGGCGCTGCGGAGGACGGCCTCGGACGAGGTGTGGGACCGAGGGCGGGCGTGGACGGGCGAAAGCGACGACGACGACGACAGCGCGTCGGGAAGGGGCTGCGAGTGGGTGCTGCTGCCGAGCGTCGTCGCCGTCGGGTCGAACAAGGGCTCGTGCGAGGCGAGTGGGGTGCGGTGGTCCGAGTACGAGGTCGGGGTCTCGATGTCGTGGTCTGCGTCGGGGTGGAGGTGGTAGTCGTAGTGGTCGTGGCCGTCCCTCGACGATGCCGAGTGGGCTGCGAGTTCTGGTGCCTGGACGACGAGGGTGAGGCCGGCGCCGGTCGTGGTCAACGAGGACGAGGGGTGCGAGGGCGGCGGGGCGAGGTGGTGGAGCGAGAGGGAGCCCTCGCCGATGGCGTGTGTTGCAGTCGAGGGCGAGTCGAACGAGGGGCGGTCGAGGTGTGCCGAGCCGAACGACGAGGCGCGAGAGGTGGGGCGACGCACGAGGGCGTGGTCGTCGGGGCGAGGCGGACGAGGGTGTAGGCGCGATGGCGGGTTGGGGACAGCGAGGTCGGTCGATAGGTGACCTTGTGTCCTGCCCTTGACGGGCGTCGTGTAGCTGCGCTGCTGGTGCGAGGTGCGACTCGAGGGCGGGGACGATGCCGAGGAGGGAGGAGGAGGAGCGTGGTCGTCGTGCTCGAGCTGGACCGACTGGGGCGAGTCTGGGCCTGGTGACCCGCTCGATGGGGGCTTGCGCTTGAGCCGGGACAGCATGGGTCCGGCTCGGGTTGGTGTGGGAGAGCGAGAGAGCGAAGAGGCCAACGAGCGAGCTGGTTGCGTTCCTCCCTCAACCTCGCCCCAGACTCGAGCCATGTGAGCACCGTCCAGCCCTGTCCCACTAGCCTCACTCGCTCACTCGAACCCACACAGGAACCCGCTCGGTGCCCCCGTCGTCCGTCTCTCCCTTCCTCCCTCTTCCTCCCTCATCCTCATCTCTTCTCAGCTCCACCTCGCTCCTCTGTCCCTCTGCAGCCTGCTGACCACACACACCGAACCAGGCCTCTACCTCGATCGACGCCATCGTCGCCAACTCGACCCGCATCGCCGACAGCTTTGTCACGCGCTACTACGCCGTGCAAGACCTCGCCCCGCTCGAGCGCGCACACGCCATCCACACCCTGTACGCCCCAGGCGCCCGCATCTCGTGGAACGGCAACCCGATCCCGCCCACCAGCCTCGCCGAGTTTGCCCAGTCGATGCCCGAGAGCTCGCACGACGTCCAGGCTTTCGACTGCCACCCCATCTCGGGTCCGTCTCCCTCTCTCTCGTCTCTCGTTGGACGTTCCTCACTGGCTGCGACACACTCGCACGCAGGCTCAGCGTCTGGCGCCTCGCCGCCCTCGCTCGTCGTCACCGTCTCGGGCCAAGTGACGCACGGGCCCAACCCGACCCCGTCGAGCGCGGCCGTCACCAACAAGAACTTTGACCACCTTCCGCGCGTCTTCAGTCAGAGCCTCATCCTCACCCCGTCGGCCGACCCCAACAACCCGGGCGAGGCCGGCTACCTCGTCGCGAGCGACTGCTTCCGCTTCTGCTGAGCCCGGTCGTCGTTCGACCCGGTTCGACTCGAGCCAGGTGCGTCGAGCGAGCTCTCTGGTTCTCCCTCTCTCTCTGTGAGGTGAGCGCCGACTAACGCTTCTTATCGGCCGCAGATACCCTCCCACCGCGCCTCGCGCTCCGCATACCCGCTCTCGTCAACACGACGGCGCGCTCCGTCCCGCACTGCAATGTCTTTCGACCACCTCGACTTGTCTTTCGCTCGCTCGCTGCACAGAGACACATCTCGCGGATAGAGAGAGAGAGAGAAAGGCGCATGCGCGAAGAGAGTAAGAGAGAGAACGAGGTACAAGTTACAGGCGCCGCCGCGCGCACGACACGCTCCACCGATCTATGCTCCGCCGCCCACATCGACGAAGGTGGCTCAGACGGCCTTGGCCGGGGTCTGGGTAAGGAGGCTGTGGGAGAAAGAGGGCGAGGGTCAGCGCCACCGCTCAGAAGATCCAGCAGGCGAGCTCGACGAGAGGGCTCGACGGGCGGGCATGCTAGTGCTCGGGCGAAGATGGACGTACATGCCGACTGTGTGAGGGCAGCTCGGTCAGTGACGGCTCCTTCGTCTGCTCGAGGGGGGAGGAGGGACGAGGACGCACAGCGCTTCTTGATCGTGACACGGTGGCGCGAGTACTTGTCGTCGGGCGAGAAGCGGGCTGCGTTCAAGGGCATGGTCCAGATCAGTCTCGAGTTCACGAAGAGAAAGTCCACGAGGATGAAAGGCGAGGCGAGAGGACGCACCAGGGTGAGCGCTGCGGGTCGGGAGGCCGGCGGCGTTGACCTTCTTGAGGGTGTAGAGGCGCTTGCCGTCCGGGCCGGCACTGTACGACGTAGCTTGTCAGCTCTGTCCGTGCAGCAGGAGAGGAGCAGAGGCGGACGCACGAGTACATCAAGTGCATGGTCGGGGTCGGAGAGGTGGGCGAAGTGAGGACAGGAGGAAGGACGGTGCGCGCGGGGCGAGGAGAGCTGACCAAGGTGCAGGCGAGGTTTGCGAGGTCGCACAGGGCGGCGAGAGGTCGAGGACGGCGGGGAGATGAGGTCGAGGAGGAGGCGGAGAAAGATGAGCGAGGGCGGGAGGGGCGAGGGAGGCGAGGGTCAGCTGGGTGCTGCTCCCGAGGAGCCTCAGAGAGTGCAGGGCTCACCTAGACTAGGCTGGAAGCGGTGCGAGTGAGACGGGAACGAGGTGCGGCGACGCTCTCTGCTTGGTCCCGCAGCCAAGTCCAAACTTCCCTCGCAACCTCCCCTGAGCCTGGCAGCCACGGTCAAATCTCAAATACAAACGGCTGAGCGAGATCAGGAAGTTGGCTCGATCTCCACAGCGCTTCATCACCGCTCGGCCTCGTCAACGTCGCGTTCACCTCGACTCGCAGCTCGATCCTGGATCTCTCTCGCCAGTCTCCTCCTGCACCTGCACACTCGACGACGCTGGCCTCCCGTCGCCTCGCCCACGTTACCTCGGCCCTCTCGCTCTCCTCCCGCCCCACAATGTCGCTCGTCGCGCCCTCGCTCCCCTCGTGGGTCGACAACCTCCGCTCAAAGGTGACCGACAACCTCAAGCAGAACAAGGACCTCATCTCGTACGCCCTCGCGACCCACGACACGGCCACACCGCACTCGGACGCTCCCGTGCCCCGGGTGCGCTACGTCGTCCACCGCGGGTTCGTCAACGAGCGCCGCAAGGACGGCGACGGCTCGAACAACGCCGTCAAGGACCACAGCGACAAGGACCTGATCAGCGACAAGCTCGTCATCACGACCGACGCGAGGTGAGCAGGCTCCCTTCCCCTCGTCCTCGCGTGCCCTCATCTTTCCGAGCGACGCCTGACAATCCTCCCTTTGCACCGCGCGACAGGTCCCCCAAGGCCCGCCAGCTCGCGTCGACCCCGACAGTCGAGATCGCGTGGTGGCTCGCAGCGACGCAGCACCAGTTCCGCTTCCTCGGCCGCGCCTACGTCCTCGCCTCGCCCTCCTTCTCCTCCGCTACCAACACCAAGCCCTTCCCTTTCCCGTCCGAGCACCTCGCGCCGTACGGCGACTTTTCGTGGGAGGACGAGCGCATTCGCCAGTTTCGCAAGATGTCGCCCGAGCTGCGCGCGAGCTTCTGCCGCCCTGTGCCGGGCACGACCGTCGCCGCGTGGGGCGGCAAGCTCGAGGACCTGCCCGTGACGCTCCCCGAGGGCGTCGACAAGGCCGAGAACGACGAGCAGAAGAAGCAGCTCGAGCAGGGTGCGTGCGCGCCTTCTCTCCCTCGACGGTTCTCTCTCAAGGTGCCAGCGCATTGACCGTTCTCCATCGCGCACACAGCTCTAGAGAACTTTGCCCTCGTCGTCATCGACTGTACCGAGGTGGACCTGTACGTCGTATCCTTCCTTTCCCCCTCTCTCCCTCTCGCCCTCTCGAGCCGACGAACTGACCCAGCTTGTCTCTCGCGCAGCGTCGACCTCGGCTCGCAGCCCAACACTCGCACGCGGTGGACGTTCGACACGGCCTCGAACGAGTGGAAGGAGGAGGAGCTCGTCCCCTAGATTCCCTCCTCGCCCGTCTCGCTTTCCGTCCCTCTCTCGTACACAGGCTCGTGCGCAAAAGCGATTGTTGTCCTCTCGGCGCTCTCGACGACTGCGAGAGTGAGAGTGAGAGATAGAGAGACGTTGATAAAGCGTTGAGTGACGCAGTGTCTGTATTGCACGAGCGCGGCGAGCATGGCGCTCACTCGGGCTCGTCCCACTGCCCGTCGTCGCCTCCTGCTCCAAGCCCGCCGCCCTCGCCGTCTCGCGCCGGCTTGCTCACGCCCGCCGCCGCCATCGACGCCGTCAGCTCCTCGGCGCCGCCGTACACGACCCCGCCCTCGCTCTCGAAATGCGGCAGCGCCGGCTTGGGCGACGGCGGCCTCGGCGTTGGGCTCCCGCTGCGGTCCCTCGCCTCGCGCCCGCCCTCGTCGCCGCCGTCGTCGTCGTCGTCGCGCCCGTCATCGACCGAGGCCCACCGCGAGCCGAGGCTGAAGCTGCTCATCGTCGTCTGCTGCCTCGGCTCGCGCCTCCTCATGCGGGGCTGCGCTCCAGGCTGCTGCGTCGTCACGCCGGCGCCGCTCGAGCGTGGTTGCGACGAGCTCGGCGACTCGGGCGGCGACGACGAGAACGGCGACGCGACGAGCTCGGGCGAGTCGACCATGACGCCGCTCCCCTCGTGGTCGCCGTGGCCGTTCGAGGGCGGCGGCGACGTCGGCGGCGTACCGTTCGAGTTGCCGCTGCTCGCCCGACGCACGTTGGCGGCGCTCAAGAGGCCCTTGAACTTGGCGGCGGCGCTCATGGCGAGGAAAGCGCTGCCGCGATACGCGGCGAGGGCGTGGTCGACCTCGTCCGAGGACGGGTCGGCGATCGGCGAGGCGACGTTGGCGTCGTAGGCCGGGAGCGGGTCGTTCGAGGACGCGGTGACCCAGGGATCGGACCAGAGCGAGGGAAGGGAGGGACGGGTGAGGGGGTCCTTGATGAGGAGGGAGGTGAGGAGGTGCTGCAGGTCGGGCGACAGGGTCGTCGGTATTTGCGGGCTGCGGGAAGAGTGTGGGTCAGTCAAAATGCAGACAATGGAAGAGCGAGAGAGAGCGGACGTACTCGTCCTCGCGGATCTGCCGGAACATCTCGACCGGGTCTGACGCCTGGAACGGCAGCTTGCCCAGCACGAGCGCGTACAGGGTGACACCTGCGCACGACAAGCGCCGTTAGTTACCATGCCCGTGGTCCCTGAGAGAGAGAGAGAAAGAGAGAATAGGGGCGCACCGAGGCTCCACACGTCGCACGCGTACCCGACCGCGTTCGCCTCCTCGGGCGTCGTCGCCGTCTCCTCGCGCTCCTGCTCGGCCGCACTCGTCCCGCCGTTCGACGCGAGAAGCTCGGGCGCCATGTACGCCGGGCTGCCGGCGACGCCGTTCTCCTCGACGCCTCGAGGCGCGTCGGCGGCGAACTTGGAGACGCCGAAGTCGACGAGCTTGACCTTGGTGTGGTCGGCGTCGGCAAAGAGGGCGTCTGCGTGTTGGACAGGAGGGTCAGACGAGTCCAGACAGAGACGAAGAGGAGGAGGTGGACGCACTGTCGGGCTTGATGTCGCGGTGGATGATCTGGTTGTGGTGCAGGTACGCGAGGCCTGTCGAGGGGAGGAACGTCAGGGACTGGGCCGCATGCGCAGGATGGCGCGAGAGAGAGAGAGAGACGGACCAAGGACGAGTTGCCGAAAGATGTTGCGCGCCTCGTCCTCGCTGTACGGCGTCACCTGCTCGCCGTCTCGGACCTTGAGGATGGGCCCGCCGTCGCACAGCTCCATGACTGCGGCAAGGAGACCGTCAGTAAGGGCACAAAGAGGGAACGAGGGCGCGAGTCGAGCGCACCGACTGTAGAAGAGAGAGAGCGTCAGGACGAACCGCTGGACGAGAGAGGTCGGGAAAGGAGGACGCACTGAGAAGGGCGTCGTCCGAGGTTACGTCAATGACCTCGTGGACGGACGCGAGATTCGGGTGGTCGACCTTGCGCAAGATGGCGACCTCGAGCTCTGCGGCCGGCAGGAGAGTGAGCACGGGAGAGAGGAGGCGAGAGCGAGAGGAACGAGGACGCACTGACGAGGTCGAGATTCTCGGGCCCTGCCGCGTCCGGATCGTCCGTCGACCACCTCGCCTGCATCGCCGCACCTCCTCGGCCTCTCCCTCGGCCTCGTCCTCGACCCCTCCCTCGCCCTCCTGTCCGACTCGCGAGCCGCTCGCGCCGCTGCGCTTCTGCCGCAGCGATTTGCCGCAGCCGACGCTTCGAGAACTCCTTGATCGCCTGCAGAACAAGTGAACGGGTGAGCTCGTCTGCTCAGGCAGGAAGAGAGGTAGGGAACGGCCGACGCACATACTCGCCGCCCGTCTCTCGGTCGACCGCCTTCTCGACCGTCGCGTAGGACCCTCGGCCCAACGTCTCGCCCAGCACGTACTGGTTGACGCTGCGCGAGCCGTCGGGCGCCTCGACCGCGTACGCGTTGAGCGTCTCGCGGAACGAGCGGCTGCCCGTCGTGCCCTGGGACGACGAGCGGCGGTGGTGCCTGCTCTCGCCGCGGGCGGGCGAGCGCGAGCGGCGGCCGGCGTCGGCGGGGGTGAGGGCGAGGGCGTGCGGTGCTGGGGGAGGTGCGAGGTGAGGCGGCTTGGGCGTGGCGGTGCTGGTCGAGGCTTCGGGCGTGTGCGTGCTCGAGGGAGGGGTCGACGGGCGGGAGGTCGAGGAGCGGGAGCGGCCAGTCGTCGGCGACGGCGTCGGGGTCGGGTCGATCGGGGTGGGCGGCGTCACCGAGTGGGTCACGGCTGGCGAGTCGACCGTGAGCAGCTGGGCGAGCTTGGGCTGGCCCGCGCCGTTGGGCGGAGGCAGCGGGGTATCGCAGGGCGGGGAGGAGGGCGAGCGAGGAGCGGCACTCGCCTCGCCAGGCCGTGCGCCGGTCGTAGCAGCGCTGGATAGCTCTGGTGCGCTCAGCGGCGGCGAGAACGTGAGCGCCGGCAGCTCGTGGGGCGTGTCGTCGGCCGGGACCCGGTTGGCGCCTGATTGAGGGCGGGCGAGGTCGTGCGGCGGCTCGTCGAGGTGCGCAGGGTCGTGCGTGTTGTTGCTGAGGCCGCACAGCCACCCGCTGAGCAGCTTGGAGATGGGCGCCATGCCGGCGCGAGCGTGTGAGGAGCGAGGAGCGAAGGTCGGCGCCGGCGAGTTGGTGAGCGACGGATTTGGCTTGCGGCTCTCCTCCCTGGCGCGTGCCTGAGCTACTTTCGTGGCTGCATGGCGTCGAGATCACGGTGCCGCTGCTGGGGGACGAAGAACAGCGAAAGAGCGCCTGCGCAGCGCTCGCGGTCAAGCCTCTCTTCGCGGGTCCGCGGTCCCAGCGTCGCAGCGCGGCGTCGTCTACGCCCGCTCAGCCTGGCGACCGACGCAGGCAACATCGACGCCGTCTCCCTCTGATGCTGCTCTCGAGACGGCGAAAGAGAGCAGCCGAAAGGCGGGATCGAAGGACGAAGACCCGCCCAGGGGCCGTCGAGGTAGACGGACACGCGTCGACCGAGCGCGACAGCCGTTGCGCCAGCGTTGGCGAGCCCCATCGTCGAGCAAGCAGTCGAAGCACGACGCTGAAGACAAGCGTGAATGTGTCGTTGGCCGGCATGCGCGAGCTCGCGCGTCGGCCGCGTCGGCGGCGAGCCCGCTGTCGCGCAGCCTCTCCTCTCGGCAGCGCAGCCCTCGACTGCTCCTCATACCCCTCCTGCATGTTCTCGAGAATGGCGAGGGCATGTTTCACAAGAGCCGCTGTCCGAAGCGGTACGTGAGAGCGAGCGAGAGGAGCTGCGCGAGGGGCGAGGGAATGTCAGCTGGGGAGACCGACGGCGCCGTGGGGGAGAGAGAGAGGGGACACACAGTGACGAGGCCTGCCGGCATGAACTTGCGACCGCGGATGAAGCGCATGCCCATCACCATCGACAAGAGGGCCGAGACGCCTGCGAGGACGAGAGGCGGGGCAGGAGGAAGGGGAGGGCGAGGTCAGTGCGGGTTGTCGGCCGGCCAGACTGTGACTGATACGTCCTCGAGCACGCTGAGTGCTCGAACGAGCCGCTCGGTCGTTCGCCGCAAGCGCACGAGGCAGATGTGGGGAAGAGAGGCGAGGGAGGTGGACGCACTGACGAGGAGCTGGACGTTGGCCGGGTTCGCCCGCTGCAGCTGCACACCGTAGCCCAACAGTGCACCGCTGCCGCCGCCCGCGATCAGGCTGGCGTACGACCCGCGCTTGACGAAGCCGAGGAAACCACCGAGAGCGATGAGGCCGCTCGAGATGAACTGCCGCGACGAGGGTCAGCTTGAGTGCGTGGAGGTGTCGAGAGGAGCAAAGTGCTCACGCCAAAGAGGGTGTCGTTATCGAGAGTGGCCATGGTGGGATGCGGGAGACAGGAGGAAGAGGTCGAAACACGACGAGACTCTCTCGGCTCGCGACGACTCGCTCTCACAAGCTCTCTAGTGCGAGCGCTTGCCAGGGCTCGAATAGACGCTGCAGATGCACGTGCGAGAGAGGGCGTGACTAAGGGCAAAGGTGAAAGACCGGGAGGAACGGGGGAGAACGAGGAGGAGGGGGCCGCAAGCCTGCGAAAGAGGAGGTCGCGGAAGGAACGACGACCAGAGAGTGTATAGAGAGAGGGGTGCGAAGGAAGGTGCCAAAGAGGAGTACGAACGAGGGAGCGAGGGGTCGTCAAAGGTCGTGAGGGAGGCTCGAGAGGGGGTAGGTGCGCCAAAGGTCGTCGAGGGTCGTAACGAAAGGAATGTACGATAGAGAGAGAATGCCCTTCAGGCTCTGCCCGAGGGCGTCGAGAGGAAGGCCGACTTGGCGAACGCCTTTAAGGCCTGGCCGGCTTTGCGAGGGGTCGTGCCCGGCGAGCTCGGCGTGTCGACGCTGCCCGGCTGGCTCGACGACTCGGACGGCGCGAGCGTCTTGCGCGACGCCTTGACCGTGACGGACGGCGCGGGAGGCGCCGACGCCGACGCTGAGGCCGAGACGAGCCCGTTGGCCGATGCGTACAGGCTCGCGTCGAGCGACTGCTTGGGGCGCAGCCCGGCGCCGCGCTTGCTCTGCGCGCTCGTCGACGAGCGGATCGACGTCAAGCGACGCATGGCGCTCGGGCGAGGCGACGGCGGCTCGGGCGTCGACGCCGGCGACGTGACCTGGAGCGACGACGTGGTCGACGCCGTCGACGCGTGCGCGGTGCGGTACCCGCCGCTCATCTTGCGCCCGCCGACAGGAGGGCGCGATGGCGACGCGAGCGGCGCGACGACGAGGCGGTACCGGTCGCGGAAGCCGCGCTGCCACAGCGTCGCCTCGCGGCCGCCGTTGCGCACGAACCCGCCGACGTCGGCGGCGCGCTCGACGACGTCCCACTCCGAGTCGGACGCGCCCTCTTCCGGCTCCTCGACGAGGATGTCGGTCGCCACGGTCGAGGCGACCTTGCGCGGCTGCTCCTCGGCGAGCGACTCGAGGATGCTGCTGCGGGCCGAGAGCTGGCGGGGTCGCTCAATGTCGACGGGGCCGGTGTCGTCCGAGGCCGACTCGGGGGCGTCGATGGATGCTGAGACGGGCTGCGGGTCGGTCGACGTGGTGGTGTCGGCAGGAGAGGCGACGCGAGGAGGAGGCGTCGAGGTGGTGAGGTGGTCGGGCGGGACGTCGTCGACGAGGTGCACAGGCTCGACGATCGTCGCCGCAAGCTGCTCGGCGTCGACGAGCTCTTCCGCCATGACCAAGTCGGGCTGCTCGAACGTCGACGTGGTCGCGTCGTCGTCCGTGTCCTCGGCGCTCGAGCCCTCGATCGACTCGCTCGACTCGTCCTCGTGCGCCGACGCGCTCGCCGGCTCGTCGTCGACGCTCGACGCCTTGGCCTCGTCGTCGTCGAGCATCTCCTCGCGGTGGATCGACGCCGAGTCGCGCCCAAAGTAGCTGTACCCGTCGAACACGTCGCGCCCGTCGTCGTCGACGGCGGCCTGCGGCTCGCCCGTCGGCGGGTCACGCTCGGCGCCGGCCTCGTGCGACGGGTCGTCGCCGTCGCCGCCCTTGACCATGGGCGGCAGCGACAGGAACATGTCCTCGAACTGGGACGTGTCGGTCGGGTCGTACGGGTTGAGGTGGGGGACGAAAGGCGGCTGGTACCGCTTGAGGCGAATGAGCCCCCAGTCGATCATGGAGAAGTACGGGTGCCGGACCATGGCCGTGTGGTTGATACGCAGCGCCGGGTTGCGCTGGAGCATGCCGCGGACGAGCGTCTGCGTGTCGGCGTCGAAGAGGCCTTGAGCCTGGCCGTCGAACCGGAGCTCGTCGTGGAGGACGCGCCGGTACATCGAGGCGTGGTCCTCGGCGTAGAAGGGCACGATGCCGGCGAGCATCTCGTACAGGAGGGTGCCGGCCGAGAACCAGTCGGCGCTGAACGTGTACGGCTCGCCGAGCAAAACCTCGGGCGCGAGGTACTCGCTCGTGCCGCAGAACGTCGACGTGAAGTAGGGCGACGTGTCGGGCGTCGCGAGGGCGAACTCGTGCAGGTAGGCGAGGACGGCCGGCGGCGTCGATGCGGCGCGCGCCGGGTGCCAGCGCGGCTGGGGCAGGCCGTTGCGCGGGTCGACCGCCGGGTCGAAACACTTGCTGAGCCCAAAGTCGGTCAGGACGATGTGCCCGAGTCTGCTGATGAGGATGTTCTCGGGCTTGAGGTCGCTGCAGAGAGAAGGGCGCCGAGGGGTCAGTGCGGGATCTCGAGAGAGGTCGTCGAGGGCGAGCGAGGACGCACCGGTAGATGATGCCGGCACGATGCAGGCTTGCGACGCCGTCGATGATCTCGCAGATGTAGAAGCGCGTGCGGTCGCGCCCGAGACGGCCCCACCGCGCGAGCTGCGTCGCGAGGTCGCCGCCCGGGTGGAAGTCGAGCGCAAGGTACAGGGCTGCGCACGAGGTCGAGCGTGAGCGTCCCGAACAGGCTTGGAGAGTGGGGAAGAAGAGCAGAGGCGCACTGTCGTGGTCCTTGAAGCTGTAGTGGAGCTTGACGACGAACGGGAACGCCTCGTCTTGGGCGCACTTCTTGAGGATCGCCTGCTCGGTGCGCGTGTGCGCGAGCTCGCGGTGCGCGAGAACCTGCGCGTGTCAGGGGACGAGGCATAGGTCTGGAGGCTGTTCTCGACCGTGGCCGGGAGGAAGGGAGAAAGGTGGACGAGGCGACGCACGTGCCGCTTGGTGATGGCCTTGAGCGCAAACAGCTCGTCGCCGCCCTTCTTCCTGACGAGGAGGACCTTGCCCGCACACCCTTTGCCGAGCACGCGCAGGACGTCGAACGACTCGAGCGTGATGGCCTTGGACCGGCGCGCGATGGTCGTCGCCGCGCTCATGTTCGACGACGAGCGCGACATGGGCGTGCCCGGCACGGCCGACTTGTACACGAACGACGACGGGTTGAGGAACAGCGGGCCCGGGATCGAGTTGGGGCGAGGAACCGGCACGGGGAGCGGAACGACGGGGCGGTGCGCGCTCGAGTTGCCGTACGGGCCGCCGCGCGGCGTGGTTCTGGTCCGAGAGCCGACGGCGGGAACGTCTGGCGGTGCGACGACGCTCGGCTCGGGCGGGCTCGAGTCGACCTCGGGCGTGGCGAGTCCGAGCTCCGCCGGCGTGGCGACTCGCATAACGTGGACGACGGGGCCGACCTCGATTGCCGAGGTCACGGGCGCAGCGTCGAGCTTGTCGTCGTCCTCCTGCCCGCACGCCGCCGGCTCGAGGTCCTGCTCGGGCGCGAGCTCGACGTCGACCGCGGCAAGCGGCGAGGCCGTCTCGCTCGGATCCTCGCGACGCACCGACGGCGGCTTGATCTCGAGCTCGGCGCGGTCCTCCTCCTCGCCCGCCGGCTCGACCACGATCGGCGCGTCGTACTTGGCGTCGGCACCGTCGCCGAGGATGGCGAGCATGGCCGGCTCGCCCTCGTCGTCTTTGTCGACCGCGTCGACGAGCTCCTCGGTCGCGCCGCTCGCCGCGCTCGGCTCCTGCCGCTCATCGCGCGCCGCGCTCGACTGCTCGTGCGCCGGCGAGACCGGGATCGTGACGGGAACAGGCACAGGCTCGAGCGCGAGGTGCATCGTCTGGTCGCTCCTCGCGCGCTGAATGCGGCGCTCGACGCGCGCGCTCTCGAGGTCGTCGCGGCGCACGGCGAACAACTTGAGCCACGCAGGGTGCGCGCGCACCGTCTCGTCGACCGAGGCGGCCGTGAGCGTCGCGCTGAGGGCGTGCAGGTCGGCCGTGCTGGACGAGGTCGAGGACGAGAACGACGTCTTGTCGCCGCGGCGCGGGCTCAGGGTGCGCGTGAGCGAGGCGAGGACCGTGTTGCGCTTCTTGGGCGTCGGCGGCGCGTTCTTGGGCTGGCCCGACGGGACGCGACCGGGGAACTGGGTGCGCAGCTGCAGGTCGAAGGAGAGGTTCAGGACGCGGACGGACTCGAGGCGGTCGAGCTGGACGCACCCTCGCCTCGAGGTCGACGAGCTCGCTCATCTTGCGCGACAGGGTGAGGCTTGAGGTCGGGGTCGAGACGTAGAGGGTCAAAGTCGGGTCGGGCTGCGGCGCACAAGCGGGTCGTAAGTGCGAGAAACGCGACACGTGGAGGTGGGGGACCTGCCGGCGCACCTTGCGGCTCCTCGAGCGAGCCTTTGGCCCCTCTGCGACCGTGACGCTCCACCCTTGCTCCGTGCCGCGCTCCAAGCCCCTCAGCTCACCGAGCCCCTCCTCGGCGCTGTCCCTCTCCTGCGCCGCGCCGCCCGCCGACAAGTCCTCCTCGAACAAGGCGGTGCCAATCTTGCGCCTCGGCGGTGGGGCATTCGAGCCCGAGCCGGGCGCGCCGAGTGTCGAGAAGCGCAGGTCGGGCCCGGTGGTCGCGAGCGAGCCGAGCCACGACGCCGAGGACGAGGGGCGGAGCGTGTTGTTGCGCGAGGTCATGGCGAGCTGCGTGGGTGTGAGCCGGTCAGCTTGGGGCAGTGCGGGGCGCGGAGGACTGGAGGGTAGGGGGAGGAGGAGGAGGAGGCCACGCACCAGAGGAGGCGTGAGCGTCCGAGGGGGAGCTTGAGGCGCGGCGGTACGGGTCGATGTGCGCACAGGCGGTGCCGAGGCGGTCTTGAAGCTCGACCAGAGGTCGTGGGCGAGGCTGGACGAGGGCGGCTCGAGGTCGAACGAGGATGGACCGAGGCGATGAGGTGAGGGGGGCGGTGCAGGATGGTGAGGAGGTTGCGCAGGGCGCGGTGCTGGATGCTAGGCGGCCCAGTGCGAGCAGTGCAGAGCTGGCGAGAGAGACGCGGCGGAGGGGGAGGACGAGGGAGGAGGAGCGAGGGAGCGGCGAGGCGGCCGACGCGACGGCGAGGCTCGAGCGAGTGCGGGGTCGAGGAGGTGCCGACTCGGCGCGTCTCCTCCCTCGTGCCCGTGCCCTTTGTACGACAGAGAGAGAGAGAGGCGTGCATGCAGCGTCTAGCCAACCTCGCACACCCGCCGCCCCCGCTCACGCAGCGCTCGCACCCTTTCTCGCCCTCGCCCGCCTCGCCTTGGACAGCCGCCGACCCTTCTTGCACTCGCGCGCCGCCTCCGCCTCGACCCTCCTCGCCTTGGAGACCGCCTCGGGCTGCTCCTCGCCCAAGATGGCGCGCACGACGAGCGCCCACCTGCGCTCCTCCCCCGCGCTGCCGCCGCCGCCGCCGTGCACCTTCAGGACCGGGTTCCGCGGCGGCAGCCCCCTCCTGACGCCCTCCTCGACCGGCACAAACTCGTGCGCCTCCTTGCCCTCGCCGTTGAACCGCCTGCGGCGCGGCACGCGCGCGTACACGCCGGGGAGGGGCGCGACGGCGAGAATGCCCTCGTGCGCCGTCGCGGGCGGGAGCAGGCCCTGGTCCTCGAGCGCTTCGGGGAACGGGACCGGGTGCGGCGAGAGGGCGGCGAGCGGCGCAGGCAGGCGCGCGTTGAGGTAGGCGAGGCGCGGGAGGGGGATGGACGAGGGGAAGCGCGACGAGGACGAGAGGGCGCGGTGCGTGAGCTGGTGTGGTGGAGGGGCGACGACCTGGCGAGAGAATAGAAAGTTAGTAGACTGCAAGCGAACGAGGGCCGACACGCAGGTGAGAGGGTGACGCACAGGAGGGAGCTGGGCTTGCGAGCGGATCGTCTCGCCGTCGACGGCGAGGGCGGCGATGGCGCTGCGTCGCGCCTGGACCGTCTCAGGCAGCTCGTCGTCGACGTCGCTGTGGACGCAAAGATGGTCAGTCTCGAAGCGAGCGCGATGTGAGGGAAAGACCGCGAGGGACGCACCGGATGCGGCGGTCGACGACGAACGGCGGGGGCGTCTCTGCCTCGCGGAGGACGACGCGCTGCGGGGCCTTTTGCGAGCTGAAGAGGCGGAACGCTGGAGGGCAGGGTCAGTTCCGAGTTGCGCTGAGGCGGATGCGAGGGCGAGAGAGGTAGCTCACCGACGGCTTCTTGGGGCTGGAGAGCGGCGTCGGCGGGCGCGGTCGGTGGAGGCGGGCTCGAGTGCGAGGTCTTTGTGCGCTTGGTGGGCGGTGCTTGATCAGGCTCGGAGGCGGTGTTCGGTGCGGGCGAGGGAGCCGTGTCGAAGAGGGAACCGGCGAGGAGAGCCTCGAGGTGGGCGAGGCGTTGCTGCGCGTCTTGCGAGTCGAGGTCGAGTGGTGGTGGGGATGCAGAGGCTGGCATGGCTCGTCGTACGCAGCACAGCGGAGCGGTGACGGAGGAGTCGGACCAGAGCCGGACGAGCGCGTGCCGAGCTCTCCTCGCTCCTTGACCAACCCCTCAGCTCGGCACCACTCGCCTCTGCTTCACTCGTACCACTCGGGGATAGCGTCGCATCCACTTACTGCACGTCTACGAGCCACCCACACCCTCGCCGACCTCGCCGTCGCTCATCTCTCGCCCCCCCATCAGCCATGGCGTCGTTCGCCGACTCGCTCCCTCTGCCTCCAGCCTCGTCCGACGCGCCCTTCTCCCTCCCGCTCGCCCACCCGGAACCGGCCGCCACCCCGCAACCGCCAAAGCAACTCTCGCCCGACGAGCGCGACAAGCTCGACCGCATCGTCAACCACTTCAACCAGCCCGACTTCAAGCTCCCCACCTCGCTCAAGGTCCTCAAGCACCGCTGGACCAAGGAGGGCCAGGGCCAGGGCAGCCGCTTTGGCGGCCTCTTTGGTCGCGCCCCGACCCCGTCTCCAGAAGAGGTCCGTCCGCCCCTCAACCTCGGCATCCCTTCTCTTCCTCTCCTTCTCGCGCCCATCCTGACCCCTCGTCGCGCTCGCCCACCCCCGCAGATGGCCGACCTCGTCCCGCTCAACGACGTCGAAAAGTGCTACTGGTCGCCCCAGGCCTTCCTGCGCTGCTTCCGCGCCGTCAAGTGGGACTACGCCGCCGGCCTGCGCCGCGCCGAGGAGACGTGCGTCTGGAGGCGCGAGTACGCCGTCGAGGACATGAAGGAGGACGACGTCTGGACCGAGGGCGAGACGGGCAAGGAGCTCGTGTTTGGCTACGACGTCAACGCGCGCCCGGTCCTCTACATGGTGCGTCGTTCGCTCGCCCCTGCCTCTCTGCCCTCGTCTCAGGGCAGCGAGGCTTGTTGACGCAGCAGGACGTACTGACTTGTCCTTCCCTCCCAGCACCCTTGGCGGCAAAACACCGAGGTCGGCCCGCGCCAGATCGCCTTCGTCGTCTGGTGCCTCGAGGTCCGTCCTCCTCCTCCTTCCTCTGCGGCGCATACCCTGACCCACATGCCGTTCTCTTTGCAGCGCACGATCGACCTCGCCCCGGCGACCGATCCGGCGACCGAGATGCTGTGCCTGTGCATCGACTTTGGCGCCAACGTCAAGGACGCAAAGGGCCAGCCGACGACGCTCGGCCAGGCGCGCAAAGTGTGCGTCGTCCTCTTCCTCTCTTGCTCCTTCTCTTGCTCTCGGGCTCGATCGGGACGAGTGTTGTGGTCGTTCGACTGACTCACCTCTCCCTCCTCCTTGCAGGCTCGAGATCCTCCAGACGTACTACTGCGAGCGCCTCGGCAAGGCCATCTGCGTCAACATCCCGCAAATCTTCTTCGCGTTCTACAAGGTCCGTCCCCCTGCCGCAACCCTTGTTCTTGACCCGACTGACCTCCCTCTTCCTCGTCCTGCAGCTCGTCTCGCCGTTCGTCGACCCGATCACCAAGGAGAAGGTGCGCCCTCTGTCTCTCTCTCCTCTCTCGTCACGCCCGACCGAGACTGACCCGTCCCTCTCGCCGTTTCCGCACGCCCAAACAGATCCGCTTCCTCGAAAAGCCCGACGCGACGTCGCTCATCCCGCCGTCGCAGCTCCAGAAGATCTTTGGCGGCGACGTCAACCTCGAGTACGACCACGCGACCTACTTCCCGGCCCTGACCAAGCTGTGCATGGAGCGCAAGCAGGCCAACCTCGAGCGGTGGCGCAAGTACGGCCAGGGAAAGTGCGGCCTCGACGAGGCTATCATTCGCGGCGCGAGGGTGCCAGAGGGCGCCGCAGAGCCCTCGACGGCGGCAGCAGGAGCAGCGGGCGAGGACGCGAGCGTCGAGCCGCCGACGGAGCAGCTCGCGGCGGCGAGCCTCGGCGGCGGCAGCAGCACCGACAGCGGGCACGCGGCGTCGACGGCGGCGAGCGACGCGACGGTCGCTGTCCCGCCGGTCGTCGCGACGACGCCTGGCGCCGAGCCGGACAAGTTCGTCGATGCGCCGGTCGCGCCGGCGGCCGCGGTTGAGAAGGCCGTTCCGAGCGTCGCCTAGATCTCGCTCTCCTCCTCCTTGTCTCCCCACCTTTCTCTTTCCCTCTCTCGTCGATAGAACGTCGCTTCCGATATCCCCTACCCAGCCGCCTGTACAGATCCCTCTCGCGTTCTCCCCGGTCAGAAGCCTCTCTTTCTCTCCTCCTCGATCCTCTTTCGTCTCGGGACAGATGGCGCTTGCATTTCTAGATACCAATCACGACGACAATACGAGAGAGCGAGACAGATACAGAGAGAACGAGGGAGAACGAAGAGAGAGAGAGGGAGGGAGAGCCAGCTCCTCCTCACACGGTACACCCGCCATCCGAGTCCTCGCGCCCGACGAGAGACCCCCTCCAGCTGCTGCTCCCGGCTCCCGCGCCGCACAGCGACCGTCGCCGCCGCTCGCGCATGAGCACCGCCGCCCTCTCGCGCTCGAGCGCGAGGCGCTGCCGCTCGGCGCCCGCTGTCGAGGCGGTCGACCAAGCCGAAAGCGCGAGCGACGACACGTCGTCGTCGTCGTCCTGCTCGTCCTCGCTCTGCTCGACCTCGCACGCCGGCGCCGACCCACAGACGGCCACGCTCGCCGGCCTGGCCCTCGCGCTCGCGCTCGCGCTCGCCTCCCTCTCGCGCACGAACCTCGTCCGGAGCCCGACGAGCGGGCTCGCGCCCGACGTCGACGAGCGGCGCGTGCGCGCCTCGGTGCGGCGCAGGAGGTGCAGCTGCGCAAAGGCGGCATGGTGCGCGAGCGTGGAGAGCGTCTCGTCGGCGTCGGAAGGGGGATGGTCGACCGAGCGCGTGGGCGAGGAAGGCGAGGATGAGGGAGACGGCGAAGGAGGCGTGGCGTCGAGCGTCGAGGAGGGAGACACGACGAGGGGCGAGGAAGGAGGAGACGGGGGAGGGTCGGCGAAAGGGTCGACGGCTGCGGCGGGCTCGAGTTGGGAGAAGGGCGCCGGGCTCGCCTGAATGGGCGCGAGCGCGACCGCAGCGAACGGTGTGGGTGTGCGGGGCGGCAAGGCGGGAGAGCACGCGAAAGGCGGCGGCGGCGTGTGCGCGCGAGCGTGCGTCGAGTCGAACGGGTCGACGTCGTCCTCTGCGACCAAGAGGAACGTCGGCGGGAGCGCCGACAATGCTCGAGCGTACTCGGGGCGCGCGTCGTAGATCGACGTGCTCGACGGTGCGCGGACGTGTGCTGGACGGGGCGGAACGACGGTCGCCGTGGACGGGGCGTAGCCGAGGAGCGGGCTCGGCGGCGAGACGGGCCGCTCGATGTCGGCGACGCTCGACGCGACGCTCGAGCCGACGAGAGGTGCGCGAGGCCCGAGGTACGACGCGAACCAGTCGAACGAGCGCCTGTCGCCGCCGTCCTCGCCGCCGCGCTTCTCGTCGAGGAGCGTCTTGTCGCCGAGGAGCTCCTCGTCGGCCTTGCGAGCTGCGAGCGCGCGCCGCAGGCCGCCGGCGACGAATGGGCGCGTGAGCGACCCACGCCGAGAGCCGCCGTCGGCCGAGGCACGCGAGAGGTGCGTCGTGCTGATGAGGTCGGCGGCGGCGTTCATGACGCGGTCGAGCGACTCGCGCCACAGCGGCTTGGCCGGCGCACGCTGCGAGAAGGGCGAGCCGAGTCCGGACGACGGGTACGCCGGCGAGCGCTGCGACGGGTGCCCGCTCGACGGCGAGTAGGTCGACGGCGAAAAGTCCTCGGGCCGCATCGCCGTGCGCAGCGGGTGCGGCGCGCGGACCTGCCGCGGCGCACCGAGCCCGTGCGGCTGCGCACCGAGCCCGTGCGGCAGTGCGACACGACTGCGGCGCTCGAGGACCTCGGGCGTGACGGTCGCGTCGCTGCCGCGACGGCCCGACGGGTCAAAGTACCCGACGCTGCCGTGCCCGTCCGTCGACGCGTGCCCGCCGACCCAGCTCGTCCACTCGCTCGTCTCGGTCGCAGGCGAGCGACCGCCCTCGGCTGCTGCCGTCGTGCCCGGGCCCGCCGTCGCCTCCTCGCTCGCGGCAAACTCGGTCGCGACCTCGACGCCGCCGAGCGCCGTCTCGCGCCACAGCTCGCGCATCTGGCGCACCTGCTCGCCGAGCTCGCCCGACGGCGACCACGGCTCGCCCAAGTGCGGCGGCGGCGTCCACCGCGCGGACGACGGGCTGCGCACGGGCCAGCCCTCTTCCATGCTCGGGCTCCCGCCATCGCTGCCGAGCGCGTGACCGAGACGGTCCTGCCGCCTGCGCCGGCGTCGGCGGCAGAGGCAGAAGACGGGGAGGGCGGCGAGCGCGGCGATGATGGCGAAGCAGACGAGGGTCGTGAGGGCGATGTTGGCGGGCGAGTCGCCGAGGTGAGAGAAGACGGAGGACGACCCGGTCGCCTCGGGAAGGCCGAGGATGGACGAGGAGCGGGTCGGGTGCCGAGCGGAGGACGAGCTCGTCGAGGTTGGCGAGACGAGGTCGGTGCGCGCGAGCCCGGTGCCGTCAACGCCGCCGGACAGGACGGTCGATGTCGCGACGGCGGACGACCCGCCAATGTCGCTCGAGGTGCCGTCCTCGCCTGACGCGGTAGTGGACGGCGACGACGATGACGCGCTCGGGCTTGAGGTCGTGGCAGGAACGTTGGCCGAGGTGGACGAGCTGGACGATCTGCGAGGGCGAGAAAGTCAGTGTCGCACGAGGATGTAGGCAGGCAAGTGAGAGTGTGCTTACGAGGTGGTGAGAGCGAGAGGTGAGCCGGCTTGGGCCGTAGAGGTGACGACGGCCCGGACCTGGCTCTGCGTCGGCGGCGCAAAGACGCGCTCCGAGATGCCGCTCGTGCTGCTCTGGATGACGAGGATCGGCGTATAGGCCGAACTCGCGGGCTGAGGACCGGCCAACGAGGACGCCTCGGCCCGCGAGCGCGCCGACGCAGGAGGTTCTGCTGAAGAGGACGCCGACGCGAGGCTCACGACGCGCACGTAGGCGCTGCTTGATGCGCCGCCGAACACCTTTTCGGGCTCGTTCGGAACAGCGCTGTCGAAGGACGAGGGGCCCGACAGGAACGTGACCGTCTCGACAGGTACCGGGAGCTCGAGGGTCGAGGTCGCCGTGACGACGACGGCGGTGACGGTCGGCTCGACGACGACGACCTCGGTGACCGTTACGGGACGGACGACCTTGACGACGGAGGTGACGGTAAAGACGGGCGCAGGTGCGGGTGCGGGCGAGCCGGCCGCCTTGGGGTTGAAGACGGGGACGGCGGCGAGTGCTGTCGGGTTCGCCTCGTCGAAGCCGAGGTTGGCTGCAACCGACGGGTCCGAGGTTCAGTGTGAGGTTCGTCGGCGAAAGGGTGGAGACCGAGACGCACCGGCAGTCCAGAAGCCATCGTCTGCTCGAGCGACGAGCCGGGACGAAGGTACAGGTGCGAGACGGCGGTCGCGCATGGGTGTCGGTGGTCGCGCGGTGGACACGAGGACGTGGAGCTGTGAGGATGGGCGGGTCGAGCTAGTCGACGGGTGCGCGGGTGCTGGCGGTGAGGGGTGGGAGGACAAGCCCGCTCGAGGTTGGGCGGCCGTGGTGCATGATGGTGGGCGGCCGGGGTTCCGGCGAGAGGGGCATCTCGAACGAGGTGAGCCCGCCTCCGCCTTTAGTCGAACGAGAAGTCGGCTCGAGGCGAGGTCGAGGACGAGAGGTCGACAAGCCTGCCATCTCGTCGAGCGGGGACGAGGGGGCTGGAAGAGTGCGATCGAGGGGTCGCAGGGCGTGTCTGGGCCGGTAGGCGCATGGCGATGAGCTCGCGTGGGCTCATGAGCGGTGTCTGGCCGTCAGGCGAGCGAGTGGGTGGGAGGAAGGACGAGGGAAGGGGAGCTGGCGACGAGGCGGTGCAGCAGTCTCTCTCGTCTTCGTCCAGCCATGGCACTCGGCTGCCTGAGTGCTGCAGGCCGCAGAGTGAACCGTGGCTTTCTCTGCTTCGAGCGCTATGTCTCCAAGCGTGTCGACAAGGCCACCCGCGTTCTCCAGCCTCTGTTCCTCCTCCTCGCCGTCGTCCTCATCTCGCTCTGCGCCTTCTGCTTCTTCGAGGTACGCCCACCCCTCGTTCACTTCCACAGTACAGGCCACAGCTCACCCACACTCGCCCACCACACAGGCTGTCTTTCCCGAGGTGTTCCTCGCACCCGGCGTTCCTCGCTGGAGGCGGGTCCTCGGCACGGCGTGGTGCTCCTACCTCGTCCTCATGATGGCCTTTCATGTGCGTCACCCTCTCCCTCAGAGGCATGTACGAGCGTCCCGCCTGACCTCCCGCCCGCGCGCAGTACTACATGGCCGTCGTCACCCACCCGGGCTCGCCCCTCGACTCGCCTCGGCCGCTCCCTCCCGCCCAGCCTGTCCCTCTCCTCGGCCCTGTCCTCCTGCGACTCGTCACTCGAGCCAGTACGGCCCGCTCGGCGTCGGTCGCCACCGGTTCGCGCGCTGTTGCCGTCCGCGAGGTGCGCGCCGCGCAGGACAAGGAGCGTCGGCGACAAGCAGAGCGCGAGCCCGTGCGGCGAGGAGTGCCGGCCGCCGAGCTCGAGGGCGAGACCGAGACGGGTCGGGCAGACCGGTACGCTCGGAGCTGCAAGAAGTGCCCGCCGGTGGCAGGAGGAGGACGACCGCCCAAACCCGAGCGGACGCACCACTGCTCGGTGTGCGAGACGTGCATCCTCAAGTTCGACCACCAGTGCGTCTCTAGTCCTCTCCTCTCTCACGAGGTCCACGAGCCTGACTCAAGTCCTCCTCGTGCAGCTGCCCCTGGATCAAGGGCTGCGTCGGCCTGCACAATGAGCGCTACTTCCTCCTTTTCCTCTGCTACTTCTCCGTCGCCGCCCTGTTCGCCGCCTATTGGGGGCTGCGCCCGACCTTGCGCTGCCTGAACTTCTTTTCGGGCGATGTGCGTCCCCTCGCTCCTCTTCCTCCCCTTCAACGCACGGGAACTCGACTGACTTGCGCCGCCTGTCCCGCCCACAGTGGAACCACCGCACGCCGCGCGTGCTCATGCTCCTCACCGAGGTGCTCGCCCTCGTCATGGGCGTCGCCGTCCTCGTCATGTGCTTGAGCCAGGTCCGTTCCTTGCCCGCTCGTTCCCCTTCCCCCTCTCGCCGCTCTGACCTCTTGCTGCCTTCCGCAGCTGCACCTCGTCGCGCGCAACCAGACCAACGTCGAGTCGAATGACAACGGTACGCCCTCCTTCTGCTCCAGTCGTCGTCCCGACTGCGCGCCGAGGACTGATGCCCTCGCTCGCCCCTCGCAGAGTGGTACCGCAAAGTCGCGCTCGCCCGAGGCCGGACCTTCCTCAACCCGTACGACCGCGGCTGGCGGCTCAACCTGCGCGAGTTCTTCCACCTCGGCTCGGCGAACGACGGGCCGTAGTGCGTCTCTCGCCTTCTCTCTCTCTCTTTGCCCGACAAGACCTGACCCTCTCTCTCTCGCCTCGTGCGCACAGCCATTGGGCGTCGATCTTGCTCCCGCTCGCGATCCCGCCGGCGAGTGACGGCTGGACGTGGAAGAAGAGGCGCAACTGGCGCGAGCACGGCATCGAGGCCGCGGACGAGTTGACGGACGAGGAGGAACCTTCGTCCGACGAAGAGTTTGACGAGTAGCTGTTTCTCCGCCTGCAACACCTTGTTCTCTCGGCCTCAAAGCTATTGCCGAATAGAAAAGTCAAGCGCGAGGTTGCGATCTCGACGACTTGCGCCCCGCACCTCGTCCTCCACGCGCAACTCGGCCGCACCGCTGCTGTGCCTTGCCGGCGCGTGTCCAGCTCTTCTGCATCGCATCATCTATCTATGGGGCCTGCTCCCGCGCCACCGCAAGCGGCCGCCGACGGCGCAGAGCGCGTCGCGTCCTCATCAGTAACTCGCGTCGTCCGACCTCTCTCAGTTAGTGGCAACGGTTCATGGGCCTGTGGGTATCGTCGTCGAGGACTATCGCAGCATCAAGGACACTAATGGGCCAGACGGCCGCGCTGCGCGGGCTGTGGGCGACTGGTGCGTCCACCTCCTCCCCGCCTCCCCGTGTTTGGCCCCCCTCTCCCTCTCCCCTCGCCCCCTCTGCTACCTCGCGACGCGGTGCAGGGGGTTTGATGGACTGACCTAGTCCCTTTGCAGGCGGAACGGCTGCGCAAGGCGAGTAGGGCGGTCTTCTGGGCGGCACGAGGCGGGATCTCAACCTCGAGGCGGCTCGTCTTGTCCTTTGTACGTCTCGCGCACTCTCTTTCTTCCCTGCAGGACCTTCCTGTGGGCCTGCGCTCCTCTTCGAGCCGCGCACTGACCCTCTCGACCTCGCGCCGCAGGTTAGTCGCGCCCTCGATGGCACCTCCCCCTTCTCGGCACCGAAAGCTTCCCCTCGCGCCCTTGCTGCGCCGCGCGACGGCGCCCTTTCCTCTCCGAAAGCGCTTCTCGTCCCTAGCGAGCGTCCCCAGACCAGTCAGAGTTCTCGTTCGTCGTCGCACTCGTCCCGGCGGCTCAGCTAGTCGAGCCGTCGCGGACGGGTCCTTACGAGGCCGCGCCCGCCCTCTCGTGCCCCTGAGGGCAGCGGGCGCACTCTGGTGAGCCGCTCGTACGGCGCGCACCCCTGCGGAGCGCCCGTACGCCCGGCCACCTGCTAAAGACAGGGGGATCCTGCGCACCCTCGCTCAAACGCTAGCTCTTGATCTAGCAGGGTTACGGCCTTCTGCTTGCGCCAGATCGGACGAGGGGGTGTCTGCGGTGCAATCGAGCGCTTCTCCCGAGCCCTTTCACCTTGTAGAGCGCGAGTTGTGAGCCTTGCCTCCCTTCTCAAGTCGGCCGAGGAGCGACTCGAGTGCAGCTCTTCCTGTCGGCTCCTCTGCTCCAGGGCTCTCTCCTCGAGCCCCTCTCAGCCTATCACGAGCGAGAGAAAGTGCCCCGACACCTGCCGGCCGCGCAAACCTCGTCCTCCTCCTCGACTTGCTCCCGACCCTGCTTCTCGCTGTTCGTTCGCGGACTTGTCGCGCTTCCGGCGGTGAGAGCTCGAGAGTACACCGAAGCTTGTCGGTCGCCCTCGACGACGTCGCACCCGATCCTCGTCGAGCTGCAGACGCGCAAAAAGCGCTCGAGCCCTCGTGAACCTCTCCCCTCGAGCGAGCCGAAAGCTATGCGAGAACAGCTCGGGCTGCGTAATCTCGCTGGCGGCTCCACCTGATCGGTCGAGCGAGCGAGAGAAGAACGAGAGCGTGTCTATCGAGCTCTAGTTGCACCGTCGCCAAGTCTACGCGCTCCGCACGCCGCTGTGATCCCGCCACTCCTCGTACTCGCGAATGACCTCGGGCGTGATGCGCCTCCTCACGCTCTTGGCCGCCTCGACAAAATGCTCGCGGCGGACCTGCACGAGAGCGAGAGTCAGTAGGAGGGCGCAGAGAGGGAAAGAGAGAGAGAGAGAGAGGACGCACACTCGGCGTGTTCATGTCCTCGTTCATCGCCGTGAGCGCAGCGTCCTGGCAGATGGACGCACACTCGGCGCCGGAGCAGCCGTCCGTCTGTACGAGAGGAAGAAGGTGAGGGCCTGTCGCAGTCGGCGAGGGCAAAGAGAGGGCGAGAGAAGGAGGACGCACGAGGGCAGCAAGCTCGTCGACGTCGACGTCGTCGTGGACGGCCATCTTGGCAAAGTTGACGCGGAAGATGTGCTTCCTCGCGTCGAGGTCGGGCGGCGACACGTAGAGGATGCGGTCGAGGCGACCCGGGCGCATGAGGGCGGGGTCCTGTGCTCGTCCAGCTTGTCAGGGACCGTGCACGGAAGAGAGAGAGAAAAAGAGAGAGACGCACAATGACATCGGGGCGGTTGGTCGCAGCGAGCACGACGACGCCGTTGAGCTCCTCGATGCCGTCCATCTCGGTGAGGAGGCTCATGAGGACGCGGTCGCCCGTCGGGCCATTGCTCTCATCCGAGCCTCGCGCCGGCGCGAGCGCATCAATCTCGTCCTGTACACCAGAGGAGTGTGAGCGCTCAGGTTCGTCGAGGAGAGGGCAGGGAGAGAGAGGCGGGACGCACAAGGAAGACGATGGAGGGAGCCGCCGCCCTCGCCTTGCGGAACACCTCCCGGATCGCGCGCTCGCTCTCGCCGACGTACTTGTTGAAGACCTCGGGGCCCTTGACGGCGATAAAGTTGAGCCCGCCCTCGGTCGCGAGCGCCTTGGCGATGAGCGTCTTGCTGCAGCCGGGCGGGCCGTACAGGAGGACGCCTCGAGGCGGGTTGACGCCGAGGCGCTTGAACGCCTCGGGGTGGAGGAGCGGCCACTCGACGGCCTCGCGCAGCTTGGCCTTGACGTGCTCCTGGCCGCCAATGTCGCTGAAGTAGACCTTGGGCGTCTCGAGAAAGACCTCGCGCATGGCCGACGGCCGGGTCGACAGGAGAGCCGACTCGAGGTCGGCGGGCAGGACCCGCATCGACGCGAGCGACGGGGACGACGTCGACGACAGGAGCGCGTACGAGCGCTTGATGGCCGACAGGCCGGCCGAGTGCACGAGCGACGACAGGTCGGCGCCGACGAAGCCGTGTGTGCGCGCCGCGACGGCCTGGAGCGTCTCGTCCGAGATGTCGTGCGGCGTGCGGTGCAGCAGGACGCGCAGGATGGACAAGCGCGCCGTCGCGTCGGGCACGCCGATCTCGATCTCCTTGTCGAACCGTCCTGGTCGTCGAAGAGCCGGGTCGATGGCGTTGGGCCGGTTCGTCGCCGCGATGACGACGACGCGAGGCTTCTCCTGCTCCTCCTTGGCCGCACCCTCGTCCTCGACGTCCTCTTCTGCGCCCTCGCCGTCCTCGCTCGCCTTGGGCGCCTCGCCCTTGTCCTCGAGCCCGTCCATGAGCGTCAAGAGGGTCGCGACGACCCTGCGCTCGACCTCACCGCCTTCCTCCCGGTTCGGGGCGAGCGCGTCGACCTCGTCGATGACAATGATGGCCGGGCTCTTCTGCTTGGCCTCGGCAAAGACCTCGCGCAGGCGCGCCTCGGTCTCGCCGTGGTACGCCGACGAGAGCGACGGCCCGTTGATCGTGAGGAGGGTCGATCGGGTCGAGCGGGCGATCGAGAAGGCGAGGAGCGTCTTGCCCGTGCCGGGAGGGCCGTACAGGAGGATGCCGCGAGGTGGCTTGAGGCCTGCGGGCGGAGCAATGTCAGGAGCGGCTCGTGCGTCGACGAGAGAGGGCGACCAGGGACGGACCAAAGTGCGTGTACAGCTCGGGGCGCGTCAAGGGCCACTCAACCATCTCGCGAATGAGCTCAATCTGGCTCTCGAGCCCGCCAATCTGCTCGTACCCGGGCAAGTCGCCGTTCTCGCCCGGGGAGGACGCGACGCCCTTGGCGTTGGTGGCCGGCGACCGGGTCTTGACGGGTCCGACGGTGCCCGGCGCCTTGAAGACGATGTTGGTCGCGCGCGAGATGACGAACGCCTGCTCCTTGACGGCAGGTACAGGGTCCGAGGACGTGGACGGGTCGGCGGCGGCGTCGATAGGAGGCGAGACGAGGGTGCCCTTGGCGGCCGAGACGAGTAGTCGCCGAACGACGCCATTATAGGTGAGCTCGACGAAGTGATGCAGGGCGACAAACTTGATGTCGACTGCGCGAGGAAAGGCAAGGTCGGCATCGGCTCGTGCGAGGGGACGAGGGAGGGGTATGCGACGCACCGAGGACCTCCTTGACGTACGCCTCGAAGAAGCTGTCCTTGCCCGGCTTGCCCTTGGCGTCGTAGATGAGCGTCAGGCGGTCCGCCTCGAGGACGTCGACGCCCGAGGTGCCGATGGTCGAGACCGACACGATGTCGCCCGGCGACAGGCCCGCGTTGGCGAGGAGCAAAGGCGACACGGCGACAGCTGTTGCAGTTTAGAGCCAAGGTTAGCTCCACGAACGCCGAGAGAGGGGACGCTGGGAGCAGGGACGCACTCGAGCCGGACATGGTGAAGCTGGGCCAGGCGATGCCGACGGCAAACGGCGCATTCTGCATTGCCGACTGCGCCTGCTCCTCCTTCTGGCCCTGCAAGATCGCCATACACGGGTCAGCTTGCCACCAGAGGAGGTAGAAAGGGAGGAGACGGCGGGCGCACCTCGTTCAGGTCGAGCTGGTGCAGGCCCTCCTCGACCGCGTCGACCTTGTCCGGCATGCGCCTGAGCACGACAGCATCTCCTGCGCAGACCTTCACCGCCTTGAGGATCTCGGGCGCGAGGTGGACGCGCTTGAGGTGTCGAGAGTGGACGGGCGCGCTCGACGAGCTGGGCGGGGTTGACGAGGGCGACAGGAGCGAGACGGTGAAGGGGCGGCGGGCGAGCTTCTGCAGGGCAGTCTCTGGAGCTGGTGCGCTGCTCGAGGCACTGGCAGCGGGTGCCATGGCGCGAGGAGGCATCGTGAACTTGAGGAGCAAGCGATGAAGCTCTTCATCACTGCAAATGGGCGGCTCTCTCGCTCTTCGAGGCTTGCGATGCACCTGCAGAGAGCACACACTCGACTTAGGCTCGCGCGACCGGCCAAGAGTCAAGGCGAGAGAAGTCGTCCTCGCCGGCTCGAGCGCGAGTCTCTCGGTCGCAGAAAAGGAGAGAGAAGCGTTGGCTATCTAGCTACGAGAACGACAGGGAGACAGTGCGAGGAGGGGACTATGTACGAGAGGGGCACAAGTACAGGGAAGAGGCTCAAACGTAGGCCCACCGCCGGCAGTCGGAACAGTCGTCGTCCTCGAAGAAGGCCTGCGGCACGCCCTTGCCGCCGTTCTGCCCGTCGTCGGGCTCCTTCTTGTCCCCTCGTCCCTCCTCGCCGTCCTCGCCCTTGCCCTCGCCCTCCTTCTTGCCTCGCCCAGGCCACCACCCGAACCAGCCCGCACTCGACGACGGCGCGCTCGAGCCCAGCGCCTCGGGCGGCTTGACGCCCCAGTCGTCCTTGAGGAGCTGCTCGACGACGACGTGGATCGGGTGCGTGCGGATGTCGACGCTCCACCCGAGGCGGCCGACCGTGTCGTACCGGATCGTCTTGCCCGTGTGGCACCGGCTCTCGAGCGCGAACCCGGCGATGCCGCACGTCGAGATGGTGCCCGTGCACAGGCCTTGCGGGATCGGGTCGGCCGTGTGGAAGACGTGCGTCGTGAGCTCGTCGTCGAGGGACCGGTGCGAGCGCGGCGCCTGGAACGACGATGACGACGAGCCGAACGAGAGCGAGGTGGGCGCGGACGAGTTGGGGTTGTTGATGGGCGGGAGGGGAAGGTGTAGCCGTCGGGCAGGAAGGAGGTCGCCGGGCGACTCGAACGAGACGGACGGCACGCCGTACGTCCTCGAGAGCATGGCCGCCAATGCGCCGCCGAGCGAGTGGCCGGCCAGCCACACCTGGGCGTGCGGGTACATGGCGCTCACGTTGTTGTACAGGTCCTGCAGTCGCAAAGGGTGCGAGTCAGTGCCGGTGGGAGGGAGAGGTACAGGCAAGAGAGGAAAGAGGGGGGCGCACCGTCGCGACCGGGTAGTAGGCGCTCTTGGTGATGACGGCCTCCTCGAGGCAGTCCTGGCGGCACTTGTACGACCCGTCGTAGCAGTCGCACACGGTCGACCACGACCAGTCGACGCGCGCGCAGCAGCACGAGAAGAGGAGGTTGTCCTGCGCACGTGCGAGGGCGGGTCAGCTGTGACGCCGACGAGGGCCAGGGGGAGATGGGGGAGCAGGAGCGGCGACTCACATTCGTCTTGTCGTTCTTGGCGGTCCCGCCGCCTCCTCCGACGATGAGGGCGCTCGTGCCCTTGAGGGCGAGGACGACGGTCGAGTTGTGCTCGTCGGCAAAGACGTGGCCGCGCAGGCCGTCCTCCTGCCAGCCGAACGAGTCGCTCTGTGGACGCATCCCGAGTCAGTACGACTCGCAGGCAGGAGAGAGGTAGAGAAGAGCGAGAGACGCACGACGTTCCAGCCGTCGCCGATGTCGTACCAGCCCTCGCGGTCCGGGAGCGTGTAGGCGTTGCTCGTCATGCGGCCAAAGGCGGCGAGCGTCTCGACGTCGGACGTGTCGGGGGCCTCGATGTCGACGTCGTCCCACTCGAGGGTGCCGGCGAGGAGGGCGTCGTCCAGCTCGCGCTCGGTCGGAAGGCGGCCGAGCTGCATAGCGCGCAGCGGGGTGTTGAAGCTCGCGCGGCGTGCGGCGTGGAAGGCGGCCTGGCTCGAGGGCCGCTGGGCGCGGACGCGGCGGTGCTTGAGGTGCTGGGTGGGCGGGTACAGGCCGAGAGGGCGGTCGGGGACCGAGAGCGCGGCAAGGTCGAGGGGCGAGTAGTCGCGGCGAGAGGGCGGGAGGTGGCGGTGGGCGGTCGGGAGGTGGACGGCATGGCGCAGAGTGAGGGCGTGCACGTTGGTCGCCGAGTCGAGAGGGGTCGGGGCTGATGAGGGTGGCGAGGTGGGGGGAGGAGGACGGGCGAAGAGGGGAATCTGGAGGGCGAGGGCCGGCGGGGCGGCGAGGGTGAGGGCGGCGAGGGCGCTGAGTGGTGGCACGAGCAGCATGGTCGGGATGGAGGACGGCGAGAGAGAGGCCTGACGACGCGAGGTGGTGCAGCTGGATCGAGGGGAGGCTCGTCGCTCCAGACTTGTCCCCGGCCTCGCTCTCCCTCTCTCGCCCGCTCTCTCCTCACCCACGCTTGCTTCACTGCGACGAGCCACAGCTGGCTCTCGCCCTTCGACACCGCACCTCTCACCAACGTCGACCACCCGTCAACGCCGCCTCCCAAGCCCCCTACTCGCCCTTCTCGTCGTCCACAACTTCTTCTCGCCGCCAACCCGACCTCACCTCGCCCAGCACCGCACTTGCGCCAGCCCAAGCCTCTGCCTTGCTCTCTCGGTGAGCACCGCTCCTCCTCTCCCACCCCCCAGCTCGCGCGCGTGCGACTTGACGAACCCTAGCACTGGGCACTGAGGGGCTCGCAAAGACGAGACCCTCGTGATGCACACGCTGTAGAGACCTAGAAAACCTCGTTATCTGATCGCACACACGCAGCCAACGACCACAGCCCCGAGTCGACGTCGAGGACCGAGTACTGACCCGCCCTTTCCTCGCAGGCTCTGCCTTCTCTCTCTCGCCCGTCAACGCCCTCGACAGCGATACGATGCCTCATCTAGGCTCGACAGGCTGCGCCGACTGCAAGCCTTTGCAATTGAGCCTGCGATTCAGCGAGTTCCCTTGGCCTCGTCGAGCTTCCACCGAGAGCGAACCTCTCGAGCTCTCCCTCTCTCGCTCGTGCTCTTGTCTCGCTCGCGACGCTCAAACACGGAGGAATCTTGTACAACGCGACTACGAGGCGCCCCCTCCCCTGTCGCACGACCCCGTCGCGCCCCCTCAGGCGAGCCGGAGGTCCCACACCTGGTCCGCCGCCCGGTTCCCCTTGCACGTCCTCGTCGCGATCCTGCGCGTCACGCTCGTCGCCGTCTGGAACACGGCCGTCAGGCACTGCCCCTCGGCTGCGACGGACCGCAGGGTGCAGCGTCGCGCGAGCGCCGTCCCCGTTTCGGCGGTCGTTGCTGGGCACGAGAGGCACGTGAGCTCGAACTGCGCGCGCGAGGCGAGGTCAGCTCTGCGCGTGACGAGGCGGGAGCGCCGAGAGAATGAGAGAACGAGACGCACCTCGGCCGCGAGGTCGTCGCACGAGCCCGTCGTCGTCGGCAACATCTTGCCCGGCGCGCTCACGCACTGGACGCCCGGCTCCTGGCTCCCGAGGCTGTTCGCGACGTCGAGAGAGACGTCAGCTCTGCGACAGAGAGCGTGCGCGAGAGAGAGAGACAGAGAGAGATGCGAGTCAGGCGCACCTGAGCGTCCACACCGGCCCCTCGTGGGCCGGGTCGCGCGACGCCCGCTCGACGATGAAGAATGCGCCGTCCTCGGGCGTGTCGGTCTGGCTCTGCGTCCGGGAGGCGGCGAGTCAGCGTCGCGCTCGGGAGAGATCCGCAGACCGTGGCAAGGGAGAGCGGGGTCGAGCGCACGAGGTACAGCGCGCCGCCGCTCTTGGGCCCTGACAGCGAGGGCGGGACGTATTCCCACGTCGCGACACCTGCGCGAGAAGAGCCAGGAAAGGGTCAGGTCTGTGCGCCGCTCGAGGAGCTGGAGCGGAACGAGGCGCACCTCGGCTGACGGCAAAGACGTTGACGAGGCCGTCCGTGTCGCCGGACGGTACGGGGAGTGACGGCGTGCACAGCCCGAGGGCGGCAGAGACGCTGGTGAGGAGGGCGCCGATGAGCCCGAGGGCTGTGAGACGGAAGGCGGGCATGCGAGCGGGGTATCTGGAGGAGCGAGGGCGGTGGACGAGGCGGTAGGGCGGTGTAGCTAGATCGAGGTGGGCCTGTCGAGCTCGAGTTGATGCTGCAGGGCAGCTGCGAGTGGCCGAGGGAGAGAGCAAGACGAGGAAGAGCGACAAACAAGCTTCGCCGCTCGTCACGCGGGGTCGAGCCTCGACCGCGTCGCGACGGGCGGTGCTGCGGCTTGAGCCCCGCAAGCGTGTGCGGCGCACGAGGCACGCAGAGCCAACAGCAGCCGGAAGAAAGAGTGTGCTGCGGAAGAGTGAGCACCGAGGCCATCAAGGCGAGCAAAGAAAGGGACGCGAGAGCAAGAAGGGTCGACGAGGGCGACCGCAGCGGTTCGACGAGTGACGGCCCTCGCGGTCTACGCTCGGGCCCGTAGCACCAGCAGGGCATCTGCCGAGGAAGCTTGGCCAGGAAGGCGTATCGTCTCTGGGCATAGAGAGATTGAAAGAGGGGCGGGTCGAGGAGGGGACACAGCTGCAGTCGCGCAGGGCAACAGGTCAGCTCTGTCACGCTGAAAAGGACGACAATCACTCGCTGAGCTCGCCGTGAGCCCTCGCGCAGTGGCAGGAGCCCGCTGGGCGGGCTACAACTCCGGTCGAGGGGGCGAGGAGGCGAGGTCGAGGCGGGGCGAGCAAAGAGGTGGGCTCGCGACGACAGCTCGGGTCGTGCGGGGGCGAAAGGAGCCCAGTGGAATTGCTCGAGGCGTGTATGCAGAGCACGAGGCGGCCGAGGCGGCGGGGAGGTCGCGAGGCGTCGGCGAATCCTCATCAGCGACCGGGAGAAGGTCGGAGAGAGGAAAGGGTGGGGAGGAGCCGTTCTTGCTCTGGCGGGCCCGAGAGGCGGTCAAAAAGCCGAGCTGGCCTGCCAGCGACTCAGCTAGGCGAGCGAGCGAGGCCAGAGGAGGATGAGGAGGAGGGAAAGATGAGGAGGCTGCGGTTCGCTCCTCACCCAGTCGCCCGAGTCGGCCAGTTGATGCTGCAGAGGAGCGCACGACTAGTACAGACCCGCACGTCTTCGATCCGCCTCTACCGCACGCCTTCCAGAGCCGCCGCCGCCATGTCGACCGTCGCCGACCTCAACGCCCGCATCGTCGAGCAGGGCAACCGCGTCCGCCAGCTCAAGGCCGACAAGGCCCCCGCCGACGTCGTCCAGCCCGAGGTCCTCAGCCTCAAGGAGCTCAAGGCCGAGCTCGCAAAGCTCTCGCCCGCCGCCGACGACAAGAAGGGCGGTGCCGCCGTGAGCAAGAAGCCCGTCAAGTTCACGCTCAAGACGCCAAAGGTGCGCCGCTACAAGTCCCACAGACGCTCGAGCGGCCGAGGCGACACGAGCTGACCCCGTGCGCGCCCGTGCCCGCCCGACCGCAGGGCACCAAGGACTGGCACCCGAGCGACATGTACCTGCGCCAGGCCATCTTCCGCAAGATCACCGACGTGTTCGAGCTGCACGGCGGTGTCACGATCGACACGCCCGTGTTCGAGCTCAAGGAGATCCTCGCGGGCAAGTACGGCGAGGACAGCAAGCTCATCTACGACCTCCAGGACCAAGGCGGCGAGTTGTGCTCGCTTCGCTACGACCTGACGGTGCGCACTCTTGTTCCTCTCGTCCTCAATGTCGAGAGCCGCCGAACCTGACCTCTCGCACCGACACAGGTCCCCTTTGCGCGATTCCTCGCCATGAACGGCTCGCAGTACCCGAACATCAAGCGCTACCACATCGCCAAGGTGTACCGCCGCGACCAGCCGGTCATGACCAAGGGCCGCATGCGCGAGTTTTACCAGTGTGTGCGTCCTGCGCCCAAGTTCCCTTTCGCGACGCGACCTGACCCTGGCCCTCGCTCGCTCGCAGGACTTTGACATCGCGGGCGTCTACGACCCGATGCTGCCCGACGCAGAGGTCCTCGCCATCGGCTGCGAGGTGCTCGAGGCGCTCGACATTGGCGAGTTCACAATCAAGGTGCTTCGGCTCTAGTCCTCCCTCTTGGACCTCGGCCGCGCCTCGGTCCTGACCTTCTTTCCTCGCCTGCCCACAGCTCAACCACCGCAAGATTCTCGATGGCGTCTTTGCCGTGTGCGGCGTCCCGAGCGACAAGATCCGCACCATCTCGTCGGCGGTCGACAAGCTCGACAAGATGGCCTGGGCCGACGTCAAGAAGGAGATGACCGACGAGAAGGGCCTCGACGCTGAGGTCGCCGACCGCATCGGCGAGTACGTCAAGCTCAAGGGTGCGTCTTTGAATCTCTTTTGTCCGCTCGTCGAACGAGACACGCCGTCCTGACTCGTGCTCCTCGCAGGTGGTCCCGAGCTCGTCGAGCAGCTCAAGCAGGACGCGCGCCTCACGGCCAACAAGACGGCGCTCGAGGGCCTCAAGGACATGGAGCTCCTGTACAAGTACCTCGACATTTACGGCGTCACGAAGCGCGTGCGTCCCCCTACCTGCTCCCGCCTCGCCTCGTCACGCCTTCCCGAACTCACCCTCTCGCCGTCCTGCAGATCTCGTTCGACCTGTCGCTCGCTCGCGGTCTCGACTACTACACGGGCGTCATCTACGAGGCCGTCACCGAGGGCTCTGCGCCGCCTGCGCCCGTCGCGCCCAGCCCCGAGGCTGTCCCGACCTCGGCGCAGAAGAAGGCCGACCTCAAGGGCAAGAAGCCGGCGCTCAACGCCGACGAGGAGGCTGACGTCGACGAGTCGACCGTCGGCGTCGGGTCGATCGCGGCCGGCGGCCGGTACGACGACCTCGTCGGCATGTTTGCCGGCGACAAGAGCGCGGCGGGCAAGATCCCGTGCGTCGGCATCTCGTTCGGCGTCGAGCGCCTCTTTTCGCTCCTGCTCAAGAAGGCCAAGGAGCAGGGCAACGCCGTCGGTCGGGCAAAGGCGACCGAGGTCTATGTCATGAGCCTCGGCGACGGCCTTCTCGAGGAGCGCATGAAGGTCGCCAAGGAGCTGTGGTCGGCCGGCATCAAGGTGCGCCCTCCTTCCTCTCTCTCTTCCTTTCTCTTCGTATGCTCGACGTCACTGACTCGAGCTGGGACGTCGTGCGACAGGCCGAGTTCATGTACAAGGCCAAGCCCAAGCTGCCCAAGCAGTTCGAGGTCATCGACAAGGAGCGCATCCCCTACGCCGTCCAGGTGTCGCCCGGCGAGCTCGCCAAGGGCACGATCCGCGTCAAGCCTCAGGTCGGCAAGGAGAAGGGCGCCGGCAACGACATCGAGATGAAGCGCGAGGAGCTCATCCCCTGGCTGCTCGAGAAGCTCGGCAGGAAGTGAGGGACGTCGTCAATGTGCGCGAGCAAGAGACGATAGACGTAATGCAGCACACTTCTCTAGTTCTCTCTCGGGGCTCGTGGTGCGCGGGACAGAGAGAGAGAGAGCTTTCAACTGAAAGACAAGTCGGGCTCGAGCGCGAGCGCTTTGTCCTCCCCGAGCCGAACTCTCGCTCTCGGCCTCGCTCGCCTCGACAGCACGACAGGGAGAGAGGCCAATGCGAGTGATGATGCAGATACAGGACCCATGCTACCGACTCCGTCACAGCCCGATCCAGCTCGTCTTGCCGCCCGGGTTGTGCAGCCTCGTCTGCGAGATCTTGATGCGCGCGCCCGCCGCACCGCCAAGGACGCTCCCCTCGAGCACCGCGTTCTCCTCGGCAATACCCGGCATGCGCCCATCGCCAAAGCTCGCCCCGAGGTGCGGGCTCGGCGCGCTCGCGAACGCGGCCTCGCTCCCGCCGAGCGTCGGGCTCAGGGCGCCGCCGCCTCGGAGCGAGAACGACCCGCTCGTCGCACTCGTCGGCGGGCTCGTCATGCTGCTCCTGCCGCCCGGGCCTCGGCCGCCGGCACCGCCGAGCCCGCCACCGAGAGCGGCGAGAGGAAGGTACGCCTGCGCCGCCCACTCGAACCACACGCGGCGCTTCGTGTTGTCGGTGAGGCGCCAGATCTCGACGTCGAGCTCCGTGTGCGCCGGGAGGTAGAGCGGCTCGGCGAGAGGGAAAAAGATGGGGAACCACGAGAGCATGTCGCCGGCGGCGCGCTCTGGGTGGATCGAGAGCATGACGTCGCCGTACAGGACGGCCTCGAAGTAGCCCGCAAAGCCGTGGCACACGCCGGCGCGCGGAATGTGGAACGACAGGTGCGCCGAGCGCGCGTTGTGGTGGTTCGTGAGCGGAAGACCTGCGAAGGGGCTCGAGCGTCAGGGTCTCGCTCAGGAAGGAGAGGAAAGAGGGAGAGAGGGGCACACCTTGCTCGTCGACAACGACGTCAGGTCGAGGGTGGTCGAACGTCCAGCACTCTTGCACCTTGTCGACGCCGTTGCGGCCGCCGGCCGCCGAGAGCGTGTCGAACGCCGAGAACATGACGACGTACGGCTGCTCGGCCGGCTTCGAGTCGACGACGGTCGACGTCGACGCGACCTGCGGGTTGGTGACCTCGGTGTGCAGGCGCGACGTGGCGATGGGCGCCAGGAACGACGTGTACGACGCCGGGATCGAGATGCCGTCGGCTGCAGGGTCCGAGCGGCATCAGTACGCCGCCCGAGCAACCGAGCGGGAGAGAGGGAGAAAGGTGAGACGCACGCTTGAGCGTGCGCATGACGCCGTCGAGGCACTCGGGGCTGAGCTCGTTGTCGCCAAAGCTGCCGAGGAGCTCCGACACGATGATGTCCGCCTTTTCCTTGGGGTTGAAGCTGCGCATGTCCGAGTAGACGAGCTTGACCTGGCTGCCCCACTCGAGAGCCGAGCGCTCTTGCAGGCTGTGGGCGAGAGCGAGTCAGTCGGGTCGACCTCGAGGAGGGGGGATCCGCGAAACATGAGGAGGGCGACGAGTCGACGCACATGACGAAAGCAGCCGGGTTCTTCTCGACGGCCGTGAGCGAGATGCGGCGCTGTGACCGCTCGGCGGCGCGCAGGCACCCGGCGACGAGCGGTCCTCGCCCTGCACCGACGACAAAGATGGTCCTGCACGACGGGGAGCGAGTCAGTGTAGGTTCTTTCTGAGAGACGCGACGAGACAAGAGAGTGTAGGGGACGCACGTGACGCGGTCTTGTGGCCTGTCGAGGAGCGCGCGGTAGACGGCCTCCTCGTACTGGCGGTACTTGATCGGGTCCTTCTCGAAGCCCTCGTACGTCTCGCCCTCGAGGTTGTCCATGAGGGGCTGCAGCGGCTGCTGGAGGTGGTCCATGTACCCTTGCGCGTACTCCTCGACGGGCAAGAGCTCCTGCGCCTTGCGGTACAGGAAGCGGACGTATTGAGCGTACGCGAGGTGGCCGCCGGCCGAGTGGAGCGAGCGGTGCGTGCCGGACAGGATGACGGTCGGGCGGAACTGTGAGCGACAATGGGCGACATGTCAGTCGCTGACAGAAGGAGGGAGAGCAGGAGGAGAGAGAGAGAGAGAGAGAAGCGGGCGCACCTTGAACGCGCCCTTGAGGAAGGCCTGCATGCTCTTCGACAGGACCGGGTAGCCCTTGGCGTTCGGGATGAAACTCGTGCACGGGAGGAACATGTGGCGGACAGGCTCGGCGGCCCACCGCGTGAGGCTCTTGGGCGACGGCAACGGGTTGGTGAGGTCGAGAGCTGCGAGCGCATCATCCGTCAGGGTCGGTCGACGCTCGCTTCGTCGGAGAAGAGAGAGGAGACGCACTCAGGGTGAGACGAGGCGAGTACGAGCACATGCCGCGCAACGTGTTCCACATCTCCCACGTCTCGTTGCGGTCCGAGTCGCCCGTAAGCGCCTGGAAGGCGGGCGTGCCGGGTCGTGCGGCGAGCTCGACCTCCGAGTACTCGGCGACAGGAAGGCGGATCGAGATCTGCAGCACGAGAGTCGACGTCAGGCGTGCCGAGAGAAGGAGAGGAGAGGGGGAGAGAGGGGTGGACGCACGTTGATGTGCCAGCTCGAGGCGAGGGCGCCGTTGATGGCACGCGCGTAGTCGGCGAGGCAGTCGCGGTTCTCGAGCTTGGGTGGCGGCAGGACGATGCTCGTGATCGACAGGTAGGACGCGTAGCTGATTTCCTGGCGCAGGGCGAGCTCCGAGTCGAAGCGGATGCCCTCGACGGGCGAGTCCAGCTCGAGCCAGTCGCTCGCGAACGAGATGAGGCTGCCCGACTCCTCTGCGAGACCGTGTGCGAGTCAGACGTGCCCTCAAAGGAGGCAAGGGCACAGAGAGAGAGAGAGAGGACGCACCGCTCCTCGTGATGTTGACCTCGTTGCGCAGGAACCCTCCTCCCGCCCGCCAGCTCTCGGCCTCGTCGCGCTGCGTGTCGGCCTGGGCCGCCGCGACGCCCAAGTCGGCCTCGGTCGCGCTCGCCGTGATGGTGCACATGCGGTCCCACCGCTCCTGCCAGTTGCCGTTGGTGAGGGGGAGCGCGACGAGGTCGTACTCGGTGCGGGTCGGGCGCTGCCCTTGGGCGGGCGACCAGCCCTGGGCGGCCTCGGCGGGCGTGGGCTCGCGTGCCGGGGCGTACAGGACCGACGACACGAGGCGGGACAGCGGCGTGCCCTCGGCGGGGAGGGGCGGCCCGTAGCCTGCGCCCGAGCCGACGACCTTGGACGGCTGCTGGCCGCGCGCGCCGCTGCCCGAGCCGGACAGGGGCAGGAGCTCTTGCGGGAGGTGGAGCGCGATCGGGAGGCGGTCCATGGCGAGCGAGGTCGGTGGGAAGGGGACGCGGTTGATGGAGGATGAGGGCGAGGTCGAGCGCGTCGGTAGACGGGCTGCTGGCTGGCTCGGGGCGAGTGCTGGTGGTGAAACGTCGCCTGTCGAGCCACTCGTCTGCTCGGCTGGGAGGAGAGACGGCGACAGAGCGAGAGCTTGAGCTGAGCGCGACTCGACGTAGCTCGCGCTCGAAACGACGACGACAGCAAGCTGCTTTGGTCTCTCTCGTTCGCGAGGGCACTCTCTTGCTCATCTCTGACAGTTTCCGGAAGGCGCGTCGACAGCAGAGAGCGTGCTCGAGGCCTGAGAGTCGGCGCTTCCTCACCTCTCGCAGCTCTCGCCTCGCTCGTCCGCGACGGGCACATAGAGACGCGCTCGAGGTCACAAGTCTCTCGCTGCTCGTCGAGAACGACCAGGCACCGAGTGGAACCGCAAGCTCGATCCTCGTTTCAAGCTGACCCTCGACCAACTGACGGGGCTGACCAGGAACTGGGAACGAAGCTTTACGCCTCGGTGCGGGGACCGCCACGGCCGACACCGCTGCGAGCGTAGAGGGACGCGAGGAGGGAGAGTCAGGTGCTGCGGTCGGGACAAGTCGGGCGAGAGAGGGGGAGAGAGAGCTAGGGACGCACGCGAACCGGGGGCGGAAGTCGCCGGCACCCTCCTCCTTGCCACCCTGCTCGCGGCGGCGGTAGCCGTCGGCACCACCCTCGCGGGGGGCGCGGTAGGCACCACCCTCGGGGCGCTGCGGGCCCTGACCCGGGCGAGCGGCGCGGACCTGCTTCTTGTGCGTGGCCGGGACGATCTGTGGGTCGCGCGAGAGGTCAGTCGGCTCGTTCGACCGCGGTCGACAGAGTGGAAGGAGGAGAAGAGGGGCGCACCTCGGCGGGCAGGTGGAGGTACTCGCGGAGGTAGTCGATGCCCTCGGGGGTGAGGGTGTACTGCGGGTCGGGGTCGCGAGAGGGTCAGTCCCGGCTCGCGCACGCACGTACTCGAGAGAGGGGGGCGGTCGAGGACGCACGTAGTAGTACTGCCACGAGAAGTGGGTCGTGAGGTAGCCACGCGAGGTGAGCGACTGGCACGCCTTGATGACGAAGAGGTTCTTGACGTCAAGCTCCTGGTGCTTGGGCGCGTTGAAGTCCTTCTTCGCGACGAGAACGCCCTCTGCGCGTGGGTGGGGAGGACCAAGGGTCAGGCTTTCGTGGTCGGCATGCTCGCGGAGGGAGGGGAGGAGGGACGAGACGCACCCTTGAAGAGGTTCTCGTAGATGGTGCGCCGGTCGGCCTTGGGGATAATCATGCTGGGCCTGCAGTCACGGGCGTACCAGAGGGCGAGGAGGAAGAGGGAGGGAGGGAGGAGCGAGGTCAGCTCGTCGTCCCTGCGCAGAGGGGGTCCGCCCGACCGGCCCGTGTCCTCGAGCTGCTGTTCCCTCCTGCCGCCGGTCGACGTCGTGGTGCTTCGTAAACGCGCCCCGAGCTTTTGCTCCTCGCCGCAGGCTGGCCTGGTTGGGCGTGCGAGCCTGGCCTCCCCCGGCCCATGCTCACTCGGCCGCTCGCGTCGCACTCCGGCACAGCCCCAGCGGGTCTGCACGTGTGCGCTGTAGCGCCGTCGGCGGGTGTCGATGTGTCGGGGCCGGCAAGAGACGCACGGCGGCGAGGTGCGGACAGAGGGTGGTGAGGTAGGGGGACGGGGTGCGACGTTTGCGAGTCGAGGTGGGCCGGGACGAGGCTGGCGGTTGCGGGCGAGGGCGCGGGTGGTGCGGGTCGGGGAAGAGTGGCTCACAGAAGGTGACGCCTGGGCGGATCGAGGCTGTAAGGACGAGCGTTCGATGGAGGGAAAGGAGCAAGCGCGAGGCGGGACCCGGTCGACCTCTCGTCGCTCTCGTCCGCGCAACCTCACGAGCCACCGCTTCGCCCACCTCTCGCCCCCCTCGAGGCCAGCTGGACACGCTCCCGCACTGCTGCGCGCTCTCGCAACCATGGCCGCACCCAAGCGCGCCTCTCTCGCACCGCCCCCGCCCTTCCTCACCCCGTCTCGCAATGCGCTCCACTCGGCTCTCGCCGCCCTTCAAGAACGCGAATACCTCCGCCGCGCCTCGATCAGCGACACGCGCCCTCGCCACGAGCCGGCGCAAGGCCGCACTGCCGGCCAGGCCAACACCGGCGAGCGAGACTGGTTCGCCGTCGGGGCCGCCTCGAGCCGCACCAACCGCGACAAGAACCGGTGCGTGCCCCTCCTCTCTGCCTTCGAGACATCCTCCTGACCCATCCGAATGCGCGCGCAGGTACGGCGACATCCTCGCGTACGACCGCACCCGCTGCCTCCCGCCGCTCCGCACCGCCGCCGCCCGCGACGAGGCCGGCTATGTCAACGCGTCGCTCGTGCGCGAGCCCGATCTCGGCTTCGACGACGACGTGCTCCCGAGGCGGTGGTGGGTCGCGGCACAGGTGCGTCCCCTCGAGCCCTCCCGACTCGAGCGCGCTCGTACCGCCTCGCAGCCTTCCTAACTCTGCCCCTTGCCCTCCCACTGTCCCGGCACGCAGGCGCCCGTCCCACACACCGTGCACGACTTCCTCTCGCTCCTTCTGTCCCCGCCAACCTCCCTCTCGCACCAGGCCTCGGGCCCGAGCGAGCCTCTCCCTCTCGTCAACCTCGTCGTCCAGCTCACGCCCCTCGTCGAGGGCCGCCGGCAAAAGTGCCACCCGTACTTCCCGACCGACTTCGGCGCGACGGCACGACTCGCGAGCGCGAGCGGCGAGGCGGGGCAGGGCGTGTGGGTGCGGCTCGAGGGCAAGGAGGAGCGAGACGGCGCGAGGACGAGCGAGCTGCGGGTGGGTCGGGAGGGCGACGACCAGGGTCGACGAGTCGTCCACGTCGAGTACCTCGGCTGGCGAGACCACGGTGCGCTCTCGGTTCTCTCCTTCTCGCAGAGCCGCACGCGCCGCTCACCTTATCTCCCTCACCTCCTCGCAGGCGTCCCCGACTCGCCCGCCCACCTCGTCCGCTTCATCCACCGCATCCACGCCCTCAACGCCTCGCTCTCCTCGCCAGGCCCCGCCGCCCCCATCCTCGCCCACTGCTCCGCCGGCGTCGGCCGCACGGGCACCCTCCTCGCCCTCTCGTCCCTCCTCCCGCTCCTCTCGCACCTCGCGCGCGCACGCCCACCGCTCTCGTCCCTCCCCCTCCCGAGCGAGGACGACGCGCACCCGCTCGGCGCGTACCCGGCGCAGCGCATCCTCGGCGGCGGGCCCGGCGCGGTCGACTACGTCGGCCTGACCGTCGACGGCCTGCGCGACCAGCGCACGACGATGTGCCAGACGGCCGAGCAGGTCCAGTGGGTGTGGGAGGCCGCGAGGGTTGCGTGGGACGAGGGGCTGCTTGACGGCTTTGAGGAGGCGGACGAGGAGTGACAGTCGGGGGCGAGAAGAGCCTCGTGCAGTAGAGCGCGAGGCGTACATATCTAGCTGTTGTCGAATGAGATGTCGTAGCACTCGTTCGTCGACCGCCATGCTGCGCGAGTGAGCGAGTCGCCCTCGACCTGGTGAGCCCGCGTCTCTGCTCCCTCCTCCCACTCTCATCCTCACGACTGGGTCGGTCATTCGCGCCTCGACAGAGTATCTGCGCGTCTGCTTGTTCAGCTCAAGCCGACGCACCGTCGCGAGCGCTAGCCGACACCGCAGGGCGCGCCGCGTCCTCATCAGCAAACCGCGTCGTCCGACCGCTCTCGACTGACGGCAACGACTCGTGGACCTGTGGGAGCGGCTGTTGAGGGGGCGTGCAGGTGTAAGGAGCGCATCGCGCAGGGCGGGCTGGTTCTGCGAGCGATGGATTGCAGGTGCGTCCTCGTCCTCTCCCCCTCCCTCTGTTTGGCGCCCCTCTCCCTCTTCTCTCGCCCTCGCCGCCCCCTCGCGACGCGTCCAAGGCGACTTCTGAGACTGACTCAGCCCCTTATGCAGGTCGAGCGGTGGCGCAGGGTCAGCGGGCAGAGGTTGTCGCCGCATGCGGCCCTTTCTCGCTCTGAATCGGCTCATTCACATCCTTGTACGTCCCTCTCACGTCTCTCCTTGCGTCCAGTACCGTCTCAAAGGGCTAGACTCTTTGTCGAGCGGCGCACTGACCCTCTTGACGTCGCGCCGCAGGTTAGTCGCGCCCTCGATGGCACCTCCCCCTTCTCGGCCCGGAAAGCTTCCCCTCGCGCCCTTCCTGCGCCGCGCGACGGCGCCCAATCCTCTTCGAAAGCTCTCATTGTCCATAGCGAGCGTCCCCAGACCGCTCAGAGCTCTTGTTCGTCGTGGCACTCGTCCCGGCGGCTCAGCGAGTCGAGCCGTCGCGGACGGGTCCTTCCGAGGCCGCGCCCGCCCTCTCGTGCCCCTGAGGGCAGCGGGCGCACTTTGGTGAGCCGCTCGCACGGCGCGCACCCCTGCGGAGCGCCCGTACGCCCGGCCACCCACCAAAAACAGGGGATCCTGCGCACCCTCTTTTAAACGCTATCTCTTGATCTAGAGGGGCTACGGCGTTCTGCTTGCGATGTATCGAACGAGGAGGTGTCTGCGATGGAATTCAGCGCGCTTCCCGAGCCACTTTGCCGTACTCAGCGAGAGTTGGTCGGTGCCAGCCTGCGGCCGGCTGGTGCCCGGCCGGCGTGGAGATGGGGTCCGATTTTGGTGACATTAACTATTATTTTTGGGACTTTTCGGTCTTTTCCTCGACAGGAGCCGGGTTCGAACCAGTTTCAATACAAACCAAGTCAAGCGCGAGTTGCTATTCTTTCGTATTTGGCTCGGACGCGAACGAGGGCGGACCGTGCGAGCTTCTCTCGCGATGAAGCACAGAGGCGACAGAGTGGAAATACAAGCAACACCGAGACGACACAGATAGCTACACGCTGACCAGGTCCCACTCCTCGTCCTCGTCGTCCTCGCCGTCGAGTTCAGGCTCGCCTTCGACCACGACGCCGCTCTCCTCGAGCGCCGCCCGGCTCCTGCCCGCCCTCGACGACGGCGTCGACGCCGACGACGGCCCGAGCGCGAGCGCGGTAAAGTGCGCGAGCGCGTCGGCCATCGACAGCGGGAACACCTGCGTGTCGTCCTCCTCGCGCTGCTCGCCGCTCCGGCCCGAACCCTCATCGCCTTGCCCCTCGCCGTCGAGCACGCCGGTCGATCGGCGGATCAATGCCCCGAGGTCATCGAGGTCATCGACCCGCCACTGCCCGCTCGCGCCCGCACCGGCGCGCCGCTCGCGCGCCCACGCGAGGAACGCAAAGTCGAGCGCGAGTGCGACGGCGCCGCCGAGGACGAGTTTGGCGCGTCTGGCGCTGCGCCGCGAGATTGACGAGCGCGTCGTTCCTGCCACTGCGGCGCTCGCGGTCGAGGACGACGCCGACGAGCGGGCGTAGCTGCGCGAGCTGGCCGTGTCGTGGTAGTAGTCGTCGCCGTCGTCGTCGTCCGCGTCTGCATCGACGTTGCCGTCGCCTGCGCCGTCGGCCGCACCGAGGACCGACGACGCGACGCTGCGGATGCGGCGCCTCGAGCCGAACACGAGCGGCCACACGACCGTGCCGAGCCCGCTCTTCCTCCTCGCCGACGACCCTGCTCCGCCGACCGACTCGCCCTCGCCGCCTCGACCGGCGGGAACGCCCCGCCCTGGTCCCGCCTTGACGCCCGGCCGGCCCGGGCCAAAGAGGCCCATGACGGGCGCAAAGGGGAGCGCCTCGCGGTCGTACAGCGCGACGAGGCGCACGAGGTGTGCGAGGTGGGACAGGAGGGCCTCGAGGGTCGGTGGCGGGAGCGAGAGGAGCAAGGAGAGCGGCGGGAGGGGGAGGGACGAGAGGGTGTAGGACTGCGAGGGCGGACGGCGGGTTGGTGTCGCGGTTGCGGTGCTGGACGAGGGCGAGTCTGCCGTCGAGGAAGTGCTGGACAGGGTGCGATTCGGCGCAGGGAAGGAGAGGAAGGGATCGGCGAGGGGGCGCTCGAGCGGCGCGAGGGCGACCACGGCGAGCAGCTCGCGCTTGAGGATGCCCCTGACACGGGCCATCTCGCTGTCGAGTGCCGTGAGGGCGACCGAAAGATTCTCGATGCGCACGACCAGGGCGGGGAGCGAGTCGGGGAGGGACAGGGACGAGGTCGACGGCGAGGAGGAGGCGAGGGACGAATGGAGGGACCGTGCGGTCGACAGGTTGGCGCGGCGGGCGGCGAGGGCTGCTCGACGGGTGGCGAGGTCGGTCTCGACTGCAGGAGAGTGCAAGTCAGCTCTGCTTGCCGCGCAGTCGCCAAAAAAGAGAGAGAGAGAGGACGCACCTTGCGCGTTGGCCTGCTTGGCCTTGACGACGGCCTCTCGCGCCGCATAGGCCCGGCTCGCGAGGACCCACTTGTCGGCCTTGAGGAGGCGCTCGTCGGTGACGCCAAGTGGCGGTGCGCGCGACGACGAGAGAGGGCGGTCGGATCCCGAGAGGAGGGCGTTGGCCTTTGCGGTGACGAGGGTGAGGGCGTTGCGCAGCTGTTGTCGGCGGGAGTTGTGGTCGGCAAGGCTGTTGCGGGACTGCAGAGTCAGCTTTGGTGCACGGGGAGGCTCAGGCGCGAGAGGGACGAACCAGGACGAGATGCAGTTGTGGCAGAAGAAGTGGCGAGTCGGGTCGGCTCTGGCGCAGGCGGGACAGGCTGCGGGCGCTGCGTGGTGCCCTTGCGCGGCCATCGTGGCCTAGTTTGACACAGCTGGTGGTGGTGAGAGCGAAGGGGAGGCGGACGCTGATGAAGCTACCCCACACTCGCCTCCCGCCGACACCTCGCTCCGCTCTCTCCCTCACCATCACCAACGATGGGCGCAGCAGTCAGCGCACCGCAGGCTGCGCTCTCGCTCCCGGCCACCGGCCGCGCTCAACCGGGCACCGACCCTTTCTTCCAGGAACTCGGAGGCGAGGTCGTCTACGACAAGAGGTGCGCCCACTCGTCCCCCTTCCGCTCAGAGGCTCGTACTGACTCGCGCATTGTAGCATGGGGTCGTCTCGCTTCCTCAAGAGCGTGCGCGCACGCCACAAGAGCGGCGCCCTCGTCGTCAAGGTCTTCGTCAAGCCCGACCCGGCCCTCTCGCTCAAGCCGTTCCACCGTCGCATCAAGGGTCCGTCTGCGCCCTTGCCCTCTCTCTTGCACTCCAACCGAGAGCTGACCTGTCGATCTTTACTCGACAGTCGAGCGAGACGCCCTCGTCGACTGCCCAAACGTCCTCGCGTACGGCCGCGCCCTCGAGACGGAGCGCGCAGGCTACCTCATGCGCCAGTGGGTCGCCAGTAACCTGTACGACCGCATCAGGTGCGTCCCGTTCCTCTGCCAGAAAAGCAAGAGAACCTCGCTCACCGCCCACCCTCTCCCTTCTGCAGCACACGGCCTTTCCTCACCTCGGTCGAGAAGCGGTGGATCGCCTTTCAGCTCCTGACGGGTCTCAAACACGCACGAGAACGTGGTGTGCGTCCAACTCTCTCTTTAGTCGAGCGCGCACCCTGTCGCGCGCGCTGACCTTCCTCTTCCCTCTCTCCTTTCGCTCGCCGTCACAGATCTCGCACGGCGACATCAAGACCGAGAACGTCGTCGTCACGACCTGGAACTGGGCCTACCTCGCCGACTTTTCCTCGGCGTTCAAGCCGACCTTCCTGCCGCTCGACGACCCGTCCGCCTTCTCGTTCTACTTTGACACGTCGTCTCGCCGCACGTGCTACCTCGCGCCCGAGCGCTTCTACGCCGCCGGGTCCGACACGGCTCGCAAGAAGGACGGCCTCGAGTTCGGCAAGCGCGACGGCAAGGTGACTGAGGCGATGGACGTCTTCTCGCTCGGCTGCGTCCTCGCCGAGCTGTGGATGGAGGGCACGCCACCGTTCACCCTCAGCCAGCTCTTCAAGTACCGCGAGGGCGAGTACAACCTCGAGACGTACCTCGCCGAGATCGAGGACGTCGAGATTCGGGTGCGTCCCCTCTCCTTTTTCTCTCTCGCCGTCTCTTTCTCGGCCGAACCAGCGCTCACCTTTCGACCTCGCGACAGTCCCTCATCCGCAGCATGGTGTCGCTCGACCCGTCGGCGCGCCTCTCGTTCGACGACTACCTCACCCAGTACCGCTCGACCGCGTTCCCCGACATCTTCTACACCTTCCTTCACCCGTTCCTCTCGAGCCTCAACGAGCCCTCGTCCTCCCCGCCTCCGCCTGCTCCGACGCCGCATCCTGTACTACCATCGTCGGCGCGACCTGGCACGAGTACGCCCGCCGAGACGGCTTCGGGCGGGCCGCAGCATCAGCAGCAGCAGACGTTGCTGCGCACCGACGCCGACGACCGCATCGAGCGCGTGTGGAGCGAGTGGGAGATGATTGCGCGGTATCTCGACGAGACGGTCGAGAGTCAGGGTGCGCAGGACGGCGAGGACGGCAAGGCTCGAGCAGAAGGAGCACGAGGCGAGGTGCGTCGGCTCGCTCTCGTACTCGCTCCGCATTCCCGGATGCGGTACTGACTCACCTCATCGACAGGGCATCTTTCCTGTTCGTCTGCATCTTCCAGGGCAGGAGGGCATGGTCGTCGATGCCGGCAACGCGAGCGAGGGTGCGTCCACCAGCCTCGTCTCGTCATCTTGAGGGACCGTGCACTGACCTTTTCTCGCCGGTGCGCACAGACGGTCCAGCGCTCGTCATCCTGTCTCTCGTCTGCGCCAACATCCGCAATTGCGTCCGCCCAGCCTCGGTCCTGCGCGCGCTCGAGATCCTCCTGGCCCTCAACCGGTACCTGTCGGACGAGACGCGCCTCGACCGCCTCGTGCCCTACCTCGTGTCGCTCCTCGAGGACGACGTCGCCACCGTGCGCTCGGTCGCCCTGCGCGCGCTCACGCAGACGCTCGTCCTCGTGCGCGGCATCACGCCGTCCAACGTCGACGTCTTCCCCGAGTACATCCTGCCCAACACGCGCCCGTTCTCGACCGACCCCGAGGTTCTCCCGCGCGAGACGTACGCGCTGTGCGTCGCCGCGCTCGCCGAGACGGCGCAGCGCTTCCTCGAGATGGCCGAGGCCATGAAGGGCGAGGGCACGTTCGAGCTGCAGGGCCTGCAGCAGGACTTCGAGGGCTCGCCATACGCCGTACGTCTTCTCCTCTCCTCTTCTCTCTCTCTCGTTCGACGTACAGGCAGGCCCTGACGAGCTTGCCAACGTCCGCAGGGCAACTTCGACACGCGCCTTCAAGAGCTGCACGCCCTCATCCAGGACCACGTCAACCCGCTCCTGTCGGACCCGTCGTCGGCTGTCAAGCGCGCTCTCCTCGTCCAGGTCGGCAACCTGTGCACCTTCTTCGGCCGCCTGCGCGCTAACGACGCCGTCCTCGCCCACCTCGTCACGTACCTCAACACGCGCGACTGGCTCCTCCGGGCGGCGTGGAACGAGCGCGCTGTCGACGTCGCGAGCTGTGTCGGCGCGAGGAGCCTCGAGGAGTACATCCTGCCGCTCATCTCGCTCAGCCTGGCAGGTACGTCCCGCTCTCGCACCCCCCCTCGCTCGTCACCGCGACTCGCACTCACCGGACCCGCCTCCTAACTCGCAGATCCCGAGGAGTTTGTCGTCGCCAAGGTCCTCGAATCGCTCACGATACTCGCCGAGCGCCGGCTCCTCGCCAAGGGCAAGATGTGGGAACTCGTCGGGCAGGTCACGGGCTTCCTGTGCCACCCCAATATCTGGATCCGCGAGGGTACGCTCCCTCTCCCTCTCTCTCTCTCTCTCTCTCGTGTCTGCAAGACAGAGCATACCCTGACGGCAAGGAGCGACGATGCAGGTGCGGCGGCGTTCCTCGCGACGGTCGCGAGCCTCCTCGGCACGACCGACAAGTGGTGCATCCTGTACCCGACCGTCAAGCGCCTTCTGCGCTCCGACATCAAGGAGATCACCGACCTCGCTCTACTCGACAACGCTCGCGAGCCGGTCCGTCGCACCCTTTTCGCTCCTCCCTCTTCCCCACTTTCCCGCCCACCTGACGCTCGTTGCGCCCACCACTCTCGCAGCTCTCGCGTGTCGTGTTCGAGGCCGCCGTCTCGTGGGCGTCCCGCAGCGGCAAGTCGCATTTCTGGTCGCTCTCGCGCGGCAGCGGCGGGCCGACCAAGGGCGCGCCTCGTGACGCGAGCGTCCGCACGGACGAGGACCACGCCCAGCTCGAGCGCATGCGCCAGTTGGGCATGAGCGTCGAGGACGAGTACAAGTTGAGCGCCATGAGGGAGTACGTCGCAAAGGTGGCTGCGGCACGACAAGGGTCCGTGCACGATTCTGCCTTCTCCTCCTGCCGACGATTTGTCCGGCGCGATCCTGACTCTTGCCTCTCTCTTCTACAGCGGCCCGTCCCGTGGCTACGACTCGCCCGACGCCCTCACGCCAACGACGAGCGCCGCCAACCTCCAGGACCTCGGCATCGTGCCGCAGACTATCTTCTTCTCGGTCCTCTCGGCCGACGAGATGCTCAACCAGGCGCGGTCCCGCCTCCAGGGCCAAGGTGGCGTCGACGTCGGCGGTTCGCTCAGCAGGCGCGTCTCGACCGCGTCCAGCGACGCGACCGGCGCAGGGCGACCGGCCGCGAGTCGTCGCGCGAGTTCGAGCCAGGCGCCCGTCGACGACCTGCGCCGCCGACTCGCACTCGGCGCGCACCAGATGGGCGGCGGCACCACGTCGAGCATGCGCAGCTTCCAGGAGGAGGACGGCGACGGCCCCGACCCGTCAAGTCGGACGCCCAGGTCGGCGACGCCGACGACCCTCGCACCGGGCGAGCGCCTCGACCTGCACCGCACCGTGTCGCAGACGTCGACGGCCGCGAGCGAGGCGACCGCGACATCGGCGACGTCGAGCGTCTCGGGCGCGACGGGCGCAGGGCCGGCCAAGCCGCGCAGTCGCGTCCGGCTCAACGCCGTCGAGGTCGCTCGCGCCGTGCCCGCCGTCGCCGAGGACTCGACCAACGCGATGGGCCTGTTCGACGTCGAGGCGCGGTACCGGGCGAGTGCGGGCGACGCAGATGCGGCGAGCGTCATGCAGGACGTCGTGAGCCAGTCGCCGGGGCAGTTCCGGAGGAGCACGAGCGCGAGGGAGGTCCCGGCGCCTCAACGCTTCGTCTCGACCTACGGTGCGTCCCTCGAGCCCTTTCCTCATCCCTCAACGAGCCGTCCTGACCGTCGCCTGCTGCGCGCAGAGGGCAACGACCCGAGCATCAAGCAGCTCCTCGAGCGCACCTACCTCGACAGCTACCGCGAGCCTCTCCCCGAGCTCGGCCCGCACGTCCCTGTCGGCATACCTCGCCGCAAAGCCCTGCGCACGAGCTTCCCGCCACGCGAGCGCACGCCGAGCCGACCCGACGGCACCCTGATCGCCCACCTCGTCGAGCACACGGGCCCCGTCACGTCGATCCAGGTCTCGCCCGACCACCTCTTCTTCGTGACGGGCTCGGACGACGGCACGGTCAAGGTGTGGGACGCGATGCGCCTCGAGAAGAACGTGACGAGCCGCTCGAGGCAGACGTTCCGGCAGGGCGGCAAGGTGACGGCCGTGTGCGTCCTCGAGCACTCGCACTGCGTCGCGAGCGCTTCGACGACGGGCACCGTGTGGATCCACCGCGTCGATGTGAGCCTGTCGGGCTCGATGCCGCGGTACAGCAAGCCGTGCCTGATCCGCCAGTACCCGCTCGACGAGGAGGGCGACCACGCCACGTGTCTCGCGAGCTTCAACACCGGTCCGTCTGCGTCTCTCCTTCTCTCACAGTCGTGCTCAGTGACTGACTCTTTCTCGTTGCGCGCGTGCAGACACGACGACCAACCTCGTCCTCGGCACGTCCCTCTCGTCCATCATCGTCCTCGACATCCGCACGATGCGCGCCCTGCACACGTTCGCCAACCCGCGCCACTTTGGCCCCATCACGGCGCTCTGCCTCGACCGCAAGCACCTGTGGCTCGTCGCCGCGACGGCGTCGGGCGTCCTCGCGCTGTGGGACCTGCGCTTTGGCCTTCTCTTGCGCAGCTGGAGCGTCGGCTCGAGGCGCGTCAACCAGATCGCCGTGCACCCGGTCAAGGGCAAAGGGCGGTGGATCGTCGTCGCTGCCGAGCCGGACGACGCGTCGGACCCGGTCGTCGAGCCGGGCAAGAGTCGTCGAGGCGCCTCGTCGTCTGCCGCCGGCCAGGGCACGGTCGTCGCCGAGGTGTGGGACATCGACCTCGGCGTCAAGGTCGACGAGTTCCGGGTTTTCTCGTCGCAGCAGGCGCAGGCGGCGTCGGCCTCATCGTCGAGCCGGTCCAACATGTTTGCCGGCGCCGACGAGCCCGCGAGCGTCGCCATGCAGGACGCGACGCTCGACCCGGCTGCAGCCATCGAGGCGCTCCTCGCCGCATCTACCGCGCCCAAGCCTGCATCTGTCGGCCCGGCGGTGGGCGTCGGGGCGGCATCGGTGGCGCCCGTCCAGCCGACGATCCGAGCGCTCCTCCTCGGCGCCGACTACTCGACGCAAGCGTCGACTCGTCCCGCCACAGCGCTCCTCGTCGACCCTACGGCACCTACCGCCGATGGCCGCAGCAAGGACGGCCGGTCGGCGAGCGGCGAGGGCGGGTTCCTCCTCACCGGCGGCGAGGACCGCAAGCTGCGGTTCTGGGACTTGGCCAAGCCGAGCCGCAGCGCCGTCGTGAGCGGGCTCGACGCAGACGAGGAAATGCCGTCGTACAGGTGCGTCTCTCTTCCCCTTTGTCCTCGAGGCATTGTGCCCGAGCAAGTCCTTGACGCTCGCACCTCTCGCAGCACGCACACGAGCACCGTGCGCCCGACGCTCTACCTCGAGTCGCCCTCGTCCGCCGCACCTCCCTCGACCTCGAGCAGCAGCACGTCGAGCGCATCCCGCTCGTCCCGTGCCCCGTCGTCGTCGACCTCGACCGCCGCCAGTGCGGCCCCCTCGCGCGTGCACCGCTCGACCCTCATCGCCAACTCGCAGCAGCAGCTCCTGCGCGCGCACCAGGAGGCCATCACGGCGCTCGCCGTGCTCGACTTGCCGTTCCGGTGCGTCGTCAGCGGCGACCGGGCCGGCGTCGTGCGCGTGTTCGAGTGAGCCCGCTCGGCCCTCTCGTTCCTCTCGTAGTCTCTCTCTCTCCCTTGTTGTCACGAATAGCTTCTGCCTCTCTGCGACGCTCTCGAGAGTCGACGAGAGGACCAGGAAAGATGAGAGAAACGGACAAGCGCGCAGAGTTGCAAGCGAGGACCGTCCTCCTGCGAGGTGCGAGCAGGCGTGTTGGAGCCGCCCGGCAAAACGAGGCAGGAGAGATTGGAGAGGAGGGGGGTACTGCGGGAGAGTGTGTTGAAACGACAAGAGACCGACTGATAGAGAGGAGGAGGTGGGAGGGAGGGGGAAAGTGCCCAAGGGTGGAGGAAAGGCACCGACGAGGCCGACGACGAGGGAGGGGGGTTACTGAACGGAAGGGAGACGCGAGGGGACAACAGGGTACGGCAAGGCTATGGCTACACGAGGATGGACGACTCGAGGTCGTCCTCGCGTGCCCGCTTGCGCGTGTTGTCGGCGCCGTTCCTGCCCGTGTTGACGCTCTTGTCGACGACGAGGCTCCTCAGCCAGCCGTTCTCCGTCTTGAGCGTGTCGACCTCCTTCTCGAGGCCGGCGACGCGCTCGCGCAGCTCCTTGGCCGTCTGCTCGAGCTCCTGCTCGCGCTGCTTCTTCTTGACGCGGAACCGCGCGCTCGCGGCCGTGTTGCGGCGGCGCTTGTCCTCCTCGATCGCGAGCCGGTTCAGCTCGTCCTCGTTGAGCGACGAGGGGTCGACGCCCTCGGGGAGCGGGAGCGTCTTGGCCGCCGACGCGAGCTTGGCGGCGACGGCGGCCGACGGCGCGCGCTTCTTCTTCGAGGCGGCGCCGGACGATGACGACGACGCGCCCTTGGCCTTCTTGGCGGCCGACGTCGAGCTCGAGACCGTGCCGGCCGACGACGACGCGGCGGGCGACGGCGCGGCGTCGAACTGTGCCGGGCTGACGAGGTCGAGCGGGGCGGCCGCGGAGGCGGGCGTCTCGGGCGCGAAGAAGGACGGCGGAAGGGCCGGGGCCGCCGAGGCGAACGAGGGGAGGCTCAGGGCCGGGTCGACGAGCGAGCCAGCCGGCTGAGCCGACGACGAGGCGAGGAGCGCGCTCAGGTCGACGGTGGGCTGCACGTGGGGCTCGGCGTGGTCGTGGACGAGGAGGGGCTTGAAGCCGAACTCGCCAACGCGGGCGGCGTAGCGGTTGCGCTCATCTGCGCCGGCGGTCGGCGAGGCGGCGGCGGCGGCGGCGGGGATGGTGCTGCCGAGGTGCTTGGCCGAGTCCGAGTCGGGGTTGGCGAGGGCGGTCGAGTCGGCAAAGTCGGGCGAGTCGAACTCGAACGCGACGTTGGTCCACTGCTCGAGCTGGGCCTGGAGCGCGTTCGAGTCGCAGGGGAACGAGACTGTAGCCGGGGAGGGAGGGGGAGAGAGAGTGAGGGTGAGGAGGCGAAACTCGAAGGGGGGACGAGGGCGAGAGAGCGAGACGAGGGCGCACGGGTGTCGTCGGTGCGGTCGCGCGTCGGGCCGTTGTCGGGCGTGGTCCCGGGGCTAGGAGCCAGCTGTGGGAGTAGACTGCACGGGTCAGCGTCCTGGCCCGAGCCAGAGAGAGGCGGCGATTGGACCCGCCCTGTTGAGCTGCGATGGGGGGAGATGGAGGAGTCAGCACTCGCTCTCGCGGCCTCGAGACGGCAGGGGAGTGGCGGGCGCACCTGCGAGAAGGCCCAGTTGTGGCCACTCATGGTCGTGGTGCGTGCACTGGTGCAAGGATCGGGGACAGCGCGACGAGACGAGGGTGAGGGCGCTCGCTCACCTCGGCGCGCGAGCGAGCCCCCGCCGATGCGATCCCGGACCGCGGGTAAAGCTCTCACACACAAGGGCTTCTCGTTGGAGCTTGCAAGCTTCAGCGACAACCACGCCAGGACCGCCCTGCACTCGACCGGCTCGACCCGGTGCCGCCCTCGCTTTCCCACCAAGGTCGCCGACGAACGCTTTCCTCTCGCGAGCCCTCGCTCCGCACTCTCCTCGACGACGCCTGCAGTTGTACGACACGGCATTGCATTCTGTGCCTCGGCGGCGCGCTTCGTCTACTCGTCCCGACTCCGTCTAGTCGCGCGCGAGCGTTCCGTTGCTGCGCTTGTACTCGGTCCACTTGCGCGAGATGAACTCGTTGGCGACGAGCGTGACGACCTGCAACGTCGACGACGAGAGAGAAGCGTCAGGACCGTGCTGCTTGCTGCGGCGGGCGGCGACGGGACCGCCGCAGCGCCGTCCCGCACTGGCCCTCTCCGGCCAGCCACCGGGACGCGCTGCGGAGAGTGATAGCGAGAGAGAGAAAGTGGGGCGCACCGTGTGCGGCGCGATGCGCGCGAGGTGTGCGACCGAGCCCTTGTACCACCCGAGGACGCCCTCGGTCCGCCAGGTCTTGATGAGGCAGTCGATCGGGCTCTTGTCTGCGCGACGAGGAGGAGGGTCAACAGGCGCGTCCTGCTTCTGCGCCAACCTCCACAGTCGAGGCGAGCCTGCTCGTGGCAGGACGAGTCGACGAGGAAGGGAGGACAAGAGGACGCACAGAGGAGCCCTCGAGGCTTGCCGTCCGGGCCGATCGAGTTGGGCGACTGGTTGTACATGCGCGTCAAGGCCGTGTCTGCGCGGCGTGTACCTCGACGTCAGTAGAGGACTCGAGAGCATCGAGAGCCCGAGAGAGAAAGACGGGCGGCGGGACGCACCTGCAGGCTGCATGACGGCGCACACGACCAAGCCCGAGAAGGTGCTGCTGAGGAGAAAAGTGCCGATGTGGTCGCCCATGCCCCACCCGACGAGCGTCGTCTTGGCGAGGTTGTACGACGGGAGCTGGACCGACGAGCCCATGGCCGTGCGCAGCATGGCGGCGTCGACGCCGCGCGCGAGCCCTCGCGGACCCTCCTTGGCGACGATGGCGCGCAGGCCGTGCAGTGCCGACGGGTAGTTGTGCTGCGCGCCGACCGGGTTGAACGGCGAAAAGGCCTGCATGCGCGCCTTGACGAGGAAGAGCGGGTTGCCGAGGATGGCTGCGGGCGGGGACGGAAGCGTGAGCTCGAGTCGGCGCTCCAGGTTCGGGACGAGCGAGACGAGGACGCACCTCCGACGACACCGGAACTCGCGCCCGCCATGATGCTCGTCCACGCGTGCGTCTCGCGCTTGTCGTAGCCGGCGAGCGAGTTGATGGCGTGGCGGAACGGCTCGAAGAAGCCCAACCGCGAGCCGTTGAGCGCGATCTGGTACGCGTACTGTGGAGAGTCGTCGTCAGGAAGTGTGCTGGTGACCTCGGCGCAGGCAGGGAGAGTGAGAGAGGGGGGACGCACTGCTGCTCCGAGTCCTCGCTGAATGCCGCCGAGCCCCTCGTGCCGCCACGTCTTCTGCATGCAGTCGAGCGCGCTCGTGTACACCTTGCCACTTGGCCCGGCCTTGAGGCTCGGCGGGATCTCAGGGATGGCTGCTGCTCCTGGTGGTGGTGCGCCTGCTGCGGCGGCCGCGACTTTGGGCGGGAGGTGCGCTCGGCCTTGAAGCTCGCCGTCGAGCTGCAGTCGCGTCTTGGCGACCTCCATCGGGTTGGTGACTGTCGGCACGAGGAGGCAAAGGTTAGCTCTGCGGCCTGACTCGGGGCGAGGAGGGGGAGGGGGGACGGACTGGTGACGGCTGTGCATGCTGCGATGGCGCCGGATACGAAACCTGTTGGGCGGTGGGTCAGCTGGGTCGGGTGCTAGGCGAGTGCTGGAGTGGGCGCACCCTCTGTTCGCGGGGGCAAGGAGGAGCGAGGGTCAGCACGCGGCACGCCGTGAGGTTCGGCAGAGGCGGGGGCGAAGGTGGGAGGGAGGGGAAGGAGGGGCGCACCTGCTGCGGTCAATTGGATGGCGGGCTGGGTCGAGCTGGACGAGGCCATGGCAGCAGTGCTCGTCTCGAAGCGAGCGGAGTGAAGAGCGAGCGAGAGCAAGAAGAGCAAGAGGCTCGGCTCGTCTGCGGCGCGCCAAACCGGCAAGCTTCAAACGAGCCTTGTGCCTTAGCGTTTGTGCGCTCTGCCTTTGTGCGCTCTGCCTTGTGCGCTGTGCTCTACAGCACCCACTGCGCCGCCGCCACAGCGCCGCCTCAGCTCGCCGCCGCTCCTCCAGCCCCTCCTGCGCACCTCGCCTCCTCGTCACCTCGCGTCGACGAGCTCATCTCGGGCTTCCACCAGCTCCACAGCGACCAGTCGACCTCAACTCTCGCAGCGACACGGCCCTGCCTCCGCTCGCCAAGGTCCTGCCTCCCCCTTTCCTCCCCCTCCTCTCCCCTCCTCCATCGCTCGCCGGCGGAGAGCTGACCTTTGTCTTCACGAGAGAGTCTCGTCGTTCTGTGGAGGAGTGCGCATGGAGCCAGTCGATGCAATGCAAGTAATCACGCGTCTGCCCAGCGAGTTGCGCCGACTCGAGAGAGCGAGGGAAGCTGGTGGTGGTCCTCGCCGCTCTCGCTCACTGCGCCCGCTCGCGCAAAGCCTCGCTGAAAGCTCTCGTCAAGCTGTCGCTCTCCATCTCTCGAGACCGGCAGCGACGCATGCGCACAAGATGCGCCAGGTCGCTTGGTTGCGCCTCGCTCGCCGTCCCAGCTCTGAAGCGTCCTCGCCTCCTCCCTTGCCGATGAGAGCCGAAAATGCGCCGCGCTGAATCTGTATTGCACCGGCTGGACCACGCTGCGGAAAGTACTGAGGCAAGGCGAGGGCGAGCTGGCGCGCCGGCAGGACGAGGAGGAGGGGGAGGGGGAGCAGACTTTGACGGTGGGCGGGTGTGGAGGTGCGGCGGACCGGGGGTGACGTCGTGTCGAGAGTGAGTGAAAGGGCGAGGTGTCGCTGGCAGCGGGGGTAGCCGTGTCGAGGTCGAGCTGGCGGTCGAGGTGATGAGGCGGAGGGAGGCGAGGGCGTGGGTCGAGCAGGCGGCGCGGCGGGCACAGGTGCTCGGGCCCGGCGAGGCCACAGTGCACAAGCTGACTGTGCAGGGCGAGTGCACAAGGCAGAGAGCGCAAGCGGCCGTGAGCCTTGCCGGTTTGCGCCACTTCTGGAGAGTGATCACGGCGACGATTTTCGAGACCTGGAAAGCTCGACTCGCACTCTCGACAAGCGCGAGAGTACTTGGAGAGAGCCCATCATGCTCCACTCGTCGCCTCGACGCACCGCCAGACGACCCAGGCTGGCTCAGCCGCCGGGTCGCCGTCGTCAATAGCGGCACTCTCGAGCAGCCCTCTCAGCCACGACACGCCGCTAGAGAAACCTTTGCGCTGCACCGACGTCCTCTGCACCTCTCTACAACTCTGCCCCGCAACCGCCAGCCTCGCCCGAGTCGTCCTCGCCAACCTCGACCTCGCGAATCTCGTTGTTGTCGCCGCATCGTCGACACGCAAACAACGTGCAGCGGCCTCGCGACCAGCTCAGCGCCATCGTACGATGTGCACGAGCCCGTGCACCGAGCCGCCGAGCGCCTCGGGCTGCGGTGCGGCGCCGCGGCCGCGTCGTCGTCGAGGCGGTCGCCGGGCGAGTCGGGCTGTTGAGGGCGCGGCGGCGGTCGAGTGACGGTCGGAGCGGGCGTAGAGGGAGGCGGTGGGTACGTGGGACGTGCGGTGCGGGCCGAGAGGGTGATCCGAGGAGGTCGAGCGAGGGCGAGAAGGGCGCGGTTTGAGCGACGGCGAGGGGCTCGGCGAGCGGTGAGGGCGATGCGGGGTGGTGCGGGCGCAGCACGGGCGCAGCACGGGCGCAGTAGACGGAGCGAGGGCGATCGCGAGCCGAGTCGTACTCGGAGCGAGGGCGGAGGAGGGGGAGTGAGAAGAGGAGGCGGACGAGCGCGTCGAGCGAGGCGGTGTCGGTCCAAGGTGCGCCCTCGTCTCCCTCGTCATCTACTGCTGGACTCGCCCTGAGTCCTCCTTCAGCGTACAGCAGCGTTCGCCCACCACCCGCTCCACCGCCGCCGCCATCGCCGTCGCCCGCTCCCCCACCTCCTCCTCCTCGTCGCCGACCATGGCCCCGCCCGACCCGACCGCCTCGCGCGCCAAGCGCACTCGCGCAGGTCGTGCCGCCGGCGTGTCCTACGCTGAGCTCCAGAACGGCGTCGGCAGGGCAGCGTCGACGTCGGGCGGCAGCGGCGAGGCGAGTGACCTCGAGCGCGAGGCGCCGCCGGCAAAGAAGGCGCGCTCGCGCAAGAAGGGCGGCGGCGGCGGGTCGGGCAGCGGGGCGTCGGGCGAGAAGGAGCCGCAGACGAAGAAGAAGGGCAAGGCGGGCGGCAAGGGCAAGGGCAAGGGCAAGGGGGGGGACGGCGACGGGAAGGAGGACGAGGTCACCCCGGCTCGCCCGAGGCAGCACTCGTCGCTCCTGCGCCTTCCTCAAGAACTCCTTCACGAGGTGCGCCCACACCCTCTCTCGCCTGTTCGCCTCGCAAGACCCGGATGAGCTGACCTCTTGCGCCCCTCGTGCAGATCTTCGCACGCGTGCGCCTCGTCTGCGAGCTCGAGTTCGGCTCGATCTCGTCCGACCCGCCGACGCCAACCGTCGCCGACGAGCCGCCCGAGTGCACGGCGGCGTACACCCTGTACGCGCTCGCTCGCACCTCGTTCGTCCTGCGCCAGTTCCTCCTGTCGCCCGAGGCCGCCTCTTTGTGGCGCACGGCCCGCTTCTCGTACCGCAACGTCAACGAGGAGCCCGATCACGGCCTGTACCAGGTCAAGGCGTTTGTCGACGGCTCGTCGGGCGCCAAGTGGGCGACCAAGGCCGGCGTGAGGGTGCGTCCCCTCGACTCGCCTTTCCGCCCTGCCCACTCGCCGTCCCTGACCTGCCCCTCGTCCACCACTCGCAGTCGCTCCTCGACCTCGACAACCACAACATGTGCACGCTCCTCATGGGCCAACTCGCGCGGCACGTGTTCGAGAAGGACCCGCACCCTTTCGCGTCCGCCAACTTCCTCCTCGCCGACCTCAAGTTCGGCGGCCGCACCTCAACCGGCGACGAGCGCAAGAAGCTCGAGGACGACGTCGTCGAGGAGATCAAGGCGCTCCGCATCCAGATTTGCAGCCAGATCAACCCGACCGCCGAGCAGAACTACCGCAAGACTTCGCCCAACCTGTTCGACCCCGCCACGGCCGAGCACCGCATCGAGTGCGTCCTCCTTTCTCTTTTCTCTCCTTCCCTCCTGCTCCTCTTGTCGTCCCCCTTCAGCACCTCCCCTCCTTCCTCGCTCCACCGCCCGGCCCTCGACCGTCGTCCTCGCGCCGAGCACGAGCTGACCCCTGCGCCTGCAGCGCCGCGCCGGTTCGCCCGTCGCCCTTGTTGTGCCCCATTGGCAACTGGTGCACGTGCGAGGCGTCGCCCCGCGGCGAGAAGACGCGCCCGGTCCACCTGCGCACGGGCCAAACCGACGTCGACTGGGTCAAGACCGGCGTCGTCTCGGTCAAGGTGCGCTCCTGCTCTCTCTCTCTCTCTCTCTCTTTCTCGCTCTCTCCGCAACCTGCCTGACACCTGCACGAGCACGCAGATCCCCATGCACAACGCCGTGCCGCACCTCTTCCCGAAGGATGAGTCCGGCACGGACCCGGCAAGCCTGTTCTACACGCCCAAGGGCCTCGAGATCCTCACCAAGATCAACGACACGGTGATCGAGCTCGCCATCGCGCAGGGCACGGTCATCGCGTCCTTCGGCGGCGAGATCCGCAACATCACGCTCGCGAGCAAGGCGTTCAGCATCACGCCCGTCTCGATCGCTGGCCTGTGGACCACGCTCAAGGACGAGGTCGAGCCCGCCAAGGTCGAGGTCTACCACCTGCGTCGAGCGGGCCGGCCCAACGAGCGCGGGACCCTCCTCGTCCACCACTTTGCTCCTTCCACGTTCAGCGGCTTCGGCGGCCGGCTCGAGCAGATCTTTGCCCAGGTGCGCCGTCTGTTCCACTCCTCACTGCGACTACGACGAGCAAGACGGCCCGCTCGAGGAGAATCAGCCCTCGAGCAGCAGATTCTGACGAGCCCGTTCTTCCTCCCCTTCCCCTTTTCCCTCCCTCTTCCTCCTCCGCCTCGAACGTCACCACCTCGACGCCGCCCTCGACCGCAACCTCGACCTCAACACCGCCTGCGACGACGGCCTCGGACGCCTGTGTCTCGACCTCCTCGCCAACCTCGACCTTCTCAACCGCCAACGGCAACTTCGACCTCGTCCGCGCCCAAACCTAACATCCTGGATTTTCTCTCGTCCCATCGCGTCCGCCATGATCTTCTACTGACCCTCCCTTCCTCCCATCCTCCTGCCGCCATTCCTGCGCCCGCGCCGTGCCCTGGCGACCTTCCACCCGTCGCCTGCGACTCGTGCCCTTCTACTGGCGCGACTACCGCTCGCGCACGCCCACTTCCTGCTCCTCCTTCCTCTCGACTGTCTCCCCTACCTCCTCGGCTCTCTGTGCTCGCTCTCGCTCTCGCTCGTCGTCAGGACGCGACGAGCGCGCTCCTTCACGCCCTCGCGCCCGCCGCGGCGGCGCTCCCGCCGCGCTCGTACTACTACGAGCGGCACTACCGCGGCCGGGCGAGCGCCAAGGACGCGTCGCGCGACACGTGGATCCAGATCTGCAAGATCTGCGCGGCCGAGAAGGAGCGCGGCCAAATCCTGTCGCCCGACGAGCGCGACGCCGTCAACGCGCTCGGCGAGTTCCTGCTCCAGCGCCACCTGCGCAACAACGCGCCCGACTACGAGTCGATGCGCTCGCGCCTCGCGTCGGGCGAGAAGGCGCGCCCCGAGTGGCTCCCGCTCGCCCTCGTCGAGTCGGACGCGCAGGTGAGCAAGCTCGTCATGCACGAGCGCGCGGTCAAGACGCAGGCCGCCAACCTCGAGGCGGCGCGCGCCGAGGGCGAGCTCTACGGCGTCGACCTGCAGGCCGCCAACCTCGAGGCGGCGCGCGCCGAGGGCGAGCTCTACGGCGTCGACCTGCGCGCCGCCAAACTCGAGGCGGCGCGCGCCGAGGGCGAGCTGTACGGCCTCGACCTGCAGGCCGCCAACCTCGAGGCGGCGCGCGCCGAGGGCGAGCTCTACGGCGTCGACCTGCAGGCCGCCAACCTCGAGGCGGCGCGCGCCGAGGGCAAGGTCGTCGGCTACGACCTGCGCGCCGCCAATGCGCAGAGGCAGCGCGACGACATCTTTCTCGCGCTGTCACCGTCGTCAGCACCGATCGCCAAGCTCGACGGCGTCGTCGACAGCGGCGTCGGGATCGCGACGCTCGGCGGGCCCGCGCTGCGGCAGCTCTGCGGCAAGGTCGGCCTGTCGGACTCGTGCCGGGTCGCGGGAGTCCGACAGATGGCCAGCGTCGAGCAGATGAGCGGGTGGTTGGATGCGGTGCGAGCCGAGGTGCACGGGCGGGCGGCGAGGGGTCCGTGCGCCGACGGCGACGAGCCCGCTCAGACGCTCGTCGCGTGCATCAAGAGCGACGAGCTCGAGCGGACGCGACAGCGGGCGCAGGAGGCGGCGCAGCAGGAGGCGCCCGTCGTGCGCCGCTCGGGCCGTGCGAGGACGGCGAGGACGCACGACGACGATGACTGATTTCCTTCTCTCTCTGCCTGCCCTTGTTGTACCCCATCCGCATGTATGTACCGAGTCGCCTGCGTGTTTCTGTGTCTCTCGCCGGGCCCGCACGTGTCGAGAGAGTGGGAGGAAGGGTTGAGACGCGCACGGACTCTTCCTCTCGCCTCTCGCTCTCGCTCTCGAGGCCAGAAGCTGGTTCGTGAACTCTGGACCGACCGACGCACAGTGCAAGCGAGAGTGTCCGTAGCAGAGAGTGTGCTACTGAGGGTGCGAGGGGTACTGACGAGGGGTGCGGTGCGAGGCAAAACGAGGAGGGAAGGAAAGAAGGGGAAAGCGGACTACTTCGAGCCTTTGGTGTGCTTGAGCATGTTGCTGATCGCGCTCTGCGGCACAGGGGGCGAGACGCCTGAGCCGATCATGACAGAGAGGGTAAGGAGGGAGAGAGGGGAAGAGGGACGAGGGAGTACGAGGCGAGGTCAGGCTCGAGCCCGACGACGCTCGACGACGAGAGAGAGAGTGGACGCACACCGTGCGTCGAGTAGCCGAGGTCCATGATGAACGCCCGGACCTTCTTGGTGCCCGAGCGCAGCAAAACGTGAGGACGTAGTTCTTCTTGGACGCCATCTTGGCCGGCTGGCCCGAGAACGACGGGCGGTTCATCGACATGTAGGGCGCTGTGTGCGGGGGAGGAGGTACGTCAGGGCAGGTCCTCTCTAGAGAGGAAAGGTCCGAGAGGAGAACACGCTCGACGAGAGAGATCGGAAAAAGGGGACGCACGAGAGAGAAAGGGGACGCACGAGAGAGCACCTCGATGTTGTACCTAGTGCGGTACGTCTTGGTCGAGACGCCGTCGTTCAGGTCCGAGGCGGCGGTCAAGATGCGGCCGTCGGGAAGGAGGGTCGTCGCCGAGCGGTCGGGAACCCGCGCGTGACGAGCTCGTCTCTGACGCCGACTGGGTCGTACAAGAGGGGCCCCTTGGCGGGCGAGCGCGCGCTCGATGCGCCGACCTTCTCCTTGACATTGCCGTACTGTCGTCGAGAGGGGCGAAGCGGTCGTCAGTCGAGATGGTCGAGTGGCTCGACGAGAGGGAGAGGCGAGGAACGAGGGGCGACGGACGAGAGGCGAAAGAGCGGACGACGAGGAAGGAGAAGGAGAGGGAGGGGGAAGAGGGAAGAGCGAACACGGAAGAGGAAGAGGGAAGGGGGAAGAGGGAAGAGGGAAGAAGAGAAGACGAGGAAGACGAGGAAGACGAGGACGCACCCGGCGATACCGGACCGAGCGCCGTTGACGACGAGCACCATGACGCGAGGGAACGGCATGTTCTCGGTCTGCCAGCCCTTGCGCAGGCCGGCCGCGTTCAAGATCATCCTCGAACACTGCTTGCTCGCAGGCGCTTTGGCGCTGAGCTGCAACGGGTTGATGCCGAGGTTGGCCGTCGTGCCGCCGCAGAAGAGGACCTGGAGGACGAAAAGTCAATACGAGGACGCTGCGGCGAGTCGCAGAGAAAGTCGGGGAAAACCGAGGGCGCACCTCGGGCTCAAAGTTGTTGGCGGTAGTGAGAGGCAAGAGGACGCTCGCCGAGCTGCGCGGGTCTGTAAAGGGGGACCAAAGAGACGTCAGGAGTGCTCAAAGTGAGAGGAAGGGCGAGGGAGAGGAAGGGCGAGGGAGAGGAAGGGCGTGGGAGAGAGTGGGACGCACACGTGATCGTGACGCCCTTGCGCAGAGGCTTGAGGCGACGCTCGATGTTCTTCTTAGCGTCGTACAGCATCGCCATCTTGTTGGCGGCGATAGAGCCGGACGTTGCTCGGGTACCAACGAGGCGACGTGAGGCGGATGCGGGCCGGGTTCTCGTACGCGTCGCAGTGCTTGTCGGTGCAGGGCGTGAACAGGCGGACCGCGGCGAGGCCAAGTGACGCTATGCCGCCGTGGCAGTGACAGAGGGCGAGGGTCAGGCGGCCGGACAAGAGGCAGAGAGAGGCGGGGACGAGGGGAACGAGGGCGCACCTGGCTGACCGTAGACTGAACCGGCTCGGAAGTGAACGAGCACTGACGGCGCTTGGCGCGACTTATGGCCCGGTGCGCCCGCGCGAGGTCGACCGCGTGTGGTTGGACGATGAAGACGAGGGTCGGCGAGGGGGCTCGACGAAGACGAATAGGGCCATGCCGAGCTGCTCTGCCCTGCCTGCGCAGCTGCTGCGACTGACGGGCACGCCGGGGCGAGTGCGCGGTCGGCGAGAGGGGGTGCCGGTGACGAGCGACGAGGACGAGGAGGAGGAGCGGCGGGGACGAGGTTGGCGAGTGCGGCCCTAGCGGCAGGGCATGGCGCCAGCCGGTGGTCGCGTGTGCATCGCTGGCGAGTGCTGGACGCACAGCTCGTGGCCACAGCGAAGGTGGGAGACCGCTCGACCACGCGGCCGACTCCCTCACGACGAACGGGGCAAACTTGCTCGTCTCTCTCTTCCCTCCCTCACTCACCGTCGCGTCTGCTGCACGCGCACTGGCTGCGCCTCTGCCCGCATACCGACCCCTGCTCGTCTCGACATGGTCCACAAGCGCGAGTACAACCTCCGCCCTCGCCTCAACCGCCTCGCCCCGGGTGCGTCCTCTCTCTCTCTTCCTCTTCCTGTGCGGCGAGACGCGCAGCACCACGCCGAACCTTGGGAGCAACTCGCACGGAGTCGTCTCACCCGCCGTGGGCACTGTGCGAGCCATCCCCTCGGCGAGGTTGTGCTGGCGCGTCTCGCGCGCGTCCTCCCCCGCGACCGTGTTTGGCTCACCCATCTTCCACCCCTTGTGATGCAGCGATCCCTTGTCCCTCGACTACGCTCGTGCGCACCAGCCCGACCCTCTCCAACCTCGCCACCGACGCCCTCGACCGCCTACGCCACGACCCGCGTCGCGAGCAAGACGCCCTTGGCCAGCGCGACGAGCTCATCCACCTCGCCAGCGTCGCCCCAGCACCCGCCCCTGCACTCGCACCGACGCCGACCGTCTTCGACACGTACCTCGTCCGCCCTGTCGCCGCCGACCCGCTCGTCGACTTCCCCGCTTCCCCCCTCCCCTCTCCCCGTTCGTCGCCGAGCCGCCCTCCCGGCGTCGGCCCTCTCGACACCGGCGTTCGCGACGACACTCACTTACTCGTCCCCTCGTCACGCAGTACCCGCTCGCATCAGCTCGTCTCGCACAACGGCTACCTCTTGGCCTACCGCTCGTGGGGCCCGCCGCCGGCCACGAGCGAGGCGTTAAACCGCTTCGTCGCTCGCTGGAACGAGGCCGAGCGCATGACCGAGGTGTCGAGCGAGCCAGGGGACCGAGGAGAGCGTCGCCAGACTCTCGTCGGCAAGACGAGGGGCTACGAGAAAGCGCGTCTCTCCCGCCCGCGTTTCTCTCTGCGCCGCCTCGACTCACACGTTCTATCTCGCTCCGCAGGAGTTCCATCTCGCGGCGACGCACAAGCTGGCGCCCGCACTCGCCGAGGCCCTCGTGGACGACCCAGACCTCGACATCCTCAGGTGCGTCCAAACCCTTCTCGATCCTCCCTCTCCTCCTAGGGCATAGTCGACGAGATTCAGGCCATGGGTGGCCCGCCGTGCACGGTGTCGAGCAGGTGGACGGTGATCGAGGAGCTGTCGATGCTGCAGGAGGGGCACGAGGGGAGAGCATCGAGTACGGGTGCAAGGAGGGAGGCGCGACATCGGCGGGAGGCGAGGGAGCGAGAGCTGTTGTAGATTTCGGGCTCTGCAACCGCGTGTCCATGGGCATTGGAGCGGAAAAGATCTGGAGCCGCCGCGAGCGGCACAGCACGAGCAGACGAGCGTGGCGAACGTTGGCGTCCGCCTCCGCGGAACGGCCGCTCTCCCTCCTGCTCTCGGCCTTTGTCCGCCGCGACGCTGCGGTGTTCGTTTGCAGAAAGCCTTGTGAGTGACTCTGTCGTGCACACGAGCCGGAGGGAAGCAGTCGAGAGGAACCTCAGCTTCATCAGCTGGAAACGCCGGCCACGATCACGCTCGCGGCAGCCTCTCGTGGGCCGCGCAGGCAGGTCTGGCGGCTGCATAAAGGTGCTGTGGAGCCACGTGTGCAAGCTCAAGGATCACAGAAGCGAGTTTGATGCGCAGGACCGTCCGAGAGCGAGAGCGCGCAGAGCATCTTGTGCAGGGCGCGGAACCTGTCATTGCAGCGCAGGAATGCGGGAGGTACGAGGACTTGTACAAAGTGTTGAGCGTGCACTCGAGCGAGTAATTCTCTTTCTCTGTGCCCGAACGAGAGCGAGTCGCGACAGGGACGAGACCTTCTCAAGTTGACCGCGCAGTGCGCTCTCGACCGAAGAGCGCGCGTGGGAGCACCGACAGCTGTAGATACTCCCGTTTCGTCGACTCACTCGGGCGCGAGGAACCAGCATGACCTCGACGTTGCCTCGAGCCCGCTACACCTCCCCCGGCTCCCTCCCATCTCCTTCCCACCTCTGGCCGCTCGCCGGTCGACCCTCGATGCGCGCTCGCGCCTGACCTGCTCTGCCCGGGGAACGCCGACGACTGGCGAGGATGTGGGCTGTGCGGGCGGGGGCGAGGACGAGGAAAGAAAGGGGAAAAGGGAGCGGGAGGAGGTCGAGCGTCAGCCTCGAGCTCGAGCTCGAGACGGCGAGAGAGAGGGAGAGAGAGAGAGAGAGGAGGGGGCGCACCGATGGGGATCTGCTTCTCATTCTCCTGGCCAGGCGAGAGGAGGACGATTGACGAGTGGAAGCGGCAGCCCTCGAGGAGCTGCTCGACCCGCTGGACCGGCATGTCGACGCCTGCGAGTCGTGCGGGAGCGAGTGGGTCAGTGCGTCTTCCCTCGAGGACCAAGAGAGAGAGAGGAGGGGACGCACACATGACGCCCTGGGCGCCGCCGAGCTTCTTGAGCTCGTCGGCGACGTTATGCTTGCCGACGACGACGACGAGGCAGTGGTGCTCGAGGGCAGTAGTCGCCGGCCGACCAGCGCACCGACGTCACGACGAGGATCACCTTGCGGTCCTGCTGGCCCATCTTGATCGTGTCGAGCGCGACCTTGGCAGAGCCGCTGCGAGAGCGAGAGGGATGCCGAGGACGGCGGTGAAAGAGTCAGTCCCTCATCCTCGACGCAGACAGGGAGAGAGAGGGACGCACCCTTGACGTACATGGAGAGGACGCCGTCGCCCTTGAAGCCCATGCGCTCATCGCGGTCCTTGACGGGCGGCTCGACATGGCCTCGCTCACGGCGACGTACTCGGCGAGGCCGCGCATGAACGTGATCGCTGCGAGCGTAAGGGTGTGTCAGTTGCAGGTCATTGTCGACGTAGACGAGCAGAAGAGAGAGAGACGAGGACGGACCGACGACGCGCGTGCCCTCCTCGAGGTTGCGCTTGCCCTGCTGGGCCGGGTTGGCGATCTGGCCGAGGACGACGCCGCACAGGAACCGCGGGTGGCGCACATCGACGAGCGTGTCGTGACGCGTGAGCTCATGGCTGGGAACTGGCGAGGCGGGCAAGAAGGGGGGGGGATAGGGCGACAACGAAGGAGGGCAAAGGCGAGGGTCAGTCCGTGCGACGGGCGGCTCGAGACCGGGACAAGTGGGACGCACATGCCGTCAAGGCCGTTGGCGACCCAGGGGGACCGGCTGCTGCGCTCGAGCGGGTTGACAAGCCGCATTTGGCCCTGGCGGCGAGACGTGCCGCAGCGCGTGGTCGACGCGCCCGTCGCTGCCCGCCACCTCTCCTCCACACACCTCGGTCCGCTGCCACACTCTCTCCGGAGAGAGTGGGCCCTCGAGCCACGGCAGCCCGTCCCTGCCCGTGGCTGCGACAGGGACCGGCCGACGGGAGCTCGTCGAGGGGGAGCAGTCGGTCGGCGCCAGAGCGCACGGCCAGTCGCTCCCCTCGCTCGAGCCCGTCGGTGCGGTATGACGAGCACACGAAGCAGATGTGCGACTGCGAGTGGCCGCGAGCGGCTTGCTCGGGAGCAGAGGCCGGCGTGCGCAAGGTGCCGAGACCAGGTCGAGGCCGCGTGATAGAGCGCGAGGGTGGTGCGAGACGATAGGCGCACTGGTGCTGGGGCTAGTCGGAGCGTCGCGGTGCTGCCTTGGGGGCGGGTGGGGGCGGACGAGCGAGGGGGAGATGAGGGGCGGGGGAGGAGGCGGAGGGCGACACCGTGGCCGAGACGGGCCGCGAGTGCGGGTCGACGGGGTGGCAAGACATGGCTGGATGCTCGGACGGCAGCAGGCCAAGCCCAGGCGAGCGGTGTGGTGTGACGGGGAGGAGGAGCTTGCGCGTTCTCATCAGTTCGGGCTATCTCGCCAGCCGCAACGCCAGTGCGGTGCTCTGAAGCGCCCAATCTGCTCTGCGACCCTACAGCAAAACCCGGACGAGCCGGCCCGAACGCCTGGTCTACCCTCGCTCCGCTTCCTCGAGCGGTGCCTCGCAGCGGGTCGAGCACGAGGGGAGCGCTCGCAGCTCTGCGAGCGGGCAGCGTGGGATTCGAGCGAGGTACAACAGGTGCGTCCACATGCTCTCCTCGCCTTCGAGCCCCGCCCGCCGTCGAGCTGACCGCTCCCTCCTCCTCGACCCTCCGCAGCCACTCGTCTCTCCGCCTACGCAGGCGCCCGCTGTCCCGTGCCGACATGGCGACCTCTCGAGCAGCCCCAACATCGACCACCAAGCGCCCGGGCAAGACGCCGCCGTCCGCACCCGGCACGCCGGCGGTCCTCCCCCTCCACCAGCGCATCCTCTTCCCTCCCTCGTCGACCGCACGACCTCCCCGCATCCTGCACTCTCCCGCGCACTCGACGCTCGACCCCGTCATCCTCGACCTGATCGCCCTCGCGCTGCGAGCCTACGTTACGCCGTGGTACAACGGCGGCATCTCGCGCGACCCGGACAAGGCGTTCCTCCAGGCCGTCACGGCCGTCCTCGTGCAGGTCATTCAGGCGCTCGAGGTCCGCCTCGCGACGGTCGACTGGGCAGAGCTCGTCGTGCGAGACGTGCCAGAGCTCGTCGCGGCGCACTACCGCGACTGGGACCTCGCGACTGAGCGGGCCGGGAGCGGCTCGGCGCACAACTTCTCGCCCGAGGAGCTCTTCCACAACCTCGAGCCGCACATTGCCATCTCGCTGTCGACCGCACCTGACGGCTCGTCGTCGCGAGCGTCGGTCCCGCACGTCGACAAGGTCTACCTTCGCACCCTCGTCGACCACCTCCTCAAGGCGCTCCTGCCGCCCGACGACTATCGCGCCGAGACGGAGCGCGCCATCGTGCGCCAGATCCTCGTCGGCGTCGTCTTTGGCGCCGTGTTCAGCCGCGTCGCGCAGCCGTGGTTCCTGCACGGCGTCATTGCGAGGCAGCTCGAGGCTGTCGAGGCGGCGAGGCGAACGAGGGAGAAGGGCCAAGAGGCGGCAGCAGGCGCCGCGCATGAGACTTCTGCTGCGCCGAGTGTATTGGAGAGAGCGGCGGCGGCGCTGTCGAGCTTGCCGTCGCGCCTCGGTGGCCTCGTGACCGCCGCGTCCGCCTTTGCGCTCTCCTCGCCGCCAAGCCGCCGCTCGTCGGCGCCTCCTCTCCACACGTCCCTTATCCGCCTCATCTCGGCCGTCCTACCCTCCTCGACCTTCCTCGACACGCTCCTCTCCCTCGTCTCGCTCCCCCTCTCCTTCCTCTCGACCCGCCTCGACCCGTTGCTCTCGCGCTCGATCGACCGCACCATGACGGCCTCGACGGTGCGCGCCATCCTCGAGGGCACGACGCGCGGCATGTTCCCGTGTGACGGGTGGCCGGCGCCGAAGGAGGAGGACCCGGACGAGGCGGCGCAGGAGGGGCTCAAGCGGCGGTGCGAGGAGGCTCTGGCGCGGGCTCTGCCAGGTCCGTCCTGTCTCCCTCGCTCTCTCACAGACATGTACTGACCTTTCGACTCGCTGCAGATGCGCTGCCGGCGTGGCTCTACCCGACCCTGCCCGCCGACGAGCCCGATCCTCGACTCGCCCTCTCGCGTCACCTCCTCCGCCCACTCTCTTCGCACGTCGCCAACGTCCACCTCGTCCTCCTCCTCATCGACCTCGTCGTCGGCCACGTCTTTCCCGAGCTCGTCGTGCCGCCACCCGAGTGATTCGGTCCTCGAGCGAGCCCTTCCCGTTCCCCTCCCGTCCCTCCTCTCTCTCTCGTCGCCCTCTGTCACACTCTGTATCACTTTTCGAGTCTGTATTGCAACGATAAACTGCCCTGGAGGGTCCCAGAGAGTCGCCAGCACGTCCTCGTCGCCCGTTCGCTCCCTCGAGAGGCTCGAGCGCACTCCTTCCTCTCCTCCTCCCGCTCCGCCCCTCGACTCGGGGCAAAGAGCGCGGCGCTTCACGTTTCCCTCATGTGCGCGGACGACTTTGGAGATGTCGCTGTGGCTGCGCGAGAGCGAGAACGTGCAAGAGAAGGACGAGGGGCGCGAGCGCGAGAGTCGGTCTGCGAGAGCGACCTCGATTGGCGGCCATGGCGAGGGTGCGCCTGAGGAGCCCTCGCGAGTGCAAGCACAGCAGGACAAGACGTTCAGGATGCACAGAGACAGGCAGAGCCGAGGAAAGCCGGAAAGAAGAGGCGAGCCCCCGAGTCGAGAAAGGGGCTCGAGCCCCGTCGTCGTAGCGAGCGACAGAGTCGAAGAGCGGCCGCAGCGAGTGCGGCATCGAGGGCAGGATGAAGGAGAGAGAGGGGAATCTCCCGCGCTTAGAGTGAGCCTCGCCGAGTGGAAGGGGTCGAGAGGCTCAAAGAACGCGGTGGGGGAGGAGGGGAAGGGGGAGGGTGAGGCCCGAGAGTGAAGCGCGTGCTCGGGGTGCGTCTCGACGAGAGCGTCGAGTGCAGGGTCCGACACCGCTCTGCTCCAGCTGGAGCACGCCCTACACAGCTGCAGCAACTCGTCGAAGCCACCGCGCACCAACCGAGCGGACGAGAAGCTCGTCGTCCTCCCACCACTTCCCCACCTTTCGTCATCTCTCCTCTCGTTCTCGCCGCCTCCCACGCCTTGAGCGCATCTAGCCATGCCCTGGAACGACACTCGACCATGGATCAAAGACCCAGCCACTCGATTCCGCTCGCCACCCGATCCCGCCGTCCTCGCTCGCCTCGCCGACGCGCACTGCCACCCTGTCGACGACGACACCTTCTCCCCCGAGGCGTTGCGAGGGCTCTCTGCCGGTACAATCGTGCGTCACACACAGTCTCTCTACTTGGGGAACGAGCGCTGACCCAAAAAGCCCCTGCCCGCAGTGCGCCATGAGCTCGTCGCTCTCGAACCAGGAGCGCAACACCGCCGTCTACGCCGCCAGCCCGGCCACCGTCGTCCCTTTCTTCGGTCCGTACCATCTCTCACACTACGTTGAGACGGATCCTGACGAACTTAGACGCCCGACCGCAGGCCTGCACCCGTGGTTCTCCCACCCGATCTCGTTCTCTCCCCCTTCCTCGCTCCCGACCAAAGACGAGCACTACTCGCGCCTCTTCACCGACCCGGCCAATCCCGACGCGCCACATCCTTCTCTCGCCGACCTCCTTCCTCACCTACCCGACCCCGTCTCGTTCGACACCTTCCTGTCCGACCTCGAGCACAACCTCGTCTCGCACCCGTCGTCGCACGTCGGCGAGATCGGCCTCGACCGCGCGTTCCGCATCCCGAACCCGCCGCACATCGCTGCCGACAAGGCCAACTCGAGAAACTCGGACCTCGCGACGCCGCTCGCGCACCAGGTGCGGGTCGTCGAGGCCCAGGTCGACCTCGCCATCCGGCTCGGGCGCAACATCTCGCTGCACTCGGTGCGCGCGCCCAAGGAGACGGTCGACATGCTGCAGGGCTTCAAGGCCAAGGGCGAGGGGTGGAAGAGGCTGCACGTGTGCCTGCACTCGTTCGGCGGCAGCCCCGAATCGGCCAAGCAGATCCAGAAAGGTGCGCCCGGCTCGTCTCTCTCTCCCTCTCTCTCTCTCCCTCTCTCTCTCTCCCTGTCGTCGAGTCTTTAGGAACGAGCGTCACTGACATCGTTTTCCCTACTACAGCGCACCCCAACACGTTCTTCTCGTTCGCGACCATCATCTCGGGCCGCTCGCCGCACTTTCACTCGCTCCTGCGCGCCATCGAGCCCGACCGCCTCCTCGTCGAGAGCGACTACTCGCACACGCGCGAGATCGACAACCAGCTGTGGGATGTGTTCGAGGAGGTGCAGCTCGCGCGAGGGTGGTCGGCCGACGAGACGGTCCGACGGCTCGAGGACAACTTCAAGCGGTTCGTCACGCCGCTCGACGAGCGACCGCCGCCGAGAATGTCGAACCGGGAGAAGAAGGCCGAGCGTCGGCGGGAGGACATGTACGTGAGCGACGAGGACGACCGGGACGAGGGCCGAGCGGACGGGGCGACTCGAGGAGGCCCGTAGATGTCGCGACGAGAGGTGCATTGCAGGGAGGGGTATCACAGCGAGTACAGAGAGGTATGACGAGAGGTCCAGGGTATCCACCATCGAGAGCCCGACCCCGCTCAGACCGCCCCGCTCGCCCTCTGACCCTCGACGAGCCGCTCGAGCTCGTCGCCTCGCTCGCCGAGTTTGGCCGCCTCTGAACGCGCCCGTCGCTCAGTCGCGACGAGCTCGGCGTCGCGAGCCACGAGGCGCGCCTCCATCGAGCGCAGGAGCGCCTGGACCGTGTCGAGGTGCTGGGCGAGGAGGGCGGGCGAGGGGCCCGGGGCGAGAGGCGCCGCTGCCGAGCTGGACACGTGCGGCGAGGACGGCTTCATCGCGTCGTCGACGCTCGAGGTACCGCCGTTGGTGTCCTCCTCCCGTGCGCCCTCGTCGTCGTCCTCGTCCTCGGCCGACTCGGGAATAGCGACCGCTCCGAGCGTCGCCGACCGCGTGAGCGACCCGAGGCCTGCGCCCGAGCTCGCGCTCGACGACGTGGGCGTGTGCATGAGGCTTGCGCGCGCGACGAGCTTGGTGCGGACGGCGGGCGACGCGGCGGCGACGCCTCGACCGGGCGCGTCCGAGAGGCCGAGGTCGTCGGCCCAGGCCGGGCCGTAGGTGCGCTCGAGGTAGTCGGTTAGGCGACGCTGTCTGTTTTCGTGTGCGAGGGACAATGAGCTCCGTTCCGGCACGTGCGCGAGGCCGAGAGAAAGGGAGAGAGGACGCACTGCCGGCGCAACTTGTCGAGCTCGCCCGCGGCCCTCTCGGCCTCGCGCTGATATCCACCCAGGAGCGTCTCTTGCGCCTCGAACTGACGCTCGAGCTCCTCGAGCTGCCGAGGGTCGAGCGCCGCCGCCTTCGCCGCCTCGCATTCGAGGGCCGACACGCGGCTCGCGAGGTCGCGCTTCTCGCGCCGGACGGCAGCGAGCTCCTGGTCCTTGTCGTCGAGCTGTCGTCGGAGCGCGGCGACGTCGGCATTTTGGGTCGAAGCGGGGGAGGAGGAGGAGGGTGCGAGGTTGATTGAGCGAGTCGGACGGGGCGTCTCGTCGACCTCGAGCGTGCGCTGCGCAGGAGCCGGCGTGCCCATGCCGAGGGCGTGCATCATGGCCTGCGCATCTCTCCTGGCGAGTTCGCCCCGCTCCCTGCTCAGGCTGGCCGAGTGCGCGTGCGAGGGCCGAGGGCGAGACGACGAGGTTGATGGCGCGGAGGACGACGCGGCGGCGGCGGCAGAGGCGGCTGCGGGGCGCGAGGTGTAGGTGCGAGGCTTGGTGAGCGTGTCCTGGAGCGACAGCGGCACGTAGAGCGACGTGTCGGGCGAGTCCATGGCGAGCGGGCGAGGAGGAGAGCCGGAAGGTGGGAGAGGCGGTGCTCGACTGCTCTCTGTCGCCTCTCTGTCTCTCTCGCAACGACAGGCGCACGGTGGAACGCTACGTATGATTCTGCACAGAAGCGAGTGCTGGGGAAAGCGCTCTAGGCGGGGAGAGAAAGGCTACGAGGCTCGAGGGCGCGAAAGGCGAAGGCACGACGGGCGCGACGAGAGGAAAGCGGGTACAAGGGTTGGGTTGGGTGGCAAAGGGGAAACAGACTGGGGGTGTCAACAGAACCGAGGGAGGAAGGCGACAACAGGAGAGGGCGGGCGAGGATAAAGGACGAGGGTAGGGTCGCTCCTCTCGGACGACGACGACGACGTCGGCGAGGGTGCTCAGACGGCCGTGCCCTTGACCTTCTTCTTGGCGAGCGGGATCGACGACGACGCGACCGACGCGACGCTGACGTTGCTCGCGCTGCGCTTGAGGCCCGTCGACATGGGCCAGGCCCGAGCGCCGGCGCCGTGCGTCGCCCTCGACGAGGAATGGTGGTGGTGGTGCATCGTCGAGCGGCGCGCCTCGTGCGGGGTGCGGGCCCACGAGTTGATGAACACGATGCGCTTGGCCTTGCGGTTGTACAGGAACTGGAACGTGCTCCACAGGAGGCCGCCGGTCGACGATTCGCCGTACTCGTCCTCGTTCGCCGAGTCGGCGTTCGAGAAGGGCGTGCCCGCCCGGCCGAACACGGACTGGATCGACTTCATCGGCGAGCGGTGCGCGCGCATGAAAGACGGCGTGCTGCGGCCGCTGACGGGCGTCGACGCTCGGCGAACGCCTGGGACGCCTTCCATCTCGAGCGCCATGCCGTCGGCGTCGTCGTCCTCGAACTCGCCCGACTCGTCGTCGCCTTCCGAGTCCGACTCGGCGGCGTGCGGGTCCGAGTCGATGTCGGGCGAGTAGGTGAAGCACTCGCAGTCGGACAGGTCGATGATCGGGTCGAGGACCTGGCGCAGGAACGGGTTGGTCGGCACCGAGTGCGCGTCGTCGGTCGGCGTCGTGCCGGGGAGCGACACCGGGTCCGAGTACGGCGACGAGGCCTGGCCGAACGAGGCGGCGCCCGGGAACGACGCAAAGGGCCGCTGGCCCGACGGCGACCGCAGCTGGTCGAGCGCGGTCGACAGCGACGTGAGGACGGCGCGCGGGCCTTCCTCACGCCGAAAGTCCTCGGGGCGGACCTTGGAGAAGTCGTAGTCGGGGAAGGCGATGTTGAGGAGGCCGATGAGGAGCCACAGCGTCTTGCGCGACTGGGGCTGGTCGAGCGGGCCGAACGGGCTCTCGAGGAGGCCCTGGTGGTGTTCGGGCGGCGAGTGCGAGGTCGAGAGGGTGAGGTCCTGGATGAGCTCCGACTCGAGCGTCTTGAACAGCTTGCGCTCCTTGGACACCTGCTTGCACGAGTACGCCTCGATGCGGGTCGACACCTTGAGCGTCGGCGTCGACATGGACAGCGCGTTCGACAGGACCGACAGCTCGGGGATCTCGAGGAACTGCGGGCGCGCAAAGGGGGATGTCAGTACCGCTGTGCTTGCGCGTGCGTGCATGCGGCCGGAGGAGGAGGAGGGCGGGGGATTGACCTTCATCGGCGGCTGCGGGCGGCGAGATAGGCGGGCGACGGGTGAGGGCGAAGTTGGGGGCGAACGGGCGCGTCGACGGCTGGTGCGAGCTGGTCTGGTGGCTCGTGGCGGTGCTCTGGAGGCCGTGTGAGGTCCTGCATGGCGCCGGGAGCGATGTGAGCGACCGGACAATCGGCGAGGGTCGGCCTCAGCCAATGCGCCTGCACTCACCTCTCGGCTTGGTCGGGGAGAGTGGGGGTGGGCGGGGTGCCGGTCGACGGTGGCGGGTCGAGCGGTGGTGGAGCGTGCTGGGGGGTCCGGGAGAGGCGAGCTGGACGACGACGGGACCGCGTACGAAGCGAGCCGAGGTCGGGAAGGGGAGGGTGGGAGGAGGAGCGCGGTGGGCCACGGGCAAACGATGCCGGGGCGAGGGGGGCGGTAGGTGAGGTTGGCGAGGTGTGCTGGAGCTTATATCCGCTCGATCATGCACGGACGGGGGTCAAGAGGAGGAGGACAAGCAAGAGAGAGCGAGGCGAGCCGACTCGGCTCGCTGCGGCGACCGACAACAAGGGCGACGCGCACGTTCGCCTCCCCCTCCTCATCGCGCTCACTTGCTGCGCCAAAAGCGGCCGGTCCTTCTCTCTGCAACACACCTGCCCGTGCGCACGCTGTCCTCGCTGCCCGCCGTCGTCTCCTCGAGCGACGCGACCTCCCTTGCCTCGCTCGTCCAACCTTCCCGTCTCGTCAACGTCGTCGAGGAAGGCTGCGAGCGCTTCCTTTGCCGCTTGCGTACCAGCGCGAGCGGATACCCGCCTGCGAGAAGCTCGCATGCGACCGGAAAGCGCGGGGCGTGAGCTGGAAAGCTGCGCTCAGGCAAGCCGTCTTGCACGCTTTCGCGCGTCGACAGCATGCGCGATGGCTAGCAACGGGCCCGCACACGCCGTCGAGGAGCTCCCGGGTTCGCTGTCGCGGCCGAGGAGCTGCGCAAGATGCGCGGCGCCGAGGAGAAGCTCGTCGCTTGAGCCCGACCTTCTCACGAACAGACGTCGCACTCGCGCCGTTGCACTGCTGCTCTGCGTCGAGCGCTACACGCCGTAACACCGCCGCGCGTTCTCCCTCGCCTGCTTGAGCACGCCGACCGTCGTCCACTTGTCGTCGTCGTCGCCCTTGCCCTCGTTGAGCACCTTGACGACAAACTCGGCCGTCCAGGGCAGGACGCCGCCGTGCGCGAACGGGAACCGCTGCTTGCTCGTCATGCCGAGCTGTTTGTTGGCCATGTTGGCCGGCGGCATGTACGGCGCGTCCGTCTCGAACAGGATGCGCAGGCCCGACGGGTCGGATGGGCTGCACGTCGCGCCGAGGTTGCGCACGACCTGGGACGTGTTGGCGTTGGTCGCGTACGTGATGACGCCGGTAATGCCGATGAACAGGTTCGGGAAGTGGGCGAGGAGGGATGCGGCGCATTCGGGCGAGTCGGTGTAGCTGCGACGAGGTGGACGAAGGGCGGTTGGGCACGACGAGGAATAGGGGACGAGGTGGACGAGGGGCAGGTGCGCGAGACAAATCAAAAGGTCAGGTCGGGCTAAGGGGATGTGCGACGACGACCGCCGAGAGAGCGGGGCGCATCAGTGAATGTGGATGTGCTGCTCTCGAGGAAGCTCCTCCTTGAGGATGCGCACGATGTCGTCGTCGGCCTCGCGCGTGTGGATCGTGATCTGCAGGGATGAGAGCGGTCAACCTAGCCCCATGATCCCGAGGCCTCGCGACGAGGAGGAGAGGGGAAAGGAGGCGAGGGCGGGGACGCACCGCCTTGTTCTTGTCCGACGCGAGCGCCGTGCGCAGCTGCCGCCTGAGCACCTCCTGTTGGACGTCTCGAGGCGAGTTGTCGTAGTGGTAGTCGAGCCCGATCTCGCCCCACCCGACGCATCGAGGATGCTTGTGCGCCTCGAGGAACTTGCGCTCGAGCTCGTCTGAGTAGTTCTTAGCCTCGTGCGGGTGCGCGCCGGCGACAAAGCGGTAGTCGAGGTCGGGAAAGTCGGACAGGGCGGCCAAAGTCGACGCCCAGTGGTCCATGTCGCTGCCCTCGCAGTACACGTCGACGCAGGCCGCGAGCTTGTTCGAGCCGTCGGCCTGGAGGAGCGCCGAGACGAAGGTGCGGATATCTGCGAGCTTGCCGTCCGGGTACTTGTCCTTGTCTGCGGGATCGACCCAAGAGCGTCAGGACGGTGCGCGAGGTGGTGAGGAAGACGAGGCGAGGCGTGTCGACGAGCCGTCGGTGAGGCTCCTGGGCCCCAGGCCAGGCCAACGCGCCGCCGCCCACCGCGTACAGTCCGAGAGAGACGACTCACAGGTCTGGAACGTCGAGTGGATGTGGCAGTGCGTGTCGACGAGCTCGAGATGTGGGTCCGAGTCCTTGAGGTCGTCGTGCAAGGGGAGGACGAGCTTGTCCTCGTGCGGGGTGCGGCTCTGTCGGGTCGCAGGCGGGAGTGAGCAATGACCTGAGGGGACTGGAAGGGCAAGAGGGACTCACAGAGCGGGTGCTCTGGCGCGAGCTGGTACCGGAAGGCGGGGTGGACGACATGAAGGCAAAGGCGGGAGCGACTTCGAGTGGCGGTCTAGGGTGAGAAGCGAGTCTATGCGAGAGTCTAGCGGCGGCTCTGAGCATGCACGAGCGAACGGTGGATGAGAGAGAGGGACGAAAGATCGAGGCGAGTGATGAGGTCCCTCTGCTCCTCCCAGCTCTGCCCGTCTCGCCCTTGGTGCCGTTTGCTGGCCCGCGAGTACTCGCGACAACCTCGACAGTCGACTCGGCCGCCACACACCTAGCACCATGGGGTCCAGGTCCGTCACACTCCTCCCCACTCGTCTCGCCCGCACCAACCCGAACCACCCGCTCACCGTCGACCTTCCGCCTGCAGGTTGGACCGCCTCATCCTCCTCCTCGACACGGGCTCGACCCCGTCCGTCCGCCTCACCGCCGCCCGCCAGCTCGGCGCCATCGCCGCGACCCGCGTCTCGCACCCGTCCACGGCCAACCACGGCCATGCGAGCGTCTCGGTCGACGTCAAGCTCGAAGAGGGCGCAGCTGCCGGCAACAAGGAGGGCATCTGGCGCGGCGTAGACGGCGAGTGGGACGAGGTGGCCGGACTCGTCGCGAGGGTGCGTCCCTCCTCCTTCCCTCTCTTGCCCACTCGTCCTCCTCGTACCGGCACTGACGACGAGCGCAACAGGTACTGCCTTACCTCCAGTCCCGCTCGATGGAAACTCGGCAAGCCGCGGCGGCCGCCCTCGGCTTCATCTCGCGCGGCGTCGGCATCTGGGACCCGTCGTCGACCGCCCCCTCTTCCGCCCTCGTCAAGGCCGAGTCGTCCCTCCCCTCCATGACGACAGACGACACCCTCTCGTCGGCCATGTCCCTTCGCGACCTCGACCTCGCCCGTGTCCTGTCCGAGGGCGCCCTCCTTCTCGGCAGCTCCGGCAAGGAGTACGGCAAGCTGTCCGCCCTGTCGGCCGAGGAGCTCGCGCGAGCGCAAAAGGACGCGCTCAAGAACCTCGGGCTCGGCTTTGGCGGCGGCGACGACGACATTGGCGTCGACGTCGGCGCAGAGCTCGCCGCCGGCGCCGCAGATGCGCCCGCCACCGCGACCGAGCCCGCCAAGCCCAAGCTGCCGCCGCCGCGCTTCAAGCCTGGCGGGGGCGACGTCGTCTCGCCCGCTGCCCCGTCGGGCACGGCGTCGCTCGCGTCGTCGGCCGCACCCTCCCCTGCTCCCGTCGCCTCCACCTCTGCCGCACCCTCGCCCGCCGCAGCCGCGACCGAGGACGACGAGTTCGCCGGCCTGTCGGCGCGCGAGCGCAACAAGCTCAAGCGCAAGCGCAAGGCCGAGGGCAAAGCCGGCGTCGCGCCGAGCGCTGCGCCGACCCCGGCCGCCAAGAAGGCTCGCACGGCCGCGCCTCCTCCCGCCGCCGCCGCCGCCGCTTCCTCTTCCTCCTCCTCGGGCGCTCCTGTCATCAAGACCGACCCGGACGCGCCCGCTGTCGACCAGGACGCCAAGGTCGTCGTCGACCCGGCCGCCAAAGCGGCCGAGCGCGCTCGTCTCGGCGGCGAGATCCAGGCCAAGGAGGCGGCCGAGCGGGCCGAGTTCGCCGTCAAGGTCGGCGAGTGGCCCTGGCGTGCGTGCGTCGAGCGGCTCGCGGTCGGGCTCCTCGCGCCGGCGTGGGAGACGCGGCACGGCGCGGCGCTCGGGCTGAGGGAGGTCTTGCGGCTACAGGGAGGAGGAGGGGGCAAGCTCGAGGGTCTCGCGCGCGTGGAGAACGAGGAGCGGCACAGGAGGTGGTGCGAGGACCTGGCGGTCAAGCTCCTGTGCGTGTTTGCGCTCGACCGCTTCGGCGACTACATCTCGGACCAGGTGCGCTCCCTCTCTCTTCCTCTTCCCCCTTTTCCGGACCCGGGACTGATCAAGTTGTACCTGCAGGTCATTGCGCCCGTGCGCGAGACTGCTGCTCAAGCGCTCGCCGTCCTCCTGCCCTACATGCCCGCCAGCTCGGTCAACGAGGTGGAGCGCGTTCTCGTCGCCATGGTCCACCAGCACGGCTCGGTCCGCTCGAGCGAGGGCGATGGCGTACCAGCCGGCCGCAAGTACGCCTGGCAGGTCCGCCACTCGGGCCTGCTCGGCCTCAAGTACTTTGTCGCCGTCCAGGGCGACCTCGTCCGGGGCGTCGAGCCCGTCAAGCCCGAGTCGCCGTCGGTCAAGATGGAGGACGACGTCAAGCCGGTCGTCTTCTCGTCGTCGGGTCTCCTCAAGTCGATCGTCAACGCCGCACTCGTCGGTTTGCGCGACCGCGACGACGACGTGCGCTCGGCGGGTGCGGCGACGCTCGTCCCTCTCGCTGACGCGCTCGTCGAGCAGCTCCCGAGCGAGATGAAGGAGCTCGTCGACGTCCTGTGGGCGTGCCTGGGCGACCTCAAGGACGACCTCGCGAGCTCGGTCGGCGGCGTCATGGACCTGCTCGGTGCGTCCTCCTCGTCCTATTCCCCAGTCTCGGCGCCTGTCTGACATCCCTCTCATCCTCGTCGCAGCCAAGCTCTTGAGCTTTCCCGCCGTCCTCGACCTGCTCCAGTCGCCGTCGATGGAGTGCGCTCGCACCCCTTCCTCTTCAGCTCCGCCGGTCCTGCCACTGACGCTCGTTCCTCCACAGGACGCCCCTTCCTCAGCTCATCCCTCGCCTATTCCCCTTCTTCCGCCACACCATCACCTCCGTCCGCCTCGCCGTGCTCAACACCATCCTCGTCTTCCTCGAGCTCCCCTCGATCGATCCCTCGTGGGTCGACGAGCGCCTCCTGCGCCTCCTGTTCCAGAACCTCATTCTCGAGGAGCGACCCGAGATCCGCATGGCATCCGAGACGGCCTGGGTCGCGTGCCTCGCGCACGCCCGGCGCGTGCCCAACGGCCTGCCGCAGCTCGTCGCGCACGTTCAGCCGCACCTCGCCGCCTGGTTCGCCCTCCTGCACTCGCCCATCGGCACGCCGATCAGCTCGAGCCTGCTCTGGTCGCCCGTCAAGAGCCTGAGCGGGCAGGGCGGCGTCACGTACAACGTCGACAAGCCGATGATCAACCAGGACCTCGCGCTCGTCTCGGTCGAGGCCATCACGCGCGGCAAGGCGTCGGGTGCGCAGGCGCTCGGCCAGCTCCTCGCGACATGGCCAGTCGAGTCGCACGACGCGGCGTTCGCGCCGTACGTCGAGGGCGAACTCGCGTCCCAGTCGGCCCTCCAGCGCTTCCTCGCGGCCATCGTCGTCGAGGAGTGGGCCCACGCGACCCGCTCGGTCAAGGTCGAGTCGCCGATCGCGCAAAGCTCGTCTCTCGCGACGCGCATCGCCATACAGCTCCACGCCCTGTTGGCCGCCGAGGCGCCGGCGTCGTACGCCGAGATGGACCCGGTCCTCGCCCGTCTGCGCGCCGACTCGACCGCGTTTTACGCCGCGTTCGGCACGCAGGGCAAGGTGCCCGCCGACAAGGTCCCGTCGGTCCCCGACGCGTTCGGGCTCGCCCAGGCGCAGCTCGTCGCCGGCAGCTTCAGCGCGCTCGTGCCGCTCATGCAGGCCAAGTCGAAGAAGGCGGTCCTGCCCGGCCTCGAGGAGCGTCAGCGCAAGGTCCTCGGCGGCATCGCCTACTTCGAGCGCGTCAAGGCCAAGCACGACCGCCAGGTCTTTGCCGCGCTCGGCGGCGCCGTCATCGCGCTCCAGAGCATCCCGGCCAAGATCACGCCGCTCATCCGCAGCGTAACCAACAGCATCAAGGTGCGTCCGGTCGTCTCCCTTGTCCTCCCTCTCCTGTGCTCGCCTGGCTCGGCCAGTACTGACCTCGGCCGCCGACGCAGACGGAGGACAACCTCGACCTGCAAGCTCGCTCGGCACGCGCCATCGCCGCCCTCATCGACCTGTGCTCGTCGCCGACGTCCGCGTTGCGCGTCAACCCGTCCGACAAGCTCATCAAGAACCTGTGCGCGTTCCTGTGTCAAGACGTGTCGCGCACGCCCATCTTTGCGGCGACCAAGACGAGCTCGGCCGGCATCCTCACGCTCCAGTACAACCCGGCGAGGGGCACCGTCGACAAGCCGGCCAAGGACAAGGCGGTCGAGGTCGAGTCGGACGAGGTCAAGGCAGCCAAGCTCGTCTACCGCGGTGCGCAGCTCGCCCTGTCCGAGTTGGCCGAGCGCTTCGGCCCGCTCTTGCTCGAGCGCGTCCCCAAGCTGTGGAGCTGCATGGCCGACGCGCTCCTCGAGGTCTTTTCGTCGGGTGCGTGGCCCTTTTCTTCCTCCTCCCCAGCCCGGCTTCGGGCGGCGGACTGACTTGGACCTACCCCGAAGCAGGCGACATCAAGCAGGCCGACGCCATTCTCGCCGACGACGACCAAAAGGGCCAAGACGTCGTCGACGCCCTCACGGTCCTGCCCGTCGCCGCCGCCAAGCTCACGCCGGCGCTTCATGAGCGGCTCGCGTCGCTGTTCCCGCCGCTCTCGGTCGCCACCCGCAGCGAGTTTGCCGTCGTTCGCTATGCCGTCGCCAAGTCGTTCGCGACGCTGTGCGACATCAGCCCGGTCGAGGGTCTGCGCCACGTCGTTGAGAGCGTCATCCCGGTACTCGGCGACCCGCTCAACGTCAACAACCGCCGAGGCGCCATCGAGCTCATCTCGCACCTCGTCGAGCTGCTCGACATCAAGATCCTGCCCTACGTCATCTTCCTCGTCGTGCCCGTCCTCGGCCGCATGAGCGACCCGGACGACGAGGTGCGGCTCGTCGCGACCAACACGTTCGCCTCGCTCGTCAAGCTCGTCCCTCTCGAGGTGTGTCAGCTCGCTCTCTACCTCATCCTTACGAGACCGCTACTGACTATCTGCCCCTCTCGCAGGCCGGCCTCCCCGACCCTCCCGGCTTCTCGGACGAGCTGCTCGCCAAGCGCGAGACCGAGCGCGAGTTCCTCATGCAGCTCCTCGACGGCAGCAAAGTCGTCGAGTACAAGGTCCCTGTCGACATGGGCATCGAGCTGCGCAAGTACCAGCGTGACGGCGTCAGCTGGCTCGCTTTCCTCGCTCGATACCAGCTGCACGGTCTGCTTTGCGACGGTGCGTCCCTCCTCTCTTCCCTCCTTTTCTCTACAAGGCCCCCACTGACTCTCGCCGTCCGCAGACATGGGCCTCGGCAAGACGTTGCAGTCGATCACGATCCTCGCGAGCATGCACCACGAGCGCGCCGAGCGGCACAAGGCGACCAACTCGCCCGACTCGGTCCACCTCCCGTCCCTCATCGTCTGCCCACCGACGCTCACCGGGCACTGGAAGCACGAGATCAACACGTACGCGCCGGCGCTGCGCTGCGTCATCTACACCGGCCCTCGCGCCGACCGCGACCGCCTCCTGCGCAACCTGCGCAAGTACGACGCCGTCATCCTGTCGTACGACGTCGCGCGCAACGACGTCGACGTCCTGTCGCCGGTCGACTGGCACTACTGCATCCTCGACGAGGGCCACGTCATCAAGAACGGCAAGACCAAGCTCACGCAGGCCGTCAAGTCGCTCAAGGCGATCCACCGCCTCATCCTGTCGGGCACGCCGATCCAGAACAACGTGCTCGAGCTGTGGTCGCTGTTCGACTTCCTCATGCCGGGCTTCCTCGGCTCGGAGAAGGCCTTCAACGACCGGTTCGGCAAGCCCATCGCCGCGAGCCGCGACGCCAAAAGCTCGTCCAAGGAGCAAGAGGCCGGCGCGCTCGCGCTCGAGGCCCTGCACAAGCAGGTGCTGCCGTTCATCCTCCGTCGCCTCAAGGAGGACGTCCTCGACGACCTGCCGCCCAAGATCATCCAGGACTACCACGTCGAGCTGTCGCCGCTCCAGAAGCAGCTGTACGACGACTTTTCCGGGTCGCAGGCCAAACAGGTCGCCGAGGGCGAGGTCAAGGGCTCGTCGACGTCGAGCGACAAGCCGCAGCACGTCTTCCAAGCGCTCCAGTACCTGCGCAAGCTCGTCAACCACCCGGCGCTCGTCTTCAAGCCCGAGGTCCCTCAGCACCAGGCCGCCCTCGCCAAGGTCTCGGGCGATGGGACGTCGGTCCGCGACATCGTGCACGCACCCAAGATCAAGGCGCTACAGTGCGTCCCGCCCCCTCCCTCGTCGCCTTTCCCCGCGCCGTCGCCAACATTGTCTTTCTCCCTCGCAGACAGATCCTCGTCGACTGCGGCATCGGCGCGAGCAACCCTGCGGCCGACTCGGCGCCCGACGGCGCCGTTCCTCAGCACCGCGCCCTCATCTTCTGCCAGCTCAAGGGCATGCTCGACATTGTCGAGAACGACCTCCTGCGCGCCCTCATGCCGTCCGTCACCTACATGCGCCTCGACGGCACCACCGACGTCTCGAAGCGGCACGCCATCTGCCAGACGTTCAACAGCGACCCGTCGATCGACTGTCTCCTCCTCACGACGCACGTCGGCGGGCTCGGGCTCAACCTCACGGGCGCCGACACGGTCATCTTCGTCGAGCACGACTGGAACCCGATGAAGGACCTGCAGGCCATGGACCGAGCGCATCGTCTCGGGCAGAAGAAGGTCGTCAACGTCTACCGCTTGATCATGCGCGGCACGCTCGAGGAGAAGATCATGGGGTGCGTCCGCTCTCCCCCTTTCCTCTCCTTCTCTCCTCTCGGACGCTCACTGACGACCTTTCGCCTCGACAGACTGCAGCGCTTCAAGCTCAACATCGCGTCGACCATCGTCTCGCAGCAAAACTCGGACCTGTCGTCGCTCGGCACCGACCAGATCCTCGACCTCTTCCAGGTCTCGGACACGCCGGCTCCCGCCGCAGGAGCCTCGACCGGCGCCGACGGCGACAAGCCCATGTCGCAAAAGGCCATCCTCGAGTCGCTCGACGCAGGGCAAGACGACGACGACTACCAGCTCGACCTCGCCTCGTTCCTCTCGGCGGCCTGAACGCCCTGCCGCGACTCGTACATTCCCTCTGCATACCCCCACCGTCCTGTCCTGTCGACGCCCTGTTGCTATACCACCTCGCCTTCCTCGTCCCGTCTCTCCTTGCTCTTCTCACGACGCCCGAGAAAGCGCCTGCCGCCTGTGAGAGCTCGGCAAGCTGCGCGCACGGACCCCCTCGCGGATCCAGAGGGAGCCTATCTCATGCGCCATGAGAGCGAATCGCGAGAGCTCTTGTACAGCTCTCCTAAGAGTCGCTCTCGAAGAACGGCAGGGAGAACAAGAAGAGAGAGAAGCGTGCTCGATTGCGACGACGAGCCGCCTTCTCAAACGCGCTCTCGCGCCGCCAGCTCAAAGAGCCCTCGGTACTTCTCCTCGAGTCGATCTAGCTCGTCGACGACGCCCTCCTGCCGCCGCTGCAGCCCGTTGATCTTGCGCCCGGGCGTGCCCACCTCGTGCTCTCCCCCAGCGACAGCCGGCGCCGGGCCCGCTCGCCTCGCCGACTCTGCCAACGCCGCGCTCGGCACGCCTTTCGGGACGCCTACGCCTGCGCCCGCTCTCGCCATCTTCTTGGCCGACCGCCCGACGGTCCACGCGTGCTCCTGCATCTCGCGCCACGCGTCCATGCCACTCACGACGCGGCGCGAGCGCGCGCTCGAGCTGCCGGCGCCGCTGCGAGGCGTGATTGCGCTTTCTGGGCGCTGAGAGAGGTGCGCGAGGCGAGAGAGAGGACGGGCGGGCGTTGAGAAGGCTGCTGAGGGAGGAGGAGGAGCGTGCGCGGTGCGAGAGGGTGGAGCGACGGCGGCGACGTCGCCGGCGGGAGGCGCAAGAAGGGTGGATAGTCGCGAAGAAGGAGGTGGCGCAAAGGCGTCGGGCGGCGGGAGCGTCGTCAAGCCGCCGTACTCGCGCGCGAGCCAGTACTCGCTCTCCTCCGACTGCGCCGCGCTCGTCGTACGAGGCGACGGGCGCAGGATCGACAGGCCCGGCGACGAGAAGAACGAGGAAAAGTCGAAAGATTGTGCGCCCGAGGTCGAGTGCGAGCGGGCGAACGAGTCGGAGGAGGACGGTGCGGGCGGGACGAAAGGCGGAGGGATGTAGGCGGCCGTACCTGCAGATGGACGAGGCTGTCAGGAAGATCGGTCGCTTGAAGAGAGATGGTGAGACGCACTCGTACGAAGAAGGTCCCACCGAACCTCGCTGAACCAGGGAAGCGCCTTGATCGTCGAGGCTGACGGACGGTCCCCTGCGGCGACGAGCAGCCTGCGACGCGACCGAGAGCGTCAGTACCGGCTCGCAGAAGGTCACGAGAGAGCTGCCATGTACGAAGAGATGGTCGCTCGAGCCGGCGCCGACACGTTGACTCGCGGAGGATATTCGAGGTGCTTCTGCAAGGGCGAGGACGATGTGAGCTCGTGGCCGGTATCGAGAGAAGGGCGGACGCTGCTGACGCACCTGCCAGTCAACGATGCGCTCGTACGTCTCGCTGATCTCCTCGGCAAAGAAAGGCGTGCGGCCGTAGAGCAGCTGCGGCGGCAAGAGGACGATGAGCTCAGGCCGCCTAGGCGAGAAAGAGGGAAAGAGAGAGAGAGAGGCAGAGCGCACCTCATACAGGACGACGCCGCACGCCCACCAGTCGACCTCGGCACCGTACGCTCGGGCTTCCTGATCCCGCTCGAGCTTGACCTCGTCGTGCAGCCCGAACGCGCTCCGGTCCTGCTCCTCCTCGTCCTCCTCTTCCTCCTGGTAGACCCGCTCGGCATGCTTGAGGACCTCGGGTGCGATATAGTCGGGCGTGCCGAGGAGGACGCGGCAGTGCTTGCGGGCGATCGAGGTCGTGCCGGGAGAGAGAGGCGCACAGGAGCCAAAGTCGGTGAGCTGGACGTGCCCGGCGGCGTCGAGGAGGACGTTTTGCGGCTTGATGTCCCTGCGGAAGATCGAGCGTCAGGAAAGTGACGAGAAGAAGGCGAGAGAGAGCAGACGCACCGGTGAGCCCATCCCTCGTCGTGCAACCAAGCCACTGCGTCGACCAACTCGGCCGTCCACCCTCTCACCCACTCCTCGGGCAGCCCCTGCTCTTGTCCAACAGCGAGACCCTCGTTTTGACGCTCGAGGATGGTCCACAGATCGCCGCCGGGCGCGTGCGACAAGACGAGGTGGAACGAGGTCGGCGACAGGAACGAGGCGACGAGAGAAGGTGTTCGACCCGCGGTAGCAGTTGAGCGGGACAGGCGAAGGACGGCGAGCTCGTGTCGGATGTGCTGGTGCTGCTCGAGAATGCGACAGGGTGAGCGGGCATGTTTCTCGCGCTTGAGAAAGGAGAACGTCTGCGACGGACCGCTCGCATTCGAAACGCCCAGCGCTTGTCGACCGTCTTCAAGACGAGGACCGCCGACGTCGGCTCGTTGAGGGTGCCCGTGAGCGATGGGGCTGGCCGCACGAGCTCGACGCGGGCGAACGAGCCTGACGACGCCAAGGTTGAGAGAGGCACAAAGTCGTGGACGGCGAGGGCGGCCGTCTTGAGCTTCTTGAGCGGCGGCGGCTGGTCTGCAGGGTGTACGGAGTCAGTCTTGATACTGTGACCAAGTGCAAAGGACGCACCTCTGCTGCCGTGAGGGACGAGTGAGGCGCGAACGAGAGCGAGGTGGAGCCGGAGGTCGGGCGGCGAGTTCTCGTCGTCTCGCGTCACTGGAAGTTGCGCGAGAGCTTGGTCGACGAGGACAGCTCGATGTGTCCAGCTGGACATGGCGAGCAGCTGCTCGAGCGGTGAGCGGTGACGAGCAGACGACCAGGGAGAGAGCCGACCAGGTTCGACTCTGACTACACAGCCGCTGGCTCTCGCTGAGCTTCAGACGCCCTCTGTTAGCCTTCTGAGCCCCGCATCGCACCTCGCCATGCCCGCCGCACCCAAGCCCAAGGCCTACGCCGGCATCGTCGCGACCCAGAGCGGTCCGTCGTCGTCGCCTCGTCCCTCTCCCCGTCAGCGCACCGAGCTGACTGCTCTGCCCTCATAGACGACGCCAAGTACCGCCAGAAGTACAAGGAGCTCAAGACCAAAGTCCTCGAGATCGAAGAGGTGCGCTCCTCGTCCTCCTCCTCCTCTCGCCTGACCCCACCTCGGGGCCGCCTCGCGCTTCCTCCTCCTGCCCCAGTCTGACACCCTGCACGCGCACAGGACAACAACAAGCTCTCGGTTAAGATCCTCAAGAGCAAGAAGGCCATCCAGCGGTTGCGCATCGAGCGAGCGTGCGTCCTCGACCTCTCTTCCTCTCGCTTGACGCCGGCGAGGCGGCGCGCAAAGGCCCACAAGGCCTGACAGAGACTCTCGCTGACCTCTCCTGCGCGTCCTGCAGCATCCTCTACGACCGGTTGCAGAGCACCGTCGCGCCGACCAACCCCTACGCCCTCTCGTCCGCCTTGCACCTCGCTTCCCTCGCCTCTTCCTCCACCGCCTCGACTTCTTCCGACCCGAACGCGCCTCCCTCGATCCTCGCACCACCCTCTTACCCTCTCGCCGACCCAGCCGCACCAGACCTCTTCCTCCGCCAGCTCGACGCCCAGAAGCTCGCCGCGCTCGAGCAGCCGCCGGCTGGTGGATCGACGCACGTCGAGTACGGCGAGCGGCCGATCGACGGCATCGCCGGCGAGCAAGCTGCGGCGAGGGAGCACCGCGCACTTATGGCGGCGGGCGGGCCCGTCAACGGCCAGGCGGCGCACGGCAATGGGGTCCAGGCGGCGGTCCAGGCGGCGGGAGCGAGCGGCGCGGGCGCTGCTGCGCCGGAGGCTGCGGTACCGCAGGCGGTCGAGCCGGCGCAGGCCGAGCAGATGCAGGTGGACAAGGCCTGAGGAGAGGACGAGACGAGGCGGTCGAGCCCCTCTCGTGCGACGTCGCGCTTCCCTGTACTCTCGCGTGTCGCGCTCTGCGCGTGTAACGCTGTCGACGTTCTGTGCCTCCTGTGGGAGGTCTCTCTGCTTGCGAGAGGGGAAGCAGTCTCGAGAGCTGTCGAGGGGCGCGCACGAGAGGCTCTCGACGAGTTGCGAAGGCGACGCCGACGGCTGTCGCTCTCGCTCGGGTAACCTGATAAGAGATGGACTGGGTGTGTTGCACAGAGACGGATCAGCTGTACACAAGCCCATCGTCCACCATCCACCGCTGCCCCGCCCGGCCCGCGCAACTTCGCCCCTGCTCAATCTCCTGCTCGCCGACGAGGGTGTACCGTGAATCTGAAGCCCAGGCAGGGTAGAAAGTACCTGCGACGGGTGATTAACATCCGGGTCTCGCTCTTCTCCTCAGGAAAAGGGACAGAACCCGGCGCCCGTCGGTTTCCACGCAACGCCGTGGCGACTCGCTTCCACCGGCGGGCTCAAGGGGGTTTGGCCGTGTTGTGAGCTGCGTGGGGGAGGAGAGGGTTAGCTGCCTGTGGCCAGGGAGAGAGGCGAGGGAAAACTTTCACGCACGAGGTGATTTCTGGAGAGTAAGAGAGGGTGCGCCGCCGAGCGCGCGAGGACGAGGAGCTCGCATGGACTCGGCCCTCGACCGCTCGCTTGGCCGCACAGGCTCTGCATCTCGCTCCCGTGCCACTGCCGGGCTGGTCCCACAGCGGCAGGGGGCGGTCACCCTCCTCCTGACTCGTCCTCCTCTGCCCTTCGCCCACGCTCTCGCTCTCGAGCTCTCTCTCTCTCTGCTTCCTGCACTTCACGCGCGAGCTCGACATGGCCCTGCGCATCGTCGTGCACTCGTCGCCGCTCGACTTGCTGCGCGCAGTCGAGCGCAGCCCTGGCGCTGACAGCGTGCTGACGAACCATTGCCTCGGCTTCGTCTTCGCTCGATGGCTCGAGACGTGCTCTCCGCGTGCGCCGAGACTCGAGAAGGGCTCGAACGAGGCCGACAAGCCGGACGAGGACGTCGAGGTGCTCGTGACGGTCAGCGAGGGCGACGACCTGCGGTGCGTCTCCTCCTTCTCGCCCCTCTCTCAGGCCACGCCAGTACCTGACGGCCTCTCGACGCAACAGCCTCATCTTTACCAAGCTCGGTCGAGCTCAGTGCGAGCTCGTGTCGCCTGTCGCACCCGCCGACGTGCTCGACCTTGCTCTCCCCCTCCTCGCACCACTCGTCGACCACCTCCTCGCCCTCGAGCCCTTCTCGACGTCGCCTGCCCTCCTTCGCACCCTGTACGGCCCCCTCCTCCTCGTCGACGCCTTCCTCGCGCGGTGGCCGCATCCGCGCAAGGCCGAGCCCAACTCGCCGCGCCTGCCCGCCTCGATCCGCTCGGCCCCTCAACGTGTCGCCTTCCCGCCCGAGCACTCGCTCGTCCGCATCCGAGACGTCGAGACGCTCTCTCGAGCAGAGCTCGGCGCGATCGGGCAGCTCCTCGTCGCGTTCTACAGCACGCTGTCGACGCCGCGATCGGTCGGCGACGACCTCGTCCAGCATGCTCGCGCCATGGTCGTTCGCGGCGCGTTCTGGGTCTACTACGTCCCTCGTCGACCCGTCGGCGTGTCTGGCTGCGCCGCCGAGCCGCAGCTCGGGCGTGGCGAGCTCGAACCCGTCGCGTTCCTCCAGACGGGTCGACCAACGCTGCGGACCTGCGCGATCCGCATGGTCTACGTCTCGCCGTCTCACCAGCGACAGGGCATCGCGCAGCGCATGGTAAGCGCCGTCGCGCGGGCCCACCTCGTCGAGGCGCCTCGACTCGCGTTCGACCTCGCGCACGGGCCTCGAGTTGGCGAGACGGACGAGCCGACGACGCGCTTCGGGCGCAAGGACGAGGTGTGCCTCTCGGTCGAGCCGGGCAACACGAGCGCGAGGAGGGTGTACGCCAAGGTCGGGTTCGAGGAGAGCGGCGACGTGTGGGCGGACGTGGACCTCGAGGGCGTCGAGCCCGGGCTGTAGAGAAGGGGAGAAGCGGCAATGCAACTGATGACTACAAGCTCTCGCGCCTCTCGTCCGTCACCTCGTCCTGCCCGTGTCGAACGTCGTCCCTCGCTGCGAGCCTTCGAGCGCAGGACCGGCCCAACGCCTTCCCAGCTGCGGCTCGCCTCCTCCACGTCCCGACATCGCCCCGGGTCCGAGTCCGAGCGACGCCGACGCCGGCGACGAGAAGCCTCGGCGCTCGAGTCGCGGCGTGTCCCACGTCCGGTGGCCGTGCGGGACGGGGAGGACGGGGTAGAGCGTCGGCAGGAGCGGGCTCATCCACGCCGGCGGTGCGGGCATGGGCGCCTGGGGCGGCATCGGGTACGTGTGTGGGAAGTGGTACGCGGCGGCGGGATAGGGCCGGCCGGAAGGGTCGAAGGGAGGAAGTGGCGGCGGGTTGGTGGCGGCGAGAGCGCGTGCGGGTGGTGGTGCAGGCGCGGTGGTCGAGCGAGGGAGCGAGGTGCGGCGGTACGAGGCGCGAGGGGGCTGACGCCGAGTGGGAGCGGTACGAGGAGGGGGCATCTCGTCCGCCGAGTTGGCGTCGTCGCGCTCGAGCCCGTCCTCGTCGACCGAGCTGGCGCCCTCGTCGCTGCGGCCGCGCTTGTGCGACTGGCGCGACGGTGCAGCGTTCTGCGTCGAGGGCGACGGCGAAGCTGCTGTCGCCGCGAGCGCGCCCGAGCCGAACCTCGGCGGCGGCGAGGGAGGCGTCGAGGCCGTCGAGAGGGGCGTGCGGCGTCTCGCCGTCGGCGCCGCGGCGGCCATGAGCGCCGCCTTGCCGCTCAGACGCTGCTTGTCGAACCGAGGCTTGTCGGCGAGCATCTGCTCGTTCGCGAGCTGCTGCAGGGCGTCGAGCTCGTCGTCGCTCAGGCCGAGGCGCGTCTTGAGCTCGTTCACGCGGAGCGAGAGCTTGTCGCACTCGTTGCGCAGGTCGCGAAGGGCGATCGTGCGTCTGTGTTTCGGGGCGAGAGGCGGTCAGTAGAGAGGCAGGGCTGACGGCGAGGAAACGAGAGGAGGCGGGACGCACTCGACGTCGGCAGCTTCGATGGCGAGAAGGCGGCCGAGGCGAGCTTTGGGGTCGACGGCCGAGTAGGTGCACTCGAAATCGCGCATCTCGCACGCCCGGCATGGTGCGAGAAGGTCGCACTGCGGGCGAGTGGACCAAGTCAGGTCCGGGCTCTCGTTCGGTCGACGAAGAAGGGGGACGCACCGCGCGCTTGGACTTGATGCAGGCGTCGCAGGATGCCGTTCTCGTGTTCTTGCGACGCTGACCGTTGTAGCCTGGAGAGGCGGTGTTCGAGGTCGAGTTGTGGTCGCGGTCGTGGTCGGTCGAGGACGAGGACGAGGCCGAGCCCGGCGAGATTGAGCCGAACGAGGTCGCAGGCGAGTAGCCGCGCTGGCTCGACATGGTCGCGAGAGAGCAGCAGGAGAAAGAAGCAAGCTCGCCCGAAGCGAGGCGCAGGAGAGCGGCCCCGGACACCGGAGAGAGGAGACAGGAGACGGACGGCGCGTGCGCACGCCTCCGCGGACCCCGACTCCTGAGCCGGACGTTCCGCTCAATCGGCCGCTCAGCGGTGCGTGCTCACGCTAAGCAGGTCGCCCGAACCGAGCGCTGGAGCTTGCGTCGCCGCGAGGCTGCGAGCGAGTGCGGGCTCGTCGCGACGGCGGCTGCGGGCAGCACGGAACGGCGAGCGCGTCGCGACAGTGCTCGCGAGCAGATTGAGCGAGAGAGCTGCCCACAGCGAGAGCACGCGCGCGAGAGAGGAGCGAGGAGGTTTGGGTCGACGAGGACGAGAGGTCCATCTCGGTGTCGTCCTCGACGAGCCACCACAGAGCATCTCTCGACAGTCAGTACACCGCCTGCGAGCTCGCAGACGCATCAACTGACCCTCGCGCACCCACAGTGCTCTCCCTCCTCCGTCCCGGCTCTCGTCTCGTCTCCTCATCGGCACAAATTCCCCTCGCCCTCGCGACCCGCCTCTACTCGGTCGACGCCCCGACCAGCTCGGCCCCGAGGCCACCGCGCAACTCGCACGAGGCCCAGTCGCGCCCGCGCACCCGCACCTTGCGCCAGGTCGGCGAGGAGAGCGGCGCGACCGCCCAGCTCGTCGCCCTCGCCGTCAAGAAGACGCAGGCCCAGGGCGGCAGTGCCCGTCGCAGCGGCGGAGGAGGAGCTGGGGCAGCAGCGGGCGAGCAGCAGCAGCAGCGCGGGCAGAGGCCGCCGCGGCAGATGCAGCGCACCCCGGAGGAGCACCGCGAGTGGCTCAAGCAGCGCCTCGACGAGCGCCGGGCGGCATCGGCCGAGGGTGGTTCCGCGCCCAGGTCCTCGTCGTCCGCCGAGGGCGGCGAGCGCAGGCGCTTTGGCGGGCCCCGCGCAGAGGGCGGCGGCGCTCCTCGTCGGCCACGCGGCGACGGCGGCCGTCCTCCCTTTGGCGGCTCTGCGTCCGCCTCGGGCACGGGTCCTGCCGGTCGCGACGGCGGCAAGCCCCGTGCGGCGTTCCAGCAGCGCCCGCAGATGCGTCGCGCTCCGCGCCCGACCGCCGCCGGCCCGCAGTGGCCGGCCGAGGCGACGCGCCCGCTCACGCCGCCGTCGACGGTGCGGTACCCGAGCGCCAACCTCGCCCAGCTCCTGCGCGCCGACCTCGCGAGCAAGGCCGTCCAGCTCAAGTGCTCGCTCGGCGGCGACAAGGTCGTCAACGAGGACGCCGACTCGCGCGAGGAGCGCGACCAGGCCAAGAAGCTTCTCGGCGGCGACTACTCGCTGTGGCTCGACGCGGGCAAGGCGGCCGGCGAGGGCGACGGCAAGGGCAAGGCGGGCAAGAAGGAGGGCGTCGTCGAGCACGCGCGGGGCATCCTTCGCACGAACGCGAGCGTGCCTCTCGGCGAGCGGCAGGTCCTCCTCAACAAGATCCGCGAGGCTGTACTCTAGTTGTCTCTGTGTCACTGTGCAACATCGTTCGACCCATCTGTGCGACTTGCTGCTCGCGAGGCTGCAGTTCTCTCGAGAGACGGGAGAGAAGGTCCAGGACGACTGCATTCCACAGCGACAGACGCACGCCCGACCCACCGACGACGGCAAGGGCCTCGAGAGATAGAGAGAGAGAGAGAGAGAGAGAGAGAGAGAGGAGATAAAGAGGAAAGGGAACGATACAGGGCAAAGAGCGACGAGGACAGGTGGTAGTAGCACGAGGGGAAGGCAAAGAGGGGGACACAGGAAGGGGTATAGGCGACGAGCTGGACGCGCTCGAGATGCGCGAGTGGGGGGATTGAAGGCGATGCGGGCGCGAGAGGAAGAGGTGAGGGAGGACGCCTTCGAGGCTGTCCTGAGGCGAGTCGAGGCGGGGTAGGCGAGAGAGGGCGAGGTGAGGGGAAGGGCGAGGGCGTCGACCTTTAGTGGAGGGCGAGATAGTTGCTCGGGACGATGCCCTTGGTGCCGTCCGTCTTGCGCGCCTGCCACCACTTGCCCGAGTTGTCGAGAATGTCGAGGATCTCGCCCTTGGCGAACGAGATCTCGTTCGGGTCGTCGGGCGACGCCGAGTCTGTGGCCCGACGAGCGAGAGTTAGTGAGCGTGTCGGGGTGGCGAGCAAAGGAGAGAGAGGAGAGAGAGAGAGGAAGGAGGGGGTGGGACGCACAGGAGTACAGGGCGCGCGCCTTGAGCATCGGCGCGTGGTACTCGCTCGCCGCCTCGCCGAGCAGGCTCGGCTCGGTGCCGGCATGGCTGCCGTCGACTTGCAGGTCGTGCACGCTGACGCTCGTCGCCGGGCCGAGGCGCGAGCCGGTGATGCTCCCTGCGCCACCCTTGGTGCCGGCGTACCCCTGGTACGACACGGGGCCCGACGGGCCCGACATGCCCATGGCCGAGCCGCCGGCGCGCGATGAGGGCCCGCGGCGGTGCGTCGAGAAGCCGGCGACCGACGAGCGCGAAGAGAAGTGCTGCGACGCGCCGAGGTCGAAGATGGTGGCGAACCAGGCGTCGTCTGAGCTGGTGAAGTACATGATCCACAGGATGTCGACAAAGGCGATGAGGATCCAGCCGGCGCCGATCGCGAGGTAGTACGACTCGCTCTGGAAGATGCCGAGGCTGCGGCGAGGGGAGCAAGGCAGGTCAGTCACCGCGCACGCTCAGTTCTCGCCTCGAGGGACTACTCACTTGGCGCCAATGACGGCCATGACGAGGGCGACGGCGAGGAAAATCGAGAGCTGCACGAGGGCGAGAACAAGGATCAGTCCTCTGTCGACCGTCGGGTCCAGAGCGAGTGAGAGGGGCGCACCTGGAAGCGGTTGGCGCCGACCGAGTCGGTCGCGAGCGTCACGAAGACGCCGATGTTGAGGAAGAGCTGGAGGAAGATGCCTGTGGACGAGGAGGGCGCAGAGAGCGGGCGAGGAGAGGGTCCGAAGTGGGGGTGGGAGGGGAACGAGGCAGGGTCAGCCCACATCGCTCGAAACGGCGAGGAGCGAGACGAGGGACGCACCGAACCAAGGCACGCCGACTGCAGAGCCGCCATCGAGCTTGTTGTCTGCGAGCATGCACACCGTCCCGCGGTCAGCTCCTTCCCGGTCCTCGCTGAGCCCGCTCGGGCGAACCACTTGAAGGACGCACACTTGGACTCGAGCACGATCTCTGTGGGAGCGTGTGTACCAGTCAATGTCGGCCTTCGTTCCGCACCTCGACCGCAGGCCCGGACCTCGAGCTCGGCGACGAGAGGAAGAGGAGGCCGAGAGACTCACGGCCGACAAAGGCGGCAAAGAAGCCGGCGGTCGCGACGACGAGGGTGATGAGGAAGCCCGGGTGCGAGAACCTGCAGCAAGGACATCCAACGCGAGGTGAGCGAGTCGCCGAGGGGGGAAAGGGGAGGAGGCCGGGAGGAGGTCGCGCTCGAGAGGAAGGGGGGGGACGTACACCGAAAACTTAAAACCTTAGAGGCTATTTAAGTTGCTGATTTATATTAATTTTATTGTTCAAACATGAGAGCTTAGTACGTGAGAGAGGCTGCGGGAGCACGAGAGGCTGGAGGCCTGGGCGACTGGCGCGGGGGTTGGTGTGGGTGGAACGAGTGACGGGACGGGGGCGACTCGGCGGTGGTGGTAGCTGCGACTGCGGGCCCTGGTGCTGAGGCTCAAACGCAGCTTGTCGGGACGGATGCCAGAGCAAAGGCGGGCTTTCTCTCGCTCCAGAGGGAGGCCGGCCGCCTCGCTCTGGCTCACGAGCTCCCTCTCTCAAAGTGCTGCCTGCCGCTTTCGGACCCTCTTCCCACTTCCGGCGAGCCATTGTCGACGCCGTGCGGGCTCGATTGTTCAGTCCAGCCCCTCGAACGCTACGCCGGCCAGTCCACCGCCGTGCGTCGGCGGCAGCCCCTTCTCCCTCGCCGTCGCCTGCCGCCCCTCGCGCTTCTCGCGCTTGGCCCTCGCCAGCTCCTCCTTCCAGTCGCGCGCCTCCTCGGCCGCACCCTCGTCGTCGTCGTCGCCGCCGTCGACAGCGCGCACGCGCCCCTCGGCCTCGGCTGCCCGCAGCGCCTTGGCTTTGGCGAGCCGCTTCGCTCGCCGCGCCGCCTTCTTCGCCTCGGCGTCCTCCTGCGCCGACCACGCCTTGTTCTTGCCCTTGTTCTCGCCCTTCTTGAACTTCTTGGCCTCGGGCTCGCCGTCGCCGTCGCCCGCAGCCGCACCGGCGGCGTCGTCGGCGGCCACGGCCGCCGCAGCGGCTCGAGCGCGTTTGCGCGACTCGTGCGCCTCGCGCTTGTCCTGCAGCGCCTTGAGGTCCGACTTGCGCTGCTTCTCGCGCACCTTGTCGGCGTAGGCGTACGAGTCCCACTGCGCGCGGCACGTCGGTCGAGGTCAGTCTCGTCGAGGGCTCGGGGCGAGAGGGGAGAGGGAGGGGGGAGGGAGGAACGCGAGGACGCACGTCGACCTCCTCGTCCTGCCACCGCGCCGTGATCTCCTTCTCCTTGCCCTTGAGTTCGGCGACCTTGGGCATGCGCAACAGGGCGAACGACTGGGCGAGCCCGACGAGGTCGAGGTCCTGGAGCCGGAACAGGTACGACGCCTCGTGCTTCGAGTACGAGCGGATCGACGACACGAACGCTTTGACGCCCTGCAGAGAGACCGAGAGAAAGCATGAGCTCTGCGGCAAGGCGTACGAGGGCGAGGGCAGGAGAGAGGGGGACGCACTCGGTCGTGGAGGTCGCGGTCTTTGCGGATCACCTTGTGCATCTCGACGCGCAGCGCCTCGGCCTCGTCCGACAGCGACACGCCGCTCTCCGACTCGTACTCGAACCGCTGCAGCGGGACCTTGCGGACGGCGAGGAAGTCTGTGGGCGGGAGGTGCAGCGGTTCGAGTACGAGTCGGAGAGCGGCGTGTCGCTGTCGGACGAGGCCGAGGCGCTGCGCGTCGAGATGCACAAGCTCTCCTCGCGACCCTGGTTGAGGAGCACGACCGCCTTGCCGCTCCTGCCGGCGCGCGCCGTGCGCCCAACTCGGTGCCCGAACGCGCGAGGATCGACAGGCGGGTCCACCTGGATGACGACGTCGACGTCGGGCAGGTCGAGGCCTCGTGCCGCGACGTCCGTGCACAGGAGCACGCCCGGCGTCGTCGGCGGAAGCGCCGTGAAAGCCGTGAAGGTGGACGAGCGCCGTGTCGGCGACTGCTGGCCGTGGAGCGAGTGGAGCGAGAAGCCGGCGTTGGCGAGCGACGGCGTCGCCGACAGGACCTTGAAGAAGTAATCGACGGCGGCACAGGTCGAAAAGTACACGATGAACTTGCGCGCGCCCGTCTCGCCCTCGTCGGTCGTGAACGCCTCGCGACGGAGGATGCGGAACAGCATGGCGAGGCGCTCGGCGGGCGCGCAGACGACGTAGCCGTTCTGGAGCCTGCAGGGAGGGAGGCGAGAAAGTCAGTGAACTGCTGCGGCGAGAACTAGGGAGGAGAGAGCGCGGCGCACAGGGTCGGAATCTTGCGGTCGCCGGCGGCCTCGGCCTTCTCCTTGCCCTTGGCCGCCTTGGCCTCGACCTTGACGACGACGCGTACAGGGTTGCGCAGGCCGACACGGACGAGTTGGCCGAGGGCGTCGCTCATCGTAGCCGAGAAGAGGCCAGTGCGGCGCTGCTTGGGGAAGTGGTCGAGGAGGCGAGTGAGGGTCGGCGTGAAGCCGAGGTCGAGCAGTCTGCGGGCGCACGTGGGGTCAGTAAGGCGATCGAGCTCGGGGCGAGGGAAGGAAGGGGGCGAGGGAAGCTTGAGGGCGGCTGAGGAAAGGGAGACGGACCGGTCGGCCTCGTCCATGACGAGAATGTCGAGCGCCTTGGTGTCGCCGACGCCAACGCCCGTGCTCCTCCTCGTCTGCCCGCCCTTGCCCTTCTTGCTCATGGCGACGCTGCTGCTGCCGAGCAGGAACTCCTCGAGGCGACCGGGCGTGCCGACGAGGATGTCGGCGCCCGTCTCGAAGAAGGCCTTCTTGTCGTCCTGGAGCGAGTTGCCGCCGATGAGGAGGAGTGCAGGAGCGATGGGCGGGGTGGTAGGCGCAGGAGGGGGCGAGGTCGAAGTCGATGCCGCGTCCGGCGAGGCAGCGGCGGGTTGAGCGTCGAGGAACTGCTGGAAGACGGCGTGGATCTGAATAGCGAGCTCTCTGCAGGCACATGTCAGACCTTGCAGTACACGAGAAACATGGCCAAGGGACGCACCGAGTGGGAGCGATGATGATGGCGCCGACCTCGCGCTTGCTGAGCGGGCGGTCTCGCCTCAACAGCTTCTCGAGGACGGGGATGACGAAGGCGAGCGTCTTGCCGGAACCAGTGACTGCCTGTGGCGCGGGGTGGGCACAGATTAGCTCGCTCACGGAGGTTGAACGAGAGAAGGTGCGCGAGCTCACCTCGACGACGACGTCCTTGTGCTGCATGAAGAGCGGGATCGAGCTCGCCTGGACGGGCGTCATCTGCTCAAAGCCCAGGTCGCGGACGACATCGGCCCTGCGCGGCGGTGGCACATGCCGAGGTGAGCCAAAAAGTCCCGGACGATGAGGACGAGAGGGAGGAGGGGAGAAGCGACTCACACCCAGGGCGTGAGGGCAGGCTTGAGGCGAGTCCAGGGTCCTGCGTAGGACGGCGCAGCTGGTGCACTCATGACTGGCGAGCTGTCGAGCTGTTGCGCGCGAGCTAGAGCTCATCTCCTTTCCTCGTCCCTCTCAGCTCTCTCGTCCTGCTCGACCAACGCGGGCCGGCTCTCGCTCTCACCACCACTTTGCTCGCGTGGCACTCGCGCATCGGTGTCAGCTACGTGCATAGGCTGCCCCTCAGCCGCCTCGCCCCGCCAGTCCCGCTGCGACTCGGAGCCACCTCGCCTCGAAGGCGGATCGTCGAGCACGAGCAGGAGCTCACCGAGCTGCAGCTGGACGGCCTCGCTGGCAGTTCAGACGGGCAGATTGGCTCTTTCGCAGCGCCGAGGAGCTCCGCGCGCAGAAGGGACCGAGGGCCGGCAGAGAACCCGCGCGACTCGGTGGCGGTGAACCACCTCGCTGCTTGCTGGTCTTGGGCCCCGCGGCCGCCAGAGCGGCAGCGCACAGCTCTACTCTCTCTTCCTTCCCGCCCACTCAAGCTACGTCCGCAGGCCATGACCGCGTCGACCTCGCTCCGCCTCGTCCTGCTCGCCGCCGCGTCGTCGGTCGCGCTCGCTGCTTCGGCCGACGTCAACACGGCCACCACGGTGCGTCCTCTTCCTCTCCTTTGTTCCTAGAGTCTCTTGTGCCGGTCGCAAACTGACCCACGAGCCCGACGCAGGCCGACGGCGAGCGCATCATTGCCGGCTACACGCCCTCGGTCGCCCTGTCGTGCGTCGGCATCGCCCTGTTCGGCGCGTCGACCGTCGCCCTGTGGCTCGAGTGGTTCCGCACGGGCCGCAAGCGATACATGCTCACGCTCAACATCGCCATGATCTGTGCGTCCCTCGTCCTCGTTCCTCGAACGAGCGCGGCAGACCAACCTCGCCTCGAGAGCTGACCCTTTCCTCCCTCGCACGGCCCTCTCGACACAGGCATGACGGTCGGCTTCATCCTGCGCATCGTGTATCACTCGAACCTCGACAGTCTCGGCGGGTACATCGCCATGTACATGTTCCTCCTCCTTTCGGTGCGTCCCCTTCCCCTCGTCGTCGTTGGCGAGCGCTCGAGCCGCGCCACGGCCGTGCTCGAGCGCGTGCCCGACGCAGCCCTCCTTTCTCAGTCTCTGGGACCTCGTCGCTCACCCTGCTCGTCTGCCCGCCCGCAGCCCTGCGCGTTCTTGGCCCACAACTACCTCATGCTGTCGCGCCTGTCGCGCGCCATGGGACCCGACGCGACGAGCTGCCTGTTCCTCCCCGCGCACCACGTCGGTACCATCTTCATCTGGAGCGACGTCATCACCTTTTGGATGCAGGCCGCCGGTGGTGGCCTCACCGCGGTCGACAACCCGAGCCTCGTCAAGGCGGGCAAGTACGTCGCCCTCGCCGGCCTCTGCATCCAGCTCGTGTCGTACCTCTTCTTCACGTCGCTCCTGATCGTCTTCTACTCCAACGTGTACGTCTCTCGCGTTTTCTCTGTCCGTGCGCACGCCCAGCCGAGGCTCATCTGCGTCCTCGCCCGTGCCACAGCCGCCGTCGTCACGCGCACCTCGCCCACCCCGCGCAGCCTTTCCGCTTCGGGGCGCACAAATTCTGGTCAAACTCGATGGTGTACGACTGGCGCACGCTCGTCTGGGTCGTCCTCCTGTCGTGCGTCGGCGTCATCACGCGCTCCGCCTTCAGGATCGTCGAGTACTCTGAGGGTGCGTCCCGCTTTCCTCCTTCTGCTCCTCGCGGTCTCGAGACTGACCTCCAATTGCGCCCACAGGCTACTACGGCAAACTCGCGACCTCCGAGGGCTACTTTTACCTCCTCGACGCCCTCCCGCTCTGGCTCGCCATGACGCTCTACGTCTTCTTCTACCCGCCGCGCTTCATCGAGGGCGCTCGCGAGCTCGAGCAGGTCTCGAGCACGCAGTACGCCCTCGAGAACGGCGGCGCGACGGTCGACCGCTACACGACCGAGTCGAGCGAGAAGACGAGCCGGGCCGAGGTGCGCAGGGCCTGAGCGCGAGGGCGGTGCGGCGGCGGGCGGCGTTCGACTTCTCCCGGCCTGTCACTTGTAGCACCACCTTGGCCCTAGATGCTGTGTAACACTGCGACGTGCTCTCTCCTGCCTCGGTTTCCCCGTGCGCTTCCTCCTCGCCGGTCGACCTTCTCAAACCGAGTCGTCGTCGAACCGTCCTGACCTGCGCGTTCCCCTCGGCTTCCCGACCTCGCCTCTTTGCGCACACGACGGAGCTTGAAAAACAGTTCGTCGGCGACGCCCGAGGTACGCACGTCCGCGGCGTCTCCAGCGCCGTGATTGGGCCGTGCCGCACTCTCTCCTCCTCGCTCTTCGCTCTCGACGACATTGGCACCAGTTGCTCGAGCACTCGCTGCATCGACAGCTGCACTGCAGCGTCTGCGCTGTGCGGTGTACGCCTGCCGCCCCAGCTGTCAGCGCGAGCTGCGTCGCGGCTCCCACCCTCGGCCGCCGCCGGCAGCACCGCCGACGACCGCCAGCGCTTCCAGCGAGCGCAGGTCTCGCTGCACGCGGCAGCTCGCTCGAGGAGATACCGGCCCGACTCGGGATCCGCACCCTCTCGCGCGAGCCGGGCAGGCCAGGGTCGGCCTCGCTGCCACTCGTTGCTCGTCGGACCTCGCTACTTTCCTCGAGACTGTCCCCTTTTCTCTTCTCCTCGCTTCGCATGCGGGCTCCACTTGCGGCAGAAGGTGCGCTCCTCGCTTCGCTTCGTCCAGAACGACAGCCTCGTCGCCCAAAATGCTCTCGACCTCGACTTTGCGCCTCCTCGCCCTTTCTGCGCTTTGCACACTCGCCTGCGCAGCGGATGCGGCGGCGGACGAGACAGAGGTGCGCTGCGACCCTTTTACTCAACTTAGTCCGGCCCCAGCGCTCACGCTTGCCCCCTCGACCCTTCCTCCCTCCCTCCCTCACTTCCCGTCTCCTCTTCTCCTCTCCTCTCTTCCAGGAACGAGGGCCTATCGCCGGCTTCGTGCCCAAGCAGGCCCCGTCGGTCGTCGCGGCGGCCCTGTACCTCCTGTCGACCTGCAGTATGTGGCTCAGCTTCCACCGCACGGGCCGGCCCTGGTGGCTCGTCGTCCTCCCGATCGGCATGACCTGCATGGTCGCCGGGTTTGTGCTTCGCTTCTACTACTCGATGGACGAAAACGCGACCAAGTTATCGGTGTATCTGCCGTTCTACGCGTTGCTGCTCCTCTCGGTGAGTCCCTCAAACTTCTCTCTCCTCCTTTCCCTACCCAGCGACCGGTCCCTCTCTGCACCCGAACCCTGCTCATCGCCTCCCTCGCGCAGCCCTGCACCTTCCTCGCGACCGACTACATCCTCCTGCCCCGTCTCGGCCGCGCCATGGGCGAGGAGGTCGCCAAGACGGCCTTCCTCGTCCCGATCCGCTTCCTCCTACGATTTTTCATCTGGTCAGACGTGACGACCTTCTTCGTGAGTCTCATTTCCCCACTATGAAGCCGCCGAGGACGACGAGGTCCGTCTTCGAGCGTCGCCGAGGCTCTCAAAGAAGGGCTCGCGACTCGACTCAACTCAGGGTCAAAGACTGATTGCGCTTCTGATCCACAGATCCAGATGTCGGGAGGCGGCCTTATGGCTGCTGGATCGAGCAAGATGTCCAACCTCGGCACCAAGGTCATGCTCGTCGGCCTCGTCGCCCAGACTCTCTCGTTCATCTTCTTCACGGTCATTCTCGTCGTCTTTGGGCTCCGAGTGTGCGTTCATCTTCAAGCCCTCTGTCGAGGCGGTCAAACAAGGACCTGACAAGCTTCCTCGCACAGGTACCGCAACCACATGCACCTCGTGCGGCCGACCGAGCCCTGGCGGCCAACGCGCTTCAACCCTCTCGCGGCGGCGCCGGTCAGCGACTGGCGGCTCCTGTACTGGATCCTCGTCGTCAACTGTGTGTGCATCATCGTTCGGAGCATCTTCCGCACGATCGAGTCGGCGCAAGGGTGCGTCGACAGCCCGCGCTCAGGCCTCTCTTTTGACCTTCTCAAGTTGACCTCGATGCCGCCCGCAGCCACGACGGGTACCTCGCAACACACGAGGGCTACTTCTACATGTTCGACGCCCTCCCTCTCTGGATCGCCATGACCCTGCTCGCCTACTGCTGGCCGCCTCGCGTGTTCGACGGCCTCACCCTCGTCGACGGCGTCTCGCCGTTCAGCAACCGGCACGTCGCCTTTGCGCACGTGGGCAGGACGCCCGAGGACCGTCGGGCGATGGTGTACGGCGAGATTGGCGACGAGCACGACGGCAAAGGGTGGGCGCCCGAGCCGGTGAAGCTCGGGACCTACGACTCGTACCGGCACTGAGCCCGCGGGTCGCTCGTCGCCGTTGCGCCGCTTTCCCGTCCCTCGAGCTCGACCGCCTAGATCCTCCTTCCTACACGCAGAAGAGCCTCGTCCTCTCTCGCAGATAGACCCTTTTCCCTCCTCGCACTCTCTTTCACCTCTAGTTTTCCCCACGCGCCACGTTGTAACACTCTCTGTCCCTCGTTCCTCCTCACCACAAGCTAGAGAGCTCTTGAAAGCCCGAGCATCCGTCAGAGAGAACGGCGAGAGAGGCTTCTTCCTCAGCGAGATTTCGACCTGTCGCAAGAAGGCTCGACCGCTAGCGCTTCGGCTCTCTCTTGCAGACTCGCACTCTCAGCTCTTCTCAGAAAGGAGTATTCGAGACGACAAAGTGGCATTTACAACGACTGCTCACAGGCGACGGCTCAAGCCGACTCCTCGAAAGCGGTAAAGCCGATCGTGCGGTTGAACACCCAGCCGTTGAACAGCGCGAGCGCCTCCTTAGGCTTGTCGTACGGGACCTGTGGGCGTGCGAGGTGTCAGTCACGAGTACGCCGGCGGGGCCGCCATCGACTTTGCCCGAGAAGGACGAGGCCGCTCGTCGTCTCGCCCGCCGTGCAAGACAGACGCCGAGGCCGAGAAAGAGGACAGAGAGAGAGGGACGCACAAAATGTCCCGCACCGTCGACGCCGGCGAGCGCAAAGTTGTCGACCTGGCGATACTCGCCCGCTCGGACCGTCTCGTTGCCGACCCGCGCGAGCTCGTCCGAGGCGTACCACGGGCGCAAGGGCTCGTTGCTGAACTTGTCGCCGTGAGCCCAAGCGAGGTGGCTCGCCCAGTCGGCGTTGCCGAGCCAGTTGCAGCTGCGGGAGGGGCGGGCGAAGGTAGGCGAGGGCGAGGGGAGGGAGGAGGAGGCGCAAGGTGGACGGTGAGCTCGCTCGAAGGCGCATCGACGCAGGGGGTGGAAGTGATGGAGAGAGATAGAGAGCGAGGGCGCACATGTAGTCGAGGGTGCCGACGTAAAGCAGAGTCGCGACGCCGTTGTCGAGAAGGTCGGCGACCTGGTGGAAGCTCGGGCGGACCCTGCGACGGCGACAAAAGAGTCAGGGCTGCGGCTCATCCACACGAGCAGACAGCGAGAGGGGCGCACTGGTCGCCCGACAAGGTAAAGTGCTCGAAGACCTTGTCGCTGCAGCCGACGAACTTCTTGACGCCGTGACCGTGCGGGTCGAGGTCGACGCCGAGCTCGTGCCGGACCGACTCGCTGCGTGACACCGCAAGGGCGTCATTCAGTCGTCCGATAGAGAGCCCGGTGCGCGACGAGGAAGAGAGAGTAGGGAAGAAGGAGGAGCGAGAGAAGGAGGAAGAGGAGGAAGGAGAGGCGGACGCACGTGTTGAGCCAGCGCTCGATCCACTTGTTCTCGACATAGTCGCCAAACTTGCGCATGTTGAACGGGCTGCGGCCCGTCGAGTCGTACTGCGCCGTGACCCTGCTCTCGCAGTAAACCGACGCCGAAACGCACAGGGACGACACGTGCGGGCGTTCTGTGCGGCGGCGAGACGAGGATGGGGGAGGAACGAGAGCGGGTCAGCTTGGTGAGTCGTGACGTCGACGGCAAGAGAGAGTGGAGAACGAGAGACGCGCCGTAGCAGGCCTTGACGAGGCTTTGGCACGCCGGCAGCGCTCGAGCCATCTGGTCGCACGAGCGTTGGTCGAGGAAGGGCCCGCCCATCTTGTCCGTGCAGACAGTCGGGTGGTAGGACGCGTACTGTCGGAGCGGGTCGGTGCTGCGGGGCGTCAAGCTGTCAGTCCGGCGACGCTGTGCGCGCTTTGAGGAAGGAGGACGACGCACAAGCCGTTGCCGATGAGGACCGACGCGAGGTTGATCTGGGTCAGGCCGCGCTCGTCGGCATGCTCGTTCTGCTTGCAGATGTAGTCGGCGAACACGGGGATGTAGCGCCCGCCGTACGACTCGCCGGCGATGTGGAACTCGCTGCGAGGGATCGAGGACAGGGTCAGTAGGTCGATATCGGGCTTCGAGGGAGGGGGAACGTGGACGCACGAGTTGCTGAACTTGTCTGCGTACTCGTGGAAGAAGATCTGGAGGAAGGCGTAGATCTGGCGCGAGGAAAGCGGTCAATTCCGCCTCGTTCTCAACCGAGAGGAGGCCGACCGACTCACGTCTCGAGCAGCCGCCTCGGTCGTCCACACGCCCTCGTCGTGTTTGTCGGCGTACGAGTAGCCGACGCCGACAGGCTGATCGAGGAAGATGATCGAGGCGTTGTTGTTCCAGCTGCGCGACGGGGAGGGAGAGGGGCCGGCGGCAGCGGGACGTGTAGGGTAAGGGAGCGGGCAAAGCGAGGCGAGGGTGATCGTGTAGGTGAGGGAGAAAGGAGGGCAAGGGCGTGAGTGTCACCTCTTCGAGGAGGAGAAGAGGGGGAGAGGAGGGACGCACGAGTGAGGGTTGAAGACCGGGTCCTCTCCCGACGGCCTCGCCCGGCAGGGGCCGAGTTCTTGCAGCAGACCGGTGAACGAGGAGCATCCGGGACCGCCGTTGAGCCTGCAGGGGGGGAGCGCGGGGTCAGCGACGAGTCGACGAGGAAGAGGAGGGACCGGGCCGGGAGGAAGGTGGGCGCACCAGAGGACGACCGGGTCACTCGAGGGGTCGTTGCGCGAGTCGAACTGCCAGAAGAAGTGGTGGTGGCCCTGGTCGTTGTCGATGTAGCCAGAAGTCTGGTTGACGTCGGGGTCGCACAGCTCTCGCGGGTGCTTGACGCGCAGGCGGTGGGTCGGCAAGTGCGGGTGGCTCAAGGTCGAGATCTGGCTATCGACAGTGAGGGCGAGGTGCTGCTGCTGCTGCTCGTGGTCGTGGGCGGGCGCTGCGGGCGCAAAGACGGCCTGGGCGGGGAAGTCGTGGCCGATGCGAGGGAGGGCGAGTGCGAGGCGGGCGGTCGCAGCAAAGGCGAGCACGGCTGCAGTGGGAGGCAGCATGGCGAGCGAGGCGGTGTGAAGCGCTCTCTCAGGTCGTGCGAGGACGGCGTGGAGAGGGAGAGCGGACAGCGATGAGGACTTGCTCGAGGTGGAGGGCGACTCAGATCGCAAATGGCGCCCGGCCGAGCCCAAACCGGCAAGTGCTGGCTGCTCGGTAGAACTCGCTCAACCTGGCAGCTCGTCTGCTCGTTCCACCACCGCGCACTCGCTCGTCAGATCCGCTCAGAGCTTCACTGCGCCTCAGCACGAGCGCTCGGTAGCCCCCATCGCCCTCGGCCCCTCGCCCGGACCCGCCTGCGCCGCGCCGAGCCTCCTCCACCCACTCCGTCCTCGTCGACCACTTCGACCGTCCAACCTCGCCGTACACCTCCTTCAGCCCAGCACCAGAGCCCGCCTTTCGCAAGGGCCACCGGCGAAACGGGCCATGGCCGACCCGCCGCTCGCCCTCACCTACGTCGCCCCGGCCCTCAACCTCCCGCCCTGGCTCAGCTACACCTCGTCGCCGACCGCGACCATCCTCGCCGCCTACACGGTCGCGACCCTCGCCGCAGACGGTGTTCCGACCCTCATCACCGGCGCCGTCGAGATCACACGCTACGAGACGGTCCTCCTCCAGCTGGCCATCACGGTCGACTCGGCGGCCGACGTTCGAGGGCAGGACCTCGGCGACCTGTACACGACGGCCGGCGGCACCGAGACCGAGACCGTCGTCAACGAGTACGGCGGCACGAGGCGCTTCACCCTCGGCGCGGGCGAGACGTCGGCCGCCGCCGCACCGACCTCGCCGAGCGCGACCGCTACGCCCTCTCGCGCCAGTGCCACGACCTCGCCGGGTGCGCCAAGTGCATCGCAAGGTGCCTCCATCGAGCCGACAGGTGCGCCTTGCCCGCTTTCCCTCTACCTCGTAGTCGTTGTGGACGTTTGACTGAATCACCTCCTCGCGCCGCCTTCGCAGCTCCACCGTCTTCCAGCGATCCTCCCAGCGCGCAGCTGTCGCCCTCAACCGCCTCAAGACCGACATCTTCAGCACCGTCAGCTACGACAAGCTCAAAGGCGGCGCCGGAAGATGGTGCGTCCTCGCTCCCCCCGCCCTCTCTCGTCGGAAAGGCGGACTGACCACCTCTCCTCGCAGCCCTTTCATCCGCCAAGCAAGCTCAAGCGTCTTTATCGTCGGCGTTGGCGTCTGCAACGAGGGCGTCGTCGCTGGACCCGCAAGCCGTCTCGAGCCTGTCGAGCGCTTTGGCCTCGGCCTCGTCTGGTGCGTTCTCGCCTCTCGACCCAGTTCTTCGGTCGAGCTTTAGGGCCTGACATCTCTCCTGCAGCTGCTGCCGCAGTTTCGAGCCTTTCAGCGACCTCGTCCGCCGCAACGCCGACGACCAACCTCGTGTCGAGCTCTTCGCCCTCCTCGATCACCCCTTCTTCGTCCTCTCCCGTCGACTCGACCAACGCCTCCTCCTCCTCTCTTCCCTCTTCTGCGGCCGACGCTTCCGCCGCACGTTCCGGGTCCCTCACGGGCTCGCAACTCGCCGCCGCCATCGCCGCCCCGATCTGCTTCTTCTTCCTCGTCATCGCCCTCCTCCTCCTCTGCTGCTGCTGCGCCCGACGGCGTCGCCGACGACGGGCAGATCGTGGTCTCGCCGAGGAGCACGGCCTGTTGGGCGGTGCTGGCGCGGGCGCTGGTGGCGGCGGCCGCCACGGCTCGCCGAGCGGCATCATGTGGGAATGGGTGCCGCACCGGCGCCCGTCCGAGCCGAATGGGCGCACCTCGCGAGCGAGCATCCGCAGCGTCCTCTCGCGAGCGACGGGCGGGCTCCTCGGGGGCGCGGCGGGCAGGTCGACGCGGTCGGGCTCCACGCCCGGGAGCAGCCCTCGAGACGCTCGCGAGCGAGGCTTCCTCGCCTCCTCGGGCGGCAACGCCACGTCCGAAGAGCGTGCAGCTCTCGGGCCTGGGCAGTACGGGCCGGCGGGCGAGGCCGACGTGGCAGAGGGTGTCGGCCCGTCGACGCCGCTCCTCGGCGTCGAGTCGCCCGAGCGCAGCTCGCCAGAAGAGCCGTCGCGGTCCCCTCGCGTCCATTACCTCGACTTTAACGCCCGTCCGACGGTCGCCGTGCCGTTCGAGGACGTCGATCTCGCCTCGCCTCGACCCGACGCCGCGGGCAGCTTTGGCTCGCCGCCGCGCGAGATGCAGCAGACGAGGACCCGCCCTGTCGCCCTTCCTCTCCTCCCACCCATACCCTCGACCAACGGCGCTCTTCGCCTCTCGACCCTGTACGACCCACCCGTCATCACGCACCTACCGCCGTCGCCCTCGTCGTACGAGCCGCCTCCTCTCGGCGCGCCTCGCCGCCTCGACGTCTCGAGCGGCGACCTGGACGACGTGAGCAGCATGAGCGACGGGCACAAGCGCGACACGCGGCTCGGCTACCTGAGCTGGACGCAGGGCGGTGGCGGCGAGTCGGACAACGAGCGCGCCGTGTCCGGGTACGGCCCCGAGCTCACGCCGCCGCAGACGCCCGAGGACGAGGAGCCCGGGCTTCGTGTGGGCGGTGACGACGACGACGACTCGCTCGACGGCGGACCGATGCTGTCGACGCGGCCGGGCGCCTTGAGAAGGAGCTTCAGCTCGGAGCTGAGCGAGACGGGCGTTCCGGACAGCGCTCTCTTCCTCAACGGTGCGCATTCGTTCTTTCTCTCGTTCGTCTACTCTCTTCGCCGAGCGACCGACTGACCGTCATCCGCCACACAGACCCTCGCTGGACCGGCGCCCGACAACCTTCCCCGCCGCCCTTTTCCTCGTTCGAGCCGACCGCCACCTCGTCCATCTCGTACGACCCGCCCATCTTCATCCATCGTCAGGCGCCGCACGATGTCGAGGTCGGTCTGCGCCCCCAATCCCATCCTCGGCACAGCGCCACGTCGGGCACGACCGACTCGCTGTCGAGATACGACGACGGGTCGTCACTTGCGCCGTCGGCCTTCCCCCTCGACTCGCCCCTCGTCTACCCGTCGCCTCGGTTCGGCGTCCCGCACTTGGCCTCGGCCTCGGCGGTATCGGCGTCGCGCAACCGCACGGTCGGGCGCGAGCGCAGCGTCGAGAGCGGCCTGAGCCTCGAGCGCATCGCGGCGAGCTTCGGCAGCGTCAAGGACGGGCTGGGATCGGGCCTCGGGTTCGACTTTGGCGGCGAGGGCGGCGGGAGCCGGCGCAGTGTTGGGCGGAACAGGGAGATCTCGACCGAGTCGATGACGGACCCGTGCGTCCTCTCTCTCTCTCTCCCTCTTCTCTCTCTCGGGCTTTCCTGCGCCCTGTACCCAGTCACTGACTCAGTCTCTGCACGTTGGCCAACAGCTTCCAGCACCCGTACTCGTCCTTCCAGCGGCGACTTCCCTCGCTCCCTTCTCCCGCCAATACGCCACCCCGGCACCCTCTCCACAGCCGCTCGTCCCAGTCGCTCCGTCGACCGCACTCGCAGCCCTCCCTCATCTTCCAGTCGATCCCGGAGACGTCGCCGGAGCAAGGCGCGGCGACGGCGGCGGCCGTTCGACGGTACGTCGACCCGTACGCAGACGGCGAAGAGAGCCTCCTCGACGCAGACGAGTACGGTGGAGGGTACGGCGATGCGTATGTCGGAGGAGCGAAGCGGTGGATGGGCGTGTCGAGCCGGGTCAGCGTCGAGGAGTGAGGCGGGGAGGAACGAGCGGCGAGTTGGACTGGAGGGCGTTCGGGTGTACTGTGCATCGCCTCTGTTCGTTCATCTATTGCATTGCATTCATCTGACGCTGTTCACGCGACGCTGCAGGCCCTGCAGCGAGCACGAGAGGCTGCACTTCAGTTTGAGAAGGTCGACTTTGGAGCCGCGGAAGCGAGTACAAGATGGCCAAAAGAGCCTCGAGCGCTACCGCTTGATTGAAGAGAGCGCAACGAGCAAGCTTTGTACGAGTCACGCAGAGAGAAGACCATCGCGGTCACGAGCGAGCAGAGTCGGCGCTAAATCCCCGAGTCGAACGCTCTCCCACGGGGACGAGCTGCCGTACGCTTTGCTCTCTCAGTCCACAAGTCATCGACAGCTTGTGCGGGCAAGAAACCCGCTGCGCAAGAGCGAGCCGCCGTGTCGCAGGCGAGCTTCAGAGTCTCGGCTCGAGGAGGGGAGAGGGCGACGGCGGCGGCTCCCTCCCATCAAGCTCCGCCCGCTCCAGCGCCAGGGCAGCATCTGCACTCGCTGCCGACTGCCTCGCTGTGCCCGCCCACACCCACCGCGCTCCACCGCCGAGCCGCACCAGCCGAGCCGTCTCGCCCGACCTCGACGACTGGGCAGCTCCTCGCGCCCGCCGCGCCCGCCGAGGCGCTCCAGCGACCAGGCCCGTCCGCGCGCGAGCTCGACTTGAGCACTCGCTAGCCTCAGACCCGCGTCGATGGCCTTCCTGCGGCGGTGGCAGGGCGGCCCTGGCCCCGCCGCTCAGGGCGGCACCCCGGCTGTCGCGCCCGGCGCAGCGACCACGGCGGCCGGTCCGCCTGTCGAGTGGCACGCAGAAGCTCCCGGCGAGCGGTACTATGGCCTCGAGAATGTGCGTCCTCGTCCTCCCCTCCCTCGCTCGTCCCCGCCCGCCGGCCTGCCTCTTCCCCCCGCCGACACCGAAGCCGGCGGATCAGCGGCGGCCGTGCCGTCAGCCTGGTCGCCCAGCACGTACTGAATCTCTCTTGCTCCCCCTCCTCTGTGCAGTTCGGCAACACCTGGTCCGTCTCACCCACCCTCAATCTCGCCATCGACCCTCCCGGTCTTCTCGAGCTGACACGCTTCTCCCCCACAGCTACGCCAACTCGGTCCTCCAGTCGCTGTACTTCTCCAAGCCGTTCCGACAGCTCGTCGAGTCGTACCACCCGTACGGCACCGATCCTCCCTCTCCACCACCCCCACTCGTCCCTGCGGCGCCGGCCTCGCCGGACCCGTCGCCGGCACCTTCCGACCCGCCCGCATCCTCGTCCTCTGCATCGTCCGCCCTCGCCGCCCTGTCGTCCGCCAGTCGCGCCGCCAAGGCCGTCGGCAACGCCCTCAGCACGCCCTACGTCCCGACCGCGATGCCGCCCGCCGCCCGCCGCTCCCCGCCCTCGCGACAAGGGACGGCCAACGGCAGCGGGCGAGGCAACATCTTTGGCCCGCACAAGCGCCAGAGCTCGGTCGCCGAGTCGGCGTCGTCGGGCGGCGAGCCGGGCGGGTTCTCGGGCGGCGCGTCGCTCGCCCAGCAGACGACCAACTCGTCCTTTACCGGCGTCGGTACGCCGCTCGTCGCCGCAGGCGGTGCCCTCGCTCGAGAAGTGACGTCGGCCGAGACGACGCTCCTCACGACGCTGCGCGACCTGTTCAGCACCATCTCGCGCCAGCCCAAGTCGATCGGCACGGTCGCGCCTCAGGCCTTCATCAACCAGCTCAAGCGCGACAACGAGTTCTTCCGCAGCACGCTGCACCAGGACGCGCACGAGTTCCTCAACTTTCTCATCAACTCGGTCGCCGAGGCGCTCGAGCGCGACGAGAAGAAGCGTGCGGCGGACGAGGGTCGGGCCCCGAGTGCGTCCTCGCCCTCTCTCTCTGGCTCGTTCACGGCCTCAGACTTACGCCTCTCGCCCTCGCAGGCATGGTCGGCACCGGGTTCGGCGCGCACGCCAAGACGTGGGTCCACTCGCTGTTCGAGGGCATCCTCACCAACGAGACAAGGTGCTTGACCTGCGAGACGGTGCGCCCTCCTTCCGCCTCTTCTTCGTGACGGACCTCCCGTCGCTCACGCTCGTTTCTCGGACAGGTCACTTCTCGCGACGAGGCGTTCCTGGACCTGTCGATCGACATCGAGCAGAACTCGTCCGTCACGGCGTGTCTGCGTCAGTTCAGCGCGTCCGAGATGCTGTGCCAGCGCAACAAGTTCTCGTGCGACAAGTGCTGCGGCCTTCAAGAAGCCGAGAAGCGGTGCGTCCCCTTTCTCTCTCTCTGGCCCTCTCTCGGTCGCCGTCGTCCTCGAGCTCATGCCGGTCGAGCACGTTTCGCAGGATGAAGATCAAGAAGCTGCCCAACATCCTCGCGCTCCACCTCAAGCGATTCAAGTACGAGGAGTCGCTCCAGAGGCACGTCAAGCTCACGTACCGCGTCGTGTTCCCGTTCGAGCTGCGCCTGTTCAACACGGCCGACGACGTGTCGGACCCGGACCGCCTGTACGAGCTGTGGGCCATCGTCGTGCACATCGGCGTCGGTCCGCACCACGGGCACTACATCACGATCGTCAAGTCGGGCAAACGGTGGATCGTGTTCGACGACAACAACGTGTACCCGATCGAGCAGCACGACATCTCGCGCTTCTTCGGCGACACGCCCGGGTCCGGCAGCGGCTACGTCCTCTTCTACCAGGCCGTCGACTTTGACTGGGCCGGGGTCGACCTGCCGGTCCCGCAGACGCCGTCGGTCGCCGGTACGACGACGACCAACCGCGAGCGGGCCCAGACGACGAGCTCGGTCTCGACGGGCGGGCTCGCGCCCTCGTCGGTCGACGACGGCGTGCCCGCCGTCCCTCCACTGCCAGCAGCCGCCATCCCCTCGCCGCCAGCTGCGCCCGGCGTACCTCTGCCGTCGCCCCGGCCCGTACCCGTCGCCCTCGTCAACCCGACCGCCGAGCCCGACTTCCCTGCCCCTCCTCCCGCCGCCGCGGCCTCGCCCCGCTCCGTCTCGGGCTCGGCCTCGCTGTCCCTGTCGACCTCGAACGGGCCCTCGTCGTCGCCGCAGCAGCGCAAGACGAGCGTCGCGTCCATGTCGGGCAGCTCGGTCGACGTGCCCGGCGGCGACCTGAACGGCGGCGGCGGCGGCGTCGGCGGCGGCGACAAGGAGCGCAAGGACAGCACGGGCGCGTGGTCGGGCCTGCGCGGCAAGTTCGGCCGCACCAAGTCGCACTCGTCGTCGACGCCCAAGGAGCGGCGCATGTCGCTCACGCCCGGCTCGGCGACGCTCACGTTGCCGAGCATCCCGTCGTCGTCGTCGAGCGAGGCAACACCGACGCCGCCGCAGCCGCAGCCGCCGCACCACCAGCAGCTCGACGGCGTCGGCCTCGTGTCGAACGTCTTTGCCGCGTCGCCCAACGGCTCGTCGCTCGACCTGTCGCGACCGTCGAACGGCAGCGCGCACGACGTTCCCGTCGCGCCGCCGAGCGAGGACGGCTCGGCGTCGGTCGCGTCGTCGGCCGTGCCGCAGTCGTCGCCTCGCTACGCGCAGCGGCGCGAGTCGCGCACCTCGTTCGGCGCCGTCGACGGCGGCGCACGCCCGCCGATGCCGCCTCCGCCCGGCTCGTCGACGTCGTCGACGTCGCTCTCGTCGTCGGGCATCCTGCACCCACCACCACCACCACCACCACCTGCCACAGCAGCAGCAGCAGCCGCCGCCGCGTCGTCGACGACGCCGTCGCACCCTGTCCCGCCGCCACTGTCGACCTCGACGAGCGCGTTCGCCAAGACGCGCGGGTTCCTCACCCGCAACAAGTCGGAGAAGCCGCGACCCTCGTCGTCGCACGCCGGCTCGCTCCACAGCAACGGCGTCGGGCTCGGGCTCGGCAGCGTCGGCGCAGGCGGCGACGTCAACGGCAGGGGCCGCCAGTCGTCGGCGCCCGGCGCAGGCGCAGGTGGCCCGCTGCCGCCGCCGCCGCCGTCGTCGTCGTCGCTCGAGGTGCGCAGCAACGGCGACGCGCTCGGCAGCGTGCGGCGTCGCCCGTCGACGGCGTCGCCCATCGTGTCGTCGCCGTCGGCGTCGTTCCCGGTGCACCCGTCGCGCATGCAGGAGAGCGGCGTCGTCGGCGGTGCGTCGCCCGAGCTCGGCAAGAGCGCGCCTGTCGGCGCGCCCGTCGTCGTCGAGCCGGCACGAGCCCCTGCGGCGCCGGCGCCGGCGCTCGCGCCACCTGTGCCGCAGCCGGCGCTGTCGCGCAAGGAGCAGGAGAAGCGCATCAAGGAGGAGCAGAAGGCGCGCGACAAGGAGGCAAAGGCGCGCGACAAGGCCGAGAAGGAGCGGCAGAAGCTCGCCAAGGAGGAGGCCAAGCGGCAGGACAAGCTGTGGCGCAAGATGAGCGTCAAGTAGAGACGCTTCCAGTCACCTTCCCCTCCCTCGAGCCGTGTCGCCTCGTCCGCCCACCTCCCCCTCCTCGTCGCCTCCTCCTCCCAGCCTCGTCTCCTCCCCCTTCCTCTCTCGCTCTCTCTCTCTCCCTCACCCTTCTCGGCCCTCGGTCTCTGTCTGTGTCTCGCTCTCCTCTCCTTTCCCTGTCCATCATCTTATCGAGCGCGGGCGTACCCGCAGGCCTCGCGTGTAAAAGGAATAGAGCTCTCTCGCCGTCGTTTTCGGACCTTTTCCTCGCGCCGTTGCGTAGCATCGAGAGCGAGAAGAGTATGCGAGAGGGAGTGCGAGGGGGAACTGCTTGCGACTCGAGCGCTAGACGAGGAGCGGGGGTCGTGGACCCGAGACGAGGTCCAAGCGGCGCTTTTTCTGGCTCTCGTTCTCCGGCGAGCTCAGGCGAGTAGGGGGGCACGAAAGGTGCGACTTGCATTGCGAGGGCGAGAGCAGGAGGGTATCTCAGGGGGTGGGTATCGCGGCGGGACGAGGAGGGAGAGATGGGGACGAGGGACGAGGACGAGGAGGGAAGGATCAGGCGCCGACGCGCTCGAGTGGGGCGCGAAGCTGGTCTGCGGCCGCTCGAATCTGTGCGGCACGAGGGTGGGGAGAGTCAGTGTTGTGCGCGACGAGGACGACTGGACGACGGGCCGAGGGAGGCTGGGAAGGACGAGCGAGTCGAGGAAGAGGAAGAGAGGGAGCGCCACCTTTTTGTCGAGGACCTTCCAGGGTGCGACTTGAGTGCCGACGAGGACGAGGAGAAAGGCGCCGAGAGCGACAACGGCGATGTGGCCGAGCTGCGGAGCGAGGACACAGAGAGAGGTGAGCGGGGCAAGAGAGGAGAGGGAGGAGAGGGAGAGTAACGCACCTCCGAGTCGAGCATGAGCGGGTCGCGGTCGTCGCTGCGGTGGTGGTCGTCGGGGCCGAGGTGAGCGTCCCAGGCTCCTCCTGCGAGGGCAGCGTACATGGCTGCGCGCTCGTCGTCGTCGACCTCGGCCGGTGGGGGGCGGACGTCGGGCCACGGTGCGGTGGTGGGGTGCGAGTGGTGGACGACGACTTGGTTTCCGGCAGGTTGGGAGGCGAGGAGGGCGGTGTGGGGGGAGCCGTCGCCGGTGCGCGAGGTGAGCGAGGCGAGGAGGTCGAGGACGGGTGCGGGGAGGAGGAGCGGGGCCATTTGGGGTGGGTCGCGTGGGTGGCAGTGGGTGTGGTGTGGTGCTCTGTAGCGAGTGAGTTGGCTGGCTGGCTGGCTAGAGAGAGAGGGAGAGAGAGAGAGGGAGAGATGGCGAGCGCTTCCCCGCATTCTCTCGTCGCCCGCCCTCTCCTCCTCGTCGCTCTCTCGCTCTCGACAGTGACCACCTGCGCACCGCTGCGCACCTTGCACGCACCGATACCACCTCTCAGCACCCACCCCCGACGCGTCCGCCTCTCTTCCCCTCGTCCCCACCCCGCACACTCCGCCTCGCGTCGTCGTCCTCATCGCCCTCGACCTCTCGCCGCGACCCTCGCACCACCAACGCGCTCCTCCTCCCAAGCACGCTCACCGCCGCGCCACCACACGCCCCCCAGCATGCGCACCCGACCAGCTCTCGCCGCCCTCTTTGCCGCCGCGACCATCGCGAGCGCTCACGGCGACCACGCCGAGGTCGAGGACAACCCAGACGCCACCTACGCAGAGCTCCACATGGCCCAAGAGGTGCGTCCCCATCTCCCTCCCGCTCTGGGTCACGCAGCCCCAGCTCACGCTCCTCCTCGACCGCCTGCAGCACCACATGGACAGCTTCGACATCCAGGCCTTCTTCCACCTCCACGACCTCAACCGGTCCGTCCTCGCTCTCTCTTCTGCGCCACACGTCACCGACCTGACCCCTTGGCCCCCCGGCGCCCGCAGCGACGGCGTCCTCGACCGCAACGAGCTCGAGTCGATCTACGGCGTCCACCACGAGAAGCGCCGCAAGGGCGCCAAGAACCTCGAGGTGCACACCCAGCAGGCCGTCGAGATCGTCGACCAGGTCCTCGACCGCCTCGACACGAACCGCGACGGCGTCTTGACCATGCGCGAGTTTGTCGCCGGCGGCGTCGGCGGCTTGCCCAACTTCAAGGGCGTCGAGCACCTCGGGCACCACTACGGTGCGTCGCACGTTGCTTCCTCTGAGGGTGCCCTGTGTCTCGTTCGCAGACTGATCCTCTCTTCCCGGCCGCGCGTCGTCCACAGACGCCGAGGGCGAGTACTTCTTGCAGTGCGTCCGCTCCTTGCCCTCTCCACCCGTCGACGCCTCCTGACTCTCGAGTCGCCCCGCAGCCACGAGGAACGGTACCATAACACGCCCGAGACGCAGCGCGAGGAGGACTACGTCCACCCCGAGGGTGCGTCCGCTCGGACCTCTCTTCCTCTCTCTCTCCTCGGCGCCCTCGACTGACTCTCTCACCGCACCATCGCAGACATCGAGCACTTTATGTCGCACGAGGCGATCGAGGACGAGGAGGACGAGCGCATCCGCCAGTTTACGGGCGAGGACCCGGACATTGACCCGGCGGCGCACGTCACGCCCGAGCAGCTCGAGCAGCACGTCTTCAACGAGCTCAACGGCCTCGCCGACGAGCCGACGACCGACTCGGAGAAGGACTTTGTCAAAAAGGCCGTCGAGGACGAGGACAAGCACAACCCGCACGCCGAGATGGTCAAGCCCCGCGAGCCCTTCTCGGCCCCGCCGCCCGTCTACAACCCGGGCGCCGCCAACGACGCGTCGCAGCAGCGCCAGCAGCGCCAGAAGGAGCTGCGCGCCGAGGCGGTCCGGCGCCTGCAGGACAGCAACGCGCGCGCGGGTGCGGGCGCGCCCAAGGCGCCGGCGGCGGCGGCGCCGACGACCGAGCAGGAGCGCCAGCGGCGCGAGCGCGCCGAGGCGGCGCGGGCCCAGGCGGCCAAATTTGCGCGCGACGTGCGCGAGGCGAGCGCGAGGGGCCAGTACGCCGGCGCCGAGGCTGGCGGCGCGAGGGGCGAGCAGGTCAACTTTGGGAGGCCAAAGGACGCCGCGGATCGGCTCAGGAGGAACGTGCCGTACAAGTACAAGGTGCGTCCCAGTCTCTCTCTCTCTCTCTTTCTCTCTCGTCGTGCTCTGGCGACGTGACTGACCTCGTCGTCGTCGGCCCGTGCAGGTCCGCAACAGCTGGTTCGGCGAGTTCTAGTCGCAGCCCTCGCCGCCTCTCCCCCTCTCTCTATATCGCCCTTCTCTCTCAGTATCTAGCTGGCCTCGACTACTCTGTGTACCATCCCCGTCCCCTCGTCCCCTCGCTCGTCGCCGCCGTTTTGCACCATCTCCCTCCCGGCTTCTCTCCCTCCCTCTCTCGCAACCATTCGCAACCTCCTCAGTCCCGGCCCGCTCTCGAGAGAGTCGCAGAGAGACTGCTCGAGAGTGATACTGCAGCCTCGACGACGACAAGCACCCTCGCCCGCCCGCCGCGCTCAGGCCTCGAAAGAGCCGGCTCGCCGCGACTTGGGAAGCCCGCGAGTTTCTCGGGGCGCTGTCTCTCCTTGTGCAGCTCTCGAGTAGAGGAAGCTACTGCCGTCGTGCGACGAGCGAGCGACGTCGCCCTCGGCCTCGACAGAGACGTCGACCCAGAGGCGGTCGCCGAAGCGGGCACCGTCCGGTGCCGACAGCCGCCAGAAGTCCATGAACCTGCCCGAGTCGTCGGGCGGCTTGCACTCGCACTGGATCTCGACGACCTCGCCCGGGGCGGCGGCGACGGCGGCGAACGAATGGACGCCTCCACGTCCTCCTCCTACTCTCTGCCCTCTCTTCCCTCTCTTCCCTCTCTTCCCTCTCAGTCTGTACCTGACCTCCAATACTCTGTGTACTATCGTCGTTCCCTCCTGCCCTCGCTCGCCGAAGCCGTTTTGTGTCCTCTCTTCTCCCTCTTCCTCTCTCTCCCTTTCTCGCAACCACTCGCAACTTTCTCGACCCCAGTCCGCTCTCGAGAGAGACGCAGAGAGATTGCTCGAGAGTAACACTGCAAGCGCGACAAGTCTCGACGACGACAAGCCCCCTCCTCTGCCCGCCCGCCCGCCCCGCTCAGGCCCCCTCGCGCACGACCCACTCGATCCCCCTCGCGTCGCAGCGCTTGGCGAGCGCCTTGTTCTTGTGCTTCTGCGCGTCGACCTTGAGCTTCTTGACGACGCTGACGAGGCGCGTGAGCTTGGGGAGGCTTGCGGGCTCGTCGTCGTCGACGGGTGCGGCGAGGACGGCCTCGACGGCTTTGGAGAGCCTCGACGCGGGCGTGTCGTCGATGATGAGCTCCTCGAGGGTGTCGAGGTGCGGGAGGAGGGCGTAGAACGAGGACGGGTCGGGCGCAGAGGGAAGGAGCGAAGCGCTGAGGAAAAGAACGCGAAGCGAGTCGGTGCGGCTGACGAGGTCGAGGAGCGGCGAGGGCGGGAACGTCGCGACCTGGTCGTCGTCGTCGGCCTCGACGTCGCTCGCGAGCTCGTCGATGTCCTCCGGCGCCGGCGCAATCGCGACCGCCTTGCCCTTGTCCTTCTTGCCGCGCTTGGACCCCCTTCCTCCTCCCGCTCCTCCCCAGCGGTCCCACACCTTGAGGACCTCGACGCTGCCCACCACCTCGCCGAGCGCGTCCCACGCACGGCCCTCGCACCCGGGCAGGCCCATCTCGAGCTCGACGAGCGCCGTCTGGTCCTCGAGGAGCCACGCGACCATCTCGTCCGCAAGCGTCGACTCGCGCACGACGAGGCGGCGCAGGGTGCGGGGGCGCTCGGCGCTCGAGAGAGGCGGGCGCGTGCAGTCGCCGCGGAGTGAGGCGAGCGAGAGGGACGAGAGGTGCGTCCAGGCCGATAGGAGCGGGACGAGGTCGTGCAGCCAGAGGAAGGCGCCGGCGAGGGTGAACGAGGCGAGGTTGGCGAGGGACGACAGGGCCTTGAAGGCGGTCGAAGGGTTGGGGAAGAGGGCCGTGAAGGGCTGAAGTGGCGCCGAGGTGGCCGAAAGCGAGAGGGCGAGCGAGGAGAGGGACGAAGGGCGGAGCGAGAAGAGGCTCGTGCACGATGTGCGCAGGGTCGAGAGCGCCGGCGGGCTCGAGTACAGGGCTTGCAGGCTGTCGACGTAGAGTGCGAGTCAGTGCATGCTAGGCCCTGTGCACCAGGCGGCGAGACGCACCTGATCTCGAGCGCCCTGACCTCCTTTGCGCCGGCCGCACCGCCGCTCTCGATCGCCTGCTTGCCGCCTTTGGGCTTGTAGCGCTTGGCCGCCTCGACGACCTCGGACGAGCTCTTGAGCGAGAGCGTCTCCTCAACGACGGGAGCGACGGCGCGGCTCGCGGCCTTGCACGTGCGAGCGAGGGGGACGAGGCGCGAGGCTGGCGACGACGACGTGGCTGCGCGCTCGTCTGTAAGTCAGCACTGGCGCTTGGAGGACAGGTGAGAGACCGAAGGAAGGCACCGAGGTCGTCGTAGGCGAGCGAGCGAGCGATGCGAGTGAGGACGTCGCCCGGGAGAGCTGCGAGGCTGGACGACGGCGAGCGGGCTTGGGCCGGCGGCGTGGCGGCCTCGGGCGTGTCGCTCGGGACCCTGCGAGGCTTCTTATTCGACCTCGGCGGCATGCGAGCGAGCGACGACGGGAGCGAGGTGGACGAAGGAGCGAAAGAGCGAGACGTTGAGAAGGTCGACCGCGGGCTCGGCTGAAGCACTCGCTCGCTCGCCGAGTCACTCTCGAGAGCTGTAGGGAAAGCACTGCATTCGAGTCGAAGAAAGGGAGCAGAGACGGCAGAGCCTGGAGGAGGAGGAGTGGGGAAGAGGGAACTGGAACGAGGAAGGGGGATCTCAACAAAAGGGGGGTACGAGCGCGAAGAGAGAGGGAGAGAAGCTACAGCAGACAAAGAGAGAGAGGGACGACACAGACGAGCCTAAGCGGCGAGGGGAGGAGGAGGGGAGGGGAGGAGAGGGAGAGAGAGAAGGACCGGCTCGACGACGCTCAGGCCCTGTCGACGAGGACGAACTCGACCTCGCTGTCGTCCTCGTCGCTCGAAGTCGAAAGGTCGCTATCCGACTCGCTGCTCGACTCGTCCTCCGACTCGTCCTCGTCCTCGTCCGACGACGCGTCCTCGTCGCCCGACAGGTACACGCCCTCGCTCCCGGCGCGCGACGCCGTGCCCGCCTGGACCGACTCAAACTCGCTGCCGGCGAACGACGACGGCGCGAGGTGCGACGGGACCGAGAATCCCGACGACGAGGGCGCGACACGAGGCGAGTGGGCGACTGACGACGAGGCGACGCTCGGCGCTTCGCTCGGCGGGAGCGACGCGGCCTTGCCCGCCGCACTGAGGCTCGGCGTGACGAACGACGACGACGACAGCGACTGGTGGCTGCCCGTCATGGTGCCGTCCGAGGCGTCGAGGGGCGAGCCCGTGTCGTCGCGCGACGAGCGCGCGACATCGCCCTCGGCCTCGACAGAGACGTCGACCCAGAAACGGTCGCCGAAGCGGGCGCCGTCCGGTGCAGACAGCCGCCAGAAATCCATGAACCTGCCCGAGTCGTCGGGCGCCTTGCACTCGCACTGGATCTCGACGACCTCGCCCGGGGCGGCGGCGGCGACGGCGAACGACTTGACGCGGCTCGCGCCGCCGGCGACCTTGGAAGAGAAGCCGCCGACGTGGACGAGGCGGGTGCCGGCTGGCCACGACGTCGTGCCCGAGTTGCGGACGGCCCACACCTTGTGGAACTCGCTGCCCGCAGGGACGACCGAGCCGTCGAGCAGCGTGATGTCGCTGACGAAGATGGCGCGAGGCGAGTCGTCCTGGACGACCGGGACGGGCAGCGTCGTCGACGACGACTCGTCGTTGTCGGACTCGATGCCCTCGGTGTCGACCTTGGACGAGTCGGGCTCGGGAGCGTCGTTGAGATGCATCTCGCCGAGCTTGGTCTCGACAGCCTCGACCGTCTCGGCCGCCTGCTGCCTCGACAGCGAGACCGGGACGTGAAGCTCGGCCGGGAGGCCCTTGAGCTGCTCGGCCGAGAGCTGCGACACGTCGACGTCGACGACGAGCGTCTTGTCCTCGCCTGGGCCGGCGAGGAGCTCGGCGCTCATGACCTTGGGCGACTCGGCGGCGATGGCGCGCGCACCGGGCGCAGGGGCGGCCGGGACGGGCACGTGGATGCCGAGCGACTCGAGGACGCTCGCGATCGGGCCCGAGCTAAGCGCGGCGACGATGCCGTGGCGCTCTGCGCCCTGCTCGACGCGGGACAGGAGGTTCTGGGCGTGCTCGGTCGCGTGCTCGACGACGGTGCGGCCGACGTGCGAGAACGGGTTGAGCGGCTCGCGGATCTTGAGGAGGTTGTGGTCGTGCGGGTGGACCGGGATCGGGAGCGACTCGCACGCCGAGCACAGGTCGAAGCCGCCGTCTTGCGAGCACGCCGGGTGCGTGCAGTGATAGCGCACGCCGACGAGCGGCGACTGGTTGCACCCATCGCAGACAATGTTGCGGTGGACCGTGCGCGAGTCGGGCTGCGGCCGGTGCTGGATGTCCTTCGGGTCGCTGACGGCGACAAAGTTGTGGTGCGGGTGGACCTCGTCGACGTACTCGGTCTTGCAGGCCCCGCAGCAGTCGTAGTCGGCGCATTGGAGGCACTTGAAGCGGGTCCCGACGATCGTGCGGGTGCACACGTCGCACGTCGCCGAGTGGACGACCGGCTTGACCTCGTTCTCGACGACGTCAGGCTTGACCTCGACGACGGGCTTGAACCCCAACACGCGCTTGAGGGAGCCGCGAGTGGACGGGACCGGCGACGCGTACGGGCGGGCGATCTCGAGGAAGTTGTGCGGCGCCGGGTGGAAGTCGCAGCGAGCGTCGACGCACTCGCCGCATAGGTCGTAGTTGGTGCATGCCGCGCACTTGAAGCGAGAGCCGACGATCGTCTTCTGCACGAGGGCGAGTGGCCGACGAGGACCGTCAGTTCGGGTCCGACTGAGAGTGGCAGGAGGGTGAAGAGGACAGGGACGGACCATACAACAGTCGCAGTACACGCTGTAGTGGACGACCTTCTTGTCGACCTCGTCGACCGTCGCCTTCTCGACCTTGACGTCCTCCTCGACCTTGACGACGTCCGGGGTCGGCGAGCGCTCGCGCAGCTCGAACGGCGCCGCCTCGTCGCCGAACGTGTCGGCGAGGTGCGAGTTGAGGTCGCGCACGAACTTGCCGAGGAGCGCCTTGACGCCGGTCCACGACTCGGCGGGCTCGAGCTGACGGGCAGGCGCCGACGTGGGCGACGGCGACGGCGACTCGGGGCGAACCGTCTGCGACGCCGCCTCGGTCGTGACAACGGGCGAGTCGGACGCCGACGAGGCAAGCGTGATGTAGCTGGGCGCGTAGCCCGTCTTGGCGGCGGCGGCCGAGGCGCGCGGGGCCGTCTTGCGAGGAGGGCGCGCTGCGGAGCGCTCGAGATAGACCTGGTGGCCCTCGGCGTCCTCGTCGGCCTTGCGCTTGTTGGCCGTCGCGGCGGCAGTAGCGGCGGCGGCGGCGGCGGTAGCGACGGCGGCGGTGGCGGTAGCGACGGCGGCGGTGGCCTGGCGCGACTCGGCCTTGCGACGCTCGGTGCGCTCGAGGGCCGCCTTGCTCTGGACGACGAAGCCGAGGACGACGCGCTTCTTGTCGTCAATCTTGGCCTTCTCGGGGTGCTGGACGAGCGGGTCGCACACGTGCTGGACGAAGGCGGCGAACGACTCGAGCGTGAGGGAAGGATTGCCGAGCGAGTCGCGGACCGAGAGGACGACGTCGTTGCGCGCAAGGTGGAAGACCTGGGCAGCGCGCTCGTGGAGGCCCTGTTGCAGTGGTGCGGGTGCAAGAGTCAGAAAGGGCTGCGGCTGCGGGACTCGGAGGTCTCGGAGAGGGACAGGCGGGGGCGGGGAAGGGTCGCGAGGGGAGGGGAGGGAGACGCACAGTGTACACCTGCTCGAGGGCGAGGGGGCCCTGGTAGCCGTACCGACGGGTCGAGGGCGAAGGCCCGTCGTCGTAGTAGAGCTTGAAGACGCAGGACGGGGACGCCATCGTCTGCTCGAGGTGGCGCAGAACGCGTCAGCGTCAGGCGTCGAGAGGGGACACGGCGCGGGCAAGGAGGGGCGGGGCGAGCAAGGGGAATGTAGGGGCGCACCTGGACTGACTCGCGGGTGGCTCTGCGCGGGAACGACGAGGCGAGAGGTTCGGGCTCGGGGCGAAGTGCCGATGAGGGCGAGGTGGACGAGTCTCGGTGGGGACGACGCTGGAGGGACGGTGGCGCCGCTGCCGAGGTTCTCTGGGGGAGTGACGAGCCGGTGCGGTTGGACCTGGCTGCGCTCGGTGGGAGGCGAGAAGGAGAGAGAGGAAGGACGGCGCCTCTCGGGAGTGGGGGTCGTCCACGCCAGGCGCACCTCGCGCACAGCTCCGAGCGAGTCCATGCAAGCTCTTTCACTCTTTGGACAGCCATCATGAACTGCAAGGGCCGAAAAGAGGACGCAACGTTGCCAAGCGCGGGCTCGAGCCCTGCCGAGCTGCCTCGCCAGGCCCAGCAGCGCTCGACGCTCTCGTGAACTGACAGAGACTGCGAATGCATGTGTGCTGACCGACGTACTGCCCCGAGACGAGCCCATTTCCCTCACGCCTCGACCTCTCCCGCGTCGACCGACCGTCCGACCGACCCTCCTTGCGAACAACTGCGACGCCCCGCTCAGACGAGCTGCGCGCCTTTGCCCTGCGTGCCCGGCATCGCGAGCGCGTCCTCGTCGTCGTCCTCGTCGTCCTCGAGGAGGCTCCCGCCGCCGGCGAGCGGGTTGTGCTGCCCGGGCTGCGGCGAGCTGCTCTTGGCCGGCGGCGGCGGCGGCGGCGCGCCGGCCGCGCCGCCAGTCGGGGCCTTCCACGCCGAGGACGAGTAGTCGGGCTGCGACGAGGCGGGACGGGCGGCGGCGGGTGCGGGCTCGTAGGCGTACTGGTAGGCCTGCGAGCGAGCGTCGCGGCGCGAGGCGAGGGCGTGGTACGCGTTCTGCGCCGTGTCGATGACCCACTGCGGGAGGGAAGAGAGAGTGAGTCACAGAGGGTGGACGACAGTCGACAAGGGAGAGAGAGAGACGCACGATGCCGCCGACCACGAGCATGTCCTTGGCGAAGCCGACCGCGCCGCCGACGCCGCCCGACTCGCCGCCGCCGAGGGTGCGGCCACCGCGGTTACCGCCGAGGAAGCGCTGGTACAGGAAGAAGGCGCCGCCGATGACGATCGAGAGCCAGAACATGCTGCGAGGAGGGACGACCACGGGTCAGGACGAGGATCTCGCGCGACGCACGTCCGAACACGAGAGAGAGGGGCGTACAAGACGAAGACGCCCCAGATGGCGCTGAAGAAGCCCCCGGACGTCGGGCAGGCGTACGGCGTCTTCATCGTGAAGCTGCGCGAGGGAGGAACGTCGACGCCGCGAGGTCAGGCGCCGGCAGACGTCCGCAGGGGATGAGAGCGGGACGCACAAGTAGACGCAGTCGTCGAGCGAGTCGATGAGGGTGACCTTGTTGTCGGACGTCCACGACGTGTCGCACTGAAGGTAGATGAGGCTCGAGCGGCGCGAGTTCGAGTTGGGGCACTCGGCTCCGTTCTTGTACGTGACCGACAGCTGGCCGTTGTGGTACGACAGCTTGTTCGACGACTCGCTGTGAGCGTTAAGGGGTTATGAGAGTCAGGCTCGGTTACGAGGGAGAGACGCTGGGCCAGGTTGCGCCAGCGGCGCGAGGAGGAGGGGAGGAGGAGCAGGACGCACCCGAGCGAGATGCCGCCGCGCGAGTCCTCGATGTACGCGCCGTAGTTCTGCGCAGCTGTATCGAGGGGCAAGCCGGGTCAGTGCTCGTCGCCCCGGACGTCGCGGGCAGACAAGGTCCGGCGGCTCACCCTCGGCAGGAGACTCGTCCGACGAGACGGGCCCGCAGAAGTTGAGGCTGACGGCACCGCCGTCAGGGTTGGTCGCCGTGTAGTCGTCTGCGCGACCGGGCGGGCGAGAGGGTCAGCACGCAAGCGCGAGGGGAGGATGTGGAGCACCTCGAGGGACGCGATAGAGAGAGAAGCAGGGGACGCACGCTTCTTGTTGCGCAGCGGCGAGAGGTCGAAGGAGCCGATGCTTGCACCCTCGAGCTTGCAGTGGTTGGTCGCGGCGAGGGCGAGGTGGAGCTGGGCTGCCAGCGCGGCGCCGACGAGGAGAGGGGAGGTGAAGCGCATCGTGCGGCTCGAGGTGGTGGGTACGACGTGTGCTCCGGGGTGCTGGGCTGGACGCGCTGCAGAGCCTCGAGAAAGCTGGAGGCTGCGAGCGAGATAGGAGAAGGAGAGCCGACGCCGCGGACGAGCGGGCGAGGTGGGAACGACGCGTCGTGCCGAGCGGGCAGCGCTGTAGTACCGGCGCAGCTCCGTCTGAGGTAGTTCGCAGCCTGTACAGGTCGCGCATACCGTCCCCTGACGCTGTTCGGGACGAGCTCTCGCCTTCGTCGCCTGCTCCGCCAAAGTCGCACCTGCTCTTGCGCTCCGAGCCATTTTCCTGGGCTTCGCTGGGGTCGATGAATGCTTTCCGGGGTCGCTCCTTCCAGTAGCTGAACGGTCAGAGGCGGACTGAGCGTTTGCGGCCGGTCGCCCCTTCGCCGCTTCCTCACTCGCCGACGACTGGCTCCCGCTCTTCCGCATCGCAGGCTCACGCGCGCTCGCTAGCCTCGCCCGCCGCACGACGCTCCAACCCTCAACAGCCATGTTCAGCCGGTCGCTGCGTCCCCTCGCGGGCCTCGCCCGCCCCGTCGCCTCGTCGTCGCCCTCCCTCATCGCTCGCGGCCTCGCCACCGAGGCGGCCCGCCCCTTGCGCTCTGGCGAGTACACGACGGTCGAGGACCTGCATGCCAAGACGGCTTCGGAGATCCTGAACGAGCGCGAGAAAGTGAGCCAAGTTTCAGCCCGAACGGTCCACTGCAGCGTGCTGTAGGCTCGAAAGAGTCTTTGGCCCTCTCAGCGGGCCAACGCGCCCGGTCAATCCCTCCAGACACTCGTACTGACTCTATCCCACCCCCTCTTGCTTCCTCGATTGCAGGGCGCCGCCGGTGGTGCGTCCTCCTCTTCCTCCCCCTCGTCGTCGTCTCGGCGCGGCCTCCCTTGGCCCGTCGCCTCCTTTTGCGCGCAAGCTGACACTCTGCCCACACAGCCATGCGCCACTTCACCGTGCGTCCCTCTTCTCGCCCGACTGCGCCAGACAGGAGCACTCGCTCACCCTCTTCTTCCCGTCGTGCAGCTCAACTTCGGTCCTCAGCACCCGGCCGCGCACGGTGTCCTGCGCCTCATCCTCGAGCTCAACGGCGAGGAGATCCTGCGCTCCGACCCGCACATCGGCCTCCTGCACCGCGGCACCGAGAAGCTCATCGAGTACAAGAACTACACCCAGGCGCTGCCTTATTTCGACCGCCTCGACTATGTCTCGATGATGACGAACGAGCTGTGCTACTCTCGCGCCGTCGAGAACCTCCTCAACATCGGTGCGCCCCCCCTCGTCCTCTCCCTCTTCCGCCCTCAGCCGGACGAGAGCTGACCCTCTCGCCTCCTGCAGAGGTCCCCGAGCGCGCCAAGTGGATCCGCACCCTGTTCGGCGAGATCACGCGCATCCTCAACCACCTCATGGCCGTCCTCACCCACGCCATGGGTGCGTCCCCTCCCCCTCCCCCTCCTCGACGACGACGCCGACGAGCCGTCGCTGACCCTCGCTCGCCCACGCAGACGTCGGCGCCCTGACGCCCTTCCTGTGGGGCTTCGAGGAGCGCGAGAAGCTCATGGAGTTCTACGAGCGCGTGTCGGGTGCGCGCCTGCACGCGGCGTACGTGCGCCCGGGCGGCGTCGCGTACGACCTCCCGCACGGCCTCCTCGAGGACATCTACAAGTGGGCGACCGCCTTCTCGCAGCGCGTCGACGAGATCGAGGAGGTCGTGACGGGCAACCGCATCTGGAAGCAGCGCACGGTCGGCGTCGGCCCCGTCACGGCGCAGCAGGCGCTCGACTACTCGTTCTCGGGCGTCATGCTCCGAGGCTCGGGCATCCCGTGGGACATCCGCAAGGTGGCGCCGTACGACGCGTACGACCAGGTCGAGTTTGACGTCCCCGTCGGCAAGAACGGCGACTGCTACGACCGGTACCTGTGCCGCGTCGAGGAGTTCCGCCAGTCGCTCCGCATCATCTACCAGTGCCTCGAGAAGATGCCGCCTGGCCAGATCAAGGTCGACGACCACAAGATTGTGCCGCCGCCGCGTGCGTCGATGAAGGAGTCGATGGAGTCGTGCGTCCACCTCTCCCCCTCGCCGGGACCTCTTCCTCTGCGCCCGAGCCCTCACTCACGCCCTTACCCCGTCCCGCCCACAGGCTCATCCACCACTTCAAGCTCTTCTCGGAGGGCTACTCGGTCCCGCCCGGCGAGACCTACTCGGCCATCGAGGCGCCCAAGGGCGAGATGGGCGTCTACCTCGTCTCGGACGGCTCGAACCGGTGCATCCCTCGCTCTCTCTCTGTCGCTCACGTGCCACCTCGAGGAGCGACTCGAGCGGTCGCCCCTCGGGAGGGCTCCTTCTCAGCGATCAGGGCGAACGAGCACTGACCCTCTGCCCTCCTCTCGCGCACCCGCAGCCCGTACCGCTGCAAGATCCGCGCGCCCGGCTTCGCCCACCTCGCCGGTGCCGACTTTATGGCTCGCGGCTCGTGGCTCCCGGACATGGTCACCATCATCGTGCGTCCGCCTCTCCCTCTCCCTCTCCCTCGCCGGCCTCGCGCCGCTTTCCTCGCTCTCGAAGCAGCACTGACGCTCGAGCTTCGTCACTCGCAGGGCACCATGGACCTCGTGTTCGGCGAGGTCGACCGTTAAGCGGCAGAAGGGCGTGCGACGAGCGCGTCGAGGAGAAGAAGGGACGAGGAGGAGGGAGGGAGCGTTCGACCGGTTCTCTTGTAATTTCTGGCTCCGTTTCGTGCTTCCTGGTGCAGCCCTTTTGTCGAGAGCTCTCGCGAGAGTGCTCTGCTGCCCTGCGTTAGTTGAAGCTCGCGAGCAAGTGCATGCGCGACCGGCTCGCTCGGGCGCACCTTTTGCACCCGCCCTTGACCTCCTCCCACCACCTCGCGACCGCCCGACCTCGCTCGAGCGCGCCACAGCCAAGCTCACCGGCAGTTTGAGCCCCGCGAGCCGCCCTTGCGCACCTGCTGCGCCGCTCGTGCGCCCTCGCCCAGCAGCCGACCTCGTCGACCTGTGCCCGCTCCTCGGCAGCGCCTCGACTTGAGCCTCCAGCACGACAGTCGCCTGCTCGACTCGACCCGCAAGAACCCAGTAGCGCCTGCGCGTCCCCCTCGCTCATCCTGTGCGTCCACGCCTTCCTCTCGCCCCTCCTCCCTCCCCTCCCTCCCCCCTGTCGCATACCCAGCCCCTCGCCTTTTTGTCGGATGATGAGAGAATATCTCGTTTTTAGGAAGTGCCGTCTGATTGCATCGCCAGACACCATGGCGAGCGGCCTCGAAACCGCTCGACCGTCTGGCGAGCTGATGGATTCGAGGACTATTCTGACGGCCTGAGACTCTCTCCCTCTCCCGCGCGCGTGTGCGTGCGTCGAGGGGAGGGTCTCTGCGAGGGCATGCGCGTGCACGGTCGAGCGGGTGGACGAGGACGAGCAGTTTGCGAGGTGCACGAGGCTGCAGAGCGCTGACTCTCGGACCCTCCCGTCGCAGGTTGGCTCGGTCTCGATGTCTCGTTGTTGTAGTTCTGCGTGCAAGCTATCTTTCGAGCCGATGCATGTCTGTGTTTCGAGAGTGAGAGCTGTGAGAGCTGGCCGTCGTCGTTGTCGTCGTCGGAGAAAGTCCGCGTGCTCGTGCTCCTCTGCCCGTCCCGCTCGCGTGCTCCTGCCTCTCCAGCCAGGTGCCCAGTCCCGACAGCAACGACGTCGTTCCTCGTCCTCTCTGCCCACCGCCAGGGACCGACCCTCTGCCGCACTTTCACCCGAGCCTTCTCCATCTCGACCTCGCACCCCGCCGCACGCCGTTCCAAAGCCGCCATGCCTCCCAAGAGTGCGTCTCGCTCCCTCTCTACTGTCCTGCACGCCATGCACCCCGACTGACTCGGCCCCCGCCGGCCCCGCCCACAGAGGTCGTCGCCGTGAGCCTCTCCCCTCTCCCATCTCCCATCTGTCGTCGTCTCCCCACCCCTCGCTGACTCCCTGCGCCTCGTCCTGCGCATGCCCACCCTTTACAGGAGAAGAAGGCCATGCTCGGCCGCCCGAGCAACAACCTCCAGATCGGCATCGTCGGCATGCCCAACGTCGGCAAGAGTTCCCTCTTCAACATCATGTCGCGCTGCGGTGCGTCGTCTCGCTCTCCTTGCCTCTCGGGCCACACTCGCCCAATATTGCGAGCTGACCCTGGACCGAGCGTTTCGCACAGACCTCGGCAAGGTCGCCAACTTCCCCTAGTGCGTCTCGCTCGCGCTTCTCTCTCTCTCGCCTCGACGGCACGCTGACCCTCTCCCTCGTACCTGCAGCGCCACCATCGAGCCCGAGGAGGCCCGTGTCTCGGTCCCCGACGGTGCGTCCTGTCCTCACCTCATTGTCGTCGCACAGCAACGAGCCCTGACCGCTCGCCGCGCACCACAGAGCGCTTCGACTGGCTCGTCGACCTGTACAAGCCCAAGTCGGTCGTGCCCGCCTTCCTCACCTGTGTCGACATTGCCGGTCTCACCAAGGGCGCCTCGACCGGTGCCGGCCTCGGCAACAACTTCCTGGCCAATGTCCGCGCCGTCGACGGCATCTTCCAGGTCATCCGTGCGTCCCTCGTCCTCTTCCTTCTCGACGAGCAGCGAGCACGAGACTGACGAGAGCTCTCGCTTGTGCAGGTGCATTTGACGACGCCGAGGTCATCCACGTCGAGGGCGACGTCGACCCGGTTCGCGACATGAGCATCATTTCGCAGGAGCTCCGGTCCGTCCCGCCCTCTCCCTCCCCTCCTCCTCTGTACCCTTGCGACTCACAGACTGACGCGCTCCCTGCCGCGACAGCCTCAAGGACGCCGAGTGGGTCGAGAAGAAGGCGGACGCGCTCAAGAAGACGCTTCGCGGCGCGACGGGCACGGCCAACCTGCGCGACAAGGCGCTCAAGGAGGAATACGTGCGTCCCTATCTCCCCTTTCTGTCTCTCGGCCCCGTGAGTGCGTGGACGAGAAGATTGACGAGAGTTGGTCCCGCCCCACGCAGGACACGGTCTGCAAGGTCCTCGAGCTCCTCCAGGCGGACAAGGACGTCCGCAAGGGCACCTGGTCCAACAAGGAGGTGCGTCGACTTTCGTTTCTCTCTCTCTCTGCGACGCAGCAGACGAGCCTGACCGTGTGTGCGCGTCGTCGTCGCAGATCGACGTCATCAACGACCTCATGCTCCTCACGGCCAAGCCGGTCACATACCTCGTCAACCTGTCGGAGCGCGACTACATCCGCAAGAAGAACAAGTGGCTGCCCAAGATCAAGGCCTGGATCGACGAGAACGCCCCGGGCGACCTCTTGATCCCGTTCTCGGTCGCGCTCGAGGAGCGCCTCGCCATGGAGTTTGCCGACGACGCCGCCGGCCTCAAGGGCGAGCTCGAGAAGATTGGCACCCAGAGCCAGATTGGCAAGATCATGAAGATCGGGTACCAGAGCCTCAACGTGCGTCTCCTCTTGCTCTTTGTCGCGCACGAGCCCTCGACCGACGCCGGGACTGACTCTCCCTCTCTCTCCCGCCCTCGCCTCGTTCATCAACGCGCAGCTCATCCACTACTTCACTTGCGGCCCCGACGAGGTGCGCGCATGGACCATCCGCTCGGGCCTCCCCGCACCCAAGGCGGCGGGCGTCATCCAGTGCGTCTTCGCCTCTCTCTCTTTCTCTCTCCCTCTCCTCCTCGCGGCCGCCGAACGAGTCGCTCACCCTCGTGCCGCCGTACCTGCGCAGCACCGACTTTGAGAAGAACTTTGTCTGCGGCGAGATCATGCAGTTCTCGGACCTGCAGGAGTACAAGTCGGAGAGCGCCGTCAAGGCGGTGCGTCGCCCTCTCTCTCTCTCTCTCTTTCTCTCTCTCGCCCTCTCTCCTCCTCTCGTGAGCGGCCCTGACTGACTCTCTCGCGACGTCTCCGATGAACAGGCGGGCAAGCAGCAGCAGAAGGGCAAGACGTACGAGGTCCTCGACGGCGACATCTGCTACTGGAAGGCCGGCTAGACGAGTTGCGTCTCTTCTCTTCTCCCAGCAGGACGAGAATGTCGAGGAGCGGCGACGACGTGAAAATAGGATTCTGCCATCGAGCGACGAGCGACGGGCTGCCTCTCGCGAGAGCCCGAGAGCGATGGCCTGGCTCTCGTGAAGGCTCGCGAGCCCGACCGAGAGAGAGATAGAGATAGAGAGCGGTGCATTACGACAACAAGGTCCTCCTCGCCTCGACCTCCTCCTGCCCGTCTACCAATCGCCGCCGCCGTCCCCTCCTCCCCCTCCTCCTCCTCCATCGTCGTCATTGTCGAACAGGTCGCTCCACCCCCAAGTCCCACCGCCCTCCTCCCCGCCCGGATCCTGCGCAGCCCACGGGTCCTGCATGACCTCGCCGTCCTCTGGCGCAAACTCGTCGCCGCCGCCGGGGCGCAGAGAGCCCGAGCCGTACTCTGGCTCGGACGGGTCGCGCTCGCTCGAGGGGAGCGGGCCCGGCATGTTGTCGCCCTCGCCCTCGCCCTGGACCCGCCCGGCCTCGGCGCCCTCGGCTCCCTCGGCCGCACCGCCGCCGCCGCCGCCGAAGCCGCCCATGGGCATCGGAAGGAACATGCCGCCGCCGCCGCCGAGGAGGCCGCCGCGTTGGCGCGTAAAGTAGTCAAAGTCGATCGCTGCGAGGTGGCGAGGCGGGAAGAAGGGAGGGAGGACGAGGGTCCGAGCGGGCGAGGCGAGGAGGAAGGAAGGAGCGGGAGAGGAGGAGAGAGTGGGCGGCGAGGGGAATGTGGAAGAGGATGAGTCAGTTCGAGTTGTGCAACGTCGAGAAGTGGATGGGAGAAACGAGGCGAGAGAGAAAGAGGAAAAGAGAGAGAGGAAGACGCACTGACGGCCGAGGCAAGAAGAACGGCTCGGTGGTCGAGAGGAAGGGCCGGTGCGCGCTCGGCGAGCGCGAGGTCTTCCGACACGGCACTGCTCGTCGCCGACGGGGACGACGCCGCCGCGACAGGCTCGACCGCGGTGCCCGACGCACGTCCCGCCGTCGTCGCCGGGACGGACGAGGCGATCGAGAGCAAGCCCGCCGGCTTCTCGGGCCCCTCGAGCCGCGCCGCGAGGTCGTCGACGACGCCCTCGAAGTGGAGCGCGTACTGGCCCGTGTCGGTAAAGAGCTCTTGGGCGAACCCGACAAAGTTGCGGTCGATCTTGCCGATCGGCGCGTTGGCCTCGTCGCGGACGGTAAAGTCCCACGCGAGGAAGCCCGAGTCGATGCGGCCAAACTGGTCGAACTCGTCGCCGTCGGGCCCGCCTCGACGCAGGAACAGGTTGTAGCGCCGGCGCATGAGGGCCCACTCCTGCTGCGCCTCGCCGATGACCTCGCCGTCGTCGGCCGGGCCGGGCGCCGTGGTCGTCGTCGTCGCGAGCGCCGTCGATGGTGGAGGTGCGCCTGGCGCCTCGAGGCGCTGGAGCTCGTCCTTGGCGTCGCTCGCCGACGTGGTCGACGACGAGGTCGGGGTCGAGACGTAGATGCGCGAGTTGATCCACGAAAAGGGGCGGCGGATGCGGAGGAGGACGTCGCCGGCGGGGCTCATGACGATGGCGCGAAAGGGGCGGTGGGTGCGCAGGAGCTGGCGCGACATGGTGCTGACGACGGACGCCTCCTCCTCGAGGAGGTACCCGAGGATGGCGCCGTCGGGGGCGTTGAGCTGGTAGCGGTTGGCCTGCTCCCAGCCGAGGAAGATGTTGAGGGGCTCGATCTGGCGCGCGACGATGATCGTAGGCTGCGACAGGAGGGCCTTGAGCGGCTCGACCCAGCTGCCCCTCGCGCGGTCGATGACGCCGTGCTCATCGTGCGGGACCTCGACGGTGGCCTGCGCCGGTGGAGGAGGCGTCGCCTGAACGGCTGAAGGCTGCGATGGAGCCTGGTCGTCTTGGCGAACGGCTGGCGGCGAGGTGGTTGCAGGAGGTGGAGGAGGAGGGCGCGAATGCGAACGGCGACGGCGCGCCAGGCGAGAGGCGGGACGGGCTTGCGCGACTGCTGGTAGCAGTGGCGGCTTGCGCAGGAGGGCCTTGGCCACGTTCGACGCTGTTGTCGTGCGGAGCATCGTTGGTCGAAAGGCGAACCTCATCGGCTCGCTCATCCTGCCCTCGTCACTCTCCACCCTCTGGACAAGATGGCGCGCTCCAAGCTGCTCAACCTCGAGGACCAGTTTAGCTTCTACGTGAGCCCACTTCCTCGCCGTCCCCGTCCCTCGCCACCTCTCCCCCACATCGCATCGCCGCAACTTCGCCGCCTTTCCACGCGAGCCTCGAGCCTCTCAGGCCCGTCGGTTGTCGTCGGCTGGCTCGAGGCGGTCCTGTTCGGCAGGTCGGAGGAGCGGCACGGGCGCAAGGTTGAGGCGGGCGGGAGCGGGAGCTGTCGCCGGTCGCCGGCAAACTCGCAACGAGGGCCACACCGTGCTGCAGTGAGCTGACCGCCTGCAACGCACACACAGGCCTCGTACCACACCAACACCAAGAACGTCCTTATCCACGTCCTCTGCGTCCCGACCATCCTCGCCTCGGCCCTCGTCCTCGCACACGGCATCCCCGGCGCCGCCAAGTCGCTCGCCCACTTTGACCTCGACTTCCTCGGCAACACCATCGGTATCGACCTCACGTTCCCTTTCCTGTGGGCCGCCGCCAATGCCACCTATTTCGTCCTGCTCGAGCCTGTCGCTGGGGTGCGTCTCCCTCTTTCTCTTCTTCCAGCATCCAGCCCGAGGCTCACCTGCTTTGCCGCTCGCAGCTGCTCTACGCCCCAATCTTGCTCGCCATGGGCTACTACTCGAACGTCCTGTACTCGACTCACCACGACGCGGCGATGAAGTACGCCGCCGTCGCTCACGTCGCGAGCTGGATCGCTCAATTTATCGGCCATGGAGTGGTGCGTCCTCCTTTCGCCCTCTCGCGGTTCACCGCGAACCGTCACTGACGCCCTCGCGCAGTTCGAGGGCCGAGCGCCAGCGCTCCTCGACTCGCTCCTGCAGAGCGTCGTCCTCGCCGTCTTCTTCGTCTGGCTCGAGGTCCTCTTCGCGCTCGGGTACCGTCCAGCACTCTTCAAGCGCCTTCAAGCTCGTACGGGCGTCGCTGTCGCCGAGTACCGCAAGGACAAGGCGGCCAAGGAGCGCAGCGCGGCAGCGAAGCGGTCGTCGTGAGGCCGGCCCGGTCGACCTGCGGGTCGTGCGGCGAGTTTCCCTGCTTCTCCACTTTGTCGTAGTCTGTCCTCCTCGGCCTGTCAACGAAGAGCTGTCCTTCTAGATGGGTCCCTTGTCTGCGCGAGCGCCGCTTCACGGGCCCGCTCCGTCCGAAAGCGGATCTGCACACACTCGGCATGACGGTGGAGGCCGAGGTGCAGTTGGACGCCTCGCTGGCCTCCTCCTCGCATCCTGCACTGCTGCTCGCACCGATAGCTGCTTGAGCCTGCTCTCCAAGATGTCGCCCGCGATCCCTGAGCTGCCCAACCTCTCCGGCGTCGAGTGAGTCCCTCATCTCCCCGGCCCTCCTCGATCAACCTTTGGCCGCACCTGTGGCTCGAACGTCGGCTCGAGGTACTGGCGGCCGGTCGCGAGCCACCTCGAAAGCTGTACAGCAAGCTGCACGGATGCAGCCGGCCCTGCACGAGGCCACCTCGCTGACCCTCCCCCTGCCCTCCCTCCCTCCTCGACGTACTCGACTTGTCGCCCTCCCCTGCCACAGCTACGCCAAGTTCTTCGCCTCTGGAGCAGCATGCTGCATCCTGTCGCACGGTGGCATGGTCCCGATCGACGTCGTCAAGACCCGCATGCAGGTGCGCCCGTCTCTCGCCTCGTCTCGTCGTCGTGGACTCGAGCTGACCCTCTCACCTGCCTGCAGGTGCGTCGCCTCCGCCACTACGCCAAAACCCTGGCCAAGGGATAGAGCTAACTCTTTGCACCCGCACAGCTCGAACCGCGGCTCAAGAAGCTCGGTATGGTCGGTACCGGCCGCAGCATCGTTGCCGAGGAGGGCCTGCGCGGCCTCGCGACTGGCTTCGGCTCGACGGCCGTTGGCTATTTCCTTCAGGGGGGCTCCAAGTTCATGCTGTACGAGTACTTCAAGGGCCAGCTCGCCGAGATGTCGGGGAGCTACGAGGCCGCCGTCGGGCACCGCACTGCCATCTACCTCGGCGGCGCTGCCATCGCCGAGTTCTTCGCCGACATCCTCCTCACGCCCGCCGAGGCCGTCCGCATCCGCATGGTCTCGGACCGTCACTACGCCACCAACCTCGCGACGGGCTTCAAGCGCATGGCGAGCGAGGGCGGCTTCCGCGAGCTCTACGCCGGGTTCGTCCCGATCCTCGCCAAGCAGATCCCTTGTGCGTCTACCCTCGCCTTCTTCTCTCGATCCACATGTCCTGACCCTGCCACGCGTCCCTTTGTGCAGACGCCGTCGGCCAGTTCCTCGTCAACGAGCTCGCGCACGAGGCGGTCTACAAGCAGATGAGCGAGACCAAGCGCGCCAACCTGACGGCGACCGAGCAGACGGGCATCACGCTCGGCTGCGGTATCACTGCTGTGCGTCCCTCGTCCTGTCTCCTTGGCCTCAAGAGCCCGAATCTGAATTGACGCGCGCGCACGAAACAGGGTGTCGCCGCAGCCGTCCTCTCGCAGCCCGCCGACACGCTCCTCAGGTGCGTCAGCTCCCCTTGTCAGACTGTTTACCGTCGACTGACACGCCTCGACCGCGCAGCCGCATCAACAAGGGCGAGGGAGGTCCCGGATCGGCGACCGTCAAGCTCGTGCGCCTCGCAAAGGAGGCGGGCCCGCTCGGACTCTTTGCCGGCCTCGGGCCTCGTATCGTGCGTCGACGTCTCTTCTCTCCCCTCGCCGTCCTTGTCCTGCCGAGCCCCGAGGCCCGCCGGAACGAGTCCCTGACTCGTTCTCCCTGCTCCATCTTGCCACTTTCCTCCCTTTCACCTGCAGCTCATGACGGCCGGCCTCGTCAGCAGCCAGTTCCTCCTCTACGGCGCCATCAAGGATGCTCTGTGCGTCCCGCATTCTCTCCTCGTTTCCTCAAGTCCGCCCTCGAGCGACACCATTCCCCTCGTCTCGCGGCCCCAATCTCTCGACCGTGTTCCTCGCCCTCGGCCTCATCGATCTGCAGCATCGAGGACGTCGCTCTCGACACCGTTCCAGCACAGTCTGCAGGGCGAGGCGCACCCATCTCGACGCACCTCACTGACTGTCCCTCTCTCTCCCCGTTCCCCCTCGCAGCGGCGCCGGCAAGGGCGTCGAGATCCACAAGGACTAGGGCCCGAGCAAGCTCATTTAGAATACCCTTACTTCCCCTCCCATTTCGTGTCACTAGAATGCCTGCGTTTGTGCCCTCTCGACTCGCGTCGTCCCCCGGATTCGACGGCAGCCTTGGCCGGGACGATTCGACTCTTGACGGGAGAGCACATCTGACGAGACGAGAGAGGCAAAAGCCGAGAGCAGGCTTAGACAGACGTGCCGCCGGCAGCTCGGGAAGGTCGAGCAGAGGAGGTCAGGAGAAGGAGGACCGAGCGCTCTCGGGAGGCTCTCTTCCGCTCGCTTCGACCTCCCGTCCCTCTCGTCGTCGGGTGCGCGAAGCATACCGAGCGAGCTGCTCTCGACGAGAATGGCCGAACGCAAGACTCGATGCGTGGAGTTCTCTCGGTCGCGTTCTTCTCTCGAGGCCCCGCTCGAAGCACTGCGCACAGATTCCGAATGCAAGGGGAACGAGGACAAGGACGACAAGGGTACGGGGCACTACTCGGCGACAAAGACGGCTGCGGCGCCCATGCCTGTGCGCGCAGGGAGAGAGATAGTTAGTGAGGCTGAGAGGGGAAAAAAGGCGGCGAGGAGGGACGGACCGAGGCCGATGCACATGGACGTGACGAGGATCTTGCCACCACGGCGGCGGATCTCGTGCAGGCCGGTCGCGACCTGGCGGGCACCGGTCTGTGGACGAGGCGAACGAGCGAGTCAGTTATTGGCTGCTCGAGAGGACCGTGCGAGAGCGGGGAGGGAAAGCGAGGACGCACGCAGCCGAGAGGGTGGCCGAGAGCAATGGCGCCACTGCGAGAGGAAGTGAGGGTCAATCGTCTGATCGTGGACGAGGGTGCGTGCTCGAGACGAGGAGAGAGAGAGAGAGAGAGGACGCACCCCTTGACGTTGACCTTGTCGTGCGGGAGGCCGAACGTGTCGATGCAGTACGCGAGCATGCTCGCGAACGCCTCGTTGACCTCCCACAGGTCGACGTCGTCCTTCGAGATGCCGCAGCGCTCGAGCACCTTGGGGATGGCGACGGTGGGGCCCTGTCGACGACGAACGCCGAGCAGCGAGGTCAGTTCCGGGCGCTCGAGGACACCGAGAGAGAGAGAGAGAGGAGGACGAGCGACGCACGATACCCATGATGCGCGGCGGGAGACCAGCAACCGACGTCGCGACGTGCTTGCCGAGGATCTCGAGCCCGAGCTCCTCGGCGCGGCGGCGCGTCATGAGGAGGACGCCGGCGACGCCGTCCGTGATCTGGCTCGCGTTGCCGCCCGTCGTCGTGCCGTTGCCCCACTGCGGGAAAGCCTTGCGGATCTTGCCGAGCGCCTCCTTGGTCGTGCCCGGGCGGATGCCGTCGTCCTTGGTGACGAGGACCTTGGTGCGCTGCGGCGTCGGGCCGCCGGCGGGTGCGGGCGTCGACGGGAGCTGGAGCGACTCGATCGGGAGGATCTCCTTGTCGAACAGGCCCGACGACTGGGCCTGGGCCGCACGCTGCTGCGAGATGGCGGCGAGCTCGTCCATGCGCTCGCGCGAGATGTTGAAGTCTGTCGAGGGGTCCGAGGAGGGTCAGTCGCGGCATCTCGCACGGCAGGAGAGCAGAGGACGCACCCTTGGAGACGTTCTCGGACGTCCAGCCCATCGGGTACTGCGTGTCCTTGGCGACCGGGTGGTTGAGAACCTCCTCGGCAAAGTTGTCGGCACCCTGCGAGAGCGACAGAGTCAGTCCCGTTTCCTGACCTCGTCAGGCCCTAGTCGAGCGTACCCTGTCCGGGCTGTGAGGCGGGCAAGGAGAGTCAGCTGCATCCGAGAAGAAAGTTGACGAGGAAGAGGAGGACGCACGTCGCGCTCATGCTCTCGAAGCCGACGGCGAAGCCAATGTCGATCTCGCCGTTGCGGATCTGGCCAGCGACGTGCGAGACGGCCATGAGGCCCGACGAGCAGAAGCTGCGAGAGACGTGCGAGAGTCAGAGAGGTCGCTCAAAAGGGAGAGGGGGAGAGGGTGCACGCACCGGTTGATGATCTGGAGGGGGACCGTGTCGGGGATGCCGGCCGCGAGAGCTGCCGCACGAGCGTCGTAGGGCGCCTTGGGCGGAAGGACGGTGCCTGCGGGAGCGAGTCGAGGTCAGGGCGACGCGGACGAGGCTGTGCGGCGGGGGGAGGAGGACGCACCGACGGTGATGTCGCCAATGAGGGCCGGGTCGATCTTCATCTCGGGAATGGCCGTCTGCGAGCACGATGCGCATAAGTACGGGGCTTCAGGGGCGAGAGGGGAGGATGCCGGCGCGCCTTGAAGAAGGCAATGAGAAGCTCCTGGACGCTCATGTCCTTGAAGCCGCCCTTGCGTGCGCGCTGCATGGGCGTGCGAGCAGCCATGGTGATGACGACTGCGTTCAGGCAAGAGTCGGTCAGTGTGCTGCTGTCGAGGGCCTGCGAGGGAGGCCGGCGGGGAGGGGAGGGGGGGGAGCGAGGGCGCACCATCGTCGGGGCTCTTGCGCAGGAGCTTGCTCTTGCCCGTGCCGCGGATCGAGTCGATGGTGGAAGAGATGAGGCCAGACATGTCGTGCGTGTGTAGCAGAGAGGGTGAGGAGCGAGAGAAGCGAGGGCGAGTCGAGCCATCGTCGGCTCCCCGCGCCGCGGCGCCTGAGAGCCGGAGAGGCCGGACGCGGACCGGGTCTCTCGCTCGCTCGCTTCGACAGGGCCTGCCCTCGGGCCGACTCTCGTAAGCGAACGCCTGCGAGAAGCGCACGTCCCCGAAGCGAGGCGGCCTCGGGACCAACTTTCCGCTCGAGCCGCGGCTCGCTCTCGCACTCTCGTCAGCTCTCTCTCTCTCTCTCCCTCGGTCTCTCGCCGGCAAGGTCTCGTGCGCCCGGCATGCCCTGCAGGCCGACAGGGACGAGAGCGCCGAGAGCGAAAGAGTGGCGAGGAAGAGAGCCGACTCGCGACCCGGTGGGAGGAAGAAAGACGACGGCGGCTGGTGTTGCAACAACAGGGTGGGTACGGCGGGCAGGAATACGACTGCGAGGGCGAGAAAGAGTGTCAGGGTGTGTGTGAGAAAGCGAGAAAGGGAGAACCGAGGACGTACAAAGGAGGATGCACGTCTACTCGAGGACGAAGAGGCCGAGAGCGTAGTACTCGCGCTTGGACGACCCGGGCTGCTCGTCGAGCCACACCATGCCGTCGTCCATGAGCGCCTTCTCGAGCGCGCGCTCGACGCGGTCCAGGTCCCACGGCCCGGCGCCCTTGTCGTCGCGCGCCGTGAACGCCTGCACGTCGTCGCGCGTGACGGCGCCGCGCCCGTTGGCCGACGCCGCCTCACGACGACGAGCGAGTCGCGGTCGAGCCCACCGGGGCTGCACCGCACGACCTTCTTGCCGCCGACCGACAGGATGGCGTACCCGCACCCGAGCGGCTCGAGGGCCTCGATGGCGCGCTGCACGTCGGCCTCGGTGATGGTCGCCTCGCTCGTCGTCGTCGCCGCCGCACCGCCTGCGCCCTTCTTGCCGCCGCCCTTGCCCGCCACCGTGGTCGAGCCCGCGGCGCCGCCGCCGCCGCCTGCTCCTCCTCCTCCTCCTCCTCGCAGCTTGACCACCTCGCGGATGACCTCGTCGAGGGCGACGAGCCCGCCGCTGCGCTCGCGCACGCGCAGGCACACGTCGACGACCTGGACGCCGAGCGCGTAGTACCAGTCGCCGACGCCGATCTTGTCCCACAGGCCTTTGGCGCCGCCGCCGAGCGGGTCGACGCCGAGCTCGGCGCACAGCTGCGAGAAGTGGGACCGGAACGTGGGCGAGCTGAGGATCTTGGCGCGGTGCTGGGACGAGAAGGTCGACAGCGCGGCTTGGAACGTGGCGAGTTGGGACGACAGCGAGGCCGACTGCTGGGCCGCGAGCGAGGTGCCGAGCGAGTTGTACGACTGCGACTGGTCGAGGTACCGCTCGAGCGAGCTCAGCCCTGCGGCTCGCCGTGACATTGGCGAGGCGGGCGGGCGAGGGCGAGCGTGTGGCAGGAGGGAGAGCGGACAGAGGAGGGGGGACGAGGTCGCTGATGAGGCGGAGGTGGGGAAGCCTTTTCCAGCACAGCTCTCGCGCAAAATTGCGCAGCGAGATCACGACCAGTACACTCTCAGAAGCCCAGAGCTGCGCACGACGCGCAGAAGCAAGAGGGTCAAAGTACAGCTCTCTCGAAGCTGCCGCCGCCCATCCTCGAGCCAGCGCGACCAAAGTACGGACCCTGCACTGCACGACCGACCCTCTACTTGCCCTCGTCCTTGCCCTCGCCGCCGACCGTCGCCCTCCTGAGCGCCTGGAACGCGTCGCTCTCGTCGACGTCGACCCCGAGCGCGACCGCGTCGCGCGCGAGCGCCTCGACGTCGAGCTGCATCTGGGCCTTGACGCGCTCGTCGTCCGAAGGCCCGTCGTCGGCCGGTGCGCTCGACGCGGCGCGACCGAAAAAGCTGAGCCCTTGGCGGCCCTTCTTGAGCCACCGCAGCGAGTCCTCGGTCTTCTTCTGCGTCGAGAGGATGGCGGCGTAGCTGCGGGTGCAAAGGACGAGTCAGTGACGCTGGACGCAGAGTTTCCGAGTGAGAGAGAGAGAGAGAAGAGGGACGCACCGCCCAGCAATGTCCTCGACGACGACCGTCGCCCATTTCCTCCTCGTCTCGTCGTCGACGACCCTGCCCGGCCCGCCCGCGTACGCCCTCAGCTCCTTGAGGATCGAGTGCACAAAGTAGCTCGGCTCGCTCGGGCCTTTGCGGGTCGACGCGCGGACCTGGCTCGCGACCGAGCGCACGAGCTTGAGCGGCTCGACCGAGCGCTTGATGAGGATCGTCGTGATCTGCGACGAGAGGGACGGCACGAGCGACGTGAGGGCCGAGAGTGACTCGCGCATGACGTCTGCGCGCGTAGAGAGGGCAGGCGGGTCAGGTCCAACTTGATCGGCTCTGCGAGGAGAGGATGGGAGGAAGGGAGGGAGAGAGAGCGAGGGGCGCACCTGCAGCGTCGGCCTGGTCACCATCAGGAAGCTTGGCGCGGATCCTCGTCTCGAACAGCTCCATGATGCGGCGCTCCATCGTGACGGCGTCGGCGACAAGCACCGTGAGCTGCCGCAGCGTCGTCTCCTCCGACACGTCGTCGGTCCCGGCGACGGGCGTGCTGCTCGGCGTGCCCGGGCGAGTACTGCTGGCCGAAGGAGCGAGCTGCATCGAGAAAGATGTCAGACTGGGAAGGGAAGAGAGAGAGGGAGAGAGAGAGCGCGAGAGGAGACGCACCCGACTGCGGTCGCCCTCGAGGCCGGACAGGTTGGCGTTTGACGGGCTCGACGGGAGGACGTAGCGCGGCACGTTGTCGTTGAGCCACGTGCGGTACCGGCTGATGATCTGTGCGATAAGAAGTCGGCCGTGTATCAGTGCCGGGACCTCGAGGCGGAAGGACCGACCGAGAAGGCCTGCGAGCCGGACGCACCTGCAGCGTCAACCTCCAGAACCTGCCCGACAGCTCCTCGAGCCACACCTCGTCGTCCCAGCACCTTGCGACAGCCCTACACACGGCCTCGCTCTCGCTCATGACCCACCCGTCGGCGCCACCGCCGCTCGCGCTCCCGACGTCGAACGCGCGCTCGACGTGCGTGACGGCGTCCTTGAGGCGCAGCTGGAAGTAGACGGGGAGCTGGAACCGCTTGAGGAGGGCGACGAGGGACGGGTGTGCGCGCAGCGAGGCGAGGCGAGGGAGGGTGGGCGAGAGCGACTCGAGGCGCGAGATGAGGGCCGTCGTGAGGAGGTAGTTCTGCGACATCAAAGTCCACATGCGGAGCGTCAGGACATGGCACTCGTACGAGGAGCACGCTGACGCAAGGCTGAGGACCTCTCGGGACGCACCTGGTGGAACACGGCCGGCCGGCCCGCCGCGAACACGACGCTGCCCAGCTCGCCCATCAACGCTGTCGCGACCTCGTCGACGACGACGTTGGCGAGCACCTCGAACCCATGCACGCGCTCGTCGTCCTGCGCCTCGTCCTCCCCCTCTGCGCCTCCCGCCGCCTCTCCCGACCCCGACCCCGAAGTCGCCGGGTCGGGCACGGCGACGTCGGCGAGCACGCGCTCTGCGACGTCGAGCACGACGCCGCACTCGGTCGAGACAAAGCCGAGGACGCGGTTGTACAGCGCGGCGAGCTGCGGCGCGCCAGCCGCCGTCGACGACGACGACGACGACGAGGCGTCGGCCGGGCTCGGGACCGGCAGCGGCTCGAAGCGGTACGGGACCGGGACGTGCGCCGCGTGCGACGCCGGTGCTGCCCCTCCTGCTGCTGGCGCCGGCGCCGCCGAGGTCGAAAGAGCGTCGCGGTGGATGGCGCGGCGCGTGAACGGGCGCACGACCTCGGTGCGGATCAGGTCCTCGGCCCGGTCGACGAGGCCGAGCGACGCGAACGTGCGCAGGGCCGTCGTGAGCTCGTCGCGGTACGAGGGCGCCGAGGGCGAGCCGGCGAGGATGGACGACAGGAGCGACGACAGGTCCGAGTGGAGGGCCGCCGTGGTGCGGTCGATGCGCTGCGGGTGGGGTACGTGGGGTCAGGACGGTCGGTGGACGCGAGGTGGGCGAGAGAGGGACGCACAGGTTGGAGAGAGTGGACAAAGGGCAGGTCGCCTGCTCGCTCGACAAGGTACCGCATGTGGGTGTACTCGCTCGCGACGCGCTCGAACCGCTTGGCGGGCGAGTCGACCGACCTGCGAGGGGGGAAGGAGAGGGCGAGGGTCAGTCGCACGCCCTCGCTGAGGCTCGAGAGAGAACGGAGGACGCACATGTCGATGGCGCGTTCCTTGTCGGAGCCGTCGCCGAGCCGGAGCAGGCCCTCGACCTTGTCGACGGCGTCCTCGGTCGAGAGGAGGCGCCTCATCATGGCCTTGCTCTCGCGGACGTCCTTGCGCTCGTCGAGGACGCGGCTCATGTCGGAGCGCATGTCGTCGAGCTGAGCGCGGACGCGCGTCACCTCGCCGCGGATCGAGAGGACGGGGCGGCGGATGGTGGCGAGCGACTGGGCGACGTTGGCGTGCTTGAGGCCGAGCGAGAGGCCGATAAAGGCCTCGTACTCCTCGTTGATGACGCCGACGAGCGAGGTGCGGAGGGTGGCGAGGTAGGCGCGCAGCTCGGAGCGCAGGTCGTCGAGGGGCGTGTGTCGGCGCTCGAGGAGGAAGGCGCTCGCGTCCCAATGTGGGCCCGTGAGGACGTCGTGGCTCAGGGGCGGGGCGAGTGGGAGGTCGAGGTCGGGCGCCTCATGGTCGCGGTTGGCGTGGTCGAGGTCGGCGGTCGAGAGGAGGGTGGTGAGGGTCGGGCGGTGGGCCTTGACGAGCGGAGCGGGCGGGGCGAGGTCGGATTTGTTGTCGGGTGCGGTCGAGGGGTTAAAGGGGTCCTCGAGGGCGTCTTGGGCCATGCCCGGCGGGGCTTGCGCGGGGTGGGTCCCGAGTTGCAGGAGCGGGGAGATGAGGGTGCGAGTCGAGGTGGGGACGAGGGGGTTCGCTCGTTGGAGCGCGTGTTGGTTGGTCGATGCTCGAGAGGTACCGACTGAGCTAGTGAGAGCTGTCCCAGGCCAGGCTGTGCCGAGCGAGCGGTGTGAAGCGGGACCAAGGTCGCGTCGTCGCTCTCCCCGCTCGACTCGCCTCGACAACAGCGACGACGATGCAAGGGATTGCCATTACCGACCTCCAAGGGTCCGTCCTCTTCACCCGCTCAAGGACATACCCCGACCAGCTCACCCTTGTCCCTCGTCCAGGCGCCGCATCCTCTCGACCCACTTCCCCTCGTCCCTGTCGACCGCGCTCGCCATCGACGCCGCCGTCCAGAGCTCGCATCCAGTCGTGTGGGTCCCTGCACCACAAGCTGCTACCGCCTCGGCCCAACTCGAAGGCGACTCGGACCAAGATGACGACGACGACGACGACGAGCAGCCTTGGGCCGACTCGGCTCGTCGCACCAGCAGCTCGACGCGAACTGGGCCGAGCGGCGTCGCAGTGTGCCACATCCAACGCAATGGCCTGCGCTACATCGCCCCCGTATCGCGCGACAGTGCGTCCTCGCCCCCTCCCTTGCCTCCCTCCCCCACTTGGCCTTGCCTTGCTGACCTCGTCCTCCCGGGCCCCACAGTCGACCCGCTCGTCCCGCTCACGTTCCTCACCGAGCTGCACGAGGTCCTGCAAGCCTACATCGTCGGCCCCGTCACCGAGGGCAGCCTCAAGGTGCGCCTCGAGCCTCCCTCGCCGTCCCTCCCTCCCCACCCGTCCCGCACAAACTCACCTCGCGCTCCCACACACAGGACAACTTTGACGTCATCCTCGCCCTCCTGCACGAGATGGTCGCCGGCGGCCGGCCCCAGCTCTCGCAGGCCTCACAGCTCAAGGAGCTCGTCGTCCCTCCCGACTCGCAGCTCCTCAAGGTCGCCCTCAACGCCGCGACCGCAGCCGGGTGCGTCCTCTCTCTTGCGATTCGGCGCACCCGCCACTCACTGACTCGGTCGAGCGCGCGCAGCATCACGATGATCCCGCCGCAGACGACGGCCAACGCGCTTATCGCGTCGCCCTTGCCGTGGCGGCGACAGGGCATCAAGTACGCCTCGAACGAGATCTGTCCGTCCTCTCCCTCTCCCTCCCCCCTTTCCGCTCTCTCCTCCTCACTGACCCACCCCGTCCCCGCAGACTTTGACCTGTCGGAAACCCTGTCGTTCACCCTGTCGCCATCGGGCACGCCCCTGTCGGCGTCGATCGCGGGCACGCTCTCGTGCCGGTCGCGCCTCAGCGGCATGCCCGACCTCGCGCTGCACTTTACCGACCCGAGCGTGCTCGACGAGAGCTGCGCGTTCCACAGCTGCGTGCGGTACGCGCGGTGGAAGAAGGACCGCGTCGTGTCGTTCGTCCCTCGTGCGCTCGAGCCCCTCTCTCCCTCTCTCTCTCGTCGCGAGCACAGAACTGACCCTGCTCGTCCCTCCCACCCGCGCATCCGCAGCCGACGGCACCTTCCCGCTCCTGTCGTTCCTCCACACGCCCCCCTCGACCACCCCAGCGCTCGCGCTCGCGCTCCTCCCCCTCACCCTCTCGTCCACCCTCACCCACGGACCCCTCGGCGCCGCGTTCCACCTCGCCCTCACCTCGCGCGCCAACCCGGCCCACCCGCTGCGCAACGTCGAGGTGCGCGTCCCGCTCGCGCGAGGCGCGAGCAACGTACAGGCCCAGGCGAGCGGCGGCGCGTACCTGCGTGACGAGGGCGGGCGCGCGGTTGGCGGTGGCGCCGGCGCGTGGGAGGTCGTCTCTGAGCTCCTCGAGGGGGAGGGCGCCGGGGAGGAGCGGCAGACGCTCGTGTGGAGGATCGAGAGCTTGGGCGCGACGGACAGGCCGGCCGTCCTCTCGGGGCAGTACTTGACGTGCGTCCCTCTCTCTCTCTCGCTCTCTCCTCACCCCTCTCCTCTCTCCATCGCCCGGCGTGGCCTGACGCGCCCCCCACACCCGTCACGCCACAGCGCGCCCGAGTCGCGCAAGCCGCCGGCGTTCACCGTCACGTTCGACACGCCGTCGACGGCGTTTTCGGGCCTGCGCATCAGCGCACTCAAGCTCGTCGGCGAGCCGTACAGCGTGTACAAGGGCGTAAAGAGCAGTGCGAGGGGCGTCGTGGAGGTCAGGACGGGCTGAGCCCGGCGCGCGAGAGGGCGAGGGCGAGGGCGAGGGCGTGTGAGGCGGCGAGGAGGGGACGCCGGCTCGCGAGGGGGCCTGCAACGCCGAGTGCGGGTCGCTCTCGCTCTCCTTGCCTCTCGCGCTCGAGACACACACACAGAGAGAGAGAGAGAGAGAGAGAGAGAGAGAGAGACCGAGCGCGAAAGCCGGACTCGCTCTGGCGAGAACGAGGTAGACGGTATGTGCGAGTTGCAGGAGCGCTCGGGTGCCCCGTCGTCACTGGGCGCCGTACATGTCGTTCAGGAGGCGATACAGCACGGACGAGGGGTGTCCACCACTGCGAGCGAGCGAGCGAGAGGTCAGGGCCCGTGCGCACGACGCAAGAGAGAGAGAGAAAAAGAAGAGGGACGACGGCGACGCACAGGTTGCTGATGTACAAGCTGACGAGGTCGGCGGGCACGACGTCGTAGTACGGGTTGAGCACCTCTGTCTCTTCTGCGTCGAGCTCGCCGAGGCGCTCGAGCGGGTCGAGGACGCAGCGTTCGGTGCTCGCGAGGACGACCTCGGGGCTGCCCAAGTCGCGCATGCCCCAGTCGGCCTCGCCGAGGTACACGGGCGAGAACTTGAACATGCCCGCGACGGCGACGACGGGGACCCGCATCCGGTTGGCGGCGAGGCACAGCGGGAGCGAGCCCGACAGCGACAGGAGCGCGCCGTCGGCGAGGACGACGTGCGGGCCGACGACGACTTTGCTGCACCGCGGCAGGAGCGCAAAGATGTTCGAGTCGGGGATGAGGATGGTCGGGATCCCGGCCGACGACAGGGCGAGGGCGTGCGTGCGGCCAGAGAAGCTGTGCGCGAGGCAGGAGGGGGGATCGAGTGTCAGGTGCTGCTGCGCTGCGACGCGGCCGAACGAGGGGGCGAGCGAGGGACGCACGAAGGAGCCGTCTCGGCGACGATGACGGTGAACTTGCGCTTGCGCGCCGCGTGCTTGAGGAACGCCTCGACCGTCTTCGAGTGCCCGATCGTCAAAATGAACTCGCTGCGAGAGGGGAGAGGCGGCCGGTCAGGGCCCGTGCGTGCGCGCGACGAACAGACTCGGAGAGCGAGCGAGGGACGCACCCAGAGTGGATGTGGTCGGTCGACTGCTCGCCGACGCTGCGGTACGTCATCTCGACCTCGTCCATGAGCTCCTGGATCGCCTCGATGAAGACGGGCTTGAGGTAGAAGCTCCGCTTGGAGAACTCGTGCTCGCGCGGGAGCGCACCGCCCGCGCCCGCGCCCGACGTCGTTGCCCCGCCGTCGCCGAGGCTCGAGGTCGAGTAGGTCGACAGGAGCGGGTTCGGGCGCTGCTGCTGCGGCTGCGGCTGCTGCTGCGGCGGCGGCGGCAGGACCTGCGACGACGACGGCGAGTGGCCCTGGACGGGCGATGCGGGCGCCGACGACGCCGGTGTCGTCGCCGCCGACGAGTTGAACCCAAAGCTCGCCGCGCCCGGCGCGAGCGCGCTCGGGACGGCACCGCCGGCCGCCGTCGGCGCCGGCTTGTGCCCGAGGAGGTCAAAGAAGCTGCCGAGTGCGGCGCCCGGTGCGCGGGCGCCGAGGTCGTGCTCGCCGTAGTACGAGCTGCTGCCGAGGTCGCGGCTGAGGGAGGGCGTTTCGGGCGGGACGGTCGGCGTGTGCGAGCCCGAGGGGGACGAGGGCCCAGCCTCGTCGAGGTGGTTGGCGAGCGCCGTCTGGTACTCCTCGCGGATGAGCATGCAGATGCGCCGCGTCATACTCGTCACGACGAGTTCTGCAGGGGTGGGGCAGGTCAGCCTCTCGAGTCGGAGAAGGAGAGGGAGAAGGAGAGGGAGAGGCGAGGACGCACCTTTGGGCCCAGCCTCCTGCAGAACCTTGCCGACCTCGTCCAAGTGGGCGACGAGCTGCTCAAACGAGCTGAACTTGGCGCTCGCGACCACCTCGCGAAAGAGGCGGATGACCTCGAGCGCGACCTCCCTCGAGCCGATGAGCTGCCTGTTGGAGGGGGCGGTCAGCAACGCTCGTGTGAGTGTGAGAGGGGGGATTGGGCGCCGGGACGCACCTTCGTCGAAGCCGGGTCGCGAGGGCGTCGATCCTGCGGTGGATGCCGTGCTTGGAGACGTCGCCCGTGAGCATGGGCTGATGGGGCGGAGGAGGCGAGGTCAGTTTGGCTCGTGCCGAGGCGAGAGCGGGACGCACCATGTTGAACCTCGCTGGAGAGTGTAGCTCGAGCTTGAACGGGGCGAACCAGGCGAGAGGCGGAGCGGGAGAAGTGGGGACGAGGAGCTCTCTCCGCTCTCCGACGACGCTCGCGGCAGAGTCGCTCGAGGCTCCTCTCGCTGTCCGCTCAGCCAAGCGACACACACGCAACGGGACAGCTCCCGTCTCTTCTCCAGGGTCGCGCCGCCAAGGGAACAAGACGCTGCAGCTCTCGCACCTCGTCTCAACTCGGACCTGCTCGCGCTTAGATCTCTCGTCGTCGTCGCTGCAGCTCTCGAAGCCGCGTTTCAACGTCGCGGCCGTCGTGTCGAGCGGGCGAGCATGCTCTCGGTCTCGGCGGGCCGGGCCTCTCGGCGGGACGTGCGCGCGAAAGAGAGAGAGAGAGACAAAGAGACGTCGTTGCAGGCTTGTCGCGAAGCGCACGAGCGGGCGCACCGCGACACAGCGCTTGAGAGCGGTGAGCATGATCCTGTGTGCGTCGAGACGAGGTGTCAGTACTGCCGCCCCTGGACTCGCTCCTCGGGGTGCAGGTACGAGGGAGGGCGACGACGACGGCGGTGGGGGGTTGGGCTCAGCGGCATCTTGCCACAATAGGTGTCATCAACGGCAGGTCCTCCCTTGCGGGGGTTGCGGCTGAGCAGTAAGACTAATCGTAGAGCATCATGGCCGGGGACGGGGCGTGTGCGCGGGCGCGAAGGAGGGAGGAGGGAGGAGGGGAGGGGAGGGGAGGGGGGCGGCGCGAGGAGGGAGGCGGGACTCACGAGAGTTGAGGCTGGAGGACGCAGGATGTCGCGGCGGCCGACGTAGGTGAACGGCGGGTCGAGGGCGAGCGAAGCTGCAGGTCGAGTTCGAACGAGGCGAGGTGGCCGGCGGGAGCGTGTCGACGGTCGCTCGGCTCGGCTCAGCTCGAGCAGGACCGGGCGTAGGCGAGGTTGAGCTGCGTCGAGAGCTGGAGCTGTGCACGGCGCGACGAGGAACAGTCAGTGAACCGGCTCGTCGAGGAAACGGAGTTCGGTGCTCGTCGTCGTGCCGCCGTCGGGCGACGTGGTGGGCTCAGGATTTTCAGTGTATGTGTTGTGTTGTGGTTGAGAGGCCCACATAGGCGGGCGGGCGCAGAGCGAGTCATGCTGGGTGCCCGCTCAAGGGAAAGAAACGTTCTCGTCGTGGCCGTGGGAAGGGAGAGAGGAAGGGGAGGGAGGGACTGACCGAGCAGTGGAGAGAGAGGGTGGGAGAGGAGTGCGAGAGTAGCAGAGACGAGCACGACAGCGGGGGTCGAGAGTGAGAGGTAGGAGGGAGGCAAGAGGGAAGAGGAGGACGGAGAGAGAGCTCGCCTCGGTCGCGCCAGCCGCAGCCTCGTCGCCTCGCCGCCCCGTCCTCCCACCTCGCCCCCTCCTAGCCCCCGACCGACCGCACCGCCCAAGCAGCCATGCTCTTCTCGACTGCCCGCTCGGCTCTCCGCGCCCAGGTCCGCCACGCCTCGTCGTCCTCGTCGGCCTCGTCGGCCCAGGCCACCGCAGAGGGCGCAGCCCACAAAGGCCCAGCAGGCGCCGCTTCCGCTCAGCAGTCGCCTCAAAGGCCCTCAACGGCATCTCGAGCCGCGTCTCGAACCTCCTCGGCGGTCCGTCGTCCCTCTCTCTCTCTCTCTGCCTCGTCGTGGTTCGTCGTCGGGTGACGCCGCACGGGCGTGCTCCACTCGGCGCACGACCTCGAGCATGTGCACACCGACTGACCACTCGCACCGACACACAGCCTACCGCGAGCCCGTCGTGTACAACGTCCGTCCCCACCGCCCCTCGTCGTCGCGGCGACCCACGACTGACTCCCCTCCCCTCGACCCTCCCTCATCACTCCCTCACCTCCCCACCGCCTTTCGCACCTTTGCCCCCCCCTCGACCGACCCGCACACAGGCCCAGGTCGCAAAGGAGCTCGCCAAGCAGGTCTACGTCGCCGAGAAGATGTCGCCCCCGTCGTTCGCCCAGGTCTCGTACACCTGTCCGTCCTCTCTCTCTCTCTTCCTCTTCCTCGGGAGCACGACACTGACTCTGTCTTCCGCCATTCTCTCTGTCATACCGTCCCGCCGATCCCGCCGATCCCGCACAACCCGTCCCTGCGCCTTCCCTCCTTCCCCTCCTCCCCCTCCTCCCTTCTTCTCGCCGCGCCCGCCGCTCCCTCAGTCCGCCAGTTTGCCCACAACGCGCCCAACATGTCGTGGTGGGGGTCCATGCTGAGCAACGGGGCCTACAAGCGCGTCCTCGTGTACGCCATCGAAGCCTACGGCATCTTCAAGATTGGCGAGGTCTGTCGCCGTCTCCCAGCCGCCCCAGGGCTTCCCCCAGCGCTCCCGCGCACAGTCAGACAGCGCACTGACACGCACAACTCGGTAATGCACCCGCAGATGGTCGGGCGGAGGCACGTCGTTGGTTACCGCCTCGACGAGGATCGCTACGCCAAGTTGTGCGTCCAGAGACCTCCTCCTCGTCCTTCTGTCGCTCCCGACACGCCCGGTACTGACTCTCGAGTGACACAGGACGTAAACGGGGGCGAGGTGCTGTAGCTGTTGGGCCGGCAGGGCGGGCGAGGGGGCGGGGGGACGCAATGCCAAAAGTGCGTCTGTGGGCAGGCAGTTCTTCTTCTCTCGCGGTCCCTCTCAAGAGGACAAGGACTGACACGACGAGAGGAAGGTAGAGAGACCTGCAGTTGCGAGATCGATCGAGAGAGAGAGACAGAGAGGGAGTGCGACAGCTACAACTCGTCGCGCCCCGCCCGAGAAGTGTCCATGACCTGCGCGCCCCCCCTCCCCGTTGCGCGCGCACATCCTTACGCACACAGCGCATCGAGGTCCTCGACGCGCTCGACGACGCCCCCACGGACGATCCTGCGCCCCTTTACGCGCTCGAGCCCCTCGCCCGCGTAGCTCACGAGCGGGCTCAGCTCGACCCGCTCGCCCTCGGGCAGCTCGACCCTCGCGCCGGCCTCCTCGAGCCACCTTTGCTGCTCGGCTTCGAGGTCCCGAACGCTCGTCTCTGGGCAGTCGACGCCCGACCCGGGCGCGTTCTTGAGCGGCGAAAACTCGCGCCGGCGGTCCACCTCGAGGAGCGCGAACCGCTCGGCAAACGCGAGCACGTCAAACACAAACAGCTCGAGCTTCAGGCCGTTGGGCGAGGTCGGCTTGACCACGGCGCCCGATGGCGATGAGAGGTCGACGTGCGGGATCTTTTTGCGCGCAATGTGGAACGGCATGTCGCTCTCGTCGAGCGCGCACACGCGCTCGAGGAACGCGCGCGAGAAAAAGTGGTTGGCGACGTTGGCGGCCCGGAACGCGAGGTCGCCCTTTGCGTCGCCCTTTGCGTCGCCCTTTGCGTCGTCGTCGAGGCGGCGCTCTGCCATGGCCTGCGAGATCTCCGAGTACTCGACGACGGCGTACTTGCCCTGTTTGACGGCGACGACCCCGACGCTCTCCTTGGGGTCCGTCTTCTTGACCACCTTGACGCCGCAGTCGGCGTCGCGCTGCGCGCAGAAGCCGACGAACGTCGGGTCGGCAACGCGCACGAGGCAGTTGTCGACGCCGTAGCAGTGCACGTAGGCGATGCCGCGGCGAGCGAGGTCCGACAGGACGGTCGGGGCACCGTCTTGGGCCACCGCCGACGACGACGACAGGGGCGCGCGCAGGGCGGCGTACAGGCCGCCGTTGCCATCGGGTGCGACCGCGACCGACGAGGGCGAGTCGAGGAACACCTTGCCGTCGTCGGTCAGGCACGGGAGGACGCCTGCGCAGGGTGGATCGTGTCAGTGTGGCTGCTGGGAATGACGAGTACAGAGAGAGAGAGAGGGGGACGGACCCTGCTCGAAGAAGACGACGTTGTCCTTGCGCAGGCCAAAATAGTCGTGCTCCTCGAAGAACGCCTCGGTCGGCTTGCGCGTCGGCCCGCTCGTCATGATGTACCACGGGACCTCGCCCTGCTTGTCGCCGTCACCGGCGCTCGTCTTGCCCTCGTTGGCGTTGAGCTCGAGGCGGCGGATGCGCTCGGCCTGGAGCTGGAACAGGCTCTTTCCGCTCGCGAGCCCAATGTTGTAGCAGCCCTTGGGCGCCGAACTGCCGAGGCGAGTGCCCTGGCCGCCGGCCATGAGGACGACGGCGACCTTGCCCTCGCGCACGGCGGCGAGCCCGGCGGCGGTCCACTCGGCGGCGTCGCGGTCGCGACCGATGACCGACTCGGAGTGGTCGGCGGGAGGAGGCTCGATGTCGTCGGCGGTCGACGCGGCGGCGTCCTTGTCGGCCTGGAGGGCGGCGGCGTGGATGCCGTTGACCCGCGTCGGGTTGATCGACTCGAGCTGGCGGTACAGCGACGCCTGGTCCGAGGGAGAGAGCTGGTTCCAGAACGTGAAGACGTGGCCCTGGCCGGCCTTGGTCCAGCTGTTGCGGAGTGCGTCGACGTCGTGTGCGGCAGGGGCGGACATGGTCGTTGGTGGGCGAGGGTGCGAGCGAGAGGAGGGGAGAGGCGGTGACGGGAGGGTGCGGTCTGCGAGGTGGGGGGCACTGTGTCAGCGGCGGTGGTCGGGAATGCGTTCCAGGCGTGCCCTGCAAGGCTGCACAGTGCGCCAACGCCTCGCACACGGAGGTCGACGAGAGATGAGGCGCGTGGGTTGGATGACGAGAGGGGGCGACTCACAGGCTGTCGGCGAGCTGCTGGGCGGGTCGGGGCTGGTGGTGGAAGGTCGCTGAGCGTGCTGGGTGCGCGACTGGGCGTGTGCGAGGTGGTGGCAGAGAGCGAGCGTCGTTGGTCGTCGAGGCGCGTCGTCGTCTCCTCGTTCGTGGCCACCCTCTCTCGGCGTCACACACTCTGCGTGGCACCACCAGCATGCCCGATTCACAGCCGCTCTCGCCTCCGCACCGCAGCACCCGCCCACGCCATGCTCCCCCTCCCCCTCGTCTCCTCGCCTCCCCACCTCCTCCTCGACACACGGCGACTCTCGAGCGGAAGGAAGGGAATGCGGCTAGAATGACAACAAGCAATGGCACTGCTACTGCGGCTCGCTTCGGCGAGCGAGGCGAGAGAGGAAAGCGACAGAGAGAGAGAGAGGGAGACGAGGGACAGCGCGAGAGAGGGTGGCTAGAGCTTGCGCCACCGCGAGTCGCGCCGGGTTGCGAGCGACACCTCGCGGTCCTGCGGGCGCCAGCTCCCCTTGGGCACCAGGTTCGAGATCTGCGTGCGCACCGCGTCCTTGTGAGCGCCTGCCCCTCGAGAGCTCCCGAGAGGAAGACAGAGAGAGAGAGGAAGAACGAGGGACGCACGAGGTACCGCGTCCCGACGTCAAAGAAGCCGTCGCCAAACTTGTCGGCGTCCCACACGGTCAAGAGGGCCGAGCGGCCGGGCTGCTTGGTCGTCTCGCGCGCGTCGCCGACGCGCACCATGCGGAAGCACCGGATGTCGCGCGGCGGGTACTTGTCCTGCGGGCGTGGGCGCCCTTTGAAGTCAGGAACACGGGCGAGGACGAGGAAGGGGAAGGGGAGAGGGAGAGCGGAAGACGCACGGCGAGCTCCTTCTGCAGGTCCTCGACGCTGCGGTGGCGCGACTCGCGCGCGCGCTCGATGGCGAGCTCGAGGACGGCAGGGACCTGGGCGGCAGACAGGCGGTGGACCATGCTGCGGCGGGCAGAAGCGGTCGCACCCTCGAGGCGGTCGAGGACCTCGTCGGGCTCGACATCAGCTGCGGGCGAGGGAGGTGCGCACGAAGCGTCAGGCAAGGTCGACGGCGAGTAGAGGTGTGAGAGAGAAGGGACGTACGATAGGGAGAAGGACCCGAGTCGACCCCGACAGGCTCGAGCGCACTCGCCGCGTCGCGCAGCAGCTCGACGAGCTGGTCCTCGCTCGTGACGCCCGACTCGGCCTCGTCCGACAGCTTGGCCTCGATGCGCTTGCGACCGCGCTGCGAAGAGTGAGTCAAGAGGTAGGTACGGGCGCTCGTGCGGACGCGTAGAGAAAGAGAGAGAGAGGGAGAAGGCCCGGCGCACCTTCCACTCCTCGGCCCGGACGCGCTCTTCGTCCTCGCCCCACGTCTCGGTCCCCCTCCCCCTGCGCAAGTCGATGAAGCCGCACGCAAACGCGCGGTCAATGACGACGTCGACGAGCGGGACGAGGCCGCCGCCGGGCGAGAGGCTGCTCAGGCCGGCGACGAACGGCTCGCGGCGGAAGCCGAGCGTGGCGTGCCAGGGCGCGAGCGACGTCGAGTTGCCCGAGATGACGAGCTGTGTGACAGAGAGGCGTCAGGGCCTGTGCCCGAAGAAGGAGGAGAAAGAGAGAGAGGCGACGGGGTGCGCACCGTCGACGAGTGGAGCCCTTGGAGGACCTCGACGCCGTCGGTCGTGACGCTGTCCAGCTGCGTGTGCGGCCTGTCAGGAGGCGCGCGCGCGAGAGCGAGAGAGCGGGCAGGAGGAGGGACGCACCTTAGCGCCCGAGACAGCAATCTTGCTCCCGACGACGAGCTTGCCCCTCTCGCACGCGCGCTTGAGCGTCGCGTCGACGTTGGTCCGGATGCGGTACCACCCGTCGGTGAGCTCGAGGCCGACGATGACGAGCGAGCCGTTGTCGGCCTCGTCGGGCGGGTCGCCCCACCGGACCTGCGAGACGCACAGGACCATGGGCAGCGACGCGGGCGAGTCGCGCTCCTGGATGCGCTTGATGGCCGAGCGCTCGGCGCGGTTGATCTCGCGCTCGTACCTGTGCACGTCAAGAGGAAAAAAGTCAGTCTCGAGGCAACTTGAGCGAGGGCGGAAGGGACGAGGGAGAGAGAGAGAGAGAAGGGACGCACCGGTACCGCAGCTGCTCGACGACGCGCTCGAACGTCCACCAGTCGCCGAGGAGGTCGGGTCTCGAGCGGACGTAGCTCGCGACCTTCCACAGGATGAGCTTCCAGTGGTTCTTGACCCACGTGAGCGTGACGAGGTCCTTCTCGTCCGGGACGCGCGACGCGACGACGGCCTGCAGCGCAGCGAACGCGTCCGAGACGCCTCGGCCGCGAGAGAACGTGTACGACAGGCCAGACGTCGAGCTCATGTCGAGGACCTCCTTGGGGCTGCGCGCGGTCTCGAGGGCTTGTCAGTACACTCGAGGGATGCTCGGGGAGGCGAAAGTGGGGACGCACACGCCGACGGCCTCGGCAGCCTCGTAGAAGTGCATCTGCGGGTGCATGCCGAAGTTGCCGAGCGGGTGACGCTCGACCGAAACAGCTGCCGAGTGGGAGAGGTTCGTCAGGCTGGGTCGTCCTTCGAGGAGGACGAGGATGCGAGAGGTGGGCGCACCGTCGAGCTCAAACACCTTGACGCGGTCCCTCCTCGCGACGTCCGCCGCACTCGTGCTCGCCGCCGACGCCGGCGCCTTGACCGTGCTCGAGCCCGCCTTGACCGCCGCCGCCTTTCCCCTCGACGACGACGACGCCGGCGCGCCGGCCTTGTCCTTGAGGCCCATCGCCGTCAGGCCCGGGGGCCTCTGCCCGCCCCTGAACGGCGACACGAACGCTTTGACGCCCGTACTCGCGCCCCTCGCCCCCGCCCCCGCCGGGCTCGCCGCCGCGCCCTGCGTGTTGGCGAGGTGGAACGGCTTGTTGCGCGGCGTCATGCCGAGGTTCAGGCGCTTGTTCTGCGGCGGGAAGACGGGCGCCGGGGTCGAGGTCGACGAGCGGAAAGGGGTCGAGGCGGGCTGGGCGAAAGGGCGGAGCGGCGTCGAGCTTGTCGGGCGCGAGGGCGTCGAGGTCGAGGCGAGCATCGGGGGGCGGAACGTGACGGGGCGAGTCGGTGCGGGAGGGCGGACGGGGATGAGCGCGGCGAGCGCTGGGGCTGTTGGTGCGGGAGGAGCGAGGGCTGCCGCGGCGGGCCGAGGAGGGGTGGCCGCACGCGTCGGCGGCGGCGAGGACGAGTGGAGCGTCGTCGACGAGCCCTGGTCGTCGTGACCCTCGTCTCCCTCGCCAAAGACGTCCGCCGCCGGGCCGTTGACGGGCTGCAGCGGCGCCCGCCTCGGCGAGCCCGGCCTGCTCCCGTCCCTGCTCGCGCCCGACGCTGCGCTACTCGCCTTTGAGCGCCTCGTCGTCGGGCTGTCACAGCCCTCGGCACCGTCGACGAGGAGCGACGAGGGCGGCGCGAGGGCGGCGCCCTCGGGGCGCGGCGCTGGCGGCGCGAGCGCGAACGCCGACGCGGGACGAGACGGTGGACGAGCGCGTGCCGGCGCCGGCGAGCCCTCGAATACGTCACTCGACGGCTCGGTCGCCCTCGCGAGCGGCCGCAGCGGGTTGCGCTCGCGCTTGGCCGGCGCTTGGCCCGGCGTGTCGGGCCTGTCGAAGCGCGCTTTGGTGCGCTCGAGGGCCTCCTCGCTCGGCATCTGGAACGCGCGCCCTGCGCCGCTCTGGAAGCCGGCGAATGCGGGTGGCGGTACAGGACGCGGCGCCGGGATGGGCGAGGACGTGCTCGCGACGGGTGCCGCCGAGCCGGGCCGAGCGAGAGGCGTGGACGTGCGAGCTGGTGGGCCCGCGCGGGACGAGGCGGTCGCCATGTTGGGCTCGGGCTCGGCATCTGCGGCGGCCATGATAGCGCGCGCGCGCTGCAACGCCTGGTTCGAGATGACGAACGGCTTGCGCGTCGCGAAGAAGAGGCCGCCGCCCGTGAGCGACATGGCCGGGTCGACGCTCGCGAACCCAAAGTCGCTCAGGCGCGGCTCCGCGTGGTGCGGCGGCGGTGGCGGCGGCTGCGGCCGGGCGTCGTGCGTCGGGTGGTCGTCGTGGCGGAGCGGGGCGAGCGACAACGCCGAGCTCGGGAACGTGTCGGGCTGGTCGAAGCCGACTGCGACGCCGTCGAGCTCGAGCCACATGTCGTCGCCCTCGAACTCGTTGTCCTCGGCGTCGGCGTCGTCGAGGTCGGCGCTGCGGCGCCTGCTGCCGCCGCCCTTGTCGCGCTCGACATCGGCGAGCAAGCCCAAGCCCGAGTCGTCTGCGGCGCCTTCTGCTGCGCTCAGGTCGGCGTCGTCGGCCGTCATGGTGGCGCTCGTGGCCTCGCCCGGGTCGTTGCCGGCAGCGGGTGGTGGTGCGGGTCGATGGCCCGAGGCTGCCGGATCGGACGAGGGCAACATGCGGAAGTCGTCGTCGCCGAGGCCGTCGAGGAGGTCGTCGAAGGCATGGGTGCTGGTCGGGGCGGCGGCTGGCAGTTCACGCGGGCTGGTGTTGGGTGGGAGGGTCGGGGGAGGAGGTGACGCTGATGAGAGGCGAGGACGCTTGCGGAGCGGTGACGACGAGTCGTGGCGGGCGGGCGACGGCGTGAGGGACGACAGAGAGGACGATGCTACGCTGTGCGCGTCGTCTGGCTCCATCCTGGGCAAGTGGTGGCGAGGAGCGGTGTGTGGTCAAACAGATTCTGGCGCGAGACGACGCGCTGCCTCTCTCGCTCTCCTCGTCCGCCTGCACTGGAGCCGAGCTTGTGTGCGAGCTACGCGTTCGCAGTGTGCGACTCTGACGGGCCCTCGCAAAGCCGCCCTGCCGAGCTACTGTGCACCCTCTCCTCGTCGTCATCGGCGTCCGCCGACCACCTATCGCCAGAACGGCTCTTCCTTCTCTCGTACTCGCCTGCGCAACGCACCTGCTCATAGTCCCAGGTTGCACGAGCGAGAGTTGTACAAAGAGAGAGAGAGTGAGAGGGACCGGCAGCTCGACGAGGAGCGCACACAGAGGCGGGAAAGTGGGGACAGAGATCCTAGAACGACGGGCTCGGACAGGCGAGGGAGGGAATGCGAGGGTTGCGAAAGGGGTAACGAGAAGGAGAAGGTTGCGGGTGGGCCAAGAGCAGGCGAGAGGGTGGGACGAGGAGGAGGAGGAGAAGGACCTGCGGCGAGGGCAAGGCTGAGGGACGGCGACGACGAGCTCGACAGGCGCATGTTCAGGCCTTGGCGTAGCGCGACGACGCAGGGAGGCTCGCCTTGGTCGAGTACCGCGACGTTCCGATCGCCGTCGCCGTCGCCGACGACATGGTGCGCGTACGGGCTGTCGGCGCCGTCGACACGCTCGAGGGCGCCGCCGCCTTCTTCATCGGCGTCGAGATGCTCGGTGACGACCCGGACCCGGCGCCGTAGCTCGCCTGGCGGCCGCTCGACGTGGACGACGTGAGCGCCGACGACGAGCGCGACGAGCGCGACGGGATGGTGCTCTGGACGGCGTGCGCCCGCGCACCGGCGACGAACGGGTGGCGCATCGCCTGGTCGGGCTTGAGGCGACGTTCGGGGTCCCACGCGAGGCACTTGGCGATAAAGTCGACGAAGAGGTCGTCGTCGCACTTGAGGACGGCGGCGAGGCTCTTCGAGGATGGTCGGCGTCGGCGGCCCTTCGAGTTGACGACGGGACGAGGCGCACCAGTCGAGTCTGTTGCGAGGACGCTGAGCATGAGCGCTCTTGTCTGCGAGAGCGAGACGATGGAGGGACGCACCGAAGAAGAGGCGCTTGCGCGAGCTGCGGTCGACGAGGTACTTGTCCGGGACGCCCATGATCTCCATGATGCACGCGAGCTGCTCCTGCTCGTTCTCGCCAGGGAAGATCGGGTAGCCCGTGTACATCTCGGCGAGGATGCAGCCGAGAGACCAGATCTGTCGGCCAGGGGGGGAACGGGTCAGTAACGGACATGGAGAGAGAGAGAGGGAGGGAGGAAAGGAGAGGACGCACGTCGATGGCCATCGTGTAGTTGCTGCCGAGGATGACCTCGGGCGAGCGGTAGAAGCGCGACTGGATGTACGTATAGACTGAGGAGTGAGGGCGAGAGTGAGTGAAGCTCTCGGGTAGAGAGGAAGGGCCGGGCGACGCACCCTTCTCGTTCTCGAAGCAGCTGCTGCCAAAGTCGATGACCTTGATGCCGCTCTTGGCCGGGTGCTTGAGGAGGATGTTCTGCGGGGCGACAAGGAGGGCGAGGTGAGCGGGTGCTGCGGGTGAGAGGGAAAGAGGGCGAGCGAAAGATGGGACGCACCTCGGGCTTGAGGTCGCAGTGGATGACGCGGTGGTGCCGCAGGAGCGAGAGCGACTGGAGGATCTGGACGGCGAACCGGCGGATGAGGACGGTCGAGAAGCCCGCAAAGCTGTTGGCTTTGACGAGCTCGTACAGGTTGATGCTCAAGAGCTCGGTCACGATGCACAGGTGGCCGCGGAACGTGAACGACTCGACCATGCGGATGACAAAGTGCTTCTCGTCCGGGTCCTGCGGTCGAGGACGAGGGAGAGGTGAGCATGCCGTCGCAGTGGGAGAGGGGGGAACAGTGGACGGACCCATTTGACGAGGTTCTCGAGCACCTTGATCTCGACGAGGGCCTGGTGGTGGAAGCGCTTCTTGTTGCGGATGATCTTGACGGCGACCATGTCGCCCGTCTTGTGGTCGCGGCACTCGAGGACCTGGCCGAACGAGCCTTTGCCGAGGACGCCGACGACCTCGTACCGGAACTGGATGTGGTCGTGCATGACGAGCAGGTAGTCGCCGCGCTCGTCGTCGAACCCGTGGTTGTTGGTCGTCACCTCCTTGGTCGCCGGCTTCTTGTCGCAGTTGGGGCCGACAAAGTACACCTGACGGTACTCGGCGATCTCGTCGCGCTCGTACGGCGACAGGTACCGCGAGTACAGCGACACGGCGTCGTCGGGGCTCAGAGGCGGGAGCGGGTCGGTCGGCGCCGGGAACTCGAACATCTTGCGGACCGTGTCCTCGGGCGTGCCGGCGGCGACCTTCTTGGACCACTGGCGGCGCACGTACGCCGCCATCTCCTCGTCGGCGCGCGCCTCGTCCTCGTCGACGTACGTGCCGCTCGCCGCCGACGAGCGACCCGAGTCGGTCGCGCCCGAGGTCGGGCGAGCGCTGCCCGTCGCCGACTTGCTCACTCGGGTCGGGATCGCCATCTTGCTCGACAGGGTGCGGGTCGACCGCGACGACGACGCGGGCTCGACCGACTGGGCGGGCACAGACGTGCGGCGAGAGGTCGACGACGACAGCTCGCCCGGTTTGGGAAGGCTGCGGCGGGACGACGCCGTGACGGTCGCCGACGACGACGCTGCAGACACGTCGGCCGACGCACGCTGCGACGACGACAGGCGCGAGGTCGACGCCGAGAGCGACGGGACCCGAGCCTGGGCGTTGCGGAGCGGTGTCGCCGCCGGCGTGCGCTTGTCGAGGTCGGTGGCGGTGGCGGGGGCGCGTCGCTCGCGAGGGACGACCGTGCCGATGCGCGACGACAACGAGACAGGCTCGAGCGAGGCAGACGGCGCACGACTGGCCGACGACGCCCGCGACGTGCTGCTCCGGCTGCGCGGGATCTGCGACGTCGCCTCCGAGTCGAGCCTGCGCCTCGTCGACGTCGCCGTCACGCCGCTGCCGCCGTGCGACGACGCGACGATGCCGAACTCGCCCAGGTCGTTCTCGCCCTGGTGCTGCACGGACGACGACAGCTGGCCGTCGAGCTGGCTGCTGAACGAACCCACGCGACGCGGGCCCGGCTTGCCGACCAGCGAGCGACTCGTGGGCGACGCCCGGGCGTTGAGTCGAGGGATGCGAGTCGGCGTCTGCGACTTGGGCGGCGGGGTGCCGGTCGGCGACGGGTCGGTCGAGCTCGACGTGCTGCTGCCGGCACCGAGCAGGCCGTGCGTCGACGGCGAGCCCGCGATGGTCGGCAGGTTGGCCTTGACCGAGTCCTGGAGGCGGCTCGTGCGGGTACGGGGCGTGTTGAGCGAGCTCGCCGGCGCCGATGACAGCTTGGGGCCCGACGCCTTGAGCGGGTCGAGACGGCGCGTCGACGGCGGCAGAGGGTGGACTTGCATCGGCGGAAGCTGGACGGGCTCGGGTCCACGGAAGACGTCGCCCTGGTCGGCCGAGCTGAGCGTCTGCGTGGGGAGGAAGACGAGTCAGTCGAGGGCGGGAAGGGTCGAGACACGTCGTGCGAGCTCGGGGACGCACCTTGCCGCGCTTGCGCAGGAGAGAGCCGGACCGTTTTGGTGTCGCAAGGCTGGCCCGTCGGCCGAACTCGTCGGCCTCGACCTGCCTTGCGGCGGCAGGGCTTGACGACGCCGACGCGCCCGACCCGGTCGACGCGACCGAGAAGGTGGACCGTGTCGACGACGGCGGCGAGAGCATGCCCTTCTCCTTGTCGCGCTTCGAGCCGCCCGAGCGCAGGAAGTTGAGGCCGAGGATCGACTTGCGGCCGCCGCTGCCGCCCTTGTCGGACGACGAGGGCGTCGAGAACGGCTCGCCGCCGTCCGGGTTGGGCGACGGGGTCGTGGCCGAGACGTCGCTGTTCGAGCCCTTGCGCGAGAAGAACGGGATGCCCGACGACGGCGTGCGACGAGGGTTGATGAGGCTCGAGCGAGACCGGCCCGGGCTGGTCGTGACGACGGCGGGAGGTGGCGCCATGGTCGCCGTGTCGTCGCCGGCCTGGCCGTTGCGCTGTGCCGTGCGCGTCGTGCTGCTGCTGCTCTGGCTCGAGGTGCGCTGCCGCAGGAACGGCGGCACCTGGGCGCTGCCGCGCAGGCTGTTGCGGCCGAGCGAGCTGGTCGTGCTCGCGGTCGAGCCGTGCAGCGCCGGCGGCGGCATGCTCGACGAGTTGGACATCGACGACAGGTTGCTCGTCGAGGCGGCGAGTCGGCGCGGAAGGTTTGACTGGCCGAACGAGGTCGTGCGCATGCGCTTGCCGGCCGCCGACTGCAGGTCGCCGAACGACGACGACTCCTTGACGCCGCCCGACGACGACGACGTCGACGGCGACTGCTGCACCTTGGGGCTTCTCGTCGCCTTGTGGAACGCGCTCGAGATGCTCCACTTGCGCCGGCTCGACCCGCCCGACGCCGTGGTCGCGACCGGGAGCGACGACTCGCCCGCCGTGCTGCGCCCGCTGCTCGACGTCGTGCGTGTCGCCATCATCGGCGGCGCCTGCAGGCCGTGCGCGCCGTGTGCCGCCACCTCGTCCGGCCTCGGCGAGCCCTGGCCCTGCTGCTGCTGCTGCTGCGCCGCCGTGCTCGCCGCCGGACGGTACGTCTCCCAGTCCTTCGGGAGCGGCGGCACGGGCGGGATGTCGGCCGTACGACTGACCGACTCGGCGCTCGCGTTGCGGTCGAGCGCAGGCCGCCCGTCGCCGGCGCTGTGGATCGACGACACGTCGCTGCCGGCGCTCGAGCGGCGGTACTTGCTCGCCGGCGAGCGCGTCGCGAACGACGTCGCCGACGTCGAGTCGTGCGAGCCGACGGCCGAGACCGAGGTGCCGGTGGCCGACGACGACGAGCCGCGCTTGAACGGGCTCGAGGCCGGGAACGGCACGTCGACGGGCGCCGACTGCGTCGACGACGCGAGGCGGTTCTGCGCGGCGACCCGGCTCGTCGTCGTCGACATAGACGGCATGCTCGCCACCGACGCCGACAGCGGCGACTTGGTGACGGCGTGCAGCGACGGCGACGGGAGGGCCGGCTGCGGCGGGAGCGGGCTCGCGGCCCTGCTCGCCTGGCGCGAATTGGCCGCCGAGCTCAGGTCGCCGTCCTTCGTCGCACCCGAGTCGCCCGTGCTCGTGCGCACCCGTCGCCTCGCCGAGCTCTGGCTCGAGTCGCGCCTCGAGCTCGTCGACGCCGCGAGGTCGCCCGTGTTGCGACTCGTCTTGCGGCTGCGCGGCTCAGCCGCTGCGGCAGGCGCTGGCGTCGTCGTCGACGAGATGCGCGACATGCGCGGCGAGCTCAGGCCGTCGAGCTTGGCGAGCGCGGCGGCCGTGCCCTCGTCGACGGCGGCGGCGCGCTCGATGTCGACGTCGACGCCCTCGACCTCGCGAGTGTGGCGCAAGATCGACGCGGCGACGATGGAAGGCGACGAGTGGTGCGAGTGGAACGAGTGGCGCGAGAGGCGAGCGTGGTCGGGTGTCCGACCCGGCGTGGTGGTGCTCGAGGTTGGTGCGGGAGGAACGTGTGGCGGTGCGGCAGGGGAGGAGGGGAATCCGGCGAGCGGAGGAACGGTCGGTACGTCGCCGCTGTCGAGCTGCGTGGCGAACACGTGCGACGCGTTCGACGCTGCGGGCGACGGCGGGAGGTGGGCGAACGTCGCCTTGCCGGACGACTGTCGCCGCAACTGCTTGGCGCTCGTCTTGCCGTCGAGCGACATGCCCCTCGCGCCCTTCCTCGCCGCACTCCCACTCGCCGCCGAACTGCTGCCGCCGCCCGACACGCGCCGCGAGTGCTCGGTTGGCGACGCGATCTCGTGGTCAAAGCCGAGCCCGACCATGTCGCCCTCGGCAGCGGCCTGCCCGAGCGTCCACGTGCGACCGATGCCCGCCGAGCTCGGCGCCGAGGACGACGCCGCGCTCTTGCGCCGCGAGCTGTTCCTTCGACGCGGCACGTCCGACTCGACCGGCGTCGCCTCGTCGAGCTGCAACGGCTGCTGGTCGAACGAGTACGACGACAGGGCGGCACTGTGCGGCGCGGCCGAGAAGTCGAGCGGGCCGAACCCGTGCTGCGGGCGCTGGTCCGAGGCGGCAAAGTTGAGGAGCGCGGCGGGCGAGGCGTCGAGGGCGATCGTCGCCGAGGAAGCCGACGACGGGAGGAGGGGCACAGGTGGCGGGTGAAGGGCTGTCGCGCCGGCTTGGGCGAAAGGGCGGTTGGGCGAGTCGTACGAGGGCGCGCGAGCAAAGGGCTGGCGGACGGCGCCGGGGCGCGAGACGGTCGGCGACTGGCCGAGCGGCGTGCTGGCGTGGATGGCGGGCTGCGCACATAGAGACGTATGTCAGGACGGGGGTTCGAGGGGGCAGACGCGGAGAGAGAGAGAGAGCGACGCACCACCGGGTCGACGGCATAGATCAAGCTCGTCTCGTCGCTGCCCCTCCGATCCTCGCTCGTCGGCGCGCCCCACCGCTTCTCGAGAACACCGCTCGTCCACCTCGGCGTCGCGAGCTCACCGAGCCCGATAAGCTGACCTCGGTCGACGGCCGGGCTCAGGTTGACGCTGCTCCGGTGCGGGTCGCGCGGTCCAGCGATGGGGCTGCGGTACGCGCTCGTCGACGCTGCAGCGGGCGACGACGGGTTCGAGTCGACGGGCTGGGCGCCGGCGGGGAAGGCGGCCGAGGTGGGCGGGATGGCGAGCGACGACAGGCCGGCGTGCGCCGACATCGAGAACGGGAGCCCGAGCCCGAGCCCGTGCTGCTGTCGCGCGCCGTCGTACGTCGACGACGACAGCACGCCCGGCGGGTGGTACGGCGGGTGCGCCGCCGAGGCCGGCATCGACGACGACAGGAACGACGAGCCCGACCTGGGCGGGTCGTCGCGCGCGCGTGCGCGCCCGACGCCGTCGGCGAACTCGTCCGAGAGGCTCAGGGCGCCCGACGGGATCGCCGTGTCGATGACGGGCGAGCTCGACGGGTCGAACGAGATGAGGCCCGACAGGCTGTCGCGCTCCTCGTCGCCGTCGAGCGGTCGGCGCGGCGGTACCCTCGATCGCGGCGAGATGGCCTCGGCCGGGAGCTGCGGCGGGCGCGCGTCGGACCCGAACACGAGCTCGACGACGGGCGACCTGGGCGACACCTGCTCGCGCGAGAAGTCGAGCGGTGCGGGACGCCGCCTCGTCGACGACGAGCCGCTGCTCGACTTTGGGCTGCGCGCCGATGCGTCCGCTTCGTCACGAGCGAAGGACGACTGCGACGTCGTGGTCGAGGCGCGCGCCGCGGATGTGCGTGGCGGGGTCGCTGCGACTTGGCGCGACGAGCTGCCGACGAACGGGCGCGAGGGCGAGTCGACCGACGAGGAGCCGGCGCCGCTAGCGGTGGCGTCGACACTCTGGGCGAGTCGTGCCGTGTACTGCGGCGGCTCGTAGGCGGTGGGCGAAGTCGGCGTCGAGGAAGGGTGGCCCGCGGCGAGGCTGCGCCGAAACGGGAGGGGCGGGGGAGCGGTGGTCGAGGAGGGGCCGCGGCGGGTGTACGAGTGCGCGGCGCCGTGCTCGATCGAGCGGTAGTCCTCGCTCGGCGTGTCCCGGTTGGCCTGGCCGAGGTGCGAGTCGAGCGACGGGCCGGAACCGTGGAGGGACGATGAGGCGGGAGGAGGAGGAGGAGGGCTGAGTGAGGGCGAGCACTGCTGCTCTGCCCTGCGGCGAGGCGCTTCTGCCATCGCTGACAGCTGGCGCAGGCAGGCGCAGGCGCTCGTGCGGGTCGAGGATCGAGTAGGCTTGAGCTGCAAGAGGCGACGAGTGGGGACGGTGAGTGGGCGTGCGGGCGCAGGGCGAGCTGTGCGACGCACCTGGCAGTCTTGCTGGGTCACGAGGCTCTGGTCGGTGGTGCTGAGGTGGTGCACGCGCGCAGCTGCGCCGTGAGCTGGAGCAGAGGGAGCGAGCGGCTCGTTGCTCCTCCTCTCGACGGGGCGACACAGTCACTCGGCCCTTCTTTCGCTCGAGCCGTACTCTCGTTGCTTGCAACCGGCTTTCAAAGATGTACTGTGCACGCTCGTGCTCTCTTTCTGGACGACGACCCTGTGCGAGATGGCCGTTTCCCCACGTGCGTCTATGGACTATGGAGGGGGGAGGGAGGGCGACGAGGGAGCTACGACAAGCTCTAAACGGTTCGAGAACGACTCGAGCTCGTCGACGACAAGACCCTCAGAGGACCCAGGTGTCGGCCGACGTGTTCCTGCGCGGCGAGGGAGAGGGGGAGCGAGGGTCAGGTCAGGTCGGCTCGGCTCGTTCCGCAGGAAGGAAGAAGGGACTCACGTGAGCCATTGTGTCGGGAACATGAAGTCGGTCGGCGAGTCCGAGACGAGGTACAGTCGGGGCATGAGGGCGCCATCAACTGCGCGGACGTGCGAGACCCGTCAGCGCTGCAGGGAGAGGCCCAGAGCCCGCTTCGATCTTCATACTCGACCAGCCGCACGTCGACCGCCGACGAGTACGTCGACGGTCGGTGCCGGCGAGTGCGGCATAGGTAGAGAGCGAGGACGCACACTGCGAGAGCCGGAGCATCGTCTTGCCGCGCCACGGACTCACGGTCCACGACCGGTACAGGCCCGCCTGCGAGTAGTAGTCGTACATAGACGAGACGGCCTTGCAGGCGTTTTGGACCTGTGCGAGGGAGACGGGCGTCAGGCAGAGGATCTTGTAGAGAGGAAGGATCTCGGTCGGGGCGGGAGAAGAGGAGGAAGAAAGGGGGGCGGCGACGCACCTGGATCCGGCCGTCACCAGCAAAGACGGACGAGTTGGTCGTGATCGAGCCGTTACCGAGGACCTCGTACGTGCCGTGCTGCCAGATGACGACGGCCTCGATGCAGTGCGGGTCCGTCGCGTTGGCGTTCCACGTGAACTGGGCCTGCTCGAAGTAGCCGTCCTCGGTGAACGAGAAGCTGTAGCCCGACACGTTCGGGTACGAGAACGAGTTGTTCTGCGAGGCGAAGGATGGGGGCAGACGCGAGTCAGCCAACTTGGCGCGAGGAGAGGAGAGAGGGGGAGGAGGGGGACGCACATATGGGACGCCGAAGGTCTGCGCGCGTGAGAGAAGGGTCAGCTCGTGTGCACAGGTATTCGCAGCGCGGGTCCCGCTGTCCTGGGGCCGCAGGTCGCCCAGTCGTCACGCAAGTCGAGGTGGAGGTCGTGGGCTTGGCGACGCGCGACTGAGGGGTGCAGGGGAGCTCGTGCGGGCGCGAGGAAGGGTGCGAGAGGACTCACAGGCCCAGTCAGAGGTCCTCCCGGTCCAGTCGTCCAGGTCCCGACGCCCTCCCACCCTGCTTGGCCGACGACGAGCTTCGACGCGATGAGGGCGAGGGTGAAGGACAGGAGCGCGTGCAGCGCGGCAAAGGCGGGCATGGTGGCGACGTGCGGTGGGTCCTGGAGCGTGCGAGGCGCGCTAGACAGGCGAGGGTGCGGTGTGTAGAGCGGTGAAGGGGCGAGGACAGAGCCGCGAACGAGGCCGAGACGAGGCGGCTCGAGCATGATCGGTGGCCTGGCCAGGGCAGCTGCACAGTGCTCGGCGGGCGCGCTGCAGCATGTGCGCACCCGCTAGCCTTGTGCGCATGAGGAGCGCGGCCATGGTAGAGGAGCAGGCTCGCTCGCCCCACCTCGAGCCGGATCTTGTCTTTCACAGTGACGAGGGACGACGAAAAGGCGAGACGGTCTACTCATTGTCAACAGGGCGAAAGCGAACGAGAGGAGGGGAGGGGATCGACCCCTGCAAGGCGAGAGGCTCCACGGAGCGCGAGAGAGGGGGAGAGGCTCGAGGACAGAAACGAGATAAACGACGCGAGGAGAGGGTACAGATCTAGAGGGGGTGCGAAGGAACGGGGAAGGGGTTCAACACGGATGGATGCGAGTGAGGAAGGGAGGGGGAGAGAGAGGGGTGGGAGAGGAGGGGAAGGAAAGATCAACGAGGCGAGGGTCGGGACGCCGCCCAGGCCCTGCAGCGTCGCCGCCCTCCTGCGCCTCGGCACGACGAGGATCTCTTCCTCGTCGCCGTCCTCGTCCTCGTCGCCCCACGCGTCGAGCGCGGCACTCGCCTTGCGCGGGCTCGGCGGGTCGAGCGACACGCCGCGGATGCTGCCGTCGCGCGGCGACCGCGACCGCGTGCTCGACGCGTACGCCTCGGCGAGCGTCGGCGGCGGCGGGATCGGGATCTGCAGGCCCGCAGAGAGGGCCGCCGCCGAGGGCGAGTTGACGCTGTGCGCCGGCACGGCGGCGATGGGCGTCTGATCGTCGCTCGCCTCGCTCCGGCGCGCCGACGACGAGCCGTAAAAACCGAGCGACTCAAAGTCGAGGTCGAGCGGGCACAGCTGGAACGACACCGAGTCGGCGTAGGGCACGTAGGGCGGGCTCGGCGGTTGAGCAGGCGCAGGTGGCGGCGAGCTGGCCGCGGCGGCGTCGGGCGTCGACCTCGGGCCGACCTTGCCGTCCTCGACGTCGTCGCCTTGCTCGACGTCGTCGGTCGGCGGCGTGTGCGTCGGCGACAGGTAGGCGGCGGACGTCGCGGCGGTGCCGGCGTCGGCGCCGGTCGTCGCCAAGGGCGTGCGCGGACCCATCTGGAAGTCGGCGAACCCGGGATAGTTCCAGCCCGACAGGTGGTTGCCCTGGGCGAGCGGCGGCTGCATAAAGTCGTCGAGGTCGTCGTCGTCGTCGTCGTCGTCGTCGTCGTCGAGGTCGTCGTCCGAGTCCGAGTATTCAAACTCGGTCAGGTCGATCTGGCCGTCGTCGTCCTCGGTCGCGTCGAGCTCGGCCTTGGCGGCGTCGAGGCCGGCCTTGAACGACAGGCGGTCGCCGCTGCTGGCGCCGCTCGCCGAGCGGTCCTTGCTGCCGCGCTGCACGACGAGGCGGCCGAGCGCGTCGTACTGGTCCCGGGTCGCGCCCGCCGCCTCGTACTGCTCGATGACGTGCGGCGACACGCCCGGCGACAGCGACTGGGCCGAGACGACGCGCGAGTGCAGCTGCGACCCGTGGTGGTCGTCGCTGCCGCCGCCGTCGGTCGAGCCCGAGAACTGGCGCGCGCCGCTGTGGCCCGACCGCACGCTCGCGTTGGCCGACGTCGCCGACGAGCTGCCCGGTGTGCCGGCACCGCCGTGGCTGTGCAGGCGCGACAGCATGCGCGAGAGCGAGCGCCCGCCCTTGGCCGCTTGGGCCGCCGACTCGGTGTCGCTGCCGGCCCACGGCGACGACGAGAAGCCCGACGAGCGCCCACCGGCAGTGACCGACGGCGACGGCATGGCCGACGACGAGGCGCTCGAGCGCGCGGCGGCCGGCTCGGTGTCCGACACCTTGCGGCCGAAAAAGTGGTGCGAGAAGTGCGATCGGCTCGCGTTGCCGCTGTTCGGGCTCGTGCCGAGGACCGACGACGACGAGATGGACCGCGACAGCTCGGGGAGGCCGGGCGGCGGGTGCGGCTCCATGGATGGCGTCTTGCGGAACGAGCGGTTGCCCCACCCACCGCGGTGGCCGCTCCCCATGGCCGGGCTCGCCGTCCCGCTCGATTGGCCCGTGCCGTCCCTCCCGCCGCTGATGATGCGCCGCAGGTCCATGCCGAAGCCGCCGCCGCCCTCGCGCGACTTGCCGCGCCGCTCAAAGTTGGCGCCGCCGTCGCTCGGCTGACGGCTGACGCTGCCCGACGCGGGCGAGTCGCTCACGAGCGTGCTCGAGCCCGTGCCCGGCCCGCCGTGGCCCTCGCCGCCGCCGACGCTGTGGCCCGTCGAGCTGTTGCTCTTGCTGCGGCTGCGCTGCTCGCGCTCGCGGTCGCGCTCGTGCGCCGTCGCGACGCCGGCCGTCTCCTCCGAGTTGGTGCTCGCCGTCGTGCGCGTGCTCTTGATGCGCGCGAACGCCGGGAACCGAGCGAGGGCGGCGTTGAGGGCGCGCTTGATGCCGGGGCGGTTGCGGATCGGCGGGAGGAGGGCGTCGGTGCCGGCCGAGCGCTGCTGCGTCGCGTGCTCGACGTCGTCCTCGGTGACGGTGACGTGCGTCGTCTGGGCGAGGTCGGTCGCACGCAGCCACGAGTCGGGGTTCGACAGGTTGCGGAGGACCCAGGGGTGCTTCTGCAAGGCGTTGGAGGAAAGGCGAGGGTCAGGACGGAAGGTCCGAGAGAGAGAGCCGGGACCGAGAAGCAGGGACGCACCTTGACCTCCTCGAGCGTGATGCGCTTGGTCGGGTCCTTCTCGAGCAGACGCCCGAGCAAGTCGACGACCTCGCGGCCCTCCTCGCCCGTCCCGCACCCGGGCCAACCCTGCCCGACCCCGGTCCACGCGCCCTCGCGGCCCATCTTCTCCGGCACGCGGATCCCCTCGCGCACGATCACGTTGTACAGCTCGTACTCGGTGCGGGCCGTGAACGGCGTGTCGCCGAACAGGAGGCAGTAGAGCGTGACGCCGAGGGCCCACACGTCGATGCCCCGGCCGACAGGAGGACGGGTGCGAGGCTTGGACGGCGAGGGAGGAGGGAGCGGGCGCGAGATGACGACGGTGCTGAGCGGGAGGCCGTTTGGCGAGGTCGGCGGCGTAAAGTTGGCCCCGGACGAGGTCGGCGTGAGGCGGGTGCCGTCGACGCCGCGCGGGAAGTACGTCTCGCTCTCGGCGTCGCCGCGGACCGAGTTGAGCCCGACGCTGTCGCGCGTGCCCATGCGGCTGAGCGCTGCGCTCGAGCCGTAGTGGGCGGTCGGGGTCGGCGTCGCCTCGGCGGGGAAGCACAGCTCGGGCGCAAAGAAGGCCGGGCTGCCGGCCGTCTTGCGCAGCGCCTTGTCGTCCTCGCCGTGGCACGCGTGATCGCGGCGGTCGTCGTCGTCCGAGCAGCGCATGAGCGCCTCGGACACGTGCGAGACGCCAAAGTCGGAGATCTTGACGGTCGAGTGGTCCTCGGTCCACAGGAGGTTGGCGGGCTTGATGTCGCGGTGGATGATGCCCTGGTAGTGAACTGTAAGCGAGACGAGAGTCAGTGACGGTCCTCGAGAGTGCGCTCGGCGGCGAAAGAGGGCGAGGGACGCACGGTACTCGAGGCCGAGGACGACGTCGCGGAACGTGCGGCGAGCTTCGTCGACCGTCATGGTCGGCTGCTTGTTGTCGTCCTGCCACTCGACTTGGCCGCCGGCCATGAACTCGAGGACTGTGCGCGGGAATGAGGGAGAGCCAGGGTCAGTCGAGGGGCCGGCGCACGACAAGGCACGAGAAAGGGGAGAGGACGTGGGACGCACCCATGAAGACCTTGCGACTCTTGACGTCGTCGATGACCTCCTTGAGCCGGACGATGTTGGGGTGGTCGAGGCGCTTCATGATGGCGACCTCGCGCTTGACCTTGTCGTCGGCGCCGATGCCGCCGCTCCCTTGCGAGCTCTGCTTGCGGCTGCCGCTCGTCGCGCTCGCCTTGCTCTGCGCCGCGAGCCGCAAGCTGCGGTGGCCCTTGGCGCCGCCGGGCCCGTCGCGCGCGACCGACTTGATGGCGCAGTAGCGGACCCGGCCCGCGTCAATGTCGGCCTCCCAGCGCTCGGTCGCCGTGCGAGGCCGCCGACGGGAGCCGCGACCGTCCCCTCCTGCTCCTGGTCCCGCACCTGCTGCGGCGTGCGGGTCCTCGCTCCCGCGCCGCTGCCGCTGCACCGCGCTCGCCGTCGAGCTGCGTCGACGCACGTCGTCGCCGCCGCCGCCGCCGAGCGCCTCTTCGCGCAGCTCGTCGTCGTCGACGTCGTCGCTCGGCTCGGCGCAGAGCCACACCTTGCCGTGCGAGCCCTGGCCGATCGTCTTCAGGCGCACGTACTGGTTCACCATGCGGCGGCCCTTCGAGTCGATGCTGCTGCTCAACGTGCGCGTCGTCTTGGGCTCGGCGGCGACAGGACCGTCGGCGCCCGAGACGTAGCCACGCGAGAGCGCCGACGAGGGCCCTGGCCCGGTGCCGGCGCCGGTCGAGCTGCCGAGGACGGGCGACGACGGGAACGCGGCGGGCGACGAGCCGCGGCGCATGGGCGCGAGCGACGGCGCGAACGCGACACCGGCGACAGCCGCGAGGCTCATGGCGGCGCCGAACCCGGTGCTCGTACTCGCGTGCGGCGGCGGGAACGGGCTCGTCCTCGCGCCGCCCGAGCCGCCGGCGCTTGTCGGGCTGCGCTGCTCGCGGTCGATCGAGCCCCGGCCCGAGGACCGGGTCGGCGACACCTCGCGCGAGTTGTTGCGCGAGTTGTTGCGCGAGTTGTCGCGCGAGCCGGGCGGGGTCGAGCGGTAGAAGGGGCTCTTGGCCATGAGGAACGGCGGGCCGGGCGAGTCGGGCGGCAGGACGTAGTGCTTGGAGCGCGACGTGACGACAAAGCCCGTGTTGGTGCGGGTCGACGAGGCCGACGACGAGTGGACCGAGGTGGGCTTGTTGGCCGTGAACGAGTGGACGCCGCCGGGCCCTGGACCGCCTGCGCCGCCGCCGCCGCCGACGGGGTGCGCGAGGCTGTTCATGCTCGGGCTCGAGGCGAGTGAAGCGCCGAGGGCGCGGTGGGGCAGCGACGGCGAGGGCATGGCGCTCAACGCGGCTGACGACGGCGGGGTCGGGGACCACGACGAGAAGCCGCCCGGGCTCGGGGGCAGACTCGTGCTCAGGCTCGAGGGGGACGAGTCTTTGCTCGTGCGCTGGCTGGTGGTCATGGCCGGGGCCGGACCGAGGTCGTGCGGGCCGGGGTTCAAGTCGGACAGCGAGGCGATCGACTCGAGGCGCGACGAGCGCGTGAGGAGCGAGTTGGGCCCGCCGTCGGCCGTCTTGTGGCTGCGCTCGTACCCTGGCCGCGGTGGACGATGCGATTGGTGCTGGGGGCGGTCCATGGCCGGCGCAGGAGGGTGGTGCGGGCCGTGGCGAGGGCGGGAGCTCCAACAGTTGGCCCTCGGGAGTCGGAGGAGAGGGGGGGTGGAACGGGCGCTGGAGGGGGTTAAGCCTGGTCGTAGAGGGTGCGAGAGTCGCAAAGAGAGGGCTCGCTGTCAGCTGCAGCCCGTGCAGGACCTCTCGCGGCGGTGAAGGAGGGGGAGGAAGGGCGTCGGCGCCGACGTCGACGTCGTCCCATCTCCGCCGCGTCGCGCTCCCTCTCGAGTTTGGTTCACATTCCGTGGGGCGTGCTCTCTCCGCACTGCTCTCTTGCAGGCCAGGCGTCGCATTGCACAGACTCGAGCGGACGACCGCGGCGTGTCTCTGCTTTTCTCGAGCCCTTGGTCGCTCCCCGCAGCTGGCTCTCGCCTCGGTGCCTGCGCCAGAGTCCGCCGCAGCGCTCGCGGACCAGCGATCGAACCGAGAAGCTCGTCCAGCGACCTGCGAGCCTGCATCCGAGCGGAGAGAGAGGGAGCGCGCAGGGAGGAGCGCGACGAGAGAGCGAGCCCCAGCACGATCGGGCCTCGGTTGCGGCTCACTGGCTCGTGAGAGCCTGTGCGTAGACCTGGGTGCGGCGTCTCTGTGCCCGATCGCAGCGAGGAGCGCAGCCGAAGCAGGAAGAGAACCAGCTCGAGGGGCGCGAGGATGACGAAGCAGCGAACGCGCAGGACGGCGTGTGGTTTGGACCTGGTGGTAGCTGAGCTTGATTGCGACACGCTGGTGGCAAGCGAGCCCCCGACAAGCCTGGTCGTCGGTCGAGGGCAGAGCGAAAGGGGCGAGGAGGACGAGTCGTCAGCTCTCCCCCACTTCGCTCCTCTCGACAGCGACGCGGTCCAACTGCTGCGAGCGCACACGACCAGCAGCTCAACAGCCATGCGTGTCCGCGCCACCCTAGCGACGCTCGTCGCGGGCGCCTCTCTAATCCTCGCCTCGTCGTCCGCCTCCCCCACCTCGCTCGACGCCGCCGCTCGCCCTCCAGCATCGCCCAGACCGGCCGCCGCGCCAGACGCACAGCTCTTTGCAGCGCAGCATGGCGGCCCGCCAGGCGGCCACGTCGTCGCAGCCGTGCCCATGCCCCTCGCCGCCTCTCGCCCTTTCGCCAACTTGCGCAACGCCGCCCGAGTCGAGGTCTACGAGCACCGCGCCTTGCCCGACTATGTCGGCTTCTCGCCCGCGTCGGCCGTCCCGCACGGCAGCCTCATGGGCGACGCCCTATTCGCGCTCCCGCCGCCGCCTGAGTGCCCGCCTTGCAACCCGTTCAACTGCGTCCTGCCCGCGTTCGGCTGCCTGAACAACGGTGCGCCCTCTCTCCCTCTACTCTCTCCTCCACGACACCGAGCTGACTGAGGTCGTGGGCGCCCGCAGGCGTGTGCAACAGCTTCAACGGCCAGTGCGTGTGTCCGCCCGGGTTCGGTGGCGAGGACTGCTCAAAGCCCTGTGCGTCTCGCTCCTACCTCCTTTCGCCGAGTCCTCGAGGACGTCGTACTGACCAGCGGCCGGACCGACGGCGCAACAGTGTGCGGCTCGCTCGCCGACGGCTCGGAGCGCTACCCGCGCGAGGGCGACACGTGCGACTGCAAGCCCGGCTGGGGCGGCATCAACTGCAATTGTGCGTTCCTACATCTCTCCCCTTTCTTTTGAAGCCCTGCAGCGACTGACGTGCGCTGTCGGCCCGCCCCGCAGTGTGCGAGACGGACGAGGCGTGCGAGGACCTCGTCGGGCGCGAGCCGGCGGCGGCCCTGTCGGTGCGTGGCGGCGGCGGCAAGGACGACGACGACGACAAGGCCGTGTGCTACAAGGAGGGCTACGGCGTCAAGGAGATGTACCAGATGTGCGACGTGACGAGTGCGTCCCTCACTTCCTCAACCTCGCCACCTCGCCTCGCCTCGACCGACCCAGACTCACTCTCGTGCTCCTTCCACAGACCGCAAGATCCTCGACATGCTCCCGAACCGGCCGCCGCAGGTCACGTTCACGTGCGACATGGCGGCCCAGTCGTGCGGGTTCCAGTTCTGGATCGGCCAGAAGGAGTCGTTCTACTGCGGCTTGGACAACTGCACGGCCACGCACGAGGTCGGCTTCGACGCCAACTCGACCGAGTACCGCTGTGAGCAGGTCGAGTGCGCGTGCATCCCGGGCAGGATGCTCTGCGGCGAAGACGGCAGCGTCGGTGCGTCCCCGCCTTCTCTCTCTCTTTCCTCCTCCCGAAAGCCGCCTCCACAAGCGTCTCTGCTATGCCCGACGTCCCTCCACATACTGACTCGGTACTCTCCCCCGCAGACATCTCCGACTTTCTCACCGAGGAGATCAAGGGCCCAGGCAAGTTCACGACGCGCACGGGCGAGCCGAGCAAGTTCGAGGAGCCCGCCATGAACCAGCTCATCAACGACATCTTTGGCGACACGCACATCACGCTCAACTGCAAGGCGGGCGAGTGCCTGCGCAGGAGCGACGTCCCGGGCTTTGTCGTGCGTCGGCCGCTCTCTTCCCTCTCTTCTTCTCTTCGAGGATCAAGCCGACACTCACGCTTCTCTCGCCGGTCGCAGCGTCCGCCAAAGCCCAACAGCCGCACGTGGGTCGTCGTCAGTATCATCACGGTCGTCGCCGTCCTCCTTCTCGCGCTTGGCCGTGCGTCCTCCTTCCTCCCCTCTTTGCGTGCGGCCCTCTCGAGATCGACCCGCTCACCCTCTCTCGCACACCTGCCACAGTCTTCTGGTACTTTGGGCGTCGCAGCTCTGCCGTCGAGTACTCGTTCCTCGGCGGCCGGATCCGCCTCCCGGCAAACGGCTCGGCCGCCAACGGGCACGCCGACGCGACCAAGTCGCTCCTCGAGGACCACATCCCGACGGCGCTCCAGTTCTCGAACCTGTCGTACACGCTCCCGTCGGGCAAGCGCCTGCTCGACTCGATCTCGGGCGCCGTTCAGCCGGGCGAGGTCATGGCCGTCCTCGGCGCGTCGGGCGCGGGCAAGTCGACCCTGCTCGACCTCCTCGCGCGCAAGTCGAAGCGCGGCGCCGTCTCGGGCGAGATCCTCGTCAACGGCCGCCACGTGTCGGCGACCGAGTACCGGCGCGTCGTCGGCTTTGTCGACCAGGAGGACACGCTCATGGGCACCCTCACCGTGTTCGAGACGGTCCTGTACTCGGCCCTGCTGCGCCTCCCGCGCGACATGTCGTTCGAGGACAAGCGCATGCGCACGCTCGAGACGATGCACGAGCTCGGCATCCTCGCGATCCGCGACAGCCGCGTCGGCGAGAGCGGCGCGAGGGGCATCTCGGGCGGCGAGAAGCGCCGCGTCTCGATCGCGTGCGAGCTCGTCACGAGCCCGTCCATCCTGTTCCTCGACGAGCCGACCTCGGGTGCGTCGGGCGCTCGCTCTTCTCGGTCGTCCGCACCGGGAACTGACCCATCCTCGTCCACCTTCCCTCGCAGGCCTCGACTCGTACAACGCGTTCAACGTCGTCGAGTCGCTCGTGCAACTCGCGAGGACATACAAGCGCACCGTCGTGTTTACGATCCACCAGCCCCAGAGCAACATCGTCGCTCTGTTCGACAAGCTCGTCCTCCTCGCCCGGGGCCGCGTCGTCTACTCGGGCAAGGCCGACGAGAGCCAGAGCTACTTCGAGAGCATCGGTTGCGCGTGCCCGCCAGGCTTCAACATCGCCGACTACCTCAGTGCGTCCCCTCGCCGCACCCCCTCGCGCCCCAGTTTCGTTCGAAATCTTGGCCGCGCACTGACCCTGTCCGTCGCCGCGCCTCGCAGTCGACATCACGGCGCAGAAGGAGAAGAACCTGTCGTCTGAGCCCACCGTCGCCGACGCCCTCGTGCAGCTCGAGCGCTCGCCGACGAGCGACTCGAGGCCCGACCCGGAGCTCGGCGTCAACAGCCGCTCTCGCACGCCCTCGTCGGCCTCGGCCAACGACACGGAGCTCGCCACTCGTCACCCGTCGGCCACCTCGAACGGGCCCATCCGGCGCTTCTTCTCGACGGCGTCGGTGTCGTCGTCGTCCGGCAGTGCGACGCCCGTCCAGGCGCCGCTCCCGAGTGAGCTCGCGCGCCTCGTCTCGGCCTTCGCGTCGAGCGGGCCCGCCCAGCGCACGCAGCGCGAGATCCTCGCCGCCAAGCAGGGTGGCGCGAGCGGCGGGCGCGGCGCGGCGGGCGGCGCCGAGAGCGACTCGCTGCGCAACTACCGCCGCGCCACGTGGTGGACCCAGTTCACGATCCTGAGCGGCCGGTCGTTCAAGAACCTGTACCGCGACCCGATGCTCATGCTGTCGCACTACGCCGTCGCCGTTCTCGCCGCCGGTGCGTCCAACCCTCCTTGCCTCGCTCGAAAACGTGCCCTGACTCTTTTTCTTCTCCCACGCCCCGCAGGCATCTGCGCCTTCCTCTTCCGCGGTCTCACGTGCGTCGTTGACCTCTCTCGATGGGGCGGCGAGAAGGACCGCCGTTACTGACCGGGGTCGTGCGCGTCCGCAGGCTCGACATCCCCGGCTTCCAGAACCGCATGGGCATGATCTTCTTCGCCCTCGCCCTGTTCGGGTTCGGGTGCCTCACGACGCTCGCCACGTTCTCGCGCGAGCGTCTCCTGTTCACCCGCGAGCGCGCCAACGGGTACTACAACCCGCTCACCTACTTTGCCGCCAAGCTCCTGTTCGACGTGATCCCGCTCAGGGTCATCCCGGCGTTCGTCTTTGGCGCCATCGTCTACGCCCCGGTCGGCCTCGTGCCCGAGATCGTGTCGTTCTGGCGCTTCATCCTCGTCCTCGTCCTGTTCAACTTGGCGTCGTCGAGCGTCGTCCTGCTCCTGTCGATCGTCATCAAGGACCAGGGCGTCGCCAACCTCGTCGGCAGCCTCGTCATGCTCTTCAAGTACGTCCCACTCGTTCCTCATTGTCGCTCGCGAGGGCGACGGATTGACAGTGCCCGTCGCCCACAGCCTCCTTTTCGCCGGCCTCCTCATCAACAAGGACAAGCTGCCGCGGTACCTTCAGTGGCTCGAGACGGCGTCCTTCTTCCACGCCGCGTTCGAGGCGCTCCTTGTCAACGAGGTCCGGTACCTGCAGCTCAAGGACCACCGCTGTACGTTCACAATCTCGCCGGGCCCGGCCTTTCCGCAGGGTCGCTCACAGGCTCTCTCCCTCTCTCGCAGACGGCGTCGACATCGAGGTGCCCGCCGCGACGATCCTGTCCATGTTTGGCTTCCGAGCGCAGGTCCGTCCTCTCCCTCTTTCCTCCCCCGAGTCTCTCGTTCCGCCGAACTGACTGTCGCTCTCGCCCTCAACAGGCCTTCTGGTTCCCCGACGTCACGCTCCTGGCCGCCTACATCGTCGGATTCGTCATCCTGTCGTATCTCGCGCTCGTCGTCCTCGTCAAGGAGCGGCGGTAGACAAGCAGGAGGAGAGTTAGACGGCCAGGAGGCGGCCTGCTGGATCTATACTTTCTCGAGCCCTCGTTCTCTTTCTCTCGCGATGCAACGTGTACAGACTCTCGCAGCGACACTCGTCCGCGTACCGAGAAAGAGAGCGTGGATGCAGACAGAGTACTAGCTCCTCGCGCCACCGGACGCCCGCTTGACCATGTCCTCGACGCTCACGGGCGAGTACTCGCCGCCCTTCTCGAGCAGCCACACGACGTCGTCCTCGAGGTAGACCGTGACGCCGCCCTTGCCGTCGACGCCGCGCGAGACGCGGAACGTCGCCTGGCCCTGCGGCGCGACCTTGCCCGTCGGGAGGAAGACGAGGTTGGCCGCCGCCGCGAGCTCCTCGACGACCGAGCGGAACGTGATGTCGTCCGGGTCCTCGGCTGCGGTAGCTGTGAGGGGTGCACGAGGTGGTGGGACGCGAGACGAGGCCTTGGGCGTGCTGGACGAGGACGGGGCCCTCGAGCGGTCGTGCTTGGACGCAAAGTCGGGCTTCTTGAGGCTGCAGCGGGACGGCAGGGTTTGTCAGATGCTGATCAGACGATCGAGACGACCGGGAGAGAGAGAAGGGACGCACCGGTACTTGGCGTCGTCGCCGAGCGCCATGGCCTGGTTCATAAGGTCGAGCCCCTTGCGGAAGCCGCGCGAGACGCCCGACAGCGCCACGACCTCCTCGGGGAAGTACGACTTCCACCAAGAGTACCTGCAGGACGTGTGAGAGCGTTTCAGTGCTTGGAGAGGGAGCGAGGCGAGAGAGGGGAGAGAAAGGAAGGCGAGGACGGACCATTCGGCAACCTGCTCGAGGTTGGGCTCGCTCGTGAGCCACACGTACAGCGCGTCGCCCCACTTGGGGAAGAACTCGGCCTCGAGGAGCTGCGACAGCATCGAGCTGCGCAGGAGCAGGCGCCACGCGAGGACGGCCTCGAGCGGCGCGAGGTCCTGCGACCGCGGGTTGACGACAAACTGCTCGCGCAGGAGGGCGCCGAGCTGCGGAAGGACGTGCTTGAGGAGGAGCGTGTCCCAGTCGCTCTTCGAGAAGGCCTGCGGGAAGGGAGAAGATGTCAGGACCCGACCGAGAGAGAGGGAGGGAGAGCACAAAGAAAGGGGACCGAGCGGACGTACCGTTTTCCACGCGTCGAGACCCTGAGGCACGCCGTCCCTCGCCTTCGACGCCTTGAGCCAGCTGCGCACCTTGCGCTTGGCCTCGTCGAGCACCATGTCCATGCGCTCGCCGGCGTGCTCGAGCCAAGGAAAGACGAGCGTGTGCAGCGGCGGGGCGGCGCCGCGCTTGGCGGCCGACGGGGACCAGTCGGCGATGGCCGACGACACCTTGGGGAGAACGAGCTGGTCGAGGATGTTGTCGCGCACGAAGGAAGGGAGGAGGGGGATCCAGGCGGTGTAGAACTCGACGGCGGGTCCTGGGTCGGACGGCGACCACGAGTTGCTGCGAGAGGGTCGAAGCGTCAGGACCAAGGACCTCGTGACAGGGAGAGAAAGGAGGAGGACGCACTTGATGGCGGACCGAACGCGAGGGAGCCACACGGTCCACAGGAGCGTCTCGTACGGCGACATCTGCCGCTCGCCCTGGCGCTTCCTCGCCTCGGCGAGCCGCTCGGCCTCGGCGTGCGGGTCGCTCGTCGCCGACGCGACAGGGAGGGCGTCCTTGTCGATGCGGAACAGCTTGCGGAAGCGCTTGAGCTGCGGGACAGTGTACGACGGCGAGGCGAGCGGGTCCCACGAGGCCCACAGGCGGCGCAGCTGCGGCGGTAGGACGTGTCAGTCGCGGGTTCGAGAGATCGTGGGAGAGAGAGAGAAAGGAGACGCACAAGAGGAGCCACAGCACCCACGACGACCTCGTCGAGCCCCATCTCCTCGTACTCGCCCGCAAAGTCGCCCAGGAGCCGGTCAAACTCGTCGTCGAACCGGCCGAGCACCGTCTCGGCGTCGACCTGCGCCTCGTGCGACTCGAGTGCGCGCAAGAGGTCCGTCGCCTCGCCCTCGATGGCGCGCACGCGCTCGACGCAGCTCATGACGCCCTTGAGCTGGGCGAGCTTGCGCTCCTGGGCGTCGACGACGCGCCGCATGCGCTGCTCCTCGGACGACAGGTACGCACGCCGCTGCTCGACGCCGGCGCCTTCTCGGGCGAGCGACCGTAGGGACGAGGCGAACGTCGAGCACAGGAGGGTGACGTTGTGGCGCAGCTCGGGGAGGCGCGTCGGGTCGGCAGAGCCGGCGCCGAAGGCGGGCAGGGACGACAGCGACTGGTTGGGCAACTGTGGGCACGTAGACCGGATGTCAGGAACCGGTGCGCCGGGCAAGAGAGAGCGAGAGAGAGCGTGCACGTACCGCCTGGCCCGTGAGGTCGACGAGGAGCTCTTGCGGCGCGTCGGCGTCTGGCCCGCCCTGCTCGGCGACGATCTCCTCGTACGTCTTGTACTCGGCCTTGGCCTTCTTGTCCTTCTTGGGGCGGGACGACGACTGCCACGCGTTGGCGTGCGCGGCGCGCTTCTTCTCGGCGGCGGCGGCAGCCCGAGTCGCGCGGTCGCCCTTGTCGTCGTCGTCGTCCGTCGCCTTGCCCGTCCTGCGCACGAGGGACGAGTGTCAGTGAGAGGAAGAGGGAGAGTGAGGACAAGAGAGGAGGAAAGAGGAGAGAGGGAGACGCACCTCCTGGCCTCCTCGAGCAGCGCGCCCTTGCTCCTCTCGCCGCTCCTGATACCCGCGTTCTTCTGCCGCAGCTTCTGCCCCTCGCCGACAGGGGTCACGATGCCCTGCCCCTCGCGCCCGAGGCCCGCGCCGGCTGACCACCCCATCTTCTCGAGCATGCGCATGCCAATCGACCCGCTCGACGCGAGCGACGCAAAGTGCGCCTGCTCCGTCTTGGACAGCTTGGCAGGCGGCGCAGAGCTGCCGCTGCCGCTGCCCGGTGCGGCGGGCGCCGAGGGGAGGAACGAGCGGCGCTCGCGCGGCGCGGCGTCGGTGGGGCGCCCGCCTGGCGCGGGTGACGCCGTCCTCGAGGCGTACGCCGAGCTCGCGAGCGAGCCGGTCGCCGTCTCTGCGGGCGAGCCGGGCGCCGGGCCCGCGAGCTCGGCGCGCAAGGCGTCGACGAGGACCTGGTTGGGCCGGCTGCCGATGCCGCCGCCGCTGCGCCCGGCGGTCGCGCCCAGGCCGGCGTGCGGCGTCGACGCACCCGTCATGGGCGACGCAGCGCCGTCGGACGGCGGCTGCGCGGATGCGGGCGCGAACGAGGGCGCAGGCCCGCGCGCACCGATGCCGCCGCGCGAGGCGGACCCGATTCCTCCTCGCGCCGCACCGATCCCAGCTCCCGCTCCGGCCCCTGCCGCGCCGCCGACGCCTGCGCTCGCACCGCTGCCGAGCCCCGCTCGGGCGCCGATTCCTCCTCCTGCTCCGCCGGCTCCAGCTCCTGCTCCACCGCGACCGATGCCGGGCCGTGCGCCGATGCCGCCGCGCGCGCCGATACCGCCGCGGGCTCGGGGCGCAAAGGCGAGCGACGCCGAGGGGTCGACGACGGCGGGTTCAGGCGCAGGCGGCGGCGAGGCGGTGGTGAGGCCGGGTACGGGCGCGAGGTCGGCGTCGGCGTCGTCGAGCTGGTGCGAGGCGATGTCCTCGGCGCTCATGAGCGTGTCGTCCTCGCCCTCGTCCTGGCCCTCACCGTCGTCGCCGTTGTCCGAGTCGGACGACGACGAGCTGCCGAGCTCCATGGCGACGTCCTCCTCGTCGTCGCGGGCGGCCTCGATGGCGGGCGCGGTCGCGAGGTTGTCGGCAGGCGCGCGAGAGGCCGAGGTCGAGGTCGATGGTGCTGCGCCGGCGGCGACAAAGGTCGGGATCCTGCGAGGGGAGGGCGGAGCGGTGAGTTGGTGTGGGAACGGGACAGGCGGGTCGAGGGAGACGAGGGGTGCACTTGTGGTAGTTGGGCTTGGAGCGACCGCCACCTCGAGATGCTCCACCGCTGCTCGAACCGACACCCTGCGCGCCGTGGCCCCTGCGCTCGGCGCCATCGTCGTCGGCCCAGATGCCGTACGTGGCGTCGTCCTTGAGCTGCTCGCGGGTGCGCTTTGTGCCCCTCGAGCGGGACCCATACGGGTTGTGGAACAGGTCTCGCTCTGCTGCGAGGTCTGGGTCGTGCGGGTCGAAGGGGTCGTCCGGGTCGTCGCCGCCGTGGTTGGAGGAGGAGGACGAGTCGGACGAGCCGTCGTCAAGGAACTGCTTCTTGCGGCGGGCCATGGTCTGGCGTGCTACGTGACTCTGTGCAGCGATTGCACGGCCACAGCCAGGAGAGCGAGAGAGCGAGAACAGCTCCCTCCCCTTCCCGAGTCGGCGGGCGGGGTGTCATCTCTCTCTCTCTCTCTCTCCAACGCTCGCCGGCACACAGGCTGTGTCCGCCATGCCTCCAGCCAAGACACCCCTCTCGATCGAGGCCATCCTCGAGCAGCAGCGCCGCGACAAGGAGGCCCAGTCGCGCCCCAAGTTCCTCTCCAAGCAGGAGCGCCAGGCCCTCGCCCTCCAGAAGCGCGCCCAGGAGGTCGAGGACGGCAAGGAGCGCGAGCTCGAAGCACAGCGCAAGCGCGACCAGCTCGAGGAGCAGGCCCGCAAGGAGCGCGACTCGCTCGGCGGCCCCTCGTCCTCGTCCTCGTCGGCGCACTACCCGCACAACGGCCAGTCGCAGGGCTACACGGGCCCGCCAGGCGCAACAGGAGACGGCCGCTTTGTCGGCTACAACGGCGGCGGTGGCGGCGGCGGCGGCGGGCTCAACTACGGCTCGCCGCAGGGCGATTACCACGGCGGCCGCGGTGGAGGGTACGGCGGGCGAGGAGGAGGGCGTGGCAGGGGTCGTGGCGGGCTCGGCTACGACGGCGTGCCCTCGGGCCCGAGCGGGCGCGGCGGCATGCAGGGGCGCGGCGGCGCACACGGCGGTGGTGGTGGCGGCGGCAGGTTCGACGACCGGTGGGGCGGCCATGGCGGTGGACGCGGCGGATACGGCCAGGGCCAGGGCCAGGGTCGGTACGGCGACGATCGCGGGCAGAACGGGCGCGACGCCTCGCTCGTCGACCGCTCGTCGAGCGTCGCCAACGGGCATGGCGGCCCGAGGGACGCGGCGGCCATGGACGTCGACCGCGCCCAGCACGAGCTCGCCAAGCAGGACGCCGTCGCGCAACCGGCGCCGGTGCGCTCGTCGTCGCCGCCGCGCAACTCGACCGAGCAGCCGCCACCTCCGCCGCCGCCCAACGGCGATGCCCCTCCTCCTCCTCCTCCGTCCGACGCCCCGCCAGCAGCTCCTGCGCCCAAAGAGCCGACGCCTCCTCCGCAGGGCAAGCTCACCCTCGCCGAGCTCGCCGAGCTCAACGCGCGCTCGAGCGCCTCGGCGTCGTCGTCGTCCACGGCCGCGCCCGTCCTCAACGCCCAGCTCCAGGCCGCGCGGTACCTCGGCGCGCGCGCCCCGGACAAGCGCAAGCGCACCAAGAAGCAGGGCAACAAGGTCGACTTTGACTGGGACCGCACCGACGACACGCTCGCCGGCGAGGTCGACCCCATCTACGCGCCCTACACGGCCGCCCCACCTGCTGCCGCACCCGCCCACGTCCGCGACGACCGCCACTCGTACAACAAGCCCGGGCGCGACCTCGACCGCGCCGCACCCGCAGCACCTGTCGGCGCCGCGAGCAACACGACGGCGGCGCAGCCGATGCGCGTGACGCTGTTTGGCCGAGGGCGCCTCGCCGGGTTCGACGCCGACGTCGAAAAGGTGCCCGGGCGCAAGGCGCGCGGCGCGCTCGACGAGCGGCACTGGACCGAGAAGAGCCTGGCCGAGATGCGCGACCGCGACTGGCGCATCTTCCGCGAGGACTTTAGCATCGGCGCTCGAGGTCCGTCCTCTCTCCCTGCTCTCCTGTGTCGTGCCTCCCTCCTCGTCGACGCGAGAGACTGACCCTGCCCCCCTTCCCTTCCCTCGTCGCCCGCACGCAGGCGGCCACATCCCGCTCCCTCTGCGGTCGTGGCAAGAGAGCAACATCCCGCAGCAGGTCCTCGGCGCCATCGACTCGATCGGGTACAAGGAGCCGAGCCCGATTCAGCGCCAGGCCATCCCGATCGGCCTGCAGAACCGCGACCTCATCGGCATCGCCGAGACGGGTGCGTCGGCGCTTTCGCCCTCTCTTCTTCCCTTCCCTCCCCCTCTCTCACCGGCGGGGTCTCGACCTGACACGCCCTTCCTCTCTCGCTCGCAGGATCCGGCAAGACGGCGGCGTTCACGATCCCGATGCTGTCGTACATCGCGCGCCTGCCTCCCCTCACCGAGGAGACGCGCTCGCGCGGCCCGTACGCGCTCGTGCTCGCGCCGACGCGCGAGCTCGCGCAGCAGATCGAGGCCGAGACGAACAAGTTTTGCCGCCTGCTCGGGTACCGCTGCGTGTCGATCGTCGGCGGCAAGGCCATGGAGGAGCAGCAGTTCAACATGCGCGACGGCGCCGAGATCGTCATCGCGACGCCCGGTCGCCTCAAGGACTGCATCGAGCGCAGCGTGCTCGTCCTCGCCCAGTGCACCTACGTCGTCATGGACGAGGCCGACCGCATGGTCAGCCTCGGGTTCGAGGAGGTCATCAACTTTATCCTCGACTCGCTCCCCGTCAGCAACCTCAAGCCCGACACGGTCGAGGCCGAGGACCCGGACAAGATGACGACGACGCTGAGCGCGCCTCAGGGGCAGGAGGAGACGGTCGCCGCGTCGCTCGTCCTGTACCGCCAGACGGTGCGTCCTCGCTCCTCCTTCCCTCCCCTCTCTCTCTCTTCCGCCCTCTCGTCGCCGAGAAGTTCTCCGTACTGACCTCTGCCCTCTCGCGCGTCGACAGGTCATGTTCTCGGCCACGATGCCGCCCGCTGTCGAGCGCCTCGCCAAGAAGTACCTGCGCCGCCCGGCCGTCGTCACGATCGGTGTCGCCGGCCAGGCCGTCGACACGGTCGACCAACGCGTCGAGATGATCAACAGCGAGGAGAAGAAGAAGTGCGTCGTCCCCCCTTTTCATTTGGAGCTGGTCCAAGAGGACGAGCAGGGTGCGGGACGGGCGGTAACTGACACGTGTGCCTCCCTCACGCAGGTCGCGCCTGCTCGAGATCCTCAACAACGGCGGGTTCGAGCCGCCCATGATCGTGTTCGTCAACCAGAAGAAGGGCGCCGACGTCCTGCAGAAGGACCTGCAGCGCTCGAGGGTGCGTCCCGAGACCCTCACTCTCCCCCTTTCGGCTTCTTCCTCCTCCTACTGTTCCCGCTCGAACTGACTCGTCTTCCTCTCTCTCTTCCTCTCGCAAGTGGAACGCCGTCACGCTTCACTCGGGCAAGAACCAGGAGCAGCGCGAGGCGGCGCTCAACTCGATCCGGTCGGGCGAGAACGACGTGCTCGTCGCGACCGACCTCGCCGGGCGCGGTATCGACGTGCCCGACGTGTCGCTCGTCGTCAACTTCCAGATGAGCAACACGATCGAGGCCTACATCCACCGCATCGGTCGCACCGGTCGCGCGGGCAAGACGGGTGTCGCCGTCACGTTCTTGAGCGACGCCGACGAGGAGCTCTTGTGCGTCCTCTCTCTCTCCTTCTCCCTCTTCTTCCTCTCTCCTCTCTTCGTTGAGTGAACTGACTCCCCGTCGCCTCGTCGTCGCCGCACAGCTACGACCTCAAGCAGGAGATCAGCAAGTCGCCCGTTTCGCGCCTGCCGCCCGACCTGGCGCGCCACCCGGCCGCGCAGAGCAAGATGTCGAGCGCCATGAAGCGTCGGGCAGAGCAGCTGGACGAGTAGACGGGCGCGACGAGACGTGAACGAAATGCAGTCGGACTTTCTCTCCTTCTCGAGCGAGGCTTTCTGGGACTCGAGCGAGAGATGGGACAGCGAGCTCGAGGGGACACGGATGCGCAAAGATGCAGAGATGCTACGGCAAAGACAGGGAGAAGGAAAGCTGCGGTGCGACAGGTGTGCGTGCGGGTCGTTCGAGAGAGAGGGACAAAGCGCGAGCGAGAACCCCCCTCCTCATCCTTCACCTCGTCCGCCACCGCCGCCCTCGCCCTCTTGTCCGCCAGCGCTCGCCTCGTCGACTCGTCGTACGCGTGAGGCGGCTCATGCGAGGCCGGCCTTGCGCGCCTTCTTCTGCTCGGCGGCGCGACGCAGCCGCTCCTGCTCCTCGGCGTCCTCCCTCGCCGCGAGTCGAGCCCTGCGCGCAAGAGCAAGTCAGTGTCCTTGTCGATCGATGACCGAGCTGGGAAGGGAAGGGTAAAGAGAGAGAGAGAGAGAGGGACGCACGCCTTCCTCTCCTCCTCGAGCACGTCTCGCCCGGTCGCCTCCATGTTGCTGCTCCCCTCACTGTCCGAGTCGTCGTACTGCTTGCGCTTGACGCCCATGATCTCCCAGATCGTGTCGCGCTGCTTGTGGTTGAGCGACGACTTTTCGCCCGACGACGCCTTGCGGCGCCGCTTGCGCTCGCGCCTGCGAGCCTCGTCCTCGGACGACGACGCCGAGTCGGACGAGGGCGACGCCGACCGCCGCCGTGATGCCGGCTTGCTCGACGATGCGCTCGCGCCGTTCTGAGGCTTTGCACCCGCAAGGCCCGACGACGACGACGACGACGCGGCAGCGCCCTTCTTGGCGCGCATGTCGCGCTCGATCTCCTCGATCGTGCGAGTGTCGCGCTTGACCGTGTTGAGCTTCTGCGGGACGCCCTTGCCGACCGAGGCCATGAGGCGCTGGCGGGTCGAGCTGCCGCTCGCCACGGGTGCGGCGGCGGACGAGGTGGACGACGGGCCGGCCGAGCGAGAGAGGGAGGAAGGGCGAGAGGGCGCCTTGGGCTTGGCGAGAGAGGAGGACGAGGCGCTGGTCGAGGAGGACGAGGGGCGAGAGGTCGACGGCTTGGAGAGGGCGGGCGAGTTGCGGGGCGAGTCGCTCGCGCCTGGCGACGGGCGGGCCGAGGACGCACGCTGCTGCGCCTTGGCGAGCGCAAACGAGCCGCTCGAGGGCTCGTCGTCGCGGAAGAGGGCGGCCTGCTTGCGCCTCGCTCGCTCCTCGCGCGTCAACCCGACTGGCTCCTCCTTCTCCTTGCCCTTCGAGCTCGAACCGTTGGACTTGCTCGACGAGCTCGCCTTGGACGATGACGACTGCGGAAGATGACAGGGTCAGGCGTGTGGCATGAGAATAGGAGACCGGCGAGAAGGGGCGCACCTTGGTCGACGCTCGGGCGCTCGGGAGCAAGTGGTCCTCCTTGCCGTCCGGGTCGAGCCCGCGCTTCTTGCGCTCCTGCTTGAGCGCGTACAGGTTGGTCGTCTTGGGCATCTGCTGCGCCTGGGCCTTCTTGCGCTGCGCCTCCTCGTGCTCCTTGCGCTCGCGCTCCTCGCGCTGCCGCCGCCGCTCCTCGAGGACCCGCTTGGCCTCGGCCTGCTTGCGCGCCTCGGCCGCTGCAGCCGCCTTCTTGGCCTCGGCGCGCTCCTTCTCGACGCGGGCGTGCTCGGCCTGCTCGCGCGCCGTGTTCAGCTTAGCGCGCTCGATGAGCTCGTTGAACTGCGCGGGCGAGGGCGGGGTCAGCTCGTGTTCAGCTCGGAGGGACTGGTGAGATCTGTGAGGTCCGTGTCGCGGCGACTCACGTTCATCTCGGCTGGGCGTGAGCCGTGAGGAGTTGACGTCGACCTCGCGAGGTGGCCACGACGAGGACGAGCAGGCGGTCTTGACGGGGGCGGGTGTTGGGTTGGAGGTACTCTATAGATGCAGCTGAGCACACGCAGACAGGCAGCAGGGGCCCTCGAGCAGTTCTGGCGCGTGAGGTGGTGAGGATGAGGGAGAGGGAGAGGGGAACCTGCTCCTGCTCGTCTCCCACCACTCGAGCGCTGAGCGACTATCCAGCAGAGCTCTCCAGAAGCACAGCCTCGCGCGAAGCACCGCCGTCTTTACCGCGCACGCCCTCGAGCCCGCCTCGCTCCTCCCCACTCAGCACCGCCTCGTTCACCGACAACAGCCTCGCGCGCTCGCCATGGACTCGTCCGTCTTTGTCGAGTACGAGACGGACCTCGTCACCGTCCTCAAGAGCGTCGGCGACAAGATCGCGAGCGAGGCTCACTCGCTGCGAGGAGGTGCGTCGACCGTTCCACGCCGACTCGTCTCTCGCCCGCCTCGACCCTCGGGACTGACCTTGCGCGCCTCGCAGATGAACGTAAGACGCTTCTGAGCCGGCTAGGCCGCGAGCTGGACGAGGCCGACGAGATTGTGCGTGTCCTCTCTCTCCTCGTCTCTTTGCGCATCCTCGCTGACCTCGTTTCGCCCTCCCGTAGATCGAGCAGATGCAGCTCGAGGCGCAGACGGCCGACAAGGACGACAAGGTCGAGTTCCAGGGCAAGCTGCGCAATCATCGGGCTACGCTGGCGCGGCACAAGGGCGAGATTGTGCGTCGGCTCGTATGTCCCTCCGCTCGACGCGCCCGACCTGACCAGCCCTCTGCCCGTCCACAGAAGGCCCTCGCGACCAGCGCCGACCGCGATGCGCTCCTCGCCACCCCCTCCTCCTCGGCACCACGCGGCGACCACGTCGCCCTCGAGATGGACTCGCGGTCCGGCTCGCCGTCGTTCGCCCAGGCGCAGCGCCTCCTGTCGGCGACCGACAAGCTTGCCGATGGTCAGCGACGACTCGAGGAGAGTCATCGAGTCGCGCTCGAGACCGAGGACCTCGGGACGGGCATCTTGCGGGACTTGAGGGGCCAGAGGGAGACGCTCGAGCACACGAGGGACACGGTGCGTCGCCGTGCCGCCGCTCGTCGACCTTTACCGGGTCGAGTCTGATTCTTCCACGTCGCACGCAGCTGTACGAGGCGGACGGGTCGATCGACCGGGCGGCGGGCACGCTCAAGAAGATGATGCGGAGGCGAGTCGACCCTCTCATTCTCTGAGCCGCGGCGCCGGCTTGCGACCGCGGCAACTCTTCCCGCCGTCCTCTCACTGACTCTCTCGACCGTCTCGCAGAGCCTCGCAGCAGCGGCTAGTGACGTACGCGATCCTGGCGCTCCTCGTCCTCCTCATGTGCGTCGCGATCCTCGCCTTCTTTCCGTCCGTGCTACGGCTCGGACACCCCGCTCACCCGTCCTCGTCCTCGCCCTCCACAGTCTGTACGTCCTCGCCTCGAAGCTGTTTGGTTGAGTCGAGGGCCACGTGTGCAACGACGACGAGTGCTTAATCTGTTGAGCCGGCGCGAGAGCGCGAGCGGGAGAGGCCCGTGCGACCGAGGCCCCCTCGAGAGCGGAGAGTGCGGCGTGCCAAGCCCCGCTGCTTCAGGCACGGCTTCTGCCCCTGTGAGCGATGTGCGGCGTGCGCTGCGCCGCTGCGGTGAGCAGAACCGGGCGAGTCGGTCAAGGAGAACTCGGCGAAAATTGAGCCGCCCGTCCTCCCCACCCCGGCTTCCGGCTCGATGGGTCTCCTCAGCCTGTCCTGCTCAGGGCGCGTGCGCGATCGGAACTCCCGCCCACCCTGGCGCCCCGGAATTTAGCCGTCTCCCCGCTCGCGAGCGAGCGTTCCCCTCGTCCTCCTCCTCCTCCTCTCGACCCTCTTGCTCGCTCCACCACATCCGCATCTTCCAGCAACCATGAGCGGCAGCTTCCATGGAGAGTACGCCGACGAGAAGGCCGTCATCGAGCAGGTCGAGCAGGTGCGCCCGCTCTCGCTCTCGGTCCGCACCTACCCGCCGACTCGTCCACCTCGACATCTCGTCGTCCTCAACGACTTCTGACACTTGCTCGACGTCCACAGATCGCTACTGGACGCGCCGAGATCGACCCGGTTGCCGAGAAGCGCCTTCTGCGCAAGCTGGACCTCATCATTCTCCCTCAGTCCGTCCGACCTTCCTCTACCCCTCTCTCTCGCCTCAGCGCACGCCCTGACGTCTCCTGCTAAGGGTTACCCTGCTCTTCCTCCTCAACTTCATAGACCGTAGCGCAGTAGGCAGGTCTATGCCCTTTCCTGCCTTCGAGGAGGTCGAGTAGAAGGTCGAGGAGGAGATGGGGCGAGGGGAGATGAACTCGGGCTGACCTTCTCTTTTTCCCTCTTTCCCAGGCAATGCTTCGGCAGCCGGCTTCCAGAAGGACCTCAAGCTGTCGGTCCCCAAGTAGTGAGCCAGTCCCGCCGTCACCTCGTCCTCCTCAACGCGCACTGACCCTCGTCCTCTCCCTCCCTTCTTTTCCCCCTCCCTTCCTCCCTCCTTCCTCCAGCGAGTACAACGTTGCCCTCATGGTCTTCTACATCTTCTACATCATCGGCGAGAGTGCGTCCTCCACGCCCTCGTCGTCCTCGCGTCGCAGCCTCGTCCCTGACCTTCTCGGCCACAGTTCCCTCGAACCTGGTCCTCAAGAAGGTCGGGTCCAAGTGGCTCTCGTTCCTGTGCATGGCGTTCGGCGCCGTCACTATCGGCTCGGCCTGGGTCCACAACTTCCAGACGTTCCTCGGCGTCCGCATCCTGCTCGGCATCTTCGAGGGAGGCGGTGAGTATTCGCACTTCTCCCTCATGCCCACGCACCCCTCGTTCAGGCCCTCCTTTCCTGCGCTGACCCGGCTCTCTCCCACGCAGTCATCCCCGGCATCGTGTACCTCTTGACGAGGTTCTACACCCGTCAGGAGCTCGCTTTCCGCGTCGGCGTCTTCCTGTCCCTCGGGCCCGGCCTGTCAGGAGCGTTCGGTGGCCTTTTGGCCGCCGGTTTCCTCAACGCGAGCGTCGGATCGCTGCGTACCTGGCAGAAGATCTTCGTCTGCGAGGGAATCATCAGTGCGTCCCCTCCCTCTCATCGCCGTACGGACGACCTGACCTTCTCCTCTCCACAGCCTGCGGATACGGCATCATCTCGTTCTTCATCATCCCGACGTCGCCCGAGTCGACGCGCTGGCTCAACGAGGAGGAGCGCGCGCTCGCCGTTCGCCGCCTCGAGATCGAGCACCTCGGCCAGGTCCACGAGAAGACGACGACCAAGGCGGTCCTCAAGGCCATCGCCAACCCGTTCACCTGGGCCTGTACGTTTGCCTACGGCTTCATCAACGTGCGTCCTCAGTTTCTCTCCCTCGTGGCCGTCGGCCGGCCCTTCTCTCTCATGGCCTTCCCTCGCTCACACGTCCTCCTCCTGCGCTACAGGTCATCGTCCAGGGTACCTCGCTCTTCCTCCCGACCATCATTGCCGGCCTCGGCAAGTACACGACGACCGAGGTTCAGCTGCGCTCGGTTCCGCCCTACATCGTCAGCGCCGTCTGGGCCGTCGGCGTCTCGTACATCTGCTGGAAGACGAAGCGCCATGGCCTGTGCATCGCGTCGTCGGTCGTCCTCTCGTGTGTCCTCTTCTTCCCGTCTTCTTGTGGGCACGGCAGTCGCTAGACAACTCTGACTCGTTCTTTTCGCCCGCGCAGCATCATCGGCTACATCATGTTCCTCGCCAGCGACAACCCCAAGGTCCTCTACGGCGCCTCGTTCCTCACGTTCACCGGCGCCCTGCCATGCGGGCCCTTCTTCCTCGCCTGGGCGACCGCGAACGCCGGCAGTCCTACCGCCCGCGCAGTTACTGCTGCCATCGTTCCGGCATGGGGAAGTTGGGGCAGCATGGCTTGCACCTGGCTATACTTTTACGTCGAGCTTCTCCTGTTTCTCCCGCGTCGGGCGGGTCTCAGAGGCCGAGTCATGGCTTCGGGTTGGTCGAGAACCGGTCCTGACCCTTTGCCTCCCCTTTCCCCCTCCCTCTCTCACAGGCCTCAGTACAAGCCTCGCTACATCCCGGGCAACTCCTTCAACGTCGCTAGCGGCGCGTGCGCCGCCCTTATCGCCATCGGCCTCACCCTCTACTGCCAGTGGGAGAACCGGCAGCGCGACGCCGGCCGACGCGACCACCGCCTCGAGGGCCTCACGCCCGAGCAGGCTCGCGACCTCGGTTACCGTCACCCGTCGTACCGCCTCCTCATCTAGGTGTGCGCCGAGCGCGTCGGCCAAGGTCGAGGAGGAGGAGGAGGATCATTTTCCGGATAGTCTCGTCGGCGCCCTCGGCCGCTCTAGACCTTTGTCTCTCTTCTTCGGTAGCTGTACTAGTCACAATGAACCTTTCTGCTGCGCTACACGGGCCCTGAAAGCGAGAGAGAAGAGAACGTCGAGCAGAAGATGCAACTTGAGAAGGTCGCTGAGTCGCCGCCGCGCGCTCGGGCCTCGACCGACTCTCGCTCGCCTTCTGCCGCTCAGCTGGCCCCTGCCGACTCTGACGGCCGTGACGAGCTTAGCAGAGAAGCCGAGGCTCAGCAGGAAGGCACAGCTCGCCCGTCGAGATCGTCGAAAGCCCGCCGAGCCATCGTGCTTCTCGCGCTCTCTGCTGCGGCGATGTCGACTTGCTCGAGCGCCTTCTCGCAGCTGAGGAACTCTCGAGCTCTCTCGCTCAACGAGGGGCAGCCGCAAGCTCGGGAATGTGGCATTGCAGAGTCTACTCGGGCACCCACCGCTCGGGAAACGAGCACTCGACCATCTCGGGCTTGAGGTCGGCAAGCGTGTTGGCGCCGAGCAGCCGCATCGCCATGTGCACCTCGGCCTCGAGGATCTCGACCGCCTTGCTGACGCCCTCGTGGGCGTACACCGACTGGGCGTAGAGGAACGGCCGGCCAAAGCCGACGCCGCGAGCGCCGAGGCAGAGCGCCTTGACGACGTCGGTGCCTCGTCGTGCGCCGCCGTCGACGTACACCTCGAGTTTGCTGAGGAGCTCGGGGCGCTTGCGCCGCACCTCGATGAGGACGTCGAGAGGGGCTCGTGCGCCGTCGAGTTGACGACCGCCGTGCGTGCTCTGCGAGGCGAGGACAGGGAGGCCGTCAGTGGGGGCTGAGGGAGAGACCTCGCTCGCTCGTCGTGCCCCTCAGTCGCCATGAGAGGTGACATCGAGGCTGAAGGGAAAGAGGAAAGGGAGGACGAGGGACGTACGAGGACGACGCCATCTGCCCCGTACTGATGCGCCAGCTCGACGTCCTCGACGCAGCCGACGCCCTTGATGACGATGGGCACGCCCGGGGCGCGCTCCCGAATCCAGGCGATGTCTGCAGAGTTGAGAGAAGGGTCAGTGGGCCGCCTCGAGAAGGGAACGGTCGAGACTGTGCCGCACCGTCCCAGTTCAGGTTGGCGTCGATGTGTGCGTCTGCGCCGCAGAGATGAGGAGTCAGGAAGAGGCTCTGCAGCGAGTCGAGGGAGGAGAGAGAGTAGAGACGCACTGTCGGGGATGTCGGACACGCCGCGCTTGCCAACCGAGGCGTCGAACGCGGCGACCTTGCTGCCCGCCTCCTTGAATTGCTGCGAGCGGGCGAGAGGGTCAGTCTGTGTCCAAAAGCTGCCGCACGAGAGGGAAGGAAAGCTCGAGGAAGGACGAGGACGCACCGCCGCGATCGGGTGCTCGTAGTTCTGCGAGCGGGCCTTGAGCTTGAGGTCACGCTCGCGCTTGCCGAGGACAGGGACGTCGACGGTGACAAAGATGGCCCTTGCGCCGAGCTCGAGCGCCTTCTTGAGTTTCTGCTCGGCGAGCTCCTTGTCGCTGTTGACGTAGAACTGCCACGCGAGGTTCTGCTCGGGCTCCTTGACGGCAAAGATCTCGTCGATCGAGCAGCTCGCGCCCGATGACACGACCTGGAGGATGTTGTGCGGCGCGACGCCGCGAACGATGTTCTGCTCGCCGTCCGGGTGGCCGAGACGAGCGAGGCCTGCCGGAGCGACAAAGATCGGGAGCGGCGTCTGCAGGCGACACTGAGTCGTGAGCGACGCTCGAGGAGGCTCTGGACGGGCAGGAGAGTAGATAAGAGGATGAGGGACGCACAGGGATACCGCAGAAGGTCGTGTTCGTGTCGATGTGCCGCATCTTGCGGAGGACGCGAGGGCGGAAGCGGACCCTCTGCCACGCGTCCCGCTCGTCTCGTAAAGCTGCAGGGCGGTCGAGACGTCAGTATCGGACCTTGTGAGAAAAGAGGAAGGGTCGAGAGAGCTCACTTTGCTCCGTTTCGGCTGCAAAAAGGTTCTCGAGGTCAGCCCTTGGTCGAGGTCAAAGACGGCTCGGACGCACAACCGGTGCCGTAGTACGCGACGGCCATGTCGCTGAGGATCGCCTGGGCGAGCTCCTCGAACTCGTCGATGCTGACGACCTGCGCAGGAAAATCGAGGGTCAGTGCGTCGAACGCTCAAGGAGGAGGGAAGGGTCGGCCAGTCGACGCACCGTGTCGACGTTGCGCAGCTCGTTCCTCGCCATCTCGATGCGCAGGTCCTCGGCGTTCTTGCCGCCGCCGATCTTGGTCACCTCGTCGACGGCGATGCGGCCGACGAGGTTGTCCTCCTCGGACAGGAACTTGCGCAGCGTGTTGGGCGGGTGGAGCGACTTGAACAGCTTGGTGACATCTTTGCCGGCGTTCTGCTCCATGACCTTTGCGCCGCCAGGCTGCAGAGGGGCGTGTACCGGGGCAAGATTCAGTCGAGAATCGGGAGGAGGAGGAAGACGAGGAGAGCGGCCGGCGCACGTGCAGGTCGACAAAGTTCGTGACGCTGCGGGTCGCTAGTCGTCAGGATACAGGCTCGTACTGAGGAGTAGAGAAGAGTCGACGCACTCCCACACCTCGTCGTCGATACACATCCACAGCGACTCGCGCGAGTTGTGCTTGGCGACCTCGGCCGCCGAGATGGTGCGCTCGCCCTTGCGGCGCTCGACGACAGGTAGCCGTCCAGGTGCATCGAGAAGCACCGGTGACCGCGAATAGAGGTAGAGCTGCAGAGACAGAGGAGCGTGAGCGGTCGTTCTTGCTCTCGAGGTTCGAGGAGAGAAGGGCGGCGACGGACCCCTGCGGTCGCGACGGCCAAGGCCGCTCCTGCACCGACTCCCCACTGGAACGACTGGCTGCTCGAGCTGGCGTACGGGCGTGGTGCGGTTGAGCGAGGGCGGGGTCGCGGCGGGTGAAAGGCGAGCGGCGGCGGGCGGGGCGCAGGGGTGCGCAGAGCGAGTCGGGGCGGCATGTCGAGGAGTGCTGGAGCTGCGCGGTGCTATGCTCGAGCTGGCGTGAGCTGTGCTGAGGCTGCTTCTCGCGCCGTGCGTGCGCGCTGCCCTCGAGGCCGGATCTGCGTGGGGGACCGCGCCGGCGGTTCGGCCGGCTCGAGCGTCCGAGTGGAGCCGCGTCGGCAAAGGGCTGCCGACGTCGTTCTGGGCTCGTTCCACGCTCGTTCGGCACGCGCTGCCGACTCGCACACAGCGCGATCCACTCGGGCTCGGTAGCCAGCCTCCGCCCCGCTCGCCCCTCTCGTCCGGAACCGCCGCCCCCGCTCAGCTGCTCGACCGAGCGGCGAGCCGGTTCACTCTCTCGCTCTTGTTTGCTTCGCCGCTTCGCACCACTCGCACACCAGCTGGTCCAGCTCAGCTCTCGTCTCATCGCACACCCAGCTCGCTCTCCTCTCCTTCGACTCGACCCACCACCCTCTACAATTTCGCACCATGGTCGCGCCTCAGTCGTCGACGTACCCTCGCACCGACTTTCCCGAGGACCTCGAGTGCCACCCTCTGCTCGTCGTCGACTACGCCAAGGTCGCTGCGGGCGACGAGCAAGAGATCGACCAGCTGTACCAGGCGTGCACGGCTCTCGGCTTCTTCTACCTCAAGCACCATGGTGTCGAGGACCTCACCGAGCCCATGTTCGCCATGGGCAAGGCGACGTTCGAGCTTCCCGACGACGAGCTCATGCCGTTCGAGCAGGGCGACAGCGGCATGAGCGCCGGGTACAAGCGCGCTGGGTCGACCAACGTCGACGCCAAGGTGCGCTCCCTTCTCGCCGCCGTTGCTCCCTCCCGCATCGAGATACTTACCCTCCTTCGAGCACGCAGGGCAACGTCGACACGGTGCACTTCATCAACGTCGCGAAAGACGACGCGCTCGCCTTCCCCGACGTCAAGCAGCGCACTTATCCTCGGACCGTGGTCGAGCGCATGGACACGGTCACGGCCTTCGTCCGCAAGTGTGCGTCCCTGCCATGTCTCTCTCAGTGTGTCAGAGCGACCTGACGACATCCCCTCGCAGCCGACGACGTCCTGCAGACGCTCATGGCCGCGCTCGAGCCTCGGCTTGGCCTTCCCAAAGGAACGCTCGCCGCCCTGCACAAGGAGGGCGATATCTCGGGCTCCGAGTCGCGCTGCATCCTCAAGCCGGCCGAGGGCGACAAGGGCTATCTCCCCGAGGGCAAGGGCGACGATGGGAACCCGGCGGCAGCGATTGGGTTCGTCCTCGTCCTCTCTCTCTCTCTCTCTCTCTCTCTCTCGCCACTTCTCGCTCTCGCCGGGTGACCTCCTGACTCGAGCCACCCTCCCGCAGCGCACACACCGACTTTGGCGTGAGCTTTCGAGCCTTGACCGACGACCGCCTCCACGCCACGCCCTGCCCGCTCGGACCCGTCCTCTGACTGACCTCGCCTTCCTCTCCCTCTCGTCCCTCTCTCTCCTCTTCGGTTCTGCAGTCCTGTACGTCCTCTCTCTCCCCCTCTCTCTTCTCGTCGACCGTCTCGAGCCACCAACTCATGCTTCGTCCTCTCTCGCAGTCTCGATGCTGCACGGTCGCGGCTGCGGCGGCCTCCAGGTCCTTCCTCCCGGCACGACCAAGTGGCAGCACATCCGCCCCCTTCCCGGACACGCCGTCTGCAACGTCGGCGACACGCTGTCGGTGTACTCGGGCAACATCTTCAAGTCGAACGTGCGTCGCTCGTTCTCTCGGTCCCCGAGCCTCTCCTCGTATCGTCACTGACCCTCTCCTTCTGCCGCCTCAGATCCACCGCGTTATCCCTCCCCCTCCTCCGCAGAACAAGGACCCTCGCTGGTCGCTCGTCTACTTCCTCCGTCCCGGCTTCGACAACCCGCTCGCGCCGCTGTCCGACAAGTCGGACCTCATCCGCCAGCACGCCGAGCACGACCCGGCGATGCAGGCGTTGCCCAAGGGCGAGACGGCCGGAGCTGGTTCAAGCGGCGCGTCACGAAGCAGCGCGCGGCGAACAGGAAGGGGCCCGAGACGTGGGCCGCCTCGCGAGGGACCGAGCGTGCGTCCCCCTCACCTCCTGCCCCTCTGTCGAGCATTGGACTAAACCTCCGAGTCGCCTGCAGACACGCCCGACAAGGCTTGAGGGAGGGCTCGACCGCGTCGCCGCGTGTTTTGGTAGGTCCGGCTCGATGCAGTGCAGCTCTTGGTCACAGAGTGCCAGTTCCGAAAGCAGCGCTTCGCGAGTGCCTCGAGATGAGCTACTTCGAGTGACTGACAGCGTGCGAGCCGCTCTGAGCGCGAGAGAAGCTCGCGTGAGCGAGCGAGTGATGAGAATCTGAGAGCAGGAGGACGTGACGGGGAGCCCTCGCCGAGACTCGTTGCTCGGCCGAGCAGCGAGCATAGAGCAGCTGAAGCTCACAGCCGAGCGTCCAGCCGACCCCAGCGGCGCGGTCGTGCGAGGAGCGGGCTGAAGGAGGAGGGCGGTGAGGAAGTGGGGGACAGCTCTCCTCCGCCCCCCTCACTCACTCGTCCAGTCCAGCCTCGACTCGCAGCCCAGCCTGAACTCTCTCAGCCGCCTCCTCACCCCGACTGAGCCCGCCGCCGCCCCCAGCCGCCGCCTCGTCGCCATGCCCTCCGCCGTCGCCGCCTGGAACCCGGCCCGCGCCAAGATCCAGCTCCGCCTCGCGATCCAGCGCGTGCGCCTCCTCGCGCAGAAGCGCACCCAGCTCGCCAAGTCGACCCGCCGCGAGGTGGCCGCGCTCGTCGAGAAGGGCAAGCTCGAGTCGGCCAAGATCAAGGTCGAGGGCTTGCTCAGCGAGGACCTCTACGTCGAGCTCCTCGAGGTGCTCGAGCTGTGCGTCCCACTCCTTTCACTCAGTCTCGCGAGGTGGCGGGAGCCGACAGGCTAACACGCGCCTTCCCCTTGGCAGGTACTGCGAGCTCCTCCTCGCGCGCTTTGGGCTCCTCGAGACGGTCAAGTACGTCCTCCTTGACACTCAGTCCTTCATCCAACCCCTACTGACTCGATGTCTGTTGCGCAGGGAGATCGACCCGGGCGTGCAGGAGGCGGCCGCCGGCATCATCCACGCTGCACCGAGGTGCGTCCTCTGCTTCCCTCCTCCTCGACGACCGCGCGCGGCCTCGAGCTGACACTTGTCCCACCCGACACAGAACGGAGCTCAAGGAGCTGCACGTCCTGCGCGAGATGCTCATGTCCAAGGGCGGGCGCGACTTTGCCATCGCCTGCATCGACAACCTCGACGACATTGTGCCGGCACGAGTGCGTCCACGTTCGCTCCCCCTCGTGACACACCAGACTTACGTACACTGTACTTCGCGACAGGTGACGTCGAAGCTCAAGGTCGACACGCCCGCGCCAGAGCTCGTCGAGCTGTACCTTTACGAAATCGCGCGGGCAGTGCGTCGCTTCTCCTCCTCGCAGTGTTTCTCGACAGACGTTCAGCCTGACCCTCTGTCATCCTTGCAGTACGCGGTCGACTGGCGACCCGAGGGCTACCCCGACCCGAATGCGCCGCCGCCGCTTGAGCAGCCTGCAGTGCGTCCACTCTCCCTCTTTCGCTCGGCGCACTTCCCGGCTCACACACGTTTTTCGACAGGCTCCCGTCGCACAAGCCGCACCTCAATCGTCGTCGTCGATTCCGCCTTCAACGCCGACAAAGGCGCCCGCTGTCCCGCCCTTCGACACGAACCTCCCCGTGACGCCGCCCGTCGACCCGGCAAAGGCCAAGGACGCGACCGTCGTGCGCACCAACCTGCCCCCTGCCGCCGCGAGCGCCGTTGCGCCCGCTGCACCGGCGACGACGGCGCCGCCGCCGCCTCCTGCTGCGCCGGCGAGGGAGGAGGACGCGTTCGAGGCGCTGCAGAAACGGTTCGCCGAGCTCAAGCGGCGGTGAGCGCGACGTAGAAGGGGTCTCGTGCAATGTCTGTCGTACTGTCCGTTTCGTTCGCGCACAAAAGAGCTCGAGAACGAGAGATGGTCGGCTTGACCGCTCGCGCTCGCCGACCCGCTCGGAGGCTTGTCTCTCGCTCGCTTCTCGTTACAGCGCTCGCCGACCGCGCAAGCTCTCGCCAGCAGTCGCACATGTACGGTCGAGGTGCGCACAGCTCCCCCTGCCTCTGCCCAAGCCATGCACGAAGCCTCGGACTCACCTCCCTCATCTCGCTCGTTCGCAGCTCCTCGGCAGGACAACGGCTACGGCGCACGGGCGGCCCAGGGCGCGCAGCGCAGCCCTCAGGGCTACGGCGGCGGTCCTCCCACCGGTCCGCGCCACGCCGGGCTCGGGTCCGTCGGCGCACCCTCATCCCTCCCTGGCCGCCCCTCGAACCTCCCGCCGACGCCGATGGGCGCAGCAGCCCCGCCCGGCACCTCGCCACCCGTCGATGGAGGTGCGGCAGGCGCGCTCGGCATGCAGGCGGCGGCGCAGGGCGAGCGCTTCAGCTTGTTCGTCGGCACCATCGTCGACGGCCTCGAGAACGCCTGGCTCGAGCGCATCCTCGGTGTGCGTCCACTCTCTCCCCTCTCTCGTGCTCTCCAGGCGCACCCACTTTTGAGCCGAGCTGACCGCCGGATCTACCCCTCGCAGGTCGCTGGTCCCGTCCTGTCGTTCCGCCGCCCGGCGCCCTCCATGGCGTTCGTCGAGTTCGGCGACGCCGAGTCGGTCCTGCGCGCGCTCGAGGTCGTGCACGGCGCCAACATCAAGACGAAAGCGGGAGCCGAGAAGGCGCTCCTCGTCAAGGCCGACGAGAAGACGAGGGGTCGGCTCGACGAGTACGAGAAGGAGCGCGTCAAGGCCGAGGTGCGCCCCTCTGTCCCTCTCTCTCTGTCTCGCGCAAAATCTACGGAAACTGACCCAGAGACGCCTGCAGAACACGGACGACCTGACCGAGCAGGCCAAGGGCGACCTCGCCAACATCCTCACCCGCATCGCCAACGGCGACCCGGTCACGGCGCACGACGACGACCCCAACGCCGACCCGGCCGACCGTAAGCCCCGCATCCCGCAGCACCTAAAGGACCTCGCGCCCGAGGACCTGCCCGAGAGCCACCGCGACAGCACGCTCAGCTCGATCGCCTCGTTCCGCCAGGCGGCGCAGAAGAAGGCCCAGGCCAAGCACGACCTCGACCGCCAGATCGAGGAGCGGCGCCAGGCCGCCATCGCCGAGAGCGTCCGCCTGCAGCACCAGCCGGCGCGACACGGCCCTGCCGGCTCGCCGCCTCTCGCCGCCTCGCCGGCGCCGTCGAGCGCAACCGCGGCGGCGCAGGACCCGCAGAGCTTCAACCGCCCGGTGGCGTTCGTCGCTGGGACGAGCAGCGGCGCGACGGCGCCGCTCAAGCCCCTGTCGGAGCTGGACGACGCGCGGCAAGAGCGGGACCGGGCAGAGCGCGAGTACCGCCAGGCCGAGGGCGTGTTCCGGGCTGTGCGTCTCCTCTCTCTTCCTCTCTATTGCCTCGTCCCGCCCTCGAGAGCGCGCATACTGACAGTATCTCTCACCCCGACCTGCAGCGCGAGCGGCAGTTCGAGGCTCGCGAGCGGGCACGGATCGCGGCGTGGGAGCGGGAGCAGGCGCGCGAGCGAGGTGCGGCAGAGCAGGAGGAGCGCGACCGGGCGTACATGGCGGACCGGCTCGCCAGGTGGGACGACGAGCACGAGGCGGAGCGCGGCCGAGAGGCGTTCTACACCGACCGGTGCGTCCCTCTTTCTCTCCCTCCTCTCCTCCTCTCGATCCTTGCGCACTTGTTGCCTGAGTCGACAACTGACGATGCTCCTTCATCCTGTCGCAGGTTGCGGTGGCGGGCTCAGCGCCGTCCGATACGTCTGCGCGAGCAGGAGGCAGACGAGCGCGACCGGGCCCTCGAGGCGCAGCAGCTCGCCGCGCTCGAGGCCCAGTCCGAGTCGTTCCTCGCCCAGCACGTCGACCTCCTCGCGTCGTCGCTCCCGACACCCGTCACCGCCGGCGAGCCGGGCACGGGCGGCTCGTCGACGCCGCTCGCCGTCAAGCTCAACTTTAGCGCCGCTGCGCCTAAACCCTCTGCGGCCGAGGCGCCGAAACCTCGTCCGACGGCCGTCACGCTCCTCGAGGACGACGACGAGTCGCAGCGCAAGAAGCGCGCCCTGATCCCGCTCGAGTACTCGGACGACGAGGGCGAGGACCGCCCGAGGTTGTCGCGCGGCGAGGCCGAGCGCAAGGCGAGCGAGATCGAGGCGCGTGTCCCGGCCGACAAGGAGGGCCTTTGGGCATGGAAGGTGCGGTGGAAGCGCCTGAGCGAGGTGCGTCGACCCGTTTCTCCTCTCCCCCTCGTCCGCCTTCTCACCCTCGAACCCGGGACTGACCCGGCCGTCTCGCAGGACATGGTCAAGGACAAGATCGCGCCATTCGCCAACAAGGCCATCGTCGGCTACCTCGGTGCCGAGGAGCCCGAGCTGCTCAACGTCGTGCGCGAGTACCTGCGCGACCACAAGGCGGCGCAGGAGCTTCTCGACGAGCTCGAGCCTGTGCGTCTCCCTCTCCCTCTCTCTCTCCCCTCCTTTCCCTAGCCTCGACGAAAAGCTCACTCCTGCTCCTCCCTGCAGGTCCTGGACGAGGACGCGACCGACTTTGTCGTCAAGGTGTGGCGCCGGCTCGCCCTCGAGACCGAGTTCGCGCATGCGGGCGTCGTCCTCTAGTCTCGCCATGTACCACCACCAGTGCGCCTCGTCACTCCCTCTCTCTCTCTCTTTCCCTTCCTGCCTGCGGCGAGGGACCGAGGTGCAGCTTGACGTGCGTGCCCAGGAGCCAGCGAGAGGTCGCCGCGAGGTCGATGCGACGGTGCGCCCCTGGCCTCTCTCTCTCTCTGTCTCTCTCCCTCTCTCGTACATCGTCGACAGCATGCCCTGCAACGTCCTCAACTCTCTGTGCGACCTTCAGAGACTCTCTCGAGGCTGCGCGAGAGAGAGAGAGAAGGAAAAGAGCGAGTTGCAGATTCATCGAGAGCGGCACGGCGGGCTTTGGAACAAATTTCGGGCTCGACACGACCTTTACTCCTTGTTCGGGTCGTCTGCGAGAGAGAGAGAGGCAGGCGAGGTCAGGTCTGACCGGGAGAGAGAGGGAGAGCCAGACGACGCACGCTCGGTCCCCCTGGACGCCTTCCAGCTCTCGGGGCCCGTCCGGTTCGCGACGCGCTGCATCTTGATCCTGCGCTTGTACCAGCTGCCGGCCGTCTCGCCCTTGGGCAGGGCCTGCATCGCCGCGTCCTGTGCGGCGTGCGCCCGGATCTTGTCCGACTGGTCGACGAGCGGCGTCAAGGGCTGGTCGAACCCGGGACGGAGGAAGTAGACGAGCGACCAGCGAGGGTCCTTGTTCTGCGGAGGAGGGGGAGGGATGACGCGGTGGATCTGAGGCGGCAGAAGGAGGGGGTCAGTGACGATACGAGGAGAGGCTCGGGGACCGAGAGAACAAGCGACGCACGTTCGACTTGAAGATGTTGCCCGAGTACACCGACAGCGTGTCGCCGACGTTGCATACGGCGTGTCCGGGAAGGGGGCGGATGTGCTGCCACTTGGTCGTGCCGGGAGGAAGGACCTGGAGGCCGCCGCAGCCACGGCCGTGCAGCATCGAGACTGCGAGAGGAGGACGGGGCGTGAGTTGTTGGCTCGAGACGGTCGAGGACGCGAGAGGGGGAGAGAGAGGACGTACAGGACTGCAGAGTCGACCAGGAGAGAGAGAGGGACGGGAGGGAGAGGAAGGCGAGGTCAGTCAAGGGACGGGTTCGAGCGGGCACGGCGTGGAGGCGGTCGTCGGTCGAAGAAGGCTCGAGAGCTCACGCCAAAGTCGGTGTGTGCGCTGCAGGAGGGCGGCTCGAGTCAGTACGTCACCGGGCGAGAGCGAGAAGTGGCGAGAGAGGAAGAGAGGGAGAGGACGAACCCAATCGCGGCCGCCGGGTTTCCGTCGTCGCCCTTGCCCTCGGGGAGGTAGCCCTTGTCGCCCTCGGCCGGCTTGAGGATGCAGCGCGACTCGGAGCCCGAGATGTCGCCCTCCTTGTGCAGGGCGGCGAGCGTCCCTTTGGGAAGGCCAAGCCGAGGCTCGAGAGCGGCCATGAGCGTCTGGAGGACGTCGTCGGCTGCCAGGAGATGTCGTCAGGTCGCTCTGACACACTGAGAGAGACACGGCAGGGACGCACACTTGCGGACGAAGGCCGTGACCGTGTCCATGCGCTCGACGACCGTGCGGGGGTAAGTGCGTTGGCGCACCTCCGGGTACGCGAGCGCGTCATCTTTGGCGACGTTGATGAAGTGAACCGTGTCGAGGTTGCCCTGCCGACAGCGTAACGCGTCAGGGAAGGACGGGGCGAAGGAGAGAGGGGAGAGGGGGAGGCGCACCTTGGCGTCGACGTTGTTGAGGCCGGCCTTCTTGTACCCGGCGCTCATGCCGCTGTCGCCCTGCTCGAACGGCATGAGCTCGTCGTCCGGGAGCTCGAACGTCGCCTTGCCCATGGCGAACATGGGCTCGGTCAGGTCCTCGACACCATGGTGCTTGAGGTAGAAGAAGCCGAGGGCCGTGCACGCCTGGTACAGCTGGTCGATCTCTTGCTCGTCGCCCGCAGCGACCTTGGCGTAGTCGACGACGAGCAGAGGGTGGCACTCGAGGTCCTCGGGAAAGTCGGTGCGAGGGTACGTCGACGACTGAGGCGCGACCATGGTGCGAGTCGAGAGGGTGGTGGGTCGAGTCGAAGGAGAGCTGGTCGGAAAGGGTGTGTGCTCGAGCTGCGAGACAGGTGCAGCAGATGCTAGAGAAGTAGAGAGTCGTCGAGAGAGGGAGCAAGGTCGAGAGGTCGAAGTGGGGGCGGAGACGGCGAGCCGGAGCGGCCGCTTCTCCCACGCGCTGCCGAGCCTCAGCGCTCGTTTTCTGCGGCCCGTGTCGATCGTTCGGCAGGTAGCTCGGCAAGTTCTCCAGGTCAAGGGGGAACTCGCTCGAGCAAGAGGAGGAAAGGTCCGCGCGTCGACGGTCACTCCTCGAGCGCTCGCGCGGCTCGGGCCGCGCACGGACAGCGAGTGTCACCGTGCTGCTCCACGTTTCGCCCGCGAGAGAGTCGAGACGAGATGCTCACGCTCGGCGACCGCCGCACGGCTGCGCGAGCGAGCGCTTGTGACGAGAGCAGCTCGACGCAGCTTGCACAGGCAGCCAGGCCACTGTGGCTCGCTCGCTATCGACCCGCGAGGTGCCGCTGAAGAGCGATGACGAGAAAGAGCGAGAGAAGCCGGGTGAGGAGGAGGAGGAGGTGAACCTCGACCACACCACCTCGAGACCGCGTCGCACTGCTGCGAGCATGTCGCTGTACGGCGGGATCAGCTTCAAGAGCGCAGCCAAGCCAGCAGCAGAAGCTCCCGCCGCGCCAGCTGCTGCCGCCGTCGCTCCTCCTCCTCCGCTCGACGCCCGAGGCACCGAGTCTCCCGTCGCGACGACACCCGCAGACGACAAGCCCAAGCGTGCGTCCACTTTCCAGCCTCTCAATGGAGAGACCGAGCCGCTCACGGACTCTCCACACGCAGCGGCCGCCTGGTCTGCCGCCCTACGCTTCGCCCCCACCGCTCGCAAGAAGCCCGCAACGACCTCATCTCGCCCACCAGTCGCCGCTCTTCGTGCCGCATTCAGCGCAGTCGACGATGACGCCGTCGCCGCCGTGCCCGCCAACGCCGCAGGACCGCGCATCGCCGCCGTCGGCAAGGCGAGCCTGACGGCCAACCCGGACAAGGCGCCGCCGCCGTCCAAGTGGAGCGCCGTGACGAGGACCGCCGTCGACGTCAAGCCGTTCGCCAGCTCGAGCTCGACGAGCGGCACGTCGACCCCGGCGGCGAGGACGGGCAGCCCTGCAGCCGGCGGCGCACCGACCGCGACTCGTGCCCGGCGGGTCATCGCCGTCCCGCCCGCCATGGTGCTCGAGGACGACGTCGGCGACGTCAACGGGTTCGCCCAGTCGGCCGCGGGCAAGAAGGCGGCGCAGGTCGAGCGCAAGCGCGGCAAGAAGCGTGGCAAGGCGAGGGACGACCCGGCGCTCGCCTTTGCCGACGTCCCGTACGACCCGGCACGACCCTGCGACTACGTACGTGCCATCGTCGCGCCCCGTTGCGCTCCTCGCCCGTGTCGCCGTGTACCTCGACGCCGTCGTCGGGCGCCGTGCGCGACTCGTCGTTCGACTCGCACAGCCTGCCTGTCCTGTCCCGTCACGACCTCGACCTGACCTCCCGTCGTCCTCCAGTCCGCCTACAAGATGCACGTCAAGCTCTCGCGAGAGCAGCGCCGCCTCGAGCGCGAGGAGGAGGAGCGTCGCCGTCGGCGCGAGGGTTCTGCATCCGGCTCGAGCTACTACTCCGAGGACGACGAGCGCAGCAAGGAGAACGAGCCAGGTGCGTCTCTCTCTCCTCCTCCTCCTCCTCTCTCTCTCTCTCTCTCCTCCTGCGTCCACTGCGCGCAGGTTTGACTGAATCCTCGTCCGTCCACAGCCAACAAGAAGGCCCGATTCTTCGCCCCTCCTTCCTCGTACGACGACCTCGCCCCCACCGGCTTCCCTCCCCCTTCCTCGTACGGCCCTCCTTCGGCACCCTCTCGTGACGAGACCGCCGACGAGGCGTACGCTCGTCGCGTCGCCATGTCGGACCCGCCGCCGCGCGAGGAGACGGGCGACGAGGCGTACGCGCGCCGCGTTGCGCTGTCGAGGGGCGAGGCGCCCCCTGCGCCGGCGGCGACAAGGCCGCCCACGTTCGTCTCGTCATCGACGGCTGCCGCACCTGCGCCGCACGGACCCGTCATCGGCCCTGTTCAGCCCTCGATCGGCCCCGTGCAGCCGTCTATTGGTCCTGTCCAGCCGTCGGCCCGTCCTGAGCCGTCAACGAGCGCGTCGACGGCGAGCATCGGGCCCGTGCAGCCGCCGGCCTTGCGCCCGCCGCCGCCGGGCTTTCACGCCTTCCCTCCTCCCCCTCCCGGCTTCGGCCCGCCGCCAGGCGTCATGCCCCCGCCACCGGGCTTCCTCCCGCTCGGTAACGCCGCCGCCGCTGTCGCCGACCACGCTTCAGACGTGCTCTCGACCGCCGCCGTCGCCTTGCCCGCGCCTGCACTCGTCGACGAGCAGCGTCCGCCGCCACCAGCAGCTCCCGCGCCGCTCGCGCCCTCGTCTGACGCGGTCGATGCGGCGCAGGCCAAGGCGCGCGAGATCGCGGCGAGGCTGAGCAAGCTCGGCGGGGCGTTCTCGGCGCCGCCGCGACCTCCCGGCGCGAGCTCGAGCTCGGGTGCGGCGCTGCCGGGCTTTGCGCCCGCTTCATCGGCTGCAGGCGGTGGAGCGGGAGCGTCGCAGGGTCAGGAGGCCGGGCCGTCGACCGAGTGCGCCCACGCTCCCTTTCTCGTCGTGCGAAATCGCCTTCTCGAGCCGACCTGACCTTGTTTTCGCCACCCGCAGGTCCGACGGCCGCACATTCGCCGAGCGCATGATGACCAAGTTCGGCTGGGAGGAGGGCAAAGGTCTCGGCGCCGACGAGTCGGGCATGACCTCGGCCCTGTCGGTGCAGCGCGCCGTGCCCGCGCCGTCCAAGAAGGCCGTCAAGAAGGCCAAGGCGCTCGGCGAGGCGCCTCCTCCCGGCGCCGGCGCGCCCAAGGGCATGGCTGGTCGTACCGTCGTCGTCGACGCGTCGAGGGAGCAGCGCGACGCCGAGCTGCGCGCCCAGATGGGCGGCGACGCGAGCCGGGTCGTGCTCCTCACCAACTTGTGCGGCCGCGACGAGGTCGACGATGACTTGCCCGGCGAGGTCGCCGAGGAGGCGAACCGGTTCGGTGTCGTCGAGCGGTGCTTCGTCTACCCGGTGCCGGGCGAGGCGAGGGACGACGAGTCGGTCCGGATCTTCCTCGTCATGAGTGGGTGCGTCCCTCCTTCTCCTTCTCTCCCTCTCTCTCGTCTTCCACCTCGTCGAGCACGACCTGACATCTGCGTCTCCTTCCGCGCGCAGCCTCGCCGGCGGGTACAACGCGGTCAAGAACTTTGAGGGCCGCTTTTTCGGCGGGCGGACCGTGCGGGCGAGGTGCGCTCCTCTTTCTCTCTCTCTCTCTATCTCTCTCTCTCTCTATCTCGCCCTCGCGCCACCTTCCTTCCTCCAGGATGCCGGACTGACGGGTTTCTCGAGCAGGTTCTACGACGAGAAGGCGTTCCACGCCGGGCGGCACGACCTGCAGCGCTCGTGACCTGCCTCCGTTTGCAAGCTCTTCTTTGCGTCGCGTCCGGCCGCCGCGTCAGGAGAGAGCAAGAGAGCGTCCACACCGCGAGAGACAGTCAGACTGCTGAGAGTCGCTCGCGTCGTGCGCTGGCTCGGGCCCGTCGCCGCAGACTCGCGAGCAGCTTGAACAGGTCCGAGCGCCGACACTCCCTCTCGCTGCGTCTGCGCTTTCCAGGCCCCGAGAGAGTGCTGGCTCCTGCGCTCATCGGCAAGCCTGAAGCTCGAGAGAGGCGCTGCGCTCGGCCCTTGTCGGGCCTCAAGCTCTCTCCATCTGCGCGCAACGCTCGACTTGCGAAGGTCGAATGCGGTCGAGCTGTTCTCGAGCTCCTCTCTGTCTCTCGCTCACTCGCCGACACAGGGCAGAAGCGGGCACAGATCTTTTCCGTCAAGCGAGCGCATCAAGCGCGGGAGGGGCAAAAGCTACACACACAGGGCACAGAGTCGTCAAGCGGGTCCTCCTCTTTGCCATCCTCATCGTCGTCGACCGCTCCCTCCCTCGCCGCCGCTCAGTCACCGAGGCGGAAGCCAGCGCCCGAGAACGGCTCGACCTCCTCCTCCTTGACGCCGTACGCGCCGCTCGCGCCCGCCCCGCCGCCGCCGCCAAACCTGCGCCCGAACGCGCCGCCGTTGCGGCGGCGCTTGTTGAACGTGCCCGCCGCGCCCTCGGGGCCCCAGCCCGCCGAGTTGCAGTCGTCCGAGCCCGAGCCGAGGAGCTCGTCGAGCTCGTCGTCGTCGTCCTGGTCGCCCGAGTCGACCGAGTCGGCGCGCGGCGCGCGCTTCTTCTTCTTTTGGTGGAGGTGATTGCTCGACGACGAAGACGACGAGGTCGACGCCTTGGGCTTGAGCTGGACCTTGGCGGCGCCCTTGGCCTAGAGGCCCGAGCCCGAGCCCGAGCCAGACGCGGCCGAGGTGCGAGCGCGGCGCTGCTCCTTGGTCTCCTTCTTCTTCGGGCGCGTCTCGTCGCTGTCGTCCTGCGAGAGAGAGGCGAGGAAGAGGGAGAGAGGAGAGGGAGAGAGGAGAGGGAGAGAGGAGAGGGAGAGAGGGAGGCGACGAGGGTCAGTGCGGGCACGTTGACGACGCCGGGAAGGAGAGAGAGAGAAAGAGGGACGCACGTCGTACGTCATGTCGGGCTCGTCGCGCGCCATCTTGCGCTTGCACCCGCCGACCTCGATGTACTTCTCGAGCCAGGCCATCTCGCGCTCGAGGAACTTGCTCTTGGGGCCCGGGTCGCGCTTCTTGACCTTGCCATCGGGGCAGTGGATGTACAGCGGGTCGCGCGCCGGTCCACGCAACTCGACGAGGTCGTCGAGCTGCTTCTTGCGGTACAGGGCCATCCACGCCGGGGCGTACAGCTGGCCGACCTTCTCGAACACCTTGCGGATCTGCGCCTCGGTCGCCTGGTCGTAGTCGTAGTAGACGAGCTGCTTGAACCTGCGGGCGCGGACGAGGAGAGAGGAGAATCAGTGCGGGTTCGACAAAGTACGGAAAGGAGAGAGGGAGAGGAGGACGCACGCGGCCTTGCGGTACGAGTCGCCGCCCGCCTTGTGCGCCGACGGGTCGAGCCAGTAGGTCTCCTCGTCGATCGCCTCGGCCTTGGTGTACACGATCGCGTCCTCGTTCTCGGCGTCGTCCTCGCTGCGCCCGACGTCCGACTCGTCGCTCGCGAGCTGGTCGACCTCGCTCTCGTCGCTCTGCGGGCGCGCGCGCTTCTTGCCCTTGGCCTTGTCGGCGCCCTTGTCGGCGCTCTGGCGCTTCTTCTTGTCGGCGACGACGGCGGGCGCGACCTTGCGCTTCTTGGCGGGAGCGGTGACCTCGAGCTCCGAGTCGTCGTCGTCGTCGTCCTGGTCCGACTCGACGCCGACGCGCTCGCGGCGCAGCGGCTTGCCAAACTTCCACCCGCCGGTGCGCAGCGGGTAGTTTGTCCCGAGGACGGTGTCGACCGTCTTGTTGGCGTCGTGCCCGGAGCGCGAGAACGCCTTGGCGAGGAACGCCTCGTCGGCGTCGGGGACGGCGGCGACGATGAGCTCGCGGGCCGCGTTGGAGCGCTGCTTGCGCTCGGCGCGCTTGGCCTCGGCGGCGTCTTGCTGCGCCTGGATGGCGGCGACCTGGGCGTCGAGCTCCGAGTCGGCACCGGACGAGAGCTCGAGGACCTCGGGGGTCGAGGCGCGCGCCGTCTTGGCCTTGGCGTTGGTGCTGGTGCGGGCGTTGGTCGAGGGGACGGGGAAGAGGGGCTTGCGGTCGTCGTCGTCCGAGACGGGGACGAGCTTCTGGACGCGCAGGGCGGACGAGGACGACGAGGCGTTGGCGTGCGAGGCGTGGCGGTGGTGCTGCGGGAGGGTACAGGAGTGGTCAGCACCTGAGTCGTCTACTACCTCGACTCCTACGGCCTTGCCGCTGAGGGCGAGGACCGTGGAGCGGGTGCGGGTGATGAGGGCCGACTCACTTGCTGTTGCGCCTTGTCGCCGCCCTCAGCAGGGTCGCGGTGGGCGTTGGCAGACGCAGGCATGGCGTGCGAGTGTGCTGGTGCGCTTGGCCTGCTCAGCTGGGCGAGTCGAGGCGGAAGAGAGTGAGGGGGACGAGAGAGAGAGGGGAGCCGGCGGAGCGTGACGCGGGGGTCGAGGAGGAGCGTGCGTCTCAGACTCGCTCGCGAGAATCGCTCGCAGGACGCTCTCTCTTCTCTCGACATGCATGTGATAGGCTAATGGACGCTGCGTCAGAACGAGAGAGCCTAGCAAGAGGTGGGCAAAGAGCGACGCCTCGACCGCTCTCGCGCTTCTGGTCGCCTGCTCCTCGCACGCGCCTCCTGCAGGCAGTCGAGCTCGTCGACGGCCCGCTCTGCACACCGCGGGAGAGCTCGCAGTAGATGCTGCTCCATGAACCGCGAGCAGGTCGCGTGAGACGCTCGTCTGCGAGAGCGAGCGACGTGGCGCACGAAAGCCGGCGCTGTAACGGCCTCGCCTGCCTCGGCCGCCTCGGCCGGGTGTACAGCTCGCGGAGAAAGTCGTCTGGAAGCGTCGAGGGAAAATCCGGGTCGCGTCGAGCAGTGACAGACGAGCGAGGGCCGCTCGAGGGAGGCTCGGCGACGAGGGAGGCCGCTCCCGCGACGGCGACATCTCGCAGCTCGTGCAGGATTTTCCCGCGCGCTCGACGTGCGTGCAATGGTTGGCATCGCCGGAACCGCATGTCCGGAATGACGAGGCGGCGAGCGCGAGAAGCGAGAAAGCGAGGAGGGAGGCGACGAGGAGAGGGCGAGGGAGCAGGAGCACGGGGAGGCTGAGACTAACGCTGTCGGCCCGAGCAGAGTCACAGAAGCACAGCTAGCGGTGGTACGCCCCTGCTCAGCCGAGTGAGCGGTGTCGTCGTGGCCCAGGAGGCGTCGAGTCGTCGTCAGCTCATCTCTCTCTGCTGTACGACCCTCTCGCTCTCGACCTAGCTTGCCAGGAGCAGCTCACCCGCACATCACACCCTCCACGCAACTCTACACCCACCCCGCACCCCGCCTCGCACTCGCCATGGTGCGTCCCTCCTCCCCCGCCTGGCCGCATCATCTCCACCTCCCAGCGACTGACCCACCCTCTCGGCCTCTGCCGCACGCAGGACAAGCTCGTGCAGCGCTTCTCCAAGAGCAACTCGGGCGCCTCGTCGTCGCGCCGGTACGCCGAGCAGAGCCTCGACGGCGACGAGTACGGCAACGCGCTCCCGCTCGGCAGGGGCATCGAGCGCTGCCCGATGCCCAGCTTTGACATGCCCGCCACCGTCGACGTGCGTCCCACCCTCTCCCTCTCTCTCTCTGTGTGAGCGGCGCGGCCCTGACCCCGACGACGACGACACAGCCGCAAGCCTTCCTCCAGCTCCACACGGACGACGCGTCCGACCCCTCGTGCCGGATCAAGATCAACCACGGCACGACGACGCTCGCCTTCAAGTTCCAGGGCGGCATCGTCGTCGCAGTAGACTCGCGCGCGACCGCCGGCAGCTACATCGGTGCGCCCCTCCTCCCTCTTCCTCCCTCTCTCTCGGTCGACACGAGCTGACGGTGTTCCCTCGGTGCGCAGCGTCGGGTACCGTCAAGAAGGTGATCGAGATCAACCCGTACCTGCTGGGCACCATGGCGGGTGGAGCCGGTGCGTCCCACTCCCTCCCCTCTCCCCCTTCCTCGTCCTCAAGCTGACCCCGTCTCTCCCTCTTTCCCTCCCCGTGCACCACCCTTGCTCCGCTGCCCCGCGTCACCAACAGCCGACTGCCAGTACTGGGAGACGTACCTCGGGATCCAGTGCCGCCTGCACGAGCTGCGCAACCACGAGCGCATCTCGGTCGCCGCCGCGAGCAAGTACCTGAGCAACCTCGTCTACTCGTACAAGGGCATGGGCCTCTCGATGGGGACCATGATCTGTGGCTGGGACAAGACGGTGCGCCCCGCGCTCTCTTTCTCGCAGCAGCGTCCGTCCGGCACAAAGAGACCTGACCCCTTGCCCCGCTCGTCTCCCTCCCTCGCCCACCCATGACAACAGGGCCCGCAACTGTTCTACGTCGACAGCGACGGCACCCGGCTCCGAGGCGACCTCTTCTCGGTCGGCTCGGGCTCGACGTTCGCGTACGGCGTCCTTGACGGGTGCGTCACCCCTCCCTCCCCTCCCCACCTCTCTCTCTCTCTCGCGGCGCATCGGGCAGACCCCACTCACGCTCGAGCGCGCCCAAGCAGAGGCTACCACTACAACCTGACGGACGAGGACGCGATCGAGCTCGGCAGGAGGTCCATCTACGCCGCCGGCCACCGCGACGCGTTCTCGGGCAACACGGTCAACTTGTACAGTGCGTCGGCCTCGCGGTCCTCTCTCCTCGCCGGGCTGTGCTGCGACTCTCGTGGCACAGCTCGGCGTAGTTGACGGAGCTCTGGACTGACGCTCTCTCGCACCCGCCCTCGCAGTCGTCAAGGAGGACGGCTGGCGCTTCGTGCGTCCCCTCTCTCTCCCTCGCTCCCTCCCTTCCTCGCATCCCCTCACTGACCCCTCCCGGCCCGAACCCACGCAGATCGAGAACGTCGACATCAACACGTTGCACTACGACCGCGGGTACGCCGCCAAGCAGTACCGCACGAGTGCGCCGCCGGCAGTTGCGCCGGGCGTGCCCCCTGCGGCGGCTGCGGGCGAGGCGGTCGCGGCGAGTGCGTGAGCGCGTGGGGCTGCAGTGAGAGGAGGGAGGAGCGAGCGAGCAATGGAGCGCTGTACAGGTCTCTGGACGGGCGAGGGCCGGCGCCGAGAGAGCGAGAGAGAGAGGGGGAGGAGAGGCCGTCGCTTGAGGGCAGGCTGGTCAGCGGGCCTGTCAAGCGTGTGAAGCAATGGCAAGTGTGTACGCGCTGCAGCCACGCTCTCGCACGACGCTCGGAGCTCGCTTGAAGCTGGGCCGTCTCAGAAAAGCGACGAGCCTCATCGCCTCCCTGCTCCTCTTCCCTGCTAACCACGACCAGCTCGAGCCATGATCGTCAGTGGCTCTTCGCGCCTGCTGCGTACGGCCGTGCCGCCGCGCTCTGCGGCCCCGTCCTGCGCCGGCTGCGTCCCTTCGTCGCGCGTGCGTCCCCCATCTCCTCCTCCTCCTCCTCCTCCTCCTCCTCCCTCTCTCTCGCCGCCTCACTGACGGCCCCCGCCCGCCCGAACGCCCCACGCCCCGCAGCGCTCGGCGCACAAGCTCGTCGCCGTCCAGCTCCTGTCCGACTCCCTCCCCTCGCTCGGCGCGCGCAACCAAGTCGTCGCCCTGTCGCCCGGACTCGCGCGCAACCGACTCGTGCCGGCCGGCCTCGCCGTGTACGTCGGCAGGGACGGCGAGGGGGTCAGTGTGAGGCGCGACATGGAGAGGAGGGGCGAGATGATTGCGCTGAGGAGGAGGGAGGGCCAGCAGCAGGCGGCGAGGAGGGCAAAGGGGGTGCTTGAGCAGCTCGCGCAGGGCAACGCTGTACGTCCCACTCTCTCTCTCTCCCATTTCGAGCGCGACACTGACCCACCACCCCAACGCCCAACGCAAAGCCCCCCACCGACCCGCTCGCAGCCGCCCGCGCCGCCGAGCGCGCCCTCTCACTCTCGCTCTCGACCCTCGCGCCGCCCTCGTCCCCGCTCATCTTTACGCGCCTCACCACCTCGCCCACTTCGTCCGACCTGTTCGGCTCCGTGTCGGTCGCCGACGTCGTCTCGGCCTTGCGCGAGCGCGGCGTCGTCGGCCTCGCCACCTCCTCCTCGTCGTCGTCGTCGTCGGCCTCGGGCGCGTCGTCTGGGTCTGGGGCGGGCGAGGGCGCGGGCGCACACGGCGCGTTCAGGTCGGACCAGGTGGGCGTCCTCAACGGGCGCGTCAAGCAGGTCGGCGAGTACGTGTTCGAGGTCGAGCTGAGGGCGAGCGGCGAGAGGGTCCCGGTGCGCGTCGAGGTGAGGCGAGAGGACAAGTAGCGCGCGGGCGCAAGGCTGCAAGGGTTCTTGTAGAGCCTCTCCGAGCGTCGCGAGAGTGAGAGATTGGCAGACTCGTTACGAGCAACACTCAAGGTCCCGCGCTCGCGCCCCCTCTTCCGCCCTCCTCCCCCCTGCCCTCGCTCCCTCACTTCCTCCCCCCTACCCTCCCTCACGCCCTCCCCCCGCCCTCGCCCTCGCCCTCACCCTCGCCCCGACTCCCCCCGGTCCCGGTCCTCGTGACCCACTCGACAAAGCTCGGCACGTCCTGTGCGATTTTGTTGGGCATGGCGCGCTCGGTGATGCAGCGCGGGATGGCGCCGCCGGCGTCGGACGAGACGGCCATGCTGTGTGGGTGCCCGGGTGCCCGGGTGCGGGTCAGTGAGAGTTCGGGAAGGCGGGAGGAGAGGGAGGGAGGGAGGGAGAGAGGGGGCGAGGTGAAGGAGAGAGAGAGAGGCGAAGGAGAAAGAGAGAGCGAGAGAGAGAGCGAGAGGAAGAGAGAGAGAAAGAGCGCTTCGCGCCAAACTCACGTCCACACGACCCCACCCTCTTCATCCTCCTCGACATGCTCGACGCTGACATACCTCGCCCGGACGGCCCGCTCGCGCTCGTCCTCCTCGCGGGCATCGTCGTGCGTCGCCGGGAGCGACACGACGAGGAACGCGCGGCGCGGTGCGGGTTGTGGGGTGGGGGCCGCGTCGGGGTTGAGCGGGTCGGTCGGGTGCGGGTGAGGGTGCGGGTGCGGGCGAGGGGGGAGGGAGAGGGTGAGGAGGGCAAAGACAAAGGCGCGGCGCGAGGCTGGGAAGGGCGAGGTGTCTGTGGGTGCGGGGGGGGGAGGGTGTCAGTCGAGTCGAGGTGGAAGAGGAGAGGGTTTCACGTGCACTTTGTGGTCCACACTGCGAGAGAGAGAGAGGGAAGAGACGATGCGGGTCAGGCCTGTGCGCATCGAATCGGCGAGAGAGGGAGAGAGAGCTGAGGACGGACCCTCGAGTTGACCGTCTTTGACGACGGCGAGGCGTTGAGCTTGGTAGCACGACTCGATGTAGTGTCGCTCGTTGTCCGAGTGGTTTTGGAGCAAGCCGCGCTCAAAGTCGTCGAACGAGGGTGCGCCGGGCCCTGGGAGGTGGCGCGAGGTGCGGGCGTGCCAGCGGTACCCCTCGCAGTCGCCTGTTGCTGGTGGCGGGCTCGTCGCGTCGAGGTCCGGCCGGTGGTTGATAAACACGGCGTTGGGCGCGTACGCGATGCGGGGCTCGTCGTCGGCGTTGGGGCCCTCGTCGGTGTTGCCGTCGTCGGCCTCGTCGTGCGAGGCGTCGTCGGAGGAGCAGGAGGAGCGGGAGCGGGAGGAGGAGGGGGAGGGGGACGAGGGCCCGAGCACGGCGGCGAGCACGGTGCCCGAGCGGTGGATGAACTGAGAGTAGGGCGTCGGTGCGCGGCGGTACGAGTAGGCGGCGTCGAGGTGAGAGGGGAAGGTCGAGTCGGCGCCGAGGTCGAGGAAAAAGTCGAGGTGGCGCAGGAGCGCCGAGAGGTAGTCACTGTCGGGCGGGTGGGTAGGCGTGGTCAGGGCGTGTTGGCGAGGAGCACTCGACCCGAGAGGGAGAGAGGGAGAGAGAAAGGGGTGCGCACAGCTTGGTGAGCGGCGCCCTGCGCTCGCGCCCCTCCCGGCGCGCCTCCTCAGCCTCGTCCTCCTCGTCGCTCGTCCACGGCTCGTCCGGGCACACGCACGGCCGCACCTCCATCGCCCTCTGGAACGGGTTGTGCCGCTCGAGCACGCTCCGCATCGACACCTCGACGAGCGCGAGCCCGTACCGCCCGACCTGGCGCGTCCAGCTCTGGATCGCGCCCTCGACGATCCGGCCCGAGGCCGTCAGCCACGCGAGCTCGACGTGGAACGCCGACGCGACGTTGTGCGACGCGTCGAGGTGGCACAGGACGCGCTCGGACCGGTCTGACCGCCGCGACGGGTCGAGGTCGAGCACGACGGCGTGCGTCATCTGCACGCGCGTGCGCGGCGCCGGCGCCTTGGACACCGCCGCCGCCGTCGTCGTCGAGGCTGGCGGCACATCGTTGCTGCCGCCGCCCTCGCTCAGCTTGACGCTGCCGAGCGACGGGCTCGTGTCGGGCAACGACGACGAGCTCGACGCCGTGGCCGCCGCCGCCGCCGCCGCACTCGACGACGCCTCACTGCGACTGAGCGCGGCGAGCACGGCGTCCTTGCTCGGCGTCGCGCCAGCCGTCGCGACCGGCGGCGGCAGCTCGAGCTCGGTGCCGGCGGTGCCGAGCGCCGGCGTGCCCGGCGCCGTTGCCGTCGTCGACGCCGCCTCGTCGCCCTTGGCGACACCGCCGGCGCGACTCTGCATGCGCGAGAGCCACGTGCGGGGCTGCGTCGCGCTCGTGCTGGCGGTCGCGTTCGTCGGCGGCGAGGTCGGGGCGGCGGCGGCGGACGAGGACGACGACGCAGGGTCGGCGGACGCGTGCTGCTTGGCGATCGAGGCGGCCCAGCTCGGCGCGTCGAGGTTGGTCCTGGGGAGCGAGAGATGTCAGTCAAGGGCGCGAAAGAGAGAGCGAGATGCTGCGAAAGAGAAAGGGGGAGGACGCACTGCACGATCGAGAGAGGCTCCTTGTCGACGCCCGCAGGCGCCCACCGCGCGTTCTCGATGAGCTCGAGGAGGACGTAGAAGCCCTGGGCCTGGATCGTCGCGTCCGACACGTCGCCGCCGTTGACGCCCTGGAGCGCCTTGTTGGCGCCGACGATGTAGTCGCGGTCCGGGATGCGGCTCATCGGGAGGAGCACGAGCCTCGTGCGGCGGTACCGCACCGACTGGGCCGCGTCGGGCTTCTCGGCACCGGCGACGAGGCGGTCGGCGTGCTGCCAGTCGTGTCGCGGGTCCATCATGACCGGGTACGGGAGCGAGAGGCGCGTCGGCTCGTAGTTGTCGCTCCCGCGAGTCCAGATCAAGGGGCTGTACGAGTAGTCGGTCTTGGCCCACGTGCGACGGCGCCGGAGGATCTTGACGCACACGGTCTGCGTGCGGCGGTCGTACCAGATGCGGTGGATCTGGTTCGACAGCGAGAGGTAGACGGCCGTCACCTCGCCCTCTTGGATGTCGCGCAGGACGTCGGGGAGCGTCTTGGTCGTCGCGACGTTGATGGCGTCAAGCGCGCCCGAGGCATTGGCCGGCGTGCAGATCTGGAACCCTTGGGCGAGGCGCTGGCAGATGAGCTCGGTGACGAGCGTGAGGATGTGCGACCGCTTCGGGTGGTCGGTGCGCAGGAGGAACGACGCCGTGACGGCGCTGGTCGGGACCGTGTAGCGAAAGTCCGAGTACTGGCTCGAGAGGACCTCGGCCGACGGGAGGTAGTCGGTCGTCAAGGGCAGGATGGCGCCGCGCGTGATGGACCTGCGTCGTGGGGCAGCAAGGACGTCAGTACCGGGACGATGGATGCGGCGGAACGAAGAAGAAAAAGGGCGGGCGCACCTCCACTTGACGCCGAGCCGCAGACTCCTCCCCTCGACGACGAGGATGCCCGCCCACCGCCGCGCCTGGTCGGCGAGCCCGACGCTGCGCTTGCCCGGCTTCGACGGGTTGAACCTTGACGCGACCGACACCTTGCCGCCGCTGATGCCGAACGCCTTGCGCATCGCCGTGCCCGGCTCGTACGCCTTGAGCGACGACGACATGCGGCCCGCCTCGCGCACGCTTCCGCCGCCGCTCCCACCGTCGCCGCCTCCTGCTCCACCCTTGCCGCCGTGACGCCGCTTGTCGCCGCCGCCGCCGCCGCCGACACCTGCTGCCGAGGACGAGCCGGCCGGGCCGAACTTCGACCCGATCGAGATGGGCTGCGTCTTGCTGTTGCTCGAGCCCTTGCGCCTCGCGTCGGCTCGACTCCTCGAGCGCGACGAGGGACGCAGGCTCGCGCTCGAGTGCGCGAGGACGGGCGACTCGACGCTGCCGCCGTCGTCCTCGACGCTGTCGGGCTTGGCGGTCGTCACGGCGTCCTCGTCCCGCAGGTTGGCCTGGACGTCAACGCGCGCGACGGCGACTTGTGCGGCGGGCGACGACGTCTTGGACGCGCTCGAGCCGCGCCCGCCGAGGAAGCTGAGCCAGCCGCCCTTGGCCGGCGAGGGAGCGGCGCTCGGGGCGTTGCGAGGCCCGCCGCCGCCGTTCGAGACGGCTGCGGGTGCAGGGCCGCCCGTCAGGCGCGCGATGAGCGCCGGCGTCGACGCCTTGCGCAGGGCGGGCGTGCCGCCGGTCGTCGAGCCCGGCGCAGACGGCGCGTCGCCGCGCCCGAGCCCCGACGCGAGGGTGCGGATCGAGGCGCTGATGGAGGGCGCTCGTGCTCGTGGGACGGGCGTCTTAGACCGACCGACCGACTCGTCGGCGGCGAGCTTGCGCCTGGGCGTCTCGCGCCCGGACCGCCGCCCTCGGTCGTCGTCCGAGTCCTCGGCGATGGACGCATGGCGCACCGACGACGACGACGTTGTCGAGATGGACCCGGCGCGGTGGCGGGATCCGGCGAGCGAGCTGCGCCGCGAGTGGCCTGCGGCGGCGCTGCCCGCCGACGCGCCGGGTGCGCCAATGCCGATGCCGAGCGCCGCGCCCGCCGAGCTCTTGCGCCGCCCGACCCTGCGCGCCTCGTCCTCGTCCTCCTCGCTCATCTCGGCGAGGCGCTCCTCGTCCCGAGCCCGCCTCGCCAACCTCCTCCGCTCGTCCTCCTCCGCCTCGCTCTCGGCGACGCTCCTCCCCCACCCGCTCTCGCCCGCGCTCGCGCCGCTCCCGCCGCTCGTCCCGCTCGTCGTCGCGCCGCTCTCGCGCTCGTCGGCCCACCCGCCCGGCCCGATCGCGCCCGCGCCCGCCGCCGCAAGCTCGGCCGGGTCGCGCGCGCCGAGCGCGAGCGCGTCGTACCGCTCGCGGCGGAGCTGGCGTCGCTCGAGCTCGTCGAGGTAGCCCTCGCCCGCCTCGGTGCCCCCGGCCGACTCGCCGTCCGCCGCTGCCGCCACTGCCGCTCCGGCCGCCGCGCTGCCGACGCCGTTCTGCTCGAGGCGGAGCAACGGCAGCGCGATCGGGACGCGCTCGGTGACGCCCTGGCTCATGAGCTCGTAGCACCGTGCGCGCGGCATGAAGCGGTCGACGCGGTGCGGCTTGTCGATCTGGGTCCCGAAAAAGTGCGGGAAGACGAACATGGGCTCGTGGTAGTACAGCGACGTCTCGAGGACGCCGCCGCCGCCGCCTGCTGCCCGTGCGGCTGTCGAGGCTGGTGCTGAGGGAAGGGGGATGGCGGCGGACGAGATGGACGAGGGGGTGGCGGGAAAGGGCGATGCGGCCGCGGCGCTCGGGCCTCGGGCGTGCTGGGCGGCAGTCGAGGTTGACGACCGAGGCGGCGGCGGGTCGAAGTAGAGCGGGTCGCGCTGATCGTCCGGGACCTGAATCGGCGCGATGCGGCTCGAGGCGGCTGCTGCTGCTGCTGCTGCGGCGGCGGCGGCGGCGGCGGCCGAGTCGGACCTTGCGTCGGCCATGGTCGGCGCGCGCGGGTCTCGCAGCGGCGGCGACGCCGGGAACGCGTGCTGCTGCCGCAGGGACGACGGGCGAAACGCGCCCGACGCCGTCGCCGACGCCGGGAAGCGGTGGTGCGTCCCGACGGGCGACCGAGCCGACGACGAGTAGAACGACATGCCGAGCGGGTGGGTGCCCGTCGTCGCGACCGACTCGCCGGCGCGCACGGCCGCGAGGGCGACGCTCGAGTCGTTGACGGCAATGGCGAGCTCTGCCGCGCTCGGGTCGGGCGAGCGAAACTGGAAGAGCGGGATCGTGTGCAGGGGCATCTTGCTGAGGCTGACGAGGTCGAGGCCGCAGCCGTGGAAGAGCATGCGCTCGGTCGTGAGGCGCAACAAGCTCTTCTCGACCTGGTAGAACGTCGTGCCCGCCGTCAAGACGACGATCTCCTGGCCGGTGCGCTGCAGGTCGCGGTCGATCCAGTGCTCCTCGAACGAGTTGAGCGCGAGGTTGGTCGCCTCGAGGACGGGCGACTCGTGCGCGTGGGCGAGTCGGCCCGAGAGCCGCTCCGAGCCGTCGGGTCGGGTGCGCAGGAGGACGGTCGACTGCCACCGGCGGAGCGCGAGCGCGACTTGGTGGATGATCGAGATGGGCGGCGACGGCGTCACGTCGACCACGACCTGCACAGTGTGATCTCGAGTGTCAGTTGGGCGTCGAGCGAGACGGCCGAGAAAGAGAGAGAGAGAGAGGGCGGACCTTGTAGAAGTCGCGGTACAGGGTTCCGTCCTCGAGGCGTTGAAGCGGCGCCCGGTCCTCCTCGGCGTCGTGCTCGTCGTCGTACAGGACGCGACCAAAGAGGACAATGCTCACGACGTGGCTCGTCGGGATGCCCTTGCTGCGCTTGTCCTCGGCCTCGGTGCTCATCTTGCCCGAGTAGTGCGACCACAGCTCATGCAGGAACAGCTCGCACTTTTCGAGGAGCGAGCTGCCGTCCTCCTCGAACTGCCACAGCTCTTGCGACACCTCGACAAAGATGTAGGCGCGCGCCGACTCGGACCGGAACACGAACTTGGTGTCGTCGGTGATGTAGGCCGCCTCGAGGCGCATGTTCTTGGCGTGCGCCGACGACGACGACGATGAGCCACGCTTGCTCGACGAGGAAGGGTCGGCGGGCGTGGCCGACCACATGTCGCCGACGCGCAGGCGGGCGCCCGAGCCGGGGAGGGCGACGCGCTGGCCGACGTGGAGCACCTTGTCGGTGAGGGCGAGCGACAGGGCAAAGCCGTCCGGGCGCGACAGGTACAGGTTGTTGAAGTAGAGCTCGACGTGCGAGGCGCACAGGCGCGCTGGAGGCGGTGACGGGATCTGCAGGCGGCGAGAGAGAGGGTAAGTGGGGGAGGAGAACGACGAGGGGGGAGGTGAGAGGTGAACGCACGAGGGACAGCTCGACCTCGATGCGGTTCTTGACCCAGCTGAAGCCCTGCGCGACGACCGGGCTGACCGTGACCTGGGCCTTGCCCCTGCGTCTCGCGGCGAGCCCCGCCGGACCGTCGCCGGCCGCAGCGGCGGCGAGCTCGTCGAGGTCGGGCGACTTGTCGACCTTGTACAGGAGCGGTCGGTCCTTAGCCTTACCCTTGCTGCCCGGGCGCAGGACGGGGCGGATCGCGATGAGGTCGCCTGCGACCGTGTCGGGAGGGAAGGACGAAGGGTGGATGGCGACGTCGGTGGTCGCGGTCGTGTCGACGTGCAGCTCGATGGGCGGCATGGCTCGACGAAGCTCGCGTGCAGCCTGTGCACTGCTCTCAGCCGTGCGGAGCTTGTGTTGAGCGAGGGAAAGCAAGCGCCGACGAGCCCCTCCTCGCTCAACTCTGAGGCTCTCGCAAGACGCGAGTCTGACAGGCGGTCCTGGCGTCTGATTGTATACAGTACCAAGTGCGAGTCCGCCCTGTACCACCCGAGCAAGACTTTGGCTGCTGGTCTCATCGGAGTCTTGCGGCGGACCGTTTGGCGCTCGCTCTCTCCTCCTCCTCTCCCCACCCTTCCCAGCCACCCCGACTGCCCGCCCAGCCATGAGCCGTGACCGCCTTCGTGAAGCACGCGTGCGTCCCCCGTCCTCCCTCCCCCCCTTCGCGGTGCGCCTCGCGCGCGAAGGTCACACACCTCCCACGCGCCTGGCCCCCCTCACACTCATTGACCCTCGTGCCCGTGTCGCACCGGTGCACCGGCAGTCGCAGCAGCAGCAGGGCTACGGCAACAACCCGGCGTACGGCCAGCAGCAGCAGGGCGCGTTCGCCGGCGGCGGGTACGGCCAGGAGCCGCAGTACGCAGGGTGCGCACCGCCTCTCTTGTCCTCTTCCTGCGGGCCCGGGTCCTGATCGACGACGTCCGTCACACAGCAACGTTGGGTACGGAGCGCCCCAGCAGCAGGGTTACGCGGCGCCGCCTCAGCAGCAGCAGTACTCGGCGCCCCCTCCTCCTCCCGTCGGGCACGCCCAGCAGCAGCAGCAGCAGTACAACCAGTACCCGCCCGCCGGCGGCAACGCGTACGCCATGCAGCCCATGAACGGCGGCTCGGGCAGCCTCATCGGCTCGGACCTGGGTCCCTTCTTTGCCGAGGTGCGTCGCCTCGAGTTGAGCGACCGCTTCCCGCCCACCCTCGGCATCCGCTCACCCTCGGCCCCGCCCCTCGTCTGCGCGCAGGTCGAGTCGATCCAGGACGAGATCAAGCAGCTCCAGTACAACATCAACCACGTGTCCGAGCTCCACTCGCGCCGCCTCGCGTCGACCGACGACCAGACCCAGTCGGCGACGGCGGCCCAGCTCACGCAGCTCACCAACCAGACGACCGCGCTCACCAACTCGATCCGGAACCGCATCACCAAGCTCAACGACATCAACAAGAAGAGCCCGCAGGGCGACCCCAACTTTGCGACGCGCAAGCTCCAGATCGGTAACCTCCAGAACGGCTTCAAGCGCGCCCTCGAGGAGTACAACCTCGTCGAGAAGCGCAGCCGCGAAAAGTACCGCGACCGCATGGCCCGTCAGATCAAGATCGGTGCGTCCCATCCTCCCTCCGTTGCGGTCGTCGGCGGCGTCGTCGTCGTCCCCGTCCGCCTCCTCGGCCTCGTCACTGACCTCTTGCCCCGCCTCGACCCTCGCAGTCAAGCCCGACGCGACCGACGACGAGATCAAGGCGGCGTGGGAGGACTCGCAGGGCGGCGCGCAGATCTTCTCGCAGGCGGTGCGTCCCCCTTCTCCCGCACCTCGTCCGCGTCGCTCTCGCCTGACCTCGTCCGCCTCGCGCGCAGCTCATGACGTCGCGGACGTCGGGTGCCCGTGCCGCGTTCGCCGAGGTCCAGTCGCGCAACCAGGACCTGCGCAAGATCGAGGAGACCATTACCGAGCTTGCCCAGATGATGCAGGACGTGCGTCCCCCTCCCCCTTCTCTCCCCCCTCTCGTGCGCCCCGGTCCGGTTCCTGACAGCGACCCCCCACAGATGGCGACGCTCGTGCTCGAGCAGGACGAGTCGGTGCGCATGATCGAGACGCAGGCCGTCCAGGTCAACACGGACGTCGAGCAGGGCTTGGACCAGACCAAGAAGGCCGTCAAGTCGGCACGGGCGGCGCGCCGCAAGCGCTGGATCTGCTTCTTCATCCTCCTCTGGTGCGTCGTCGTGCCCTCTCGAGTCCTCCTCTCACGTCCGTCGTCGTCGTCGAGCGCATTCCTGACTCTCTTTCTAATCTCTCTCCCTCTCTCGCAGCATCATCATCGGCGCGTCCCACTCACTCACTCGTCGAGAGTCACTCTCGGCACACAAGCTCACCTGTCTTTGCCTGCGCACAGTCGTCGTCGTCGTTGTCGTCGTCGAGGTGCTCAAGAACCAGGTGCGTCCCCTCGCCGCCTTCTCTTCGTCTCGTGGCTCCTCCTCCGCGAGGGCAACTATCGCGCTCAGCGCTGACACCTCTCGTGGACGTCTTACTGACCTGTAGGGCAAACTCTAATCGGGCCACGCCGTGCAGAACAAGGCGTGATCCGTCCCTCGCCTCGCCCGGCGTCGTCGTCGTCGTCGTCGTTCAGCTCGCCGCCCTCGCCTCGCAAACTCGCGTCTCGCCCGTCTCTCGTTCAGCCTCATCCACCCCCAGATACCACAGACGCTCTCTCGCTCTGTCTCTCCCCATCTCCGCCTCCCGACCTCTTCCTCCGCTCGTTTGGCGTCCGCCCTACCCCCCTCGGCGCTCCCCCTATAGGCCTTGTCCGGCTTGGTACCCGTCCCTGGTGTAATGACAACCTGCCACCAACTACAAGCGCTCTTGTCTGTCGCACCGAGAGAGAGAGAGCCGCCGAGCATGACACGTCTCGTTCTCACCCGCGCCGGACGCCCGCGACGCCCGCGTCGTTCTCATCACCTCGACCTCGCCCTCGCCCTCTGCTCGACCATCACCTGTCGAGATGATCGGCCTGCGACTGCTGAGCGCGTGTGCTGCGCTCGTGCTTGCCTCTGTCGCCTCGGCGGCCGAGCCCGCACCAGCTGCCCCGCCCGCCGACCTGTCCATCCGTGTCGCGTCGTCGTCGGCGTTCGACCTCGTCTCGCGCTACCTGTGCGTCCCGCCTCTCTGGCCCAGGACCTCGTAGCGACCCATTGACGCGTCCCTCCACCCGCAGCGAGGGCGTCCACACCCTGCGACCCGACGCCTTCTTCCCGTTCATCCACACCCTCGCCGACTACCGCCTGCGCCCGCCGCGCTCCACCTTCTCCAACCCGGTCTTTGCCGAGCCCGGCCCCGGCATCGACGGCAAGAAGCGCAAGGGCCAGTACAGCGACCACAACCCGATCTTTACCCGGCACGCGCTCGCCAACGAGACGCTCGCCGCGCTCGAGTCGACCCTGCCGCGCATCGACCAGTGGAAGAAGCGCGTGCGCGGCAGGTACGGCGACATGCACCTCGCGCTCGTTGCGCAGGAGGGCCACGCCGCGCTCGAGGCCATGCGCGACGTGTGGCTGCAGCGCGAGCGCGACGTCGTCCAGCCCGAGGCGCACAAGGGCGAGTGCGAGAGCTGGGCCGACGTCGGCGGCAAGAAGGCGTGCAGCATGGAGCAGTTTTGGGTCGCGGTTGGGCGCGTGCAGGCGATCGAGCAGGGCCCGATCCGCCTCGACGGGTGCGTCCCCTCTCCCCCCTCCTGTCCCCCCCTCGAGCGCACGAGCTGACCTCTGCCTTCCCCTGCAGTGGCTCGCCAGCGACGTACGACTTTGACCACTTCCTCCCCGCCGACCTCGACGAGTCGCTGCCGCTCGTCGTCCTGTACGCCGCGCCGACCGACGAGGCCTTTGTCGCCCTGTTCAAGGGCTTGTACGCGCTTGCCGCCCGCCCGAGCCCGCGCATCCAGCTCGCGCTGCGGTGGAAGCCCGACACGGCCGTCGAGCTGCAGGGTTACGCGCCAGACTTTGCCGTCGAGGCCGTCATCAAGGACGGGTTCGAGGCGCCCGAGGTCAAGGACGTCGCCGGTGCGTCCGCGCTCCTCTGCCTCACTCTCTCGCGTCCTCGACTGACATCTTGCACCCCCTCGAGCAGACTTTGCCAACCGCGCTGCGTCGTACATCGTCGGCGCCAAGGACCAGGTCGCCGCGCTGAACGAGGTCGCCTCGACGCTCCCGCTCGTCGCCGACGCCGTCTCGAACACGAAGCGCCGCGGCAGCCTCGCCAAGACGTCGACCCTCGCCGAGCGCGTCACGCTCAACGGCATCCCGATCTCGCCCGCCGACCTCACGCACGCCGACCTGCTCGCCCTCATGCAGTCGGAGCGCAAGGTCATGCAGGACCTGCACTCGGTCGCCGCCTCGCTCCTCCAGGAGGAGCGGGCCCGCGACATCGTCCTCGCGGCCAACCTCACGCTCGAGCAGCCGCGCAAGTCGGCCAACAGCCTCGCGATCCCGACCGTCGACAAGCCGCTCGCGTTCGTCAACCTCGCCGAGGCGTTCAAGGACCTCCCGACCCGCTTCTACCGCGCGTCGTACCTCGAGGGCGTCGTCGCCGAGGAGAACGAGGAGGGCGACCCGCCGGCCATCTCGACCTTCTGGGTCGTCGCCGACCTCGACTCGGACGAGGGCCGCACGCTCGTCACGAACGCGCTCCGATACGCCGTGAGTCGCTCTCTCTCTCTCTCTCTCGCCGTGTCTCTCATCCTCGTGTGCCTCCACCTGACGCTGCACTTCTACTGCAGGACACGACGGGCGAGATCCGCTTCTCGTTCGTGCACAACCCTTTCGACCCCGACCTCGTCGCCCGACCGCTTTGCCCTGTCGTCACTCATCGCGAGCCTCACCCTCAGCAACGAGCTCCCAGAGGCGTACCCGCAAGAGCTCATCGACTTCCTCGAGCTCAACGCGAGCAACGAGCACCCGCCGCGCCGCAAGCTGAGCGACCAGTGGACGGCCGAGAACCCGATGACGCCGTTCGTCGAGAAGGGCATCACGGGCGACGCGGCGCAGAACGTCACGATGTACTGGAAGGGCGTCGCACCGTTCGCCGAGCGTGTCGGCGTCCAGCCGGGCGAGGCGGCCGTCATCCTCAACGGTCGGGTGCGTCCCCTCTTCCTCTCTCTCTCTGCGTCATCGTCACAGGTCTCTCTCTGATACGGCCTCGCCGTCGACAGATCATCCACCTCGCCGACAAGGTCTTTGCGACGGGCAGCTTCCAGGCGCTGCACCAGTACGAGCTCAAGCGCCGCATCAAGCCCGTGCACGAGGCGTGCATCCCGCACTACCCGGACCAGGTCGCTGCCGACCGCCGCCTCCAGGCCGACATGGTCGCCATCGCGACCTCGGTCGCCGCGAGCTCGGCGGGCACGACGCGCATGGCGACGCCGCGGGGCGCCGCCGTCAAGGGCCTTGCGTGCGTCCTCTTTTCTCTTCCTGCCTCCCTCCCTCCCGAGCCTGTCCCAGTCTGATGCGCTTCCACGAACAGCTCGATCACGCACGGCAACCGCGACCGCGCCATGTTCGAGTTCGTCGCCGTCCTCGACCCGCTCGGCCCGCTCGCGCGCCAGGTCGCGCCCCTCCTCCTCGGCCTGCGGTCCCACACCCTCGTCTCGTACCGCGTCTTCCTCCTCCCTGCCTCGGCATCCACCACCGTTGACCTCAAGACGCTGTCGGGCCGCTCGTTCCCGGCCAAGATCCAGTTTGGCGAGGACCAGCACGAGCGCGCGCCGTCGGTCGACTTTGCTGGCCTGCCCGAGGGCGCCGTCCTCGACGTCAAGGCGTTCGTGCCGCAGACGCGCGAGGAGTTCTCGGGACCGGGCGGCAAGGGAGGAGAGAGCGTCAGGGTCGTTGGGCGCGGCGAGGAGGGCAAGCCGCAGGTCGTGCTCTTCTCGAGCGCGGGCGAGGAGAAGGAGGTCGAGGCGGTCGAGGACAAGGCGCAGCACGTCCGCGACGAGCTCTAGAGCATCCCTTCCCTCCATTCGGCATCAGTATCTAGTCCGTCATCTGCATCGCAGCGACCAGTTCGCTCGCTTCGTCGTCGTCGAGAGCGAGCCTTCGCCCGCTCGGACCTCGCCCCTCGCTTTCCTCTGCCTGCGCTTCTGAGCACAACCGCTTGTCGCAGGGAGCTTCCGAGAGGCGCGCTCAACCGCGGCCCTTTCTCTCCCCCTCGAACGTCGCGAGACGCTTCCCCTGAGCTGCGTCGGCTTGGTCTTTGACCTCGTCTCCCCACTCTCGCTCGCTCAGGATGGCTTGCGTCTGCTCTGTATCGCTGCTGCAGGACTCTGTGCGACATGTCAGCAGTGTGCGTCCCTCTCTCGTTCTCTCCTCGTCGCCGTCTCGCCTTCATCACTGACGTCGCCCTCTCGTCCTCCAGGCCGCTCTCCTACAAGCTCAAGGTCAAGACTAGCTTCCCGACATGCTTCTCTGGCGTCGTCGAGATCGAGTGCGTCCCCTTTCCCCCTCCTGTCGTGACCCTGAGGGCGAGCTGACCTCGTCCTCCTCCTCGCAGGCTCGACCTCGTCGAACCAGCTCGTTCGCTCGCCGTGAATGCAGCTGCGCCGCTCAACCTCCTCGGCGGCGTGCTCGTCACGAGCTCAACACGGTACCCGGTCCAGTCGGTCGAAGTGTACAGCCACGACCAGCTCGCGACGCTGCGCTTCTCCGAGCCTGTGCCGGCGGGCCGGGCCGTTCTTGCGCTACGGTGGGAGGGCAGGCTCGACGAGGGAGGGCTACAAGGTGCGTCCGGATCTCTCAGCCCTGGACGAGCCCTGAACCTGACCAACCGACCCTCCGAGCAGGCTACTACCGCGTCGCCTGTCCGCCTTCCGACTCGCGGCCGCTCGAGCACTACGCCGTGACGCAGTTTCAGCCGACGAGCGCACGCAAAGCCTTTGTGCGTCCACCCCTTCCGCTCCCTTCGAGTCTCCCCGAGCCTGACTCTCACCACCCGACAGCCCTGTTTCGACCACCCGGCCAAGAAGGCGACCTTTTCCACCAGCCTCATCAGCCCTGTCGGCCTCACCTCGCTGTCGAACACGCCCGAGCTTTCTCGCGCGCCGTCCTCGGGCGCCTTTGAGCCGACCGACGTCGCGACCGCCGCTTTTCTCGCGGGCGAGGAGGGCAAGCTCGCCGAGCCGTCGAGCGACACGGCGTGCGAGACGGTCGAGTGGGAGCTCGTTACGTTCGAGGACACGCCGCCGATGTCGACCTATCTGGCAGCCTGGGCCGTCGGCCGCTTCGAGTGCGTCGCCACCGCCGTTTCCTCCCTCGCGACGACCCGTCCTGATGCCTCGCTCCCTCAGCTCGACTGCGTCATCTTACGTCTCGCCCCTGACCGGCAAGACGGTTCCGCTCACGGCGTACGCCGCCAAGGCGTTCCAGCACATCGAGCGAGGACAAGCTCGGCGCGCGCTCGACACGCTCGCCCAGGTCATGCCCGTTTACGAGAAGGTGCGCTCCCTCTCTCCCTCTTTCTCCTGCGTATTCCGTCCCCGCGGCCTGACTCGTCGCGACTGTGCGCAGATGTTCGACCTCCCGTACGAGCTCGGCAAGCTCGACCTGCTCGTCGTCGACGATTTCGAGGCCGGCGCGATGGAGAACTGGGGCCTCATCACGGGCCGCAAGTCGACGCTGCTGTACGACGACAAGGTCGGCGGCGAAGGACCGCTGCGGCGTGTCGTGACGACCGTCTCGCACGAGGCGGCGCACATGTGGTTCGGCAACTCGACGACCTTGAGCTCGTGGGACGAGTGCGTCCCGCTTCTTCCCCTCGTCCTCTCTTTCTCTCCTGGCCGCTCACTGATGACCGTCCTCACGCAGGTTGTGGCTGAACGAGAGCTTCGCGACTCTTGTGCGTCCCCCTTTCTCGTCTCGCTCGCCCGCACTGACCCTCGTTGACGCAGATCGGCGAGGTCGTCGCCATCAACGTCATCGAGCCGTCGTGGAACGTCCACTCGAGCTTCATCAAGTTCCACCGCTCGGACGCGCTCAAACTCGACGCGCTGCGCAGCTCGCACCCGATCCACCTCGTCTGCAACCACGAGTCCGAGGTCCCGCAAACTTTGTGCGTGTTCCCTTCTCCTGGCCCTGCGAGAGTGCATGACCTGACTCAGTACCCCTCTGCAGCGACCACATCTCGTACGAGAAGGGTTCGGCCGTCCTCAAGATGCTCGTCGAGGTCATCAGCGAGAGCAGGTTCCTGGCCGGCACGTGCGTCCTCTTTCCTCTATTTCTCTTCGTCGCGACCATGCGCCCCACTGAATCTTCGTATCGACAGGGCGGCCTACCTCAAGGAGCACCAGCACGCGTGCGCGACGAGCCGGGACCTGTGGCGAGCGCTGTCGGCGACATCCGGGTTCGACGTCGAGAACATGATGGACACCTGGGTCGAGAAGGTGCGCCATCACTCCTACTCTCTCCCTCTCCCAACCCGTGCTCGACGGGCACTGAGGCTCCTCGTTCGGCAGGTCGGCTTTCCCGTCATCTCGGTCGAGGAGGACGGCGAGCAGCTCAAGCTGCGGCAGAACCGCTTCCTCAGCACGGGCGACCCGAGTGTGCGTCCCTTCTCTCTTCGCGTACGAGCGACGACGATCAAAGTACTGACGAACCTGCACCGCAGGCCGAGGAGGACGAGACGACCTGGACGATCCCGCTCTTCGTCAAGGACGCCGCCAGCTCAGAGCTACCGAGCGTCACCATCATGTCGACCCGCGAGCTCGTCATTCCCAAGCCCGGCTCGCTGTACTTCCTCAACGCCGAGTCGCGCTCAACGGGTACGTCCTCTCGATCCCCCGTTTTCTGCCGTGCTCGTTCTCGGCCATCGAGCCTGACTGCTCTCGCACCCGGTCACAGTCCGCATCGCCTATCCCGCACCACACGTCGCCAAGCTCGCCGACGCAGCAAAGAGCTCGAGCTCGCGTCTGTGCCTTACCGACCGAGTCGGGCTCATCGAGGACCTCCTCCTCCTGTCCGAGGCCGGCTACACCTCGACCGTCCCGACTCTCGACTTCCTCGCCACCTTTGCGCCTGCCGAGCCCGACCACCTCGTCTGGGCCGAGGTCGCCTCGTCCTTCAAGCGCTTCGCCGATGCCTGGTGGGAGCAGCCGACCGAGGAGCTCGATGCCCTTCGTGCCTTCGCCCGCACGCTGTTTCGCCCAGTCGTCGACCGCCTCGGCCTGCAGCACGCCCCCGACGACAGCCACGACACGCGTCGGTTCCGAACGCTCGTCGTCGCCGCCGCAGCAGCCGTAGAGGACCCCGAGTGCGTCCCCACAACTTGACCTTCTCAAGTCGAGAATCGCCCTGACTCGCCCTCTGAACGTCTACAGCATCCTCACGTGGGTCAAGCACGCCTTCGCAGGCTTCCTGTCGGGCGCCGTCGACCCGCTCGCGGCCGACTTGGCGCCGTTCGTCGTCAGCTGCGCCGTCAAGCACGGCGGTCAAGCCGAGTACGACGCGGCGCTCGCCCTGTTCGGCGCCGCACCCTCGCCGCAGTACCAGATGGCGGCGATCCTCGGCTTGACGAGCTCGAGGGACCCGCAGCTGCTGCAGAAGACGGCGGCCATGATGACCAGCGGCGCGGCGTCGGCGCAAGACTTGCCCATCTTCCTCCACGTGCGTCCCTCTCCTCTCTCTCTCTCTCCCTCGCGCATGCGAGTTCGGCGTGGACAAGCTACTCACCGCCTTTGCGCCGTCCGCAGGGTCTCGCCGCCAACCCGTCCTCGCGCCGGCTCGTCTGGGCGCTCTTGCAGCAGGCCTGGCCCATGCTCGAGCAGCAGTACAAGGGCTCGATGCTCCTTGGCAAGATCGCCGCCACCGCCGTCGAGGTGTACGTACCTCTCTCTCTCCGACGTCCGCTTCGCCGCCGTCCGTCAACGACGACCTGACACCTCCCGACCTCCCGCCGCAGCTTCTCCTCCGAGGCCGACGCCGCCAGCGTCGAGGCCTTCTTCGCCGACAAGGACACGACGGCGTACGTCCAGCCGCTGCAGCAGGCGCTCGACACGGTGCGGTCCAAGGCGCGCTGGCTCGCGAGGGAGAAGGACGCGGTCCGGGCGTGGCTCAAGAAGGAGGGGCACTTTGCGCGGGCAGGGAGGGACACGAGCGCGCTCGAGCGGGACTCGGGCTTCGCGGCGTGATTGGGCGGGCTGGCGGCGCCGGAGCGGTCGACCGGCGAGGTACGAGGAGGGGAACGAGCGGGCGAGTAGCGGCGGCAGGGGCTGTATTTCTATCTCTTTCGCACGCCATCTGCCTTCTCCTTCTCGCAGAGCTGCGCAGAGTGACTACGACCGAGAGACAGGTTGATCAAACGGTGCTAGAGTTTCAGGACAGCTGCCACAACTCGAGAGACGCTCGAGCCTCTCCGGCCCTCGCCCGCCCCGCCGCAGCTGCTGCCTCGGCCTCGCTCGCCTCTCCGTCTTCGCCACCACTGTCGCTGTCTCCCTCGACCGCTCCTCGACCGCTCGTCGTGCCCTGGCCGAACTTGCGCGTGCCCGACGCCGTGAGCAGGAGAGGGAGGTACGGGTGGAAGAGCGTCGCGCCGACGGGGTCTGCTCGCAGGGAAACAGGCCGTCAGTCACGACTTGAGCGCCGAATGGACGACGAGAGCGAGAGGAAAAAAGGGTGAGACGGACCCGAGGAAAGTGGGAGCGACGTGACGGGCTCGAGGTCGTCGGGAAGCGGCTGAGCGCTAAAGATCGAGACGGCGCCGTCCTGCGTTATGCTGGGTGTCAGGACCCGCTCAGGACGAGACAAAGATGAGAGGCAGGGCGCACCTGATCCCCTGCGGCGAGCCACGTCCCGGTCGGGTCAATGTCGAACCCGAGCCGCTGGTTCGTGCGCCCGTTGCGCCGCAGCCGACCGCTGCTGCTCGTCCGTGACGTGTTGCGCAGGTCCCACACGTCGAGGTGCGACGACTGGCGCGAGGCGGCGAACAGGAGGTGGGGCGAGAGAGGGTGGAAGAGGAGCTGCTCGGCGGAAAGACAAGGGAGGGAGGGTGTCAGGCGGGCGGCTCGAGCGCACAGTCGAGGACGAGGCGCACCTTGGTGATGCCGCCTCGCTGTGACGGGACGAGTAGGTCGATGAGGGGCGAGTGAGCCGACGGGTCGTACAGGCCGACCGAGCCCGAGAACGAGCCCGCCGCGAGGCAGCTCGAGCCGGACGAGGAATCTGCCCCCGAGAAGGCGAGCGAAGATATGATTCCTGCAGACGTGAGGGCTGTCAGTCCTTGGTCGAGTGGAACGAAGTGAGAGGCGGCTTGGGCGCACCTTTCTGGCCATCTCGCGAGCTCCTCGTGCGCGTCGTCTTGAGCCGGTATCCCTCGTCGCCCGGCCGACCGACGTCAAAGATCTCGATGGCGTTGTCGAAGCCGCAGTACAGGCTGTCGGCAAAGGGTACGGCTCAGTAGCTGTAGGCGCACGAGTCGCTCTCTGAGCGAGAGAGAGAGAGGGAAGAACGGCTCACCTTGCCCCGTCAGGCGAGAAGGACATGGCGTGCGGCGCGACAAAGCGCTCGGTGTGGTCGATGATCGGGTAGCTCGCTCGCACCTGTAGAGGACGAGCGTCAATCGGCCGTCGAGGCAAGGCCAGACGAAGCGAGAGGGAGCGCACCCGTTGGTCGTTGCCGTCGAGAAGGTGCACCGGGTGGTCCTTGACGCCGGCCGCAAAGCTGAACATGGCCGGATCGCCGATCGACGCGCCAGGGTACCACGCAGTCGACAGGAGCGAGTCGGACGGCAGGTGCGTCCACGCCGCGTCGAGCGTGACGGCCGAGGTCGAGGCGGTCGGTGCGGCCTCATCGACGTGCGACGGCCTGCGAGGGTGATCGAGTCAGTCACGGACACTCAGAGTGACTGAGAGAGGGTGCTCACAGAACAAAGAGGCTCAAGGAGCGATCCTCGGCCGTCGCGAGAGCGCAGGAGCCGTCCGGGCAGCTGTCGGCGACGAGGAGAGGAGCGAGTAAGCCACACTGAGCGTGCGAGAGAGCCTAGGCAGCGGCTCGACGCACAGTTGGACGTCTCGGAAGAACGCGTCGGCGTTGTCCTTGCCGTGGTTGGGAGCTGCAGCGGCTGCGAGCCGAGTCGGCGGGGAGGAGAAGGACAGGGTTGCCATCGCGGCGTGGTTCTCGCGCGTAGACAGTGCGTGTCTGTGCAGCTGTGCAGGGAGACAGCGCGCGCACGTCCAGGACCGGCAGTGCGTCGAGGCGAGTAGATGCAGTCGCTTGAGCTTGGTGAGGAGGGGCGGTGCTGCTCTCGAGCTCCCTCCTCTCCTCTTCTCCCACTCGCCGCTCTGAAAGCACTGCTGCTGCCATGAGTGCCCAGACTGCCGCCTCGGACTCGCTCAAGGACGCCGTCCTCACCCAGGGTGCGCCGCTCGTCCTCTCGTCTTCACCCCTCCCCTCCCCTCCTCATCCCCCCAGTTCATCAGCTAACACCGTTCTCCTCCCCACAGTCGAGTTCTACCTGAGCAACTCGAACCTGCCGTTCGACAAGTTCCTGTTCGGCCTGTGGTCGACCGCCCACCACGACCCGGCCGCCGTCATCGCCAAGACGCCCGCGCCCGAGGGCTCGCCCAAGGACTCGCACTCGGAGCACAACCGGTTCCACCTCGGGTGGCTCCCGCTCGACAAGCTCGCGTCGTTCAAGCGCATGCAGCCTTACCTCGAGCCCCCGCCGGCCGGCCTCGGCAGCGTCGACGCCATCGCCGACGTCGTCAAGTCGTCGTCGCTCGTCGAGGTGCACAAGTTCGGCGCCGAGGGCGAGACGGGCGCCGGGTGGTACGTACGCCGCAAGAGCCCGCTTACCAAGCCGGCCGACGCCATGGAGCGCTCGGTGTACGCCAAGGGCTTCCCGGAAACGGAGAAGGATGGCGAGACGGACGAGGAGCGCGAGAAGGTGCGCGCCGACGAGCTCGAGCTCCAGAAGAAGCTCGAGGCTTGGGCGCGCGACCTCGACGTCGGCAAGATCCTGAGCCTGCGCATGCGCCGCGAGGACAAGGTCACCGAGGGCAAGGCGCCGCTCAAGGGCAAGGGCAAGTTCAAGGTCCGTCGAGCTTCCTCTTCTCTCCTTCACTCGTGCAGCTCCGTCGTGCTCACCCATGTCCCTCTCGCCGTCGTCCACGCAGGGTTCCGTCTTCATCGAGTTTGCCGAGAAGGCGTCGGCCGACAAGTTTGTCGCGCTCGACCCCAAGCCGACGTTCGAGGGCAAGGAGCTCGAGATCATGTCCAAGTGCGTCCCGCTCCCTCCCTCGGTCTCGCATTGCGCCCGTCACTGACCGTGCTGCATCCCCTCGCCGCCTGGCAGGTGGGACTATGTCGAGATGAAGCGCAAGGTGTACGCGCCCGACTCGAAGCCGATGGCGCGCGAGGGCAAGGACGCGATCCCCAAGAACCCGTACTCCAAGTCGAGCCGGCCGTTCAACGCCTGGGCCGAGCACCTCGTGTCGGACACGGACGGCTGGCCCGTCAAGCCGTCGGCGGCGGGCGCCTCGCGCGACGCGACGACCAACGGCAAGAAGCGCGCCGCCGAGGACGGCGTCGACGAGCGCGATATCTTCTACGACGGCGTCAAGTTTACGGCGCGTCGCACGGGCGGCAAGGCGGGCTCGATCGAGCTCGTCGACGAGGACAAGATCGGGACGGGCGAGGGCCAGTGGCCCAAGGGCAAGGTCCTGCGCTTCACCGTCTCGAAGAAGGACGGCTCGACCGACGGCGGCAAGGAGGACGGCGAGCAGTTTGACTTTGTCGCGCTCAAGAAGCGCATCGAGCCGATCGCGCGCCCGGGCTACGTCTCGCTGTTTGACGGCGCGCGCCCGGTCGCCAACCTCCCCGGCTCGTCGTCGGCGTCGGCCGACAAGGACGCGCCGATGCAGGACGCCAAGTCCGAGTTCCCGACCCGCCTCACGGCCCCGCCGACGATCGCGACCGCGTCCGAGGAGAAGAAGGACGACGCCGCCCCGGCCGCCGCCGCCGAGTCCAAGGGCGCGAGCGGCGCGCAGCAGTACCCGGCCAAGGGCCAGTCGTCGTTCAAGGACGTCCTCTCGGAGGACCAGTTCGAGACGCTCAAGAAGGAGGTCTCGGAGGTCAACGGCCGCAAGATCGAGTGGGTCCGCGTCTCGGGTGCGTCCTCCCCTCTTCCCTCTCTCTCTCTCCTCGTGCACATCACCTGACTCTACTTGCTCTTTCGCAGAGGCCGACGAGCGTGCCCACCAGCTCTCGCGTGCGCGCTTCCACGCCCAGCAGGCGTTCGACCCGCGCGACGGTGGCTTTGGCGGTCGCGGCGGCGGGCGCGGTGGCCGTGGCGGCCGTGGCGGCAACCGCGGCGGGCGCGGAGGCCGCGGCGGCAACCGTGGCGGCGACAGCAAGCGCCAGCGTCGCGACTAAGGGGTCCTGGGCTCGGGTTCCGAGGGAGGAGGGTCTGAACGTCGAAAACTAGCCGCATTGTTATCTGTCGTTCGGCGTGCATTCACAGCCTTGTCATTCCTGTGTCACGTTCAAGCTTGTCCTGCAGCGAGCTTGAGAGAGAAGCGACGACTCGAGACCGCCAGCTCGCGCAGCTCTCGCTCCGCCCTCCGCCATGAGCGGTGCCGACCCGCTCCAGCTCGGGTCCGGCGCGAGCACGCCCGACTCGGCGACCGTCTGGCCAGACTGGGACGCTGTCGACCGCGAGATTGCGCGCGTCTCGGCGTCGTCGAGCTTCATCGCGGTCAAGTCGTCGGCGGCCCCACATCTCGACGAGGAGGGCGCGACGGAGCGAGGCGAGGACGAGCTGGTGGAGCGCGAGGCGGCTGCGTACGGCATCACTGGCGCCGCCGAGCTGCACGATCGGCTCGCACGGCGGCGCGTCGTGCTCCTCGGCTGCGCGGCGGTCCTCTCGGTCGGATCGTGCGTGGCTCTCCTCCTCCTTTCTCGCCTCGAGATGGGCAAACTGACCCCTCGCACACGCAGCCACTACTCGACGTACACGCTCGGGCCGATCAAGAAGTCGCTCGGCACGAGCGAGGGCGGGTTCGCGGCTCTCGTGTCGTCCTTCGAGGTGCTCAACACGGTCAGCCCGCTCCTGTCGGGCTTCCTCGTGCCGCGGTACGGCGCGGCGGCGTGCGGGCTCGTCGCGACGGGCGCCGTCCTCGTCGGGCAGCTCGTCGTGTGCTTCTCGGCGGGCAAGGAGGGCGGCGTCGGCAACAACGTCGGCTGGACCGTCCTCGGCCTGCTCGTGTTCGGCAGCGGGACGTCGCCGCTCGCCGTCGTGCAGGAGAGCATCATCCTCAAGCACAACTCGGCGTCGTCCAAGTTTGTCGCACGGTCGGTCGCCGCCGGGCTCGTCCTCGGCAAGTCGGTGCGTCCCACCCTTTCGCCCTCCCTTTTCCTTCGAGACTCGTCGCCGCCTCGATCCTCAACGCGACCTGACGTGGCCCATGACAGGCATCGTTCGCCGCAGGCTGGTCCTCGCAGCGCCTGTACGCCGTCTCGCCCCGCCTTCCCTTCGTCACGGCCGCCTCGCTCGCCGCCTTTTCCTTTGCCGCCTGCATCCTGTACGCCGTCGTCGAGCGTTCGACGACCCGCCTCCTCGCCCAAGACGCTCGCCTCGTCGTCGATGCCGCCGACGCGCCCGCCACCCGCCTCAAGCCCGCTCGACACGACGCGCACGGTGACCACCCGCCGTCGCTCGACCTGTCGTCGCTCGCGAGCTTCGGCACGCCGTTCTGGTGGTACATCGCCGTGTGCGTCCTTGCCGGGACGTGGTACACGACGCAGCACCTCGCGACGCACCTGCTTCAGGCCACGTACGGCACGAGCGGTATCTCGCAGGAGGAGGCGAGCGCGACAGCGTCCGTCCTGCTGGGCACGCCCATCCTCGTGCGTCTCTCTCTCTCTCTCTCTCTCTCTCTCTCTCTCTCTCTCTCTCTCTCTCTCTCTCTCTCTCTCTCTCTGGCGTCTCCTCACAGAAGAGTCACTGACGGTCCTCGAGTACGCAGCTGTATCCGCTCGCCGGGTGGATCGTCGACAAGCACCCGCACCTGCTGTCGACCTTCTGGCTCCTCGTCCCGAGCCTGACGGCGACGACGTTCTTCTTCCTCCTCCTCGTGCGTCCCCTTCCTCTCCTGTCATCCCCTGATCACGTGACCTAACCCTCGCACACTCAGCTGTCGCCCGCCGTCCCTCCCCTCGTCGCGCTCCTCCCCGCAGCAGTCGGCATGGGCTCGGGCCCGCTCCTCCTCGTCCTCGTCGTGCCCCGCATCGTCCAGCGCCAGTGCGCACCTCTCTCCCTCTCTCTTTCTCGCGCGTAAAGGTTCTACAGGGACTGACCCACACCTCGCGCGGCGCCCGCAGCCAAGCCCCGACCGCGCTCGGCGCGCACAAGTCGCTCGAGATGGCGGGCGCCATCCTCTCGCAGACGCTCTCGGCCGCGCTCCTCTCGCTCGGCTCGCCCCCCTCGCCCTCCTCCTCCACCACCGGCACCGGCGCGCCGTCTCGTGCGCCCGCCGAGGCGGACGACGAAGCGGGCGGGGCGGCCGACGGCGCGCTCGTCGGGCTCCTCGTCGCCGCGCTCGTGCAGCTCGCGTTCGTCGCGCGGTGGTGGCACGCGATCCGGGTGCGCGACGGCGCTGCTGCGCGGGGCGCGGGCGCGGGCGTCGGTGTCGGTGCGGGAGGGGGTGGAGGAGGAGGGGCAGGAGCGGGTGCGGCGCCCGACGAGGCCGAGCTGGGCCTGCTCGCCGCTGTCGACGGCGACCACGGGGGCGAGGGCGGCGGGACCCACGTCGGCGAGGGAGGAGGCGAGCTCCTCGGGCGCAAGGAGCGGCTCGAGCTGCGCAGCGGGACGAGGGCGCTCCGAGCGGCGGCTGGCACCGTCGTCGCGAGCTGGGCGTGCTTCGTGTGGAACGTCGTGCGAGGGTGAGGCGGCGCCCCAAGGGGGCTGTTCTTGCAATGCGTGTTGTGCTGTTTGTTTGAGCGAGTCGCGACGAGAGTTGAAGGGAAAAGGGAAAGCTGCCTCTCTCTCTCTCTCGCTCTCTCTCGCTCGCCAGACTCAACCCGAGAACGTGAGAGAGAAAAGGGTGATACAACAACGTGTCGACGGCGAGCCTCTACGCGCGTGCCTCGCCCTGCTGCTGCTGGCCCTCGGTCGCCTGCGCGATCAAGCGCTGCAGCTCGTCCTCGCCCAGGAACTCGCCCTCCTCTCGCGCCGCCGCCGCCGCCGAAAACCCACCCTCGCTGTTGAGGTCGACGCCGCCAAAGTACCGGCTGCGGCCGAGCGCGCGCTCGTCGCGCGGCAGGCGCTCGTCGCGGCTCGTCGGCACGACGCCGACGAGCTTGCGCTCCTTGCCGCCGCCACCGACGCCGCCGCCCGTCTGCTTGGGCCCGCGGTAGTACGTGACAAAGCCCGGCACGAGCGCAAAGAGGGTGTGGTCGCGGCCACGCGCGACGTGCTGGCCCGGGTGCCACGACGTGCCGCGCTGCCGGACGAGGATGTTGCCCGCCTGGACCTCCTGGCCTGCGCGCTCGAGCGTGTCAGCTGTCGCTTCCTTTGTGACTTGGTGGGAGAAAGATGGGGCGCACCGCCGTATTTCTTGATGCCAAGCCGCTTGCCGATGGAATTGCGCCCGTTCTTTGAGCTGCCCCCACCACGCTTCGTGGCGTGGCGTACTTGGACGTTGAAAATGGCCAACGGCTCGTGCGGGGCGGCTCGCCTGAAGGCGGAGAGGAACGAGAGCATGGTGGGCGAGGGGCGAGACGGCGAGGAGGTTTGGTGCCGGCGAGCGGGTGGAGGATGCGGCGAGGTCGAGAGTGCCACTGTCGGGTGGTAGCACGGTAGGCTGCTGAGTTTGAGTGTGCGCCTTGCTCTGCAGCAGACAGGGGTGCGGTGGTCGAGTTGAGGCCGACGAGGAGAGCGAGGGAGAGGGAGATGAAGATGGAGGCTCGGCTCTCCGACGTCGACCACTCGCCGCCGCACCTGCGAGCGACAGACTGCCTCTGCTGCACTCTCGAGCACCCACACAGCCCGCCTGTCGACCCACCCAGCCGCACCGCGCCTCTTCCCCTCCTCCTCCTCCCGGACCCGACCCCGCCCGCCTAGCCGCCGCGCACCATGGCCAACACGACCCGCGCAGGCGCCCTCTCGATCCACGGCACCAACCCGCAGTACCTCGTCCCGACCGTCATCCGCCAGCGCGTGTACGACACCATCTACTGGAGTGCGTCCCCCTCTCTCTCCTGGGCTCGTCTAGACGCACACTGACCCCGCACCCGCAGAGGAGCACTGCTTTGCCCTGACGTCGGCGACCGTCATCGACCGCGCCGTCGAGCTCGAGGCCGTCGGCGGCACGTACGCCAACACGCGCCCGACAGAGTTCATCTGCCTCGTCCTCAAGCTCCTCCAGCTGCAACCCGAGCGCGAGATCGTCCTCGAGTACCTCCGAGCCGAAGAGTTCAAGTGCGTCTCCCCTCTCTCTTAGGGTGTGTCCCGCGCGGAGCGGTGTGCGCGGTGAGGTGAGGACTGACAGGCTGCGCGCCGCGCGACAGGTACTTGCGAGCACTCGCGGCGTTCTACGTCCGGCTCACGTTCGACTCGCTCAACTGCTACGAGGTCCTCGAGCCGTTGCTCAACGACTACCGCAAGCTGCGCTTCCGCGCCATGGGTCCGTCCCCCTCTCTCTCTCTCGCGCTCTCGTTCGGCCTCGCTGACTCGGCACCCACACGCACGCAGACGGCTCCTACTCGATCCTGACGATCGACGAGTTTGCCGACCAGCTCCTGCACGGCGAATCGGTGTGCGAGATCCAGCTGCCGCGCCTCACGCAGCGCAAGGTGCTCGAGGAGACCGAGGGCCTCGCGCCGCGCCGGAGCAAGCTCGGGCGGGCGCTCGGCGTGCGAGGTGCGGGCGAGGGCGAGGGCGCGGCGAGTGCGAGTGGGAGTGCGAGTGGGAGCGGGAGCGGGAGCGAGGACGAGGGGAGCGAGGGAGGGAGGAGGAGAGCGGGCCGGTACGTCTCGCGCAGCCCGAGCGCGAGCCGGTCGCCGAGTCCGAGCCCGATGGACGAGGGCCCGGAGCCCGAGTACTGGACCGAGGGGTCCGGCTCGGAGGACGGCGAGGGCGAGGCGGGCGCACCACGGGGCGGGCGCGACGTCAAGCGGCGCCGCAAGCCCGTCGTCGAGGTCGAGGGGCGCGACGGGCGGCGCCACACGGTCGTGCACGAGCGCGGGCGCTGTGCGTCTCCCGACGACGAGGGGCGGTACGTGAGCCGGAGCCCGAGCCCGCCGAGCGACGACGGCGACGGCGACGGCGAGGGCAGGTTCGTGTCGCGCAGCCCGACGAGGAGCGCATCGCCCGGGGAGCGGATCGAGGTCGAGCATGTGGCGGGGGACGTGTAGCCTCGTCCTTGTACTCTCTGTGTTGTGCGAGCTCGTGTGAGAGGGTCGCTTGGAGTTGGACGAGAGGCGCGACTCTGCGCGAGGGGGAGCACCGCCCCCACCCCGACTCTCTCTCTCTCCTCCTCCTCCACGATGCCGCCCACTGTCAGCCCACGCTCGACCCATGGCCACAGCAACGACTCGTCCGACTACCTCCTCCTGACGTCGAGCGAGCACTCGCCGCTCCTCCCCTCCTCCTCCTCAGGGTCGCGTGCACCCACCTCTTCTCGCCCGCCCCGCCTCGCCCTCTTGCGCCTCGCCGCCGCAGCAGACCTGTGCACCACCATCGCGCTCGCACTGCGCGTCCCCGTCACGGCACTCCCGCCCTCGGCCGTCGCGCTCAACCTCGCCCGACCGCTCGTCGTCCTCGTCCCGGGTGCGGGGGCCGCCTGCGCGCCCGTCATGCTCGGCCAACTCGTCGTGCGTCCTTGCCTCTCTCTCTCTCTCGTGTGCGCGCGTGTGGTGGGGCTCGCCGCTCACCCTCGCCCCACCCACTCGCAGCTCTCGACCCTCGTCCTCCTGTACCGCCTCAACGAGCTCGTCCAGACGACGACGGTCCCGCCCTCCGAGGCAGCGGCGTGGTTGCTCCTCAACCCGACCACGGCGTGGTACCTCGCCTCGTTCGCGTTCGCGCCCCTCGAGTACGCCCTCTTTCTCGCCCTCGTCGGCGTCCCGCGTCGGCGGGCTGCTCGGGCGGGGTCGCGGGGCAGGAGGTGGGCCGCGGGAGAGCGGCCGTGGGAGGGCGCGGTCGAGCGCGTTGGCGCCTCGGCGCGGTCAGAGCGCAGCTTGAGCGTCGGTGGTGCGGGCGGCGGTGCGGTCGCGGGCGAGATGGGCGCGTGGGACGACCCAGAGCTCGATGCCAACTCGTCGGAGGACGACGACGACGACGACGGTGGCTCGCTCCTCTCAAGCGACGACGACGCCGACGACCTCGTCGACGTCCCTCGCGGCGGCGGCGCTCACTTGTCGTCGCCTCGTCACGAGCGCGGCGAGCCCACCCTCCTGCGCAACCGCGCGAGCCGCGCGAGCCTCCTCAGCGTGTTGGCGCCGCCGACTCGGGACGGCGGCGAGGAGGACCGGCCTGGGTTCGGCGCGAGCAGGGGGTATGGGTCGATCCGGTCGCTCGGTGCGTTCGCGGTCGTTCGCTCTCTCTCGTTCTGTAGCGCGAGGGGCCTGACGAGCTTGCGAGGGGTGCGCGCGCAGCTGGGATCTGAGCGGGCTCCGAGGTGTTGTTGTACTTCTCCTGTCGCTCGTGTCGGTGCAACGGGCTCGTTCACTCTCGCACACCGTGACAGGGAGAGAGGGCAAACAGTCGGTATAGTTGCTCTGCAAAGAGAGAGAGAAAGAGCGAGAGAGAGGGAGAGAGAGGGAAAGCTACGAAGAGAGAGAGAGAGAGACGGGCGTGACAGGGTCTGGCAAACGAGGGACGAGGGTGCGACGAGGGACTCATACAGGGGAGGGGAGGGAACGAGAGACGAGGGTGGGCAAGCGGACGGGGCGAGAGGTGGTACAGGTGAGGGACGAGTGGAACGAGTGACGGGAGAGTTGGGAAGGCGGACGGGCGGTGCAGCTCGAGACGCCGGCGCACGGCGCTGCGTTCTCAGAGAGGCGCGTCGCGCAGGTGAGAGGTCGAGGTGAGCGGGAAAGAGCGACCGAGAGAAGAAGCCTGCGGCTGGGTCGAGGAAAGGTGTGTCAGGGCGAGGCGCTCGACGAGAAGGAGACGCTCTTGGGCGAGCCACAGCTCACCTCGGCGGACGCCTGCGAGACATGGAAGCCCTGGCGACTGGTGGAGGTGCCGCCGGGCTGGCGGCGGCTCGAGTAGAGGACGTGGCCGTCGTCGACCACGGTCGGCGCCTGCGCCGACCGAGTTGCCTCGCGCGCCGACAGCGCGCCGGCGCCGCCCACGTCGCCGTATGCCGTAGCGATGGTAGGCGCAGCGCCTGGAGCGACGAGCGTTGCCGTGCGCGCGGCGAGCGCCTGCGGCGCCGGCGCCGACGAGGACGACGGGAGGCGGCCGCTCGCCGCGACGACAGGAAGAGCTCGGCCGGCCGGCGGCGTCCAGCTCGTGCCCGTGCCCGAGTACGACGTCTTGCCGAGCCGACCGTTGAAGGGAACATAAAGGCCGGACGTCGGCGCCGGGCGAGAGCCGAGAGTCGAGGAGGAGGCGAGGAGCTCGCGCCCCGCCTTGGTCTTTCGAGGCACGGCTCGCTGCGGCGGGCCCATCTCGTCGGCGCTCGAGGCAGGAAGGTACGAGGTAGGCTTGGCGCGGCGACGAGGCGGCGACGGCTGCGGCACGAGCACGCCATGCGGCGGCTTGAACGCGCTCGCGACGGGTCCTGGCGGCCACGTGGTCGACCGAGCGGCGGGTGTCGGGCCGGGGCCGGTTGCCAGTGACTTCGGGAGGAGGGTCGAACGCGAGGACGAGGTCGAGGTCGAGGGAGAGGAAGAGGCAGGGAAGAGAAGGTCCAACTATGGGAGGCAAGACGGTCAGAGGGCCGAATCCGGGAGGGCAGAGCGAGAGGGGGACGCACAGACTGGGCCGATGCGGGGTTCTGCTCTCGACCGACGACGCCGATGGTACCCAGCTCGTCGAGGCGCTGCGGAAGGAAGGCGGCCGCCACCGGCGGCCCGCTGTTGAGCAGGTGCTGAACGCCCGGTCGACCGGGAGCTTGCAGGTCCTTGAGCGACATGTCGAGGCCTGCGTTGGAGGACGTCAGGACAACTCCGTTGAGCTCGAGAGAGAGCGAGAGGGGCGACGCACCGATGTTGGGCTTGAGGGTGAACGAACGTCTCGGTCGAGGCCGCCGTCGACGTTGATGGCGAGGTGCTCGTGGGAGCTGCCGTCGTGAGGATGGTGGGCTTCGTCGATGGCGCGAGCCGCTCGAGCGTCGGCGGCAAGATAGGCTGAATCGAGAGCACGGCATCGACCTGCAACGGGTTCAGGAAGGTCAGTTACCCTTCTCGCCGCCGTCGAGGGAGTAGACTCGGACGCACAAACTGGGCGTGCGCATTCTTCTGACCTGCGTCGATGGTGGCCTCGATACCGAGGTCGTCGAGCTTTCTCTGCAGCTTCGGCGCCCTCGGGCGCGAGTACTTCTCGTCGACGAGCATGTCGAGGAGCTCGGCGCGGCCCAAGCTCCGCAACTGGTCGAGCGAGTAGACGAGCACTGTGGGAGGAAGAGAGAGTCAGTGGCTCGCCCTCGTGGGGCTTGAGTCGGGGCATAGAAGGTGGCGAACCCGGGTTGGCGATGTAGGTCTTCTGCTTCTTGACGGCGCTCGGCTCGCCCTTGGCGCCGTTCTCGCCCACCGTCTCGTCTTGCTGCGCCTTGCGCTTGCGCGAGGTCGTCGACGGCGCATGCGTGTCGAGCGTGGGAGCCGGCGCGGCTCGAAGCGCGTGGGCGGCGTGGGAGGCGTGGTCGGGCTCGTTGTCGGGCGCGACTGCTCGCGAGTAGGACGCGGCGGGCACAGGGGTCGCCGAGGCTCGCGTAGTCGTTGATGCCATAGCCGAGGTGGATGAGGTCGCCGGGCCGAAGGAGGACGAGATGACGTGGATCTGCGACGAGCGAGGTCAGGCCTTTTCTCTCGCCGGTCCTCGGCACGCAAGAGAGAGAGAGAGAGACGCACGAAGCTGTCGTGGTAGGTCTTGACGTCCTCCATGGCGTCAGGCACGTCGAGCTTGTGCTTCTTGAGGATCTTGACGAGCGTCGCCGGCGACGGTCGCGGTCGCCTCGCCAACAGCTCGCGCAGCTCGACCTCGTTGGCCGCCTGGAGCTGGTCGAGCGACATCTTGCACACTGTACGCTCCGAGAGAGTCAGTCTTGGACGAGGAGGCGGGAGCGAGAGTGGCAGGAAGGAGCAGAACTCACGAGGGTTCGGTGGTGAGGGCCGCTTGGCGGGCTCGCTCTCCATGATGGCGTCCTCGGGCACGATCTCGACCGTCGGGCTGGGCGTCGTCGCCGTACTCGTCGACGCGTCGTCGTGGGGAGCGCCACCTCGAGCAGAAGTAGTCGAGGTCGGCGAAAGGACAGGCGGCACGGTCGTGACGGCCTTGACCTGTAGAACGACTCGGTCAGTCACCCCGGTACAAGAGACATTCGGATAGAGAAAGAGGACGCACGAACGAGTCCCGGAATGTCGACGTGTGGTGCATCTGGGGCGGGACGCGCAGGCCGAGGCGGTCGAGGAAGGCGACGAGCGTCTTCGGCTTGGGCTGCTTCGGCCGCAGGAGCATCTGGTGCAGCGCTGCGGGTTCCTCGGCTCGCAGCTGCTCGAGCGACATTTTCAAGACTGCGGATAGGGCGAGCCTGAAAGTCAGACTCGTCGCGAGAGGCGTAAGAGAGAGAGGGACGCACTCGGATTCGGCATGGTCCCGACCTTGGGCTTGAGCGTCGTCTCGAGCTTGTCGTCCTCGTCGCCGTCCTTGCCGTCCTTGCCCTGCTGCTGCGGCGACTCGTCGACGTCGCCGACGGGCGCGTCTCGCTGAGCGAGGGAGCGCTTCTTGCAGGCCAAGATGAGCGTGCGCAGGTTCTCGTGCGCCGCTCGGCGGAAGGGCGACACGTTCGCGTCGTACGGGGCATCGAGAGGCACGTTGAAAGCCCAGTCCTCGAACGTCAGGGCACAGTGCCAGAGGCCCTGGACGTTCTGGAGCACGCGCGCCGTGCCGCCCGGGACGCCGTCCGACGACGAAAAGTCGCGGCCCGAAAGTCGGATCGACTCGGCGACCGACTGGGACGGCGGGAGCGGCGTACGTCCTTGGCTGACGGCGAGACCGGAGAAGTAGAGGCGCACGCCGGCACCAGTGCTGAGGCAGACCGCCCGGGGGTCGGCGCGCAGGTGGATCTGCAACGAGACGCAGTCGTACCGAGTCAGTCAGGCTCGTCTCGCGAGAAAGAGAGGTGAAGCAAGGACGCACCTCGTTGCCCTCGAGTATCCCGTCTCGAGTTGCCGCCAAGTTGGTCTTGCGCGCGGCTTCTCCACGCTGCGGGGACGATCGAGGTCAGGGGCATACTCAAGGAGGGATGAGAGAGGGAGGGGCGCACCTTCATGTTGACCTGGTCGGCCTTGGCTTGCTCGGCCGCAGAGAGAACGCGCGGCACCCGAGCCCGGCGAGGTTTGCGGACCCGGGTCGTCAGCGCCGGCAACGTGTACCCGACGGGCACGAGCTGTTCGAGGCTCTGGAGGTACGGCTAAAGAGCGCGATTCAGTAAAGTGCTCGCTCGACGAGGCTGAACGACGAGGCTCGAGCGGACTCACCGAGGGATCTTGCGAGCCCCGAGTCGGGAGCACGGTCTTGAGGTCGACGACGCGATCTTGACTCGCCGCGCTGTTGAGGAGCGCCGACATCTTGTCGAGGACCTCGTTGGCCTCGAGCGACCCGACGGGCAGAAGGCGAACGTCCTGCGTCTCGAACGAGGCCGTCTTGGTCGTGGTCGAGTCGCCGCCCCTCGTCGCGCCGTTGTCGCTCGCGTTGTTCGAGCCGTTGAGCTTGATGAGCGTCTTGCGGTCACGCGAGATGCCGACAGCGAGCTTGCTGTGGACCTGGCCCATGCCGGACGGGATCAGGGCGACGACGCGCAGCCGGCGACGCTTGGCGTCGGGGACGCCCTTCTTCTTGTTGAGGCGGGCGTACAGCTTGTTGGCCTTGCGGGCAAACTTAATTGCGCGGAACATGAAGCCCTCGGGGACGAACAAGATGCCCGTCACGCCGACCCTGTGCATGCGGCGTCGTCAGGGACGGCGCAGAAAGAGGCGGACGACGCAGGAACGTCCTGCGATTCAGGCGAGACGGCGACTCACTGCTCAACCCAGTCGATCAAGATGGACGAGAGGAGGTAATCGGCGACGAACGAGAGCGGGTGGTACACGTTCCACGTAAAGTTGGCCGAGTGGTGGAACAAGGCGTTGAGGGCCTCGAGGCCGGTCGCGTCGTCGTGTCCCTGGACGAGATGGGCAGTGTCAGGACCATGCCGACGCAGGGGAAGGGAACGGAAGGGGGACGCACTGGTCCCTGAAGATGGAAGCCGCCGAGCCGGACGAACTCGGGCTTCTTGGCGAGTCGCGACGAGACGATGTACTGCCTCGTCGGCGACACCTGGATCACGCAAGGGTGCGCAGCGACTTGGTCTCGCGGGAAGACGTCGAGGTCGGTCGAGTCGGGCGAAAAGGGCGTGTCGGGGACGCCGAGGAACTCCTGCATGCGCCAGGGAACAGGCTGAGAGGGCAGGACGTCAGGGTCTGTGCGGAAGGCTGATTCGGGAGGAGAGGAGACGGACCCGCTTGATGTTGTTCTCCTTGAACCAGACGTGGCGCTTCTTGTCGCCCGATGCGCCCTGCGCGCTAGCGCGCTCGCGCACCCGGATGCCGGCGATGGACGCCGACGGCTCGACCCACACGCGCTCGTCCTCGCTGTCGCCCTTGCCGTCGGTCGAGTACAGGTCCTCCGAGTCGTCAAGAGCAGGCGCGTCGTGGCCGCCACCGCCGGCAGGAGCCTGCTCGGAGGAAGAGGGCGGCTCTGCCGGCAGGCCGCACGGCTCCTCGACGCCGAGCTCCTGCTCGTTGACGTCGAGCTCGTCCTCGTCGACGCCGAGCTCGTCCTCGTCGTCGCCCTGCTCGTCGTCGTCGTCGTCGTCGTCGCCCTCGGCGGCGTTGCCGTCGTCGTACTCGTCGACAAACTCGTCGTCGAACCAGTCGAGCTCGGGGCCGTCGACGAGCCAGTCGAGCTCGAGGCCGTCGTCGAGACAGGCGACGACAGGCGGGACGGGCTCGAGCGGAACGCCGTCCTCGGCGCGCACGTCGAGGTCGCCGTGAGGTGCGCAGACGTCGTCGTCGACCGGGTCGAGGCCCGACGCGCCGGGGTTGACGAGCTGCTTGTCGGTGTCGCCCGACACGAGCCCATGCTGGACGAGATGGTCGTCGGCGAGAGCCGAGGACGTGCCGGACGCGGCCGCGTGTGGTGCGACGACTCGACCCGCAGGAGGACCTCCTTCCTCCTCCGAGTCACTGACGTAGTCGCGCGTCGACGGGTCAAGGCTGCCGCCCCGGAGGCGGAGGACGATGTACAGGGTCGACTCGTTGCCGATGGCGTAGTCGGCGAGCGTGAGGCCGTCGTCGAGCTGCTTGCCGCCAAAGATGAGGCGCTGGTCGACGAGCGCGACGCCGAGCTTGTCCTGGAGCGTGCGCTTGACGTGCTCGACCGTGTCGAGCTTGCCGACGTCGAGGGTGCGCGTCGTACCGTCGGTGCCTGCGGGCGAGCGAGGGCGCGAGCCGGGTCAGCGCGCTCGTCCAACGACGACGAGAGCGACGACGAGAGCGACGACGAGAATGGGAGAAAGGGGACGCACACTTGACGAAGATCTGCATCGCTCCCTCGCGGCGGAACGAGCGCCGACTCTCGGGACCTTGAGCGCCCGACGACGCTTGGACCTCCTCCTCCTCCTCGTGCTCCTCCTCGCGCTCCTGCTCCCTCGGCCCTCTCTCGACCTCCTGCGGCGACGGGCCCTCCGTCTGGCCCTCGACCTCCTGCCCGTCGACGCGCTCGGCGAGCGTGCGGCCGCGAGGGCGCAGGTCGACGCCGGGCGGCCGCGAGGACGACGGCGTCGGGGCGAGGGCTTGAGCGGCCTCGTCGCCGAGCGAACGAGCGCCCGTGGCGCACGACGCGGCCGAGTGCGGCGACGTGGACGACGAAGAGGAAGGCGAGGGCGATCTCGGGGACGAGGTGGGTTGCGGCGGCGGGTCGGCGGCGGCGGGCTCGACCGTCGACGACGAGGTCGACGAGGACGCGTCGCGCAGGCCCGTCTCGGTCGCGCCCTCGCGCTCCTGCTCGTCAGGCGTCGAGACGGCGTTCAACGAGGCCTCGCCGTCCAGCGGCGGGTCGTCGGGCGCGAGGGGCTCGTGCAGAGCGGCGCCGGCCTCCTCCTCCTTCTCCTCCTTGCCCGCCTGCGCCGCCGGCTCCTGCGCGCGCTCGTGCTCCTCCTCGACGCTCTCGTCCTGCGCCTCGGCGTCGCGCGCGGCGTGCTGCGCGCTCGGGGCGCCCTCGGGCGGGCCCGCCAGGAAGGGCGGCGGCGGCTCGACGACGAGCGGGATGCGCTCGGCGGCCGGCGCGGTCGCGACGGGCTCGTCGTCGAGCGGCGACACGATGGACGACGCGGCGGCCGGAGCGCTCGGCGGGGCCGACGGCGGAGGAGGCGAGGGCGGGCTCGGCGTGGCCGTCAACGCGGCCGCCTCGGCGGAAGACGAGCTGCTCAGGGCGGGGCGCTTGGCCGTCGCCTTGCGACGCGAGCGACGCGGCGTCGCCGACGAGTCGACGACGTTGTTGTGGCCGCGAGGCGTGCGGTACATGCCCGCGTGCGGGCGCGGGAGGAGGACGAGAAAGTCGGCGCCGCCATCGTCGTAGTCGAGCGTCACCTTGTTGACGAGGCCGGCACGCAGACCAAGGTAGGGTCGGGGCGAGAGGCCGAGGAGGAAGAGGGACGGGCGCGGGCAGCTCTTGGGCGGTGCAGTCGGGCGCCTGGCCGTGTTGAGCGGGTTGGGCGATGGCGAGGTGGACGACGGGACGGGTTCGAGGCGCTCTTGAGCGGCAGAGGCGACTTGGACAGGTAACTGGCAGGTGTACGAGTCGTCAGTGAGTCGGTCTGAGAGGCGAGAGCGCGAATTTGTGGAGGGAGGACGACGCACAGACGATGGCTCGAGCGTGACCTTGTCCTCCTTGCCGAGGCCGGGCCGCAGCACGCGCTCGCTCAGCGAGCTAGAGTCGGCCATGTGCGGGACTGGGGTGCCGCGCAGCACGACCGAGGGGGAGGTAGGGCGAGAGCGAGGGTGGCCCGTTGGAAGGTGCGAGCGATGAGGCGGAGGAGAGGAGCGAGGGCGTGGGCGAGGGCGAGGTGTGGCGGGACGGGCCGAGTTGAAGTCGGCAAGTCGAACCTGTAGGTCGGTGATGAGGTCTGTGAGGACGAGTCGGACAGAGACGAGCTGAGCGAGGCGAGGACGGACTCGTGGGTTGCGCGGGGTCGCTCCTCTTGCTCTCGCCCACCACCGCTCCGACCCCCGTGCCGCCCCTCGCTGGCCTCTGAGCACCCTCCACACCCGCCTCGACCACCGCCTGCTCCCACTCGACAGCCCACAGCCCACTCCTCCCCCCCGTCCGTCCCCCCCACCTCATCGTCGCTCAACCGCCGGCACCCCTCGCTCCACCACCAGGGCCACCGCCGCGCCTCTCAGCAGCGTCCCACGCCCTCGACAATGCCCGTACGCGGTGCGCACGGCCGCCAGGGCGAGGTGGGAGGGCAGGACGGGCGAGGTCGAGTGCACCGCCTCCTCGACGCGCCGTGCGCGGGCGGAAGTGGTCGCATGACGCGTCTGGCGGTCGTGCCGAGCTCATGAAGGGCTGCAGAGATGCGCAGGACGAGGTGGCGAGGTCGGCTTGGGCGCGGCGGCGGGTGTCGGCGTGTCGGCCGCTCGGCGTCCGCCAGAGGGGGTGTGTGAGGAGGTCGGTGTCGGGCGCATCGTCGAGGGGGCGCGTCGAGTCGCACAGGCGTGGATCGGGTCTGATGCGGCGGTTCTGGCGGATTCCGGCGCGCTCAGGGGGGCGAGCTGCACGGCAATCGCGGTTGGCGGGCGAGCAGGCGGACACCGGCGGCGGCGTCGCCGGAGGCGTCGACGCCTCACTTGACGAGGGGGCGCCTGCTCAAGGTTGCGAGATCGAGCGGTTGGGGTGCAGGGCCGCGCAGATGGACTGGGTCGGTCATGGTGGCCTGCTGCTGGCGGTTGCGGGTGGGACGAGGCCGAGCAGACGGGGGAGCGAGTCGCTCTCAAGGGGCGCAGCATTCCTGGAGCTCTACAGCGCGCTCTCGTGCACTCTCGGACTCGCGCCAGATGCTGTACCAAGCCAGGCCTGCAATGCAACCCGTCCCACCCCTTTGCGCTCGCTCGTCCCCTCGCTGCGCCTCGCTCCTCCTCCTGCTCGCGCCGCTCCGCCCACGCCCGCACAAGGTCCACGCCGTCGCACGCTCGACGAGTCGCGGCGCCGATGGTCGCGAGGCGAGACAGCTGCCGCACATTCGAGGGCTCGAACCGAGCCGACACGACGCAAGCTTGGGCGGGCGAAAGGGTGGACGCCGTTGGCGGGCAGCTTGGGCGAGGTCGGGGCGAAGCGGGCGTCTGACTGCGGGCAAGATGGTGAGCTCGACCCAGTCCGCCTCTCTCGAGAGACGCCGACCCTCGCATGCCGTGCAACGAGAAGGCGTAGCAGAAAGTCGACGTGTCCTCGTCAAAGTCGCGCGAGAGGGCCGAGTCGGAAGGCGCCGTAAAGCTGCGAGAGGACGAGTGGTACAGACAAGACCGCATATAGCACCGCTCTGCTGAGCGACTGGAAGGGGAGCGAGTGTCAGAGCCGTCGAGGTCGAAAGAAGGAGAGCAGGAGAGATGGGACGCACCTCGTTGGCAGCGCGACGCGCCGCAAAGGGCCGAGTCGGGGCTACTGCGACTCGGGGCGGTCGTACTTGGTGACCATGGCGAGCGACGTGCTATACCGTGTCGAGTTACTGCTTGCGACGAAAGCGACCTGGCCGGACGCGGCGGGAGCGGACGCGCGAGGACAGCAGGACCGCCAGTGCTGGGCGAGCCCGCTATGTCGGGTGTGAGCGACACATTGGTCGACACGGTGCTGGGCGGGGTACTGACGATGTCGGCAGCTGGACGAAGACGGGCGGGAAGGTGTGGGCGACAGGAGACGCGGCAACGCAGCCCTCGCGAGGCGAGGCCGGGCGGGCGTAGGGCGCAATTGAGAGGGTGCAAAGGGCGGACTGGAGGACGGCGACGGGTCAGGCTGAGGCCCGCGCACAGAGAGAGAGAGAACTGTGTGAGCCACGCACCGAGGAGGAGGCGAGATGGCGAGACGTCGAGCGCGCGTGTGGGCAAAGGCTAGCTTGTGTCTGTGCCAGCGCAAGAAGAGCACCAGGCTAGCGGCACACCGTTGCTAGGTGTGCGGGTGACGGAGAGAGAGCCCGTGTCGAGCAAGCAGCGCGAGCTCTCCGCCTCCGGATCCTGTGGTGCCGCATCGTCGTCGTACTTCTCCTCGGAAAACTTAGTGCACAGAACGATCGTATGCATTGGATGAGCAAGATTCGCAGCCGCAAGACCTGCAGCTGGACGAACGTCGTTTCGAGCTGACGAGTCCGTGCGCGGGTACTACAGCGGCCTGCAGCGGGCGCAAAAAAGTGATCCGGCCGAGGCTCGAACTCGGGACCTTTCGCTCCTTGACTGCTGCGGCCGGTACTGTAGGGGTGAAGGGACGCAAAAGGATGACCGGACCGGGTCTCGAACCCGGAACCTTTCCCGTGTGAAGGGAAAATCATGACCATTAGACCATCCAGTCTTGTACCACTCGTTCACAAGAGTGTTTTTAAATCAAAGCGCCAAGCTATATATACATATAAGCAACAAGCTGCCGGGAAAGCAAACCAAACCTCTGACATCGGCAGACACCGCAGAGCCACAATGTGCGTAGGTCCGCAGACGCAGAGAGACAGTGAGAGACGGTCCGCAGAACGCGCCGACGAATCCTCAGAACGAGGCCCAAGCGGACCTTCCCAAGTCGAGATGTCGGCCCCTCGCGCTCGCTGCCACGCGTTTCGAAGCGGCTGGCGCGCCCCACCACCTCTGCTGGACGACCCACTCGACGCCTGAGAGCTGCTCGGGCGAACGAGCGAGTCTGCAAGGACAGCCGCTCTCGAGGGCGCTGCGGCGACGTGCTCGTGCCGGGCTTTCGCACTTCTTGCTGGCCCCTCTGGCTCTTCTCGCGTCTCCTGCTCGAGTGCTCGCTTCCATTGAGACCAACTGCGCAACTCGGACGAGCGACAGCCGTCGACAAGACCGTCACCGTCGCGAGCCGAGCGAACCCCTGCCTTTCTCTCTGACGGCACCCTCGCGCCCAGCCTCCTGTGCGAGCCGACGACGCCGCTGCGAGAAAGCCAAGCTCAGACACAGCGAGAGCCACGCAGAAGCAGCCGACAGCGACGCGAGTCATCGAGCGACGCAGCAGCAGCCGCCGGACGAGGCCCGAGCGGACCTTCCCAAGTCGAAGAGCAGCCTCTCGCGCTCGCCCTGACGCGCTTCAGAGCCGCTCGCACAGTCGATCGACTCTCTCTGGCGACGCACTCTGTGCCCGAGAGTAGCCCAAGCCGATCCGAGTCTGACTTGCGAAACGACGCTCGTTGCACCTCGCCTTTGTACAGCCTCCTCGCCTCGGTCACGCTCAGTACGCCGACGGGTTCGTGAGGAGCGTGCCGCCGTCGACAGGGATGATGGCGCCGTTCGTGTCTGCTCGGGGAGGGAAAAGGTCAGTCGAGGGTTCGAGGACCGAGAGCGGGAGGGAGTCGGCGCACACTGGCCGGCGCGCGACGAGAGGTAGAGGATCGTGCCCGCCATGTCCTCCTCGCTGCCCGCACGACCCGCAGGCACGCCGAGAGACGCCGGGTCGAACTTGCCCTCGAGCGACGTCTTGTTCTTGCTGTCCGAGTCCGAGCCCGTCATCTCTGCGCGGCGGGAGCAGATCGGGCGTTAGCTGGGCCCGTCTGATTGAAGACGGAGGGAGCTCGTCGTGCCGGAGGGATAGACGCCAGGGGCAATAGCGTTGAAGCGGATGCTATAGGTGCAAGAGAGAGCGGAAGAGAGAGTCGAAAGGGAGCAGGAGGAGGGGAAAAAGGGGACCGACGGCGACGAAAGAGGGCCAGACTCTTGTCAGTTGCTCGTTCGCTAGCGAGCGACACGATGAAAGGAAGGAAGGGAGAGACGCACCCAGTGTGGGCAAACTCGGTCGCCGTCATGCGCTGGATGTGGTTAGCGGCGGCCTTCGAGGCGTTCTGCGAGGCGAGGCAGTCAGGTACCTGCTCCTTTCGGGCACCCAGAGCGGCTCGACGTACGTAGGCAAAGTGGTTCTGGGCGACCTTGACGAGGCCCGAGATCGAGGTGATGTTGATGACGCCCGTGGCAAAGTTCTCGTAGATGGCGCGGCCCGCAGCGTCGCCGCCGTCTGCGCGCACCGAGGGTGTCAGCTCCCCTGCGTCGTCCCAAGCGTCAAAGAGAGAGAATCAGGGACGCACTGGTAAACTTGGCGAGGAGCGGGAGCATCGCCGCCGTCATGAAGAACACTGCGAGGGAGAAGAGGGCAGTCAGCGCTCGATCCCTCACGTCCGCGCCGTCGATGAGAGGCGCAAAAAGAGACTCACTGCTCGACACGTTGGTCTGGAAGACCTCGTTCCAGCCCTCGAACGTCTGCTCCTTCATGAGGCGCTCGCTCAGGACCTCGGCCGACGGCTTCTCCTCGTCAAACTTGGTGACCTCGCCCGAGATGCCGGCGTTGTTGACCTGCAGGGAGACGACGCAGGGGAGGAAGGCAGGCGCGTGCGTCAGTAACGAGGCAGAACGGTCGAGAGGAGGCGACCGAGGACGACGGGAAACTCACGAGGATGTGGAGCCCGCCCTCGCGCTGCCGGATCTCCTCGGCGAGACGCTTGATGTCGTCCTTGTTCGTGACGTCGCCGGGCAGGGCGATGATCTGGCCCTCGACCTGCGGCGAGTAGACCTCGACGACGCGGTCGAGCGCCTCCTTCCTGCGGCCGCAGATGTACACCTTGGCACCGTTCGCCGCGAGCGCCTGGGTAGCCACTGTTCGGGTCGGTTGGGACGAGTCAGTCACGGGCTCGTTCCATGGCGAGGCGAGGACGAGAACGCACTGAGGCCTGCAGTTTGGGAAGGTCGAGATGCTCAACTTTCGTCCGCTCGCCTCGGCTCCACGCTCGAGAAAGAGGAGGACGCACCGATGCCAGTACCGCCGCCCGAGACAAAGGCTGCATGGCGAGAGGCAAGTCAGCGCTGAACAGGCGGGAGACGTCGAGAGACGGACGCACCGACGAGGTTCTTGACCGAGAAGAGGCGCGAGGCGAGGAGGTGCGACGAGCTCATAGTTTGTGGCAGCAGATGTAGATGTGGGAGAAGGAAGCAGCAGCAGACCCGACGAGCCAGGTCGAGCGCGGTTCGACCGAGCAGCGTTGACGTCCGTCGCACCGGCGATGCTCGCGACGCGACCGGCCGAACTTCGAAGGGTCGTCGACGTCGGCTCGAGTGCGGCTCCGCTCGACCGGATCCGCTCTCGCACGCACACGAACCAGAGCAAGCACACCGTCGCAATCCCGTCGCAGCGAGGGACAGCAGGATGAGAACGAGAGGCGCGTGCACGCCGGACTCCGAGGACGTGCCGGAGCGCGCGCCTCCCCCGCAGCTGGCTCCTCGAACCTTGTCCGCCGCGCTCCTCGGTTGCGACTCTCGCTTGTCCTCGAACCTGCTCGTCGCACACTCGCACTCTCGAGCACCACCAACAGCGACTCGCTACTCAGCCCTTCTCAACCCGCCGAGCGCCCGCCGTCGACCCCGCCAACCTCGCGCGCCGCGTTCCCACGCCCAGTTCCCCCCGCGTCGCTCAACCTCCTCGGACCGCCCCTTCCCAGCCTCGAGCACAGGTACCCGCCCGACGACGACGACTCGCCCCACGATGCTCGCCAAGTGGACGTTCGCCCTCCTCGCCGCCGCCAGTGCCGCGCCGGCGCTCGCCCAACTCGACTCGCTCCGCGGCACCATCCCGGGCTCGCTGCACCAGTGCGAGGCGACCAACCTCTTCTTCTTCGACTCGTCCAACACGCGCCCGTTGAGCGTCCTGTTCCTCCCCTCGAGCGAGGTGCCCGACTCGATCCGCTCGGGCACCGTCACGCTCGACCAGGCGCAGCAATACTCGCCCCTCCTCGCCCTGTCCGACATCGAGACGCCGGACGCCCAGCAGTACAACTTTGAGCTGCAGATTGAGCAAGGCGCCGTCTTTGAGGCGAGTCCCACCCCGTCCCCTCTCCTCGTTCCGTGCCTGGCGCCAGCGCCGGTTCCTGGCGTCGCGTCGACGACTCTCGAGGCGCACTTGTTGACCCCTCTCTTGGGCGCCCACAGCTCTTTGCGTTCCTGCCCGACGGCCAGGGCAAGGCGCTGTCGCTCACCCGCACGGTGACGACCCCTCTCCCCGGCGCGTCGTCGTGCCTCACCAACGTTCCGACCTCGTGCGTCTCGCCTGCCGACGTTCTCCCTCTCGCCCCGGACGAAAAACCCCTCCTGACCTTTCCGAGCGACTGTGCGCAGGATTGCGGGCGCCGGCGCGACAACCGCCGTCTCGGCGCAGCCGACGTCGTCGAGCGCTGTCAACAGGTGCGCCCGGCTCTCTCTCTCTCGTCGAGCTCCCTCGCGCCCCTCGCTAACGCACTCCTCTGTCGTCCACAGCTCGAGGGGCATGACGAGCTCGTCGATGGCGACGTCGGCGGGCTCGTCGTCGTCGAGCGCGTCGCAGTCGAGCGGCAGCAGCACGTCGACGAGCGCACCGGCCTCGTCGTCGTCGGCGGCGGCGGGCGCAGCGGGCGGCTCGAGCGGGGCCTCGTCCGCTGTGCTCGGCACCGTCGATCGCGCGCTCGTCGTCGCGTGGACCGCCGCGGTCGGAGGTGCGGCGCTCGTCGGCGCAGGGCTCCTCGCCTGAGCTCCTCCTGTGTAGCCGGCGTTCATTGACGCGCGAGTCAGAGTAGCAATGAAGCAGCGCAATCGTGACCGAGGCCCGAGAGAGTGTGCACAGCCTCGCGAGAATGAATGCGCGAGGTCCGTGGACGGATCCGCGCCCGAGTCGCAGCATGTGGATCCCGAGGCGTTACTGTAGCGCTCGCGGGGACGACTCGGATGAGCGCATCGGTCAAAGGGAGGCGTGTCGCAGCTGCCCTCGGCGGAAGGCGGAAAAACGTGGTCGAGAGTCTCGACTCGTGGAAAGCAGCTTGACGCGTCCGAGAGGGGAGTTGCTGTCTGTCCAGTTCCCGCGCCAACCTAGGCGTCGAGAGGGCGACCAGCCGCGCTTCCTCCCACCACCACCGCCAGCCTCTCTCTCTCGCACGAGCAGCCGCCTCGAGACGCCGTGCGCGCCAGCTCCAAGCCGCGCCGCGCCCCGCCTCCGTCCCGTTCCCCCCCTCTCCCCCTCTCCCCCAAGCATGGCGGCACCGGGCGTCGGGCAGTACGCTCACGCTGGCCCGGGTGCTGGCCCTGACCCGTACGGGTTGCAGCCGTACCCGCAGCACACGGCCCCGTCGTCGTCGTCGACCAGCTCGCCGTTCCTCCTCGCCGCGCCGCCGCCTCCGCACCACCCGGGCACTTCTGCCGGCGGCTCGTTCCACCTCGACCAGCAGCAGATCGAGTGGGGCTCGATCCAGCACCAGCACCACCACCAGCCGTCGTCGCACGCCGGCTGGCTGTCGACGCTGCAGCAGCCGCTGCCGGACTCGGGCGACTCGTCGACGGCCGCGGCGGGACCCGGAGGCGCTGCCGCATCGACGGTCGCTTATCCGCCTCCGATCACGTCGCACAGCGCCCTGCACGCTCTCGCCCCCGTCCAGTGACTACACGGGT